CCCTAAACCCTAAACCCTAAACCCTAAACCCTAAACCCTAAACCCTAAACCCTAAACCCTAAACCCTAAACCCTAAACCCTAAACCCTAAACCCTAAACCCTAAACCCTAAACCCTAAACCCTAAACCCTAAACCCTAAACCCTAAACCCTAAACCCTAAACCCTAAACCCTAAACCCTAAACCCTAAACCCTAAACCCTAAACCCTAAACCCTAAACCCTAAAACCCTAAACCCTAAACCCTAAACCCTAAAAACCCTAAACCCTAAACCCTAAACCCAAACCCTAAACCCTAAACCCTAAACCCTAACCTAAACCCTAAACCCTAAACCCTAACCCTAACCCTAAACCCTAAACCTAACCCCTAAACCCTAAACCCTGAACCCGGAACCCTGAACCCTGAACCCTAAACCCTAAACCCTGAACCCTGAACCCTGAACCCTGAACCCTGAACCCTAAACCCTAAACCCTACACCCTACACCCTAAACCCTAAAATATAGTCATTTCGAGCCAGCGATGGCGCGATCAAAATGTCTCAATGAGGGCTTTCGATTGCATCAATAATCTCGGAAAAGGTTAGGTATGCGCAAACTTATGAGCAAAACTGTGTTCCTTTAAAGTTTTAAAAATTTTCTACCTTAGTCAAATTCTAGAATGTGACGAAATGACATCCAGGCCGGCCGCGCGCCTGCGGTGGGGGCCTGCATGCAGGCGCCGGCGCCGGCACTAGTGAGGAGGAGTCCTCGTGATAAATATAATCAACCCAAGGCAAGCGGCTTGTAAGCGGATTCTCGGCAAAGCTAAGCGGAAGACTGCATTCTCAAGCGGAAAGACTGCATTTCTAAGGGACGGAACAGCACCCACGCACCAAGACCGGTGCCCGCCGGCACTTGCATCGCAGCCGGCCATCCCGGGCCGGACTGCACCCGCGCGCCGTTGATACAGGTGCCAAGCGGCACCGCCGTTAAGCAAATTCGGCTAACCCAGTCAGCGCTCCCTAACATCTGGTTTCGGAGAGCAGCTAGGTCAGCAAAGCGGGCAGCGCAGACTACAGCCGATTGAGCTAAGCGGCAAGCCTATATTTTCACATCACGGGGCAAGGCGTGAGCTCACGGGGCAAGGCGTGCGTGCGGGGCAAGGCGTGCGTGTCACAAGCAGAGTCCTTGAGCCTGAGCAGCACTAGGACAAGGTCTCCTTTGCCCACTTGTGGCCATTTCAACTTGGCTAAACCTCATACTCCTGAAATACAGATTGTGACTAATTGTGTAATATGTGACAGATTGATAGTCAGAGCGACAGAATGATAATCTGGATTTAGATCTCTGAGCAATATGACAGTCAAATCTACAGATTGATGATATTAATATTCTGAAACAGTGTTCAACATTCCCAAAGGGCCCCCCAAGGGATTGGCAAGCCTGCTTCAAGGTTAGGGGCAAGATATCAGGGTAACCCGGGAAAGGTTCAGATTTGCCAAATCTTTAGAGCCAGCGGCAAGCTGGCATCGAGGCCATGCCCCGAAGCTACGTGGTTGTGACTCATGAGGGGGCGCCTGATCAGGGGCACCCTAGACTGGACCACTCGGAGGCGAGATTCAATTGAAGGAGAAAACCTGCGTATCCCTGTTGAAAAATCTTGGGAATCTCAGGGATGCCGTTAAGTTCCAGCTACTATCACGGCTGCAAGCGGGTGCTTCGCCTATATTCAGGGCCCGCGCTTGCCCCATTTAGGGGGCTGGCCTGAGATTTTTAAAGACCCTTGTCAAACGCTGCTCAGAAGCTTTTCACAATGATCATGGTTAAGTCTTCGCATAAGAATGCAGCTTATTAATCAGAGACTCCCTTTCATGCGTCGGACTTACTTGCGAGAATTTGCCCGTGCACACGTAGCAGTAAAGTTGTATCACTTTTTTATTGCATGCAACAGCTGTGATTACAAGACATCTTAGAACCCGCCGTTACAAGTTGAACACTACTAAGCAAAAACATCTAGTAAAGCTTGGTTGATGGTTTTTTAAGGGTTTTTTTATTATATATATTACAATTAAAATCGTATAAAGGTTGTTTGTTTACATGATACAAATTTGCCTGCAGGTCAGCTGAGGCATGCGTATGTATAATTCTCAGAGCACTGCTGTCCATTGCAAAAACTTTGCAACAAAAACCTCCACTTGAGTGGCTGCCATGGCTATCGGCACTGACGTTTCTTAAAATGGGGCCTTTGAGGCAAGAGAACTCTCCTCAGTTCTTGTGAAACTACGCTGACATCCTCTCTGCACTCCACTTCTTTGGAATCACTCACACTCACGTTGCTCCTAAAACAGCTTGCAAAATCAGCACGTCTTCCCAATTGTACATGCGGCCGATGTGCCTACTTGCTGCGGCGCATCTGGCCATCCGAGTAGGCTGTGAACGTGTACATGGGCTCAGCGTCTTGAACCTGAATGAATGACGCCCGTTTTGACCGCGCCGTCAGCCCGCCTCCACTCAGGGTCACATTGCTGGCATCCTCAGCCCCAGTCGCGTTCACCTGCCAGCAGCTTTCTGCATCAGCGCTTGTGAAGTGCACCCACTCCTGTAAATGCATCCTCTAGAAGCAGCAATTAAGCAACAAGACAACTGGGTCTCATTTAAAATCTGACCCAAGAAGAAGGGGAGAGCGTTGTGGCCACCGCAGCATGGTGCGCACCTGCGGAGCCCATCCGATGCGGCGATTGGGGTGGCAGCGGCTGCAGCGCTCCAACAACGCATCGTAGAGACGCGCAGCGCGCTTGCTGCGCCGCCGCAATAGGTTGAGGGCCGCGCAGCCGCCCAGAAGCACAGCCAAGCAGACGCCCGCAATGGCGGGCCACGCTGCCGCCAGCGCTGAGCGGCCGCCGCCCGGCCGATATTCCTTCCTCTGTGGCGGCACCCCATCCGGCTCCGCTGTGACATCCAACGCCTGCACACAGCTTGTAAGCAGTCAGGCCACATCATAACGAAAGTCTGCCCTTTTGAGTCAGTAGGGCTACACCAGGCATCTTGAACACAACGAGCCAACCTGCAGGGGTAATCCTCCATAACAGCTCATGGATATGCTTGGTTCTCCCCCTCGCTTGTGTCTGCCAGGAGTCTTGACATCAAACAAACTGATCAAAGGCAGCTCAAGCTGAGCAGAGGAGGCACCTTGGTGGTGCGGCCAAAGAACCTGTCAGGGTTGTCTGCCAGCATCGCGATGGGATCATCTGCGCTGAGGTTGGTGACCTCCAGCGCAGTCTTGATGTCGTCTGCAGAGGCGTTGGGCGGCACATCCACGCCAAGCGTTGCTGTGACGTTCACATACAGCACCCGTCGTGACACCTGCCCAGCACAAAGGGAATATGAGGTCATGCCAAATGATAGCAAGCCTCAGCGTTCTCTTCAATAGTTCCACTGAAGGACGCAATGAAATGTGCAGGTGGCTGTCCAGCATGGCAGTGTCGATCGGCTGTAAGTGGCATTCCTCTGGCAAAGTAATGCAAAATGACGCAAGGGGAAGACGCAGACCTGAGAGATGCCTGTGACATTGACGTCGCCGACTGAAATATTGAAGGCTGACGCAGTGTCTGACCTGATGAGGTGCTCCAGGATTGCCACACTAGATGCATTCACGCCCACCTGCGCTCCGAGCGGGGTATTTCAGGATTATAGTGACAATAGCTCACTCAGCTACCAGATGTCTGGGAACCAGAGAACGAAAGCATCTCCATATAGTCTGATCCTGCTGCATGGGCTCATACAAGCAGCCACATGCCCAAGAGTGACAATCCCCACAACCTAGGAACATGGTATATCAGAAATGTATTAGAGTGTGATACCTTGTGCGCAATGTCATCGAGAGATGTGCCATTGAGGTAGACGCCAAAGGAGACGATGACTGCGTAGCGCGCGGCCAAGCTGGCGCCTGGCAGCACCGCCACAGGGCAATCGTAAGACCCGTCCTCCAGGTTAGTTGTGTTGGTCGGGCACATCATGCACAGCTTGGATCCCTGCAGGCATGACACACACAGGCAAGCTGAACATCTTGAACTCATTCAATGGCATATCACGTGTGCAAAAGATGTGCAAGGTCCTCTCATTTGTTGGTCATGGTGCAACAGAACAAGATAGCCTGACAGGAGCAAAGGTTCCCTGCTACTATACAGCATTACCTTCAATAGTACGGTAAGATAAACATACTGCAGAGATTGCTTAAATGTGCAGTGAGCAAGTATGCACAAAGAATGAGACAGCCAGAGCAGGCACCTGGCGTGGTGCGTAGGTACCGATGATGCAGTGGTTGCAGTGCGTTGAGCCCCATGAGTAGGCGTAGGTGCCATTGGCGCATGGCGCACACTCAGGGCTCCGCCGCGACGCTGCAAAGCTGCCTGGACTACAGAGACTGCAGTGCTGCGCATTGATTGTGGTGCTGGCCCACCCCGCGGGGCATGTGCCGCACCATGGCTGCCGCGATGGAGGCACTGGCCACCCTGTCACATCATACGCAATCCCTTAAAACAGAGGGTTCCGAGAACTCAAAAAGACTTCATGTTGATGTTGTGGATCCAGTTGACAGGTTCCGCATGCAATGTTTGCTGGTCACTACGAATGCCAAGCCACTGGCCAGGATCATTATGAGCTCTGCAATTTGTGGCACATATAAAAGATGTCTCCAACCACTCCAACTCTTACTGCAGCCAATTCACAAGACGCTTGCAATTGGTCTTCCCCAACAATCAGTGAGATGAGCATGTACGCACCTGGCTGCAGGGGTGCCTCCTGCGCGGCGAGCGTGGTCGCCAGGTCAGCAGCCTTGCTGTCCTTCTCATCAACCGCCCCACCCATCCCTGCCCCGCTGCGCACAAAATGCAGCGCGCCGCTGGAGGGCCCATTCGCCAGGCTCCCACCCACACTCCCGCCAATGCTGCCGCCCACAAAGCCCCCGCTGCCTTCCGCTGAAGATGCCGGTGACGTGGCATTGGCCGGCGGCTGGTCACGCACAATGTGCAGGAAGTATCGCAGCGAAGTGACGCCATCCTCAGCAATGACCACTATGGGCACCTCCACTGGCACACCCGGGCTGAGGCCCAGCACCAGCGCTACTGGCAGGAAGTCCGCCTGAGCCCTGCATGCACGTGAAGAAGGCCCTTCTCAGATACATTACTCACTGAGACGATCAAGTGGTTCGTTCTTGCATCAGTCTCCTGAAAGTTCTTCTGCAATTTTTTTTTTGGAAAATACATTTCAAAAGTGCAGCATTGGCCCATTGAGCGTTTTTTAGGGGGGCAAGCGATGTTCACCTGGTGCGAGTCTCTGCAGTGGTGTCCTCCACCTGGTCTGCGCTCACATCCCCTCCCTGGCTGAGCACCTGCACACCAGGAACAATGGTCAACAAGGCAGACTTTGCCGCGGCCGACATGCCAAGCGCAGATACAGTAGCCCTCATGATGCGGCTTCAATTCAGCAATGGCATGAAGTTCAAGTCACGGTAGAGCTGCAGGACAGGAGAGTCATGCATCGCACCTGTCCATTGACCTCCACGCGCAGCCCTGGGACGCCCGGCCACCTAAGCCCTGGTTGCAGGCTCACCCAGTCCGTCCTATGGCTCACATTGAGCCACATCGGCAAGTTTGGCCTGCAACCCCCGGCCGCTCCACTGGAGTTCCTTGTAGCCCCAGGACAGCCCTCTCCACAGACGCACAATAACTCCTGCTCACAAGCACGAGAGATTAAAGCCAGACTGAAAAAATAAAAAGTCCGTCAGCGGCATCGAGATACTTCCACGATCGGGAACGTCCAAAGGGGTGCCTCTCTAGGGTGATTAGGCATTAGCCTGCACTGCACTATCAAAGAGCCGTGCAGGCAGGATCACCAGTGTTAAGAGGAAGCATGCATAGCATACCTTGGTGGACGTGGTGGCGTTGAGCTGTGTCATCTCAGCATGCTCCGGGTCAGCCAGCTGCACCACTGACAGAGAGTACACGACCGAGCTGTTTGCCGGACCCACAGCCGCCTTGGCAGGGCCGCTTGCACCTAGAAGGCTGGGGCTCGGTCGCCAGGGCGCAGCCGCAGCAGGCGACTCGGAAGGGCCAGAGGTGGTCGCATTCACCGGCCTGCCTTGCAGCTGCACCAGCGCCATTTTGCTGCTGTTCACATGCGACGCCTGCATTGCAGCAAACCCCAGGTGAGACAAAGATTTACATGAGCAGATCCAATCCATCAGAGATCTTCCTGATTTGCAATAGTACATGTGGCAGGTGTAAGACATACTTACCATTGGAGCCATGGGCGTAGCAGTAACCATGAGGGTGAACTGGTTCTGGCCTGGCTCCAGAGCCAGCGGCCAGGAGCGGCTGCGACACACATCCCCCGCGGCAGCAACCGCGCCGGCCTTGGCGGGCATCGCCGCAACACCCGCCTGCCCGAGCGCAACCGCCTTGCCGCCCGGGGAGACCAACGGGGCAGCTGCAGGAGCCTGCACAGTAATTTCACAACAATTTGGTACATGACTGCATCTTGTTGTGATCATTAGACTGCCAATATTCCAGTATGCGAACGGTATCCAAGATGAAGAACCATCCAAGTGGTAAAACGGGAATGTAGATGTAGCACCTGGAAGGGCAGCCCAGCTGGCATGACCGGTGCATCAGCAGCGGCGACGGCGCCTGGTGCACTCCCATCCCCCAGCAGCGCACGGCGGTTGTGCACATCGTCAGTGCCCTCCTTGGCGACCCGCCTCTCCTCAATGTGTGCGGCATCAGGCCCATAAACTTCCACAAGTGCATCCTCTGCAGATCAGACAGATCGGCTCAGGCTTCTGCACAGGAGCGTCTGTGGTGCTGTGGTGCAGGCCGCTCTTGTAGACTGCACTTGCCATGCCCAGCAGGTGTTCATCTTGGTACTTAAAATGAAGGGACCCTCAGTAGGGCGCACCCTGGATGGGGAGCAGGCAGAGGGAGCCGTAGCCAAAGGAGGGCGGCACGGCAACTCCATACTCTGCTACGTTGGGGCGGAACGTGGACGACAGGTCAAAGACACTGCCGTTTGCGCTGCGCACCACAATGGCCTGCAGCCGCGCGTCTTGCCCCACCCCATACTCTGGCTGCCTCTGCTCCAGCTCCTGCTCCGTGCTGTTCTGCCTGCATGCACTCAGCAAAGGCCTCAGATGGAAGAAGAACCTCCTAAAAAGTGCTGCTCAGGCACCTTGACATTAAAGACTTCAGCAATGTCAAGTCTCGATGATGACCGCAGCATGGAAGGCTCCTCAGAGTACATACTGCTACACCAAAGCAGTAAAGATCCATATGAATATTTCCAGAGAGATGGCATTGAAGATAGGATGTAGAAGAGAGTGTACCTGTAGGAGCCGGGCGGGCACTGGCCAGGCTGCACCCCAAAGAGGTGCACAGCAATAGCTCCCCCGGCAGGACCCTCCACCTCAGCCTGCCAGGCTGCCTCCACTTTGACGCTCAGCCGGTACTCTGCCTCTGGTGGCACACTGCTCCAGTTGACTGGGAGGGTCAGGTTCAGTGATCTGCCCACGTCCTGGTCCCAGGACAGCACGCCCTCCAGAGCCTCCTCTGGGATGTACTCTGCTGGGTCCTCCCCGGTGGTGGATTCCACTGTGTAAAACACGGCCGCAGGAGCTCGTAGCAGCGGGTTTCGTATACTGACTGGCACGATGACTGCATCGCCAGGATAGGCCACCTAGCCACGATTCAAAAAAAACAGTTATTTTGTGCCTTTACTGCAGCATGCACAATGTAGCTAGCCACTCTTATACAGTATCTCACTATGGAAATATACATGTTTGGAGACTAGAACATGGTTGCAATCAGGGAGCATACCTGGTTTGGGTTGAGAGTGAAACCAGTGGTGAGGTTAGCGGCAGGGATGTCTGAGATGACTGTGCTGCTCTGCTCCAGGCTGAGATCAGCATTGGTGACATTGCCAAGCCTGAGAAGCAGCGCCTGGGGCGGCTGTGAGGCATCGAGCAGCCCCAAATGCAGCGTCACATTGCGCCTGCCGCTCTCACCAGGCATCCATGACACAATGTCTGTGCTCAGCAGCGTTGCAGCTGCCGGCGCTGACAGCGCTTTCACCAGCGTCCTGCCATCTGCGTGGATAACACATTGTGAGACGAAAGAAAAGAGGGGCAAGGGTCCATTTTGACCATGCCATCTGCAATGCATGACTTGATGTAGTGTAAGATGCAGTCTGTGACGCAAGCACATGCATGCTGCATACCTGACGAGAGCAAGCGCTGGGCTACAGTTAGCTGGGCTGTCACAAACAGCGCATTGGGGCCATCCAAATTCACCGAGACCTCCAAGGCTCCAGCTCCGCTTCTGTAAATGTATGGTGCTCCCATGGCCGCTACAGGCCCCTCCACATTAATCACCTGTGTAGTGCGACAAAATCATATACGTGACTTGGGCCAATGCATTTTCTGCAGCCTTCCATCTACGTTAATCTCCCTTATGCAGAACATCGCTCTGAAGCCCCCTGCACAAGATGCAGGAACACATCCTAGAAGTTCAACCAGCACGCACCATGTCGCTGGTGTTCAGCCCAGCAAACTGCCCATTAAGGGAGACGTGCAGCAGGTGGCTCCCAGCTGTCAGGGGCCCAGTGCTGGAGGGAGTTGTGGCCATGATGGCTCGCCGATCCTCTGTCAGATTTGCTTGCAACAGCAGGTCTCCCCCATCCTCGCTGGCGCCCTGAATCCTCAGCGCTGGCCTCAGCATCTCCTCCTGTGCATGGTGAAAGGCATCTGTTGCACGAGTTTCTCCGTGCTAAAACCTGACCCGGAAATTTATGCGAGTTGAACACATGTCAACAAGTTTGTTGCTCTCTAAACAGGGGGAACCTCTGTTTCATGGGCCTGGATCACACCTTGCCACCCATCAGCACATCCAGGCTGTCCTCTAGGTAAAGTGTCAGCGGAAAGCTGCCATAGCGGGGCCCAGTCTCTGGGTGCACACGCCTGACCAGAGGATTCAGATAATACCCATAGCTGAAGCCAAACAAGCAGCTGTTTATCGCCACCTTGAAATCCACTATGGTCCCTGCATGGCACGCCAAGCATGTTTCATACTCAAAAGGTGCAGTTGTTGAGAGAGCAGTGGGGTGCAGTAAGACGTAAAAGATTTATGTTCCCAGGCTGGTAATCTTCAAATTTGTTTTGGGATGAAGTTTGCTTAATAGGATCAAGGATCTGTACCATTTGTTCCGTTGAGGCTGATGATGGGCCATGGGGGCACAACGCAAGTTGCCAGTGATCCATTCTGCACCTTTGCGTTCACTGTCTGCGCGAAGGTGCCATTGCTGAGCATGCACGACATAGGCGGGCTGAACCCCTCCCCCTGCAAAACATCACCCGCTCTTCAGTTTCAATGTGCAAATTCTCTGCCACTGTCCCTTGAAGCAAGTGCTTTTCAAGGTCCACGATTGGTCTCAGGCTGACGCTTGCCAATGAGCAGGGCAGCTATTTGAGAATGACACATGAAGGCCCTTTGGGTCAGGTACTCACCTCAAGAGTCACCTCTGTACCCCCAGTCAACGGCCCAACCTCCGGCTCCACTGAGAAGACTGCCACCCTCCAAAGCTTTGTGGGCGCAACCGTGAGCACCACAATGTCTGCAGCCAAGAGAGAAAACATTGGTGCTGCTGAAATTGTCAATGCGCTTAGAATGGCAGTCATGATGATCTGCAAGACAGGACAGGACTGCAGCGACATCACATGTCACTGCATATGGCAGCTCGATATTCCGCAGGAACCTTTGTTGGGAAAGCGTGCGTGCCTTCAAATGCTGCGCCATCCAACTCTGACAGCAGAACTGGAGACACATCCCCAAGGCTGCTGGGCAGCGCACAAGAGACATTGTACTGCACCACCCGCCCTGTCTGCCCCTTCAAGCTCGTGATCCCCTGCGAGGGATCGCACCTTGGAATTTAGGATTATGCCGTCACTATCATTGCTTGACCAAACAGCAAAGTCGCAGGACCACATACTGCAAACGCAAACCCAAACGCAAGCTCTCCAGTCATAAAGATATGCAGAGTCTCACCACAGCTTGTTGCCTGGCAGGCGTCCCTTCTGCCCTGTAAACTTCTTCCAGAAGGCTCGTGAACGCCTGTGATTTGTTTGCAGGCAGCAGCTTGTCCTTCATCTGTAAATCCACACATCACTCAGGAAATGTGCCAAAATCGCAGCTAATGTCAGTGTTTGACATGCGGCCATAGCCGGCTTGTGAACAAAGCAAGCCTGAAAGTGGGTAGCAAATTGGTCCACCTGATCTGTGGCGTCCAAAAGATCCTGCAGGGTGCTCCATGGCAAGAACTTGCACGTCACTGATGCTGAGGAGAAGCCTGCTGGCAGGCCTATGACAGTCAAGTTCACTGTCGCTTGTCCTGAGCTATCTGTGCAGGTGGCCTCCTCCCCAACCACCTTCCCAGAGATATAAACGGATCCCCATCCCTGTCCCGCTGTTCCCTGCCCAGCAAATGGCACACCACCTTGCCCAGTTCCACCTCTGGAAGGCGCTGTATGACCCTGCACCTGCCAGGATGTGGTGTTTAGCATAAATATTGACCGGTGAAATGCACAACGTTCGTGATCGTGCATGCGTCGAATCTTATATGCTTACCGATTGTCCCAATCTCGGAGGAATGCAGCACAACAATGTTAGGATCCAGAGCAGACCAACACTGCACATCCTCCTTCACGTCATCATCCTGTGGGTGGTAACATCATCCTTGCGACATTAGCACCATAGCACCTGATGCTATCATATTCACAGATAGTTTAGACACTGTGTGAAGGCCCTGCGGCTCAGTATCTTGGAATTTAAGTACAATGGGGTCTTTCGATTTGCACGAGGCGCCTGCAGGGCTACATGCCTTGACTAATCCACTAATATGCGCAACAAGCTTGGCAACCTCTCTCTAATTCCAAGATGAAGTCTTGGCTGACCCGGTCCTTTGTGTCGAACACTCTGCCTTCAAGGCAGTGCCTTGTCCCCGTGGAATGAAAACTGCTTTCCGTTATGGCCTGCCGCTTTTCATCATGGAACATGCTGGCCTGCACAAAAATAGATGATTCTTGGATTTGCTTCTTTCCAATGTCATGCCTGTCTTGCTGCTCACTGCATGTGCTGGCAGCAGCTCTGGCTTGCAATGCATCACAGCCTGGGATTATTCTCATGTAAGCCTGCGCTTGCCCACCACAGCTGCAGCTGGGCATCATCATGATCGGCCTAGGCTGCTGAGGCCTCAGCAGATTCGGATGGGGCGGCGTACGTGCAAACTTGTGCATAACACTACAGCCATCCGCGTCATGTAGGTCATTATGTCAAGGATACTGGCGGGCGGACCATAACACGGCACCAAATCATCAGGTGTTGACATCAGGGTTATTAATAGCTAGTAGCCGGTCTACGGTACGGTACGATTTGATCAGAGTAAATCGCAGCAGTTGTGTTGAATTGCTCAGGCAGTTATCAGAGGAATGGGATGTCAAGCATCCCACTTGAATGGTCCCACCATCACGAGCTGCCGTTGAGCTTGATTCTATGTCAACACTTTCATTTCTATCAACCGTAGCAATACTTTAGCAGAAAACAAGTTGCACGTGCAAGAAAGCACTGGTGCATGTCCGCACACTGACCAGGTCCCCAATCCCTGAAGCACTGCAACACCCAATACAGGCCTACACATGCAACCCAGAAGGCTGCATTGACTAAACAACGCTCTCCTCAAGTTTGCCAGCCAGCCCCACTCAGCAAGGTTTGGGCCAAACTGACTGCAGGATTTGTTCTGAACGTTACTTCTGTTATTGCTGCGCTTTTCAAACATTCCCTCAGTGCCAATTGGCATTTTTCCTTCAAGGAACAAAGGTACAACCGTATTAGTTTTAGATCCCTCAAAAGCTCTGAACCCTGCTATTTGCAACATCAAGCAAATGCTGAAACTGCCACTGCCCAAATTAGTCTTCTCTCCATAAGTCTGCTTTTTCGGGTGCTAGCCAATTCCATGTGCCCCTTCAGAGGCCCTTGAGGCTGGCGGCAATGCCGGCGTCATCTGCCCATGTCTGCAGCGCTGACACCGCAGTCACAAAGCTCCTCTTGGCATCAACAAGGCTGCCACTCTTAGCCGAGTTTTCAAGCGCGCCAATGCCCTGTAATGTCAAAAACAAGTAACTCAAGATCCCCTCCCATGCTGGCATTGCCAATGATGCAGTGCGTTGGTGCTATAACATTATATCCGCGTTCCCCAACAGTCAGATGCGTAAAGATTACAGGGGTGGGTCAACACGATGTGTTCCCCATGCTGGGTCTGCCATGTTGCAAAAACATATACACTTTGCTGAGCACATTGAGAAGAGCACCTCAAACACAGCGTTGGCTGACTTCTTCGCGGCGTCGCTGGTGCTAAGGCCTGATGTGGCCCTTTGGAACTCGCCCACCCATGCGTCACTGCTGGAGAAACCACAGCAGTGCCGTGAGCAACCCATCACTGTGAACACTACTTCACAGGCAACAATGGACAACAGCTTGCAGCAATTGGACGAGCATCAGCATGCATCAAGCGCTCAGCAAGCTCGACCAGCAAGCTCAACCAGCATGTGCCCCACACTGCAGAGCTTAGCAGATAATTACACCATAGCACGCCTCAGCGCAACATCACGTTATCCCATGCAATAAGGATCATCTAACACTTGCATCTGAAAGCACACGGGCCACTCACCCGACAGTGGCTGCAACGGCGGGCAGGTCGCCGGCGGCCAGCGCCTCTCCACTCTTGGCCAGCTTGTTTACAGCAATCTGCACCGCGACCACCTCGCCATCTGCAAAGCCACCAGTCTTGGCGTACTCCTTCTCGGCCACCTTCTCTGACGCCAGGCGGCTTTTCCTGTTGGCCTTGGCCTTCTCAATCAGCTCCTCGTCGTCGTCGTCTGGGATGAGGGCGCGGGCTGCACCACACCACACCCTGTGAGCCTCAGCCACAGGCTTGACAGCAGCACCATGCACCACCGGCTGACAGTCAAGAGCAATGCGTTCCATCAAGTCCATGCCTCTGCAGAGGCCCATGCAAGGACAGGGGCCCACCCAAGAAAGAGCAGATGTGAGGTTTATGTGTCTACTAGAGCCAAGCATGAAAACCAACTCACAATCACCCTAAAACGTCAAGCAATCGTATACTTTCGATGGGAATAACAGACAACCGTCAATGCAGGAGGCAGCACCTGATGGAGCAAGCCAGAGTAGTGGGACTGCTGACAACAGGGCCGCGGCAGAGCGCCTGCTGATCTGGCTGCTCTCGATAGTCTTCAAATCGTCAGAAGAAGCTCTGACAGAGGGGCATCTATTGCCTCCGCTCTTCCTGGACACGCCGAAAGCCTGCAGGCATGGTGTTGTGGGCGCCTTGCAGAGACTCGCTGCCGTGCTGCTGGGAACCAGGATCAATGCGCCTGCCATGTCGGTAAGTACACCTCTTCTGAATGCCCGGCAAGTTCGCGGGACAGACTATGATCAACGGAGTCTGATCGGGCAAGGGAAATTCCTCTGGTGCAGACGTCTACACCGAGATGATGTAGGGCAGGCCGAAATTGCACAAGGCTTGAGATTTCCGTCTCGGGCATCGGGAGGAAATGCTGTGATATCGCACAATTCCGTTATATACTACATCCTGTCTGCTTGCAGGGACCAGAAGTGCCGATATCTGCAGTCACCATGGCCGTTTTTCTTCCCGTCACGAGCTTTTTCCTCGGATTGCACACCCTATATTTCGCTATCATCAGCTTCCGGGTGGCAATCTTCCGAGGTAACAACATGCAAAAGGACAAGAACTATGAGACTGCACCGGCGTTCAAGTACAGAAATGCGGTAAGCATCTAGTCTGTGGGCTGTTGCGAGTGCGACCTTGTCCGGTGGTGACGAAGCGTGGCTGACTTCTTGCACTACCACTGCTCGAAGCCGTCTCCTGCTGAGCTGCTTCTTTTACATTGATTTTTCCCATGTAAAAAATGCTCTTCTTTGAGATTTTCGCTGTCGATGTGCCACAGGCTCAGACCAATTTTGGGCAGTACTTCCCGATTATACTGCTTCTTCTGGGCTTCCTCGAGGCCAATCAAGTGATGAGCCAGAAATATCTGCTTACTTTGGGGACAGTCATCACTGCCCTGCGCCTCAGCCACACCCTGCAATTGGCCTTCCCACAGCAGCTTCCCGTTGGCTTCCGGATGGCCGGCTTCCTGGGCACTGTGGCTTTCTTCATCGCCTGCAGCATCCTGTGTATGCTGGTAGGCCTTCAGGTGAGTTGCATGGAATGTTTTCTGTGGCATTGTGCTGTTGTGCAAGGATCTGTGGGCCAGGCTTGAACTGTCCTATAAATCTGCTGTCCTCTGGCTGAGTAAAACATGCATGCTGCAGGAGTTCGGCGTTGTTGACAAGAATCTCCTCGGCAACAACAGGAGCTGGCTAGGGTTTGCGGATGACAAGTACGCAGATGCATCAGACAGTGTCAAGAGTGGCTGGAACACCATCAAAGACAAGGCACAGGACCTGTAAGCGCGCGTTTAACAGCCGGCAAGAAACAGGCACTTCTTACTCGATACAGAGTACGGTCGGCATCTGACGCAGAGCATGGGAGGCCGATAGGCAACGGACGATGCTCAATGCTGCAAACAGCAGATAATCTTTGATCATTTTCAAGTACTGCTACTAGCTACTGTGGTACATCCTAGTAAGAGCCTTTGCGGCTGCTAAACTCGGCTGCTATTAAGCAGGTGGGAGGTAATTCAGCAGCGTTGATTCGTTGAATTTCAAATATCTGTTCTGTGCAGTGGATCGTGGAGGTCCTTAAATGTTTTCTATTGTCTTGTGAGTCTTCAACCTGTAGATCATTGCTTCAGGTATTAGAGATAATTCAGTGATGACATAATAATAATTTTTTCTGCTGACATAATTTTCTGGGCTATTCATGGATGCACCCGGCTGCATCCGCAAGAGGCATTGCCTTCACAGCCCATATGCCCTAGTAGGCGACGGGCTAGCGATCCCTGCGCTGCCGCATGCGGCATCCTCAGGAATATAATACAGTCTTGTGACAAGGCTTGTGCTGACAATAATAATGCTCGCCATGGTCTACCTACTGTAGTACCGTAGTCATAATGCCACCAGTGGAGTGTTCGTCCAGCTTACGCAAACCAACAGACCATGAATGTCAGAGAAACTCTCAAAGAATGCAATTTTTTACGATAATTTTGCTCAATGGATGATAGCCATGACGTATGCCTTCTGAGTCCCTGCAGGAGAGCTCTGTGGATGACCGCTAGCGCTATCACAATTGATCACTGATGGCAGATGCAGCACGCTAGAGCTGAACTTTCAAGTAGCTGTGCCTGTCCTGATCTCAAAGCATGTTAATCGCACCCAAGCTCACTTAACAATTGTTGCAAACATTCACACTGCGAGGCAGCCATAGGGCCCTCCTACCTTCTTTTGCGCTCGCACATGCCTGCCTTGTATGCCTGGCACTCTACCAATGATAATTCACGCTACATACGTCGAGAACGCATGCAATTAGTGCAATGGCATGTCCTGGACATGATGTCCATATCCCTGCCAGTGCATGTGGCAGATGGCAGACTACAAATGGCAATGGGCTGTTTCGGCAAGGCCCAAAACCCTAGTAACTGGAATAACATTGTTTCGTGATTGCTCTCGCACTTTCTTGCCGTAGATCATATACAATTTTAGGATGGCGGTTGTCCTTCCCGTCACCAGCCTTTTTCTGGGTCTACACACCATCTACTTTGCCGTGATCAGTCTTAAAGTTGGTCTTTTTCGGGCCGCGAACATGCCCAAGGGAAACAGCTATGAGAGTGTCGAATATTTCAAGAATATTAACTCGGTAAGTTGATTTCGCTCTGTTGTATTATAGGGCATCTTTGTCCAAGGTCACATCTGACGAAACTAACCTAAGGTTGTTCAGATCTGCTCTGCAGAAGGCAATCGCCCAGTTTTGCCGTACATTGCTGTATTGTACTAAAAGCGCGTGTATTTATGATTGCTGGTTGTCCAACAGGCTCAAAGCAACTTTGGCCAATACTTTCCTATTGTCATGCTACTGCTGGCTACCTTAGAAGCAAATGAGGTGATGAGCCAGAAGTACTTGCTAGTACTATCTGCAGTGATCACTGCCATACGAATTGGGCACACCCTGCAGCTGGCAATGCCGCAGAAGCTGCCTATCGTCATGCGCCAAGTGGGCTTCCTCAGCACGGTGCTGTTCTTCATTGTGTGTGGTGCCGCCTGCGTCGTCATTGGCCTTCAGGTGAGCCACATTGTTTTGTCTTTGTGCGCACGTTTTGGACAAAGCCTGGGTATTCCGTTGCTGTATTCACAGAGTTCTTGCAGCTGACTGTGAGACTTATGGAATTTGCTGGCACCATTGAGAAGCGCAGCTAAGTAAGTCTTGTCATTATTAAGAACAGACGCCCTCATACCAGTATCAATTCACTATTGATGCATTCATGATGTCATTGATGACAGAGCATTGATGGGCATGGCATCCTCCTGCAGGGCACCGGACTTGTTGAAGGAAATTTGCTTAGCGGCAAAGCGCAGGAACTGTGAATTATGTGAAACCTGCACAGGTTCAGGCTCTTTTGACGTGCTCTCCAGCGCTTAATGTACAGGCTGTTGGATATGGAATACCAGACCAAGAGAATTTACAACCGTAATTGGTGATTTGTCATGGTGGTCATAGCTGCATCGATTTTGCGTTGCACGCTCTGTGCTGTGCAGCTCTGTGCATGCACTTCGATTATTTTGTACAGGACGTATTGATTCAGTCACTCAAAATGGGCAGCTGCTGTGACCACCTGCTCATTAAATTTCCTTTTAAAAATGCGTCATTGCAATGCGTTTAAGTTTGTGCAAGGTTGTGCAATAGAATATGCAGTACTTCTAGTATTTCAAATCTGACGGCTCAGCCTGTCTGGGGAATCCTGGATGGGTGGTGTGACAGTCAACCCTGGGCCCTGGAGTGTGGTGCCTTCAGAGCTGTCTTCAATACTCAAACATATTCGCATAGTCGTGTTTGCACAAGGCCCCCTGTAGTATGCATACGTATCAAACGGCGTACGTGAGCTGTGGCTTCTGAAACTTAAACAAGTGTCAGAGCTTGCCAGGTGCATGCGTCATGGCCCATCTGTGGGAGTCTCTGTTTGTAGATGCAAGATCCTCCATGTAAGTTTTGGGAGAAGCTGGACATTTTGTAGTACTTGCCACATTGGATCTCGCAACAATTGCATTCCTAATTAAAGCCTGCATCCCAGACATATGACACTGGCTGCTATATACACCGCGTCTCATCCATGGGCTGCCAGCAAAAAGAGATAATACTTATTGCAGAACCCCCGGCCAGGCTCACAGATCAAGCTTTCAGGGACTCAAGCAAACTCGTCCAGCTTTGCTGTCAGGACACGCCCCTGGAACTCCAGGCCAGTGAGCTTCTGCACGCATTCAACAAAAATTTTCAAAAATAGACCGCAGTGGACTTATCAAGTCTCAGGCATTTGGTGGGGAAGTCACAGGTCAGCACAGTGTTGCGCTTGTTTAAAATCTGTGTTTTGGTATTATGCTGCAAGGCACTGAGGAAGCCATTGTCTCAATGCAATCAAGCCGTTTAGACAACTTCATATATTGTATGCCCTATTTGCAGGACACGAGGTCCAATAGATTCAACACACAAATTTTCAGGCCAGGGCATAAGCACACCTGGATGGCGGTCTGAGCGTCCTCAGGAGTCTTGAACACAATGGTGCCGAAGCCGCGCGACTTCCCATCGGAGCGCTTGGCAATGTCGGCCTTAACAGCGTCGCCGTACTGCTTGGCCAGGTCCTTGAGGTCCTGCCACTCCACTGACCAGGGCAGACCGTGCACCACGATCTGCAACAACCAGAGGCTATCGGTGCTCAGGCATAACTCGCTAAATGGCGCATTTTGTCAGCAAGTGAGATCATTTCCCCACAAGATCCAGCAGCATTGCTCCAGATGTGGCTGTGGCAGCCCCAGCAATTCCGGCAATACCACTTCAGCATCAAGAGCCCATAGACTCATCTGCAACCCGTTGATTGGCTCACACGGCAAGGCACACATGCTGTGGACAATCCCTGGAAAGTCCTGATTGCACACAGTGAGCAGCTGACCTTGGTGCCATCGGGAGCTGCGCCGCCACCGCCCCGCTCACCGCGCTCGCCGCCGCGGTCGCCGCCACGGCCGCGGCCGCCGCCGCCGCCGCGTTCGCCGCGTGGGCTGCGTCCGCGCACAGCAGTGTCCTCCCGGTCCTCCCTCACATAGATGGTGTTGCCGTCCAGAGTCTGCATTCCACATCGCCTTCAGCATTCAATGCTCCAACAGCATTGGCGCTGGCCTGAACAAGGGTCTTTCTGCACCCTGATCACGTGCCTGCAAACCTATGTCTGGTACTCCCTGGGCTTGTCTGGCCCAGCAAGGGAGACAAGCATCTCCTTCAATCCGACAACACAAGTCAGGGATGGCTTTGTTAGCAATAGGTAGCATGAGCATTTGCCACAGTTTTTGCTGGGACAGCGCCAGACAGGACAAGCTGCTTGGTAGGGGCTGCATACCGAGTTGGAAAGGAGGGAGATGGCGCGTAGAGCGTCGTTGGAGCTCTGGAACTCCACAATGCCGCAGCCCTTGGACTGCCCATCCTCATACTGCGCACGCACGTATTGATTAGCTTACAGCCTTGAAAATCGAATGCCCTCTGCCCAGTGCTCTCTGCCCAAGCACCACAAAATTTTCTAGAAGGAATGAGGCATGAGGAAACGCCATAATCAGGAAAGGTCCCTGCGTACATCCCACAATAGGGGTCGCCTCCTCGATCATAGCCGGTTGCAGAGAGTGGCACATGCACATAGCTATATAAAAGCACTCCGGCGTGGGGTTGAGCGGGGATGTTGCTGCGCACCGTAAGGACAGCGGCATGGACGACGTTGCCGGCCTGGCGGAAGTGGTCCTTGAGGATCTGCCAGGTGGTGTCGTGGGACAGGTTGTTGACGTAGACGCGCTTGCCCACGGACACGGGTCCATCCGCGTGGCCGCCGCCCCCGCTGGGCCGCCCTCGCTTGGCAACCCCCGTTCCGCTCGGCCCCTCCGACGCCGCCTTCAGGTCAAAATCCTCACGGTCCTCCCTGTGCCATAAGGGAAATCGTAAGTGCCAGAGAGGCTTGGTGTGCACCTGGATGTGCAAGACTAGTGCCCCTGGATTGGCATTATGAAACAATCTGCTACAACGGGAATGGGTATCTAGAGAAACAAGGGGAGGACGTAAACAAGAAGTTGACATTCTGTAGTTCAGCATTAATTGATCTGTAACAGAGCTGCTGGGCTGTCCCACCTGACATAGATCTCGCGGCCGTCAATCTGCAGCAACAAGACACCAGGCAGAGAGTCAGCATATTGTGGAGAGTGTGATCTAAAGACACTCCATGCAAAATGACTGGATGCGAAACAGAACACGGCTAAAAGGGCAAAGCTATCACAGTGCTGACCCTCAGCAAGACTTATGGCATAGAAAGTACATGAGATTCCTTATCTGATTTGCTAACAGAAACGCAAGGAGCTTGGAAGAATCGGGAACACAGGGGGTGCACACCTCGCTGAGGTGCAGGGTGTTGATGGCTTCCGCAGCTTCCTCTGCCGTCTCAAACTCCACAATGCCGCACCCCTACCAATGTCCCCCACCACAGCCCAACCATTCTTTCCCAACATCCCACACCAGATCCAGCACAAGAGTCCCAGCCATCCAACCATCAACCACACAACCCCTCCCAAACATCAACCACAAGCACACACTCTTTCCAGCCCTGGTGACCTCCGATGGTCTCCAGTGCAGCCCATCCAATCCACGCCACACCCTTCAAAGACACCAACCCTCCCAGAAACCCCTCACCTTTGACCTGCCATCCCGGCCTTCCCGCAAGACGTCCACATATGCCACTGCAATACCACAGTGATCATCGTTTCCTTTCACCACTACCTTACATGATCACAAATTCCACGCTGCAACCCTTTTTCGAGCAAAGAATAGTGCATTCTTGATAAAGCAAAGCATGCGAGCATGGCTATTTACCATTGCCCGCCTGCTTGAAGTGATCCTTCAGATCCTGCCAAGATGTCCGCCAAGTCAAATTGCTGACATAGATGCGCCTGGCAACCCGGATCACTCCACCTGCACAGCCATACTGGTAACAATACCCCAACGTTTGCAGACAACGATATGCAGCAACCTTCACAACCGCCGATCAAGAACCATGGCTTACCAGTATCGTTGCGCTCCCGCTTCTCCCCACGGCCTCTGCCCCTACCAGAACCACCACCACCTCGAGACGGTCGACCGCCGCTTTCCTTCACAAGCGTATCCAGGGAAGAATTGAGTTTGTCATCGATATCCATCTTGCTGGCCATCTCCAAATATAAGCGTGAGGTGCAAAGCAACCACTCGAGAGCAATCAGCGTCGCCCAAACACCAAAGCCCGCTTGAAAGAAAGGATCTGGTGCCAGCGCCAACGATGATTCTCAATTCCTGCAGCCGTTTTCATCGAACCATGCTTGGTGGGCAGGACACAATAACTCAATCTCTCGGAAAACTGCGGGAAATGATAATGGAACCAGTGTGCAGGAAGTCGTCTTGTGTATGTCCTTATAATGCCATGTGTGTGGGTTTCTGTTGAAATGGTGACACATCACCCCACTTAAATCTAGTCCAAGGTCACCAAGATGTGCTTGGGACGTTTTTCGCAAGTCGCTGGTTTCCGTAGGGATTCATTTGCAGACTGCGATAGTCCATTTCAGTGTAGTATTATTCTGGGACATTTTACTGGGCCAGATGTTTGTATTGCTGGTAAGACTCGCCAAGGTGGATATATATAGAAGCGCACTTCAGTCTGGCGCAAGACTACCAGAACAGCTTCAATTTTTATTTCTAGGCGACGCATGCTTATGAGCAATTCTGTGCTGGGGAGTTCCATCACCCAGTATCATCCGTTGAGACCTCAATTCAAGGCAGATCGCATTATTGCCACCTTCTGGCAAACTTGCCTCTCTTGAGAGGGGATGGCGGTCCTCAGGAGGTCTTCTTTTGAAGAGGACATTGACCAGGACGAGGATGCACTTCTAAAGTCCAACTGGGGTCTAAGCATGTTCCCGGAAATACAGCACTCAGAACAACAAGAGCTCCTCTTGCTGGAAAAGTGGTTGCAGGTTAGATGCTAGCCTCCTTCAAAGCCTCGGTGCAAAATCACCGCACAATGTGATATTGTGTTACAGCAGGCCCAGTACGTTAGGACCGGTGACACCAGCCTCTAAGTTCCTATCGGCATGTAGAGTCATGGACATTCTGTTGCTGTGAACAGGTCGAGGTACAGCGCTTTAACAAGACTTACACGAAGCGACAGGCATCAGCGCCTGAGGCAGAATTTGTGGCGGTAGCAGTGAGACAGGCTGAAAAATTGTATGGGCACGCCTTCAAGAAGCTTTCTGAAAAGGTGCGATCCATTCCTGTCTCATGTAATGTTGCCGTGCTTCCCTGCTTTTGTTTGACTTCCTTGTCCCTGGTAAATCACAGGTGTTTACGGCAAATGGTGAGGTCAGGCGCTTGTTGGAGACTGTTTGGCGGGGTTATGCAAGCGTTGCCAAGGGAGCTTTACTGCGCCTCAGGGACCAGAACGTCTCCTTGCAATCAAGGTGATCCACACTTGCAGCAGCTTCCCAGGACAACTGTTTTGATGAGAGCCCATTTGGGCTGGACTGATGAGGTTGCCCACCAGTCCCAGTGCGGTGTGTGAAGCATGCGTGATCTGCTCAGGGCGGATGCTGCAGAGCAGAAGCTGGCCGCATGCGAAACTGTTCTGAGGAGAGACACCGACAGGCTACAGGCAGAGCTGGACAGGTGCACCATAGCCGAGCATAGCATGGCTGTATTGTCCCATGCAAATGACTCTCCCTTTGACTGTGCAAGCTGCTTTACATGATCTGCCGTCTATGACAAGCCGCTTGGGTGGAGAGTGATGTCTGTATGCTTCCTACTGCAGAGCGTCAGCACAGATCTTAGAACTCAGAGGAGCCAACAGAGCCGCAGCCATTGCAGCAGCACAGCGAGCAGCCAGCGCAGGGCAGCAGCCGCACCCGGCACCTTCCTTTGGTAGGCTCTTCAGTTTTTTGGCCCCATAAAGCAATGCAATTCCATATTGTAATACTGTAACAGAAGATGGCATGGTGAGGAGTCCTTGATAAATTCCAATGTTGGCTGCAGGCGGTGGCCGGACTGGCCAGGCAGATCGGCACATGGGCGCTTTTGACCAGGGCAGCGGCATTGCGCCTGTTGAGTCGCCTCCTCGGAGCCCTGACACACCGGCAACCGAGCACCCGTCTCATGCAGGTGACATTTCCATCTTGCCTTGCAGACATGGCAGCACAGTGCACAGCGCTGAAGATTTGAATACAATCATGAGGGCACACCAATGACTGCTCATTCCTGGTGGGTCACAGGGCAAGCATCACGGCCGACAATTTCTTGGGATCTCAGACAGGAAGAGGCATCCAGCAGCGGATCACAGGGAAGGCCAGCCTCGGCAAAGAAGTCTTTTGCCAGCTCGCTGCATGTTGTGGAGGAGGAAGAGGCGGGGCTGAGCATGGCTCGCAGCCTCAAGTCCAGGTCCAAGCGCATGTCTTCAATGGCCAGCAGCCTCCTCTACAAGCTCGAGGTGTGGCAATAGACATCCCTGCTGGTTTTCTCATAATCGTGATCTCCTGGAACAGATCAAGAGGAGGAAATGACTCTCATGAAAGTGGCTGAGATGACCTCACCTCAGTGGTCCTTAACACCGGTAAAAGTGTCAGCTTGTCAAGCATAGCAAATCTTTGGAGTATTTTCTGAGCGTGGAGGTGGCGTGCAGGATGATGACTTGGGCACAAAGATACCGGATGGTGATCTGGAGGGGCTGGCCTCCCAGAATGCCTACCTACAGGAGGCACTGGAGACCTGCCGCAAAGAAATCGCCGGCATGAGCCAGCAGGCATGTCTCTATACATAATCGTTCTGAGACATAGTATTGCCTGTCATCTTTGTTGTGATCCTGGATTACTGCACTGCAGAACACGGGTCCCCGAATGCCTGCACTGAAGCAGCCTTGCTGTGCCGGCTGTGACAGAGAAGTCACAGTCTTTCTGACAGTCAGGGTTGGAACATTCACAAAGGCAAGGCACAAGTACACTAGGCTGGGACTCAGGAGATGCCTGAAGATGCTGTGCCGTGCCCATGTGCAGATGGCGGAGTTGGAGCGGCAGGCAGAGCACATGGTGGAGGTGGAGTCGCGCGCTGAGGTGGCGGAGGGCGAGAGGGACGCCGCGCTAGACAGGATGCAGCTCATGACTCCCCGGCCCGCACTGCCGCCCAGCATAGAACTGCCCAGCACGCTGGGCCCTGAAGGCTCCGCCAAATTCCTGGCAGCACTCAACAAATTCAGGTATATTCCTAGCCCCTCATCGCATGCGTCTCATCGTGCAATACACGGCACTCAAGAATAGGGTGATGGCCTGACAAATATTTACTGGAGATGGTACGAAAAACGATGATGACAAGTCTAAAAATACACTGTCATCAGTGTCTGTGACTATTGATGTGATGCAACGATGAATAGCCAAGGCAGTGTGTTACATGCCTTGGCTATTCTCAATTGTGCATAGACAGTGGTGCTTAGGTGCACATGCCATCTGCAATCAGCGGTTGAGTAGTCAAATCTGAGCCAAGTCTGATCTATGCCACAGGACATGGCCAGCATCGGATCTTGCAGGGATGCTGGTGGGAGTCACAGTGGACGGCTCAACTAGCGTACTCAACCAGGCTCGCTTTGCATTTGCCTGCCTGGCGCGCCCGGTCTACCAGCGACTGCTCACTCAGAAGAACATCACTCTGGTGCGCTCTTCCGCGCATGCATGAGTAGCCCGCAACCCCTGCTGCTTGTTCCCCACCTGGCAATCTCTGCGTCTACCTCCCTATCAGACCTGCAAACTCCCTTCAATATTATGCCAGCAACGTCCCACATGCGATTTGCCATCAGACACAGATCAGAAGTGTAATTCAACCAATGGTGAAAAATAATGGCTTGTCTGCCCAGAGACTTGATGCGTATCACCTTCATTCCCTCGCTTTGAGGTGAAAGAAATTTCAATGCAGGTACTGCAAGAGGGGTCGACCAAGCCGCTGGCGGAGCACATGACAGGTCAGCAGTACGCATGGTTGCAGGGCCACCTGGGCGCCATGTCAGCCGAGGCCAGGCGGGGCAGTGCCCTCATGATGGCCAGCTTCCTGACCGGTTGCAGTGAGCAGGGGTTCAAATACAGCAGCGACTTCTATGGGTGCCTCGTGCCCTACAAGGAGGTGAGTTCTGAATGTCTATATATTCACTTGTCAATGCTGGATCCCCCTATTTTCAGAGTAAGCAAGAGCATCCCATGCAATACTTGTCCGGCATTTTCTGGCTATTACTTAAGTTCATAAGACTCACGCTTTAGTGATAGATATTGTGTACACACCACGAGAGATCGGAGCATAGTCTGACGCATTCCATTTGCATGTTCATGTGAGTTGAGTGAATCATTGGGGCAAGATGTTGTTCAGGGATTGGATGTGGCGACCGTCGTAAAAGCAATCGAGCAAGCCGTTGTTCCCACAGCAGAGCGCTGCACCCTTCTGGATGATGAAGTCAGGTGCATGCACACAATCCCAGCCTGCACAATTTTCCAGCATTGGTCATGGGTTTTTTTGCATGCAAAAGGCCCCCATCTGTTTCTTGAGGCTCCAGCGTGCGTGGCCTGAGTGTTAATTTAACGGCCTGAATGTCATATGTCTCCTGTGTGCCACGGCAGGAGGTTGAGAGAGGAAGTAGCCATCGAGAAAGAACGTGCAGACAGGGCTTCTGACGGGTCAAGGGGACCAGTCGAGACTCAACAAAGACGTGATGAGACTGCGCAGAAGAGGAACCCTGTGTTGGTCTACGTGGAAAAGCTGGCTGCTGCAGATGAGAGTGCCTGGAAGGATTTCCTGGAAGGCATGGGCACTGGGGCAGACATCCCCAAACTCTTCCGACATGCTGGCAAGGTGCACATTCTTTTCACTTGGTGAATTTTCGGCCAAGTGAATCTGATAAGTAGATATTGAGACTATGGACCATCATGTGGGCAAGATGCCTGCTGTGGCCATGGACATTTCTTCATGCATCTGAGACATGTACCTTATCTTGTTTTGCCTTCCTGCAGCAATGTAATACCAGACTCACAGATAAGAATGCCGCTTCCACCAAGTCATAAGAGCAGACACTGAGATATGATGCAAAGCCCATGACTCATGCTGTTCAATGCTAGACTGTCAAAGAGGGCGTGGGCTGGAATGCCTTGCAGGTGAAGAACAAGCAGGTGACAAAGCACTTCACGGAGAAGACGATAAAGGAGGTGTGGAAGGAGAAGCTGGCAGAGCGCAAGGCCGGCCGCGAGTCAGACATGTGCGACTTTGTGTGCAACTTCTTCCAGAAGCGCATCGGCATCATGTCAGCAGTCGTAGAGGCAAGCGCCTGTCCAGTGAATCAGTTTCATGACTCTATCAATAGGGGCAGTATCTGTATGCATGTGTATATGGGACCTTCCCGCTTAGCCTCTCAGACTGACAGTCCCTGTCGCTATCACCTGACGTGCACAAGCTCAGTGCTTTGGTGTGCTCACCAGGTGGAGCTGACCAAAGAATGACATGCTTCCTCCTGAAAGTCTTCTGCTGGAGTTCTGATTGAAGTATTGCTTTGTGGCGCGCAGATGGGATATAATCTGTTGTATGGGCTCTGGAAGTATGCATGGGATGCTGATTGCGAGCTCTTCTTGCGCATCATGCAAGGAGAAATGAAAGAGGACGTCTACTACCAGCAGATCCAGCTACAGGTGTCTGCAGCTTGCTTTTGGGATGACAAACTCTGTCACAAACAGCTTGCATGCTTCATTACAGTGGGATGCTGTCAGCTCACAATGTTGTGAAGCGCATTGAGGCAGCACCTATGCATCGTTGTCACTTGTTTACACACAGGAGGACCTAGAGAACCTGCTGTCTACCCTGGACAAGTCAATGCACGGTGCGGAGACAGGGTCTCTCACAAAAGCGGAGGTCTGCTCAGCACTGGAGGCGTTCTTTGCTGTGGGCCAGCCAGGAGGAAAGACTGTCAACCGCTTTGATGAGCTCATGCAGGTGCAGCACGCTCATGCCTGACTTGTCTCCCATAAGTGTCATCAATGGCTCTTGATCCCAATGTCACATGCTGCCCTTGGGCAATCTGGGTGCACAACGTAAGTCTTCATCATCTTCAGAGTGGCACTTCCTTCTACATCGGAAAAGCCTTGAAGGGGCGGAGGAAATTTCATGTGGGTGAACTGTGGTTGGGTTGGCTTGGTGCAGGCCTTGGATGAAGATCAGGATGGTCCTACTGTCCAGCTGAAGAAGCTGTTTGAGGAGGACCGAGAATTCAACCAAGGCTAGCTGCACACTTTTGTCCTTTTTATGCACCATCACATGCCAGCACAGATGCATTTAGCTGCTGAAACCGAGATACAGAGCTGTGACAGCACGTATGTGCACTCGCCATGGTGGCTGAAAATAGATGCAGCAACGGGCGTTGCTGCTTGCAGGCGATTTTGCGGAGGCAGTGCGTGACCAGTTTGTGACGGAGAGACAAGAGTATTTCACTGATCTGGAAGAGAGGCTGCTCGACGAGACCAAGCAGCAGCCAGACTGCACGCGCGAGCAGCTCACTGCCGCGCTCATGATGATGAACCCCATGCTCCAAGAGTCCCAGGCATGTCTCCTTCCTTTTGGATGTGGTGCACATAAGCAGCATTGAGTGTCATGCCATTCGGGGATGGAAACGTAACTCTGAGTATTGGGGAACTACCTTCCGTATATTCCCAACGCATGTGTGTCCATGCTTCTGGAAAGAGAGCATTGCCGCAAGTCAGCGATTGGACATGAATCTCATAGGTCCCTGCAAATGTTGGAGTGGGTGTGTGCATGGGTCTGTGCAGGCGCAAGCACAGGCCTCAAGTGTGTTTGATGCTGGAGTGGAGCAAAATAGCGTGAAGCTGACCATGCAGCGGCTGAAGCGGCTGGCAGTGCAGAGCACCCGCCCCAAAGTGAACATTGGCGTGCTGGCCAAAATGAAGATGCTGGGCTCCAGCATGAAGAAGAAGGTGCGTTTCTGCTGCTCCCTGTGATATTGCTTGAAATATCAAAATTTTAGTTGCTATGCTTAGCGTCACTGATCAGCAAATCATCAGTGTTATAGCTGTTGAACTTGAGCCAGTGCGCCAGGCATGCAAAGGAACAACGTGACTGTGACGCCTTGAGTGTTCACTGAGACTGACAGAAGGATCTTGTGATGGTAGATGGCGCAGGCATCTGAAAGGAGCGCAAAGATTAGTGACAGGAGCACATCACTTGAAAAGGGTCGTTCTTTGGAAAGACAAGGCACGTTTCTTGAGAAGGGTCGATCTCTGGAAAGACAGGCCTGATGACTCATATGCAAGTATCAAATGTGTAATTACTAACATGCAAGAATCACTTGCAACTTGCAACGTTTGATCCCCTTTGGGAGCATTACAAAAGTGATGATCAGCCATGGCATAATCTCCTCTGCAGCAGAACTGCTAACACCCTTGTTGGCGCCTTTGCAAGGTTTTTTATAAACAACCGCAAGTTCAAAAACATGTCGTTTGATGAACTACCGCAAGTTCAAAATTATGTAAATTAAAGCCAGCGCCAACATTCCAAATCCTAGTCAGTTAGTACGAGGAAATTGGACAATCAGAATGAGACCTGAATGCATGAACAGCAGCTGCAGCATGAAACCTACGACTCTGAAGTTCACAGTCAGAATGCAGCTTGCAGCAAAAACACCAGTCAACACACCTCTCCTGCCAAGACATCCTTACAACCTCTCTGCAACCCATGGGCTCTTGAAATAGATCAGATCTTCTACATTGGCAGAACACCAGGGCTTTTGGCGGGTATATCTTGAGATCTTCAACGGGCCTGGCTTTGAGCTGCTGCCAGCCGCTTTGCCTCAGCTTGAGCCTGCAAGCACACGAGCACTTTATCACCCCTCGTGCCTTTGACACACATGTGCTCCTGGGAGGGTGAAGTATGAAGGACCGGCACCAGTGGTCAGAAAAGCAGGTGACGCAATTGGATGGCTGAGAAGCTCAAGCGCATGATTTGCAGAATAGTGGCAACTTGCAGGTCAGTGATCGTTTTGATGCCGGCAAGAGAACTCACCGCCTGCATGGCCTGGGCTGCGATGCCGGGGCCGTACTGCTGGGCCAACTTAGCAGCGCTGGCCATCTGCTGGCTGTTCAACACCTGCCAAGTCACCAACACAGCTCTCGCCATCTGCTCACTGCCACAGAGAATGAAATATAGAGGCAGCATGCGAGGTGCATGCCACATGCAAGGGATCTAGACAAGCTTTCTTGGCATTCACTGGGGTTTGCAGCGGTGAGAAGGGGTCTCACCTGGTCTGTTGTCTTGAAAATGGGGTCGATGTGAGATGCGTACTGCTTCAGGAACGGCACGATGAATTTTTCAAAGACAAGCTGCGCCCCCTGCGCGACCGTACGAATGGCAATCAGTGTGTTCCGCTCTTTACCCGTGCCATGTGAAGTCATGCATTTTCAAGCCTTTGGCTTTGTACAGGGCGCACCTTGGTCTGAGGCAGCACCAGCCAGAGGATTAGCAAGCACTTGATCTCATAGTAGAATGGAATCCTGCCACACACAAGCTCAATTAAGTCGGGGGCGCACTATAAGTACATGTATGCGTCCACAAGATTGAGGCAGCACAATCTTGAAGTGGTGTCTGGAAAGCTCTTCTCACCACATCAGCTGTTCAATTACCGCCTCAGCAGTCTCCATCGCAGAAAAGACCACCCAGTACGTGAGCCACTGCAGCAGGGCATTTTGATGTGGTTATTTGCCTTCTGCAGTATTACTCACAAATTACCCAAGATACATATTGTCTTTTCAACCTTTAGAAGACGATTGTTATGGACACAATGAAGCCGCACTACTTGCCGTACAAGTATGTTTGGCATCGAGATCACAGATCAGCATTAAAGCAGCTGTGGTAACCAGGGCGTACGTGGGTGTCATCTGACGTCCCAGGAGTCATCAAGGCTTTGTAGCTCGCATAAGTAGGGTACAAGAACCCCAGAAAGTGGGAGAGCCAGTAGAAAAGGCCAAAGCTGAACATCGTGCAAGAAGTGTCGGGGCAGCACTGAACAAAAGGACGGCTATGCTCGTCAGAATAAATCTATTCTACCTTGAAGGAACAACAAGGGAACCGCTAGTTCTATCTAGGGACTGGTTGAAGCCCCCGAGGCGCGCCCAGATTCAACGCGAGAAATTGGGGGACCTGCATGCATGTGACGTCAGCATCATGCCACATCCTGAATCCTCCTGAGACGTCTTTCCATTCTCATACGCCTCACAAGAGACTCGGGCTTATCTCAGTTGTCATCATGATCCGAACTCTGATCATCGTATGGAAGTCCTTTGTGTAGACACATTGCCACATCTAGCCCGTCCTGGCCTCGGAAAGCTGGGCTGTCGGCGTATCTATAAGAAGCATGGTGGCGTTGTAATATCTGTAAAAGTCTCTATTTATTATCCAGTCCTCCATGTCGATAAAATACTGCACAAAGTGTTCAGCATTGGATTGAGCATTGGTCTGTCTGGCACTTTCTTCTTTGGGAATGTAGAAGCCTCGCATTGCGCTGAACAGGTAAGCACTTTGATGTTGTGTGTTTCAAATTTCAGATCCCCTTTAGATCCAAGACAAAGCGCATCTACGGTGATATTTGACCGCAGGGAGTTCCCTTTTCAGGCCACCCCCTCTCTTACGATGCAGTCGCGTCCAGGAGGCACAGCAAGAAACAACCCAGCAATCTACCTTCTTCAGAAGAGACAGCTGCCTTGCTTCAGATCGAAAAGCAGGACCTGTTTACTCAGGATGCATGGGAAGGCATGCTCAAGTAGGTCCCTCTTTAACTCAGCATGCGCATCTCAATTTCTCCTCGCTGAATTCAAACGGCTTGCCCTTCATCTTTGATTCATTAGATATGCTGATTGCTTTGATGGTGCTTGGTTCCTGCAGGATTTCGGACTATGTGAAGTATGTGGAAGGGCTCGATGCTGTTGAGGACAGCGAGCACAATTGTGTAGAACACCGCCTGCTTCTGGAGAAAGCATGGCAGATTGTAGCAAACGAGTTTTATGATAGCAAGGGGCGCTTCTCCCAGGCAGCCTGGGCCAGTCAACTGCTGCACACCTTGCAGGCATGCTCCACAGCTCAGTCATGGCACCTTGTGTCACCTGGAAAGGAGCCGTTGTGCAGGGCTTGCGAATGGCTTATAGAATTTCAGTGATAGCCGAACCAGAACCGTGCTTTATTGCTGCATCACCAGCTGTGCACCAGCAGATTACTTGCGCCCTCACCATCTGAATTGCTGCTCACAGGATGCCGGCGGCTGCCTGCACAGCAGGCCACAGACATACAAAGCGCTGAGATCTATGGTTGCCTCACTTGGCGATCGGTACACGGAGTTTCTGGTGCCGTCCAAGGTGTGGCAGCTTCTGCAGTTTTGTCTTCAGGTTGTAACCTCTTAGGATTCGCAACCCTATCCTGGCAATATTTGTCAGGATCAACCATTGCTGGAGGAGTGTTCTGTGCTTGTAGTTCAGGCAGGCATTGCGGCGGCCGCAGCCTGCAGAGCGGGACTACTTGGAAGTCCAATACACGGGAATTGGTGTGCAGCTTGAAGACCAGTCCAGGTGCACTACTGCTCTTTCATTCTGCACCTCACTACAAGTTGCTTAGGACTTAGAAGGATTCAACTGACAGCCAGGAAATCTATTTATATAACAGCAAGCAAGTTTGGCAACAACAGCAGTGCTAACCACACGTGTTACAGGGGCGTTGCTTGGATTGTGGAGGGGTGTCTTGCCGAGTCTCCAGCTGAGGAGGCTGGCATCTTACCTGGGGACCGAATCCTTGAGATAGGTGTGTCATCCCCTGCAATACCAATATTCTTGTGGATCCTGCACAAGAGTTGCATCTTTACTTCCCTTCTTGCACTTCTAGACAGTTGTGTCCTTGCAGTGGGACTCATCTCGCTGCCAAGTGTGCTTCTGCAGATGGCTATCCCACAGACAACCTCTCGCGCAATGAGATGGTGGCTTTGATGAGAGGCCCATCCACGTCCGCCCTTATTCTGACCATCAGCAGGCAAGGGCTCTCCCACAGCCGAGCGGTTTACTTGGAGCGAAGACCGCTTCCCCAGCCGCCAATCAAGGAGGTCTGATTCATTCGCTTGCTGGTCATGAAGATAGTATGAGTGTGAATATGCAGTGACTATGAGTATGAACATGGTATGAGTGTGAGCAGAGCAGAACGCAGGCAACGCCTGTACAGCATGGTGAGTAAGTATCATGACAGAACTTTGGTTGCAGGCGCACATTCTGTTGGACTCGAGCAAGCGGCCGGCGCAGTACCTGCGCATGCACTACGTCTCCAGCAGTGCCACGCGCCAGATGGCGTCCCTGCTGCGGCAGGGCCAGAGAGATGATGTGGCAGGGTTCATCCTGGACCTGCGAAACAATCCGGGTGAGTATGTTGCGCTCTCCACAGTGATACTGATACAGGGAAATGCTGGATCTTACATGCCACGTTCTGCAAGGGGATTTGGTGTATCTGCATTAATCGCCTGATGTGATTGCATTGCCTTGGTGCGAGTGCTTGCATGCATGCGATGCATGCTCAGGCCTTCATTGCATGTGAAGCCTATTCTGAGGTATTGCAATGAAATCTAAGCCTGTTTCTCTGACAGAGGTGTATGATTTTGGTTTAGGCGGAGTTTTTGAGGAGGCAGTAGCGGAGGCAGCGTATTTCCTGGAGCCAGGGCAGCCGATAGCGCAGACAGTGCGCAACCAGGAAGTGATTGACAATGTGTGGGTGGCGGGGGACCTGTCTTTAGAGGTGTTCCCCAAGCAGCCTTCCCGCCTCACCACAAAGCCTGTCGTGATTTTGGTGAACAGCGGCACTGCCAGCGCAGCAGAAGTCCTGACCGGGGCCCTGCACGACAATCACAGGTGCTGCATCACACCCTTCATTTGTCTGCTCTGCTCTGCTGGCGCCCTCAAACTCTGTGACTGGCGCCTTTGATGGCATTGGCAAGGCGCAGTCTTGATTGTCTTTGAGGAACAATCATGGAAATCCCAAGTGCACATACAACTGCAACGCAATGCCCCCATTTGCGGTCATCGTTTGACAGGTGACGGCTGCAATTTTGACCGTCGCTTCCTTGATCTGCAGGGCAACCGTGGTGGGTCAGAAGACATTTGGCAAGGGCGTTGTGCAATTTTACTTCCCGATAGATGACGCGGGCAGCGGTCTGAAAGTGACAGTCTCTAAATACCTGGGGCCCACGGGATACGACATCAGCAGGAATGGTGGCATTGTCCCTGACATCACCTGCAATGACTATCCCCATGGGGGTCTTTTGACTGCCAGCGATGACCGCTGCATAGCTGCAGCACTGCAATTAATTCAGGCAGCAAGTTGAGGCGTGTATTATCATGGTGTACAGCAAATCAGAGACTTTGGAGATCCTTTGAAAATATATGAGGGCGGTGAGCTCCTGATATTGAGTTGAGGGTGCAGATATTGCTGAATTTCTTTGAGTGAGAGAGTACGTGAGTGCAGAGAGTGCAGTGCAAAGAAACTGGGCATGTATCTTTGTGTCAAGAGGGCCTGGAATTGTTCTCTTCAAGTGCAACTTAACATATTATAGCAGGTGTGGTAAATCCGGTGTCGCATACAAGCAGGGAGTGAGAATACACCACTGATCATGTACAACATGATACCATCCACATGGTACTGACGTCCATGTACACATGCAACACATTAAGAAGTAGGCCCAGCTTACTTGTTATAATCATGGCCCGACTGATCGTCTGAATTTAGATGATGGCTCAAATCACAGTTCTATAGACTTGCAATCAGATGTCACATAGATAGCATCCTGGTCTTGGTACACATCATATATAATGGCCCACAGTTGGCGACAAGTTTCTGGCATTGAATGGAGATGTAACAGATGGAACCGTTCTTCCTTTTCTCTGTCTGGCCCCTCTGGATCAGCCCTCCCCCAGCCACTATATGAAAGCAGACACCACACGCTCTGGCAGCAGCAGGTATGCCAGGAAGGGCGCGGCCACTCCTGCCACTGAGACGACTTTACCAGCATGGAAAGGGTGGCCTGGGATTCTGTGATAGCCATGACCAAACGAAGCAGCGGCATTAATCGCAGTGAAAAAGATCATCCACGCCATGATCTGGGGCTTGCTTGGCACCCACTTGAGCTTCGGCCTCCCTGCAAGAATTCAAGTGAATTTATTGATATATCTCAGGCAAACTAACCAAGCAGGCATGAAGTTGGATGACTGATCTCCTGCATGCACCGAAGATTGCGGTCCATAGTATGCACGTTCTGATGGGTGCAAGCACAAGAGCGTTGCCGGTGTTGCAAAAGTTTGCCGCAAAGTCCTTTAAATTCGGATTGCGACAAGCAGCCTCAGAACACCACAGCCTCTGGCTGGATTTCCTCAGCAAAATTGCGCTTACCTAGCTCTTGCCCCACGCACAAGACAAAGGCTGCAATTACTGTCTGACCCGGTGAAGGAGGCAAAATGCAGTTCATTCCACAGGGCCTTGCAGTGGCGACAATTTACAAGCATCTAAAAAGCAAATGCGGTGTTTTATCAGAGACCGTCACCTTCTTGCATGGCAGGGGTTGGCTCGTCCATACCCCTTTCCATCGCATCCAAGTGCTCTGCCGTTGCACCGCACCTCACATAACCTGCAAGCACAATTGTATGTATTCTCAACACTGCGCATCTCCTCACGTGTCAATTTGTGAGCTTCAGTGTGGCTGTGTGTCATCATCATCAATGAGATGTGGACCTGTAGGAATGGTAAGCATGCAACACACGGTAGCGTGTGCAATTACGGCTAGAACAGCACTGCACGAGAAAGGCACGTGCTGGCATTGTCATGCTTGGTGAAGGACTCACGAGCTTGCAGCAGACCCGTCAAGCGATCACAAGTGTCCTCGCAGGCTTTGCCGGCGGCCTCATCATCATCACATGACAGCAACAGGTAGCCCTCTGCTTCCAACTTCTGGTTTTCACTCAGGCCCTTGAGATTGCACATGCGTCCCCGCCAATCCGCCCTCCTGCAGCAGGTGGTCATAAATACTGTTCGAAACTGTCTCAGCGTCTGGGGAGGAACAGGCACGAGGATGCTGAGACTGTTCTGTACACTAGACAGTACTGCCAAGAAGCACAGGAGATCACATGCTTGCCTTCTTTTGACGCTGCCCTTAGCTGCCACCGGTTGCAAATTTTGATGAAAACGGTGAGACACTCTTTTCAAATGGTCTCACAATTTGTGCCGGCCTTGGGGCTCAAGCCTCTTGGCTGATGGAAGCCATTGAACCAGGATCGGTGAACCAATGTGGCAGCGGATTGCAGGGCTTTCTGCTCGCTATATTCGTGTCTAAAATGTGTGTTCATAGCAATCTGCAAAGAGGTGGACTTCTGAAAGGTTCCAATTGGATTTTCACCTCCGTGTCGATCGGCAGTGACGTCAGATCCCAACCCTAGGGGCTCTAGACCCCTGGCCAAGTTCAGGAAGGTCAGGTCACGTCCTCGTCACGTTTGACCTCACCATGTTGAAGAACTCGAAGGTCAAGTAGTGCATTGAAGGAAATTCTATTTTGACTGCTGCGAGACCATTCATTCTTATGCTGAGGGTAAGCTAGGCAGCAAGGGAATCCTTGGACATCGGACCCACCCTCTGGGCCAAAATTCGCCGTATTTTTGTTGTAGAGACGTCTAAAATTTAATCCGACAATCGATAGACAGTTGGAAATTGCATCCACTTAGCAGCCCGGGGCATTTTGGGCTGCGAGATCAGATGGCTGGGGAAGCAGTACCAGCAGAATCGCCTGCTCAAGATCCAGAAGCATTGGAGAACGGCAGTGATGGCCCAGCAACTGTGAGCATCAAAGTTGGCCCAGGAGGGGTAAGGTCAGATGTTCGGATCCTTATATCTGAGGATGAAGAGGGGAGCTCATCAGTGTCCTCAGTATTCACTCTCTGCAACTCAGCCATTGGAGCAGGAGTGCTGTCTTTGCCATATGCGTTTAGAAAATCAGGTGCGTCTTGTGCCAACATCCCATCGCTTCTCCATGGAGGCCACATTGCTCTCTAGGTACAGGAGGACTTGACAGTGAGAAACAATGCTATTTGAACAATGCAATGTGCGAATGCCAGGTTGCGTGGGCTGTCTCATCCTGTGCCTTGTTCTGGGAGCCTGCGAAGCCTTCACCCTCTACGTGCTGTCCAAATTCGCTGAGCGCTATCAGTCGCACACCTACAGTGGCCTTGTACGCAAGGCGCTCGGCCGGAAGCTGTCTGCAAGTGCGGATCCTCTAAGAAGATGCTCATGTCTGCTCTCCATTCCTGACCTGCTGCATGCATGCTGCGTTCCGAATAGATTTGCTTGTTCGTCACCGTAAGACTGTGCATGCTGCTGGATGCTTCATGGTGAGATACCTGTTTGGGCTGCAGGTCTGTCTGCCATCCTCATACTTTACCTGTGGGGCTCATGCATCGCCTACCTGGTCATCATTGGAGACTCCTTCAGTCCCCTCATAGCTCTAGGCGTAGGTGCGAGTCCTCTGCATATACGTTTTGCATCCTGCAAAAAAGCTTCTTCGCAACCACCTTCCAGTTCAGGAAATCTTCTCACTCTTGAGCAAAGTATTGCCAAGGTAATCACGCACTTTCTCAATTGCCTGCGTCATCCACTCCTGATGCAGTTCTGAGCTTATGTGCGCATGCTGTGGCAGGCGATGGCAGCTTCTTGGCAGACAGGCGGTTTGTGATCACCACAATTGGGCTGCTCCTCATCCTGCCCATGTGCTTCCCCAGGGACCTTGGGGCTCTGGCCTGGGTCAGCATGGCTGCGGTGAGGGCTGGCATCCCTAAGATCTCACCTCCTGCTGCCGCCCATTTCTAAATGTTGGCAATTATCATGTTCCTGTACTCCTTATATCATGCGCCTGGTCCTGAACCCTTGTGTGCCATCTTCAACTTCCCAGAGGCAATTCAGTGTGGGGAAAGTCCACATTTGATGCATGAAGGGATGACTGTGGTTGTCCGCCTGCAGGTGATTGGGTTCATGTACACAGCCATAGTGATTGTGATCAGGGGGACCGAGATTGTGATGGAGAGGGAGGACCTGAGCGACGTGAAGCTGTTTCGATGGACCTTTGATGCGCTTTTTGCCGTCCCCATCGTCGTCTTTGGCTTCAATTGCCACGCCAACGTTGTCACTATCTTCACGTGAGCAAGCCAATCTCTATCACCCACGTGCATCAATTGTCGTCTGCAAGATGTACCAAGCATCTATCTGGGGTTGCTTTATGTTTCCCTCCTTGAGGAATCATTTGCATTGCATGTCACAAAAGTGGATATGTACCGAGCATTGGAAGTCCTGGCAGGCGCAGTCTACTTATCTTGCATGTTGATCTGCGCAGGGAGCTGGACAAGAAGCCTGCGCTGCTGATAGGGGCGCTGCCCGCAGATCCTGCAGAGTACGCGGCCTTGCCGGGCAGCTTTGCCCCGCGGCCGCGCAGCCAGAAGATGGTGAGATAGTTTCCAGTCGAAGAATGAAAATGCCCACAATGCATGTTTTCATGGAGGTTGTTTGTTTCTTGGATCCATGCATAGGCTATCGCATCAGTATGTGGTTTGATAGACGAGTTGATTTAATTCCATTTATTGTGCTTTTCTTCCCCTATTAGTAAGTCCCGTGCGCATGAGTAGGGGCTGGCGCCATTGTTGAGGTGAGTACTCAGAGCTGATACTGAGATGCTGGTGGTGCCTGAACAGGTGGGCATGCTGGGGGTCATTATATCTGCCATCACAGTCATAATGCTGGGATACCTGATGGTGGGCTTCTCCGGCTACCTGGCGTTCCCCACCACCGTCGAGGGCAATGTTCTCAAGAACTTCCCCACCAACGACCTCCTCCTGCAGGCAAGCTCTCTCCCTCTCCCTTGCACATTTTTTTGACAAAATCTCTTTCCCCTATTGAATGCAAAGGTTCAGCATGCTTGCGCTGCTGTGTTACTGCTCTTCTCATTCCCTTCCTGACCTTGAAGTGAGTGCAAAAACACGTCAATTGGCCTGGACGTGATTTCTCTTGCCTTTTCATTCACTTCAGAACAGTATCGCCATAAAAGCACCTTGACAGGTGCAGCTTTGGGCTTGTCGCGCATGACTTTGTGCCACTTGAAGTGGCCCACAACTCACTAGTGGGAAGTGCAAATGTGAAAATTGCTGAGCGATGCGTTGCAGATTGCGCGTGGTGTGATTGGGGCTGTGGTGACTGGGCACTACCCGCTGAACCACCACCCGGCGCGGCTGGCCATGGAGCACCTGGAGCAGTTCTGCTTTGGCTGGAAGGACATCTCCCTCTGGTTCTCCTGCTTCCAGAGCATCATCTTCATCATCACCACCATCGCCGTGGCCAATGTGGTGAGCCTTGGAGTATCCTCACGTGTGTTGCCTTAGGATTTTCATCGTAAACTTGACATGATCTGGTATTCAAGCATTGCCTTATCACATGACAAGGACTGCACATTGCGTTGCTGTAGAGGGGCATGTCTGGCTCTTCACATCAAGCAAGGGCTTCCTTATCCTAACCACACTGCTCTGCACAAGCTGCAGACGGACTCTCCTTCCTCAATCTGGTGATATGTCATAAATGAGAGCTGATGAGGGTGTTTTGTGTTCCAGGTGACGGATCTGGGCGCAGTGCTGCACATGGTAGGTGGGACGGCGGCCTCCTACATGATCTTCTTCCTGCCAGGCCTCTTGCTCATCAACGCAGCCATCGTCAAGAGGACGGCCTCGCTCGCCAACCTGGCTGAAGAAGGACAGGTGGGCTATCTCCCCTTGTGCTTTTCCAGAACTGTACACCATACGCTGCCGCAAGGTACACAGGGCTCTGCTTTCAATACAACAGAGGCAGTATGCCCACTGCAATCCCGATACCGGTGTCTGCCAAAGCCTGTGCGGAGCTAGCTGTCTTTTCAGTATGTTATCACCTGAAGACAGAGTTGTCAGCATGCCTCACAGCATGGCTGCATGTGATTGCAACAGTAGCAAGCCTCCTGCTGAAGGATATTGAGTATTGTGCGCAGTGTCTTAGGCTGGCTTTATGTTCTGCAGGAGACGGAGAGCAGCGCAGTGGAGGAGGCTGACAGCAGCGCCGGTGCAGCGCTGGAGTCACAGGAGGAGCTGGCCATGAGCTTCCTGGCCAGCCGCCATGAGCAGGGCATCAAGCGCGTGGGCCTGATCTACTCTCCTCGCAAGAGCTGGTGGGCAGGCATGATCTTCGTGGTGCTCAGCATCGTCATCTTCATTATCACCATCGTCACCGCGTTTGTGCACTGAGCCTGCGAAGGCCACATGGCTCTCGCTGGTCCAGCAATTATAGCTGAGAGAGCCTGGAAGCAGTGTGTGACATGACCTGCAATGCGGACGGCACGTGTCATTTTGGCATTTGATGCGCCAGTATTGATTTAGCCCGCCTGTTTTGCCCATTCCTTTTGCATGGACTGATGAAATGGCTCTGCTGCTGCCAATGCTGAAAATGCTGCAGGCAGCCGAAGAATAGCCGTTCATTTTTGGGACAATGTACATGTGTGCCAATGGCAGTGGAGCTCTGTATACATGTAGCTATGCAGAACATGTTCTCAGAGGTGGTGTGGTCCTGGTTAACAGTGCACAAGCTGTTGCAGGCCGCACAACATGGGGGACACGAATAAAGACATGTCATAACCTATTGATGCTCAGGCTCATCTGGGTGGCAGTGCCATCTGCATTGCACAGATTGTGTTTGTGTAGGTAGAGAGCTCCAGAGTGGCTGCAGATACCTTGTTATGTCAGTGAAACAGCTGTCTGGAGATTGTCATGACAGTGGAGTGATCACAGGTTGCTTCTTTGAATGAATTTGCAAAGGCTGTAGCTACAAGATACGAGCATAGAAGCGCAACCCTGGTCTGTGCCTCTGCTATTTGTCCTTGTATTTCGTAGAAGTGAAAAAGAGGAGCGTTGACTGAAAAGGACTGCTATGTGTGTTGAATTCAACCAAAGTATGCAGTGCTTCCAACGGTATATACCGTGCACGTACCACGTGGTACATACGGCCGTGGATCCACCAGTTACAACCGCTCCACGAATTGCATGCGATGTTCAGTGCCTCAGCAGCATGTTCATTACCACTTACAAGCCCTGTGCGCACAGTTTAGTAGTGATGATTTAAGAGGCATATGCCCCCAGTACTGCATGCATTCGCCGAATGGTATTCGCAGAGTACGCATGCATGCCTGCCAGGCCTCTAGCGCTAACGCTGCATGGGAAGCGGAAAGCCTCCCAACAAATGCATGTCATTAGCACTCTGCAGCACCAAAAAGTGGGCATGCTACCAAGGGAAGTATAATATTCCACATTGTTGCTACTTCTCCAGATATTGCCAAAATAGGTGGAGCAGCATTTAAAAGATTTACTGGACAGCGCATTTGTAAGCGACATGACCGTGACCATGGGCCCATCTTCACAGCAATGCTAAACAAACTACATCCAATCTTACTTTCTTTGATTAAAGGGGTTTCAAGAATACGCCCTCACAACTTGATTACCTTCTGAGACGAATGGGATGTTAAATATTGGATGTTTCCCCTTCAAATGCAAGCCCTTGCAAAACCACGTAGCGTGTAGACTGCATCTCGCTTAGATTTACATTTGATTATTCTTGTACCTGTGCCTGTGACATGGCCAGTGCCAACAAGGATGAAGGGTCAGCCCAAGCTTTGTCAGACACAGCACTTGAGCTCCCAGACCCCATGGAACACGAGCACCGACTATCTGAACTCTTTCCCAGGTATAGCTATATTTAATCACGGTAAACTGTGGCGCGCATGTGTTATAAAACGAAGAAAAGTCATGCGCTTGCTTAACACTTCAAACATCTGCCACAGGAACCTGGGGTCACTATTTTCCTCGACACCGGAGCTGCTCCGCAAGAGAACGACGCAAGCTTCGGACGGAGCCCGACTGGCCGTCGCAGGCGCCCAAAATGGGCCTGAACTGGACCTCGAGAGAATGAAGGCAAGGCACCTTCTTCAAATACAGGCACTGGGCCACAGACTCAGTGCAAATTAAGACTGCTGGTAAAGCAGTCCCAACAATTGCTGTTATGCTGGCAGAATTGATTGGGTGAAATGACAGGTGGTCGTGCGCATCCGCCCCACTCGCAGCAAAGATGTACCTCGCTGGAGCAAGGAGAACTGCATCCACGCCCTGTCGACTTGCAGCCTGGCCATGGCACCCCCTGAGGAGTCCCAAGGGTGCGCGCAAAGCTCACCCTGCACATCCTCCGCGTGTTGTTGGACATTGAACATTTCCCAAGCTCTTGTGCTTACCCCCAAGAGGGCTACAACAAACATATGACAGGCGTTGGGTGTCACAAAGAGCTTGGAGCAACACAAGCGACTGTGTGTGTCTGGGGGATCCGCAGGTACAAAAATGGGGACAGGGGACAGACATACAACTTCTCGCGGGTGTTTGGGGACGACACGGGGCAGGAGCAGTTTTTTCAGGCGAGCGCGCAGCCGATGGTGCGGCAGCTGATGCGCACGCAGACCAGCAGCGTCATGATCGCCTATGGCACCTCCGCCGCCGGCAAGACATACACCATCGAGGTGCGGCGGGAATTCCCAGTCTTGGCTCCCTATGAGACTTGTCACCCATTATCTGACATTGAGGTGTCGTGTCCATCCTATGCTTTCAGCCAGCAGTGTGCTATGCCTCTATGAGACCTGAAAACGGTCAAGTAATAATGTACCAGCAACACGCACTAGCTCACCATATGGTTACAGCTAGGAGTCCAGTGTGTCGGGAAGTTTCACTCTCAGCCAAGCTGTGCGTTACGCATGGTGGAGTGGAAATGCTACTAAAGGTGGTGCTGTGCTTGTTCCAGGGAACCAAGACGCACCCGGGCGTGCTGCCGTGCTCCTTGAGCATGGTATTTGAGGTGCGCTCACGCGCCTGCTTCCGTTTACTTTCAGTGGTTTGCATGGCCTTGCTTATTACCCTCAAAAGCTGCCCTCTTGACAGTATCGTCTGGACTGCAGGAGGTGCAGGCCTGCGTGGAGCCCCTCACAGTGCGCGTGTCACACTACGAGGTGGGCACACCTCTTACAGAATGCACCAGCGCTAATGCACCATCCACTGCACCTGAGAGTCCTTCACTTTCTCCCCACAGAAGGCACCCGGTCATCACAAGCTTGACCACCCGGGTGGGTACCATTGCTGGGGGTTGTGAATGTCTATTTGCTCGTGCCAGGTGTACAATGAGAACATCTTTGACCTGCTGGACGAGCCGCCGCCGGGCGCGCTGGGGCCGCGGCCTGCGCTGAAGCTCAAGGAGGACTCCAAGGGGCGCGTCTTTGTGGCCGGCCTCTCAGAGGTGCGCATTGGGCGTCTTCTCCGCACAAAGCATGCTGGCGCAACAATAACCATGCATGTGCATGCAGCGTGCCCTGCAACTGTCTTGATCGCGCAAAACTAACTAAAAACCACCCACAGCTGTGCAGTACTCTCTCATCCCACCAGGGCCATCGAGCAACAGAGAAGTCTCGACCCCAAATGAGTGGCTTGTTGACCAGTGCAAAATGCAGATGCCACAAGGCGACATTAACACCACCAGAACAGGGGTAATTTTAGGCAGCCCTGCAATGCATGCTCTATAGAGGGCACCACCTTGAGGCCATCTAAGGGAATCTGACAAGAGAAACACAGAACAGTGCAGACCCCAAGTGTGCGTACCCCTGAAGAAAGTGGCTCGTGTCTTGCATCCTTGTCTTGATGGCATGCTACAGATACAGTGCTCATTTGGATACCGGGGTCCACGGGTATCAAAAAGGGGTATGGTGCGCGCAGGTGACGGTGGGCAGCGTGGAGGAGGCGATGGAGATTCTGAAGCGCTCGTCGCGCGCGCGGCAGAAGGCGGCCACCGCGCTCAACTACGGGTCCTCCCGCTCCCATTCCATCTTCTCCCTCGCCGTCTTCGGGGCCCCCGACGCCGACGACGCCGCCTCCGATGCAGGTGTGTGATCCACTTGGTCATGCCATGTAGCCTTATGAACAGGGTTATTCTTACAATCTGCGCTGGCTTGGTCGTGCTATTGATGTGCATTCCGCCGAACAGCACTTTCCTTGCTTCTCAAAATAGCTTTCAATTGCATATTCGCAAGTCATGAAGCAGCTGATATCTTGTGCATGCTGATTGGCATCTTTATTTCGACCCCGAAGGGAGAACCTTGCCAACCCCCAAGCCTCACGCAAGTGCACGGCTGTGATCCTTTGAATCTCATCGGCGTCCCGGCCAGCTTTGTATTATGTTTCGGAAGATTGTGCGAAAAAAAGGGTCGTATGATATGTTCAGGCGGCGGCGGGTGCTTGTCGAAGGCGGGGCTGTGGGGCCGGCTGTCGTTTGTGGATCTGGCTGGCAGCGAGCGGGCGGCGCGCACCGGCAACGTGGGCGCGCGGCTGAAGGAGAGCGTGGCAATTAATAGTAGTCTAATGACGCTGGGCCGCTGCTTGGAAGCCTTGCGCTGGAACCAGCAGCACCGCCACGCCGAGCCGCGCCTTGTGCCCTATCGAGAGTCCAAGGTCCGGCGCTGCTTGCTAAGATATTCCCCAGAAAATTTAGGTCGAACCCAGAATTGCACTGGTGCCGCTATCTAAGAAAAATGAATACAATCTATCACACAGGGGTGGGCGACGCAAGTTCTGCGAAGAGTCCAAGTGGTAGAAACCTTCTGTCCTCCCTCATAGCAAAGTTTGCGAGTAGCATGGAGCCTAATCGCCCTCACCTTGCCCTGTCCAAGCATGTGCTCTTGCATCGGACAGGCACCTGGCGGACTGTATTCTCTGTAGCGATCGCATGCACGGGGAACCCGAGGATAATGAGAATTTGCTGATCTTAGTTTCTGCTTTATGATTGGGACTGGGCTGTGGCTGCAGGTGACACATCTTTTCCGGGACGTGCTTCACGGCTGGGGCCAGATCCTGCTGTGTGTCAACGTGTCTCCGGCCGCGCGCGACTACGACGAGACGGCGCGCGTTCTGCGCTACGCCGCGCTCGCCACCCAGATCGGCACCGCCGCCCGCGCCGACCCGCCGCTGCGCGTGCTCAAGTGCGCGCACCTCTCTGCATGCCCTCAATACATGTCAGCCAACAACACTGCTGCAGTATTATGTCAATGTGTCAAAATTGCAGTGCACATCGTTCCAAATTCATACTAAATGCTCCATCTGCACGGAACACTTCTTAAACCTATCTCTGCATAGAAATGATTTCTGGGTGTATTTAAACATGCATGACACCGCAGTTGATGGCAGTCTTGCTTTTGGGAATTCTTGGATTTGTGGGATGCCACGTCAATGTCTTTATAACCTGATGTATAAATGCTTGTGCAGGGCCAAGTCCCCCAACATCACCAAGAAGCGCAAAGCAGCGGCCGATCCGGCGGAGGCGGCCAAGGGCGACGCCGTGAAACGAACGGCCGCCTCCGCCGCTGCGGGTGATAATGTCACGCATGACGACGGCGGCGATGATGTCAGCGATGATGATGACGATGTGTCATCCGATGTGCTGCCGCTGGCGTCGGCGGCTGCGGCGCGGCCGCGGCGGTCGTCGCACTGGGCCGGGGACGCCAGCAAGATGGAGGAAATGGAGGACTGCGTGCTCGAGCTCCAGGCAGAGGTCGCGCACCTCACAGAGCAGGTGCCGCACTGCATTCCTGCAGGTCACTAAGGAAATTTGCATCCTCATCACCCCTGATTGTTCAATATGTGTATGAGGCCCTTTTATGCAGAACACGTTGCAAGGTTACTGGGGCCGGTGTCGCACATAGGGGATATCTGCCTGCAGAATGTTTTACTTACAGCTACACATTGCACATTCCAAGGGACGCTAGTTGTCAAGCAGAGTCAAGGTTATCCTGCTGTGTGGGTATGATGTTGGCATGCAACAAGGATGATAATTCTGGCTTTTTTAACACCACCGATGTTTGCCCAGCTGGCGGCGGCGGAGCACCGCTGCGTGCTGGTGGAGACGGAGGTTCGCGAGGAGGTGTCCAACGAAATGGCCGACCTCCTGCGCTCCATGGAAGCCTCCTACAAGGTGCGCGCCCCTGCCCTTGTCTCAACCTATTGGCGGCGCCCATCAGTGATTACAATACATGCAATGCTGTACTGCTTTTCTGGTCAGCTATATGAGCTTAGCTGAGTACACCTGGGTGCTCTTTTGTGGCGTGACGTGTGGTATATCTGCATGCTTTTATATGCTGAGGGCATATTAACTCTCCTCTATTGCTCGACTCGAGCACAAATGAAGTGTCCATTGCAGTAATGCTAGGTGTGGGAGAACAATCATGAATGCAAGTGCTGTGAATGACAGAAATATCTCCATTGCTACACAATCGGGGACAATGATTATTTTAGCATGCCAGTGGCTGCACTGCAGGAGCGACTGGCGGCTGAGACGCTGATGTTAGAGAAGCGGTTTGCGAGAGAGGCCGGGCAGCCTGTCAAGAGGGACACCCGACGTGCAGCACAGCCCGCAGCCCCAGCACAGGAGGAGCAGCTTGCCAAGCTGCAAGCACAATTGAGGGAGGCGCAGGCGGCCGCTGAAAAGTACTCTGCTGAGTGCACAGCCCTCAAAGCCGCCACGACTGCGAGCGAGGCTGTGATTGCCGAACAGAAGGAAGCCATCGACAGCCTGCAAACGCAGCTGCAGGATGCGCAGCAGCAAGCAGAAGACACTGCCCAGCACCTACGCGCAGAGTTGGCCGCAGAGCTGAGCGCGCAGCTGGCCGCAGCCAAAGCGACGGCAGAAGCCCGGGAGGAAGAGGCCGGGAAGCTGAGGGAAGCTGCTGAGGAGGCCGCAAGGAAGCTGGCAGAGGTGTCAGAGGCTGAGGACAAGCTGCGGGCGGAAGCACAGGGCCTGAGGGCAGAGCTGAGCCAGGTTAGGCATGCTATGGATCAAGCTGCTGCAAGCCATGCGGAAACAGAGGATAAGCTGCGCCAGCAGCTGCGCGCAGAGCTGCAGGAGAAGATCATCCAGCTAAATGTGAGTGGCAGCCTCCTGCTAAAATTTTATTGAAAGATAGCTGCACAGTGGGCTATCAACTTGACATGCTGTCTTGCACTGAATGCTGGGGGAGGCAGAGTGTTATGAGTGATCATCTTGCACGTCAGCATTAGATGGAAGGGCAAAAACCTTTTGCTATTGGCTTTTGCTGAGAAAACAATCAGCAGAGTGACAGCCTTGAATCATGCTCTTAGTGTAGGCATTCTACAGAACATTGTTGCTGTCCATTCAGCTATGCCCTTCATAGTTGGCTCCGTCTTAGACGTGCACTTAGCAGGAAAATTCCAAGAAGGCATGGTGCACAGCTTGACTGGCTGTGGTCACTACAGGCGAATAACACGATGGAGAGGGAGATGTTGGAGGCGCAGCTGGAGAGGGCGCGCAAGGACACAGTCGCCCTCAAGCGCAAACTCGACAGCCGCCCGCCAGCGCCACTCAACCCCGCCCTCCTGCGCGCAACCCAGGCACCGAATTCTCCCTTTCTATTTTGCTTATTTCCTGTGCACTCTGACCCTCATTTTGGGCACTCCCTCGTGCTGGCTCTCAGGGGAGCACTGTTCATGCCCCTGGCTAGGACAGAGGGCAACATTCTTTGTCTTTTGGCATCAAAGTGACCGGGTGAGACCTTTGCTCATCTCTGCCATTCCATTCTGTGGCATGCTGGATTGGCAGAATCCTGGTTGTCAGTTGTTTCAAATGGTCATGCGCAGGCTGACGGCGGCAGCACCATGAAGGGGGGCAGGGGAGCTGCTGGCACTCCACATGACATCGCCCTGGCCAGGGCCCGCGCCGCGGCCAATGCCAGTGCGACACCGGTACAGCCATACACCCCAATTGTCACCTAATTTTCATGCATGGCTCAATGCACACACTTTTTCATGTGCAGCAACTGTACCGGGTCGCCTGAATTGCTTTAGATGGCCTTTTGCAGCGAGTGACTCAGGGATTTGGTGCGGCTGCAGGGCTTTGCAGGAGCCTCAAAGCCAGCAGCGTCCCCGGTCGCATTCCCCGCCATGGGAGCGACTCCCATGGCAGCTCCCCTTGTTTTACCTCTTGGCGAGGGAGAACACAGTCAAGTCCTGCGCGGGCCGGCGCCGATCACAGCCACAGACATCTGCCAAGCAGATACTGAGCCGCCAGCAGGCGGCGCAGAGGACGCTGCATTGCCGCGGAGCACACTGCGGCAAAGTGTTGCGCAAAAGGGGCCGTCCGAGCCAGAGGTGCCCCGCGCAGCAGAGGCTGAGAGTGTGCCACCGGCAGCAGAGCCGGAGACAGTGCTACCAGACGCAGAGCACCAGAAGCCAGTGGTGGCAGCACAGGCGCCCAGAAGGACGCGTCGGCAGACGATGGCTGCAGGCGTCTTGGCGCATGTGGCGGCACCTGCGAGGAGCGCGGCTGCACCTGCGCCGCGCGGCAAAGCGGCAAAGCGCGGGCAGCGGGAGACACAGGGAGCGGCTACTCTGGAGCTTGTTGCCGGATTGATGACAATTGGTGAGAGCGCTGCAGAGGAAGCAATGCCGATGATTGCGGAGGAGGCAGCCGAGGCCGATGTTCCCAGTCAGCCAGCCGGACAGGCCGCCGAGTCTGCACAGCAGCCGGAAGAGCTGCCTGTGATCGCAGAGCAGCCAAGCGATGCTCATTCCAACAGGAGTGGCAGGGACAGCATTGCCCCAATGCCAGCCAGGAAAACCAGGCGGCAGACATTGGCGCACGAGATGCCACAAGGCAGCAACGGGCCAGATCTGGTGGGGCAGGCAAGACGGAAGCAGCCCGGCCGCCCAGGATCTGCACGGGCAGCTGCGCCGCAGCTGCTGCGCATCTCAGAAGGTGAAGCGGAAGATGCTTCTGCGCAAGCAACCGAGCCTGCCAGCGTCTTAACAGCTCATGATGAGGAGACCGCTGCAGCAGCAACTACTGCCACAGTGTGCTCTGGCGATCTGCAGCACGATCCGCACACAGACTTGCAGGTGGAGATTGATCCACAATTGGAGCCAGCGTGCCTGGTAGAGCATACCGTGCAGCCGGCTTCAACGGGTGCGAGGCGGACGCGGCGGCAAACAATGGCAGCGCTGGCGCGACCAGCAGGCCTGGGGCATTCGCTGCTCAGCGCAGGTGCTGGCAGGCCGCGCGGCGGTGAGTCGCGGCCGCCGGCGCTGTCGCCACTGCCCGAGGAAGCCGCACCGCAGCTGCGATCTGCTGCACCGGCAGCTTCTGCCGCACCGGCAGCTGCACCCGATGCGCCTGCCGCCGCTGTATTGGACACTTCCAGCCGGCATGGAGACGCGCAGCCGCTGCCTGGCCGCTCCACAAGGCGGCAAACTATGGCGCTCAATGCATCGCTGGCTGCTGCTGCCGGCGACATGGGCTGCCAGCCTTCTGGAGCATCCGCAGATGCCGGCATTGCTCGAGGCAGGAAGCGCAAGTCTGTAGCTGTGGCAGAAGTGCCAGCCAAGGAGCAGAGCAGAAGTCCAGAGCTGCTGGACGACAGGAATGCAGCTGCTGCTTCTGTAATGCATCCGGCAGCCGAAGTAGCAGCAACAGCAAACACAGAAATGAGGGAGGAGTCCCAGGAGGCGCTGCCGCCAAAGCAAGGGTGGAGCAACAAGCGCCGGAAGACTGCGGAAAAGAAGGCGGCAGCGAAGCCTGCGCGGCCGGGCTCCGCATCCGACAAAGAGAACGCCCCTGCTGCCCGTGGACGGCCACAGTCTGGGCGCAGGTGACAACCCTCCTACCAGGCATTCAGAACCACCTGAACTTTCCACTTCTATTTGTCGTGGCACTCTGTGTTGAAGGTGTGTTGAGGTAAGTTGGGGGCATGTGGATGCAGGAAGGGCAAGAGGAAACTGCTGCCCCAGAAGAAGGCAGCTGCGCACACAGTGGAGGCCTTTGGCCAGGTGTCGACTGGGGAGGACATGCCTCTCAGGGCTCTCGCCACCCCTTTGGCACTGCGCACACGCAGAGGCCGCCAGACCAAGACATGACTGTAAGTCCAGTCTGCTGACACTGACGGCATTCGCTGGGCACTGCAACACTGTGTTGTGCCAAACAACTCTCAAGAAGGTTTGACTTGACCTGGACCGCTTGACGCTGTATATTGTGTTTTGCTATCTGGCAGCCGCTGCAATTGAACAGTGGGACAATGGAGTCTTGCAGAAGGACTGGCAGCTTGCACTTTGACAGGTCAATAATTATATCTTGTCAAATACTGTAGTGATTGATTGACTGGACTGGATTTACATGATATAAGAGACGCGTCAGTTGCAGTAAAGCAACAGAACATGTTTCCCTTCATAATATTAGAAATTTGCCAATTAACAACAATTTGGACAGCTTGCTGATCGGCTTGTATCAAAACCACAACTTCTTGAACAAGCTCCTAGATAACGAACAGGTTTTTTCAAACTGCCGCTGGCCATTGACAATACTTGCATCCTGGAATTGCACGTGCGCACAAAACCTCCATGTTTTATATTATGGGCTGTACAGCCATCAAAATCTGATTGTCAACTGGTTGCAACACACTCAAAGAGTGACTTGCTATGAGTCAAACGTCAGCTTAAATACATTTATTCTATGTCAGCCCGCCCAAATATATGTGCAATCAGGCAACGCCATTAAGGGCAAGGGGCTATGTCTAATCTACATGCCAGCTTTTCTCAAACAGCCTGCTAGCTTAGCTCCGCGCTCAAGCCTCCAACTTCTACCAGAAGTGAGAACAAAACCGTCCAGTGAGAACAAAACCGTCCCTGCTATTGCACAAGGCACAACTCTAGCTCCCCTAACCCGTCCTGTGCCTTTTCATGGTACATGTACACAGCACTACAAAGCAGCAAACTCGGTGGCGGTTGAGGAGGGGTGCCCATTGAGTGTGGCATCCAACATCCGCGCCTTCTCCGCTGCTGTATATGTAGGAACCCACCACCGCCAAAACCTGCACACCGGTCAAAATCCATGTCAGTCAAACAAATTCTTAAAGTCGTTCTCAGCATGCTGCGCAAACCGAGGGGCTCGATGATGTGTGTCGAGCAGCCAATGTGGCCTTTGGTCATGCTAGTGTGTGCTTGGAAGCACAGCGGAGAATCACCTACCTGCAAGCCTCCCCACACAATTCTCTGAGACCAGCCTATCATACTCGAGGCTGTAGGACATGTTCGGGCCAGTAGACTGTGCCCCCCTCGTGACATTCGAATCCATAGGCATTGGCTTTGAGCATGCATTGTCATGAAAGGTGGGACATCTACGGTCCACCTGGTGCCAAAGACCTCCTCAAAGTTGCGCCGGGCCCCGCGGTCGTACGGCCACTGTGCGGCTCGCTGCTTCTCAAACATCTCGATCGTGGTGTAGTTGAGCCACACCATGCGCGCATGCATCGCCAGCAGTCCCCCAAGGCTCAGGCTGAACGCCAGGTCCACCACAAACGCTATCATCGTCAGCGCAAACCTGTGCGATCAGCACAGAACACACCGCTCATACCGCTGATGATCTGTGATAGCGAAACAATCTCAACCCTACCTGCCCCATGAAAAGCCAGCCATGGGCGACTCTTGACTTATTTGAGTCTCCTGTTACTTCAAAGAAGGAGAATAAAAGAGCAAGGACACTTTCTCCAGCTGTAGCCACACAGCTTGAGCTTTCTCACAACAATGAAATGCCTGCCATGTTTTGCAGAAGGGTCTCTGAACACAATAAAGAGTCCTGCCTATTCAGACAATGAAGACTGTGCTGGCTAGTCAGGCATGAAGTGAGTGCACGAGAGGGAAGAGGCTGACCTGCCGGCGTTGTCGGGGCTGGCGGCGTCGATGCCCTTGAAGAAGCGCGCCACATCGCCAAGAAGCATGGAGGCGCCGAGCAAGCATGCCAGAAATGTGTAGAAGAGGAAGAGCAGGAAGGCTTTGTAGTTGAGCAGGCCCACGCTGTTGGCCACCCAGACGCAGTAGTGGTCCATGCGCAGCACACAGCGCCCCAGCATGCTGTCGTGGTGCGCCCGCTCCGGCTTCCACGCCTGCCAGGCAGGGTCAGGACACTCGTTAATTACAATTAAGGGATGGTGTTGTCAATCATGGCATGCAGCATTATTAAATTGGTTGCTGCTGAGCCTTCTGGTACTGTTCAGGCAGCAGCAATGCGTGTACACATGCATAGTACGCACACACTGCATTGGGCAGCGCTTGAGGCACGCTTGCTCGAAGATTTCTTAGGACAAGTCCTTCATTATATGAAGCCGGGCTCTGCACACAATGTCTTGGTGCAGGACAAGGGCAGGGTAAGCCTTTCCGGGAGCATCGATCTGACCATGAGCGTACCTTGTGAGCCTTCATGCACCCACAGTGCCAGATCAAGGCACGCCGGCGTCAGCATTGGTGCACTCCGTTGACTTGCGGTTTTTGAGGCTCTGCAGGGACTTGCATGGGCATTCAGCCAGATTAAAAGCGCACCTGGCACTTCCTGCAGTACCGCGGCCGCCCCGTGCCGGTGAGCCCCTTGTCCTGCCGGTGGCTGCCGCTCTCCAGCCTGTCCGCCTCGAGCGCAGCCTCCTGCACCAGCAGCCACTGTTCCTTCTAATGTACAGAATTTACGGGCACAGTGCTCCAGCGCACCAGCTTAAAGTCCCCGTAGTGGTCAAAGGTGAGCAGGACGCCCTTTCGAAGGGTCTGCATATAGTATCACTCATGCTGCACCGTGACCACCTACTGGCCTGTGCCAAGGCAGTGCGCTGTACAATCCTGAAGCTCTCGATGCTGCTCATGCTGTGTCAAGCGTCTCTCTTTATTCGAGGGACACCAGAACAACAGTCAGGGTCCACAGAATTGGTCCATTTCCGGATAGCATTGGATACTCTCAAAATATGGAGCTAAAGCGGCGTACCTCATCAGTCTCGAAAGGAGACCAACCTTGAGGCACCTTGCCAGGCTCCAGTAGGACGCATGCAAAGTAGCTCCATGTCAACATCACAACCTGCAGACCAGATCATCAACGGTAATTCAATGCCGCTGATAGCAATCCTGAGCACCGATGGGTTCGTCCTGTCGCACTCAGCCACGTGTGTCACTGTGCCAGTAGTGGTCCTGAGCAAGCTATACATGCCAACAAGTGGCTGTGGCCATCCATCTCCTGGGAAATTGGAAGGGGAAGGTGATCAGGCGCTCACAAGGAAGAAGAAAAGTGCGAAGGCGAGCAGGCTGGCTGCGGCTGTGCCTGCGCCATCGTGGGTGATCCGTGGTGCATATGCGCTGAGCAAGGCTGAGGCTGTCAGAAGCACGAAGAACAGCACCACAAGGATCATCACCTGTGAAAAAAATGTCAGATCCAGTAACAAAGTGGACAAACACAGCCAAAGCACCTTCAGAAACTTGCGAATGTATGTCAGAAATGGAGAATGGATCTTTTGTATTCTTGAAAATACTGATGATTCAGGATGGAGTGTTTTCCTCAGGACAAGGCTAGCTATGGCTGGTTGGCTCACCTTCCCCAGGTGTTTGAGGAACCATGTGCAATACACGAATGCATTGAATCTCATCTTGTAAATCCTTGTATTATATCGATCTCATGTCTTGTATCGAAAATCAACTGGTGCGCAAGGGAGTACACCGATAACCAATCCCTTCATCCACTATGTACAACATACCCCAGAAATGTGCAGAACTGGTCATACTGGGAGCTGCCAATCGAAAAACCCATCACATCAGACAAGTCTTCCAAGACTGCACCCGCAGTGTATGGTGGATACTGCAGAAAAAGACTCCTCACAAGTCAACGCATGACAATGCAGACTTTTTTTGACGTACAAAAACCTGACCCATTAAAATAAGTGTTTCGGTGTGTGCAAGTCAATGACTTGTCACCGCACTTTAAATTTCTGCAATTATCAGAGGAGACGTGATTTCTCGAGAGCACATCGCCAAGCTGGAGTCCAGCTGGAGCAGAGCCAGACCTGGCAACTCCACCATGCATGAGGTCAAACCAACTGTCATGACTGCCTGACATCGAGCTCATTATGACAAATTGTGTATTGAAGTGCCTTGTAAAGTGTCCAGCATAAATTTTATGCAAGAAGTAACTCAACGCTGAAAACGTGATGTACGATGCTCATCACCAAAAGCTGATGTGTCGTGTCTAGCCTGTATCGATCAAATCCAATCGAAAATGTGTAAGTCTATCCTTTCTTATGTCGGGGAGCTCAGGTTATTGCCAGAGGCACCTTCTTTCGAGCCAGAGATTGACGATCTCGACGCAGAGCAGGACAGGAAGCTCAGGTACGAGGGAGCTCCTCATCTAATCGAGAGGCCTGAAGAAGGATATGTATACGTCTTGGGGCTGGATTCAGTGATGTACATATTTAAATTGAACCTGAGAGCTGCACTTCGCGTTTACACAATTTGTTGCCCACGCTCCAATTCCCTGTTGGTGCCGCATCTCCCTCTCAATTTGATCCTGACGGACAAACCTATGCTGCGACAATCATCTTACCACTGTCCAAGATTACAGATTCGGGCTGCAGGGAACTTGAGGACCTTCACTCTGGGGCCATCAGGAAGGGGGCTCTGCCAGACAGCCGCCCAGAAGGCACAAAATCTCCCCAAGACGGAGATTTGGTGAGCTTAGACCTGCAAACAGTACCCCAGATGGCCTATTGCACCACCTCGACCTCGACACCACGCTACACATGCTGTAGATCTACTTGAAATTGATGCCCCTTTGCAGGTGTACTTCCACCTGACGGTGCGGCGAGAGGATGACAGAGTGGTGGAGACTACGCGGCTGTCTGAGAGTGGGGTGGAGGGCTCTGGAGTGCCCAGAGCTTTCGTGCTGGGCGAAGGGCTGCGCGCACCCAGGGGATGGGAGCTCGCTCTCTATGGTGCGCACAAATGCTGCTCAATGGACTTCTTGAGTGCATGCCAACACAAGCAGCCGCATTTGTACTGTGGGATGCCAGTGAGGCTTGTCCCAGATGCCACTTGCATGCACAGCACAGACTGTATCATGACTGGTGGGAAGAATTTCAATGATCCTTACAGGTGCACCCGATTGCAGACATGAGGTTTGAATTACCTGAATGCCAATTGCATGCACATGGACAACGTGTAATGATAGGTTCAGAACACAGAGTTAAATGATTACTTTTGGATGCACCGATCGCAGACATGAAAAAGGGAGAGAAGGCGCGCTTCATCATGACGCCGGAGTACGGCTATGCGGGGAAGGACTGCCGAGTGCCGCCGCCGGCCGGCTGTGCAGCGGACGCCGCATTTGTGTTTGACATCCACCTGGTTGACTGGTATGGCAAGGACGAGGTCCGCGTGGCGTCGGATGACGGGGATGTCTTCAAGCGCAGCCTGTGCGAAGCAGAGACCTGGGAGACCCCCCGAGCGCCCTTTGAGGTTCGTCTTTCTATAGCAATGCCTTCGCAGTGTCTTGCTATGTTTAGAGAGCAGTCTGGTCGTTTGGATATCCAGAGCAGAACACAGGAGATGACGTGCACCTTTTCGTGCACATGTGCGTGGTTCTTCTGGGGTGTTCTGCAAAGGTCTTAAGGATTGCAATCCTTTGCTGGCCGAAGTGCTGGTCATGAAAAGCAAAGCCCGCTGCCACCACAGACAAGATGATTGATGTTATGTAAATGACAATCTCCACTGACTTGTGCAGGTTGAGGTGACCTGCACGGCGCGCGTTCCCTCCAGCAGCGGCCGTCAGGGAGAAGGGCGCACCTATTTCTCAACGCCCCCTGATCAGCCGCTGTGCTTTGCCATTGGCGACGGCCAGGTCAGCTACTTCACTTATGCCCTTGCAGCCTTGCGGGCCAAGCACCAACAGCAGCGACTTCACACGCGTCAGTTTGTATGTGATGCAGGCTTAGCATGCAGTAGGTAAGGTACGCATGTGTGAATCAAGTTACATGGTATGTAGGTACCGAGCGGGTTTGAGGATGCGGTGTGCTCGCTTGCCAAGTTGGAGCGTGCAATTGTGAGCTGCCCTGCAGCCAAAGCGAGGCCGAAAGGCCCTGGTGGCCTGGTTCCGCCTCCCCCAGATGGAATTGACAGAGTGGAGCTTGAGCTGCAATTGCTCTCAATGCTCCAGGTGCTGACTTCTGCGATGTTTGGCTTTTTTCGTGGTGATGATTTTACCTCAGATTCTTTGAGTTCCCTGCTGCTCTGCATCTGACGCTGGAGGCTTTTACCAGCTGTATAGTCTATGTGCAACTGCAGCTCTCATTTCCAACCATTGCAAAAATCCGCCTGTATCATAAAGAAGCCTGACAGGTCTAATTCGCTGCCCAGGTGAGGGACATGACGGGGACAGGGGAGGTGACAAAACGGAGGGTCATAGAGGGCAGGGGAGAGTTTCCAGTGGACTGCCCGCTCGAGGACTGTGCGGTCCGCGTCCACTACAAGGCGACTCTGGCCGGCACAGATAAGGTTGACTCCCATTTTCTGGAATCTTTGGACACTGCCGCGTATTCTCAGCTTAACGCTGAAATCTAAGAGTTCTTTTTTCTTGTACATGTCTTCTACGCTGCTGTAGGGGGTAGGAATCGTTGCCTGTTCACCCAATTCTTTTGGGACCCACAGCCTGTGCTGCACAGCGTCCGACTTGCTTGCTGGTAGGCTTGACGCAGAATTCTCGCAATGCAAACAGTGCCGACCATCTGTGGGCAATTCAAGACTTCTTGCACTGCAGCAAGTGGTAGGATGTTGCGCGTAATTTTAGGTGCTGCATGATACGCGGGGGCCTGATGGAGCAGCGGCACCGCTGGAGTTCAACACGGGGATGGATGAAGTGCCGGAGGCGATTGACATGGCGGTGCGGCTGATGACGCCCGGTGAGACCTCCCTCGTCCGCACCGCAGCTCGCTACGGCTACGACGGCCGCGGCGACCGGCCAGAGGTGCGCTGCGCTTCCCGGCACCTGACTGCAACCTGCCGTGATGCATGGGAGACTTGCTTTGTTGGGGTAGTGCTCAGCCGTTGTGACGGGGGGTGAACGGCGTTGCTGTGCTGCTCAGTGCATGCTTACATTGCAAAGATAGGACGGAGCAGATGGTTAAGGGAGCACCAGATGTCGGTAGAATAAAGCCCATCGGCTTGCCTCACTGGAATCAACTGCCTCACGCCGGATGGTTTCAAGTGCAATTAGATTTTTCCTGGTAATAATTTAAGTGTACAAGCACACTTTGGGAGATGGTGGCGTTCTTGTTGCCTTCACAGAGTTATGGGGAAGGCTAATGCTCCTTGCGGACAAACGACAGGGGTGCCCAGAGGGTGCGGAGGTGGAGTTTGAGCTGCAGCTGGTGGACTTTGACAAGCAGCCCAACTGGCACGCGATGAGCGCGGACGACAAGCTGGCGCGCGCGCATGCGCTGAAGGACCAAGGGAACGCCATCTTCCGGACGGGCCCAGCGCAGTACAGCCGCGCCGCCGCCAAGTGGGCCAAGGCGCTCAAGGTCCTGGACAACGCCTTTGACATGGACACCGAGGAGCAGGCGCGTCCCTGCCAGGGAGCCAAAATACATTTGTAACTCCGCAAAAAAATCCAACTGTTGCTGCATGACGTTCGATTGTGAAGCAGCCTTTCCTCTTATCTCCCTGGCGCTTGCTTGCTTGATGTCTGCACATCCGTTTTCCTAATTTGAATGATTCGAAATAATATTCTATAAGAAAAGACATAAATTCAGCATGCATGCGGTCCCCAAAGGCAGGCTGGGGCGTTAGATGTCTTCGGCAGGAATGTTCTCGATGGATATTCATAGACTGTATGGCATGTTACCAGAAAAACATGTTGTCCTCGGTTTGCCTTCAAGAGGCACATAGCGTTTCCATGTATGCGATGACTGTGTGCAGTTGGCGGCGGCCAGCAGGGACAAGGTGGACTGCATGACCAATCTGGCGCTGGTGGCACAGAAGGAGCGCCGATTCACAGACTGCTTCAAGTGGTGTGAGAAGGCCCTCAGGTGAGCTCTGTCAGACCGAAAATCTCCTTGTAAGAGAAGGAAGTCTTGAGCTCTTTCTGTTCAACCTCCCCAATATTATACGGGTGTTCTGGCCTGGAAGAGAGCAAGGTGATGCCTGCAATCAATGCGTCAATGGCTGATGCATGGGGTCCTCATGACAATTGGGAGTTTATGTGCAACAGGGAGGTCACGGATCACCCAAAGGCGTTGTTCAGGCGAGCAACGGCAAATGCAGCATTGATGAACTACGAGGCGGCACGAGAAGATTTTGAGCAGTGCAAGCAAGTCTGCCCAGTCATGGCCAAGGATGTGGACAGGTGTGTTCTACTATCAGTCGATCTGTTGCCAGAATCATCTTTTCAAGTCAACACAGTGGCAAGGACCCAGACATTGTGTGCTCTGAGGTGTTGTTCTCATCAAGTTGCTGTGGCAACTCGTAGGGAGTTGGTCCTCATGGAGAAGCAGCGGAGAGAGGCTGACGCAAAGCATAAGCGGAGTCTTCTGGGCTTCTTGAAGAAGTGAACAAGTTTCTTCACTCAGTGACCAATTAGCATGACGACTTGGCCCGGGCTGCTGGAAAATTAGCATGGTTTTATATACTGCCTACTTTCGTTTACAAATTGAGTTGCTTCAGAAATGAATGCGAATTTGTTTTAGAATTTTAGAATTTTAGAAGACCTCAGCACTCACATCCATGAAGAAATCGCTGTCCTTGCATCATGCCAAATTATAAATTCATGCATGCAGATATATCACCATCAGCCGACTGTCAATTCCAGGCCGGTTTCGCTCAATCTCTCCGGTTCAACTTGAGTCAAGTTATTCTGTAATCAAGAATACCAGTATTCCAGACAATTTTGCAAGCCACTGGCCAACCAGAATTCCATTCGATGCGATTCGGTCAAAATATTTCAAGCTCATCATGATCTTGATTTGCAACCACCTTGACAGCTTTGCAAAGGCTGAATCACCGCTGCTGTGTCACTCGTCTGCTCTCCTGACCGCGCTCTCCCCCATCTCCTGTACTTCTCCCCCATCCTCGGTCGCCATTGGATGCTCGTCCTGCGGCAAGACACCATGCCTGAGTCCTTTTCAGTTTGACAAGGGTCCCTCGGAGCGGGTGCATCCAGGCGGGCCGCAGGGTGATCCCACACCGTTCACATTGTCTTGATTTACTCATACAAAGCTTGATTCGACAGTCGCATGTCTTGTTGCATCTTTGCAAGAGAATGGAAGCCCATTCTACATGACAAAATGTATTCTTGTGCATAGAGACACTGCAGATAACGGCCGCACCTCGGCCCCTGCCGCCGCCGCCGCCGCGGCCCCTTCCTCGTTGCCCGCCCCTGCCGCTCTGCCGGCGCCCCCATGAATCCACCGAGTCTCCACCCGTCCAAATCCGAGGCAGACCCTACAGCGCAAAATGCCCCTTAAATGGGCGTCTCTCGCATCTTCTGCAGCCAATCCCCCAATCCCAGTGCTCCAAAGGATAGGTGAGGCATCTGCCGGACTGCCCAATTCTGAAGATGGGTCCCCAAGGATCTGCATGACAGAGTCACACAATACGGTATACAACTTGAACATTCTTGTGATTTCTCTTCTGAGATGAGAGAGAAAAAAGTGCACCTTGATGGCGTTTCCTGTCGGGGAGGTGTAGTAATCGGCACCCCTATCGCGGGAGTGCACAGATGGCAGGCTGTCAAGCCAGGCAGTGTATTTACTGTCCAGGTTCCACTCGTGCGCGCCATCCTGCAGTAGCTTCAGGTACCTGCAGGGTGCCAGAACAGGCAATGGTGAGTCAGCGCGGGAGTATGACCGTATGTAACTCCTTGGGTCAGCTGCAGAGGGTAGGAAGGGCAAAATCATTTGCCACACATCAGCCGCGCAAAGGTATGGTGAAATACACACCTGTCACTGGGAGGCATGCCTTCTTGGATCAGCAGATCAGGCGGTGAGATGAATGCCAGGGCCCTAACACTTGGCCGGCCATCATACGCCTCCACATCCACCTCTGTAGGCCTGCCAAAGAGGAAGGAAATCGATTTTGTCCGCCCTTTCGTGACCCATCCATGATCAAGGTAAGCTGAGAAGTTCATTGTAGGTGATCCCTTTGCGCTGCGGCCTTGCGCTGAATTATTGTTTGGGGGTATGACGAAGAACATTGGTGCATAGGGAGCAGGATGCGAAATAAATCCAGTCATCAAAAGCCGGAAGTAAATTGGCAGGTGCTGGTCCTGTCATCAGACAGCACTGCAACAGTTTCGCTCTAAGCAGCAATACTTGCAGCGCAGGACATTAGATATTCCGAAACACTGAGCACCTTACCTGTACTCGTGTTCCATGTGGGTGAGCCTTGCCATGTCCACTAGCCTTATTCTGTACAGTATCCCATGCACACTGCCTTGATTGCCCTCATTCACCATCAGATTTCCCATCGCCCCCCTGCACATTGTGTATGAGATCTCGTCAATTGCAGCATGCAGTATTCATCCCTTGAAAGCGTTCCCTTTCCACAAACATTCTGTCCTCACAAAACCTGGTATTCAAATTATCGCGGAGCAAAGAAGCCCAATATTTTTGAGAAACAGCGCCACCAACGCCTGTTAGGAGTAGCACCTGTGATTGAAAGCGAGGCGCCAGCCTTGTAGGCAGCCGGGTACTGATTCCAAGGGCTGAATGCCGCGCGATCCAGTCAGCTTGCCGCTGCACATGTTTGCGCCATAGGCAAAATACCACGCTCCTTCTCGTTGCGTGCCTAGGCCATACTCTGCTACCTGACACACCCACGCAGCAAATATGATCTGAATAGCTGAGAGGCTGACACTTGCGATCACACCAAGATGTCCTGATTATGCGTTGAACAGCCCTTACTGCAGGAGAATGGTTTGCGTCCGGCGTATCCAGCTCACCTGAGGTTCAGGCATTGGAGGCTGTAATGTAAAGGATGCCACGTAAGGGGCGTTCACTTCTCTCACAGGCCCATCCCCGCCCAATGGCACAGTGTACCTTACCACGAAGGGTTCCATAAATCCTGCTCTGCTCAGTATGCAAACACTGCCGACAGACCACTCTTGCGGCGGCCATGTTGGCTCCAGAAGCTGTCATGACAACACAGAACATTGTGAACAAGAGGCTCGTCACACTCCTTCATGTGCAGCAAGGCTGCTACAGCATGCCAATGGCAATCTATGCATACGGGGGCATACGGGGTGTGCTATCAACATTCAGCCCTGACAGAGGGGAAAGGCGTACAGCAAGCCTGCCTGCTGTGCTTTGCTTGCTTCTGCGGGGGAGGGCCACTGGCCCAGGGACAGGTGAGGAGAGAAGGACGTGATCCCTCTGGATGGGTCACTACTCAAGTCTGTGCATTCAGGGAATGTGGCCACCAGGGCGGCCTGCAACTGTATGAGCTCCCCACAGCAGGGGTCCAGCCACAATGTGCAGCTGCGGCCGTGCTCAAAACAACGCAGGTCTGCCAAGCGGACCTGCACATTACCATTGGATCGAGCAAGCTCATGGAACGCATTACATGCATTCCACAATCGATGCCAATACAAAGGATTGCAAAGTCACCTTGAAGGCACTGATGCCTGCGATGGCGACTCTCGCAGCTTCAGCAGAGCTCTCAAATGCGGAGCCATTGTCCTCAACGAAAGGATAGAGGAGATTGATGTGGGGTGGCCACCTTGTGAACGCCAAACATATACATAAAATTTGGCAACCGCGAGGTAGGTCTTTGTGTAAGAGTTCGTTGCAGCAAGCAGATCCCAAGCATCGAGGAGCCAACCTGAGGAAGCTCTTGTCGTTCCGAGATCGGATCACTTGGATGTCGTGCCAAATATGGCGTGGTGGCACGATGGCTATTGCACACTTGTGATCTTTTCTGACATTTTCAGCTGTCACTGGGACACTAGACATGTCACGATGAGACAATCTAGTAGCACGAAGTGCAGATGTGAATGGAAACATGCGCCTGAGCATAGGAACATACAGCTGAGGGGCAAGATAACGCGCAGGAACTCCAACAATTCATCATCGATTTACAAATCAATTCCTCTTGCTTGGAGCTTGATCTCCTGCTTTTCGGTCGCATTCAGAATTGCACGTGTGTGAAACTTTTCGCACGTGCCGGCGGCAAGGCTTTTCCCATTTTTGTGAAGGTTCAACGCAATCGTGAGTTATTCAAATAGATCAAGATACTTGAGAGCTTACATCTCAGATCTTTGCTACTGACTTGAAGGTCAGTGTATTTTTCTGTTGCAGAATTGGGTGATTGAAGACGTTCTTGAAGGACCCTCCAACTTTTACACGCATTACCAGCAGTGACTTGGCTTTCTAGGTGCTGGGAATAATTTTATATCCTTCCTGAGTTATGCTGAGTGGGCGCTGCACCTCGCTATCCTTCGACAGGTGTTCCGAAGCGAAGTGCGCAGGTGCTCGCGCCTTGACCCGCGGGGTCATCAGACCTGAGATCAGAAGTAAGTGCGCATCTTCACATGGCTTTCCGAGCCTTAAGAACCTGTCTGTGCCTTCAAATACCCGCCGTTCTGTCTCTCTTGTAGCACGATCCTCATCAGCAGTAGTGGACTCTGGAGGTGGATCGACTACCGGCGGAGGCTCAGGTGCCACTGCTGCCGCATCTTGAATGCCTTTTCGTTTACATGATGCCATCAAACACCCCCGATTAGAATGGGGACCCGTATTCCGCAGTATCAGCATAGGTCTCACAGAGAGCGAAAGAGCACTAGAGACTGTCCTTGGACCAGGTGGTGGAGTGGAGGCGAGGAGGGTAGCGGAGGAGGAACCAGACGACGACTCTGGGCAGGACACTGATGAGATCCTAGCACAGGTGCAGTTTTACTGACAAGCAAACTGCCCACCGAGAAGCTCCTCTAAAATGTCTCATTGGGCATGTTCACCTGCGACTGAGACTGACTGCTCTGTGCAGGCTGATACCAGCTTTGAGCGGCTCCCCAAGGACCTCCAGGCATGCCCCCACTCTCTCCCACATGCTCACCTGCTACACAACAACAGGCTTGTGCATGCAGATACCCGCTTACATGCTCTGATGCACATCAAGCTATGTTTTCACAGCCAAAGGGTGCATTCTCTTGTCTATGTTGCATTCAAAAGCACAGCTGCAATGCACAGGTCTAGTTTCCATTGTTGCTATTGCAATTGTCAGCAATGCAATTACCAGGGCTTGTCTCCGCATTTTCCATCCACCATCTGCCTAATGGTTTCTGATTTGCTTCATGTCCAGGATGCGCTGGCGAGGGGCGCCATGTCAGCGGCGGAGCTGCGGCAGTGGCTGGCGCTGGCGGCGACGCCGCTGCTGGGGCCGCTGTGCACGCTGTGGCCGGCATTCCGCGACCGAGTGCTGGGCAACCCGCGCTTCCTGCTCGTGCTGGCGGTCGAGGAGGTCATCGGATGCACGGCCAAGACCATCGCTGAGTACCGCGTGCGCAAGGAGGACTTCTGGAAGGTCCGCCTGGCGGCTGTTTCTACAAATGATTGGCCTGATCACATGCACCTGGCCTGCTTGTGAAGCTATGGTACTAGGTCCCGAGCTGTCAAAATGGCCCTCTCTATGTTTAATGAATGAAACCAGGGCTTGCCTTGTCGATTAATCCTGCAGCAAAGTGTGTACATGGAGAAGATCAGCTGGCTTCATGTCCATCAGCTACTTGCAATGATTCAAGCTGCATTTCTGTGAGGACTTCCTGACAAGGAATATTGCGCAGAATGTTTTAGGCCAAATGTGAGCTGTTCTCTTGTGCAGGAGATCGACTTTGTGATGTCGGATCTGTCGCTGGAGATTATCGGGGACTTTGCGATTGTGTGGCTTCTGTCGCCCAAGAAGGTCTTCACTGCCGCGCCCACCAGTGCCATTGGGCGCATCACCTCAAAGCTGCCCGGCCACGCTCTCCAGGTAATTTATTTACAGCATCTCTCAGAAAGAACAGCTAATTGTCAGCCTCTTGGGCTTGGAATGTCTTCAGAAAAAATACAGACGGCTAGCAGCCAACTTAATATTTTGGATAATTGTAAAGGGTTGGCTATGAACCACCCCGGCAAGCATATGCTTTAGAGTGTCTTTCGCAAGCCCTCCCTGCAGGCTGTCATCTTGAGCGTTGGCATCTTCTTTTACGTCGCGTCTGTGCCATCAAGACCGTTTGGTACCGGATGGCGATGATCTGAAGTGCTGCTGGCCGATGCATGCAGATTGGCAGCTTCTCGCTGGCGCAGCGGCTGGGCACCATGCTGTTGCGCGGCACCCAATTCTTTGGAGTGGGCTGCCTCGCCAGCTGCCTGGGACACAGCCTCACCATCTTCCTAGTGCGCTTGTCTTATGCCACCAACCATCATGTCTATGAGGCTTGATCTGTCTGGAACCTGATTGGAATGATGACCAGGATGGCTTAGGAAGAACGTAATGGCAGCTGTGCTCAGTGTCTGCGGAAGCATATTTTTAAGAAACGCCAGTATTGATTCGCGTAGGAGCAGCGCATCACAGCGCCATTGCATTGCACTTGTTTGGAGGGACTGGGGAGGGCCTCTTGAAAAAGGGGGCCATCATTGATGCCACTGCTGTGTTCCTGTGTGCAGGTGAACAGGAAGAAGAAGGCTGTGCTGGTACTGAGGGAGGCTGACAAGGCGGATGCAAAGAAGGAGGGGAGGCTGGCGCTGCTCCCAGTGGACGAGGATCCCGTGAAGGAGCTGGCGCCCGTGTGGGACAACAGCGTGGCATGGGGTGGATTCATGGCCACGTCAGCAAACCTGCGATACCAGCTTGTCAACGGTATCGAGGACCGCATACTGGTACAGCTCTTACTGTACTTCTTGTTGTATGTATCTTCCCACTCTGATCAAGTCACGGGGTTCTGAGCAACATGCATGAATGTGCCAGGGATATCAGCAAAATGCCCTGCTTTGTACAGATCATCTCTCTTCATTTAATTTGGTAGAGCCCTGACTCTCCGCATGTTCCTGCTTTAATCAAGCCGCGCAGTGATTAGATGCATGAGTGTGTGCCATCAACGTCACCAGAATGCCGTGCCTTGCACATATGTCATTTCGTGCTGCTGCATATGTCACTTAGGTGGCATGCTTCAGTCATCCCGGCAGCCATATGGGCACCTTGCCTGCGTGGTTTCTCAGCGTAAAAAGTCAATACAGTTTTGTTACGATCTGCAGAGTCATTGAATTCCTTCTTTGGTGTGCACAGGCGACCCTGGTGCCAAATAAGGTGCTCAACAATGCGCTGACTGTTGTCATGCGCTTTGGCAACACCTGCCTGGGCAGCGCGCACTGGATTTGGACCGCCCAAAAGGCCGGACTGCAGTGATTATTGAGTCTCTCTTGGAGCACAATTTTGACTTCGAAATAAAAATTCTGAAGACTGAGAACACTCCCTTGGTTGAGCAAGGCCTTAGGGTGTCAGCAGGGAGCTGTGAGAAGGTTGGGCTAGCGAGTTCAACTGCAAAGTTTGCAGTTCCACCTCACCTAAGCCTGAAGCCCTGCAGCTCGCATCCGAGAAGAGAGTGCTCGAGTGGTCATGCAATCGAAATTTTTGGCATTGCAACAAAATGCTGCATTTTTAATTCCTTTCCATGATTGTGTCCTGCTTGCTTGAAGACTGCGGATGTATGATAGGCGGCAAAGCAAGTAATCCAGGAGCATGTTGTCAGCTACGCTGAGTAATGTATATCTCACAAGCACATTCCATTGAGTAATGGATGACCTACTAGACTGGAAGGGACAGCAAAATAAGCAGCAGCAAGTGCTCTTGTCATTCAGAGCCATGGCAAGCTTGCTGTGCAGATCGACAGTCACAACACAATATTGTATTACTACAACATAGTATTGATACAGTCTTCTGACACTTTCACAGGGCGCATATGTGCACAATCTAAAATAGCATCCCAGACGTGCAATGCATGTCCACTCTGCTGCCTGCTTTTGCCCGAAGCTGCCATAAGATCGTCTCTGTCCTCTGCATGCACCGCATGGTAAAGGGCAACCTGACATCTCCTTTAGCTGGCAAGGCATCTGGAGACTTGCAAATTGTGATCCTGTTACGGATCAGGCTTGGCTTGGCACATTCCTATTTTACAGCTACAGCGGTCTCCAATGGTGGGCTGCATTTCAGTTGCGGTTGTTGCCGAGGAGACGCAGGAGGTACAAGAACAGGTTCACAATATCCTGCGCAATACCCAATAATCAGATGCTCCTGACTGTCTGGCTGGCAGCAGCTTAAGGCTGAAGCATGCAGCATCACAGCCACATTGGAAGTAAAGATGGACACAGGCATGATTTCACATTTGCTGACATCTGAATCCTGTGTCTTCTTCCTGAACAATGTCAGTGGGATCAGAACGCACCAGATACAGCGAGACAGAGGCCATGATGTAGTCATCCAGATCGTGCCTGCAAAAGAACAGGAGTGACACCGTTAAAGAAATACAGAGCGCCAAGCCACTGGTGAATTCAATCACGACCCAGGAAAGGATGCAGAGTACAAACAGAAAGGGCCTTCTGCAAGCACGATGTTCAGACGCGAGTTTAGTGCACAGGGATGCCCTCACCTGGAGATGAGGTTCTCAGTGTCAAAGACAATGTAGCCGCTGAAGACTATGGCGCCCAGCAGCGCAAAGACTGTCTTGCCCGGGCCGCCAACATAGGCTCCAAAAGCCACCTGCATGCCCAGCACGCGATATGATTGCAAGCATTCGGAAATTTGATTCACTGCCGCCTGAAAAATGTATCGTAGGAGATACAAGAAGTTTTAGAAATGACAGAGTACGAAAGCAGTAACACTGCAGACAGACAAGGGCACTGTATCACCCACCTGTATGATGCTCCAGAGCACCATCGCCGTCAGCGCTGCAAGCACCAAACAAGTTAGACATCATCCCAAGTCACAACATGAGTGCTCTGCAAATCTGAGGCACCATCCGGCAAGCCTACAACTACGGTCAAAACAGGGCCGTGCACAAAAAAACTTATATGATGCATGTGCAAGACACTGTTATTGTGTCAACTTATAAGGACGAGGGAAGCGGTGACTATGTCAAAGTCACCTGCAAAGAGGATGGGCCCCAAGCGCTGGAAGCTGTAGCCCTTTCTTGCGGCGTGGAAGGTGTACGTAGTCAGGCCCAGCACTATGGCCGCTGTCAGGCAGAGTGCCTCCAGCACCACAGCCGGCTCATAGACTGTGCAGGCAGTGCCCACGCCCACGGACAGGGAAGCAGTCTGCGTACAGCACACACCCGCAGCAGTCAGCACATGGCAAAAGAGAAGTCAGTGATAGCATGCGCAGCCCCATAATGACACGCTTCACCACTCGTCAAGGCATGGGTGTATCCATCGCCAATGTGAAACACTTGAAGGGCGCCAAGCATGCACTGTGCACTTGCGCATGTAACAGTAAACGCCACAGGGCATGAAGATGTGCCAAGACAATAGTCTGAGAGAGTTCACGCAGGAGCTAGGCAGGCGTACCCAGAGGGCGAGGATGATCAGGTTCTGCGGGTGCTTCCTTGAGTACATGTAAAGTGGGATGAGACCTGTTGCAGGAAACCAATCCTCAAGCCATGCGCGCTCAAAACACTGATGAGTGCATTTTCTTTCACAGCAATGATAGCATGGAGTTGATGGCAAAGTCTGAAATTTTTAAGTATGTTGATAAACTGCAAGGTCAGGAGATTTGAGCGTACCAACGAGGGGCAGAACGGCACAGGTGATCTGGAACCACAGGCTGGTTGTCACAAAGCCCCTGACAGGAGGGACTGCAAGGATTGTGCCAGCTACGATGGCTGTGAGGACCAGTTGTGCTGAGATGATGCCATACACCTGTCACGCCACAAGGTTCATAAGATTTCCTCCTGGTGAAAGCAACACCAAGGCGAAGCAAGAAAGCAGAGCTAATCACCAATGCTCGCAAGTCTCTGTCCTATTGGTGACCAGTGAGTATTTATTTATTGTACCTTCTTGATGAAGCCCCATCGAAGCATATTGTCTGTCCTAGACATGCCTGGCACAAGAGGAACCTCCTCCAGTGACTCAGGGTCTCTGTATGTCGCATGCTCCTCATACTGCACCAGACGCAGCGGTATTTTATACGCTTTCGATGTATGCCCGTGATACACTCAGGTCTCCACACTGTTAGCGTAGCTTCCTCAGGGTGATCGTGACTCTCCAAGCACAGCTTTCTGGAGGCTTCTGATCATTCAAGGGTGAATAGACAGTTCCCAGAGTATATTATATTTTGCTGATGGCAATAAACAATTGCAGACGTGACCCAGGAAGTGAACCTGTCCAAGCAATGAGTGAGGAAGCAAGACCGTGAGCTCGAATACGCAGCCCATCTGTTGCATATTCAGAAGATTGATTTACAAATCAGTATGCGGTCCAAGCAAAACAGACAAAAGACCCACACCTTGCTGGAGCTTCCTGCTTCCTTTGGCGTGAAAGCTTGTCTGTCCATGGGTCCTGAGCGCCTGCTGGGCAGAGGCTGTGCTTGCATAGCAACAGCAGGAATCCAGTGATATATGTCACCCTTCAACGCACGATTGACTGCGGGTCCTGAGCAAAATAATTCTCCGAAACACTGGCTGTTTCCACTTCATTTCCCCTTTGAGCTGGCGAGCGGGTTTTGATTTCAAGGGAAGTGAGAGGGCAAGATGTCGACCAAAGAACGACTGCCCTTTCACATCTCAAATTCTCTTCTCTTGATATCCATTGCAGTACTGAAATATCTCGAATTTTGGTGGGAGTGCACAGCATTTGCCAGTGTCTTGCGGGCGCATCAGATTCAGATACCTTTAGATCAAAGCAGATCAAATGCAAAGCGTCTCCAGTGAACGCTTCGCTTCGGTCACAGGGTCCCCCTTTTTGGCCGGAGCACATTCTAGATACTTCTGCACGAAGTCGCCTGCATCACTGCATCAATGTCGGAGGTTTGTGCCCGCCTTGGATATTAACAATGCAACTCCTTTCAGGACCAAAGGAACGAAAGCATGAAGCCAATGAATGGTGACTCATCAATCTTGTTGATAACAAATTTATGGAGTATCAGTTCAAACAATGTTTAATGATCATCGTTGAGTGGCTTTCCTGCACAACAAACCCCTATCAAGGCCTGGCTTCTGAATTAATTTCGCCTTTTCTTTTTGTTGTGAAAGGCGACAAGCACCACTCCTGCGCGCGGAGCAGGGCGCTGTCACCACAGATGAGACAGCAGTGAGTGGGATTGAAAAGTCAGGCAATTCCTTCAGTGCCTTGAAGGACATTGAGGCTATCCAGGAGATCCTTCCCCACAGGTGTGCTGATTTATTTGCATGTCAAGTGTGCCACATGCAATGAATCGCAATTCCGTGCAGCTGTACAGAGTGAAAATTTTGTAAAGCATGTTCCCTGATGCACAGGTTTCCCTTCCTGCTCTTAGATCGTGTGGTCGAATACGTTCCACAGAAGTATGCAGTCGGGTACAAGAATGTGACGGCAAATGACAACTTCTTCACTGGGCATTTTCCTGAGCGCAAAATTATGCCAGGCAAGTTTCACTGCTCATTCTGGCTGACCAAAAACATTCCGGCACGGCAGGAAAGATCTCCTCATACTGCAGGCAGAGCTGGTTCAGGCAACTCTGTCATGTAGTTTGCTTTGCACCATGTCTGAGTCCTCGTCAAAGTAACCATGAGGCTCTTGATGATCAGAGAATTCATGCCTGACAGCAAAAGAGACTGTATGAGCAGCAAGCTCCCAATGTTATGCAAATTGTATCCTAAATTTGGATCATCTGCTGCCTTGCTAAGATTGACTCTTGAGCACCCAAGTGCGCTGTGAGCAGGAGTCTTGCAGGTGGAGGCGATGGCTCAGCTGGGGGGCATTGTCATGATGGATCCTGAGGACCAGACAGCCAAAAAGAACTTCTTTTTTGGTGGCATCGACGGCTGCAAGTTCCGGCGCCCGGTTGTGCCCGGTGACACATTGGTGTGTTTCACCCCTAATTCCTTGCACTGTACTCCCCTGTCTCACCCACTACATATTGACCTCACCCCTGTCACCCTTCGTATGTTTTTCCTGTTTTACCGGTCGATAATTGCCCTCTCCTCTGCCACCCTTACACTGTTCTCTCCTGTCTTACCGGTTGCATATACCTTACCCCTGGCATCCGTGCACTGTTCTCCCTTATCGTAAAGGTCACGCATTGACATCCAATTGGACAGTTGCGGGGACACATGCTTGAGGGATTCTTCCCTTGCAATCTGGCATAATGAGCACCTGCTGTGCCCGCCTGTTCATCATATAGAGCCAGCAATGAGGGCAGCAAGTGCATTTCTCAATGCCTGTCAGTGCAATTCGAGTCAGCTCCAATGCGCGCAGCAGAGTCTTCTTGGGGCATTCTTACACACCTAATTGCCGACCTTTCAATACAATAGCTACCGATGCTTGATTGGCTGTGTGATGGTGCAGATGATGCGAGTGGAGCTGACAAAGTTCAATCCGCGCTTTGGGATTGCCAAGATGTCGGCCAAGGCGTACATTGGCAAGGCCCTCTGTTGCGAGGCTGAACTCACTCTGGTCATGGGCAAGTGAGATTCTGAATTACAGTCTGCGTACAGCGCTGATAGTCGTTCTTGACTGGCCTCGTCTAAAATTCTGTGTCTCAGACAAGTTGCCCTGACAAGGAATTCTTGGAAACACCATGATGCTTGCCCAGGTTGCTTCATTGTGTGAGCGTTCATATGAGCAGTGAATGGTGTGCACTTAGAAACCTGGCATTTCGTAGCTTCTGCATGGGGGGAGTACTGTAGACTTCTTCAGCACATTGGAAGTTGCCAAGTTTGCTGAGGCTTCACTCTGCAGCAAGCTATCACGCTACTAGCTACTATAGTATAGCTAGCTAGCTATGGCTAGCTCTGCAGATCTGTAGCCCTCAGAAAGTGTAAAAATTGGAAGTCCTCCGTAGATCAACTGAATGATATCCTCCATCTGAAGTGTAGCTCAAATAAAAGCTGCAATGATTGTGTCCACTTGAGGCTTACTCATTAGCGTAACGCCATATGTAACGCTTCTGCCCATGAGATGCCTTCCTCATCCCAGGCGAAATTTTAAGTTTCCGACGCACAGCAGTATTCAAATCAGCCATGGCAAGCTACATAGGAAACAAGTTCGGCAAGGACGACCATGACAAACTGGTATGAACGTGTTCGGCAAAGACATCGACGTCTGTCACACCTGCAAGCCAAAAGCTTTCATGTTGACTTTTGATGCATCGTTCCAACAGGCTGAGTATGAAAGAAAAGCGAATCCGAACGATAGAGGACAACAGGCTCTCCTCGAAGAGATGCGGGCCCATGTGAAGAAGGTGATGCCCACCACCATAAACACCTGCATTCATTTCTAACAGATACCTGACGGTGGTTGAGATCAACATTATTAGTATAAATTCCTTGCGACGTGCAGCTAGAAGAAATGCGCAAAAATGAAGACCCTCGCCTGTCCTTCTCAACTCCAGAGTTCAAAGAAGCACAGAGGATCTTCACAGACAACTTCAAGGTCAGACACGCTTGCATTTCGGTACCTCGATTTGTCACAAGTACAAGCATTTCAGTGACGATTTACCAGCTCGATTGGCATCTCATTTTTTGTTGCGCGCAGAAAAACTTCGGGAAGCCAGTTGAGTGGGCGCTCGTCAAGGATCATGCTTGGTCCACGCCTCAACTGCGAAAGTTGGACCAGCCGGTGCGTGCAACACAGCAAATCTGGGAATTTTCTGGTCTGGTAAACGCGATAGTGCATTGTTGGTCTCTTTAATAAGACTTCAGCCCAATTGAATATGGCATGATCTGCTATGGCTTAATGCAGGTGGATGTCGAGGGCAAGCCTTGGCCGCTCGACGCAAGCGGCAAGCCAGTGCTAAAGGCTTGACAGCAACAGGGACGGGGCTAGGCTTGTGCACTCAGGCACCCTCATGGTGCATGGTCCAGTCCTCACCTCAGCCCTGATCAGCTCTCACACTCATGAGTCAGCTGTGCTGGATACGCCCAACATGTGACAAGTGTACTCCATTTCTATGTAGCTGAACAGTGCACGTGCCATCACCTGGCTTCGGAGAATATCTTGTCACAGCATGTCACAGCGCCAGCCAGATATGCTGAGAAGACGCCACAGCGCTCGTATGCCTAGCACAGTAATATCATAAGTTATGACACTGTCATGCAGTTGAATCTGCGCAAGTTAGGCTGCAGGATTGCTCATATGAGCTGCCTGATAAATGTGATATATATCACTTGATCCTTGGTCACTACAATCAAAAGAATTTGAAAATGAATGTGCAGCTTATACATATCGTGGGGCAAGTTGCGGTGCGAAACAGTGTTCACAGAAACGCTTTTTGCACATCATATATTGTACACCATGCGCCTACGCATGTAACACCTTTATGGCCTGGGCATGATTTAACAGAATTGCTGGTTCTGGGGCCTTCTACTAGACCGTACGTTCACTATGTGACTGTATCTTCCAGCAAGCGCGGGAGCAGCAGACCAACCATTCCATGAGTTGTAACAGTCGCTTGAATAATTGTGCATTGGGAAGCCGCGGGTGCAGCCGTCCCTATGAGCCGCAGTGTCTGATACGGCCACAAACAATCCGCAAGCCCGAGCATGTGCTGGACGCTCGTCAGAGAAACATGCCATTGAAGTACTCATCAAACTCCTCGTCTCTGCTGGTCTCCAGCTGGGGCTGTTTCCCCTTCCACACATTCACATCTTCACTGCTGCCCCCCGCTGCATCACCCTCTTCTTCCCCTTGAACACCCTCTGTGTCTGCTCCATTTCCAGCTGGCTCTGGCTCATTGTTCTCCCTTCTCCTCTTATGCCCAATGATAGGCTCCGCAGGCGCTGCTTCAGATGCATGCCGGCTGCCGTCCGCACTGCCGCTGCGCCTCTTATGCTTCTTGGCTGCCTTCTCCTGTGCGCGCAGCACCTCCTGGTTCTTCCTGTAATTCAGCTGCTGCGCGTGCTCCGGGCACACACGCACCTGCAGACAACACAAGGTACATCAGCATTAACAGTCGGCAATGAGAGCACACACTATGACTCCTGTCTGGCGCGCACAGGCACATGCCAAGGGACGACCACCACCACAAGCGCAGCTGATGCTTCAGGTGTGGCATGTCAGTTCTGACAGACCAATTGAAACGTGGGCTCCTCAAAGAACATTCTGGCGCATAGGTGTCATGCCAATGGGGTAGCACTAAAGAGGCTGTCCAGAGGCGCACTGCGAACATCAGAGCACACACTCTGCCTCTGCCGTGGCAATTTGGCTAATTTGACAGTATGGTGGTAACAGAGGAGCTGCGCACCTTGACGAGCGCCTGCTTCTTCTCCCCGGCCTCCTCGTAGCCGAAGGGCACCTCGAAGGTGGCCAGTCCCCGGCTCTCCGAGCAGCCGCGCGCGCTGCAGCTGAATTGACCCTTCCCAGAAATGACCTCCTTCTCGCTGCGCCACCTCATGCCCACCTTACCCTCCTGCTCCCCATCTCACACCCTTCAGTGAAACCCCTGGATTATAATTAACAGAGAGGAGTAAACAATGCCAGCTATAATGCCAGTGATATGCTCCTGACTGCCCATCACAAGTGTGTACCAGTCAGCATCTGAGAAGGTGCGCAGGAGCAATCCAAACCAGATTATTCACGCTTTTCAGTTTATTTCTTTGCCGTGACAGTGTGTACAATCTGCTCCACAGGAGATCTGTCAAGATAGATAGGCCCTGCATGCCTCTAAGGGCCCAGAGCACTTGTCTGCCGTGAAAACGTATAGCAGAAGAGGTTTGACATGTGTTGGACCTGCACCGCTTCTCCCCAGAACCAACCAAAGGCAGATCGCTGTACCTGGTACCTGGACAGGTCTACGATGGCATACTCGCGGTACAGCTTTGCATAATAGCGCTTTGCCAAACGCAGCGCCCAGCGATCCTCTGCAGCCGCGTCCTCCTCCGCACTCCTGATGAACCTGTGCATATTAATCTAAGCAGTGAGCGACACTGTCTGAGACAAGTAACACATACTTGACATGCAGGGCTGGCGCATGCATGACCAATCCCATGGCCCCCACTTTAACAATGGAGAGAGATGTCATAAAAAAGGAATCATGCACGGGGGTTTGATTCAAAGAAAATCTCTTTGATGCCCAAGAGTGCAAATGATGCTACACATTAAGGACGGGCACCAACATCAAGTTGGCAGCAAACATTAAGAGCATCAAGCACCAAATATAAAAACGTGCCTGCAGCAAATTCAGTTGATTCAGCCTGATCTCATGAAGGACTGCCACGCACCTGTATTGTTCACGAAGGATGTCGTAGTCGGTTTTCAGGGTGGGCTGCTGAGCGGGGGCCGGCAGCTTCCCGCCATAGAAGTTGACATACTCGGCCATAAGCCGCTTGTGCCTGTCATATGCCGTCAGCCCCAGGAACTGCCGCCTGTGCTGCGCAGTAGCCCCTGCTGCGGCTGCTGCATCACTGCCCTGCTGCATGGCTGTGAATTGTCACCCTGCAGACTTCTGCTGATTCCCAGTTTACACTCAAGTGGGCTTCCAAGAACACATTTGCTGTCTGACAGCAGCACCCTCTAGTTGTGGGATCCTCCTCAATATCGTGCCAAAGTCACCAGCTGCTGGCTGACGGGCTGATCTAGCCACTGCCTGGATGGTGTCAAAAATATCCTAGCATCCAAATATGGGAAGCAGTGCTGAGAAGGGCATCCCCTCACTCCTGATCAAGATACCTGCACAAGGAGGGGATTGTGAGCGTGCTTGCAGGTGAAAGTACGTGGATATCTGTAATCTGTAATGGAGGAGAATTATGGACGTCGTTCAGATGAGAATGGTCGTACTTTGCTAGGTCTTCTCTCAATCGTGGTGCTGTGACAAACTTCTTGAGAGGCGGTTCCTCAAACTCCTTCACTTGTAGATTTTCGACAGAATAAGTCTTTTTGCAATCCTGACCTGCGAGACAGCAGGAAGACTGCACAAAAAGCAACATGTGTCGTGCTTGCCTTGTACCAACGATGGAGACAATGGAATGCTTTACTTTCGTCCCTTTACGTACCTGCGAAGTGCTTAGCGAGCAACAAATGATGGAGATCTCTCCACTGCTTCGAATACTTTTCTTGCAATTTATCTTCGTCCACCTCAACCATGTGGACAGCCCTGCCAGATTTTCAGATGTGGCTGGAGGTTGCAAGTGAAAGTACTCGCGCTACAGGAGATCAGGATTGCCTTAAATTGTAGACAAACATTTGTTTTACTAACGCCTGATTTTGATCTGAGCTGCACGACACAGCACGACATGCATGCTTGATGGCCTGTCTTGGCACCCTTGAAACAACAATAAATTTGACTGCAGAAGGGCTTATTTGCCCAAAGTTTTCGTCTTATATTATTCTAGTACATGTCAAAGAAATTTTACTTATGATCGCACTGGAACACTACCGGCTGGGTGCAGCAAGCAGATCACTTGTCAGATCTTTTCGATCCACTGGTCTGTGTTCGTCTCCAGCATCAAATATAGACAAGGGGATCGAATCCATCGACATTGGTGTGTCTCCAATATCCAAAGGTATACTTTGGATGCAAATTTACACGCTCTTGTTTCCGCTCTTCGAGGAAATCAATGCCATCTTAGACACAATCTAAAATACATTGAGGAGCTTCATCGAGAGATTCACAGTCCTAAAAATTATTGATGATAATTGGGCACGTCACGCCACATATCACGTTCAAAATCATGCTTCCTTCGCAGGGGAAAGTGTGACATCTCATTCCACTGTTGCAAAAAGGGAGTATGGGTTCATGGAGAGCGCAGAAATGTTATTCTCCCAGCGAGACAAACCTCGCCTGGTTGGCAGGTGCATTGATCTGAAGATCTGCCTGCTCCCTTTCTGAAATACCATTTTCAGGCCTCTTGCTATAGGTGGCATTCGTTCTGCACTGCAGGTGGGACTGGCATGCCTGGCAACTGTTCGTGTCTTTGCTACCGCCCTTTGGTGAGTCAGCATACCGCTTAACCAAAGAGTACTGCCATCCCGTCACATTTATTGCGGATAAGGAACCCACCTGTTCATGCCGAGTACTGCAGTTGCTGCTGTATCGCCTCAGAATGCAAAATCGACAGCCGTCATCTTTGGAAGATGTGTTGTGCAGCTGTGTACTGCTTGGCGATGTACGCAAGGAGAGAAATGCGACAAATGGAGAGTGAGAAACAGGCTGAGGTGAGTGCAGATCTCAACCCACCAGGGGGACAATCGGGCCTGCAGTTGGTGCAAGGGCTTGTCTGCAACACTCTTTCTATTTGAAACCAATGTGAGGAACCCATGCAAGGATTGCCCCTGCAGAAAGAAGCAGTGTGGGAGGCAGAAATGGCAGAGGAAGAGCAAAGACATGCACCAGTGCAGCAGGAACAAGAACAGGTGCACTGGCATTTCCGGCTTGTTGATGCAGAACAAGCGCATTTTTTCTGTGCACGCGCTCACAGCAAGTACATACCCCGTGGTATGGCAATCACGCATTTCCTGTGTTGTGTTTGTGTTTGTATTCCTGTTCTTTGCATTTTCCATGTGCCAGAATACTGAAGTTTGATCGCTTGCAGATGCGATCTCGGCTAGAAGCGCTCGAGGAGCTTGTGAGGAATCTGCAGTCACAAATGGAACGCCCCACGACAGTCAGCCAGCCAGCCCCCTCTGACTTGGCGCCAGGTACTGTGCTGACCATATTAAGTGCTGCTTGAGTGACCATTGCTTGAGCGATTGTGCAAACCTTCAGAAATCTGGCTGGGTACCTGTTGCATAATGGCAACAGAGGGCACCTTGCAGTATCAGCCAAGGTGACAGCAAGGTCAATGGGTGCTTATGCATGGTGCAGATCCCGGAAAAGGACCTGGCAATGCGGCTGCCTTGGCTTCTTGTACGAGACCGCCTTCTCCAAGCCAGCCCACCTGGATTAGATGGCTCAGCCCGCAACGGTGCCAGCCACAGCAGCTGGACAAGGAATCTAGCAGCGCAGAGACATCTCACGAGAAGATCCCAACCACCAGCAGATCTGACGCCCCAAATGTGCACGGCGGCAGGGGAAGCTACCAGTTCAATGGTGTAAATACCGCATCGAGTGATCAAAGCACTCAGGCAGGGCCGGCTGCAGTCAGGGCTAGTGCAGCGTCAGCTGCTGCTGATGCAGATACAGCAATGCGTGCAAGGCAGCAGGAAGCAGCTGCCTTGCAGTCGTCAGAGGTAGAGAATGGGGCGCCGGCGGCTGACAGCCAGGGCGGGCGTGGCTGGTGGCTGCCCAATCTGGCGGCATGGCTGTGGCCGGGTGGTCCCGCACAGACAGACCCTGCCCAGAGCAGAGGCTCTGATGACAAACCTGCTGGCAGGCAGGGGGGTCCTGCTGGCGAGGTTGGAAGAGCAGGGAGTGCAGAGGGAAAAGGCATCAATGGAGCGCTCTCAAAGGGGTTTGAGAGAGCTCCAGAGGCTCGCAGGGAGCAGTCACAGACACCAACAGATCGGCGCCTATCTGAGAGTGAGATCCGAATCTTCTTGCTTGTTGATGTGCTGTGGTGATGCAGGCATAGGTGGCAGAGCTTGACTGACTTCTTCCTTGCTCATGCACATGGGGAATGAAGTGGACCACATGCGTGCATGGCTACTGTTTATCAGCTGTGGTGTGCATGTCTGGTGCAGATCAAACACGTGATGCAGCAGCGTACAAGGAGTGGAAGGAGCGCAGGAATAATGCAAAACAGACTTCATCAGCTTCTGTGGATCCTTGAGTGCTTTGTTTCGGCGCTTTCGACAGCGCTGCATTGCCCTATCTGTCCGACAGTACTCAGTAGCTGCAAGAAAATTCATTTATGCCCTGCCAAATAATGGCATTTTTTTTTGTTTGGATTCGTCTGTCCTCTGTAAGCGCTGGCTGGCCTGAGGACACTATGGATGGAAAGTTGGCAGGCATGCATGCACGCATGCATTCAGGCACACACATCAATGTCTTCCTGGCACTGCATTGTGCGGTCTTGGTGGAGATACGGCTTTTAAAGCCCATTGGCACCGAAAGATTTGCGGTGGCCAGTCAGTGCATGACATGCATTTGTAACCGGTTACAATCGGCCAATTGTGGCGAAAAGCGAATAAGCAGAAATGTGAGGGTGCACTGGAGGACAGACAGCTGATACCTGACTATCGATTCTCTTGCGTTTAGTTGTCGACTCATGAAGGATGACGTCGTGGGCTCGATTTATGTTTTGTTCGTGAGCTGTCTGGCCGCACAATTAAATACCTAGAGGCAGGGCAAAATATTACATTACATCACCGCCTTATCTTGGGGCAAGAAGCTTCCCTTGGAACATTCTTGCAGAGGGTCATCAGGGCAGCCACAAACAGGAAGTTGAGGTCTGGATCTCCGCCATATTTCCATGCACATTAAAGTGTTACATTTTATATACCGCCCTCCATGCACACACGCCCGTCAACCGCATCAACGGCTATTCGCATGCACGGCAAATTCATCTCTATGCTTCCCACCGCTTCTGTTGGTACTACCAATTCTTGCAAATACAACCAATTCTTGCATGCATGCTTAAGCTCTGCAGATGCAAACCCGCGGACGCCGAAACGTTTGACCTTAGAATGCGTCTGCATGCTGATTAGGTGCAATCATAACGCTGCCACATTATTTTCCTTGCAATGTCCAAGTCAGTCACAATCAATGGCTTGCATAATGCTGAGCATTGCCAGTCCAGGGCAGTGCTGCAGGGAAGCGGCTACCCGGCCTGGCCCGGCGGGTAGCACGCGCCCAGCTGCAGCTGTAGCCAGAATGTCGAGGATCAATATGCCGTTCATATGTGGCTACATGGTGTTGGTATCAAAATAATACCTCTGTTTGTCCTTGGTAGTATTACTGATGCCCTTAGTATGAAGTTACTAACCAACTGCTGGAACGCCTGTCCCAGAAACGAGACCACCATCCAGATTTGCACACACTCGTAAAGTCCTGTCGCGTCTATGCTTGATCGAAAGGTTCGGAGCTGAACAATGAACAACTCAGTCCGTTGTCAAGCACGTCCAGGACTATGTCATACTCTTCACCAGCACCCATCTGCTTTGACCCGTCGATTATTTAGCACTACAGTAAATTGTCAGCTAAACTGGCCGATAAGAATCGTTTCACAAAGGACAGCTTCGCCTTTTGCGAGTTGTTCATGCCGCCTGGATACTGCATCTGCCTCACAGCTGCAAAGCAGAAGCCTTCGTGGACAATCAGCGGCTGTGAGGTTGTCGTACTCTCTGCAGAGCAATGGTCACAGAAGGACGGTGCAGGTGCAGCCTGCCAGTCACAGCGAGGAATCTAGTACTGAGGAGCAACCTGGGGATCTTGCTGAACAGTCCAGCACAACGGCCTCCTCAGTCAGATCAGAAGCAGTGATAGATGAGGAATCGACAGAACTGGCAATCGAAGCCGACAGGTCCCCCTCACAGATCACAGACACAGAGACAGCTGGGGAGCCCTCTAGCAGCACGTCAGAGCAGAGCACAGGGACCGAGTATGCGATGCATCGGCAGCCTGTGGTGTCGCCTGTCGTCGATGAATACTGCCAGATCATGGTCAACACGGTGTCTTGGACCGGCGAGCTGCTGATGGAGTTCTTGCGGATGCCCATGCTGCCACGAAGCAACCGCCTCATGGACCTGCGGCTGGCTGCACACATGGACCCCAGCAATGCTGAGAAGTGAGCCATTCCACCACCGAACTGTCCTGCTTCCTCCTTGCAAACATCAAACTGTTCCCAGGATGCACAGGATCAGGTCTTGAAGGCGGTTTTTGGCGGATTTGCCATTGGTGACCAGCAAGATACTTGCTGCCTCAGACATCGCGCTCATGATGTGACAGACATGCGCAGTGCTTCACGTTGCTCTCCATGGCGCTTTCATGCCGCATGCACGGCGAGCAGTTGTCTCAGAGAAACGATATAAGCTCAGGGAGTGATGGATCTGTCATGTTGGCGCAGGTTCACAGGGCTGGTGACAGCGCTGAACAGGGCGGGCATGCATGGAGAGGTTGTGCAGCTGGTGGACGAGAAGCGTTTCTCTCTGAACAGCGGGGCTGCTGCCGAGTACCTGCGCGCTCTCGTGGAGACCAAACGCCTCTCCAAGCTGGCCGAGGGCGGCGCCATCGAGTGCGGATCTGTACTTTCTCATTTCTCACGTGTCTTTGCCCGGCATGTCTCATATATTGAGTCAGCAGGCGCTGCGGCACACAGGACGGCCACCTTTAGAAGATGAGCCTTCTCAGGTGTAGGCCAAGCATTTTTTTGGGTGCAGGTCAAGCAGCGCGCGATGGAATCATCAGTATCCAAATGAGAGCCTTTAGTCTCCGTTACTGGCATTTTTTGCATCGTGATAGCTTGGTGCATGTTAAGGTTTTCATGCATGCACCAAGCTGAGATGGGTCTATTTTGTGTGCAGGTCCGGGGAGGACCATCGCAGCCTGCCGGACGTGCTGAGGGACCTGCAGTCGCAGCTGGCAGGGCAGGAGCCGGCGCAGGTGCCCGGCCAGTCGCTGGCGCGACCTCTACACGTCGTGCTGCAGGTGCAACTCTTCACATCCTTCCCCATTTCTCTCACCTTCTGCCTGTCTTGGGAGGCCATGTTTTGGGTGGCCAGAGGTGGCTCACAATTCATGGAGGTGGGTGTGAATCTAAATTAGTATCAAATTTGTCTTCTCCTGTGTCAGTCTCCAGCCGCTGTCATTGTCATGTCTCGGAGCGCTTGCTGTCAGCTCTGCGCGCTTTCTGTCAAGGGCGCAGCGAGCATGAGGGCTCATATCCAGGTCTGGAGGGTGGAAGGGTTCTTAAGCATTTGAAATGGCAGGAAGAAGGACAAGTTAATAAAGGACTTTGTGCCAGCTTCATGATTGGAGCTTTGTTGCTCATGCAGGCGGAGAGGCGGCCTGGCGCGCTAGTGGGAAATGTGTTGGGAGGCGTGCTGCGCATGGTGACTTACGGCGTCTTCTTCTCGGTGCTCGTGCTGCTTGGATCAGCGGTGCTGCGCCGCGCAGCCGCAACTGGCGCGGGGGGTAACGGCCTCGGGATTGCCGCTACTCCTTCGCTGCCTGGCAGCAACGGCGCGTCAAACTATGCTCCCAAAGAGTACAACAAGGTGATCCCCACTGCAAAAAATTTCTCTCTTTGTTTTCTTATCATATCTGAGTGCGTGCTTGCTGAGGTGCAGCAATGTCAGCAGGGTTGCTGCAATCCTGCAGTCCTGCAGGTTTTGCCCCTCTCATGCTCACGCAGGAAGCGCCTTGACAGTGCTGATTGCTGCTGTGTCATGCCACACCATGCCTGGTCGTAGCAAGCCGGAGCTCCTGCCCCGCATGCATATATATATGAATACAAAGTGCATACCTGCACTTGTACATATCAGTCACATCATGAAGTGCGCTGTGCTGGCTGCAGGATTCGGTGCCGGAGAAGAGCCAGAAGACGTTTGCAGACGTGAAGGGCTGCGCAGAGGCCAAGGCGGAGCTGGAGGAGATTGTGGCTTTTCTCAAGGACCCCTCCAAGTTCACGCGCCTGGGCGGAAAGCTGCCCAAGGGCGTCCTGCTGACTGGACCCCCCGGCACCGGCAAGACGCTGCTCGCCAAGGCCGTCGCCGGGGAGGCAGGCGTTCCCTTCTTCTTCAGGTGCTTACCAGCCGTTGATTTTGATGTTGAAATGAAACACCAATGCTGTGCCAGAAGTAGTGGCTTGTGCCACTCCTGCTGTTGGTTAGAGGCAATGCATATCCTCTTGCTGCCACCTTGCACCCGTGCCGGGGCGCTGTTCCGGTACTGCAAAAGTAGACTTGCAATCTGTTATTTTCGACCCCGCTTGTTGAAGTGGAGCACTAATACGATGATCATGTGTCTGAGAGAGATTGAGGGGATAATTTTCTAGCCTCCGTGGCGGCATGAGGATCCAGCATGATATAGAAAACGCGGTCGATCATGGGTATTGCTTTTTTTAATGTGCAGCTCTGAATGCACAAGTTTCTCATGCGCAGGGCGGGGAGCGAGTTTGAGGAGATGTTTGTGGGAGTGGGGTCGCGGCGAGTGCGAGCGCTGTTTGCGGCTGCTAAGAAGAAAGCGCCGTGCATCGTGTTCATCGACGAGATCGATGCCGTGGGCGCCTCCCGCAAGCTGTGGGAGAACCACACGCGCAAGACCCTCAACCAGCTCCTGGTCGAGGTGAATTGCCCTGGCCATTTCAACAATGTTTGGCATTCTGCATGAGTTGGGGCAGCGCATTTATGGCATTCAGAGCCAAGCATGCAGAGCATGGAGGGTCACAGTTGTGGCGGTCAGTATATAAGATGCAGTGCTGTGCAGAGAATAGATAGCGCGAGGTGCACAGCAATCAACTTTGGGTGGAAATGAAAGCTCTGGTGGATGTAAATCATCGGACGCGCATGTGATGCCGGCTGAGGCGGTAAAATGCATAACGCATTTAAATTCTCTTGCAGGAGGAGATGTTGTTCATATGTGTGGCCTTACAGCTATCCTTTCATTCTGTTTTGCCGCGGAATGAAATCCTCTTTGACGGAAGGGTGCTGTGCTGGTGCGCAGATGGACGGGTTTGAGGCGAACGAGGGCATCATAGTGATGGCGGCCACCAACATGCAGGAGAGCCTGGACGCGGCGCTCACTCGGCCCGGCCGCTTCGACCGCCACGTCGCCGTTCCGCTGCCCGACGTGCGCGGCCGCCTCGAGATCCTCGACTACTACCTCCAGGTGAGCAGCGGTTTGAGGAAGTGACTCCACTAACCAATGTGACCATCTGTGGGAGCCGTACAACGAGAGAAGGCAAGAAGCTGACTTTTTGCCTGCATGCAAGAAGGTTGCGGACACTGCTCTGCAAAAGTTGTGCTTTCAGTGAGTGCCGCTGCCACCGCCAAAAAAGCCAGAAGACAATCCACATTTAATTGATCCAGACAGCAGGATCCAATGTAGGACAGCTAGGAGAAAGAGAATTTGTGAAATCAAATTCTTTAGTAGCTGGGAGAGAAGTAAGCGAATGCAACCTTTTTATGACAAGAGCCTTGCACTTTTTTGAGCAACAGTGAGTCAGGGTGTCATTGCCATCAATATTTTCATGTTCACTCTGCGCAGGACAAACCGCTGTCGGAGGACGTGGATTCAGCGTCACTGGCGCGCAGGACGGCCGGCTTCAGCGGAGCTGAGCTGGCAAACCTAGTTAACGAGGCGGCGCTGGCGGCCGGCAAGGGCGGCCATGCACGCATCACGTCATCCATGCTTGACGAGGCGCAGGACAAGATCCTCATGGGCTCCGAGCGCAGGCAAGCCGCTGGCTACATTGCCAGTCACCCTTCACAGTCCTTTGCCAGGGGTCCGGCATATGCGAGAGTACCTGCACTTTTGTGCGGTATATCTCCTTGTGATATCGCAGGGCAGGGGGCAGAGCTGCCGGTCACAGATCAGAAATGGTGAAAAACAATTCCTTTGCTTAGTGCGCAGGTAATGCATGTATGAGAATTTAATGCAGCCACATTGCTGTTGGGGATCCTCCAAGTACATTCAGGGGCCTGGATGTTCAGGAAGGGCCGAGGACATTGAATTTGATTCCCAAAACTGAGGTTGTCTGATGGTGGAGGAGGTAAGGCACTCATCCAAAAGGCTGGACTTTAGTATACACTGCATGCAGGTCAATGGTGAGGACGGCGGAGTCACTGCGGCGGACGGCGTACCACGAGAGCGGCCATGCACTGGTGGCCATCCACACGGCGGGCGCTCACCCCATCCACAAGGCCACAATCGTGCCACGCGGCCACGCCCTTGGCATGGTTTCCCAGGTGGGTGGCCGCACCTTATTCTGCAGCTGTCGTGGCCTCACATTGGCGCTGATGATGTGATTGCACCACCACAGATGTGTTGCAAAGAGGTCTTGCTTTGCTTTCTTGTGTGACCTTGCAAAGGCGGCATGCCATGAGCAGGACAGCAGGCAGCAAGGGTACGGACGTCCCTGTTTTGATTATTTCGGCAATAAGATTGGGGTTATTATAGGATAAAGCGTCCAAAAGGACTTTTTAGCTCTACATAGAGTCATGACGATCCTCGCACCCCCATGTGATGCAATCTTTTTGTGGGGTCGAATATCACATGGTTGTGACAGAGAGCAAAATTATAACCTGCTTGAACGCAAAGCGAGTTGGTAGTGCATGTCTTTAGATTGCCGGACTCTCCTCTAACACCCCGACACAGGTATTATCCTGCAGTCTACTACATTTTGCAATTAATTGGGTTGTCGGTGCGCGGCAGACGCCGGAGAAGGATGAGTACAGCCGGACGCGGCAGCAGATGAGCGCGCACATCGATGTCTGCATGGGCGGCCGCGTCGCAGAGGAAATCATCTTTGGCGCTGACCAGGTGCGGCCACCGACTCTTGGCTGTCACGCAGATTTCTCCTCTCTGCTGACTGTTGGATGGTAGCACTCTTCTCTCTGCTGCCTGATTGATGGCGGCGTGCTTTCTAGTCGCTCTGAAGGCTCAACTGGTGGGCTTGTCCAAATCTGTCTGGGTGGCATTGCTTGAGGCACGGTGTTAAAGCCCAGAAGGCCTGGGAGGACTGTCACTGGGGCGTCCCTTTGCACCAGATAGGGTTCCTAGTCAGGCCTGGGCTGTGCGCTGCGAGAGCTTCGAGTCACAGCCCTTTCTTGCCAGCATCACCTCTGTGTTTTCCGGCTGTGTCTCAGTGCCGAGCCCTTTAGACGGGCAGGTCTGACAGGATTGTGTGGGCAAGCCTGCCAGCGGGCCAGCACGTGACCCCCTTAGGATTTGAATTCGAATTTCTACTTGAGGCTGGGTCTAGGGGCAGAGCCCTCGAGTTGTGACAAGTGCAGGACTGACAAGACTGCGTGGGCAAAGCCCGCCAACAGGCCAGCGCCTGATCCCCTTCAAGTTTGAAATTGCATTTGAATTTTGCGAGCGCAGGTTACGTCGGGGGCGCGCAGCGATTTCCAGCAGGCGACGCGAGAGGCGAGGCACATGGTGACGGAGTGCGGCATGAGCGACGAGATCGGCCCCGTCTTCGTGGAGAATACCGAGTCCCCCGACATGCGCCGCCGCATCGACGGGGAGGTCTCGCGCATCCTCCGCGAAGCCTACAACCGCGTCACCGCCCTCCTGGTAAACCCCTTCGCCTTGCTTCATTCACCTCTTGAGCCATCTAACAAGGGCGTGCTGAATTTGGCACATTCTCCAGCACTTCTTCCTATCTGGTTGCTCCTATTGGTGCCTCCTGCTCTTTTGACCACCCCCCGCTCTCTTGTACAGATTATCTTTCCTGAAAAAAACTTGTCATTGTTCTCCTGATAGAAAGAAAGATGTGGACTCACTGGCCATTCCAACATGAACGTGTCTTCCTAGAATTCTACCTGCATATAAAGATATTGCCTTTAATGTATGCGGCCTTTCATGGAAGGGAAGGAAGGTTGTAGTGTATCTGCTCACCTGCTTGTAGTGCCTGTGTGCAGACAGAGAAGGAGGAGCTGCTGCACCGTTTGGCAAAGGTGCTGCTAGAGCATGAGACGCTGACGCAGGCAGACATCCACGAGGTCATAGCCGGCACATTCAAGCGCGAACCTCTCCTGCGGCCCGTGGACCCAGAAGCAGAGGCTCTGCTGGGGGAGCAGGCGGCGCAGCCTCTTGCAGAGCATAGCAGCAAGAATTGAATGCATGCCTTGATACCACCGGCCTGCAATTGCCTTGGGGCCGTCAATTGTCATCATTCTTTTGCGGGGCATCTGAGCATAACCCCAGCATGGTGCTAGCTTCCTTTTTGTTACATCATACAATTTTGGTCGCCCCTGTCCAACATTATTAAAAAATCCAAGTTTATTTGTCGCTGTGCGTGGTGAATTTGGGCCCAATGTTGTCTGTGATTCCAGTATTATGTTTGCAAGTGTGGGTGGTAGTTGTCAGCCTTGACAATTATGGTGCATTCGTTAGAGGTGTGCTTGGGAACAGTTTCATCAACATGCTAGTCTGCCTCAATGAGGACCTAAGGGAAGGGTAAGCATGTGATATATGGAAAAATCTTAGCATCATTCCTATTCTGTACTTACATAAGAATATCCGGCATGGGAGGGGGTTCATGGCTCTTGTAACATGGAGTACTTAGCAAATCTCCGGCCCAATGTCTTTCAATGGCATGTCGTTCATTCAATGTGCTTTTAGCTCGCATGCTGTTACAATGCTCGCCAGTGGCAAAATCATGTTGTAAAGCAAAATTATCCAAGCATCAATCTCAGGCCTCATTGCGTGCACCAAGAGCTTGAAAATAGAACCTTCCTGCTGTGGTCTTTCATATCAACTCTCTCCAAAAGAATGTCTCTCATGTATAATCTCATCTTGACTTCATATTTGCGAAAAGAAATGCTCAATAAAAAAGGGCGGCAGGAGATTTCAGGCGACCCAAATGCTCCAACAACATGGCACACACGGTCCCCTGCATGGGGTGATCGGACCGCTGACTAGGAATCTGCCATCAGCATGTGATGCTACCAATCAATCTCTCTTTGTTCAACTCCAATTTGCAGTGTTTGTGTGTGTGTGTCAGGGACGGCTGTGCAGCCAGTCGGCTGGGTGCATGCGCTGTGAATTCTTGCGCTGCGGCTGACTGGACGTCCGGTCATCTGCGCGCTCAGAAAACGCCGTGCGCCAGCATGGCGTCTGCCACCTTGAGGAAGCCGGCAATATTTGCGCCTGCCTGCAGGTGGGTGCTGTACTCCTTGGCAGCCTGCAACCAGAAGCACACTCCATTCTCAAACTCTGGACTGACATGCGTGATCTTTAAAAATTTGGGTTAAGATATGTCTTGAGTTATTGTGATCTTCACAACACGAAAGTAGCAGATGCAACAGCCGCCATAGCGCGCCTGACAGCCACTAGGAAGGCAGTACCGCAATCAGTTGAAGTACAGCCGTCTGCAGAGATTATCCCAAATCAGCGACACCAGCGAAGGCCACACACGCACGGGCAGAAAAGCACAGAGCAGCAAGGAGCGCCCAAAAGCCGCTTTCTTGCCACCAAAAAAGCCAGATTGCCAGGGTACTTCAGCCCTCTATTTACACGAGGCCGTATATTGAGTCTTGTAGTTGGGAGGCCCGGAGCACCGATTTGGAGGCGTCGAAGATGGCCTTCATGATGCCCTTGAGCTTGTCGTCGACCTCTTCGCGGCTCCAGGACAGACGCGCGCTGTTCTGCGCCATCTCCAGCCCCGACACTGCCACGCCGCCCGCGTTGGCCGCCTTGGCCGGGCCAAACTCGATCCCGTTCTTGTGGTAGAGCGCAATGGCCTGGATATTTGCACACAATGGAAGCTCAGCAGGCACAACCTTGATTTTTCCTAACAAATGTAGTATGTGTGCATATATTGTTTATCCACAGCTGCAGGGTTGCTCCCACGCAGGTAATGGCAAAGAGCCACGTCATCGGGCAAACACTTATTCAATCTCAACTTTGCTCATCATATGTCTTCTTCCCATTAAGTGTCCTTCGGGGAATCGTGTCCTCTTCAGTCTTGCCAGGAACAGCGGTCCTTTGCGAGGAAGACAGCGCTGACAAGGACCCTACACCTGCAATCCCATGCTACCACACCCAAAATAACCCACAAAGAAAGGGGCTGCACCTCTGAGGTGGAGGGCATGTTGGCGCCCTCAGCCACCAGCTTGACGCCTGCCTTGACCAGCAGATCAGCATCCGCCTTCTCAACCTCGTTCTGAGTCGCGCACGGCAGCGCGATGTCAAACTTGGTCGGGACCTCCCACGGCCTCTTGCCCGCCACAAACTTACCTGCGAACACGGGATGCGCGGCTGTTGAGAGGCCACGCTCATGACAGCGAACCATGTTGCAGCGGCTTTGTAAGTGCATAATTGCTGTGACTACGACTGCATATGCATGTGGGAAGCCACCAATGAACAGCGGGAGGAAATAATGGAGTCAAAAAGCCACAAAATCTGGATTCACAGGGCAGGAAGATTTGTTTCTGTCCAGGTCTTGGCCAGACCACCAAGACCTTGACGATACATGTCTCGCTGCTGTGTGAAGCATAGCACAGATACACAATCCATTCTGTCCGCTCATTGATCAGCCTGACCACACATTTTCAATAGCACAATCCTACAGAGTCATGAGCACAGCACATAAAATGCAACGAGCCTGAATAGTAAATCCTTGATTCCGTGAATCCTTGATTTTCCCTTTTCTTAAGGGTTTTGGTGATTAGGATTAAGATCTCTAAACCTTGGGAAGTATGCGCACCGGACTTGAAGTCGGAGAGGCGGCCGCGCTTGATGACTTTGTGGTCATTGACAGCTTCTAGCAGCTCCTTGGTGAGCCCATCCTCAAAGTAAACATAGCCGGTTGAGTCGGACACCGTCAGCACAGTTGCGCCCAGCTCCAGAAGCTTCTCTACTGTATAAATCGCCACGTTTCCGGAACCTGACACCGCCACACGCTTGCCCTGCGCGTGCGCACGCATGCATGCATGCATGCATGTCAGAGTGCTGCAGACGTACGGATGATTACACAAGCAAAGTACCAGATGTGTGCTGTTGGCATGCAGACAAGTAGCTTAAACTGCGCACATAGGGATGCATGCCAATGCTGCAGAAACATGGACGACAAAGGAAGCCTGCTGTAGGATGAAAGGGCCAACTCCCCATTAAGGTGCAATAAATAAGAGGAGGTTGGAATTGAATGATATTCATATTTTGATCACTTGTCAATTTGACGGAGATCATGAGCATGGAGCCCCATCTGCCAGCGAAGCATTCTCCCTGCGTCCACGGACTGCTTGGCAGGGAGAACGCTATGCGTGCACAGGTGCCTCCATCTCCAGGCTGGTTGCCGCTCGGGCCTATTTGCCACTGGATGCAAGACAAGCAAACATGCTTGCTTGACAGTCATGGTGATGTGTCTGCTTGATGATAGGTGCTTACCTGGAGGCTGTCGCTCTTGTCCTCCAGCATATTCTGCACAAAGTACACCAGGCCGTAGCCGGTGGCCTCTGGCCTGATCAGGCTGCCTCCAAATGACAGCCTGCACAGACAGAGACACCCTACCCATCAACACAAGGACGATACAGTTGGAACCGCATGAACAGCACACAGAAGAGCCAAGTTCAGCATCCTCCATTGAACAACCTTCACAAAACTTGCACACGTGCAGGTCTCTGCTGTCTCAACGATGTTCGATGGTCTGTAACTCGCACTGCTCTGTCCCTCAGGCTGTTGCGGCCCCACAAACTTACATTCCTTGAAGAGAAAAAGCACACAAAAAAACGTAGTGACCCACCCCTTGCCGGTGAGGATGCCGACAAACTCGTTGCGGATGCGTTTGTACTGCCCAAACATAAAGCCCACCTCGCGGCCGCCCACGCCGATGTCACCCGCCGGCACATCGGTGTCAGCACCTGCCAAAACAGGCACAATCCACATCAGCTTCTCTTCGTATTCCCTCTTCAGATGCCTCTCACGCAACATGCAATCGAGGCAGGTTTGGAAAACGCACAGATTTGTATGTGCTGAAATGGACAGCAGGGGAGTTTCAGATTGCAGCGCATGGCAGCATGGTGGGCGGTGGTAAGCACCACTCAGATTCCCAGTGGTGGGTTAAATCCCTCAAGGCAAGGGACGCGTACCTATGTGGCGCTGCAGCTCGGTCATGAAGGCCTGGCAGAAGCGCATCACCTCCCCGTCTGACTTGCCCTGCACGTGGATGACTCACATCAGCCCCTGCTGTGATGTCAGATTGGAAAACCACATCGCTGCTGTCCGTGCCAGGCGGTGGCTGTAGCTGTGGCTCTCTTGGCTGAAACAGGGTGTCGCTTTCCCTCTGTCCAAGCACCCAGCTGGTCACCCCTTGTGTCAGCCTTCTGCCAAGCTTTTAGGGTTAAAAGGAAACAGTACGATTCACTCCTCTGTTCGTTACTTGTCTCGGTTTCCAACGCAGCGATTCTGTGACGCTGTTGCTACACAGCCCCAGATGATGGTCAGGCTCAATTTAACGTGCCATGACCACCGATACTGGAAGCTGTACAGGTGCACCTTGGGGTCGAAGTCGCAGCCGCCCTTGCCGCCGCCCATGGGGAGTGTGGTGAGGGAGTTCTTGAAGATCTGCTCAAAGCCCAGGAACTTGATCACCGACAGCGTCACGGTCGGGTGGAAGCGCAGGCCGCCTGCATGCGCACATAGGCAACCTCAACACTCCGAAGAGCAGAGGCATCTCCAAGCCCTCATCCGTGGAGGCCACAGTATCAAGCAGCAAGCACACCAGTGCAACAGGCTTCCGCTGTCATGTGCTGCTCCTATGGACTACTCATCAAATCAATCATTCGGCAGAAGCTGCAAGAATCCGCCTTTCACTTAGCGAAGCAGGGTAAGTCTTGCAGTGCTCTGGCCATCAGCTCTCCTGGGACTCTGATCTGGAGACACATGATTTATCAAAGTGGGTCCTTGACTGGGCCCTTGATGACTCAGGAATGAAACCAAGCCAGCCTTAGAGGGAGGTTTCAAAGCATGGACCTTGACAATGTGCAAAGCAACAGAAGAAAAGACACAGGAGGAGGACTGGGGTCAGAGCGGCGCGCGCACCCTTGTAGCCAGCCACTGTTCACGGATTTTGAAAAAGCAAGAAGATGTAGAGGGTGAAGCCATAGAGCAAAGGAGGAGCGCAGAAGCGGGGGCTGGGGGTCGAGCGGTGCGCTTACCCTTGTAGGGCCCGATGGCGGTGGAGAACTGGATGCGGTAGCCGCGGTTGACGTGCTGCTTACCAGCGTCATCCACCCAGGCCACGCGGAACTGGATCATGCGCTCCGGCTCCACCAGACGCGCCTGATCAGGCCGCACACAGAGGGTTAACAACACATCTACAAGCCTGAGTCTTGCAGCCTGCTCTCTGCGCTCTGTACCCTCACAGCGGCATGCTTCTGACTGCGCATGCGCACCTCGCCTCGCCACCTCTGCACAGGGATGACTAATCTGTGGTGTGCTTGTGTGATTGTGTCGTGCAGCAGTGATGAAGCTTAAATTTGCGTGACATCCTTGACACTGGTATTTTTGCCTGTCCTGTCACATTGCTACGCTGCAGGGAGTGAGGGGACGCCGCTCTCCTATCATATCCTTCCTCGTCATATGCATGACATTGAATACTGGAGCACAGTGAAATTGTGGTCCCGGGCATGCGGACTAAGGGCGGCACGCCAAAAGACATGTCTCAGATGATGGAGATAGCTGGAGGCTGTCTTTGCCAGGTTTACAAGCTCCGTTGGCGGGCCTTGGGTGGCTGAATTTCACAGCAGCACCTCTGCACGAGGCTAGCCACAGGCAAATTCAACCTCTGTGGCAATCCAAGGTTGGCCTTGGACGACAAGCTCCTGTAAACCAAAGTAATGTTGTGGAGTAGGGGTGTCAGAGACTTGTCGCGCACCATGACGGGAATCAGCTCCGGCCTCTTGTCGAAGACGGGCTCGAGGGTCTCGAACACCTGAAACAGACCAGGACAAGGACTGAGTCCAAGAGTCCTGACAAGTGTTGACAGATTTGAGGTCAAAGTCGCTCTCGGATGCCTTGGTGCTACATATATGTCACTACAAGACAAAACGCAGGTCCAGGTATAGAGCAGCATTAGAACAAGAAAGTGCTGACGCACCTCCTCAACAGCCTGCAGGAACTCGGGCTGAGCAGGATCGCGAGCCTTCACGCATTCGAACAGCTCCTGCACAGACGTAGGAGATGATGGTTTTAGCTTCTGCTCAAGATGTGACAGGATAACATCTAAAAAAGCTTGTGAATCTTTGACGAAGGCAAGTCGGCTGCCTGCATCTGCACACGGTGCGCCTGAAAGGCCCTTATTTCCCGTAACAAGAGGAAATCGATCCAGTACCGTTACGAAGCTCTCTAAAGAACGCAAAAGGTTAATTACTTTCCTGCTGTGTCCAACAGAACACCATCGTTATTGGACCAACAACTTGTTGACCTAGTTTTCACATCCCCAATAATACAAAACGGTCTAGATCCCTAGAAGTTGTACTGAATTTGGCGCTCCTATGATCTTTCTCCCTGACAACTCTCATTGGTACAGAGAAGAAAGGCCAGCTTTCTTATGCGGCTGATCTGCTCTGTTCTAGGGCATACCCCGACAGCCGGGTTCTGGAAGCTGGCCGTGACCGTCATCTTTATCGAGGGTCGTATGCGGCTGTGGATGTCCTCCTTTGCGATTTGCAGCGGTGTTCTGTCTCGGAAAGGTGACCGAAAGTTGATATTTGCATCCCATGTGAACCCATGTGCGGGACACAATCGAAAGGTACGGGAAAATTTACGGAAATATTGACCAAGTGCAAGATCCGTAAAATGCTTTCGGTGTTTCCGACATCGAGCTGATTGTTGACTTCTCTTCTTCTTGACCACTTAATCTTAGTGCAGTAACTCGCTGTATGTTTAAATGGATTAACTGGTGAAACACTGCATTCATCGCAACCGCACAGTGGCCTGGTCTGCACTGACCTACTGAGAGTGCCGAACTTTCCTTTCAAGCTGTCAAGACGTTTACCTGAATATAAGTCGTATCGTGGATTAAATGGATAGTGGAACAGCAGAGGACCCGGGTCCGAACAAGGCTGCAGACTCCCACCATGCAGATGATCCGTTGAAAGGGCTGTCGCATCTCGCTGACGGATTGGAACCCGGGTCCTTCCAAGTAGATGACTATGAAGAGGTATGTTTTCCGTTTAATATGTACTGTACAATTGCAGAACAGAAGTGACAATGATGATCACGCATTTGCAGATCGACAAAGATTTAAATTCTCACAAGCCTGACTTTGGTCCATCCAAATGTGATGCAATATGTATGAACCTTCTGTCGAGACTTTGATGTATGAGAACTGGCTTTGAGGAAGTTGCATGTTTCTTCTTTCTTATTAGAAAGAGGTGACTGCTGGGGAAGCTGCTTGGAAGCTCCTGTAACCTGTTACTTTCTACGGGGAGCAAAGCTGGAAAGTGCCTGTTTGAAGCTTGCCAGTATATTGTGGTTGAATTGCATGTCCCTAAGATGTGCTGCTGCATGCGCAGCTGGAGTTTGGAGATGGCATGGACTTCCTGGACACTGGGGAGCTGCGGACGCAGCTGTCACAGAAGCTGACTGCCAACACGGCAGCAGCGCGCAAACGCTACGCCAAGATGCGCGCGCGAATGAACACGCCGCACCAGATCCTCGCTCGCGACAAGGCTGCTTTTGTCCTCGGCACCCTTGGAGCCATGTGCGCGCACCTGCTGTCCTGCCTGCCTCATTTGCTTGCACATGGCGACTGCACGGTCTAACTGCAACCTCACGTTTGCAGTTATGGAGGACCAGTCTGTAACATTTTGCATGGGAAGATTGTGTGCTGCAGGCTATCAGCCTTCTGGCTGGGAAAAAGCCCGGGCACCTTCAAGCAGCTTTACACCATTGCTGCCTTTGTTCTCTTTGCAGTCCGCTTTCTCATCTACCGGTCCAAGGGGTGCGCCATCTCCTCAATACCTCTTCTTTGCACGTTTAGACGTCATTGTTGCATGTGCAAAGGACTTTGGTCTTCTTTGCCACAAGGGGTGACTGGGCAATTTTTTTGGCAAAATTGCTGACAGCTGTTCATTTGCTGGAGATGTCTGTCGGCAAAATATGGCTTATCAGAAGCCTGGCCTGCTGCCTGCAGGTGGCATTACTACTTGCTGGACTACTGCTATGTCGTGCATGCGACACTCTTGGTGAGTCGTCGATATTGCTCTGCTGCACTACTGTCTGTGTGAAAATCCGTTGTGACACCGGATTAATATCCAGGGGACTTAGGAGGCACTCGGTTGTTTGCAGGTGCACCTCTGGGTGTTTCCACACAGTGCCTTCCTCCACAAGGTGAGATTGGCACGCCCGTGACCTGACACATTCACACACAATGCAGGCCATGTAGTTGTGTACTGAAGAAGAGAAGAAGACAATGTCTGAGCAGTTTGGCGTCGTTGCAGATCACCTTTGCCTATGCATCTGGCCCACTCGCCTGGTCAATCCTGGCATTCAAGTGAGGCATCAAAGGCCCCATTGAATGTTATGCAGCCTCATGGTTCAGTGCCTGCGTACTTCATTGTGCGAATTCCCCAACTACATGAGAGAGGGCTGACAGTGTTGCATGCTGACAATGTCCCAATGTGCAGGAACTCCTTGGTGTTCCACTCGCTTGACAAGGTGTGGCTTCCTTAATGCTTCCTCAGTGCAAGTGGACCCTGTCTTTATAGCTTGAGCACTCTTTACCTCGAGATTCTTAGCTTTGAGACATGCATGTGTGGGACTTGGGAGCGCTGGCTCCTATCTGCTTTGCTGCATATATGATGCAAGAATGATGCAAATTAAGTGAGCATTTTGCAACATTATTAACAGGCATGCGCGTGCATGTGCGCAGATCACGTCGCTGTTCCTGCACTGGTTCCCGGCGTGCGTGGCCTGGACGGAACGGTGGCACCCGGACTCGGAAATGCGCGTGGCCGAACGCAAGTCGCCGGAGGCCGCGCGCGACTGGAACACTGCCACGCTGACGCAACTGGTGCTTCTGCCCTGCGTCCCTTACCTCCTCTGGGCCGTGCTGTACTACACCAAGGCACGCAGCACATGTCTAATTTGTCATGCATGATGCTGACCTGCTACCTTTGTGTACTAATGTCGTCTAGAGCAACGCATGCCTGCAAGTTCTTATACCTGCTCTGCATTTGCAATTTTTCAGATGGCTGAAAGGGATGGCTGGGGTTGACTGAGTGACAAGGGGGTGGCTGCCCGGGCTTCTGTATCTTTTGTGGGGTCAAGAACAGGCTTTGCTGCTGGTGTGACAGCAGGCTCTGGGCCATGCTGCTGTAGAAAAAACCTCATGAGGGGTCTTGGGGGGTGATGAGGATCCATGATGAGGTTGACTTATGCAGATAAGGGTGGATCCACCAGGCCGAGGGGCACAGAGTGGTGCTGCGCGCAGGTGTTCATCGTGTCGTCGAACAAGATCCAGGAGCGTAACTACGAGACGCTGTACAAGTGGATCACACGCCAGAAGGGCAACATCATTACTCGCATCGTGCTCAGCGTGCCGGCACCCTGGCAGGTGCGCCCCAGCATTCCATACGTTGCAATTTGGATTAAGATCTTGATAATCTGCACCTTGTAGAGGGACATATACTGAATTGTTTCTGTGTCGACTGCTCTGCAGCAGCTTCTGCTGAATTGCAAGGATGCGCTGGTCTCCATATCTGCAAGCTCAGAGTGCTCGATCTGCTGCTGCTTGTTTGACATCTTTTCTGTGTTCTCTTATGCAGCCGCTGGCGTACATGTGCGTGCACATCACCCTGACCACGATGACATTCGCGCTGTGCAAGCTGTGGTGGAGCAGCTACGAGGCGCACACAGCCTTCCTGCTTTTCATCCTGGCGGTGTCAGCCTGGAACGGGGCCTCCTACTACTTTGACTACTTCTCCAAGCACTACTTTGCTGGCCTGGGGGCACGCAGCAAATCAGAATGACAGCTGCGATTGGACACCAGCATGATCAGCCAGCCGCCTTGCTGAGACTAAGGACTTAGTGTAACATATCAGCAGCTGGCCCTTAGTGTGTGAGGACTGGCCAAGAGCTACCTTCATGTTGCATGGTGAGGCGCCGCTTTGTATGCTGGCTTGCAGAGACTTTGACGGTGCAGTGTATTAGCAGCTGTCCTTCAACGTGGGAGCCACAGCTGGCTGAAAGATGCTTGGATGAGGGCTGATTTGGGCCTGCATGCAGCGGCATGACTGCAAATCCAAGGGCATGCATGTCTCTAGAGAACCCGGGCATGCATGTCTGCATGCATGCTTGTTTCGAACATGCAGACGTCCAGGACAAGTAAGAAAGCTGAATGCTTCTTTCATTGCTTTGATTAGGAAATTGATTTCGAGGCTGGCGTGAGGGGTTGCGGCAGCAAGTATAAACTGTCTATCAGCTGTTGCTGTGCATGCATGCTCCGGAGTGTAGTTACTTGCAGACTCTGCAGTCTAGCAGACACGTGTCTGGCCATAGAGCACAGCCATCGAGCATGGTGGCAGGTCCTGCAGTAGAGTTCACAGAATGATTGCTGTAAAAGCAGGTCTTGCCAGTTCCAAGCTCAATCCAAGTGTAAAACGGTGCGCAGTACCGACAACAGGCTGCATGCATGCATGCAGAACCCTTCTTGAGCAGGAGCAAAGGCCCGCGCCTCACTATGCACCTTTAGAAACCTCTGTTGATGAGATTAATGCGAAGTCATGCATTTCAGAGTGACCCAGACTCATGCATGTCAATTAGTCAATGCATTTGGGCCAGGCCTGACTCAGCTGCCAGGTGGTTCCCAGCACCATGCGCTGTCGGCTGGGACACAACGAGAGGGAGGACACTTCTGAGCGCATATTCTCTTGTCTGTCTCAAAACCAGCACCACCACATCCTTGTACTGCTTTCCTGACGGCAGAGCGGTGGGATGTGCGAGAACGGTTTCTGCATATACAGCTTCATTGTGCTGTTTGCAGCCGCGGCGCTGTACCAAAACCAGAAAGACAGCTGTATTGTCCCTCTCTTGACCTCCTTTACTCAGTGCTGCTCTGTTTGGGCATCTGGCAATCAGGATTGGGGCCTATTCACTCTTGCAGGTCCACGACCCGACACACCCACTGACAAGGCGCCTTCTGTCCTGTGCAGGGAGTCTTTTCAGCTTCGAAGTGCCCAAGATCCTGCCAACCACCACAAACGGTGAGCCTGATCGTGTAGATCTCGAACTTCCAGGTCTCTGGCCACGACCTGACGTTTTGCCGACCACCGACCTGCTGGACGAGCACTGCTTCTAGGAATTCGGCACCAACGGACCTGCAGCAGCTGTGCATGCATATGCATACTGTGCTGATCAAGTGAAGGATGGCTCTGTCAGCCGCTATTTGCAGCATTCTGAGCTCTGCCTGGTTTTCCAACTTATGCAGGCACCCAGCAGCAGACTGATATCTTCCTCTATGATGGCCAGAATCTGGCACTGGCTGTGGAAACTCTGGGTGAGTGCTGTGCTGCATCAGTGCTTATCCCATATGTGATGGAAGTGAGGCAAGAAGGCTTTAGCATCCTCACTGTCATTTCTATGCTGCTTGGTCCACTAACAAGTATCTTGCTATGTGGCAGAGCTGAGTCTCTACACCAGACTGAAGGTCACTGAGAGTAAGTGCCTTATGGTCCTTCTGGCAAAGCAGACACACATTGCTTCCATTCCCTCTCATGTTACTGATGTAGCTGCTGAGCTGTGCTGACAGTTTGCATGCCTCATGCACATGCACAGATGGTACGGAGCTACCGGGCCTCTTCAAGCTGGCCAATGTTCCCGGTGAGTTGCACTTCCTCTCTGCTTTTTATGAATTAGCCCTTTGTAGTTGGCATGGATTGTGCATGGGAAGGAAGACCCGTTCCTGCAGATTCGATGCCTGGCCCTGCATGTCTGTTGTTGCTTTGGAGAGCAAGGCAAAGTGATCTGCATCATCAAGCAGACATTGTTCCCCTGAGCCCAAGCATTTTGCCTGCTCTGTTGGAGATTACTGATGTCGCTCTGGTGCACAAGGCTGAGGTCATTCTGCTCTGGTGGATAGGGCAGCCAGGGCAGAGGCACCTGGTGCCTATGGACGAGGATGCTTCCAACACAAACATCACTTCCCCAAACCTGCAGGCCTCAAACTTGAGCGGACCGCTCCAGCCAACAGAGGGCAATACCCAGTCGGTGCCTGATACCCTGGGCCTGCTCGGCGCTCGAGGTGCCTCCTCATGCCCTCCTCCACAACTTGCGCAGAGAGTGTCTCTTGCTTGCAGCGCTTCCTGCCAGTCATTCTCACCAGGTGGCTGTTGGCTGCGGTGCAATCTGCAATCCTGTCATGCATCCTGACATGCATGTCCGCACAGTATAACCTCTGGGAGCTTAAGCCTCTATCATGCATGCCCTCAAGCTGTCCTGAGGAGCCATGGAATATTGAAGATATCTTCAAACTTGTCATTGTGCCCCTTTGGAGGTATCCAGTTGAGACACAGCGGCAAGGATTGTAGAAGGGTATATTGTGCAATGCAGGCAAAGCCGAACACATCTGGGAAGTGTCTATGGGCCACTACAGCAGCCAGAACGTGTCAGAGGCTGCAGTGACTCAATTGGCCACCCGGGTCTACAAAGAGCACGCTGATGAGTTTTCTGATGGTGCGCATCTCCCTTGTATACATGAGCAAGCACTGCAATGCACTTAAGCGCGTAGGATGCCTCTTGATACATTTGTGGCGGCAGGAATGAGGTTGGTACGCACTGCAGAAAAGTGATGATGCTTTGGCATGCCCAAAGAATCAGCCATATTCCCCTCTGACGACCATGCACAGGCTTGCCAGGCATTCAGGCTGACTCGTTGTCTCTTGCTTGCAGGGATCTCAAACTTCGCTGAGGAGTGCGCCAAAACATTGTCTCACAATGTGACCAAAGCTGCTGAGCTCTTCTGGGGGTGGAAGGTCGCAATAGGTACTGAAGTTGACATGCTGGTCCACCGCTGCTGCCGGTCCCGCTGGACCCTTTTCAGTGCGCTCCTTGCTAGCTGTGAATCTCGCAAACCATGCCCAGCGTCTGACTTTTGAATGCCTGCAACATTATGCCCGGTGTAGGGCATAAAACAAACACAGCACAAGTTGTCTGGTTCAGCAATAAATGTTGCAAGGCGTCTGCTGTGCCAGCAATCTGCAGATTGAGTGGAATGGAATGAAGGCAAACAGCATCAAGTCATTGCATGCATTGTTGCTCTGCCAGCAGTCTGCAGGTTGAGCAGATTGGAATGAGATGCCAACAGCATCATGTGATTGCATGCATTGCTGCTCTGACGCTCTCTGATTATGGAATCTGTGTGCATGCACAGGAATTGGCGAGCTAGCTCTGAAACTCCCTGTGAACCAGCAGCAGCAGCACCTGTCCCTCTTGCTGACATCCATCTGCAGCGGCGCGGTGGGGAATTGCGTTATCTTGCCCACCCGGCCGCCAGGCGTCTCCCTCACACCCACCTAGCTTTGTTGAACTTCCTCAAGTCTTACCTCAATCAGCTGGGGAAAAACAGTATCTTGAGATCAGTCAATATCCAAGCCAGTGCCATGGAGTCAATTTCAGAGAGTTTTTTGCCGGCTGAGACTTATGTCGTAGACATCAGGCTTTTATTGCAGTAGGGTAAGAACTTGTGTAGCGGCTCACAAATGACACTGCAACTTAGGACAGGACAGGTTGATGGGTCCTGCTGATGTGCAATAGTTCCAAATCTTTACAAGTTAGGATTTGTGGCTTCAGGAGCGTGTGGCGTGATCCTGCCAGATCCCGTGACACGGGCAGGTGGCTATGTAAGAGCTTTTCCAAGCATATTTTGCTACATCATAGTCTGCCACATCCAGGTTGGATCACCGAGCTCCCGGTTGCACATTTTATGGTCGGAGACTTTTTGCGGAGTTATGTCCAGGTGCCAACCTCGAACGGTAGGGAGCTCGATGCCCAAAATCACGAAGGCCTGCACGAGAGCAAACCCACATAGCACAACAAGAGCATCCAGGTATCGCTGCAAACTGCTGCCATCACTGTCTAGCACATGATCCATGCAGTCATCAGCCGGGCCTGTAGCTACTTTCTATAAAAAAAACAGCGTACCTTGGGGTTGCAAACGCTGCCAAAAGGAGCGTAGCACCTGGGCGCATCCAAGAGACTGAGCCTGATGTCAGTGGTGTAGTCATCAGTACTGATATCATCGATTGCGCAGTAAGTTGCTATGGGGCGGCCAACATCTGTATCCTGCGCCAGCATGACATCTTGGCAAATGGACTGGTCCTTTTCCCTGTTGAAAAGTGCATATGAAGGGATCAGGTCCTTACAAAACCACCATTCCAGCAATTACCTCAACTGGCCAATCATATGTCATTGAAGCATCATATGCCGATGGCCATACGCAACAGCCATAGATCAAGTGACCGAGCCCGTTTCTTCTTTCTACAGCCAGGCAAGTCCCATTTTGTGCGTAATCATCATAGGCTTGTGGTCCCCAAGGATGCACGATTTTCCTCCTTCTTTCCTCAGAAGTCATTGTGCGGACAGTCACAATTCCCAGGTCAACAAACGAGGAGCCCAAATCTTTTAGGTTTCTCCCTTGATTAAATGACTGCAGTTGTTGGACACACATAGTGATTCACTGCTTCTTTTTTTTGATGGGCTAGACGGCACGAATTGTGACCTCTTAGAACGCACCCCAAGGTCAGCTGCACTTGATCAATATGGCAGGCCGCACACAGGCTGGATATCGCACCTGTCCCTCAAGATCCATGGCATAGCTTGTAATCATGGTCAAGAATGTAATGAAGATCTCCTTCTTCATACCGTCTCAGAATTCTGAACCCAATAAATTGCAATTTATCGCACGTACCGTGCTTCTTGACCAAAAGCCAGCTAAGCGATTTTCACCAGCGTTGTTCCACCATCGTAAGAGCAGACCATAATTCGCTATGAGAGCGAAGTGATCGGCCTCATATTGTCCGGGTTCTCTTGGTCTCGTTCGTTGCTTTGGGGCTGCGAGATTGGGGTTAGCTTATGGTGAGTCACCCAAATGGAGCCCTCAGCTTCCCACAGTGCCTGCTCTGCTTCTTGCGCTTCACATAGCTGGAACTCCATTTAACACAGATTGATTGAACTCTACATTCTGTCCGAGAGTGTGAAGACGTTTGGGCTCCAAGGAGCTGAACTTATTCAGGCTCTCTTGAGCTCGATGGATTGTTGACAAGCGTATGCGGTGCACTATGCTTTGTTTGGCCGCAGAAGCATGCTACTAGTGAAGTGATTTTTGCAAGTACAGTCACACATTTCACCAAACAGGACATAGCTTACTGTGGCCAGACATGGCCAAACCTATGCAGGATCCACTCAGTTCTCTGGCATTCGCTGACGAAGAGGTGATATGGCCTACAGCCTTTTTATTTACGTTGTGGACCTCGTTTCTGCTCTTTGATGGCCGAATACTGCGTATTTACGATGTTGCAATTTTGAGCATCATCTTCTGTCGTTGCTGGGACGCATGATTAATGAAAATGTCTTCACTGCAATGCAACAATGAGTATGGTATCACTGATAACCAATGATCACGGATGTGCAACATAGATCTTTGCACGAATTGTGAGTTGCCGGTTTGCAGGATGACCTCGAAGAGGAGGTGCCCATTCACGATGAGCCTTCCCTCCCAGAAGAGGCTTTGTTGGCCGGCTCGGTAAGTACTGTGGGATATTCTCACTTGCGAGCTCCTTGAAATCATCGGACGTGTTCTAACCCTAAATAAAATTTTAGCAGGGGCATCCAGACTGGACCTGTCTTGGATCCTTGGAAGCTTCATGTCGATTCCTTGCTGGAAGAAGTCAGACTGCTGTAAATGTGTCTCTGGTATGCTACAGGCACCCTTGAGGGATGAAGAGCAGGGAAACAGCTCATACACAGACACCTATGCCACAAGAGCGCAGCAGGATGATACAACAAGGTGCACATGACCTGCACACTGCTCAACCCTTATCATCTCCTGGTTCTTGCACCTTATACCGATCTCTTTCCTATTCCACCGCTGCGGAGTGCATGACTTGCAATTTGCTTCAAGAAGTTTTCACTGATCCTTCTTTCTTGGTTTTGCAGGGTCGATACTCTTGCGAGCTATGGGCAGCTGGTGGGTCCGCCCTCATATGATGACTCGGTCCTCTTTGAACGCAACGACCCCAATGAGGAGCCAGGCGGTGCAAGCAGCGCCAGCAGCCGCCCGCCCCTGAAGATATCCGTCACTGACCCTGTGAAGAAGGTGTGGCGCTCGCCATGTCTTGTCCTACCTTTTTGAGTCACTGCAGCTCGTGTTTCTCACACGCAGGCCTGCCACACCAAGCGTGCAGGCCATATGAGAAGATCTTTGGGGAATCACACTGCATTGCAGGTGGAGCAGGGCTTTCTGGGCGTGCAGGGAGGCCATGTGACATACCGTGTCAGCACATCCACCTCTCTGCCCACCTTCTCCCGCCCCGAAGTCACCGTCAGGCGGCGCTTCAGAGACTTTGTGGTGAGTCCACCTCTGTGCCTTGCGTGCAAGATGCGATATACCCCCGTACATCACATGTGCATCCTGAACAGACTTCCTACCTCTGTGCGTTAGAAGAGGCCTTAGATGCATGCGTGTGCCGTTATGCACTTGCATTTCAGTATTTTATGCAGGTCATTCGCGTCGTACGTGGGATGTTCACTGAAATGTCTCTACTTCTGCATGCGCTGCTTGATGCAAGGAAGGATACATGCCAGCATCAGTGAATGATGCAGACAGCAAACGCCCTATAGCAAGGTGGCTGACACATTTGCCTGCTGCGCCAAACCAGGCGCTGGCGGATCTGCTGAAGGTGACTCATCGCGGATATTTCATCCCCCCGCGGCCGGAGAAGAACCCGGTGGAGGGTCAGCGCGCGCAGCAGGACTTTGTGGAGCAGCGCCGCGCAGCGCTGCAGCACTACCTGGAGCAGCTGGCCGCACACCCCGCCCTCTCCCGCTCTGAGGTGCGCCAATTAGAGGCCAAAAGCTTGCTGCAAGGCCGAGTGTGTCTGGCTGATGACGTATCATCCCATCATTTCCTGCTCAAGATTTGCGCAGGAAAGGGCACATAGCAGATTACAGGGTGTGTTTATTAGCCACTTCGACTGGGTTGACATAAATACCCTAGGCACAGCCATTTGTTGCACGATAGAAGTGTTGGCTTTGCTCAATGCCTATCAAGTTGACTATTGGAGCGGTGACTCGCTTGCGGTATGGAGTAGTCGTTTTTAGCGACTGCATGTTGTCTGGGTGCTTCTTGCTGTTTCCATTTTTAGCTGACATGCCTTACAGCTGTGCACGAGTGGTGATTTATAACTAATCTGACTCGCCATGTTGCTCTTCTTGGTGAGATGCGGTGCAGTAATTTGTGCTGACTGTGATGCATGTCAGAGTGAGCAGCAACATGGCATCACAGAGGACGCTGTGCATTGCCGGTCTGCACTTTTATTGGCATCCATTGCATCAGAAATCTAAGAATGCTGGCGTAGAGACCGTATGTATTGCATCACAGGAGCTGAAGGCCTTTCTGGAGATTGAGGGGGCACTGGCGGACAGCTATCAGTGGCGCCAGTTGCACCCCATGCAGGGGTCAGTCCTGGAGGGCATCGCCCGCCTGCCTAAGCAGCTCCTGGGTGCGCCCCTCTTCATATTCCCCTTGCCTTTTCTTCATAATCTTTCCTGGCAGCCTCATTTGCTGCAGCAGTCCCTCATACTCGTCATGTCGCTGCCACACCCGTCATACATTCCTGCGTGGGGGCCCATTGTTGCATTTTGTTTCTAGTTTGTATCTACCTTTCTGGTAGATGCAAGTCCTCGCTGGCTACCATCGAACTCTTTTGCATGGGGATGTACTTTTTGCTTTGAAATTCAGTCAATATGCCACAGGCCAGGAGGGCACGATAGCGGCCCCCGCGGAGGCAGCGCAGTCGACGAAGAACACGAGCGATCTGCTGCGCCGGTGGAAGGAGTACGCAACAAGCTTCAAGGACAATCTCAAGAGCGAGCCGGCCCCCATGAGCGAGGCAGAGGTCAGCCTGCGCAACGAGAAGATCAAGATTGACGACTTCCAAGACAAGGTCATGGCCGCCAGTCGCAAGGTGCGGCCGCTCTTTACTTCACATGCTCTTACATGCACAATTTTGATTGCCCATGCAGTGCTATGTGTTGTGTTTCTCTTCTGCTGGCGGTGTCCGACTCAACAGCGTTCCCAGGGGTCCAGGCATACTCCTGCAATACGTGAACCTTTCGCTTTCTAGCAACCTCAATTATGCATCATAGATATCCATGATTAGGAGGTACTGAAGACACGTTATGACCTGCACAGCTGCTAGAGACTGGCCCGCAACGCCTGTGTTCCGTTCTCAGACTGGTCTGCAAACCACCGAGCTGCTTCCATGCACCACACCCTTTTGTTAGAATCAATGCGAGCCTTGAGAACAAACTGTTGAGCTGATGTGTTGTGCCCGGGGACCAGGCTGAAAAGATGGTGAAGGAATTTGAGGAGATGGGCAATGCGCTGGGCGACCTGGGCCTGGCCTTCATAAAAATTGCAAAGTATGAGGATGAGGAGGGCGCGCGCACCGGCCCCTACACCGACTCCTCATCCGCTTCCAAGGCCATCTCAGCAGACACCCGCCGCATCGGCATGGTGCGCCACGCCTGCTTGCAATGACCATCTATCAAGACAAACACAGCGGGCTTCACAATTGTTTGTGCACTTGCTTGCAAAGTGCTGCTCTGTTTTCGTATTTGCAAGTTCCTGTTTCCTCAAGAGTCCTTCCAAAGCCTAAACAGTAAATGAAGGCTTTCATCTCAGCCGACGCCCGCTCCATTGGAGCACTGTGCGCGCCACCCCTGCTCGGACTTGATTGCTGATAAAGTTAGAAGCAATCTGAGGCTGATCTTTCTGGCATGTGCCAGCATGTGCACCCACATGCATGCACTTGCACATGGTACACGAAAAATTTGGCTTGCCGCATGGATGCAAGGCTGCGTGTATGCAAGCGAGTTTCTCTGCTGTATGGTTTCACTGACACATCTAGTATGGCTTATTTTCTGCATGGTGTTGTGCAGTCGTCGGTGCGGCTGAGCCGGCTGACTCGGCAGGCGACGGCCAGCTTTGCAACAGAGCTCAGCCCGATCCACGACCACCTTGCACTCACCCCGGTGCGCGCTGAATGCTGGCCTCTCCTTGTAACCCAATAAAAAGACATGCAGACATCTGCATGTGGCTATAAGTTTATCAGCGGTTCTTGAACCTGACACTGCCGTTTTGCACAATGGCTTCGTTGCATTGCGTTGCAAAGGGCAGCATTGGTTCTCTAATGGCCAGGCAATCTGGCGCTTGTGGGAAGGTGAAAGAGCTGCTTCTTTCAGGAGTTTCTGTCGTGTTTTGAAAAGGAAATATGCAATATATCGGTCAGGGGAATAGAGGAGACCTTGTGCTGACAGCGCAAGTTTTTTTCTGCCACCTGAATCACGGTGCTGTGCTGTCACAGGCAGTGGGGAAGGCGCTGCGTGAGCGCGAGCAGGCGCTACTGACACTGCATGCGCTGGAGGCAGAGCTGCGCCGCAAGCGCCGCGGCATCGGCTCCCTCGAGCAGGAAGGCTCCCAGGTGCGCTGACGCTCCCGGCACATGCCAGCAGCATGCCGCCAGAGCTTGCTGTATTTTGCATCTTTTCCGCCCTTTAGCTATTTGATCCTCAGGTGTCTGATGGGAGGGCGTAAGAAGCAGTGGCACACAGCAAGTACTTGATCTGCAGTATATGTCCTTCTGCATCCCCATTCCTTAGGTTATGCCAAGGTCCCAATGAGGGGACTTGGGAAGATCTTGTCACCAGCTCACTGTTCAGGCCCTGAGTCATGCGACCGAGAGTCGGGCAGTGGGTGATCTATTACACCAGTGGTGACTCACCCGCGCAGGTATTTGGCGGCGACAAGGGGAAGACACGGCGTGTGGCGAATCTGCAGAGTGACGTGGCCGCGCTGGAGGCGGCGATAGAGGCAGCGGGCGCCGAGTACAACCGCGTCCTCGAACGCAACCTCAAGGTGCGCAGTGCTTACCCACTTTCTTCTCAAACATCATCTTCGACACAATTGAGTTGAAGCATTGAGGGAAGAAGTAAGAGTAGGTCCTGTGCCTGTGGCGTGGGATAAGTGCAAACTGCAGTCCAAGCAGGGATGCAGGGGAGGATTGTATTAGAGGAGGATTCCTGAAGAGGGGGCTGCAGCTGGTGTGACGGGTTTGAACCTAGCTGATACTCAGCATACAGTGCAGGAAATGGAATATCAGATAGTGTGCGTTGCTGCGCATGTGTTTTCGAGGGTCTCTTTTGCAGATTTGCACTTCAGCAGCCCTTTAGCAAGCTGCTGCCGTGCAGCTGATGTGGGAACCTGGGACCGAACGCAGAATCCTGCGGGAAGGAAATGCCAGGCAGTCTGATCGCTGCCCACACAACGCAGACTCAGGATTGAGGGAATCCTTTTGCATGACACATGCAGCACTGCTTCAAACTGGATTTGTTGTGCTGTGTGCGCAGGAGATGCAGCGGTGGGCAGCCGACCGGGGCCGCGACTTCACGACGATGCTGAATCAGTTTGCCGGCATGGAAGTGGCCTTCCACGAGCGCTGCAGAGACGTCTGGCTCGAGGTGGCCGAGCAGTTTGAAGAGGGGGCCGGTTCCCCCGGTACAGCGCAGCACTGAGCCGCACTGGTTCTCTGAAAATGGTCTCATCGTGTGTCTTGGCCTTGGATCATACCTCAGTCGCAGCTGACCCCAAGGGCTGGTGAGGGTGATTGAGGAGAACAGCAAAGTCTGCTGTCCTGTGCTCTGCATTGTCACGATTTGATATGAGAAAGTGTGGTCTGCATATTATTGCTCCTGGCAGAGGAGGCCTTGATGCTGACAAGGTGTGAGGATGCTTCAGATGTTCAGGGCTCATATGTAGGAGCAAAACAAGACCAACTTGAGAAATGGCCTGTTTGGCTGAGGCGCTCTGTTGGGAATGAACCATAGCTGCTGAAAGAGGTGGTAAGAAAACCGGCGTGTATGCTTGCTTGAAAGGAACCCGGTTAATCAAATCAAGACAGGCATCTGGCTTGAAAGGTGGTGTCAATTCATCTACTTCTTAATCGTCCTGTTCTTGTGCGTTGACATTGTTGATATCAGCTGTGACGTCGGTAAACTTGTAAATGTAGCTGATCATTCCTGACGGGAAGTCCCCAATTTTTTGGAGAATGCGCCGAATTGCCTAGCGCTGGGGTGTGCATTGTGGATTGGCTTGAAATCTGGATTAGAAGAATTTGTTCAACGCATCTGCTGCATAGCTATCCGTCTCTCAAAGAGCACTAACATTTCTCACATTCAAAGCACAGCGTGCGACCAATCTGTGCTCTCTTTGGGACTGCTTTTGCACTGAGTATCAAGGCGCGGTGCTCACATTGGCGGCATCAGATCACGATCCGATACAATTCCTCAAGCTGGCGGGCGTACTCAACCTCAAATGAATCCTTTGCATGCTGCGATTTTATTGCTCTGCTCACTTCATGTGCCGAATTGATTGTCACTTCAACTATGTGATCTCCTGCACTTATGGGATTGTCCTGTTTGTTGAGACTGGTCTTCCACCGCGTAGACACAGTGCCATCCTGCAGCAATGAATGCGCTCTTGATATTGATCAGAATTTAGCAATGCCATGAGCGCAGATGATACTCTCAGGTCAACTAGAAGAGTGGCCAAATGGGACCAAAGAGACATATTAAATCATTTACACTGAAAGGTGATCGGGGTAACTTACCGGCGGGTTGCATGGACTACCGAGCTTGGCCTCAGTAAGCAGTGCGACCTTCACTAGAGTCATGCTGATTGGTGTGTTGTTCTTCCAGATGTAGCGGCACAGTGTGTCAAAGACAACTGGTCTTATTTTATGCTTTTCCTGGGAACGTACAGGCTCAAATCAGAAACATACAACAGTTAGGCGGCACACTTTGAGAGCTTCCATATGGCCAGAATCGGGGCATCAGGATGCAGAGGTTACCTCATAATCAGCAAACCTTGATCCAGCAAGGATTTTTTTTGGACGGTAACAGCAGAGCATGATTTGGCTTGTCACGTTTGTGCCCGTCAAGTCACTCCCAGAAGATATGTTCATTGGCTGGTATGCTGGAATAGCCGTGTGGTTCCAACCGGACTGCTGGACGGCCTGCAGGCAATTATTTAGAAGGCATTGGCTTGCTTTTGGCCATCTCCTTTAGATATTCGCAAGCTGATCGTTTGCAGGTCTTCACAGAACATTCTGGCGGCAAATAGAGATGTTCAAAGTTCGGAGGACACTCATGCCTTTTATCTCGCACCTCAGAGGCTACTCCGTTTAGGTAAATGACCAAAATACAATACTGGAAGCTCAGCAGAGTTCTGTAAGGCGGACAACGATTCTCTCTCGTTCGTGGGGTGCACCACTTGTTGGCTGTGCACATGGGCTTACCCATCTCTGCTTTATCAATCAGGAACTTGAACAATCAAACCCAAATTATTAGCCTTGATCTCAAAACGGAAGTGCCACTCCTGGTATCAGCACGAAGGAGCCATTCCTGGTATAAACACGAAGGAGGCAGGGGGGGTAACCTAGGAGAACTCCCCCTGATGGAGGTATATTTCCCCTGAAGGCTTGGTCCGTGACGTCATGTCACGTGGGTCACATGCACTAGTCCTGGCCCGGTGACTCACTGATTGAGACCAACATCATTTTAAACCATTTTGTCAATGTTCTTGACATCAACATGCACCGCTTTGACAGCTTTGTTGAGGTGCAAGTGCGTGTGAATACATTGATGCACGTGCAACTGAAGTAATCAGAGACTTTACATTGAAGATTGCTATCTGCAGACATTCATTAATGGCTTACGTGCCCACTGGTATCGAGCACACATATGAATGCATCTTTTGACTGGAGAAACCCCTGCACAACATATCTCCTGCACTCAGAGATGCTTACTTCCTGACCCAAAAAATTTCCCAGTCCCATTCTCTGTACAAGCATTGCCGCATGCGAACAATATACACGGTGCTCTGCGCATAAGGCAAGCTCAGATAGAACAGAGCTGCAGCCACCATCTGCTGCTAAGAGGTGCTTTGAAGAGTAATAAAGTGCCTGACACTCAGTACGCTGACCCACGCTGGCAGCTTCCAGGACAGAAACTCAGAGCAATGCGGTACATCGGCTTGGCCTGGCTGCCCCCCAGTTTCCGCAGCTCTGCGACGAAAGACACCGCACCGTTCAGCCATGCAAGACACGTCTGCGCTCATGCAGGTGTGTGCTGCCTGGCTTACTTATTTAGACTCTCACGTAGCTCACGGAAAGGACTTCTTAGGCGGCACCAAAAGCAAATATCATGGCCATAAGGGCAGTGCAGGGGATTCACAAAAAAATTTGCTGGTCGGATTGTGAGGCTTACCGCTGCACAGGATGCGGCCAGGGGAATTCTTGATCCACAGAACGAATCCGAGCACTTTAACAGCCCCTGCTGCCGGATCGCTGCTTTCGTGGATCTCATTGTACAAAGAGAAAGCCCAGCTCTCAGCAGCGCGCTGAGATGTCAAGCACCAGATCCCTGTACACATAGCAGCTCAGAGATTAACTGCAAGGAAGCAACAATAAATGTGGTACAACAAACAGGAACACAAAGTTAGGTTCTCACCATCTGTTGCTGAAGTGATCTGTGCACGCAGTGCCAGCGCGACCTGGGCGAACTCAGACTTCATGAAATTATCCTCCAAGTCTTCTGTCCCGCCATACTTGCGCAGGGGAAAGATGAAAGGCAGGTACTCCGAGATGCCGTCCCCGGCATTATCAGTGGGGGATTCTGCACACATCAGAGGCTTCCCTTGGAATTTATATTGCCACATGGCGCGTCATGTCTGGGAAAAGAAAGCTGCAGCATTGTGAAGGGCCTTCACTGAAGGCCAAGCGACCCTGCTGCTTATATAAAGACAGGAGACTCGCTTCCAGCACGGAGGGTTTCTTGCTCGAGGGAAGCAGCACCTTTCTTCGGCTTCAGGTCCCGGCCAGGTCTTGTGGATGGTCCTGCAGAATACCAGGGAAATAGTCAGTGGCTGCCAGGCGGTTTGTGCGTTGTAGTGGTTCATACAACATGAACCATTCTTCAGCCCTGCAGCATTCCTTGCTGGCTTCAAATCAGATGCACACAGTTGTTTGATGGTGAAGATGCTGCAGACAAGGTTGGTGGGGGTTGCTCACGACTACCTGCATCAATGGAGCAGCCGCAGCCGTTGCTGGGCACATACCGCCAGAAGCCGCTGCTGCCCCCACATCCATCCACCAAAAACGCGGGGCTGAGAATATCTGAGCCCTCATCAGAGTCTGCGTTCTCTTTGTTCTCCTCAAGAGTACCTGCAATGGCATCAGAAGCTAGGACATCCGCATTAAAAGGTATTTGCCAGCACGTCAGCAACAGGATGGCCTCTTAATCGCCTCTGAGTGCCTCAAGGTACACAGGAAGGTATTGATAAATGTGTTTCTTTTCAAGAGTTGCATATGATGCATGTCATCCCGCACCTTTCAGAGCAGGACCTTCATTAATTGCACAGGTAGGGTCGTTCTGCAGAAAGCTGTATGCCTGGCGCAAGTCTATAGGGTGGAAGGTGTTCTCGCACATGCCTGCATTGCATGCCACAGAAACTGCATTCATCATGCATGGTCTCAATGCAGCAGCTTTGGTCCATGCATGAGTTGCCAGCTGGTCTCTCCCAAGACAGCAGAAATATTGAACTGAGGTGCTGGCCTGCTGGACACAGCAATAAAATTCCCCCTGCATAAGGAGACACTGCACAGCAGCTGTGCCTGCTGATCAAGCTTCAGCTTACACTGGCCATATCCTGTGCATCAATTGAGTGCTGCAAAGCACTTTTGCCACATCAACAGTAGCTCAGCATCTGAGAATCTGGCAAGCCATTCCTGGGAATCACCTGGTGCAGAGCTGTCCTTCAGGTGCAATCCTTCAGGATCTGTCAGAGTTCCCACCTGCAAACCGCAGATGCACAGCTTCAAAACAGGCATATCGTTCGGCTCAACGATCCTTGCTCGAAAGATCTGAGGAAGCTATTGCACTGCACAGTGCACTTGATTGCAGGTGTTGATTTGAGTCAACAGGTGGGAAGGGAGCTCGACGAAGGTGGCGTCCGTCCACTCGTAAGCTTTACGCCTACATAGATCCTTCTTGATCCCAGCATCACCTGAGTGTGTGGAGCTGTGCCTGTCGGTGCGGTTTCTAAAGCGCCTGCATGTGATGAATACGAAGTCGGCTTTGACTTCTAAAGAAAATGAGCGACTCTTGCCATCAGCACTGAAACCAAGCGCCTGCAGTTGATCCCGTTCCATCCTTTGCCTTACCTGCAGCGAGTCCATTCTGTGAGAAGACAAGCACGGCCAGCACGACGGCGCCGGCGCAGGTGGAGCGCTTGAACTCGCCCATCGGCCCGGACGCTCTGCTATCACCTTTGCAGAAAGGGACGAGAAGATTCAATAAAGAGCAGCTTTGCCGTTCATTGGAGAGGTGCTTAGATCTTTTCTGCAGAAGCAGTGTGTCTTGCCGCTCGAAGATCTTCCAGATGGCATGCAGGACAGGTGTCGATCCTGAATCACCCTTGCCCGAGTGAACCTACCCTGCGATTTGCCCTGACCTTTTCGAATGGCATTCACATTGCAAGAAAAGCCAGGAGAGCTTGAGGATGGTGCATGGCTTGATTATTTGACTGCCCATGTGACAACATAAACACCAGTATACTGTCTGACATCTGCACAGGAATGGCGCTCAAATCCACGCAACACAGTGCAGATGTTTGGCGCGCCGCAATTACTGGCAGATAGATCTTGCAGCAACTGTGGGGTGAGCACTCTCACTTTGCAACCCCAAGAGATTTCTGATCAGTTGGATCTATATCTGTTTATTATAGAGCCTCCTGCTCTAATGAAAGGGCTTACAGTGGATACTAATAACCCCTCCCTGTCTGCTAGTGCCATTGCAGCATCCGCCCGTCTCGACAAATGCGATGCAAAGGAATCAGAAGAGGATGCTCCCTGCAACAAACACGCAGCACAGATGTGCAGGAACCTGAGTGCGCAGCACTGCGGACTGACTTGGTCTAAAATTTTATTGATTTCAAATGGGGATGCGAATCTAAATGGGCATTGCATGCATGTGCACGCACTGCTCGGTGGATAATAAAATGCCAGGATGCAATGTGCTATCAAGCTGCAAGTGGCAGGTGTGCACAGATACCATGCATGCAATTGCCTCTATGCTGTGCTGCCGCCATATCGATTAGCTGCACAGGGCAGCATAAAACCGCAACCCTCACCATGAGTATATCAGGAACACAATCCCTATTAAGGAATCCCTGCATGGCCCTTTCAAGGCACTTTGCACTTGAATTCAATTCATAGGAATTTCCTAGTAGGAACACAGTTTCTGCAAGGTGCTCTGGGGCGGTAGATAATCTTTTTCTGAAGGCACATATTGAGCAAGGCAGGGCTGGAATGTCCAGCAGGCCTATGTGCACCTTCTCATACTGCTCTTACTCACCCTGCTGGATATTGTGTTTATGGTCTGCAGCCCTGATGATACTGCTAGAAATGTCTGTCATTGTACTTATGGCCAGTCAAAACTCCTCACAGCCATGCCGCAAACAAGGCTCTTTGCCCTGTCCTATGTGACACTCCTGCTGGAACTTCCAACAGAGACCGTACTACAAAGAATCCCCTACATTCAAGATATTTTGAAGCGTTGCCCAAAGGTTAAGGAATGCATGCTTTGATAGTCATGGCAAGGGTTGACTTGCATGGGTTCTTATGCTTCAAAGACCACTGCGCCACTGGCATGCAATTGTTCCTGCTTGTGCAGAATCAATCCTCTCTTGTTCGAATCAGATGGTAAGAAACGTCCCCGTTGAATTCTTTCACCCTCGTGAACCAACCAGGAAAATATCCTTGATCCTGCAACAGGCAGGAAAATGTCACACGTGTCTTACTCAACTCAGGCCAGGAAGTACAGTCTGCAATAGCCCACAAACGGTAAGTGACAGGAAAATGTCGCAATTGTGTCATGGCAAATATCAAGGTAGTGAGCTGCTTGCCTTTGGGTAACACAGACTTCCGTTTCCCGCCTCGAAAAAGGGTGCACCCTTGAGGACAGCGATGCTGATTGGTCTGTTACCTTGCCACGCGTACTCGCATGTTGTCACAAAGGTGACTGGACCGGCAGCCAGCTGTTCCTGGCAGGAGATACAAATCTACTTAGCCTGATTCCAGCCCAGGCTGGCGGGGGGCTATTATATTGTTGAGCATCATGCCCACAGTTGACTGGGTCTTGCCCGGATATGGCAAGTCCATCAAGGGGTAGGATTATGGCAGCCTTGCTGGCGCAAGACGAGCCTTGCCTCTTGGCAGGAAAGGCGTGTAAACAAATACCCGTAGTGACATCATGCCAAGACAGGAGAGGCTGGTTGGGACTTATTGAGAGATTCTGCAACGCAAATAGGCTGGAGAAAGCATGTAGGAAGAATACCCAAGACATGCGACAAAGTGCAGGTTTGGCTTGCAAGGGAATGTCTGCTTGGTGGCAAGCATGAGAGTAGTGCGATTGCTTACCGCAAAACCAGGAATTATTGTTCCAGCAGGGATGAGGTGGAGGAAGTCTCTTGGGATCCAGCAACAGCTGTGGAATGTTGTATATCTCCTTTCACTGGGGATATCCAGTGGCAGATGCTGTATATCTGCGATATTGCCCAGGGACGTCTGGACAACCTTCAGCGCACAAGCTCAAATCATAGCACTTTTGACGATCAATACGGAAGTCCCTGAATGGAATTCGATCAGATGATCTATTCGCTACAGTCCGTGGAAATAGGAATACTGCCAGAATCGCACCGCACAAAGACAGGCGGTCAAGGTGATAATAGTTCTTGAAGGGCTGTATCGACCAGGCCTTCCCATGGCAAGTAGTTGTACGGAAACCGCAAATGCGAAGTGGCACCTTCTGAGGTGAACTTGCCGAATAAGCTAAAAGAGATTTTGGAGTAGTGCACGGTGATGTTACGCTCGTCCGCCTTTTTTAACAATTTGAACGCATGCTCCACATGGCAGTGCGCAGTGCAAAAGATGCACAGTGAGACTTTGCTCAAGCTTGCGCAGTATTAGAGGCATCATCTCAGATATTACCAACTTAAGATCACCAAGCGAAGGTCGTGTCATGCTCTGCACGTGTCCGTGAGTACATGATAGCATCGTTCGTCACACGTGTGCAACCTACAAAATTGCTCGATTGGCCGCATCACCGTTTTTGTATGAGGAGTCGCACCAGCAGCCTTCTTCCTTTCGCACCTTTTGATCAGGGGGCTCCCACGATCGTTGGTCTTATTGCTGAAGTGTTTCTTCCAGAAAAACTTGCACTTCCTGACACGGCGTCGTCAACACTGGCAGTGATCTCTTGACATTTTCATACTTTCGAGTCTCTTTTGCAAGCCTCAAGGATTGTGTTATTGGTGTCAGAGCACGGCTCAGGATGAGCATTCCTTCTGTTCTGCTCGCCATCATTAAATTCAACCGCCAGGCTCAGGTAAGGAAATTTGGGAAGCGAGATGACAGGCACCGCTCCTTCCTTTTGTTGGAAGGATCACTAAAATAGCCACCCTTTTGGTGCAGGCCGCATCTTGGATCTCCACAACCGGTCTGCCAGCATGTGACAAGAGCATCGCTGTTTGCCCCAAGCAATGCTGGCGGCCTCATGCACTCGTGCAAGCACTTGAATACCGGGAAGGGCTCTACGCAAGATTGGCCCCCGCTGGCGGGGGGCAGTACAAATACTGAGCACCGTGCCCATGGTTGTTTGGGTCTTGCTTGGATCTGGCGAGTCCATCAAGTGGTAGGTGATGTGGCATCCTTTACATGCAGCTTGTCTGCAGACGCACCTTGCCTCTGACAAGCAAAGCGTGTGACAACAATAATAATACTCAGATGTTGATGTATGTGCGCTTGCATGCCGGCAAGCTCTGGCAGCGGCATTGTACAGCTGTGCGGAGGACATTACTTTAGCAATTTGGGAGACTCTTTGTTCCTGGTGATTGGCAGGGCACACTGTCAAAATGAATCAAGACTTGCAATTACATCCAGCAAGTGACCCCTTGACCAAGGCCTGGCCCTAGGTGGTCTTCTGTTTGTGAGTCCCCCAGGGCCAGAGTGTCATTTGTACAGGTAAGACCCAAAGCTACCATCAAAGTATATCAAATATGCACACAGCAAGCAGCTATTTTGTTCACAATAAATTGGAACCAGACACTTTGTCCTATTCGCCAAAAAATCAGCACTGTTGCTCTTCTCGCGTATTCTACACTTCACAATTCGTTCATGTGCTGAGTTTCTGCTGTGTTCATGCGGAAGCCAAACAAAGCATGCGTCCGTCAGCACAGTAGGCTACTTTCTCCTAAATCTTCTCTGCAGATCATCTGCCGAATCAAAAGACTCTAAGATTGCGACGGGAGGGCACAGTGAGGATTTTTACGCAACAAATATGCTACCGTTGTGAAGTCAACTCAAGGCCTATTGCCAGATTTCTGGCACCGGCGCTGTCAGTGAAGCCGGGATGACTCCAAGAGCTGCCCCAAAGGAATGTGATGAAATTGTCGCCTCCTGTCAGCAGATTAGGTGCAGCTGCATGCAGCCGCCTAAGCCGTTTACTGGCGCCTGTACACCTGAATGCAGGTCTCTTTCTGGCCATTGGCCTCTGTGATAGACTCAACTTTAAGGACACCCTCCTGTGGGCAGCTGTAAGTCTCCATAATACTCCCTGCATGCAGCATTGCCAAAACGTGAGATGCTGTAAACCATAGCACAGACTGGCCCCTAAGGAGGCCACCCTATCCCCCCCGACAGCATACACCCCTTTTGTGACTGCCATGATCGACTGCATGGATCCATCAGCTGTGTGACGAGCAAATGCAGGAGAGCGCTGAGTTGCAAGCCCCATACGAAGAAGACGCATATCTATTGTCGCAGATGCGTGAAAAAAGACGTCACTGGCTTGCCGGAGTACTGGGACTCGGCTCTGCCTTCTGAAATTGTTGATGTGGGCTCAAAGCCAAGGGAGATGCCAGGCAGGTGATTGGGCACCTGAGAAAGGGGGGTCCAGCTTGATCTGCACTTGGACACCCTCCGGCACGGTGCGCAGCACTGCATGCTGCTTCCCAGACTTCTTGTCCCGCCGGCTCATGGAAACGGTCTTGTCCAGTCGGAACTCCTCTGTGTGCTTGTAGAAGGGCACCTTGTCCACGGAGAACTGGACTCGCATCCCTGCAGAGCAGCAGAAGGGCAACCACCGTGAAAAAAACAACAACAATATGAGATACAGAGCAGGGGCCTATCGCACAGCACTGCGCAAGTGGATGGGGGATCAAGTCAACTTCTTTTTCGAGCTTGCAGGCAGACCCCGCCATGCAACATTGATCCATGTCTTTGGAATCCTAAACCAACCCTAAGGTAAGAACATGAAGCTGCGCGGGCGTGCGTGCAGTCAAAATGTACAGATCAGCTAGGCTCAACTGGATCGATCTGACTGGCACAGGAAGACTGGCTGTGACATAAAAACATTATGAGGCCGTCGTAAATATGGTGAAGTCATATTTTACTTCTGCAGAGAGGAGGCTTGTCATACCTTCATCGTTTTGTTGTATTTGTAGACCATTTATGAGCTTCTGAGCAAGATTCTTCTGCACGCCTTGCAGCTGGAGCAGATCCAGCTGTCTTGCGTAGCAATCCATCTGACTCGCACCCTTGTCTTTTCGCCAGTTGCCCGAGAAGTCGCTTCGGACGCCAGCGGCACACTGTGCCGCACCCATCTGCGCTACGAACGGAATATTTGGACCCGATGCTAGACCTGGCAGAAGCAGATAAGCAGTATTTGCTTGCGAGCAGAATAACGATCAATTAAATGCTCGGTCACTTGTCTCGGTGCACCGAATTGCATTCTCATATATTTCATCTCGACAGTCCTAGGTAAGGGCACGTAGCCGGTGATGTAGGGGTTACGAAGGAGGAAGCTGCTCGAAGCTGTGATCTCATGCCCCGCTCCTCAAACACAAACAAAAACTATCCGGGCGTAGTATTGGGATTGAATTTTCACCAGAGGTAGGTTCTGAGCGCTCGCAACTTCGTGGATGTCCAAAGAAACTTCAGCGGGTTGTCTGCCACGTTTCAAATTGGGCGCTAAGCACACCTTCATGCCAACTTGTCTTCTGTTATACTAGCTTTGGCAGTCAAATACAGCATACATATGCAATTCAAGACCCTTTTCTTCAATTGGACAGGCCCGTTTAGTTTCCTAAGAGGTCACTAAGTGGGGCTTGTCCAAGACCACGAGAGGGCCTTCATTGACATGCTCCCACCTGGAGAGCTTTCAAAGCCAATCTGCAGGGTGGCAATTTGCAGCCTAATTGTTCAATGCAGGCAATTTCACTTCACATTTATATATGCTCATGTGGGGGCCCTGCAACTTTGTGGCTTTCCAACTTCAGCTGCACAACTTTTTCCCCCAACTCTCAAGCCAGAAGCAGTGTGCAAGCGCCCAGAGCCCACTGCACCAAGACTCTCAAGCAGGCGAGAGAGGCTCATCCCCCCTTCTTCTTGCTCTTGCGCGCCTCTGTCTTGATCTTCGATAGGCCGGGCATGGCCAGCTTCACATTGCCCACCATTGCATTGATCACCTCCATCTCGGGGATGGCTTTCAAAAGCTCCCTCTCCCGCCCGCTGATGTCAGCAGCCCGACTCAGCAGCTCAATTGCCTGCGCACATGTTACACTAAGTCCCCATCCCAAGCACACGTATTGGATCAGTTCTGAAGCCCAGTCTCAAACGTACTGTGCAACATGAGCAGTGCTATGCGCTGCCCTCCCAGCCGCCTAGCAACATTGCCTCTCGGCAAAGGTAAAATACAGGACTGCAAGACAGATGGCCCCCAGCGGGCGCTCCATGAAAGCCCATCCCTCGTGGATCACAGTCACGCCACAAGACTGAAACACAGCAGCCAGACATACCCACGAGAGGACTGCAGCTTTGAGTGTGCAAAGGACACGTCTCACCTGGCGTCCAGCGCGCCCCTTGCGCTGTGTCCCAGGAGTCAGCTTCACCTTGAGCTTGTAGCTCTGGATCGCGCTGTAGGGGGCGCACATCTGCGCAGCAGCAAGTCAACACAATCCATTCAAACTGGACCTAGCGCCGACAGCCTGCCAGCAGTGACACCAGGCAGATGCTTTCGCCGCTCAGTGCTTTTTACCTTTGCTGCATGTGCTGGCACAGCTGACTGTGTATTTGAAAAGCATTGGTCTTGAGGTAGGATGTGATGGCCCCTCCCAAAGTCTCTCACACAAGCATCTGTCTTGGGATGCCGGGGGAAACAGGATGCATTAATGCCTATGGTTGCTTTCCAAGAATGGGATATAAATCAAGGATGATTTTCACTGGTTGGTGCTTGCTGCATCGCCCTCCACAAAATTGAGAGGAGATCTTGTGCAATCTGCACACAATTCACTGCGCACCGGGATTGCATAGAGGAGGACGTCGTCTGGGCGCGGCTGTCCTGTGAGGCTGTCCAGCTCCTGCAGCTTGTCCTTGTCCTCCTCAGGCACAAGCTCCACATTCTCCTCTGCCAAGATCGCCGCTATCTCCTTTGCCTCCGCGCTGTCGTGGCCCTGTGAGACCACATTACTGGTTCACTGCTTGCAGGAACAATCAAGGAAAGGATTAGCTGAGTGCAATAATAAAAGACATGCCACTTGGCTGACATGGGTGACCCTGGCTTTTCTATCAGTCCAGGCAGGCCAGTGCAGGTTCAATATTATGAATAAGAAGTGTGCCCTTTATGTGTACCGTAATCCAGTGCAGACAGGAAGCCTGCACATGCTAGGTATTCAATGACATTGTGATCCTCTTTCGATCGCACGGAGACTGTACCTTCAGCTGTTCCTGCAGCTCCTCTTCGCCGTCCACCTCGTCCTCAGAGCTGCTGCCGGTATCGCTGCCGGCGGCAGCTTCCGCGGCAGCTGCCGCGGCAGCTTCCTCCTGGCTTCTGCGATGCGCCTCCTCAGCCGCCACGCGCGGACCGAGGCGCGCGCCGGCCGCGGCCAGCTCACCGGCTGTGGGCAGCCGGTCTGCAACTGCGTTCCCGTCGCCTGTTGCACCCGCCTTCTTTCGAGCCTTCCTCGCTTCCCTCTTCTCCTTCTTGTCCTTTTTCTCCCCTGCGTTGTGCAGCAAAAGGTCATGGAAGTCTGTATTCCTTCTATTGCCCTCAGCTGCTAAGACATGCCATACCACTTCGCTGTAAGCTGCATGTACGCCTCCTTGACACAGTGTCGCGCGAGCTCTCATACGTCGCTCGAGCAATTTCTTCAATTACATGGTGTTCAAGCCAGTTCTGATGCAGCCAAACTCAATGCTCCTGTGAAATCGTGCTCTGCACCCATCTCCACATTCCGCAAAAGAAACCTGTTCACAAGCAGGAAAGCGCCCACCTGCAGGTGCCAGAAATTGCAGCGCAAGCTGCCGGTCTTCATCATCCTGGTGTGCGTACTTCTCCTTTGCCTTCTTCGCCTTCCCTCGCTTTCCCCGCGCCAGTGCCGCTGCCGCTGTGGCCGCCGCAGCCTCTGCCGCAGCCTGCAACAGGCAACATGCACAATGATTCAATCACTGAGGAGCAACGTCGCACTAAATTGCGTAGTCATCAACTTACTGGGAGGAAGCACATTAGCTGTCCTGACCACGCTCAGTACAGAGCAGCAAACATGCCAGGAGCCATGTCCAGCACAGCTCAACTCGTATGTCATCAGAACAATCTTCTTTCTTGCTCGCATGTCATCTAGTGGCTACGACGGTAGGTTCAAAGCAGATCAACCTTTGCTGCATGTGCTTAGTTAGGCTCCGTTCATTTCAAACACCAAATTGAAAGAATCCCACCTGTGCCTTCGCTGCGCGGCGTTCCCTTTCGGCTGCCAGCGCACTCGCAAGCGGGTCTGCTTCTGGCTCTGTCCCGAGTGCCTCCTTTGGCTCTGCAGTCTCCCCAGACACCGCCCCGCCCTGTCACACACAAACTTTGCATCATGAGCAGAAGAGCGGGACAGTAGCAGAGCAGAGTCCGGTCTGATCAGTGACAGAGCCGGACATGAAGAGCCAAACATCTCAACCCCTAGGTGATTCCAGCGCCATGCATCACATTGCCCTGATTTCCCAGCCGCTCATAAAAAACGCCATGGAGCATGTTGCCCCAATGTGTAACAATACACATTTGCCCACCGTCCCAGCTATAAACAGGGTGCATACCACTGATGGACAACTTACCCATTCTGCCTGCCATATCAGCATAGTCGGATCTAAAACGGTAGAAGCAGGGGATTGTCCAGCCATTCATTGTGCCAGAGCGGCAAGGCAAGTGTGGCTGGTGTGGCTACCTTCTTCAGCAGCTTCCGTTCCTTTGCAGATAGGTGCCGCCTTCCAGCAGCAGTCGCTCCGCCTGCCGTGGCATCTGCACTGCCCACGTCTCCATCCTCGTCGCCACCATCCTCTGCAGATGCACAAAGCTACCATCATATACAAGTCCAGTCATCCCAGCAAGAAACTTCACCCTCTTTCAACAAAATTGCATGCGTTGAAAAGACAATCTGTCAGCATACACCGGCAGCACATTTCATGAGATGCAGAATGGATGGAATATGCAGTCTCTGTGTGCGGACAGATAATTCGTATGAAGAGTCATGCAGAGTGCCCTGACATGATCAAGAAGTGAGTGCTGCAACAAGCATTATTTCGAGAAAACAAGCCTCACCTGCATGCCCTGGGGCACTGGAGAGCCCGTAACGGTCCAGCGGCCCCGCTGCGCTGCCCTGGCTGCCCCGGCCCGTCAGCACGGACCCCACCTGGCTGCCTCGGCCCGTAAGAGCTGTACTGCCGGTCTGACTGCCGGAGGTACGCCGCGCCCGTAGGGGGTCGGCCGCAGAGTCAAGGAACGCCTCCAACTGACTGGTGCTCTCCCGGTTGCCGGCCGCCGCCTCATCCTCGGCCGCATCGTCCCTGGAGCCAGTCATGTCCAGATAAGTCCAGATGCCTTCACATGCTGACTCAAACACGAGGACTCTAGAACTGTGGACTGTACTGAACTCTTGTTAAAAGAGCAGCTGCGAGGCTGACACAGTTGAAGCACTGCACTTTCTTATTTTACTGCTGCATTGAACATGATAGAGATGCATGAACTGTTGAAACATGACAGACATGGGGCATTGGGTTGAAATGCACAGCTGAGATTGCTTCATGTCGCCTGTCAAGCGCACACATCTCTTCCATCGACACTGTGTGTTTGTCAAGGGCACCGGACATGCCTGGCCTGCTCAGAGGGTGTGCCCTCGCTGTCATCCCCCTGAGCGTCGTCCCCAATGTCCTCCACTCCATTCTCAACATCCTCAGCGTTTCCTGAAGCACTTCCTTCGCCATTCGCGGCAGCGGATACTGCTGCAGAAGCGGCCTGATCTGGCGACAGGCTGTCATCGTCCTCTGCTGACTTGGGCGCCCGCTCGCCAAGATGGCCAGCGATGCATGACTCATCCTGCCACAGCAGTCAATCCACAAGCTCAGCTTTCATTGGTGCTGATGATGAGAGCGCATATTGTCTCCTCAGCACACAGCACATCAACGCGCCAGAGCTCTGTCCTCTTGCAGACCTGGCTTCGGTATAATCTACGCAGGCAAAAGCAAAAGCAAGCATACACAGAGTGCTGACCGGCTTGCAGATTGATCAAGAGGAAAGAGATGCAAAGACAGCAGCAAGGGCATGCGTACCAGCTTGAAGAGGAAGGTGAGGCCCATGATGAGCGGGTGGGGCGGAAGGAAATTCTTGCGGCCGCGGATCATGAACGACCCTGTCGGCAGGTACTCCCCGCTAGGCGCCGACTTTGAAACCTGGCCACACAATCATCAATTTCTCAGCACCCTCCATTGGCATCCATTTTGTCATTTCTGTCATCAAGGCAGCGGCAGGACCGTAATTTCGGACATGAGAGAAATGGGGGGCATGAGCATCTGCAGAGAATATGAAGCAAGGGTAAATCTGGGTGAAGGTGATTCTCATCAGTGACAAGAAAGGGATAAAAGACACGAGGCAAATGTAGCTTCGCAAGATTAGTAATGGTGAAGGGGAGAAGGGAGTACCTGGTGCGCATGCACCCACCAGGCGCTGGTGACAATCTTGGCATCCCATGCCTGGCTTCGGCACACACAGGCAGTGCCGGCCTGGGAGACGCTGTTTGGCGGCACTGCGCGCACATGACACCGGCCTCAGCCGTCAAGAAACTACATCTGTCATGACTGATGCGTTCTACCTTGATTGGAGTGACTGGAATGAGTCCTCAGCAACCAAGAATGCATCTGCTGCCAGAAGGGTGAGACGCTCACTCGATCAGTGAAGACACACTCAAGTCACACCGATCAATTCATGTGGAGCACACAAATTTGCATGCAGGCTGATGACTTGCAATGGTAGATCCCAAAGAACTTGACGAGTCGCCAGTGGAGATTTGGACTAGCAATGCTCAAAGAGCAACAGACTCCTGAGGAAACCTGAAATGTATGTCAGCATGCTAGGCACAGTGGCTGCAGTAATAAATTGATATGGTGACAGGGCCATGCCTGGGCGGCTGGGGTTGTGGTTGCGAACGACGGTGGTGGAAGCTCCGTGAAGCTCCGCATGCACGTACAAGTCATCCTTGCGCAGATAGCGCTTCACCAGCAGCTCGTTCTGCTGCGCGTCGCGGCCGCTCACCACCAAGTAGTTTTCACTGGTCACGAACCAATTGAATTTTTCAAACCATGCCGGCTTCCGCAGCTGCTGCACGGCCGCCACCGCCTTCACCTGCGCATGCATGCGCCACTTTCTGGGTCAACCACTCGGTTAATCGCGCGTCTGCGTGGCCAGACTGCACTCTCATCCCCTATAACCTCTATGCAGGACATGAAGGAGTGCATTTGAGCACAAAATTTACTGTATGTCTGCATGGCCGAGCCACCCACTGTCAGCTGCATGGAGGCCCTAAATTAGTGCACTCGAGCACAAAATACACTGCACATCCGCATGGCCACACTCCATCTCAGATATTTCTCTGCTGCATGGAGGCCCCAATTTTAAACTATATCTTAATGAGAAGATGCCATGAAAAACCACAGCAGCCTTTCCTGTATCATCGTGGAGTGTGCCGCAGAGGCATTCGAGGGGGGAAATAGTACGATGGCCAGCTCACCTTGCTGAGCTGGACCTGGACCTTCTTGTCAGCTTCAACGAGCGCTCTCTTGTTGGCATCCAGCGTCTTGGCCTGCTTGGCGGAGCGCGCCTTGCGGTCCGAGTGCCAAGCGCGCGCATTTTGCTGTGCGTTCAGGTCCAGGTCGACCTCGACCTGTGTACCACAAATATATGGTATTATCATGACTGAAGCCTCTCCTAAAACAAGCAAGATGGGAAAGACGCATAGACAGTCTGCATCCCTGCCACAGAAGAATGTTATTCTGACAAGACCTCGATTAACTCAAACCTAAAGGTGGCCCACATATCACCAAGTCCCCTGTATGGGGACAGGGGCATGAGGAAAATCGCATCTACCTCTCTATCTCTAATTGGCCACTGATGATTACTCGCGCTGACAAAGTGTCAGAACCTTATGGTAAAAGCAGCATCATATCTGCGCAGGCATTTGTCAAAACGCTGCAGGCCTGCTCGCACAAAGAACACATGCACTGGTTCAGTGACCAAAAACTCACCAAGGCAGTGGGGACATCAGTGCCAGTCTCGTCATTGCTCTCGGCGTTGCTGTCCAGCTCAGCGTCGTCCAGGTGAGCGTTGCGGTCTGCGGCGGCGATCCAGTCCGGGAGCACAAGTGTGACGGCGTTCCTGTCAAGGTGCAGCGCATGCACCAGGCCTGCCACCTGATTCCCTGCGGCCGCCTCGTCCCTGATCAGCCGCTCCAGCTCTGCCCAGCTCAGGCCTTGGGCCAGTGCCACGCGCACTGCATTGATGGCCTGATCGACCGCCTCCGCATTGGCCTCTATCAGTTGAGCCTGCAGACAGGCAGCGCTCCACTCAACATCAAGGAAGATGTATCTTTATGCATTTTTGCACGCTTCTGCATACAAGCATGCACCTTCTGCTTTCTGCAGGGTAGTGCATGAGCATCACAGCATTGGAGGGATGCCATGTATGCATTTGGACTTCTTTGCCTTTCATGCAATGCTCTGCAATTGTAATGGAGAAAATACGTCTGCATGCACTGGCAGCCGCGCCATGCATGCATGCTCCTTCGAATTTTGTACCATTGTGGACTAGAAAGCATGTCAGCATTCAAGGATCATGTTCCAGCTTCACATCCTGGTAAAAGAGACAGGAATGTTGGAATGCAGCTCTGCAATCGACGCATCTTCCCCACCTTGGCTTCAGCCTCCTTGGCCTCTCGGTCCAGCGCCTCTGCTCGGCCTGTCTGGTCGATGCGGATCCGGTCCAATTTGGACAGCGCTGCCTGCTCCGCCTGAAGCCTCGCCTGCTCCGCCTTCTGCCCCTCCACCTGATCAGGACATTACTGAGAGTCATTGAAAAAATCTCCATTGAAATTATTGCCGTTGAGACTTTATTACTTGTGCAGGAGCTTCTGCAGGCTTCAAGTCCCATGAAATACTATGCAACACATGCCTGGACATCACCAAGACACGGCAAAGCACATGTGGCTAAGCACCAGCAACTGAACAGCCTGAGGAGAGCCTGATACTTTTGTATCATGCAATTCATATCATGATGTCATGTCATACGACATGCATGATGAACGACATGATATGAGCAGACATCGAGCGTAAAAATGAATCTGACGTGTTGTGGTACACTGACATTGTCAAGCAGAGGGGTGCAGGCCTTGCCTTGGCATAAAACTCGTCGAGCGCAGCATTGTAGGTGGGAAACCTGAGAACCTCCTGCCCGGAGTTCTGCTGCAGGATGAGGGGGTCAAAGGAGTCATAGACCAGGCAGTCTCCTGAAGCGGATGCCGCCTCGCTGCCATCTGTGGCCAGCGATGCATTTGCATCCCTGACATGTTTGGCCGGTGCCTGTTTCCCTCCTGCAGAGCAGGCCAGGCAAGTAATGCCAAGTATCACTTAACTGCAAGTCATGTGCGCATGCATGCATCACTTAACACCTCCATACAAACCAGAAGGCTTTGCCCGTCCATGGAGTGAAGATGGCAAACGTGACAGAATCATGCAGATGCCTGAGTGGTGCTGAAGAGCATGTGTCTGAAAATGAACGAAGCATGTCTTGGGAAGAGATGGATGCTGCCACTTCACGCTGATGCAACCCCTGCCAGGGCTTTAGATAAGGTTATGTCCAGCCGCAATGCAGCTTGCCAGAGGCCCAGGAATTGCCATACAACGACCAGAAGATTTCCTAACATGCGCCAGCTGTCCCCTGCATGCAATGCGCACCTGCCGGCCGCTTGAGGGAGATGAAGCCCTCCGGCGCTGCAGTCTCGCATGCGTCCAGCCAGGCCTCCCAATGGCGCACTCCCCCGAGCAGCGCCGTGCGCTCTTCCTCGCACAGCGGATCTGCCTTGGGCTTGCGCGTGGGCCGTAGCCCTGCCAGCAGTGTGCAGTGCTCGGAGAGCGCAGGTCCGTAGGGCACCACTGATGCCAGAGCCCCTGCAGGGTATTAAGAACAGGGTTCTGAGGGCGTGGACTGGCCAGCAGAGAGCTGAGGAGTGTTAGGCATTTTCACCAGCACCGACCAATCTGATCATGGCAAAGCTGGGTAGTTCTAAGCAGGAAGAAACATGGTTTTGCGCAAGAACGCTACCATGTCAACAGAAATTCCTGAGCACCACAGCAGTCTCTAACAACTTGCACGTTAAGCACATGTCAAGCCGGTCATAAAGTGGGAACAAGGAGCAAGCTTGTGATGCAGCCATGCAAGGTCAGTTGTGTACCTCGCAGCGTCTGCTTGTCATCCGCTGATGCCAGTGCGGCGTCCAGCTGGGCCTGAGTCAGCGCCGAGCGCAGGCGGATGGCATGCACCGGGTATGCATGCCGCGCCATTATCGCAAGTCCCTTGTCGTCATCCCGATGGGATCGCAGCAGCGTCAGGATGGAATAGTTCGCATCCGCCAAAATGACATTGCCCTGCAGCCATTGCCACGTCCTTTGCCTCTACGTCAATTTTTTAATGCCATGCCATGTAGAATAGTGAGGGGATGTCCCAAGTAGTGCTTGCATGCATGCTACATTCCACCTCTCACTTCTCTGGTATGGAAGCTGACGCAAGACTCCAAAAGGAGACTTGAATGGCAAGCTCGCCTATACAGATGAATGCAGCACACCCCATGTTCTTTCCACCTGTCTTGCTGTGGTTGAATCCCTCCCAGCAGCTCGAATCCTAGCAGCGATCATACCAAGGCATCTCTGGGACCTCTGCTTTGTGTAACGTCGGTTGAGCCTCTTCCCAGGTATCCTTAGCAGCAGAATGTTACCCTCTTCTGCAGAGTGCGGGGGAGTTGAGAGGCCAAACCTGTGCATAGAGCTCGAGGATGAGGTGGTAGCAGGCCTCGCCAGTGCCAAAGGAGAAATCCACGACTCGGTCCACGCCGAGCTGGCGAACATCGTCCAGTCGCCGAGTGCGCAGGTGCTTGCGCAGTTTCAGCGTGAAATTGGACGGCGTGTCCGCCTTGTCCTTCAAGTACTTGCAGACAGCAGCCAAACTATTTTTACACGTTGTTCCTGCCAACACACAAGGTACGACCTGCAGACAAGCTGCAATCAAAGGCTGCCACAAATATACCCCTCGTTGGTCTCGCAAGATCCAAGCAAGACCCAATCAAGCGTGGGCACAGTGCTCAGTATTCTTACCGCCCCTGCCGGCCGGGGCCAGCAGTGAAACCACTGTCAGGAATTGCACAGAGGAGACATGCACATGTATCACAATGGAACAGAGACAGTGCAGAGTCTGCCATGACTGTTGGATTTCAAGGATTCAGGCTCAATCCAAGAATTGCTATGTAGCGTGGATCAGGCAGCGCTGCTGCTCTTTTATGCATGCACTTGTTGCAGTGCGGGCTTAATTAAGACATTGTCGCCGATGATCCGACAGGTGGGTAATCTGGATGCAGTCATTGTTGCAATCTCAGCAGATGCATTGACTTAGTTTTGTAAATCTCAAGCGTGCGGGTTGCAGTCAGACAGCTTTAAAGGGGAGAACACCCGCGTTGTGTGGAAACGGACGCCGCTTTCGAGCACGAGCAAGGCTTTCTCTCCTTCTTCGCCGCTTTTGGAGAGTTTGATAATGTACGTCTGAATTGCAGGCACAGAGGCTTTAGTCACAACTGCGAGGAGAAGAGTGGAAGACGTTACAGCACGACATGCATGCAGCAGGGGCAATGTCCTACCTTGGCGTTGGCATCATAGACATTAGCCACGCGCATTCCAAGGACACTATGCCGTAGACAGGCCACTTCCCCAACGACATCAGCTGTGCTCATTCGCTGCTTCACCATCTTTCAGAGGAATACCTGCATTTCCAATTCAGAATACGTTGTCGCCGGATTCGTTGATTGTGATCAGAAACATAGAAAAGTATTCGGTGACACTCATCAGAAGATACAGCCAGACTCTCTCTAGAGAAGACGGCATGCACCTGCACTGCCAGACTTTTCGATGACCTGCAGGGAAAGTTCATGCATCACCTGTGAATATCCTCCAACGATGTCAAAGTACTGATGCGTGTATTGTCGATCGCCTTCGTCGATGAGTCCAATATTCTCTGCGATGGTTTGGTGATCTGAGACCACCAAAAATCTCGGATATTCAGGGACTGCAATGATGCCAATGTAATTAAGCATGAATCATCTGAAGAATGTCCCAACAATGAACATTTGGGCTGTTCTGGAGCAGGCGTCCTCAATTTGTGCGTCTCTTGAGCTCAGTCATCGGTTGGTGATCGTCCACCGTGGACTCTTGATCGCGCGTCCCAGATAAGGCAAGGCCACAATGATGCAAAAGTAAATTGGATAGCTCATAAAGAAGGACAAGTTCTTCGACATAAGATTTTCCATCTTGCGAAACATGAGGACTTTGCTGCCACGCAGCGGTTCGTGCTTGCACAATTGTAAAATAGCGCCACTTAAAGTCTCAACACACGTCTCATCCTTACTGACACCAAAAGTGCATAATATTTGCCTGAGAAATAGGAGACGACACACATTATTCCAGCCCTGCAGATCGGCTGCAGAAAGTGATACAGATGTGCAATCTGAAGGTGGAAACACGAGCACCCACCCTTGACATTTGTGATCCTACGTCTGCCATTTTGTGCTTTCTGAGGTCCTATTGCACTGCACTTCAGACTTCAGGACCAGGAAGTTTGGCATCTGGGTAGAGGCTCGCTAGTTTTGCTGATCTGCTTCCTGTTGTGACTGCAGGGAATATCCAAGAGGTAGCTGTGAGCCAGGAAGAGGTGAAGGAGGCCAACAAAAAGGTGGACAAGGAGGTAATTGCGAGAGGCATATCAATCACACTGATTACTGCCTGGCTTTGGGTCTCACTACATGAAGGAACTGCTGGACGTTTTACTGACCACTTCGTGTGCTGTTTAGATTTCGAAATTCGCTACAAAAGCAGCAACAACGTTTGCCCCAAGGGCGTCAGGTGCATCGAAGAATCCGGCATTTAAAGGTGCGGCATTCCTCACTTGTCCTGAATGGATGCTATACAGATCAGCATGGGCTAGCACGCACTTGTGAGGGTCAGCCCACAGGCTAATTTGCGATGCACTGCGCAGGGAGCCTTTTGTACACTGTTTTTGAAGTCCAAGCGTGGCTCTTCCTGGTGGTGAGAATCTCCTTCCTGCTTCTGCAAAAGGGAAAAGATGCCTCTGTGGAGTGCATTGCTTGCCAATTTGTTCTTCTTTTTGGTCAGATGGCGGTGAACATATGATTTCTGCAGCTAACAGCTTTGTGATCATGTCAGATCGGTGGCCTGCTGTCTTTCAACATCATTTTTCCGTCAGATGAACCGAATATCGCGCGACTGTTGGGGTAAGATCCATCCAGAAGTGTCCATGCTGATCAGTCACGTGCCGTGAGCCAGACACAAACCAGCCCAGTTGAATTTCCAGCCACTTGAACTCTGCTGGTCGTTCTTGTGCTTGATGGGAATTGCGCTGGGTATATCGTTGGCCCCGGCTGGCAGGGGGCGGTATAAATACTGAGGACCGTGCCCATGGTCGATTGGATCTTGCTTGGATCTGGCTAGTCCATCAAGGGGTATTTGGTGGCAGCATTTACCTGCAGCTTGTCTTACCACGTTGCCTTACGGCAAGAAATGCGCATAGTAATAACAATAAAATTGTTGGTGGTATGTGCCAATGCAGTGAGGTCTTGCAGTGCTGAAATTATCTGGCGTGCTGGGTCCACAGGATGTGGAGCATCTGGATGTTTACCATACCTGCCTTGCGAGCGCGGGATTGTTCAGCTGCCGAGAAAGAGGCGCTAAACTACTTGTTTCTGCTCGTGCCAATTCTGAATGTATCGCTGCCCTTCTTGTGGAAGTCCTTTCCTTTTATATACTCTGCAGATGTTGTTGCCCTTGCTGCCCTTTACACGTGGAAAGTGGGCTTACCCTTTGGGGACAAAGAGACATCCTGACTACAAGAGTTGCTTCTTCTTGACGCCTGGGCGCTCTTGTAAGATATTTGTGCCAGGAATATTTCAGTGTCCGAATCATTGCCACAGGCGCATGTCGTGCTCAGCTTTTGAACTCTTCAACAAGTTTGTAATGCATGCATATACCTTGTCTCCAGTAGCGGTTTTTCACATCACTAGCCTTCTGATCACTTCTGCAGTCTGGATACCTCAACCATCCTACAAACCTCAAGGCTCCATCCGGATATTAGTGTACTCGCGCTCTTATGGCGATATATTCTGCAGTGCATCCTTTTTGGGTTTTCCCTCAATTGATCTGGCCACGGCGACTTGCGTAAGTTCAAAAGGCATGCACTTCGCGTACAGATACCAGAAAGGCACAGAAAGAACAAAGGCACAGGATATTCCTTGGTGGGTCTCATAATTCTCCCTCTCTAGACAACTGAATGAGATAGGTCTGAATCTTTGCGATCTTTATTGTGCTTTGGTTTGCATCTCGGCGGCGCATAGGACTCGTTCGTGGCTTCGATAAGGGTGATTACATCAGTCTCGATCACGTTTTGACAATGGGCTAATTTTGTTCTAACTGGACAGGATAGGACTCACAAGCGCCATGGCAAATTGTGGCTGTAGATGTTCCATTGGATGGGGTCGGGTGAACGATTATAAAGCAGTGTACATGCCCTGATGTCAGGGCAGATGTTTTCAGCGCTGAAGTGCGTGTGCACCCATGGACTGTGAGTCATGAAGCCTGCACCAGCGAGTCTTTTGAAGGTGTTCAACAAGGGAATTGACATCAATGTTTGTCCATTGAATATTACATCAAGATTGCGATTTTTTTTCTTGCCATTTATGATCAATATCTATTATCAGCATTGCAAAGCACCGGTACCACAGATCCTAGAAAACCCCAAAGCTCATGATGAGGCTACAGACACCCACCAAATCACAAAAAATCTGATCGATTAGCATATGTTCAAAGACATGCATTTTCAGGTTCCCCGTCGACCGGCCATGAGCCAGCACTCCTTGCAGGAGCAAAACAAACCCACATGCTCATGCCAAGCCAAATACCTTCCTTTCTGGCCCAGCTGAGAGGTTTCCCTGTTGCATAGCTCCGCAGCAGTACTGCATGAAGGCCTTTCCAACAAGATGGCCGGTCCCAAGTCCCTGCCAGACTAACAGCAACAGGGCCCTTGAGCGCGGCCTGACTCCTAGGCCGGCTCAGCAGCGGTGAGTCGCCGCGAAGTCACTGCTTAGCATGGATTGAGTCAGCTGTTTAGTAACCGCCCATGGCGTCCATGCCGGCACCGGCCTGTGCGGCCCCCTCCGGCTGGGGGATCTCTGTGATGATGACATCTGATGTCAGGAACACCTTGGCAACTGAGGCAGCGTTGAGCATGGCCACACGCAGCACCTGCAGCATAGACCACCTCGTCAGAAGACCACCCCAGGACGTTTGTCTGCCAGGAAAAGAAGTCAGTGACAGCTGAAGAGTCAGGAGCTGATGCAGACTGCTCAGAACAGCGGAGGCCTTTTGAGCAGCACAATAATATTGCAACCATTTGGGGTGGAAAGTCAGCACCCGGCACAGCTCAGGACTCTCCGTATGACACTGCAAGATTGCTGCTAGAGTTATTCTTCTACACACCGCACAAGCAAGGAATCTACAGGTGGGCACATCTTGCAGAAGAGCCTATCATGCACTGAAGTCAGATTCCCAGGAATATCACTGCCAGCAACTCTCAGGCTCTTGTCTGCAGCAGGCAAAGCCTTGTGCCATGTCTCACAGTCAACAAAACACCAGCCTTGTCAGTGTCCTGCCCACCAAAAGATCTCCAGCAACTAGTCTTCTGATTCAAGCGTAGAGACACTGTACATCAGCAGGGTCCCGCCCCTTTGGCAAGCTACAAATCAGGGAACAACTGCAGGAAGGCAGCTGACCTTGGTGGGGTCGATGATGCCGGCGGCCATGAGGTCCTCGTAGACGTCTGTGGCTGCGTTGTAGCCCACGTTGGCGTCCAGGTTCTCCAGCACCTTCTGCTGCACCACGCTTCCGTTGACTCCCGCGTTGTTCGCGATCAGCCGCAGCGGGTAGCTCAGCGCCCGCCGCACGATCTCCGCACCCACCTGCGCGCGTCATGTGCTACATATCAGCATCAGGGCCTCTAAGAATGCTACGGTTTGTTAATTAACTCATAGCAGCTGCCGGGCACGTAGCAGTGCCGGCCTCACAGGACTGAGCACCATGCAATGTCTAGGTGACATGCCGGCACAAGTCAGCAGCTGCCGGGCATATGCGTCAGCTGGCTTTCCTAATTTTGCACCCTGAGATGTCTGGGCGTGATGCTAGGCCCTTGCTGAAGCTCCATGACGCAGTGTCAGTAAGGTTAACAATTGCATGATGAAGATCCTATCCCAGAGAAGAGACGCTCTGCCCAATCTCCGCTGTGCACAAAAGCACTGCTTTCTGCAATCGCTTATAGCAAAAACGGAGCGAGCTACTCCTCCTCTGAGCACAGGATCAGGTTTTCAGGAGCACCCTTCCCGTGCTCAACACCAGAGCTGGCATGCCAGAAATTGTAGGAGGGGCGTTGCGCCGCACCTTCTGCTCGTCGTTTTCTAGGGTCTCCTTGACCTCGTCCACCTTCCGCGCCAGCTTCAGGAACGTGCAGCCGCCGCCAATCACGATGCCCTCCTCCACTGCAGCCTGCGGATACACCGCAACAAAATTTCAAGCCTCAAACCCCCTTCCAGCACTACTTATGCACTCGGCCCACCTAAACCCCGATGATTGCACCGCTAAGGGTCTGATGTGCTGTTAATACCCAAGGTCGAACTTGAACCGATAATCACAGAGCAGTATACAATACCCGCTCAAAGCAGTGCATCAAGGTACATTTCTCAGGAAAAGTCACTCTTAGGGTTTAGGGTTCAGGTTTACTACTGCACTTCAGGGAAAGAAATGCATGCGTTCCTCATGGTGGGTAAAGTCATACTGTGAATCAGAAGAAAATGTGGGCACCTTGGTTGCGTTGAGGGCGTCCTCCACGCGCAGCTTCTTCTCCTTCAGCTCTGTCTCCGTCTGGGCTCCAACCTGTTAGCAGCACACATTCAGCCTCAGCGACTGTTTTACAAGGAGATACCAGCTTGGAAAGTCCATATATTTGATACCCGACATGTGCCCATATTGAGTGAGCTGGCCGTCAATCCACTGCAATACACATGCCGTGGCACGGACTTAGCTCGCACAAAACCCGACCCATCAGGCAAAGCAAGCAGCAAATTGAAGAATTGCCAATATGCACGGGGCTCAAGACTGGCTCTGTAACTTCAAGCTCTCAATCAGGCCTGGTGAATAATCAGCGCACAGCGTATGCATAGTAAGGCGGCGGCTTGCCTGGATGACGGCAACGCCCCCGGAGAGGCGCGCGACGCGCTCATTCAGCTTCTCCCGCTCGTAGTCCTGCTCGGTCTCGGCAATCATGTTCTTGATCTGCCTCACACGCGCTGCCACCGACGCCTCCGCGCGGCCGTCGCCCACGATCGTCGTGGATTCCTTGCTCACCGTCACCTTGGCGGCAATTCCCAACACCTCCTCGCCCACCTGACACATATCTCACACGACTAATCATCAGCCAACCGGTCCTAATTCGCGTATGCAACATACCTAGGAATGTCTTGAGAGCCTTATGGACGTGCTGCATGGAGACCACTGCAGTGCTTTTAAGGTAACCAGGAATTTATGTGAACCCAGTGAAGCTTCAAAGAACTTGCCAGTCATGAAAACCCCTCACAGATGCAGGGAGCCTCACACAACTTCTAGCAGACCTCTTAAATACCCAGCAACTCTGCTGATGTTTTGAATTCCCATATCTGCTATCCCTGCTCCCATTTGAGGCAGAGTTCAGGAATGAAAAATTTGAGACAATGCAAGCTTAGAGAACCCTGAAACCTATACAAGGCGCCCCCCAATTACAATGACCACTTGTCGCACCTTGTCAAGAGAGAGGCCCAGCTCCTCCTTGACCACCTGTGCGCCTGTCATAATGGCGATATCTTCCAGGTAGCTGCTCTTGCGCTCACCGAAGCCCGGTGCCTTCACAGCGATAACCTGCAAGGAGCACAAATCTTGCCTCAAACACCTTCAATCGAAGCGGCTGTGATGTGCTTTGCAGCTGCCACAGAGCCATGCATGCTTTTTGCAGCACAGCGTGACGAAAAATACACCACCAAAATTGGGCTCCATTGAACTTTTCGCCTTTGTACAGAAACCAGAAAACTAGCTTCTGTGCCTGATATCTTGCTTCTATAGTCACTGGTGCAGTCTTCAAGATGCTCAGCTTCGATACCAGAATCGCCTCATGTCGCACAAAGACTCTGCTGCATTCTGAACATGTAAGAGTACACTTTACAGTGTGGCTGCAAAATTTTTCACAGCCCCGCAATGTTTCCAGCATGCGCACAAGGAATAATCCAACCATCCTCAGCACCAAACAACTGCTGCCGCGCCTGCTGAGTGACTTTTCAGCTCTCTTTGCACAGCTCAAAGCTCCCAGTCGCTTCTTTTGGAGGGCGTGAGAGTACACCCTGAGGCATCCTAACAGAAGCTACAGTCCAGTAGCTACAAGGGTCCGTACTCAACGCCCCAACAACAGCGTCCCCGCATCTCAATTATTTTAAACTTGGGCACGTGTAGCCACTCCTTCTGGTGTTTTGATTGCAGCTATAGTGAGCGGAAGCATTCCAGCTTTACTGCCACAACGCAGGTTTTGCGCCATTTTTAAGATTGCCCACACTAGTGTGTATGCCAGGTTCAATCCTGTAGGGAACATTGAATCAGGCCGCACCTTCAGGGTACCCCGGAGCTTGTTGACGACCATGGTGGCGAGCGCCTCCTGCTCGATGTCCTCGGCCATGATGAGGAGAGAGAAGCCGCCGCGCACGGCCGCCTCAAGGATGCCCACGATGTCGCGCGCCGTGCTGATCTTCTTGTCAACCAGCAGCAGCCGGCAGTTCTCGAACTCACCCACCTGTGTGCGTGCAAAAAGACTCTGTCAAACCCCTGATAATGGGAACGGTCCTAGCCTGATGGCAGGAATGTGATGCCATTGTGTGTCGAACCCCTGAAAAGGGAAGAAACTAGTCCTAGTCTGATGGCGGCAATATGATCTGACTGTGTGATCTTCAGGATGCTTGGTGGGACATCCCAACTTTTGAGCAAGATCACAAAGTGGGTCTCAGCTGATCTTAAGAAAATTCCCACTCCAGTAAGCACGCATCTCCCTGAAGACACCTCAGCACAGCACTTTCCAGCAAGCCTTAAGCTCTCTGCATGCGCGCCTCAGCCTCATTGTAGGGTTCTCTATCAGATGCCCCTGATTCCAAAAGATCTCAGAGGGATTCTGATCATCGACTCCTCAGAGGCCAACAGATGCAGAGCCTTCATAAGGTTGAAGTGGAAATAACCCCAGGATGCAGGCCAGCTGAGGGGGGTAAGACACCAGCCCGAGGCTGCAATTGCATAGCATATTATTGTGCGCAGCCTACAACTGAAAGCACCCATGGCAGAGCTTTGACCACGATCTAGAAGCCAGCCCCAACGCCTTCAATATTAACAGTGCACATGCCTACAGCATCTTCCTACTGCAACCAGAAGGGCCCCAAATGTACAGGTCCCAAGTCAGGCGGCTACTCTTTGCCTCCACCACCAGCCACATGACTGCATAGATAGCGAAGACAAATGGCAGAAGACAGACTTGGGACCTGTCAGGCAGATGCGGCGCTGTGCAAGCAAGGGGCAGTTTGGCTTCGAAGGAAACTGCCCACACTGAGGCAGGCCCATGGTGTAGACTAGGTACTTTCTTCGGACACTTTGCAGTCAATCACCAGAAACGCCATTGAGCCTGCTCCAAAGCATGCTCATGTGCTTGCATCCATTGGGGCTGCGCTAGATGTGCGATGGATCAGGGGAAGGGTGACAATATGGCGAACACAGCGTCCCGCTGCCAGACTTGGGACCTGTGAGGAAGAGACGGCGCTGTGCATGCAAGGGGAAATGCAGGGTAAGGCAAGGGAGGCGCACCATGCGCTCGGGGTCAGTGACAAAGTAGGGGGAGATGTAGCCGCGCTCGAACTGCATGCCCTCCACCACGTACAGGTGATCCTCCGCCGTGCGGCTCTCCTCCATCGTCACCACGCCCTGACGCCCCACGCGGCCCATTGCGTCGCTGATCAGCTGCCCAATCTGCGAGTAAACACATGCACGGTTTTCCACAGTCACCAGCCCCTGATCAAAGTCCAAAAGATTGAAGTCGTGTACGCCAGGTGCAACTAATAGCAGCAGTTTTCAGTCTGACTCTCACCACCGCTGTGAGCATGCTGGCAGGATTGAGGTCATGAATGAAGGCTTCACAGAAGGTTTACAGAACCTCCTCTGCTTGCCAAGAAGCCGCGTTTGCCACAAAAGATCCAGCAAGCGCGCATCAAGAGCACACGATGAACGCGTCATCGCCAGATATCCAGGAGCACAGTGGAGCGCACCACTTCATTGCCGCCGGCGGACACGGTGGCAACGTTGGCGAGGTCCTCGTCGCGAACCTCAACGCTCAGCTTCTGCAGCTCCTCCACCAGCGCCGTCACCGTCTTCTCAATGCCCCTCGTCAGCTGCGTGTGTGGCACGCCATGTCAGCACCGGCATACTATAATTTGATCTAAAGGAGGCGAGCGCCTCGACTGCTGCTGGGCGTCAGGTGACCGTCACCACGATGAAATCAAACACGGACACGGGTGTATCGATGGAGTCAAATTGTAGTACACACATGCACAGACACCAAGCACAGGAGGCCATCAGGAGAGAACTACATGGGGCCCAGCATGAGGCCGAGGTGCCTGCGCATCGCTATGCAGAGATCAGGGAAGTTCACACCTGGATGGGGTTGGTGCCTGCTGCCACAATCTTCATGCCCTCGGCAATGATGGCTGCGCTGAGGATAGTGGCTGTGGTGGTGCCGTCTCCGGCTGTGTCGTTGGTCTTTGAGGCCGCCTGCGCAACACACCCAAAGCCATTTGAACATATCTGTCCGCATTCTAGGACACTAAATTGTCAATTCCACCAGAATTTCCTATCAATTGGCCGCATTGCCTCTTCTCTCTCACACTCCCTTCTTGTCACCTATTCTCCACAAATTCTATTCCCAGGGTTGGGATGCAGAATGTGTCTATCAAACAACACTTGCAACAGGCGGCCTGGTACTGGACCCGAGCTGAGCGGACAATTTTTAATGTTAAAAAAGGGTCCTGTGCTTACCTGGCGCACGAGCTTGGCACCAATGTTCTCCACAGGGTCTTCAAGCTCCACCTCCTTGGCCACTGTCACACCATCGTTCACAATGCGCGGGGAGCCGTACTTGCTCTCCAGCACAACATTCCGGCCCTGCTCGCACCAAAACAACATCCTCAGCCGCTGCTAAAAATGATATGCCTTATTGCATGCTGAGTCAGGAGGTGCTGACATGACCCACAGCTCTGAGCCGCCCGAAGTGTGCCTTCATGTCACCTACATTCTATATGAAAGCCTCCGACAGAGTTTGACTTCAACTATTTTCTGCACCGTCCAGCTTTCACGTGTGCCCTTTTTTATGACTTTGGTAGGTTGTGGGGTACTTGCAATGGGGAGCCTAGCACTGACATCTGGCATGAACACTGACAGCAAAATGAAGGGGGGCGGAGAGGTGCACCTTGGGTCCCAGGGTGACTCCAACCACGCTGCTGAGCTTGTCAACACCAGCCTGCAGCTTTTTCAGGGCCTCCATGTTTCTGTTGAAGTGCAGCTCCTTTGCCATGGCATGGGTGACGACCGCCCCTCCACGACTGCAACAGCCATGCCAGTGGATCTGAATGGGTTTGCACATAGGAATGGCCCCGAACACAGTTGTTTTAGATACTTTGAAGTGAAGGACCCAACAGGATTAGATCAATGCAGTACTGATGACCTTCGGCATCGTCAGGGTCACCATCTGTCCAGGATGCACAACTATACATTCACCTCTCAATAGAAGCAGGTAGCAATCACTGATCGTGCTGCAGCAAGAAGAGATATCATACCTCAGACGGGATGCACATGGTCGCCTCAGCTGAGCAGCAAAAGGGTGCGCTGCAAGGAAGGTCAGATGTTAGGAACGTTCTAGAATGGCTAGAATGTTCTATTCAACACCGCCGCAAGTCTTGTTGCAAACAGCTGGGATGCTATTATAAACAATGATACTACGAAGATTGACGAGCATAGCAGTACTCAGAAGCGCTTCACTTCTGTGAGAATGTTGAGAGCCCTAGTAAACACACCTCTGCTGTTCAGCATGCTGTTCCGGCCCATTCCTGTGTACTGAGGCATGCTGGATGAACACTGTCCAGACCTGCTTGACAAAAGGAAAAGATTTGACTTCAGCACTTCGCAGCGACAATGCAGCTTGCAATTCACGAAAAATACAGCCGCCGAGACACCAAGTATTTAGAAATAATCCTATTTACGGGCGATCGAAGCCAAACACAGTTGCTTCTCACCTCGAGATAATTGCAGGACTGTTCATTTTGCCCCACTCGTCTCCACAGTCTCAGCTGTCACAAACTTTGCTTCTCTGTCCGAGATCGAAGCAACAAGATGGAGGATAAGGTTTTGTCAACCCTTCAACCGTGGTAGGGCTAGGGGTCGTTGCACTGCACAAAACACTTGCAACTTGCATCGTCCAAGACGATCATCGAGCACGGGATCAAGACACTGTAGATGCAAGCGTCCTCCGCCCCAGTCAATATGATAACTATTTGCAAAGTGTCGGGAGAATGGCGCATCAGAATCGCTGTAGCATCTGACATCCTTCCGGGGCTGATGTCCCCCAGCCATGCTCAGTGCTAGGGGTCCAAAGGCAGCACGATCTCCAACTGTATCACTTTTATTTCTTTTGATACTCATTGGGCTTAGCCATCAACAGGATGTCCATGGTAATCTGCATCTGGGACTCAAAAGTTTGCTCCCCGCATGGGCGGCGAGCTAAAGGCGCAGAGCTGGAATGACATCTGCCAGGCTCTCGTCACGGAGTAAACCGCGTCTGGGTCCGGACATGCGCATGGCAAAGCGATTGAATTGCAGAGCTGTGTTGCTGCCGTACTGTGCCATGCTTGGCACATGCTACCTAAAATACACGGATACATATGTCCAGCTGAGTTTAAGGATCCCCAGTGGCCCATAAGTCACGGCTTGCTACTTCTCTGCCACTTCTGGCTCTGGCCAGTAAGGCCTCTCAGCCCGTACTTGACAGATGTGGTGGGCGTGTCAGATTCTTTGTACACAGCATTTCAACGGCGGATCTACACTTGCTATGGCAGTCTTTGTCATCGGTATCATCAAATAGAGTGCTTGAATTACTTTGCGCACTCCCTCTTATTGCCAAGCGCATATTTTGGCCCGCCATTGGCATACACCGCTGCCCCAGTCAAATGATGGCGGCGTTGCCTGCAGATCCATGCTTTCATTTGCTTACATTTTCCTGGCGTGTACTACTATCGCTGTCCTGTTCTCCTGTTCTCTGAGGAGGACCTAACAATGATGCTGCAAGAATTGCTTTGCTTGGGCTTGCTATAGGACCATACAAAGGTGCTACCCCTGACTGCTGATACTATTGTTGTTTGCTAGAACACCAGAAGTGCGCAATTGAAACTGCAATGAAAATATTGATGCCACGAGCACTTCTGCGCCAGTGGTGTACACCATATAGACGGCTGCCTCAGATAAGACAAGCCAGCATGATGACCAACGCGAGCTAAATCTAGTATTATAGTTAAATCATTTAACTTAAATGTCTTGGAAACGATGGGAGGACATATACATGTGTTTCTTCTGCACAAGTGTCATGCTTGCATATCCATTCTCGTGTTGATGCTTGGGCATCAGCAAGCGCTCAGAGAGGAGATCTCTCTTTAAGAAGGAGGCTGGTGTAATCCTTGGAATCACTCCTCAATGACACAGTCCAGCGCGTGATGCGCTGCAACAGTTACAAGGACCATGAGCACAGCAACAAAGATACCCTGGCAGGCAACACCAGCAACAACAAGGCACGCCTCACAATGTTCCTGTCAACGCACACAAACACTCCTCACAAACACTGAGTGTCAAAAGCAAGAGCACTGTAATTTTCACTTGCAAAGGCCTGTCAGGGACAACCAATTTACACACAGTCAAGATGAGAGAGGCTGTCATTCACCACAAGTCTCCATGGAAACATGTCAAGCAGCAGAAACTCACTGCATTTGTCCTAATGTACACCAGGCATCTTGCAGCCCTGCACTTGGGAGCAAGATGGTTGTCAAGAGGGTTCCAATTGGTGCACATTGCACGTCCTTAAACGTTCTATTATGCTGCTTTCAGGTCATTCTCATTCCATGCCTCGAATGCAAGAGGGGGGCACCTGCGTCCATTAACCGTTGGGACAAACAGCAGGCACCCACCACGATGAATGAAACAATTCGCCGAGCTCTGCACACGTACTGCCGCCCTCGTAAGAGGAGCTTCAAGCACTGCCAAAAGCATTTTGCATTGCAGGAAAAGGCCCGCAATAAAAAGTGTTCCCTCCCTCGTGATGCCCAGAGCATCCTGAAAATTTCACCCAAATCTGCTATGCTGCAGCCACCACCACTGTTTCTCCACACCGATCCTAATATAGCAAGCTTACTAATTGTCTCCCTCCATCGACAGCGGTCAGTCAGACAGCTAAGAAAAACGCCAAGACACATCAAGCAGATTCTGACACCCAAGCATACTATTCCCCTTATCCTTGGGGCAAGATTACACCAAAAGCAAACTTCCACGACACTCTCCTAGCAGTGCTCAATGGCATATTTATCTGCCACATAAGAAATCTAGAGAAAACCTAATATGTTGCAGCCTCGCCTCAACACAAGCTCATTTGTAACACAGCTGCTCTCAACACCGGCCCTCGTTCGTTGCAGGAGCATGGTGGCTCCTGGCAGTGTCAAGTGTTGCAGATGCATGCATCGGCCCTGTCTTATACTTGGTCAGGCAAGCGGCCAGATCAGGCGGCTGCCTCATAGGGCACTGATTGGCCCTGTCCGATATTTGTTCATGCAGATGCTTCATCAGGCTTAGCCCAGGCAGCCAGGGCCTCGGCAGTGCATGCCTCCAGCGCCTGTCGCGCCAGAAGATCGTCCCAAGTGTTCTGCAGGTTGCGCTGCGTGCGCTGCCTGTGAGCACACAAAGACATGCAGTCAGCGCCTAAATGTCCCTAGTCCTGACCACTTGACCACACAGAGAAAATCACCATATTCTTTGCTGGAGAACAACGCAGCCCTTGCAACTACAGTACAACGAACATGTCTTCCCTGTATAGATTGCCCCATGTTGCAAGGCTGGTATTCTGCCTTCAGATAGGGAGCACCCAGCTGCACAATGGCAGCATCTACTGCGGCAGCCATCAATGTCCCACTCAGAGGGCTGTTGACCCTTGGAGCCATCCACGTGCGCATCACAGCACACGCCAACATTGTGGAGGTGGAGAAGCTGCCCAGATCACCCAACATGGAGAGTACAAAAGACTAAGAATGTAGAGGGAGGTGATAAAACCGACCTGGCCAGGTGGGGGTTGACGCCAAGGCCGCAGGAGGAGGCGGCAGAGCCGGAGCGGCTGATGGCCGCCGAGCGCCAGGCTGGCGTGTTACGGGCCGCCGCATACGGGGCCCGTAATCCCGCGCAGCCCCCGCGGAATCCGGCTGCGGCGGCCCCTGTGTAGCGGCTGCGGCCGTAGCATGCCGTCAGCGCCTTGCCCAGCCGGGAGCCCTGGAATGGCGCTGCATTCTGCGCCGCTGCAAGTGCCTCTGGCCTCCACACGCCTGCATATCAGTGTGGGCCATGAAATCTTCGTTGGCAAGCCCAAGTGATAGGAGATATACACACTGACAGAGATAAGAGGCCCAGGCAAGGCGTGAAGAGGAGATATGGCACATGGCTTGCTGAAGGTACAGGACCCCTTGAGGTAAGGGACGCAGACAATCTTTGCGCCTTGGGACACAGAGAAAATGTTGCGGCCCGTCCACAAGACGTGACGCACACCGTATTCTCCTTGCTGTAATCAGAGAGACTTTATGGAGCAGTCATGCATTGAGAAATCTAGCAGATCCATTTTGGGGTAGAGCATGCTCCCACCTGGCTCATCGGTAGCACAGTTGGAGGACAGCTCAAGGCGGCGTCCCTCGAGGCCGTGGCGGCCCTTAAAGGCGGCGCAGACCTGCGCAGCCGCATCCGCCACCTGTGCGCGCGCCGGTGACGGCAGCGCAGCCGCAAACGCCAGGTGGCGCGCTGGCGCAGGGGTCGCTGCTGCAGACGGGGCCTCCATGTCACAACACTGCTCCGCCTGCGGAAAGCATGCAAAGGAAACACATCACGAACCGAAGTGCAGCTGCTAACACGACAATCTTTGTGCATGGGTGTCATGACAAGGAGGTGCCACATACCCAAAGATGCACCGTCACTCTGACTGTCGACACAATCTTGGCAGATAGCCGCACATTCCTGTGATAATCCCCTTTGGCCCAGATTGAGACCAGAATTTGCACTCATTCAGCAGTTGAGTAAATGGGAAGCTGATTCTCTCCTCCTAAACAACAGCAAGTTTCTGGGGATTTTTTTGCTGTGCTGAGAAAGATGCCTCACCTGCTCGTCAGGGCGCTGTAAGTCAAGGCAGAGCGGGTGCAGCTTCTTCCACAGCGGCAGCCGCCACTTGACGGCCGGCGTCAGCGAGGGCGTGCACAGCACCGGCGTTGCTGCAGGGCTGACACCCGCATCCAGCGCAGGAAACTCCACCGAACTGCCGCGCAGCATCTGCCGGGCCGGCGTCATGAACGCGTCAGCGCTCGCACCGCCGGCTGTGGCGGCCGGAGAGCCCGGCGGCGTGGCCAACTCGGCCGACAGCTCCAGCTCGACTTTTATCGCTGTCGCCTCATTTGTCGCGCCGATATCCATGATCTGCGCATGACTTGGCTGCTCGTTACATGCATCCAGTACCGGCGTGTCTTGTGCTTGCGCAGGAGGCGGCACGGCGTTGGCTGAGTGGCGGGCCGGCGTTGGGCAGGGAGACTGCTGCTGTTGGTAGTCCATGACGTCCATTTGCTCCTGCTGCCTCCGCTGCTGCTGCTTTAAAGGGCAGGCGGCGGGACGGGGAGAGGGTGTTTCAGGGGCTGACAGCTGTTTGTCCTGGGCGGCGAGCACTGCGCAGGCGGCCAGCAGCGCGGATGCGCGCGCCCGAGCTGGCGTCTGCGGCTGCCACGCGAAAGGGTCCGACGCGTCCGTGTTGTGCTTGAACTCCTCCACCACCGCCTGCCACACATTGTACTTATCAGGCCAAAATTTCGAAATTAACGACAAAATGTGTGTGGGCCCATTGCTGTCCCAACAACCATGTTGAGAAATCAAGATGGCACCGACTGGCTCAGAATAGGTCGCTCTTCAGCTGTTGAACAGCTACTGCCTCATTTCTGGCCGCAGAATTCAATGCCGTCACTTTTGCTTGCAAACAAACCGCTGTAAGGACTGCATACAGACAATGGTAACAAGCAAGGCAGACAGAAAGGGAGGCGCACCGAGCGCAGGCGCCGTCCGAGGCCGCCAGAGGGGGAGCTGAGGTGGCTGCTGGCCCAGCGCAGGTTGCGCGACGGCGTGCGGCTGACGCTGCGCACACCCCTATTGGCGCCAGCAGCCCGGCCCTTCCTGGGGGCGTGGGCGGAGGGCGTTCCCTCCCCCTTCACCAGAGGGTCCAGGGTGGCTGAATCGGGGCTGTCGCGAAGAACCTGCAGCGCCGGCAGCCGCTGCTTGGGCGATGGGCCCGGCTTCCTCCGCTGCTTCGGCTGCTTGGGCGCCGCCGGCTGCACGGCGCGCGCGGGCTGCTGGGGGCCTGTGCCTGTGCCAACATCCATTGACATAGCATCAGCATCATGCCAAAATGCAGGCCTGCAACAACAGATTGTAACATTGGAAAGGCCCCAGTCTGAACTGGCGTGTCCCACGTGACCAGGGCATCCTGCCTGGTAGGATCTCAGATGGTCTGAAATCCTTGACCGCCTGGAGGGTTGGACTCGCGCAGGCAGCTGCAGTGCAGAGTCAGGCAAGAACAAGAAACAAGCAAGACGAATTCCAACACACACGACCCTTGAAATGTACCAGTTGCCAAAAGAATACGACTTGAAACAGATCCTCACCCTGCCGCGCAAACTCCTCCTCCTCGCGCTTCACCTCCCCCAGCTTCAGCCTGACATCGCCCGCCAGATCAGGGTCAACCACTTCGCTCCCCTGCAGCGACCGCGGCGAGCCCGCCACCGGCGACGGCGTCCGCACCGGGCTGGCCGCAGAATCCGCGCCGCCTGCAGCCGCTGCCGCCGCCGCGTTGCCGCACGCCAATACCTTCTGATCCTCCACGGCCTCCCGCGCGGCGCTGTCCTGGGCCGCGGCCTCGGCAGAGGCGAGCGTCGGCGTAACCGCTGGGGTCGCGGTTTTCGAGGCGGCCCCGCCGCGCCGGGGAGTGTCAGGGAAAAGATCCGACTCCACGAGCGCAGCCAGGCAGCTGCGGCTGCGCGCCACCGCTTCCATCTGCTGGCTGCTGTTGACCGTCAGCTTCTGTGGTGATGCGCAGGATGGCGCGCGGCGCAGCGGCTTCTTGTGCGCAGCAGCCGGCTCGCCGCTCGTGCCGAAGCGCTCCCGGCGCTTGCGCGCCATCTCGGCAATCGTGCGTGCGTCCAGCTGGCCGGCTGCGTTCTCCTCATGTGGGGCACCTGCGCCTGTCGGCCTCTGGTGCTCACTCTCGCCGGCGCCCTCGCTGCCGGCTTCGTGCTTGGGTTTCTCCATTTCCATGTCCCCCTGCCCGGCGTGCTGCCCGCTGCCGCCGCTGATGCTGTTGTGCTCCGAGTCGGCCGAGTCGCCGCGGCGCTGGCCGGCAGCCGCGGCCGCCACATCGCCGGCTGTGAGGGACCCCTCAAGGGACCCCCGCACTGAGCCCCCCAGATCGAGCAGCTGCTGCGTCGTACGCGAGGCCTTGGAATTCTCCGACGACGTCGCCGTTCGAAACTCTGTCGCCTCCACCCGCGCCCTTTTCCGCGGCGTTCCCACTGATTTTCCATTCGCTGCAGTAGCACAGGCCAATTTTCAACTCCCATTTGCGTTTGCATGCCGAGCTTAGCTCTCAATTGCTGCAGATCTCACAACATCAGGCTGGACAAAGAGCGTGTTCACGGGTGTCACACATGTGTTTGTCGATGCTCTGAATCCTCCTCATTGTCCAGTCTGCCTCAACAGATCTGCCTCAACAGAACTTCCAAGGCACTGAGCCTGGCTGTCCGACATCAAAGACAACGAGCAGTGTGAGGCTCCTGGCGCACCCTTGGCATTGCTACCAGCCAGCAGTCCAGGCCGCTGCCGCGGGCGACACCATTTGCCCGGCTTGCTGTCGCCGGCCGCACGCTGCTGCTGCTGCTGCTGTTGTTGCTTTCCGCTGCCGCGCGCTCGCGCGCCACCGGCCGAGCTCTCGTCATCGCTGCTGCTCTCATCTGAGCTCCCGCCATCTTCCTCCTGCCAACCACCCAGCATTATACTAAGCAAGAGCCTTCCAACACACTGCTTGCGAGCTCCTGTGGAACTACACAATCTGCAGGTGCAGGTCCCCAATTCGCCATTTTGAAACCTGCAAATGCATCCATCCCGAGGCAAGTGTAGAGCCAGTGGCAGATCCGCACCTGCACAGCTGTGTGCTTGGCAGCCACAGCCGCCCTCCTGCTCTCCTCCAGCGCCATCGCCAGCATCTGCCGCTCGGTCATCCCAGCTGCAGCACAGAAACATTCCGCTCAATCTCTGCAAACCAAGACACGCCCGGGCCCGCGCACAGCATCGGCCTTGCGCACAGCCAGTGAACCATGCCAAGATACAACAATGCAGCAGGCGCCTTGTCCAACTGCCACAGAACGAAAAGCGCTTCAGTGTACAGCAACAAGGGCCTTCACATAGCTCAAGGGCACAAGCCCTGTCAATTTGTGACTAGACGGCCACAAGCAAGTCCAGGATGAGTAAGGGTTGCTAAGTACGCACATGGCACCAGCGCGGCCCCTGCCCCGCTTCTCTTGGAGCTCAGAGTCCGCTCCATCCCAGCTGTTTCTGTCTTGGCGCTTGCCTGCTCTTACTGGCAGCCCAAGCCCATAGCCACCTCTGCCATGTAACTATATCTGCGAAAACATGGACAAACGTAAGATAAGGAGAGAGTACACAGATAATCAAAGAGGACAGCATTCTTTTTCTGATTAGCGAGTGCCAAACGGCACGCCCAGCCCTTGCTTTGGGAACCCCTTGCCACACGACCTTGCAATTTCATGGTGAACGTGAATACGACTCACCAATTCACATCAAATTTTGCTTGCTTGCTTCTAGACGGCCTCAGAATATTTTCGAAGGAAGGCACGTTCCTGGGATACAAGGAGAGGGCCTGCTGCAAGAGCCTGGAAAAGGCACAAGCAAATCCAGATGGGATGCCTCGACCCAACAACACAGTGCTGGGGTTCCTGAGCATATCTGACAAAAGTCAGACGAGGCATAGTCGTAACTCTGCCAGGCCAAAGGATGCCAAGCGTCGCGCTATTGTGTAGGCCCGCGCTGAAGTACCAACCCAGTCACACAGAGTGTCTACAGCACAACAGGATCTCACGGCCAAACAATGAGGGGCAGACCCAACGGAGAAAGCCATCGAAAAGTCCGTGCAAGCCACCGAAGCTGCGCCCACCTAGGGCTTTCCCGGGCGTGTGCTAAGCTTCCTGCCTGCTGAAGGGCCAGAAAAGCTGATATGGCAACCCATCGCACCCCTCAGCAGCAGCGCACAAAAGATGAGCCGTGCTAGAGCCCAACATCCTCATTTTGTGCCTGGTTCGGCTCCCAGCCTGTGCGGCGTTCCGGCTCCGGAGCACAGATTCTGACGATCAAATTGCCCCGGAACCACCCGGCGCCGCTACTATACACCTCACTCTACAATCCTGACCAACGATCGGTGCCATCGCTGAGCACGCCGGGATCGGCACCAAAAAGTGCTCTTCCACAGCGCGAAACAGCGGGACAGTACAGGTTGAACCCAGGCCCCAGGCTGCTAATCCCGAGCAGGGCGTGCGCTGACCTTTCGAGGAGCTCCTCACAAGAGCTCGGCCTCAGACCCCGCGTCCCCGGGCCTGCTCAGGCGTAGCATTCCAAGCCGCCAAGAACCCCAACTGCGGCTTCCCGCCACGCTCCGCTGCTCCCCCGGCTGCGCTCTCCAGGTTATTTCAGGTCTCCATCGAGATCGGCTGAGTTTCTGCTACGAGGTCGTGGGCTGGTGTGTGCTAGCTTTTCGTGATTTCCTGAAAGCGACCTGATCCGAGGCGGCGCCTTCCCACGTGGAATCTTATTCTTCATCTAAAGGATACGCTTTTTGCAGTGAATGGAGCAGAGAACATTCGCATGAAAGCTTGCAGAAGCATCGAATCTGAGTTTTTTTTCCTGCACAGTAGCGACATATTTCCATTGAAAGAGCATTTCTGTGAGTCACAGCAGGCTGGCAGCTGCTAGGTTTTTACAAGTGCCAACTGCATTGCAGCAAAGAGGCGGGCATTGTTTGAGAAGGCCAGCGACACAGTGCCCATTTAGGCCCTTTCGTAATATAGCATTCCGCTGCTGCGACAGGGGAGCAGGTCCAGTTATCAGACAAGCCTCTTGTGCCAGGTCGGTCGGCGGCAGGGCTAGTAAAGATAAGACAAGTATGGCAGGCCACGATGAAGCCAAGGCGAAGCCTGGAACGGCCGCAGAGGGCATGGGAGTGGCCAAGGCCGGCTGGTTCACAGAGCTGAGCACCATGTGGCCTGGCCAAGGCCTGTCACTCAAGGTGGAGGACATCTTGTTCCAGGGGAGGTCCAAGTTCCAGGTGCTACATCGGAACCACGCCCTTTCCTGCCTAGAAACTAAATTAGGGTTGCATAATGCACGGTAAAAATGTGCATTGATGTTCAGAGAGGCATGTACTCTCTGCACTGCAAGTGGTAAGCATGAGGCATGGCCTGTTGTCTGAGCTATTATTGTGCTGCAGGACGTCTGTGTGTTCCAGTCTCCTTCCTTTGGGAAGGTGCTGCTGCTGGATGGAGTCATACAATGCACAGAGCGCGACGAGTTCTCCTACCAGGAGATGATCACCCACCTGCCGCTCTGCGCTCTGGAGGTGTGACCTGCACGATGGCTTTGATGCCTCTAATAACCCTGTGCATAGCTTGAGCTTGGGTGACCAGCGTAGCGCATAGAACGGCGGTCTGGACAGAAGTTGATTGATCAGCCGCTTGCCGGATTGGGTCAGCATGCGCAGTCTGTTCAATGGCGCGCTATGGATTCGACGCATGGATGTGCCATACAATATCCGGCCGTCTCCTGCAAGCCTGTTACATGCGTGCATGCCAAAGGCTCTCCCATGCACTTCACTATGATCATTCTGGGATTTGAAGGCGGTGTCTGCCGTGCGACCAAGCTGCACGCTGCCTAGCGGGAACATATGTTCCTAGTTTCAGAGAAGCCGTAAACAAGGATCTCATGCTCAATGTGCATTTTCCCTGCCCAGGCGGAGCCGAAAAAGGTGCTGGTGGTGGGCGGCGGCGATGGCGGCGTGCTGCGCGAAGTCGCGCGTCACCCCTACGTGCAGGAGATCACCCTGGCAGAGATCGACGAGTGAGCGACGGTTCCTGCCCCCAATCTACATCGCAGCAGCACTGTCTGTGTCACTCGCTGAGAGACCGCTAGGCCTTGACACATGTTGTAGCTGCCTTGCGCTGCCTACAGAAACCAATGCATGATATATAGCATTACTTGTGTCACGCATGGCGGCAATACAGGCCATTAAACTGAGCTGTACACAGTGATATACCATCCGGCGGCTGTTAGCAATGCAGGAATTCTGCCCATGCAGGATGACAATGCAAATGCACCTCTCTCCTGGCACAGCAAGACTACGAGAAGAAGTTTGACAGGGAGTTGATGCGCGCAGGATGGTGCCGGAGACGTCAAAAAAGTGGTTCCCCGAGATGGCGCTCGGCTTTGACGACCCCCGCGTCTCCGTCCACATCACCGATGGTGAGACCTCGTGCCGTAACATTTACACGTCTCAATTCATATCACTTACTGCCGCATGCACTACATTCAATGGGAAGGGTGAAAAGGGCCAAGGTGTTGTCCCGGTAGAGATGGGGGCCCGTTGAGATGTGCCGATGAGCATGTTCATGTGTGCCTTGTGCCACATGGCCACCAAAGCCCCTACTGCTCAACCCTCTGATGCGGCATGCCTTTAATCGGTGCTCATGTCCTGCATCTCAGCGCCAAAGTAGGAAGCTTCCGGCAAGCGCAGTACATTGCGCCATGCTTGCCAACCTGCAGGCCGGATATGCTCCCCGTTGCTGGCTCTCAATCTGCCGACATACAGCAATTGGGGTCTTGAATGCTCAAACCTCTAAGAACCATTGGAGAGTCCTCTAATTGAACGCTTTTGGTGCATGCAGGCATCAAGTGGGTGCAGGAGGCTGAGCCGGAGACATATGACGCCATCATCGTTGACTCATCCGATCCGGTCGGCCCCGCCGAGGTCCTCTTCCAGAAGGTGCGCGCCCAATTGCTGCATTAAAACTCACATGGGTTTTCCAAATGCGTGCTCCATAGCAGGGGTATGCAGAATGCGTGGGCGCTGTGTTGTGCATTTTAAGAATATGTTGCAGGCACTTGGATCTGTGAAAGGATTTTGGCCAAATCGTGCATGCACGTGGGCATTACATGTGCTAAGATACTTTTGCCGGATTCAGCACCCATCGTGTGCATTGCCATTGTAATACCGAATGCTCAGTTCGGCAAATTATGTCCTGTCCTCTGTTGTGGGTGGGGTGATAATGAGAGACAAGCTGAGAACGTTTTGATAATGGAAAAGTTGTTGTGGTGTTGCGCAGCCCTTCTTTGAGGCCATGCACCGCGCTCTGAAGCCCGGCGGAGCCATCTGCACACAGGTGAGGCAATTCTTCCCTTCATAGCGGCTTTCAGCTCCTTGGCGGTCATTCGTACTGCCGCTACGTTTGGAAAAGGACCTTCACCATACTCTCACCCATGGCTGACTGCTTCCTCTTTCTTTCATATGATGCCCTGGCTCACCGGCCTTGATATTGCCAAATTGCACTAGGCAGGCAGCGCGATTTGCACCAGTTAAAAGATGACAAGTATCCGAATTTGTGTGCAGGGAGAGAGCCTGTGGCTGCACCTGGACATCATAAAGGAGCTGGCTGCCATGTGCCACGAGGTGTTTGTGGGCGGCAGCGTGCAGTATGCCTACACCACCATCCCCACCTACCCAAGGTCAGCACACTGTAATCATCCTGTCACTCCACTTTCAAGTCTTTCGGTGATGGCAGGCCACAAGCTCTGTAATGGTCTACGACGCCTACAGGAACGAGAGCGATTCCTTAATCACCATTGCACTATATGTTTATTGCCAGCATTGGATACTGTTGCCTTTGGTGTGACGATAGAGCTACAAGGGTGATCCGAACAGCTGAAGAGATGCTGCATTGAGGCGTGTTTGCAAAACAGTGAAATGCTGTGAGCAATCGCATATGCTTGAATGCTGAGATTGCTTGTTTGTGTTCGCAGTGGGCAGATCGGGTTCATGATTTGCGCGAAGGCCACCAGCTCAGGAACGCCCCTCGATCTGAGCCAGCCCAGGAGACCGCCACCTGTCGCCCCCAAGGCTGACTACCCGCCCCTCAGGTGCGTGCCTGCGTGCATGCCTGCAATGGGAGCCTGATTATGTAATTGAGCTTTCCTGAGTTAGATACTTTGGTCGGTCAGCTGTTATTTACTCAGCAGGCTTTGTGGTGGGCAGGACAAGTATACAATTAAGCTATTGTCTCATGATGTCGGATGTCCTTCTGAAGCTAACGCTCTCTTGGTCCCTGAAAGCTATGAAGACAGCAGTTTTCCTTGCCCTGCACATGCACTGTATCTAGTCTTGCAGCAGGACGATGAAGCATAGAATAAGCTGCGCATTTGAATGTGTGCTTTCTTTTGCTGACAGGTACTACAGCGGGGAGATGCACCGGGCTGCTTTTGTGCTGCCCAAGTTTGCTCGTGACGCCCTCACAAACAGCCTCACACTCTAGTGCTGCACAGCTCTCTAGACATCACAATTGCATATTAGAGGATTGCCAGAGTGGCTTGTGGGCCAAGTTCTGGCGATCGGACAGATTGCTGTGGATTGTTGAAATGCTTCTCAATCTGAATTATTCATGTGAAAAGCTTAAGAGGTGTTCCTCCAATTGGTAATCCCGTCTTTTCACATCGCCTGCATCTGCTCGACAGTATTTGTAAAGATCTGGAGATGGACTAAACAAACAAATGACATACTTGGTACTGAATACCTCCTCCTTGAAGCATCTCACAAAGAGGTTTCCGTAGAAAACACACAAGAATGGCAACGAGGAGCTTTGCAACTACTGGAAAGTTTTTCCGAAAGTCACTCCCAAAAAAGTTCCAATCCCGCATGAGCAGTTTCTGGTGCCACATGGCCCTGAGAACCTTAGGGTGCACTTTGCCTCTCAGGGGAGACTGGTTTGATAAGCAATGCAGTGCTGCCTGGTACAAGGCTGCATTTACTCCTACATGAAACCAACCGCCACATCTTGCTGAGCTGCTGTGGCATGCATGCTATCAGCACACATCACTCATGGCTCCATCGGAGCTCTGCAAAGGAGACAGTGCCTGAGGGCAAGGCAGCCAGTTAGATAACATGGCGTGAACACCCCGTTCGCCCCGACACTTACAAAGGCACAATATGGTCCCGTTAATAACAATCTTTTCTTCACAGCACCACTATCCCTTCACAGGAAGGTCCTATCCTAGACAGTGCAGCCACGTTGGGGAAAACTGACAAGGAGACCTCTTGGGGATCCTAAGGGATTTCTTTAAGCTCCTCCTGTGTTTTCACAGGATGGCGCCTTTGCGGTAGTTGGTAGCGGTGCGCTTGATTTGGCTGGACTGCATGTTGCGCATCATCTCGCAGAACTCCTCGTAGTCGATGTCTCCGTCCTGGTTCTTGTCCACGTCCTTCAGCACCTCCTCCACATTCTGGTCCAGGTTCCCCGGCAGCTTCTGCATGGATCACATGACAAGTCTGTGAGTAACTTGGTTACTCGTCAATTTCTATATTATTGGGTATGAGCTGCACCTGGTCTAAACTTCCTGGCAGCTTCTGCATTTCACATGATTCCCCTGTAGTCAATTGGTTCAACATCATTCCTATGGAATTGAGCATGAGCTGCATGTGATCCGGATTCCCAAACAGCTTCTGCATGATTCACATGACAACACTGTAAGTGACTGACGATCTGAACGCTGAGAATAAAGTGCATGTGATCCTGGCTTCCCTGCAGCTTCCTGCATACAGCATGGCAGTGATATTATTGCATCAGCATGCACACAGGATGCACCCCACAAGTAGACGTCAGACAGTAAGAAAACTCCGCCTGCCTGGCCTTGCAGCTGCAACGCTCAAGCGAGCAAGAATCGGTAGCCCGCAAAGTATCACTGAGAAGGCAAGGAGCGGACCTTGAGGGCCTCGGTGAGCTCCTCTTTGGAGATGGTGCCAGAATTGTCAGTGTCAAAGTGCTTGAACGCGCGGTACATGTTCTCCTCAAGCTGCACCCACACGTTACAATGTGAGCAGGGATTTAACGCCATTGTCACATGTGACCACACGACAGCTCAGCAGCCAGCATGGTGTCTGCTCAAGTAAATCCATTTTTGGCATACCTCATGCTCTGAATGGTATCTGGAAGTGCGTCGTTTGCAAGGCAGATAAGGTTGCGCCAGCTCACTTTCTCTCCACAGTATACTGTAACATGATGCCAGCAACCGAAGGTACACAAGCAACCAGGGGGCCTAAAGGATTAAAGCTGAGGTAGGATAGAGGTGAGAGAGAACAAGCGCGCCTGCAGCTGGCTCATGATGGCGGCGGCGGCGAGGAACTCAATGTACTCGCAGCACTAATCAAGCACGACTGATAGACTTGAGCGGGGGTTTTCGAAGGTGAAACAGGGTCTGAGGGTTAAGGTGATAACTTGGGGACTTTAGGAGCCGCGCCTGTAGCTGGCTCATGCTGATGGTGGCTTACACTTGCTTGGACCAAAATGATCCTCGACATCCCTGGAGAAAATACATGCAACAGGACAGAACGCGCCTGCAGCTGGCTCATGTTGATGGTGGCTGCGAGGAATTCGTCGTAGTCGATGCTCCCGTTGGCGTCAAAGTCCATGGACGCCACGAGCGCCTGCAGCTCGTTCTGAGTCACCGCGCTCCCCTGCTGCTTCAGCCCCTCCTTCAGCTCCTCCATTGTCACCGTCCCACTCTTGTCCGTGTCCAGCGCCTGCGCGTATCATAGCAGCTAAAACCTTCACACCCCTGTTTTTCTGTGCGACAAGATACGAGCCGCACTGCTTTCTTCCGGCCTGTAGATAGTTGCATGCTGTGGGGTTGGAGTCAATGTTGCATTCAATGCCAACATCTCCTGGCCGAGTTCCCTCGACTCTACTGAACCTTTGCGCAATGCCCCGGCCTGTTCACATGATGCCCCTCCCTCAAACAAATCGCAATCCAAACGTGATGCAGCATCTTGAGTGCTGCATATGGCCGCATGTGTGACAAGGCCAATTCTCCGTTTAGAACAAAGAAATTTGGGGGCCCTGGGGGTGCTAAAGTTTGGTCCAGCATTTACTGACCCTTGCCAGCCCCACACGTGCCAGCCCTACCTGGAACATGGAGCGCAATCCGGCGATCTCTTCTGGGGACATGCCACCCGCGATGACCTTGAGGGCCTCCTTCTTGAGCTTATTCATGTTGAGGAATCCGCGCATGCGCTGCAGGATCACGTTGTCCAGCGGCTTGTCGCTTGCCGTCCCGTTCTCCTTCATCCAGCTATGGCCCAAAATTTGCTCTGCAGTCGCGCGCTTCTTCGGGTCCTGCACCCGCAAATTATTGATATTACCTCGCGCTAAATAAAGAAAGTTTAATTCCCAACCAACTGCCTTGGTTCGTCGCTGCGCGGTCCTTGAAGTGCTGCAGTCGCATGCGAGCCCCTGTCAGTGCCAAATGAGGAATGCGACACAATAATAACACTGCTCTGGTCGGCACTGATGAATTGCAGCAGCAGCATCTGAAACCCAACCTATCAAATTTAGTTGAAATCAACCCCTTTGGACCACCGGGTCTGCCGCTCAGCACAGGGTTCCATATCAAACTACATCTCCCTGTAAGATGCACAGAGAGAGCCCTGCCGTAAGCGTTTATGTGAGTGCTGCAGCAGCCACTCACAGGCATGCCAATCATGACATGAAAATGCCAGATGACACTTCTGGGGGTGCTGCAGCAGCAGAAGAAACCTCTTCTGGTGGCAATTCAGGCGCACAGATCGTTGAAGTGTAAAACCCGACAGGCAGGAAAGTACATAAGCACTTGGCAAAAGCAGGAATAGATCTCGCACCTGCTGCAACATGGCACGCACGGCAGACTTGGCCTCACTGGAGATGTGGGGCCAGGGGTCGGTGGCGAAATCGATGTACCCCTTGGCGACGGCGTCAAAGATCTGCTGCTCGGTCTCGCCCCAGAACGGCGGCACGCCACTCAACAGGATGTACAGCATCACTCCGCAGCTCCAGATGTCCGCCTCCTTGCTGTACTTGCGCTTGAGCACCTGTGGGGACACTTGGCTTTCAAAACATCCTGCGACGGGGATTGCGCCTGATTTTGCATATATCGGCATGGCAGAGGTTCTGCATTGGGGATAACTTGTTTTAATTATGTCTATGTGGGGCATGTATTGAGACAGGCTGATGGAATTGCAGCATGCACCGGCTTAGCGGGTGGGGATACATCGAAATCACTGCCAAATCCCATGCATGGTCAAGGGGAATTGGCTTGCTTTCGAAGGAACGCTTCCCTCCGAGGCTCAAGAGTTGCTCACACCTCCGGTGCCACATAGTAGGCACTGCCGACAACATCGTTGAAGAGCTGCCCAGGCCGGTAGAAGACTGACAGGCCAAAGTCAGTGGCCTTCAGCGGCGAGTTGTCCTCCTTGGTGTACAGCAGGAAGTTCTCGGGCTTCAAATCCCTGCAGCACAGCAGTTCACATACTCAGCATTGCTGCATGAACATAGACAAGGCACTGAGCTCCGTAGATGTCTTATGCTAATCGGGGCTCGTCCCGGCTGGCAGGGGGCGGTACAAACACTGAGCACTGTGCCCACGATAAAAATGGGTCTTGCCTGGACCCGTTTTGCGAGTCCATCAAGTGGCAGCACTTTGGCAGCAATTAATTGCAGCTTGTCTGCAGACGCACCTTGCCTCTTGGCAGTAAAAGCATGTCTCTGATGATAAGAATAACAATGAACAAGACTCTAATATTGCATGCATGCATGCATTAATGTGAGCGGGGCATACTTGCATGCTTAGGCAGGTGTTGAGCAGTACAGCTGACATCCAAAAGGATGCAGCCGTCAATGTTGTGGAGCATGGGAATTTGCATGCATGCATGCATACATTTTTAGCAGGGGTTCACGGGAGCATAGCTGACCTGTGGATGACTCCCAGCGAGTGGCAATGCGCCACAACGCTCACAATGGTGCGTATCAAGTTCGCTGCATCCTTCTCCCTGCATGCATATATTTTTTGACGTTTGAAACTAATTGCGCAACAATTGGCATGCCCTACAGATGTGCTAGCAACTTGCCCGCCTTTGAAAAGCCAAAAATGTGACATGCGTTCCATTTACTGCCATTGACAGAAAGAATGCAACTCAAGAGTATGTTGCTGTGTATCTCACGTATAGTGTCCTCTGGCGACAATCCTGTCAAAGAGCTCTCCTCCAGAGCAGAGCTCCATGACCTGTGTGCACACCACATGCGCCAATCAGTGCACAAAAAACATTTGTGGTGTTTCTGTTGGAACATTAAGTAACCCAGTTGTTCATATCAGAATGAAGCAGAGGATGGTGGCAATGCAGGACACCCTGAACACAAAGTCCAAGGAGACGATGGTGATTTGTGGAAAGCAGCAGGTGCTCACCAGGTGAATGCTCTGTTTGTCCTCGTAAGCCCCGATCAGCGTGACAATGTTGTCATTCCCCTTGAGGTGATGCATGATCTGCACCTCCCTCCTCACATCATCCACATCCTCTCGTGTCCTGCACAGCATCCCCCCTTCAACTTCATTTCATTGTTATCATTATACGCCATTCTTGCCAAAAGGCAAGGTACGTCCTGCAAATAAGCTGCAATTTAAGGCTGCCCACAGTCCACCCCCTGTTGGCCTCGCCAGATCCAAGCAAGACCCAATCAACCGAAGGCGTGGTGCTTTGTATTGCTTCAATTTGCCCTTCCGTATACGTCTATTTGAAGGCAACAGGAGGCAGGCACTTGTTTCGCGATCCAGATGCAGATTGAGTGTTGCTGTTCGACCTTGCACTGTTTAAAAGATACAGGACCGAATGAGAGTGGGAGGGCAGCTCACAAGAGTTTACGTTTGGCAATGGACTTGCAGGCCAAGTCTTTGCCAGTGCTCTTTTCAGTAGCGAGCCTCGTCGTGCCAAACTGACCCCTTCCAAGGACCTTTCCGAGGGTGTAGAAATTTGTGACATCCTGTGTTAGCAGACAGTCTCAGGCAATAGTGGCTCCTGCCATCAGAGGAAGAAATGGATCCGTTGGCACGACAAATTGTGGCGAGGGACACCACGAATGACACAAAAGGTTCGTTTCTGAACGCATCGTCCAATCAAGTATTAGAAGCTACCTCGGTGCCTTTTCCAAGGACATTTTGAGTCAAGCGATCCCTGCTGTTGGCCGGTCCACCCTGGCCAAAAAGATGATCTTATGAGAGGTGACCACATGTAATAAGTAACTGAACACCCATCCAACGTGCGTCTGCAACTTGACCTCTTATTGAGCAGATCGAATTGCTGGCATGGGCTCACACCTTTGCTTCATGCTTGGATTTGGGCTTTTCTTCCTTTTTGCCGAATTTGGGCAGGCAGTTGCCCATTCTGGATGCCCTTGACACCCTTCAATCGCTGATCACAACCCTAGTGGTTGACAACAACGGGAGATCAGTTGTTCATTCTGGTAGAGCCTTTTATCCGCGTGCAGGGTTGGGCGCTTGTTTCACAGGCTCAGTACTGAAGACAATCACGCGGATCAATATACCAGAGAGTGTTTAGAAACAAGGGAGGGAGATGAATCGATCTTCCAAGACAGCATCTGCTCAGCTCCCAGCCCTAGCCACATGTGAAAAACCCTATTATGCAGCGCCCCAAAGATACGGGTCGTCGACGTTGTTTCACGATGCATGTCCAAGAATGCTCGTTGCGCCAATTTCATCGTGCAACCAAGTTGGTGTGCCCATGCCAACATCCACCAAAATGCTCGCGGAAAAATGGATAATATCAAGACCTGGCAGAGCAGGTTCCGGGGTCTCGGACAGAATAACTGCACAGATCAGGATCTACATAACAGCACTGCGATAGGATCTCGGCTTTCCTCTTCGATCTAATAAATATGGGAGTTCCTGGACTTTTTGGATGGCTCAGGAAGAAGTACCCCCTCATCGTGAGACCTGCTTCTGCTGGAGCTGAGGAAATCCAGGGCGATGGGGACAGCTTTTGCGACAACTTATACATAGGTGTGTCGTCAAACTCAATTAAAATCAGTCCAAGTGGTTTTTGTACAGTATATGAGGCGTCTTGACGCTTAAAAGGGAGGATGCATTGTTTTTTGGTGTTTCAGGAAGATGTGCACGACCATACGTGAACATTGACTGCTGATCCAATGCAGGCTGACACGTGCATTTGCATAGACGAATTGAAGTGATACAATTGGCATGATGCGCAGATATGAATCACGTGATCCATGCCTGCACACACCCGAGCTGGCGGTGCACCCCCTACCTGAGCGAGGAGGAGATGTTCCTCGACATGCAAATATACCTCGACCACCTCTTCAATACTGCCAGGTTTGGCCCAGTCCTGCAGCCTGGATCTTGACGCCTGGCATAGTTTCTCACACTTTGTCACTAGCAAAGCACCTGCAGAACATACAAGGTGACCCAGCCACAAAGAGCGCATGCTACTTCAGAAGAGCAGATTGACCCAGGATTGTGCTGTCTAGTATCCAGCCAGTCATCTCTGTCTGGTCATGGACTTGGACGTGGTCTAGCAGCTAATAGAAAACGGCTCCTGAGAAGGGCGTGAAGGTAAGGCCCCTTGCGCTCCCGACCAGGTATAACTTTACTCTCCTGGAAGCCCATTCTGAACCATATGATGATTGTGTGCGCAGGCCAAGGCGGCTGTTCATGGTGGCAATGGATGGAGTTGCGCCTCAGGCGAAGATGAACCAGCAGCGCACGCGCCGCTTCTTCAGCGCCTACCGAGAGGAGCTCTCCAAGGAGCTGGAAATTGAGGTCTGCCCTGACAGAGCTCTGCCATCGCATGCTTCAATGAGGCATCCATGAGTGCTTCAATCTCGCTGATCAGGCATTCATACGGTGTTCGTTGCGCATTGCGCCTGTGCACCAATCTTTCTGAGGAACAACCAGTGGTAACAATCGCTGCCCCACGAGCGCCGAGGAAACGTCCCAGCAATCCAGCCTGCATAAAAGTTTTGCCTCTCGTGTCTTAGGGAGCACGCATGCGTTTCTGGTGATCGTCGTTCCGGGCCACGCAGGAATGCATGCGGAGCGCTCTCCATTTTGAGAGTTGGTCATTCCCTGTGCAGGTACGGAGGGAGATGGGGGCTGTGCTGGGCCCGGAGGCGCGTATTCCGGAGCTGCCGAGTTTTGACGGCAACGTGATAACGCCCAGCACGGCGTTCATGGCGCGGCTGGCCGGCATGCTGCGCGCGTTCTTCGCGGCCAAACTTGGCGCAGACCCCTGCTGGGCACGCTGCGCTCTGCTGCTCTCCGACTCCAGCGAGCCAGGCGAGGGCGAGCACAAGGCAAGCACTTTTGAGCGTACACCAGGAGCATGTTCTAGGCAGACCAGAAGTCTAGATCCAAGACAGATCCTAAGGGTCCTTAGGATGTCAAAGCCTGCCTGCTTGCTCTGGAATTGGTTTTTTGCAATCTTCGAGCAAGCCTGCCGGTGTGGTCCAATTTGTGGTCTGTCGGTCAGTCAGTAGGAAGGGCTACACATTAAATTTCTCCAGCTTGCAATGAATTACATCATGGAGTTTTCAAAGCGGGTGTTATTGAGTCTGAAAGCATGTTGTCTGATGACTGACTGTAAAATGTTAAAGTAGCGGTTGGCGTTCTGAAGTGACGGTTCCCATTGTCTGCGCGCAGATCATGCGTTTGATACGGCACCTGCGCACGCTGCCTGGCCACGACCCCAACACCCGTCATGTCATCTATGGCCAGGTCTGCCCCTCCTGCAGTGACTTCTGATTCGTGTGGCATCTCTTCACCTCGTTTATCTTCCTCCGCATACAGCATGGTTAGAGATTCCCCCGTGATGCTGCTCTATGCCAGTCTAAAATTCTTTCTCAGAAGGTCTCATGCCAAGATGAATCTTTCAGGGCAGCAAACTAGCATGGGTATGGAGCGCTTGTTCGTTTTTTTTTTGGAATTTGGTCATGGCCCCGGCTGGCGGTGTAAATATTGAGCACCGTGCCCACGGCTGATTGGTTCTTGCTTGGATCTGGCGAGTCCTGCCTCTTGTAAGTGCAGCTTGTCTGCAGTCGCACCTTGCCTCTGGCAGGAAAAGCGTATATTTATAAGGATACTGATAGTGTGATGTAAGCGCAGGACGCTGACCTCATCCTGCTGGCGCTGCTGACGCACGAGCCCCACTTTGCCATTCTGAGGGAGGCCCACAGGGACGCCGCGGGAGACAATGCAGACCTCAAAGACATGCTGGTAATTATTTTGCCTGTTTCTAGATGTCCCTTGCACCACTCTTTCCAGGGGGTACTATATTTATATGTGAGATACACTACCCCTACCTTCTCTGCTCCGCGTCGTCATGGCCCAATAATTTTTCGTTGTTGGAATTTTTCGCCGTTGGGTCTTTTTTCCTGATTAGAATTGCTAGCACCCTTGCGGGGCGCGACAGATTTGCATGCAAATACCCTGTCAAGCTTCCCTCTGATGTTGGGGGTGTCTGAAGCTATCAATTTATGTCATTCTTGTACAGGTGCAGCAGCAACCGCTGGAGTTTCTGGACATTTCAGTGCTGCGCCAATTTCTGCGCCACGAGTTTGCAGAGCTGCTGGCTCCAAAATCCGTGTCTCTTGATGTGGAGAGACCAATGCCACTGAGTCCCAAGGGCGAGGAGGCCTGCTCCACAAGTGGACGCAGTGTGTCAGCGGCTGACTCAGCGCCAGCCGCCCGCGATTTCGAGTGGCTGCTGGAAGACTTTGTGCAGCTCACCTTCTTGGTGAGTTTTGCATAACTGTCCAAAAAAGAGGTGTTCTTTTGGGTTTCAGACATTGGCTTTTCTACTGCCAGAAGCTGGGGAATGCTTCATGGCATTTTGCATGCACATGCCAAACCTGTTTGCATGCAGGCCCTGAGCCTGCATTACCTCATGCTGCATCCCTGCATTCATGCCATCTATCACCTCAAGCAACCTTCACAAATTTACAAAGGAGCTTCCATTTTATCCTCCTGCACTGCCACTGGTCGAGCCAGAAGGGGTAGCGAGGATATTTGGCAACCTTTTCTTTCAGCTTGTCTGCTCGCACCATGCCTCCAGGCAGGAACAGCATGTAGTAGAATCTATATACATATATACTTAACACTAAAATAATCCTAAATCCAAATGCCTAAGTTCAGATTCAAATTCAAATGCAGGCAGGCAACGATTTCCTGCCAAACGTTCCCTCCCTGGACATCTACGACTTTCCCAAGAGCGCGCTGGACACTCTTCTTGAGTCCTACAAAGCAGTGCTCCCCAGCAGCGGCTACCTCACAAAAGGCTCCAGAGTTGTCCCTTCCAGTTTGCGGGCCCTGCTCAACAAACTTGCTCTGGACGAACAGCCCGCAATCAGTCGCAGACAGGTGGGTTTTCAGGCTGCACCACTACCAGCAAACGGCACCCGCTTCAGTCAAGTAAAAGCAATAACAACAACGACAACTCTGATGCGGCGGGTGCTCTGAGACATTCGAGATCATACCATGCAAGCCTGCCTTCGTAAAGGGTTCAGCCATGCTGGTGTGACGATAGGGGTCATCCCACGCATGGCTCTACATAAAGAAGGGGAGCAATGCCAACGCTCATGCCGAGCCCTTCATGCTCTGAAGGTGTTGATATAAATGCAATCTGCCGCTTTTAGAATAGGAGGATTGGATGTTGAAGGACAGTGTGGCTGCATCATTCCTGTCAAGTCCATTCGCTTCAGCCAGACTTTTGGCAAAAGGTGCAGCATGTTTTTATGGGTGGGGCAAATCAGATGATGGAAGAGGGCCATGGTCGTGCTTTTCTTTCTCAGCTTGCACAGTCATGTATTCTGCAACATCTGATTCGTCCGGGTCTCCCAGACTCCTCATTTTGCCACTGTAGAATCTGTGTTCATCATGTCATGCAGGGGGTTGTGAGGTGCAAGCACATGCCGGATGGTCAATACACAGTATGTTTATTCCGTGCAGAGGTCTGAGTGTGGAAGGTGGTCTGGAGTGCAGGAGCAAGCGATGAGGCAGCAGAAGCGGCAGATGCAGAGGGAGGCTGCTGCAAATGGCGCAGACAATTCGGGGGGCGGCGGTTTCACAGGGCCGGACCAGTCGGGGCAGTGGGTGAGCATGGGAGAGCTGCGACCAGGGGAGAGCCTGGAAGAGGCCCTCAGCGGCTTGTCTTCAGGTGCGCAAAACGCCTGTTACAATGAGTGGCCACTGCATGCCACAACAGCACCGCATATCGACGCGCCTGCGAGGCAACTGGTTACTAGCAGAGCACAAGGTGATGCCAGGAAAGAGCCAGGAAGTGGCCATCAGCAGGCCTGTCTGCAGGTGCGCACAGGTTGTCCCATAATAGGTGTCAGTGACTTGCTGGGTGCTCTTTCTCAGCAAATCTGGGTTTGCACATTTCAGGTTGTTGTGCCTGCCTGTTGTGCACCGTATCTGGACATTGCATGGTGGAGCTCTTTGGCTCACTGTGAACTGCAGGTCCATGTGCACTCGAATGTTTATTTTCTGCTGCTCTTGCTTGCGGTTGTGCACTGGCACTTATTTTGTCCTTTAAGCCGAGGGGCTCAGCTTTGAAACATCCAGATATGGCACATGGGCAGCAATCCTGTGATTGTCGTTTGCTGATTCTGACACCTAGCTCAGCTTCTGCACTCAAAATGCAAGACACGTCACTTTCTTCGTGCGTTTGTGGTAGAATTTGGTGCGCCCTGCAGAGAATGGGGTGACAAAGGAGCAGCAGCAGCAGGAATGGCTGCGAGGGGCCAGCCCTGAGCAGCTGCGGCAGGAGCTCGCAAGCCGCGTCTCCAAAAGGCTGGACGACAGGTGTGCCATGTGACTTGTGCGCGTGTTCTTGCGTCTGTTGTCTTGCTTTGCATGTCACAAAATGGTGCTGGATGACTCGCTGTGTCAGCTTTTGCAACTCAGCATGCAATTCGTGTGCCACAAGCACAGCTGCATGCGGAGTTGTAACCTCAGCAGCGCTGCACAGCGCTTTGTTTCAGCATGCCATCTGCGACATGCATGGGGATGTCCTCATCCTTTTTGACATCCATCTGATGGCAACGTCCCTAAGTTTTATGTTCGATCCTGGAGTATGTGCATGCTTGTTCGGTCTCAGGCGTAGAACCTCCGAGGCAGTTGGTATTTGAAGGGTCACCGTTTCAGTCTTTTAACGCATGTTGCAGGCTGAAGGGGCCAGCGCTGGCAGAGCCAATCACTTACAGGGGCAGCATGAGCGACTTCAGGGCGCGCCATTATCAGCAACGTTTCAATGCAGAACCTGGTACTTTCCATTAAATTGTCAGCACCATGCCGTTTGCTTGTCTCTTTGACATTGTCAAAGCACTCTTGAGAGCAAGACCGCCTGCAGAACACATTGAGACTGATCATTTTTAGCAATCTGGAGGTTAAAGCAGCATCTTTTCTGTGAAAATCTCTGTGATACCGTGATCTTTTGAATGGCTGATTCCGCCTTTTGCAGAAGGGTCTTTTGCTCTATGAAAGACTGCTTCTACATGTGCCAAACTGGTTCCAACCCCCAACAAAGCCAATTCAATTGACTCGATTATTCTCAAGATCGCCCAAAGCGGAGTGCTGCCTGCAGGGGAGGGCGTTGAGAAGATGGCGCGGAAGGTGAGTCAGGCATACATACAGACGCTGGCCTGGTCCCTGGCCTACTACTGCCACGGCACACTGCCTGTGGTGCGGCAGGGATTTACAGGGGCAGAGATCTGCGCCACCAGCGGCAGCCACTTCCCCTGCGGCGCCCCTTGGGACTGGTGAGTCATGCCCCCACGGAATTGCACCCAAAACATGCAGTATCCAATCCCTTCTGCATCTCATCTTTGTGGTGAATGTCCCAATAGCAGGCCGCTATGCACAAACTCTACTGCAGTGTGCAGCTTCAAAATCAAAGTATGTGGGATCACTGAGCGAAGGAGAGTTTCGACTTCTTCGCGTCATGAGTTCTTATCTTGCCTGCGCATCTTCTCTCGTGGCTGTGCATTGCAATGCTAAGAAATGGTGCAGAACAACTTACTCTTTTGCAGAGTAATATTCCATGCAGACTCTTAGATTTGCCCATGCAGGTTCTACCCGTACCATTATGCTCCGCTGATGTCAGATCTGGCGAAGCACACAGGGGCGCTCGGCAAGATCAAATCGCCGGCTTCAATTCAGCCGGAGCCGCAGGAACCTGGCGGAAGCTGGGCTCCCCAGTACGGCCCTGTGCGGCCCCTCGTCCAGCTCATGGCTGTGCTGCCACCCCAGAGGTACTCACATACACATTTTCTACCTGCCCAAATACAAAAGCAAGTCTTTAGGTATGCAAGTGCTGCAAAATGGCATGTGCAGTCCTTAACACATGTCTGACTGGATGAAACAGATTTTTGGAATAGCTGATCAACTCCCTGTTGTTGTACATCATGTCCTGGCAGAAGGGGTAGATTTCTCAAGCTACTGCTGGCGCAGCCGGCAGCCTAATGCTATTTTGTTGCAAATGAAGTGACACTTCTACTGTAAAGCTTGCAGAGCAACTGAACAGGCCAGGAAGATTCCTTCAAACCAATCGCCTGCTGTGCTGCTGCAGCGCGGGCTGCCTCCCCTACAAGCTGGCGCGGCTGCTGCAAGAAGCGCGGCATGCGCACGCCACGGGCTGCGACGGCTTTGCGGCGGCTCTGGCCGACATGTTTCCGCCTGATTTGGCGCCGCTCATCGACATGGCCGGCAAACGCTGGGCGCACACGGTGCGCAGCGTTGCCTACTGTATTTTTTAAGGGATTTACATTTTATATTTTTGCACCATATTCAGGATTTATGATTACATAATCCGGGGAAAAAAACATATTTCTTCAACCTGCTTCTCTGCCGGGCACATTCAGGCAAGCTCAGCTCTTGCGCAAACCTCGAGTAATGCTCTATCGCATTGAGATTCACTGCTCTCGTTTGATGGCAAGCAGTGCATGGAAGTGGGGGCCTATCTGCAGCATTTCTTCTATCCTTTTGAGGGTGCAGTCTCATCAGAAGCTGGACCCCAGATGCCTGCTTTTTTGGCTCGAAACGAGGTTGTTACAGGATGAAAGTTTACATTAAGGTATTTTTGTATGGCAGGCTGTGGTGAAGCTGCCATTTGCGGACGTCAAGCGGCTGGCGGCGGCTGCGCAGCAGGACTCGCAGGACGAACGGGAACTGGCTCCAGAAGAGGAAGTGCGTATCACTTGCACGAGCTTTTCTCCGCTCTTAACACCATGAGATCTAGCAATCGTGTTAACTGGCAATACAAGGCTTCGCCCATTCACCGAACTCAGTTGTTTCCCATCCAGAGCAGAAACGATTTGCATTTGGTGGGAGGAGCACTGAATTGGCGAATGGGCAAGACCTGCGCTTGCCTGTGTTCCCGGCACCGCTCCATGCTGCATTTCAATGCAAAACTGCGCAGAAGCGCCCCTCAAGCAAAGGATACTGATTTAACCTTCTGCGAGTGCATATCCCCCCAAGCAGTGCTCCTCTTGATTTTTTGGTTTAGTCAATTGCAACTCATTCACGTTAAATCACTTGTGACACGTTTTGGCTGTGCAGGCGCGGAACGAGTTTGGGCTTTCAGTGCTGCTGCTGAGCGGCTTCCACCCGCTGGCCGACAGATTGCGCGCGTCTGCGGAGGGAACACCGTTGCAGAACCAAGGCATGGATGACCGCAGCGATCAGAGTGACACAGAGGCGGTGGCCACCCTTCTGACCCTGGCAGTGCAACCCGAGGCGCGTGGGCATCAAAAGGTCCTTATATAGAACTGGGGTATTTAGCATGACCTGGCAGGTTTGGACAGGAACAATGGATTGCAGACATTAGGCAATTCTTTTAGTTCTTGTTTTCATTACACTTTTTTCCTGCCAGAGGCAAGGTGCGTCTGCAGACAAGCTGCATATCGAAGCTGCCATTTGACAATATTGAGGGAAAATTCGGTAGGTAGGAAGTCCAAAGATTCTAATCGATTGGCATTTCGGCAACTGGAAGATTTTCAGAATGGTTGCTCTCTCACTTGGAGAGTTGCATCCTGAACACGGGTAGTCTGGAAGGTGGCAATTGCCTCAGTGTCTCTTGAATTCACCTCAAGGGGTTGGCAATCACCACATAGTAGACATCCACAATCAACTTCTTTTGTGGTGACGCAGATAGAAATGTTTGTTTATCGGTTCTTCTGTCATGCAGGATCCGCTTGAAATGCAAAATGCGGAGATTCTGGAGCTTGCGCTTGATTTGGCCGGGGTGGCCACGCCGCCCTTCTCACCCCACTTGCTACCAGGTGAGGCATTCGTTTTCCTTCGACTGCGCCCCTGCTTACATTGCAGAAAAGAAGCGAGCGCATTTCTCGCCATTCAACCACATATTCCAAACCTTCAAAAGGGTCTTCAGCGATTGCAAGACACACTCGCTTGCGTCTTGCATACATGCATCATCATGCATTTTTATGCGGCAGTTCCAGTATAACGCTATACTGGTATATACTATAGACCATTATAGTCTGATGGTATACTTCCGCTTGAGGGCAGTTTTCACCATTGCAGAACCTTGCAACCGTCCTGCTCTATCTTTCGGTGCGAGCTGCAATGCCACCATTGGTGATGGGATTGGTTGGACGCATGCGCAGGAGCTACAGAGGGCGAGGGGAGTGTGACAAAGCGGGTGTGGGTGGACATGCAGAGTGCGCATAGGGACAAACTCAAGGCGTCCACGCTCAATGGCAACGGCAGAGGCCGAGGCCGCCGTTCTGGCAGGTGGCATTCACTCTCGCTTTGTACTCCTACAGAAAGGACATAGACAACAGCACGTTGTACCAAAGCATCAATGCCCACACCCCTGCTACTGCAAATGTCTATGGATCTCCAATGCTGCATACAGGCAAACCTGCTGGCAGATGACTAAAGCCTTACTGTGTGACTGCAACATTGACTGCATGATTGAAAGCATGACTGAGGCTTGACCAATGTCGCCAGGGCAAACGGCCGTGCAAGCTTTAGGCCGCGGCTGTCAGCACAGCCGCCGCCGCCACCGCCACCGCGCACAGCACCCAGCAGCTTCTCACACCTTCCGGCCGCGCCAACGCGCAGCAGCGTCACCCTTGCTGCTGCATCAGCAGCCGACAGAGCCGTGCGAGCCCCTCCTCCAGGGCTGCACCAGACCGGCAACCTCAGCGCATCTCTAAATGGCCTGCGCGCCGTCTCCTCCGCGTTCCCTCCAGCGCAGAGCAGCACCCCGAGCGTTTCAGCAGCGGGCCGGCCGGCACCGCGGATGCTGGATGCTGGTGTAAATGAGTTGTACCCCGGCACGCCGGCGCCGTCGTTGCGAGAGAGTGTTGGATGGGCGGAGCAGGATGCGTTATTCTCTGGGAAGCGGTCGCAGAGCAGCGCTTCGCCTCTGCCGAGCTGGCTGCAGAATAGTGACGCAGCGGCTGCAGGGGTGTCTGGGAGCTCAGCAAGTGTTTCGGCCTCTGTGGAGAGGAGAGCGGGGGGACTGGAGCGGCCCGCGCCAGCTCAGCAGCCTGACTCATTCGCTGACATCATGAGCTTCCTGCTGCCGCCAGCCGCTGCAGCGGATGGCAGAGACCAGAAGAATGTCAGCATGTGCAGTACCTCAGTCACGGCCGTATCAGCTTCAGGAGATGACAACTTAGGAGCAGCTGCGGTGAAGCAGTCGGTTCCTGCAGGCATGAGTCTGACTTGCAGCAATGGCAACCATAATGCTTCAAAGCCAGCTGATGCTACAGCGGGTGCTCTGGCGCATCTGCTGATCAGTCCTGAGCCTTCAGCTCCTTTTGGACTGCTAGGAGCAGACTGCAGAAAGGAGGCCCCCCGGGTGCTTCTGCCTGTGGTGGGCCCCAAGAGGCAGGCATACAATCCCATGCAAGCCAGGCGGCCTAGCTAGGCTCTCCTCAGGGTTGTCTTTCAGTCACTGTCAACTTAGTGTAGCTGTGTTCATTTTCGTGCTGCATGAACTTCCACTCAGTCCCGCGGCACTATCGTGACCTGATTTGCAGCGCTGGTCTCTATAGGTCCCTACTCAGCAAACTCTGTGTTGCAAGTGCTCTACCACCACTCGTATAACTCATTCTGCGAAATCCATAAATGCGCAAGCGCGAGACACGTGTTTTCATAGCGCAGGTTAGAAAAGGACAATTTAGATGGACAATATTTCAATGGTCCTATTTCTTGTTACAAGGAAGCATTGCGCCGTGTGCCGGCACAGCTGCAGGCTATAATTGCAACTGTGCTGACGCTATAGCCTGTGTAGAGGCCGCAGCGCAATGCTTCAATCAATCTATTCTTTCAGTATTGTACTGTATGCCGCAATTGTGGATGCTATTGGTTATTTGATCTAGCATCATTGTGTTGTATCCATTTGCATGTGCCGCAAAGCCACAGTACACTATTGTAGAGCTCTCGAGGGTGACATGGATCGAGCTAACATGGAGGCCCCGCAGACTCTGCGGAAGTGGCTGCAGATGCCCTGCGTGTATGTCCTATGGCCTTTGGCCATTTTTGCCGACCTGTAAATAATACTTGGTGCTTACCTCGACCTGACAGCCAAGAGGTAGATGAAACGATATCTACGCCACACTCAGTGGAGGCTCCCACGTTCGATCCCCAGGAAAAACACTGGGACATTTTCCGGATCTATTTTCGGGTACATTCGGCGATGCGGCCGCTCCTGAGATACCCGCATCGTCGCTGTCGAAATTCGTCCCGAAGATTCAAGCGGTTTGCTAGGGATGGCCCCTCAGCATTCGTGTAAGAAGGGGGTCACCCTATCACTGACCGGGTGGCACCCGGTCTACACGGTGTAGACCTGGAGTTGACAAGGCTAGCGCTAGCGCTGCTTGCCTGTGCATATCGGCCCTGGCTTCCGGCTGCAGACGGACCTGTGTATGTCCTATGGCCCTCTGGCTTCTGGGCTCGCCACTCATAAAGATTACCGTATTACGATTCTTTAAATTCCAAGGGTGCAGGTCGTCTTGGACAGGCCGAGACGTCTTGATTACTCAGCGGTTATCAAAGCGCAACGTGTGCAGGCACCGTCAGCACACCATCCTTCACATGTTGTAGGCAAGCTTTCTTCCAGGATACAATCGTTGCAGTATATGCGATTGCACTCACGATCTTATTGAGACACTCAGTTCGTTCTTTCGATCACTCACAGGCAGTGCATTCCGAAACGCTGCGACTGTCTGACCTAGTAGCAGTCAAATGAGCCAGGCCACTACACAAGGGAGATTGGCTGCCCTGCAGCGCCATCTTGGAGCCATCCAATTTTCAGAGGATTCAGGTCAGTCGACAGATCAACAGCAGTTCTTGGTTGGGGCGCCTCAACATGTTGTACTGGGGATTGAGACAAAACGCGTGTGTTCTTAGGTGTGGAAATTGCGACCACTAAGGCTGTCAGCAAGGAGCAGAGGCCCGCACCTGGTGGAGGACCTGGATCTCTGACCATAATCGACAATAGAACCGGCAAGAAGTACGATATAAAGGTGAGAGTACCGCTTAGACATGTGACTTCTTCTACTTGTCTCCCTTGGATCTATGTAATAAGTAAGAAGGGGTGCTGTTATAAAGTCATTCATAAACGCTTATATTTGCCTGGAAAAGGAACAGGATGAGCTCATGTAACCTGCATCTTGCTGTGTTTTCCAGATCGATGAGTTTGGCACCATCCCTGCCAACAGCTTAAAAAAGATCAAGGCTGGCGGAGACGGTGTCGGCCTGCGCACATACGATCCGTGCGCACCATTTTTCCCTCCCACATCGACATACAATTGCCTCAGTGCACACGGCAATCACTTTTCTGCAATATTGCTGGGTCGTTGTTCACTGGAGGCTCTGGCGTGTTTGCAGGGGCTATGTGAACACTTCAGCCGTGAAGTCTGCCATCTCCTTCATTGACGGCGACAAAGGCATCTTGCGGTATCGGGGTTACCCCATCGAGCAGCTGGCAGACAAGTCCCACTTCACAGAGGTGAGCACATCAGACGACCTTCATGCTCTTGACTGGATCACAAGATTGGATCCCTTGAGTGTTGCCATGTTGCACCTGTGCAAAGTCAGGTGCAAACGTAAGGGTGAAGTTGGTCCAGCAGTCCGTACCTACAGTACGTATCCCTGCCCTGATCTCACCGCACATAGACGTGGAAGGATGTGACAAGGGGGCGTCCGCTCACACCCTCTATCGCAGCTCATGCAGCAAGGGGCATGCATGCTGATCTCATCCTATCAAAGGGGGGATCCAATACGATTACGGCACTCCCGTCACACCTTGTACCCCTGATCTACAAAACATCTGTGCCGCGTCTCAGGTGGCGTATTTGCTGGTCTACGGCGAGCTCCCAGACGCGCGCGAGCTGGCGCGCTGGGACGAGGCGCTGATGCGGCACAGCGCGGTCCCCGACGCGGTCGAGCGCGCCGTAGCGGCCCTGCCGCACGACGCGCACTTCATGGGCATTGTGCTGACGGCGCTCAACGCGCTGAGCACGGTGCACCCGGAGCAGAACCCCGCGCTGGCCGGCCAGAACATCTATCTCTCCAAGGAGATCCAGGACAAGCAGATCGTGCGCCTCATCGGTGCGTGCTGATGCTTGGCTGTCCAGGAGGACTCCTGGGGTTTTCCTAGCCATCATGGGCGCTGCAAAGTGTCTAATGCATGCCCACATGAAGCTTCCCTTGGGTTTTGTAGCAGCGCCAACAGTTGCAGAGCAATCAGGTCTTGGCAGGAAATTTGGTGCCTGCAGAAGGTGAAAGCATCAGAGTCCTTGCTGTCTCTCGTGGCGCCTTCTCAATTCCACTCAGGCCCCAATCGCCTTGCCGGCTTGAAGAAGTGAATTTTGAAAAGGCGACACGCTGGATGGCATGAACCCTGGTGCTGGCCAGCAATTGTCCTGCAAACTGCCGAGGCATCACTTCATGCATTATTTCCACTCCCCTGCACTTCTTGACCCGGCGCTGAACAATTCGCGCAGGCAAGATGCCGGCGATTGCGGCGCTGGCGTACCACCGGGCGAGCGGCCGCAACGTGAGCGCGCCCAACCAGCGCCTCAGCTATGCCGAGAACTTCCTCTACATGCTTGGTGTGCCATTCAATTTGCCAGATCACCTGATGGAGTCCCCATGATGCCATTGTTCAAGCGTGTGCATGTATTACATTGGGACGGCTTGGCCATTGTCGGTCATGCAGGTGCTCTGATCAGGGGCATAACTGCAAACTCACATATTCAAAAGATTGGACACTATTACTTGTGCAGGAGCTGTGGTCGTGCTTGATTGTAAAATTCACTGCATTAGTGCATTGCTGCACCCCATGCTGGCATACTGCGGACATGCCATTTCCATGCAGGACTGGCTTGAACAGCCCTTCTGGTATGGTTTTTTAATTGCAAGATGACTCAAACTTGACTGAACCAAGAGGTTCTGTATATGCGCGCAGATGCGGCTAGCAAGCCCGGGTACAAGCCGAACCCGCGGCTAGCCCGCGCGCTGGATATTATGTTCACGCTGCACGCTGAGCACGAAATGAACTGCTCCACTGCCGCGGCGCGCCACCTCGCCTCCTCCGGCGTCGACGTCTACACCGCCATCGCCGGTGCGCGTTCCCTCCCTCCCTTATGGCATGTACCCCAATTAGTTTTTCCTCTCATCATCAGATTCATCAGTGCTGTTTGTTTTTTCCTCATTATCCAGTATTGCGGAGAACTGACACAATCCGTTAGTAATCGACGAGTAAATCGACAAGGTAGACAAGGAGATCTGTGCAGATTGTGCTGGGGTACACTGCAGTTCCCTGCTTTGGCATACTGTAGTGCTCAACCTAAACTGCGCACCCTGGAAAAAGTGATTTATTAAAGAGCTTCCCGCAGGGCTATTTTCTTGATCAAAAACTTTGTTATGTGCATTAAGTACGTCCGCCAAAGATGCGCCTGCTCAAGAGCTTTCCAAATCCGCCTTCAGATCTTAAATAGGTTAAGTATTTGAGGAGTTAGGGTTTTATTTTCGACCCTTTTTCCAATTTTTACAACTATTTTCCGCGCAGTTTAGGTTGAGCACTACAGTATACCCACTGCTTTGCATGCCTTGGCTGCCAATCATTGGGCTTGGCTGCCTTCCTTTTGGCGGCAGCTGAGCAGTCATCAGGTAGTTGAGGTTGCAGGTTGCAGGCACCACGGCTGACAATGGTTCAGCAGGAAGGCGCAGTGATGAATTCAAGTCGAAGTATTCCTGGGAGCCCACTGCAATGCTGCAACAACGTGCACTCAACGCCATCCCATGATCCCACTTAAACCTTCATATTTCTTATTGAGTGACTGGTGCGCAGGCGCGGTGGGGGCGCTGTATGGGCCGCTGCACGGGGGCGCGAATGAGGCGGTGCTGCGAATGCTGGAGCGCATCGGCAGCGTGGACCGCATCGACGCATTCCTCGAGGGCGTCAAGGCCAAGAAGGAGAAGATGTTCGGCTTCGGCCACAGGTGCGCTGGCTTCTTTTTACAATTGTTGCCTCCTGCATGTTATTGTAGAGGGGACTGAAGGGCAGCTCACGGACTTTTGTCCATGGATCGACTGTGTCGTAAACTGTGTCGTTTGCAAGGAGAGCAAAATCTGCGTCGGTAAAGTAGCTGGCCAGTTCCAAAGCAAGAGGACTTTCATCAGCGCATTTGCCCGCACACATGCAGTGCATGCCAATGCGCATTTGGATGTCCTCTTGCCCGGCAACACTTTCTTCTGAGGTCTTTTACAATCGACAGCTACAGCCTCTCTGCTGGGCACCCTTCTCTGATTACCATGCGCCGCTCAGCTGCAAGACTACCGCATGCTAAAGTTACGGACATTGATGGCAGCCAGGCATTGACAGGTCCCCCGCTCGCTCGCAGGGTGTACAAGAACTTTGACCCGCGCGCGAAGATAATTCGCGAGGTGGCGGAGGAGGTGTTTGAGATCCAGGGGCGCGACCCGTTGATCGACGTGGCCGTGGAACTTGAGAAGCGTGCGCGATCCGACGACTACTTTGTCTCGCGCAACCTCTACCCCAACGTCGACTTCTACTCCGGTGCGCAGATGTTTCCTACCCTCCTTTAATACTGGGGTTCAAGGGTTGTGAGGATGGGAGGAAACCCTACCAAGCTCAAGCCATGGACGTGGCCCCAGAACATTCTGCTGCAGGCATTGGAATTGCCCTTGCTCGCATGCGTTGGCATGTTTGCTGCTGAATTGAGGCTGGATCTCAAGACAAGCTGCAAGCTCAGCAAGGAGAGACGGTTTCAAGAATGCAAAAGCCTGTGCTCTTGCAAGGCTGGTCCCTTCTGTACATGTCTGACTTCACAGACAGCACAACAGAGGGCTCATGTGCGTGGCTGGTGTGGCTGCGCAGGCCTGGTGTGAAACATTTTTTTTGTCTCCGTCCAGGTTGCATTCTATCCGTGCATGACGGGTGTTCCTGAGTGCGCTGATCAGATTTCAATGTGGCTGTGCAGGGCTGGTGTACCGCGCGATGGGGTTCCCTCCGCAGTTCTTCACGGTCCTATTTGCGCTGCCGCGCGTGACGGGCTACCTGGCACACTGGCGCGAGCAGCTCACCGACCCCGACGTCAAAATCGCGCGACCCCAGCAGAACTACACGGTGCGTCTCCTCACCTTTTGTTCAATTGCTGGAGATAAGTGTGAGTATATGAAGGGGTTCCGAGCAGTCTAGATCCACTCCGAGCACTTTAGATTGCCAAAAATTTTGCGCGTCTCTATGGTGGCGTTTTTGGAATCCGCACCACACGCTGATTCACATCTTTAGTGCTGGTGGCTCCTGTGTGTCGTGCACTGGTTGAGGCCATGTCTTGTGCGGCAGAGACAGCCCAATTGGCTGGTACGGGATATCAGGATCTTTGATTGCAATTGTCAGGCTGCAGACCTTTGTGGGCCGCGCAGATGTGGCTGCAGGCGCTCTGCGTGTATGCCTTGTGGCCTTTGACTTTGGGTTTGCCGACCTGTAACATAATTTAAGTAATGTCACTGGTCGCTGTCCAGTGTCACACTCAAGTAAGAGTGACACTGAGTGACTAAGTTTTGTGTGTTGGCAGGGGGTGTGGCTGCGGGACTATGCGCCGATGCCGCAGCGGCAGCCGCTGACGGAGCTTAAGGAGACGCTCGGCGCTGTGCCGCCCTCCAACGCATACCGCCGCCGCGTGGCCGGCGTCAACTGGGCCTAGACCCTCTGCCCCGTCTGGATCCTAGGCACTGTCCTGTTGTCTAGATCGTTGCGCGAGCATTGGCGTCAGCTCGGCTGGGCAAAGATTCTTTGTCACGTCTCCTTTACCACACCATGTATTGGCAGGAGTGTGGGTCATGTACCAGCCCTTTGTACTGCCAGCAGTGCTGTTCCCATTTCACCGATAGACCAGCAGGCCAGAATGCACTGCGCCTCGTGTGGCGATGCTTGCTCTGGACTGCAGCGCATAACTTTGGAGTCTCCTTGCCAGAAGGCACCCCAATTTTGGCGTCACACAGGGGTTGCTAAATAAGAAGGGCGTGTATTATCTGACGATTCAGGAGTAGACTTTTGTATAGGTTGTCAGGTGTGCATTATTAGGCTTAGGAACTGTCTATTGATTAGGGACTAGTGTGTATCTGGTTTGTCAGATTTAGGATTTTGATGGTCAGAGCTCCAGATGGACACACTATTGGCTTTTGCTGCATAGAGAAGGTGTGCATGCATCGAGGTCTTGTAACACAGATTCTACATTGATAAAGTGCCTTGCTTTGATGCAAAGCCCCTGTATTGGCCATGGGCTTTGCAGAATAATGTGCGTTGCTCTATCTACACTTTGCAACAGAATCCCTTCATTATTCTAACCGTCCTTGCACCACTCACGTGAACATCCAGCCTATTTGTGATCACCATGAGTCTTCAAAATTGCATCAGGAATTGAACGCTATCTGAACACTGCATTGCACAAGACAGAAAAATACATGTTCACTTGGCAATTTTCCAGCACACACCAGACACATACAAATGCAGAAGTATCAACTCGCATTCTGATGAGTCATTCTGCCGTCAGCCCTTCTCCCCTGGTGACAGCGGCCATGAGCAGCTCTGCACCTTCCAGCTTGCGCTTGCCCCCCGGACGCACCTGATGTCAACAGCACACGCAAAGTTCAGAAGCGTTAAAAAGCATGTTGTGTCCTAAAACTTGCAGACGCACTAGTGTGCTTCTCCATTGGCTTGAAGCCTCCTCCACCTCCTGAAAGGATATGAGCGCATGCCCTTTCTTCTTCTCGGTGCATTCCTCCAGCACTTTTTGGACCAAAGAACAGAGAAGCCAATCTACTTGAAAGAGCTCACCTTTGGTTTGGGCGGAGGGCCGGCAGCTGCTGCATGGATCTCCTGCGCGAGGGCTTTCCTTCTGGGCCCCTGCACATATTAGTAGCAGAGTCACACGCTGGTTTGGCTGTGCTCTTTATGTTCTCTGGCAAGCGTCCATTGACCAGCAATTGTGAATAGCTGTGTGTTTCAGACGATATTTGTAAGACCACTTGCATCAACCAGATCTTTGGCAGCTGTAAGCAGAGTGGAAGGATTGTGATTGCACCTTGGGATCCAGCGTGCCTGAGTCTAGCCTGCTGGCATTGTGCTGGCAGATGTAGTCCACGATACTGTTCAGCTGCTCAATGTCATGCTGCACACAAAGCGCACAGGTGACCGCGATGTAAAGTGTTGCACAAGCGCGCCAGCATGCAGCTTCCAGCACACAGCACCTCTCAGAACAGAAGTGACAAAAAACTGAACAGCTGGCCGCATCGTCTATATGGCATGCTGTTAGCCCTTGTCATGGGAGAGTCAAGCGCGTGCAGGCAGAACTGAAACGTCGGTGATTCCATGCGTCCAAGAGCTGTGTCTGTTCTGTGACTGGAGTGACGCAAGCAAGGCTGAGGGTGACTGGCCGCTGACTCACCCCCAGCTTCTCGTACTGGGCGCCCAGGGGCGTTCCTGCCGCAGCCTGGCTCTGTCTGCGCAGCAGTTCCCTCTCCTCTGTCTCCATTTCTGGCAGCGCCTTTGTCGCCAGCATGATCGGCAGCGTCCGTGCATTCGCCGCATTCACCGCCTGCACACAGGATTGCACAATGCATCGACATGTGATCAATGTGTGCATGAAGGTTGCAAGGCAAGTCCCTTCAACAAATATCTGAGTGTTCTCAATATTTGTTGCCTTAGCTCCCCATTGAGGCTCATGGCAACGTGTCAGCAAAAGTGGCGCTTCTGCTTCCAAGACCTGTGCAAGTCCCCCATTGCATGGGGGGACCTCCTACGACGGGCAACAATGCAATTATAGGAGTGCATGAGACTGCCCACAGAGGGGCGATCATTCAGAACGGCACGCAATTTCACTATGGTCCCTTGCGCTGCCTATTAGATGCAATTCCACCCTCACGGAAGCCCTTCTGAGTCACCATCCTCTCACACACATTGTAGAGCGCATTCGCATGGGATCAGTGTGCGCACGAGAGGTGCAGGCGCATTCATAATTCATCTGTAGCATAAATTCATGTGACTTCTTAAAGTCTCGCCGCCAGAGCTGTCCAGTGAACCTCAGGCATGTTTGTCACACACGGTGCGCATGTGCAGCCCTGTACGTTACTGCAAATGGCGCATGCAAGAAAGCTCAAGCGCTGTGTCAACTGGGAAAGATTCAAGCTCTTCCTGTCCTGTGAATCTGGTGGCGTTACTGCGGCACTTTCTGCCCCGTGGGTCCATGCAACCCCACCAGACGACAGGTTATAAGAATGCAGTGCTGCTGCTTACCTTGGGGTGCACCGCGTAGAACTTGAGCAGTGGGCGCAGCTCCTCAGACAGCCGGTGCAGCTGCATGTTGATCACTCCAAACTTGTCCAGCGTCTCAGTCCTGCCACAACCGCAGATGACAGAATCAGGATGGGAGGTGCAGGGGTGTCAGGGCGTTGCAGCAGGATGCACTCAGATATTGTTGATCATCAAGCACTCCTGGGAAGGTTAGTGAATTGAAAATTGTTCGACAAACTGAATTGATGAGGAAAGGCTGCACCATTGGACTCGGTCAGCATAGAGCTCCAAGGCTGTGCTGACTTGTTCCAAGGAGCGCTTGAGTTCTTCTGCTCGAGCTCTCACCTACACACAGCATCATACGTCCGACACCATTACTGGAAGTGTACGCGCAGGTCCAATTGGGATGTTTGATTCGAAGACAGTCCTCTTGCAGGAAGCAACTTTGCCAAGGTACAAAGACACTTTTTGGACCGCTCACCGCCCCCAGATTCATTTGACCGGAACCGCTCCCTGCCAAGAGGCGCTTAAAGGAGTTTGTTGCATCATTGATTTGTGCGGCTCCTGAAGTTGAGGTGCCACCTGCACGATGCCAATGAAAGTGTAGCCTTGATCCAGGACCGAGTAGAGCCTAGCAAAGATACCAGTATGATATGTGTAACAGTCTGACATCATCTGTAGTGCCATTTACTCACCTGAGGCGCTCCTGACAGCTGCAGACTGGGCGGTTGAACCCATCCCAACGCCAGACATCACCTTCTTTAAACCGATTCAGCGGCCCTCTTTAAAGGTCTGTGATGCTGCTGAGAGCTCAGATCGCCGATATCATGATCAATTCGTCCTCTTTTGCAATAGGGGCGCAAGCTTGTCCTTCACTAGAAGTACTAATCTTGTGTCGACTCCAGAATACAGCTCCATCCCGCAAATGGCCCTTCAAGAGGAGAGGATGTGATGAATATGAGGTGTTGTGCCATGCTTTGTAAGTCCTTTTCTTTCCCGACCTCGCGACAGGCAGCTAAGAATCTGTAAAATTGCAGCGGTGCAGGATATGTTGTAGAGAATCTCAATGTTTACCATGGATCGTTCATACCAGGCTGAAAATGCCCGTTCTCGTCCGCTCCCGGAAGCAAAGCTGCCTTGGGCGTCACCAGTAGTGGGTTGGGTGACCACCTGCGAACCCGACGTGACGATCTGTACTTTTGCCACTCTTCCATTTCCTTTGACTTCTTCGGTTCGTCCCTCTCTCCCTCTCTACACTCACTCACACTCATCTCGCCTAGCAGGCATGAGCAGAGGATGCCCAAGCTTTGGAAACAGCAAGGTCCCCGGTTCAAATCTCCTGCGGACCTGCACTTTTTTCATTTCTATTTGGATCCTTCTTGGAGCGTTATGTTGACATCCTGATGTCAACATCAACACAAGGCTACTTTGCATAGTCTGCCGTGTCTGGGTTTGCGCTTCCTTGCGCTCTGTTCAATCCATTGCCTTTGCCCTGCAGCTGGCTCCCCGGGAGCTTCTCTGCCACCCTCCGTGCACATGCATCAAGATCTCCGAGAGTTATCACACGCACACGGGTAGGTCGCCACATCGCTGGCGATTTGCATGCATCGCAAACCGTTCACCTTCGATTTAAGTATCATCCCACTGATCAAGTGATTGCATGGACATATGAATTTTGCACACTGATCACCAATTAGTGTGTGATTGCCGACTTGTCTGCGAGTAGCACTGGCAGTGCTTCCACCTGCTGAAATGAATATCCATCCCGAGAGTTACATACATGTCACAACCTTCAACTGGAATATTCAATGAGACAGCCTTCATAAATAACGTGCCTTGTTCTCCCCGATCTGGAGGAGCGTGCTCAAGCGCCTCAAAATCAACCGAGCATGAGCTCGAGCATGATGCATCTTTGGACCAAACAAGCCAAAAACCTTGCACACCCTAAAAAAGAACCCTGGCCATTTTGATCACCATCATTTACCTACCTGTTGCAACCAAGCACTCAGCACATTATTGTCCAACAGCCTGTGAATTTATGTGACATGACAGCTGATGACCTGCAAGTGGAGCTCTATATTTGGCCTGAGCAAAGCTCGTACCGTTCCAACTACAAGGAAGAGACAGACCACCTAATGTGTTTCAGTCTCAACTACCGGGTATCAATAGATCATCCACGCCACAGCATGGGGCCCAATGTGAGGCAGTGAAGAAAACTGAAAGGAATTCAACTCCTGATACTCCAAGAGAATACTAGCAGGACAAGGAAGCTTGCAGACTTTGCAACGCCCGCAGTCCTTCAATAGCACGCAGCTGCAAACTGGCGTGAGCTCGTATGCAATCAATCCGATATTAACATTTCACTGGTGCAGCATCCATCCGATTGAAAGGCACCCGTCTGGTTCATCCTCTGCATGGTATGCACCACGCACCTCGCCATGTTGCACTGCTGAATCTGTAAGCAGGTAACAATAAAAATCCTCTTTCTCTGCAGCTGAACATAAATCACCACATTAGAGCTCTTGTTACTTCTCCTGCGCTGCGCACAGGCAACCGCCCCTCCTGTGCAGGGCATGACGCTCGCACATCCTTTCCACCAGAGGTAGCTGACATCAATCTCTCCTGTGACATGTTGTGCTACCTTGCTATAGGCACCCATGTGCCATGAAAATCAAAATATATCCGGTTCTCATCAGAGTTCAGCGCCAGCTGCAAGGAATTTCCTGGCCATGTCATCGGGCGTCTGCCCAGTTCCGGCCAGCTGGCGTCTCCGGAGGAAGCTGTCCTGAAGTTGCCGCGCCGCTGCAAGTTGCTGCCGTCACCCGAGCGCATCTGGCTGAGGCTGGAGCCTGCATCAGAGGCCGGTGCCAGCAAAAGGCGACTCCCGCGCCGATTTCGGCATGGGGGGTTTCTGATCCTCCGAGGAAGCTCTGGTGAAGTTACCACGACGCGGCGTGCTGCTCTCGCCGGAGCGCGTTTGGCCGAGGCTGCCGGCACCCAGGTGGCGGCCGATGATGTCAGCGCAGTCGGCCGCGCTCGGCCGCGTCTCCGGCTGCGCGGTGCACCGTAACACCAGGTCTGCAATCTCCTGCGGCGCCTCTTCCGGCACCCTGCGTATTCGAATTTAAAAATTCAGGCACTTCTTCCGTGTTTCCTCTTCTGGCGAAGGATGTGGAGTGCCCAGCTAGCATGCATGCAATGTCACAGGTGCAAGAAGGGTGTGCCTTGTGGCACACACCATTGGCACAAGAGAATAATGCTACAGAGCGCAAGAAGGGACTCTTGCTAGATGTGTCCGTGAATCATGCTCGAGCGATTTGTTGCTGAATGCATATGTGATTGTGCCTTTGAAAATTGGCAGAACATCAGAAAAGCCATGGCTCTGGTATGGATGATCTGCATACCTGATCTCTCTGAGGTTGCCCCTCCATGCTGGGCGCTCCAGCGTTATGATCTCCCACAGCACAACGCCGAAGCTGAAGATATCCGCTTTGTTCGTCACTTTCCCTGCAAACACATCAAAAACTAAAATCGTGCTGCAAATCCAGTCTTGTGCATCAGTTAGATGGCTGCCTGCTGGAGCGTCACAAGCATATCTGTCCCCATATGTTGAGTTGCGCTGTTGAGAGATCCACCTCTGATGGAAACACACACCGCATAGGACACAAATTATCTGGTCCAGGTGCTTTCTCTGGAAATTCCTCTACATCTCCATGTGATGCAGCAAAGGCACTACTTGCATCTTCTTGCTGCTATTCCAGGCGTCCCACGGCATGTGAGCGCATGTGACCGCACCTGCCATGATGACTTCAGGAGCCACCCACGCCCATGTGCCGGCAACAGTCATGGAGCTCAGATGGGAGTGCCCCTGTAGCTGCGCTGACAGCCCCACATCCGCGATTTTGGCCGTGCCGTCCGCAGCTATCAGCACATTGCTCGACTTCAGGTCCAAGTGAATGACCCTGCAGCACAGCACCATGCCCACATATTGGAAACATTGCTTTTTGCAGGATTTTTCGCAATTGTCCATGAGCATCGAAAGGCGAAGTCAACTAAAATGGCATAAACCATCAGCAAAGGCAGGTCTTCCAGAAGGAAGCAATTGCAATGACTTGAAGGCCTCCCTATCACCAGAGAGTCAGGTTTTTCGCTCCAACTCACAATGTTTTGGTGATAAGGAGGCTTCCACACCCTTGCAATTGCACCCCTCATGAGCAACAAAGCTGACCGTTGCAGTGGAGTACCAATCGTGCAGATGTCCAACGCACCTGAGCTCATGCAGGAAATGCAGGCCGAGGGCGATTTCGTGCGCCACTTTTCTGCCGCGGTTTTTCCACTGGAACACCGGCCGCCCGTTGCGACCAACGCGCGGCAGCGCATCCCACAGATTCCCGTTGTCCATGTAATCCATCGCCAGGATCGTGTTGCCCTACGATCACCACCAGACACAATCAAGCTCCATCAAACGACTGTCCAACCAGAGATCAGTAAGCTGACTTCCCAAGAATCCACACTATGGTCCGATGCATATTTAGGAGCATTGGTACAAGCCCTATTTTATGAAGATGAAAGTTCACTGCATTTCTACTGCTTCAGGCCAGTTCTCAGAGGTACATTATGGGCAGGTACTTACCGGCAGCAGGCTGGCGCCGACAAAGGGGATGATGTAGCGGCTGCCTCTGCATGCGCGCAGGATGCTCATCTCCTTCAAGAAGGCCCGCTGTTGGTCAGGCGACTGGTCCTTCAGCCGCTTGATTGCCACTGGCGCCAGTCTGTATGTCCCCTTCACCACCACCCCAAATGCTCCATGGCCCAACTCGACCTCATTTCCCTCCTCGTCCAACTCTACCTGCAACAGGGCATTAAATTTTTTTAAATTTCGAATCTAAAGTTTTTAAAAAATTTGCATGAAATTAGGAGCCAGAGTACGGACACGTGCATGCAAGCGTTTGCACTCGCTCTTCAGTAACAAGCGGTTGGGAAACGCCACATGGCAAATGTAACGTGTCAAAAACCTCTGCCAGGCTATTGTACCAAAAAGATCTCTGGCGTGGTCTAACATAATACACAACTGGCAAGCTGCACAACCAGCTGCCACTGAACATGCCTGATGGGTGTTTCCTGCATGTACAGCATGGTCCAGTGCAAGCAAGGAGAGAACTGGTGTGACGGTCACTGTGGACTGCTGACTGGGATGCACCACGAAGTGAGCGGCAGGGGTCTCCCAGGTTTGGATCCCAACCTGTGTTAGTGAACACCATCATAGCCTAGTAACCTATTTTATTAGAGATGGGAAAGAGATATGCTCACGTCCAGTGCATCCAGGTCGAGCTCCCAGTCCTTGAGCCCTGCCATGGAGAAGAGCGTGAGTTCCTCCTCGGAGGACCGGGAGGCCCCTGATGAGTCAGCGCCATGGCTGCTGCCGCGCATGCTGGCGGTGGTGGGGTGGGTCAGGGGGATTGAGCCGCTGGAAGGGGCGTGCTTGAAAGGCACGAAGCTGTGCGGCGCTTGCGGCGGGATCATGGAGTCTGAGTCGTGCTGCGGCGGCTCCTCAATGTCCATCATCGCCACCGCCTGCACAGTGGATTTTCCCTCCTTCCAGCTGTAACTTTTGTGATTACTCATGCAACTCTTGCGGCAACATTTCTGCGATGGGAACTTGATACATACATGCTTGCCTCACGGCCTTGGGCATTTAAACAGGACACAGTAATCTGGGAAACAGGAAAAGGGAAAATTGCTTTTGTCTGCAATGCAATATCTTTATTTTTGCAGGCAAAGAACTGTGCTGATGACTGAGTCATACAAGCCTCTGTCAATGAGCATATCTGAAAGGAGCAGCCATGTGATCCCTACCTTGCCGTTCTTGCTGTAGTGCTTGTGCATCGGGAGCAAATGCAGGGGCTGCATGTTGTCCTTTGAACTACTCCGTCGCCGGCGCGCAATAAAGATCCATGCGAGGGCCGCCACAACTGCCAGCAGTGCGCACACTCCAACCACAATCCCCACGATGGCCCCGGTGCCAACAGAAGCGCCCGCTGACCTGGCAGATGACGTGGCAAGATTTGCTGATGTGGCAGCGCCCCCCGAGCATGTCTTGGGACCGTAGTTGTCCACCTGCGCGTACATCAAAGAGAGGGCCGCTTTACACAAAAACGCGGCGATGGAACACTCCTTCTGCTCCTGGCAAGACGGTGGACCTTGCCTGACAAGAAGAACAAGCTTGTTTGCGTGAAAGGCGATATCAATACCGATAGGTATGTTGCACACCTTCAAAAATACGTATGATAAGAGTACATCAACCTCAAGATCACGATACAGCAAGCATCAACGCCACATGAGCAGCCTGGCCAGCAGCCACAATGGCTGGAGGTATGCAGCTCACAATAAAGACGTCAAGAATGGAGCAGAGCAAAAAGGGAGGCACCTGACTAATGTCTGGGCCGCCCAGCCATTCCGTGACCGTGATGCCAGGAGGAATGCTGCCGCACATGCCAAGGTTGCCTGTGCATGCAAGCAGACGGAGATTCACAGACAGCACAAACGTCTTAACCGAGGGGCCTTGCATCAGCGCATCGAGACAGGCTGAACTCATCGATTGGCAATACGTGCATGGACTGAAGAATGCACACAGGGTTGTTAACACTGGCCTATCTATAAAAAGAAGGACAAGTAGAGTAGTCCGCATGGAGGCACTTGCTCGAGCAACTTTTGGTCTCTACTCTTCATTCATTTGTGAGTCTGCTGTTGTTTTGAGATTCCTAGCCCCTTGCAGCTCGAATAAGAGCTGGCAGGCCAACGATGATGTCCCGCATTACTCCAGTGATCCTCTAGATTGGGCGGACTGAAGATAATATTTGGGCAGCGTACCGGGCTGCAGGACGATGGATTTGAGGGCAGGGAATCTGGGCTTCCCGTTTGCATTGATGCCCCAGGAAGCGGGGATGCTGCCGGAGAGCAGATTGAAGGTGAGCGAGATGTTGTGCAGCGAATTCATGCCGCCGTTTGTGCCCCAAGACGATGGCAGAGTGCCCTGGAATAAGTTATGGTCCAGGTGTAGCCCCTGCAGGAATGGCCACGCGTGCACGCCACCTGTCGTATTCATCCTGCAGAGCAACATTGAAGGGAGTTCCCGATTCTGCGGCCAGCGTTGGCAAAGTAAACAGCGGCAGGTGCTTCTCTTGGACTTGAACGCATGCACATGGGTTTGAATGGCCAGAACAGATGCTGCATATGTCTCAGGAGCGCAACATTGTATTACCTTCTTAAGGGCACATGCTCTTCCTGTCTTTTATGGTTGCTTAGTGAAATGCTGAAGAAGGAAACAACTCTCAAGTGGCAACGGGTTGCTATGCTAAAAGCAAGAAATGCATGGCAGGAGCGTGGTGATCAGGCTCATTAGGAATGTGATGGGACGCACTGTTCAGGCAGGGTACCATTGAGTCCATTGCCAATGAGTGACAGCGACCCGAGCGCCTGCATGCTCTGCAGAGCCTGAGGCAGGGTACCTGCAGGGTCAAAATAACAGCTGACTATCCACTGTTTGCACAAGTAAAACCTTGAGGACTATAGCTGACAAGTGGTGCTGAAAGGCAGGGGCTCCACAACAGACTGACGGGTCTCACAAGCAAAGCACCTGCGTGTTGTTCACCAAAAGAACTTGACATAGGTATAGTGCAGAAATCACAAAATGCGAGGGACATCACTGCAGGGGTGTCGGAAAAACCTGAATCAATGCCATGCATAGTAGGAAGCGCACCTGATAGCTGGTTATTGCTCAATTCCATGACGCTGAGTATGGCCAGATTCTTCACCCAAGAGACGGCCAGTGGCCCAGTCAGGTTGCATCTCCTGTCACATACCCCAAGAACTGTCAGGGTGGCGACAATTGCTCACAGCAAAGCTAAATCAACCATGAACAAAGCAAACGGAAATATACAGTGCCTTTTGCAGGGTGTGGAATCTAGCACATCAAATGACTCGTGCTCGTGCACCAGAGTGTTGTTCATGAGCAGGGATGACGCACCCGAGGCTGATGACCTCCAGCTTGCGGAAGCTGCCGCTGGAGGACCCCCACGTCTGGGGGAGGGGTCCCGTAATGCGCCAATTCAAATCAGCCGCAAACAGCCGCAGCGCAGGGAATGATCCGGATGCCGCCCATGTCTCTGGCAGCGTTCCCTGCAGCCCCATTATTCCCCTCCACTTTACTTCCCTCAAAGGGACATATAAACTACAAAGGTTTTTCCAAGCCTGAGACTTGCTCTTGCCCCTGGCAGGAACCGCCTTTTCTGGGCCCTCGTTGCAGTGTCCAGGTCAAATGTCTTTCAGTAAAAAATGGCCTACTGGAAGGGTTTCATTGAAGAAGTTCTTCTTGGCATGGTTGCTGTCCAATATCATGTACTTGCGCATTGGACTATGAAGTGGGGAGACGAGCAGGGACTTGCCTGGATGTTATTGCTGACCAGCTTGAGCTCCTCCAGCGAGGGGAAGCTGATGTTGGTGGGGAGATAGCCCGTCATGTAATTATTAGTCAGGTCCAGCTTGGTTAGACGTGTGAGAACCGCTGCCGCCTCCAACACGCTTGAAACATTCCCTGACACAGCCCCAGCAGACACATACTAATCCTCCGCACTCAGAACATCTTCTCTTCAGGTGTGACACACCACTGATCGGCAAAATAGGTAGCAGGTCACATCGGTAATTGCACTCATGTACAAGATGAGTCCATGCAATTTTTTAGCATTTGAAAGGCTGCCTGATGGCGCCCAAGTAAATGAACGGGCGCCAGAGCCTGCATGACTAAGCAGGTGACTCACCGGCGAGCTGATGGGGCACGGAGGCATGTGCGAAGGAGGTGTTGTCAAAAGGCGCAGTGAGGGGCACGAGAGCAGGCGACTTGCGTTCTGGAATGCTGAGATCAATCGTGCGGACGTAGCCGTCGGGCCAGCATGTGACGCCCTGCCAGCTGAAGCACATGGGCAGGCCAGGATCCCAGCGAGCCGTCCGCCGCCTGACGGCTGTGTCAAAATTGTCAAACGCCGCCTTGAACTTCAACAGTGCCGCCATGTCACCGGGATCTGCACAGGCAGCAAAATGTCAGGCCTGTGCTGAACTTGAGCAATAGAGGTCATCAATAATGTGCTCCCCTTTAACAGCGCAGAGGATGCCAGAATCTTCATGTGAAGTTTGGGCACATATCGGTGGTTGAAAGGAAGGCGGGGCTCACTTGAGGCAGCGGTGTTGGGTGCTGGGGAGTTCGGCGGTGGTGCCGGGCAGACAGGGGCGATGCCTTTGCCTTCCACGCAACTGCCGCGCAGCTCCCCGCAAGTAAACACATGCACTGGTGGCATTGTCCCGCAGAAACGGTTGTCTGCGCACGTAAGCTATCATGTTAGAGGTGTTTGCCCCTCTGCCCACTTCATCATGGCAGCTCCATCAGGGCACTACCTTACCTTAATTTATACATGTGGCCATGATCCTCGAAATGCCGAACTCAGATTGCTGCATGTTTTCATATCAAACTCAAGATCATGGCAAGCCTTATCGCTGTCTAGCCAGGCCGCTGGCCAGAGTAGAAGCAAATTGAAAGACACAGAAAGACTCTGTCATGCACTGTTTGAGACTTAGGCGAGCACTCCGCACCTTCGGTAATCAAGACAGATTGCGGTGAGCCCCATCCCTTGGGCACTGCGCCGGTAAAGTTGTTGTTCGCCACGTCCATTAATAACAGCGATGGCATTGTGCCTGGTGTCTCCCACCTGACATGCATGCAATTTATCAGGCTTTTCTAATTCTGTAATAGTACTATAAAAGAGAGGTACCTGGCCTGATGTGTACACATAATTAAGGCTTTCCCAACTCTAAAAAGGCACTATAAACGAGAGGTTCCAGGAAGGGCAGGGCCTAAATCTCCAACTAAATTGGACATGAAGAGCGACAAGACACCGGGCAGCGTAAAAAGGTGTGGGCAGGAAGTAGCATGCATGTGAGGCAGCAGTGATGGCCAGTTTAGGACTGGACAAAAAACTCACGTGGTAGGGAGGGTGCCTGTCAAAGAATTACTGAAGACTTGCAGCGCTGTCAAGGCCTCAAATGTGCCATTTGAACCCCACGAAGCAGGAATTGTACCTGCAACCGCCAACAGAATGACTCACTTGAGACCGAGGCAGGACTCTTACCCATAGCCCTGTGCATGCAGAAAGCAAGTCTTACGTAATGAGCACTGATGACATCTTGAAGCTTGAACAGACTTACCAGCCAGGACATTCCTGTCAAAATTGATTGATGTCAAGTTCAATGCGCTCCACTCTGGCGGCAGTGTGCCTGCAAAATAAATGCACCACCCAATTCACCCAAGAAAGGTCACCAACACACTCCAGGCACCTGAAAGGATGTCGGTTCAGCATATACACAGCGGCTCACCGAACACTCTTATATGGGTGCTAAAGCTGTGCGGAGCAAAATCATAGCCCCTATCTAAAGTATTGAGGATTTGCTGTGAGGGTTTTGTGGGGGGAAGCTGTGGGGCCGCACTAGTGATTGTGGGTACTGTAATTAATTTATTTTTAGGAGTGATTTCTAGGGTCTAGAGGGCCGCACCCGTAATGGCATTACTGGACACCTTGATCCGCTTGAGGGCGGGCAGGCCACGGGCCCACTGAGCAGGCAGGCTGCCCGTAATTTCACAGTTGTTTATATTGAGGGTGTTCAGCGCTTGCATGCTGCTGCCATCTCCACCCCAGTTGGCCGGCAGAGTTCCCCGGAGGTCATTATTGAACGCCACATTCATTGATGTCAGCTTGGGAAATGTGAGGAAATTCCCCCAGCTTGCAGGGAGCGAACCCTGCACCACCAGTACCTAGTCAGCACGAGTGATGCACATTGATCTCCAATGGCATGTGAAACTTAAGACCACGACACAAGATATTGTCAAGGCTGGTGAGTATAAATTTTAAAGGCCCAACCAACATGGCACACACATGGCTATATAGCCACCAGAGGCAAGCTCAGGGCAAGCGATTCTCTCCAGCAAACAAAGTTCTTTCCAAAACCATAGCCTCTTCTCTTTTCTTCTGGTTGATGGATCCCTTCGAGGGTCTGACTCTCATGGACAATGTGTGCAGAGCATGCACGGGGCCGAGAGAATTACCTTGATGTGGTTGTTGGACAGGTCGAGCTCCAGTAGTTCGGGCATGGCAAAAGTGTTGTTCGGCAGCATGCCATTAAAAGTCTGATTTGCCAGGTACAAGACCTTCAGGTTGGGGATCAAGGATGCTCCATACATGATGTCCCCAATGTTGCCTGCGCAGAGAGTGCCCTTTTCAGCCATACATTGAACCTTTGCAATGCAGCACATGAGTTTGATCACTACTGAAGAATGTCACAGCATAGACCTAGCCTTTGTGTCTCTCTCTCTCTCTCTGCTGGTGGTGGTAGTCTAGCTGCAGTGTCTGAAGCAACAGGTGTATCCAACCGAGGTAGCAATTCTGAAAGGTCCTCTGCAGCTGTGACATCAAAGATACGCACAAAAGCTGCATCTTGCCTCTGCCTCACCTTCGAGTAGGGATGCATTGTTGGGGAATTTGATGCTGACGACTTGCATAGCAGAATTGCAGCCAACTCCGTCCCAGGTGCAGATGTCATCAGCGCCTACTGGTTCACTGTCCCAGCCCTTGCAGGGCACTGTCTGCTGATACCAGGCGAAATTTGGAATGGCATTCCGAAGGAATAAAAGTCCTTGTTGATCTGGCGAATATCCTGCGCGGAGCAGCCCGGATGCTTCTGTACAAGGTGGGGAACCCACAGATGCAAACAGCCTTCATCTGAATAACACACTTAACGAGACAGGCACTGGTAGAAGGTAGACATTCCAATACATGCTTGAAATACAAAACTATTCTCGGTAGTATGAAACATCATGACCGAGGTATCTTGGCATTGCTGGGAACAGGATGAGGCACCTTTAACATTACTGAGGGGCTGGCCATAACAGATTGAAGATGTCCAGAAGAAAAGGACTGCTAGGAGTGGCACCGAGATGCCCCCTCTATCGCGAATCGAGATTAGCATTCCTGAGACCTTGTTGCTCAAAAGAGATCATCTTCTAGGCACCCTTTGCAGCCTGTAGGCTGACTGCATCATCCCTGCGCACACCAGGCGTTTCATCAGAAGATACTCAGACTGAGAAGTCTCAAAATTTCCTCTTGTGGCCACAGAGCAGCACGCCAGACCTGCAAACGAACACATCCTTCCAAAGGTGAAGCCAAGTTTCACGAAGCCCAGGAACGGCGTTCGGTATTGAACACTAAAGATGTTGAAGTTGACAATCTTCACATCTAGCTAGTTAAAGAGGAACTTTTGCAATGGTATTTCGTACTTTTCGATTCTTTGCACTTGCGGAGAACTAGCACCGCAGTCAAGTGCCGTACAAGCTTCCGTGGCCTCCCACGTCTCCGATCATCGAGGCACGCACCGAGAAAAGGTTGCCAATACAAAACTGGTTGAATTTTCTGGCGCTGTGCAATCCCTGCTGAACGCCAATTGTGCCTCTCGATAGCCTCTCGATAGGTTGCGGGCTGCTGATGAGCTTGTTATCTTCAGCCCTCAACACGGAAGGTTCCGTACGCCGTTCCGATCAGCTATCCTGCTTTCAGCTCTCACTCCAGTAAAATAGCGGAGCAGTGGTCTGCTGAGGGCAACTCACAGCCTGGCCTCGAGTGCGCATTACGCATGATCTGAGATTTTCTGAGCCTTACTAAAGGTTTAGGGGACTTACCCTATCTATATCTCTTGCCATGCAGCAGACCCGCGCTCCACCCCGCCTGCTCAGATCATGTCTAGTAATCGTAACCACATGAAGTGCAGAACTGAGGGCAATGGAATTTAAACGTCAGGTCAGTCTGAATCTGAGCAGGCGTAGAAAGTGCCGGCGTGCAGATGATTTCACAAGGTCCTGAAAAAAAAATTTAAACCGCCTGAAGGAAGTGCTAGAAGAACATTGTTGAAGGCGTGATTCTGAAGCACCATGTGCACGGATGCAATCTGGCACACATCATGGTTCAGCCATCTCAGAACGGATGAGAACCCACACATGTAAATCTGTACACGGCTGTGCTTACACTCTCTCCATGCACAGACACTAGTGTGGAGCAGACGCTCGACATATCTGCAAAAGCACCTCACCGGCTGCTTTGACATAGACTTTTCATAGAATGCTGGCATCACGGATAACCCAGTGCCGGTGTGCCCTCCGGTTCTTATGGGAGCTGCTTGCGCAGCTCGCCTTAGACTCAAGATGTACATTCACATACAAGCAGCAGGACAACAATCAACGCCAGCCTACCTGCATTCGGTAAGTCATTCCCGGTGCGCTGTCATGTGATCTGCTTATAGGCGGGGGGGCACCCTATGCCATATCATGTCTGCTCCGGTTGCAGCTAGCTGACAAGGTCTGACCTCATTTGTTTGGTGTGCTTGTGGACGCACTCAAAAAGCATTCCAATGGCAATTGCCAGTCAGGATAGGAAAAGGCATGCTGCGGCAGGCCTTCTCTTACCACATGCAACAGCTCTGATCTTGGCATGCCTCTTCCTGGGCCTCAGTATTTTGGATGGGAAATTTTGACCGTTTTTGAAGATAATTATATATTTCTTCCAGTACGAATTTATATTCAGGGTGAGTCAGGAGCAGTGCTCCCGCTGTAGGCACCACTGTCAGTGGCGGCTTTTGTAGTGCCGCTGGGATGACTCCGAGGCTCGTAGCTGTCGCCTGATCTGGCGTCCCTTATTAAGTGCTCCTTGATGATGTCAGCGCAGTTGGCCGCGCTCGGCCTCTCCTCCGGCCGCGCCGTACACCGGAAAACCAGATCCGCAATCTCCTGCGGCGCCTCTTCTGGCACCCTGCGCATTCAAATTCTAATTTATGGAGTTACATTTTTTTGACTGCTTTTCTCTAAGATTGGCTCCGAGCCAGAGTCTGCCAATACGGTATCTGTACACTCAGGAGCGTTTGTACAGTACGCTCTGCAAGCACTGCTTGAGCAAGGCCATGCTTAATCTGAAAGAGCGGCTGACGCATACAGGTGAATCTCAGTCTGCCAATAGCCACCCTCAACTGGCGCCCAAAGGGTTTAACACAATCACAAGCAGAACTCATAGAAGACAAGGAAATTTTTTTCATTGTGTGCTGTTCTTGTCATGAGGTAAGGTGCATGTGCAAATAGCTGCAGGTGAAGGCTGCCACAGATCCTGGCCCTTACTGGACTCGCAGGATCCAAGCCCGATCCCAGGGCGCGGTGTTCAATGCACCCGCCCGCCAGTCGGTGCTAGAATCAATACCAAACGAATTTTGATTTTGGCGCCATCTCGTATCTCAGGTCTCAGCTGAGATATGACTTATTTTCTGCTTTGATTGTGCTGAATAGCCAGTACAAGGGGGCGCATGCCCATGTGTTCTTGCTGCAAGCGCTGTTATAAGGAGGTGACAAGCTAAAAGATCTGGTGTCGGGAGTGCGAAGTGATTCTGTAAACTGCCACTTTTGCCAAGATCGCCAAAGATGAAGCTGGGTGACAAGGTTGGTTTAAACGGGCTCCCTGGCTCGTGAATAATTGAGCGACAGACCTTTTCAGAGACCATATAATAGCCTCGGTGTCTTCCAGCTTTTTGAAGGATGCTTCAGCTGCATACACTGTTTGGATGCTCGTTACATGACGTGTGGTGGTAAAGAAAGCCACAAAGTACAGTATGCTTGTGGCTAGCAGAGGTCTCGAGTCACCCACCTGATTTCTCTGAGGTTGCCCCGCCACATGGGCCGTTCCAGAGTAATTATTTCCCACAGCACCACCCCAAAGCTGAACATGTCGGCCTTGTTTGTGATCTTGCCTGCGATTGCAACAGTCACACATACACTCATATCTAGTCCGAAACCTTGGCAATGAAGTGCTTGTGCAAGGCTCTATGCCCGCCCAACCAAAAGGCAGGCTGACTTGTGACATCCATACAACAACTGAACTAGTGTTTTGACATCCCAGGGGAATTTCCCATGGCATTGGGCTCATGCTTCTGGGTTTGCTGTCTGCTCAGAACACTCATCTACATTGACTGCCCGTTTTGCCAGTTTCTACAAGGCATGCCCAGTTTTTTGACTGGGCAGGCCATAAATTCGTGGCATTGCGCAGACAAAGGGCTATCTGGGAACACCTAGCATATCGGTTGAAAGCTCTGCCAGGTTCCTGCCGGACAAGCACTGCCTTCCGCATGTCGTGATCATGCTAACATCAAGATGCAGCAGCAAAGAATTGATTACATACGTTAATGCCCAGATACCCTATTGCTACTAGGGCTGTGGGCCTTACGGTTGACGGTCATTACGGTCTGACGTCACGACGGTGTAATTTACGGTGTTCTCTGAGCATCCCGAGGGGGTGCTCCCAGTAGGGCTCACAGGGAACTGCCAGCAGCAGGGCCTGAATAGGCACTGGTAGCACCGCTGCATAGTAACATCAGTAACATGCTGTGTTTCAGTCGCACCTCTCAGAATGACCTCGGGTGCCAGCCACGCCCATGTGCCTGCCACTGGCATGGATGAGATGTGGGAGTGGTCCATCTGCGCTGACAGCCCCACATCGCTTATTTTGGCCGTGCCGTCAGCCGCCAGAAGCACGTTGCTGCTCTTCAAATCCAGGTGAACTACCCTGCAAAGCATAGAAAAAGCATGTCACTGTTCATGACTCATGATTTGATGACTAGGTGCCTGTCTAGGTCCTGCTCTAGGCAGACCCTGCAGACAAGTACACACCCATGCTGGACTCGGTGCTCTTGACTCATGAAAGTCAGATATTGCCTTTTACGTGATTTTCAACCTTCCAAGGCTAGGTGCATTCCAGCGGCACTTCTATAGATGGATTGCTTTTCCTTGCATTTTTCCACCCTGCAGGCGGACACCGGTGCTTAATAATTATATCTGCCTTGGCAGACATACACTTGTGTATCGGCATAGGACATCTTACTTGCTGTTACTGCCGGGAAGCAAGGGCATCTGCAAAAAAGCTTCAGGTGAAGCCTGCCAAACACTGTACCCCTTGATTGGCTTGCTAGATTCAAGCAGGCTAATGGTTGTTTGGGTATATCTGTAGCCTTCACCTGGTTCTTGGATGCCCACATAGTGGGGTGCACGCTAAACAGATTGCACAGAGACTATCAGAAACTTGCTAATCGCGTAGCAAGAGCAATGAGGAGCGCCCAACAAGGATCAAGAAAACACACTTGAGCTCGTGCAGGAAGTGCAGGCCGAGGGCGATTTCGTGCGCCACTCTTTTGCCCCGGTTGTGCCACTGAAAAATTGGCTGCCCGTTACGGCCAACGCGCGGCAGAGCAGCCCACAGATTTCCATTGTCCATGTAATCCATTGCCAGAATCGTGTTGCCCTGCACAAGATCAAATGTAGTATTTCAAAACTCTTAGATTCCTCGCCCACATAATTCTGAGATCCCTTCTATCTCTGTCATATCTGAGGTCTGAAAAAATCACCCATGCAGTTTGTCCATGAGGGCAGCATTCAGAGGACTCACGAGGCCCTCATGCGAGCACACAAATATGCATGTCAGGCAGCTTTTTTTTCATCATCGCTGTTTCAGCCACGAGAGGCAAGGTGCACCTGCAGGTCAAGGCTGCCAGAAGTCCCACTTGCAGGACAAGCCAGACCCAGCCAAGACCAGGCATTGCACTCAATACATATACCCGCTTCCCCCCAATCGGGAGCACGCAAAGAAAGAGCAAGGCTGCTTCTTCAGCCAGCTCCGATGTCCTGTATCTGTCTTCCCCAAGCATGAGAGGGATTGGCCCCGGCTGGCGGGGGGCGATATAAATACTGAGCACCGTGCCCACGGTTGATTGGGTCTTGCCTGGATCTGGCGAGTCCAACAAGGGGTAGGATTATGGCGGCCTTCAACTGCAGCTTGTCTGCAGGAGGCACTTTGCCTCTTTGCAGGAAACTGTATAATAATAATAAAAATAAAGCATGAGAGGGAGAGTGAGTACATTGTTCCAGCCACAGGGCTGCTATCATGTCCCACAGCTTCCCAAGTTTTAAACAGCACACTGCACAAGAGGAGAAGCTCACCGGCAACAGGCTGGCGCCGACAAAGGGAATGATGTAGCGGCTGCCTCTGCATGCGCGCAGGATGGCCATCTCGTTGAGGAATGCCCTCTGCTGGCCCGGTGACTGGTCCTTCAGCCGCTTGATTGCCACTGGCGCCATTCTGTACGTCCCTTTTACCACAACCCCAAAAGCCCCATGACCCAATTCCACCTCCTTGCCTTGCTCGTCCATTTCCACCTGCAAAGAACAAGTCACATGCATATCTTACCAGAAAGGTCAGTCACATGCAGAGAGACATATGATGCGGAGAAAGTACTCAAGAGTTGTTTGATTCTGCACCACCTTGTTTGGGCCAGAACAGTACTGGGATTGCCAAATTTTGGACGGAATGCAGACTCATGAGAACTTTGTGATGTACAAATGGGCAATGACAGACTGCTCACATGACCAATAAGCCTCCGGTAGCCCCCAACAGATCTCTTCAATGTAACAATAATGATATGATGATAAGCCCCTTGCTGAGCGCTATCACTTGCTGCCATGGTTGAACGGATGACATGACAGGATGATGTTACCGCCTACAATGACTGTGTTGCAACAGCCCTGCTCTATTCTTGGACAGCAGCCGAGTCAACAGAAGGTGAGAAAAACATTACCAACGTGCGACTCAGCAACGACTCAGCAAAGGATTGGGCAAAGTGCTTCAGGGCTAGGGGCACAGTGTCAGAATAGCCCCAAGAAAAGGTTGACATTTGGCAAAATAGCGTCAGGGCAATGCCCAAAGCCACATGGCTGTGACTCAGGAGGACCCCTGATTTTTCAGGCAATTTGAACCGATCACATCCCTGGTGACAAACCTTGGGAACCTCAGGGATGCCCCGAGAATTCAGCTACAACCGCGGCAGCGGGCAGGGGCAAAGCCCTCGCCTGCCCTTGCCCTGCATACAAGCTGGCCAGAGATTTTTAGGACCCCTGTCAAAATGTGCATGCGAGCTAATCAGCAAAAGTATTAGCACACCTCCAGTGCATCCAGATCAAGCTCCCAGTCCTTATGTCCCGCCATGGAAACCAGCTCGAGCTCCCCAGAAGACTGGGAGGCCCCCCATGAGTCACCCCCACTGTTCGAGGCCGGTGTGGTGAAGCTGATCAAGCTGACACTGGAAGGGGCCTGCAATGCAGTGTTTTTAAACATATAAAAAATAATCAAGGGGGGTTTTCGGGCCTTTGGTGATAACTGGATATCCGTTGGAAGCCACCAGTTGGCTTCCTGAAAACTCTTCAGAGGTGCAACAGATAATTCTTTGCCACTTTCAGAATTGTCCCATCCCAGCAATAAGTTTCTTGAAGAGCACAGATTTATCTACTGGCTTCAGATGAGATATCCAGTATTTCTCAAAAAGACACATCGGCTTTCTGTCAGAGGTTCTTTATTGGTAGGAGATAAGCACTGGCCTGCTTGAAGGGCACGTAGCTACGCGGCGGCTGCGGAGGAATAATGGAGTCCGAATCATGCTCCGGGCATTCCTCCAAATTAAGCAGCGCCGCCGCCTGCACCGTCATCGCTCTCAGCTTCAACCAGGTTCTAGCTTCCGGGAAGCTTCCATTTGAATCGCACAAGAATTACATGCGTGGTTCCTTCACATGCTGAGCTCAACACAGATTGGGACAACAGTGGAGGAAAGAGCACATGATGGGGTCCGCTGATTGATTAAGCATGCCCATAATTTCGGTAGATACTGCCAGCCTATTCAGAGCAGCGCATTGAGGATTGAAGAAGATGAGTCACAGGCTCAATTGATGACCCTGCATTGTGCATGGTGATTCCTGCAGATTGCTGCAAGTGATTCCGGATTTTGGTTTTAGGGGTCAGGGGTTAGGGTTAGACAACCCTAAACCCTGAAAGATAAATAGTAAGAATAATTGTTTTGCTTACCTTAGCGCCCTGAGAGTGCCTACTGTGCCTGCGCAGATATAAATAAGAATAATTGTTTTGCTTACCTTAGCGCCCTGAGAGTGCCTACTGTGCCTGCGCAGAAGCTGATGCCGCAGCCTTTCTTTTGATCTTTGCCGCCTCTTCATAATCCACAGTATGCCCCCCACTGCTGCCAGTGCAGCGCACACCCCAACCACAATTCCAACAATGACCCCTGTGCCGACGCCTGAGCTGGCGGCTGAGCTGGCTGCTGACGTGGCAGGGTTCCCCGGGCATATTTTTGGTCCGTAGTTGTCCACCTGTGCAGCGTGCATCGCATTCTTTTACTACATGTCATCTTCGGCCACGCTTTGACACTGCAGCATGCCTTTGGCTTTCATGAGAGGCTTCAGGCCTTGGCGCAGCAGTAGATTCTAAGCAGGGAGATGAGCTGTGTGCATAGAGCTTAGTATATATACTGAACTCCGCAAGTTTCTACGCCAGAGGTAAGGTGCATGCATAGAGTGCATGCATAGACAGGCTGCAGATAAAGGCGGCGAAAGTCCCATCCTGGATGGACTTGCCAGAATCAATAATACCCATTCGAACCGTGGCCACGGGGCTCCGTATTACACAGTTCCCGCCAGCCAGGGCCAGAGCTGTGCAGCTGGGTGAAAAGCTAAAAGAGGGACCATAAAGCATTTCAGAAAGAAAGGCACCTGGCTGATGTTTGGGCCGCCCAGCCATTGGTCCACGGTGATTCCAGGAGGAATGCTGCCGCACATGCCAGGGTTGCCTGCGCCACATCAGCCGCTGTCAGGGGGCAATGCGGCTCACTTGGCTTTTGGCTCACTTGAAAGTACCCATTCAGTCATATCCCGGCTACAGCAAATATCATGCAAATTGTCAGCAGTGCAAGATTTGCAAGCTCAAGCTCCCACAAAAGCCTGGGGTACGGTATTTCTGCAGTTTTCATGTCCTTCTCTCAAGAGTACATTCTTGCAGGTACCCCATTGCCCGAGCCAGGCATGTTTTTAAGCATCCCTGGTATGCATGCAGTATATTGAAGCACCAGCCTACAGCCCTTCAGGTCCAGACAGGTCGAATGTTAAACGAATAGCCTACCCGGCTGTAGAACGAGGCTCTCAAGTGCGGAAAATCCACGCCTCCCGCTCGTGTCATTACCCCAGGCAGGGGGGATGCTGCCGGTGAGCTTGTTGAAGGTGAGTGAAATGTTGTGCAGTGAAGCCATGCCGCCATTGGTGCCCCAAGAGGGCGGTAGAGAGCCCTGGATAAGATTGTGGTCCAAATGCAGGCCCTGCAAAAAAGGCCATGCTCGCATGCCGCCACTCGCATTCATCCTGCAGCACAGCGTTGTCACATGGGCGTGGGAAAACAATACCAAGATGGACCATGTGATGAGTGCCGGAATTGTGACTCCTACCACGAGCCTCAATAACAAAAGAACTAGAAGAATACACTTTGCTTCTCATGCCCTTCAGACATGACAAGAACCTGATCATTAGGCTGTTGACTCAAAGGTTCGGCCACTGATTCTTCTGCATGGAATGGCAGGACGCAAGCGAGTCCCTGGCAGGCAGCAACTTTAAATGTCATGTGGTCTAGACGGGACGCACTGTTCGGGCAGGGTACCGTTAAGTCCGTTGCCGATGAGGGACAGAAAACCCAACGCCTGCATGCTCTGCAGAGCCTGAGGCAGGCTACCTGCAGCAGGTGACACAGCAGCCGATGAGGCGGTATTATCATACTCCTGACATGGACCTTGATGACCGTGGCAGGCATCAGAATTTACCAGAATTACAGTAGTTATTATAAATTAAACATACAGCAGAATGTCTAGCAGCTTTCACCAGTTGCATGCAGACCATATGATATTTAGGCAATTCATCAGACAGTCACAAAGGTGCCCTGCAAGACAGCCACCATTCCAGAGCGGGCTTGAAGCGGAGGGGCTTGAAACATTTGACTTTGGTTGCAGGGTACAAAGGTGAAGGTCACCTGACAGCTGATTGAAGCTCAGTTCCAATACGCTCAGAATTGGCAGATTTTTCACCCACGAAATTGCCAGAGAGCCCGTGATGTTGCATCTCCTGTGGCATGCTACCAGGATGGCATCAATGGACTTGACTGTAATTCGCAGATTGCTTTGTTATCAAAAATACTTTTCCTGTGTGTGTGAAGACGAGCAATTTTCCAGTCGAGAATCAGAGACTAGGTACCTGCACTAACTGTCACTTGAAGGACAGCCAGCACTTCACGAAAAGAGTTTCCATCTCAAGATGTTTTGCCTTAAACACAGTGCTCATGAGGGGAATGACTCACCCCAGGCTCAACACCTCCAGCTTCCGGAAGCTGCCGGTAGAGGACCCCCACGTCTGGGGGAGGGGACCCGTCACGCGCCAGTTTAGGTCCAATGCCAGCAGCCGCAGGGAAGGGAATGATCCTGGTGCCGCCCATGTCTCCGGCAGCGTTCCCTGCATGCATGATAATTTTTGTCTTTTTACTTGAACGTCCCTAGATTCTAGGGGTCTTTCAGAACACTGCAGGTTACCTGTGCCCTTGCGGCATGCAACACTTCTGCTGAGGCCTCGTGGATGGTGGCTCAGATGTAGATCACCAACTTTACACATTCACGGCTTCAACAAAGCAATTTGTCCTAGGCTTTCTGCGGCTTCGCCGTCCCTTCTGTCTAATTCACCTGTGAGATGTGTAGGCAATCTACAGCATCTATGCTGGTGACAGAAACCATTATATCTGTGCTGAAACCCAAGCGCAACAGTGCCAACCAGACCACATGTACATGCGTTTGCTGTATCATAGAGACTTGGGACAGAGATTACGCCTCCCTCAAACGCCTGCAGCCCTGTCATACTTTCGACACTGAAGAGAAGATTGGAGTACAGCAGAATTGCGCAATTTACTCCCACCAGTATGTTGTTGCTGACCAGCTTGAGCTCCTCCAGCCAAGGGAAGCTGATGTTGGCGGGAAAGTAGCCTTGGAGATTCTGATTTGTCAGGTCCAGCTTTGTGAGCCGGGCCAGACCAGCCGCAGACTCCAAGACTTGTGAAACATTCCCTGGAGCATCCACATATAAGCTTTTGCAAAGACATAGCTGCAGCAAGCAGAAGCATCGTCACCTGAGCTTCAGATGATGATCATCCTTGGAAGAAACCAAACCTGCAGTTGATTTCACAAGTGCGAGCCCCAGGCACACGCTGTGCAAAGCTGCCGCATTTGGGTTAATTGACAAAGAGGCACAGACGCAACGGTCACGGCAAATTCATGCATGTTACTCACCGTGCATGACTAATCAGGTTACTCATCATGCGCCAGATTACTCACCGCTCAGCTGATGGGGCACCGAGGCGTGCGCAAAAGAGGTGTTGTCACCACCGACGGTGAGTGGTATAACATCAGGCGGTGCGCGTTCGGGGATGCTCAGGTCGATTGTGCGAACGTAGCCGTCGGGCCAGCATGTGACGCCCTGCCAGCTGGAGCACATGGGCAGGCCAGGATCCCACAGGGCCGTCCGCCTTCTGATAGACGTGTCAAAATTCGCAAAGGCCGCCTTGACGCGCAGGAGAGCTGCCATGTCGCTGGTGTCTGCACATGGAAATAATGAATTCTCACAAGGTTTGCAGTAACGTAGCTATGGTCTTCAGACTTGCACATGATGTTATGCGTATGGTCATCAAGAGCAAGACACACTCCCTGTTATTAATTTTACAGGTCGACAAACCCAAAGCCAGAGGCCATAGGGCATACACGCAGGGCGTCTGCAGCCACATCTGCGGGGCCTTCATTAGTCTGCAACCTCTCACTCACTCACCATATACATGCATGCACTCCCTGCCCCGGATGAGTACCCCTCTATATCCCTGTTCTCTCTCCCTGTTCAATCTTTACTGAAATTCTGCCTCCCGGCAAGAGCACAAAACACCACTTAACTCCAGCATTTATGTGCACTGCAGGCATATTAATCGGGTTTTGATTGAAGTGCTGGAATGCTTAGCTTACTGGAGGCACTGGTGTTGGGTGCTGGCGTGTCAGGCGGCGGTGCAGGGCAGACAGGGGCGATGCCTTTGCCTTCCACGCAGCTGCCGCGCAGCTCCCCGCAAGTAAACACATGCACTGGTGGCATCGTCCCGCAGAAACGATTGTCTGCATGGCGCATGGGAGCATATCATGGGGTAACTTTACTCAAAGTGGACATCTTTCCGTGCAGCTTTGACAAGCAACATCTTTATTATGGACCACCTCAACGCCTTCATGCCAGGATCCAGAGGTCCACCCATGTGCAAACAAACTTTCCTCCGATGCATAGCAAGGACAAATATTGAGCACCGTGCCCACGGTTGATTGGGTCTTGCTTGGATCTGGCGAGTCCAACAAGTGGTAGGATTGTGGCAGCCTTTAACTGCAGCTTGTCTTGAGGACGCACCTTGCCTGTTGGCAGGAAATGCATGTAATATTATTTATAATAATAACAATAATAATAGCAAGGAATCCAGCAGACTTGACATCACCACAAGCACAGGTTGCTTCGAAGGAATATCGGCACCCCAAACCTTCAGTGATGAAGACAGATTCGGGTGAACCCCAGCCTCTGGGCACTGCACCGCTCAAGTTGTTATTGGCAACATCCATGGTCGCCAGTGCGTGCATGGTGCCTGGTCTCTCCCACCTGACATGCACATAAATTGATGGTCTTTCTTCCTGCTTTGTAACGTGAGAATCGTGCTAAGCAGTTTCTGGTTTCCAGCGCCACAGAAGGGGCACACAACCTGATCACGGAAAGCCTCGTTGGTTGCAGATGAGCTCATAGAATCTGAGCCTACTGCATGCTTATAGGGCGCTGCAGGCAGCACTGGTGAACAAGGGCAAAGAAGGGACTCACGAGGCTGGCAGGATGCCAGAGAGGGAGTTGCTGTACAGGTGCAGGGCTGCCAGGGATTTGAATGTGCCATTTGATCCCCACTCCTCTGGAATGCTGCCTGCAGCGCCAGCACTTCTACTGAGCCACATTTACTTATTATAATTATTATTATTATGATTACACGCCTTTCCAATCCATGAGGATCAGGTGCGTCGCAGCAGCGTTTCTATGACAGCCTTCGAACCATCTCTTCCCATTTACTTCTGATGTGGAAAATGACCTTGCCGAGGCAGGGCCCATAAAGGTGCGTAACCCTGCATATCAGTGGCAGCGTTGGAACGCACAAATGACGATGTGACTCTTGGAACAGCAGGGTCTTGCACCTGCCAACTCATTCCTGTCAAGGTTGATGGCTGTCAAATTCAGAGCGCTCCACTCTGGCGGTAAAATGCCTGCATAGCAAAGACACTGTCGGTCACCCACCCTGATGACACATCTACAATCACAGGTCGCATGCATGCTTCACACTGTCAGTCATTTTGCACTCACATGCCACAGGAGGATACTAAGGAGAACAGTTGCATTTCTACGTCCCCCTGAAATGTCTGGGACCAAGGGTGTTGGGATAGTGAAGGGTTTCAGGGAATGAATTTATTGTACCAGTGAGGCCATTGCTGGAAGCATTGATGCGCTGCAGGGAGGGCAGGGCACGAGCCCACTGGGCAGGCAGGCTGCCCGCCAGGTAGCAACTGTTCAAATCCAGATTACTAAGCGCCTGCATGCTGCTGCCATCCTCGCCCCAATCCTCTGGTAGAGTCCCTTGAAGGTCAGGGTTGAACGCCACGTTAAGCTTTGCCAGCTGTGGAAAGGTTAGCACGTTGCCCCAATTGGAAGGCAATGACCCCTGCAGCACTAAACAATAGTCAAGCGCCTGTGTGCGTACACCAGTCAAGATGTTGATGTCAGTGTTTATTATTATCATTGCATGCTTTCTGCCTGAAGGCTAGATACGTCCTGCAGACAAGCTGCAGATGAAGGCTGCCACAATCCTACCCCCTCTTGGACTCGCCAGAACCAAGCAAGACCCAATGAACCATGGGCACGGTCATTTATACCGACCCCTGACAGGCGCTTTCTTTGGCTTTTTAACCATCAATGAGCGCAGATTTATGGCCTTTGAGAGGCTATTGGCTGTCCACTTGGAAGTGAAAGATTGGTTTTCAAACAATAACTCAGAACCGCGCACAAGCCACATTATGCCCATTTTGAGCTGAAATGTCCCCCCAAACAAATTTGGGCCCAAATTTTCTTCAAAATCCTGATTCTGCCACTTTTGTGGCGTCAGAGAGTTCAATTACAATACTCTTCAATAAAGCCACAATGGCTTTCAGCCAAAGTTCCTAGAAAATCACGGGTTGGCGGTTGCCTAGCCTTGAAGAACTGCCTGTCCGTTCACACTCCTGGAGTTTCGGATTGTTAAGAAGCCAGTCAGTCACTCAACCCGTCACATTCGAGAGATACAAAGGGCAAGAGAGGAATTGGAAAATGGAGGCATTGAGAGAGATGGTCCCGGGCTAGCAGGCGCACATCTTTGAGAAGACATCAATATTCATCCCTTCCAGGAAACTTCACAGCGACAAGCAATGAAGTGGAGGTCTTGCAAAGGCCGAGGGCGTGCCTTGATGTGGTTGTTGGACAGATCCATTTCTTCCAAGACAGGCATGGCAAACAGGTTTGCCGGCAGCATGCCATTGAAGCTCTGATTCGCCAGAGACAAAACCTTCAGATTTGGGATCAAAGATGCCCCATACAAGACGTCCCCAATGTTGCCTGCACACACCAGTATCTTCATCAGCCCTCTAGCCGAATTCCCTGATTCAGATAATTAGTAATCATGACAAGCTTATCCTGCCAAGAGGCAAGGTGCGCCTGCAGACAAGCTGCAGGTGAAGGGCACCACACGTTCTGACCCTTGTTGGACTGGCCAGATCCATGCAAAACCCGACCAAAAGTGGGCTCGGTGCTCAGTATTTATACCGTCCCCCGCTAGCCAAAACACAAGGCAAAAAGATTGTTGTAAACCAGACTTGCAAGACGTGTGTTACAAAGCTGTGTCACCTTCAAGCAGGGATGCATTGTTGGGAAATTTGATGCTGATGACTTGCAGGGCTGTATTGCAGCCCACGCCATCCCAGCTGCAGATGCTGTCAGCATTCACCGGCTGACTACTCCAGCCCTCACATGGCAGTGTCTGCTGGTACCAGGCAAAGTTTGGGATGGCATTTCGAAGGTACAAAAGCCCCTGTTGGTCTGGGCTGTATCCTGCACACATGCTGGTGCCAGCAACATCAGTGCATGCATGCTGACGGCGGCAAGCATCTAGCATCTGCTTGGATTTAAGTTGAATCAGGCAGAACACTATCCAAGAGAATATTCTGCTGGGAGCATGAAGGCTCACCTACGACATTGGTCAGTGGCTGTCCAACGCAATACGAAAGCCTCCAGCTCAAGAAGGCCGCTAGTGCTGGGACCAGCGGATGCACCAACATCCCACGTCTCTTTCGAAAAAATAACAGCATGCCTGATCTCAAGGGTCGCCTTGCTTGAAGCTTGGCAGCCTTGGCTGTCTACAGTCCGATATGGTTTCCCCTGCGACCAGCAGGCACGTTTGCACAATAGATGCAGAAACACAAGAAAATAATCTCCTACGTTGAACGGGAGAACTGGACGACACCAGCCAGCAATCTACCGTTTGGAGGAAACCTAAAGGTTCAAGCCCAGGTTCACTCCTCGGCTTCCTCGCTGATCCTCATTCACGACTGCCCATATTCTGGCTGTTCGAGTCCTGCACTCGCAAAGAACCAGAACAGTCATTCTCAGGTTACGTAGTAAGTCAATTCACTTTCTCTTCCCCTCCTCCGAGGCTGGTGCCGACACTTGTTTGAGTCTCGACCGAACTCGAACTCCGAACTCGGTGGAGATCGGCGACCCTGTTCCAGATCGACAGTAGCAGGTCCGTCTACGTGGTTGGCCTTTCGGCGTGCGTCTTTCCTCGACTTCCGACTTAGCTAGCATACACGTGCGGATAGCTGCATTTGGTCCAAGGTATCCGGTACATCCCACACCTGACTAACCTGCTCTGAATTGACTCCTTTTGTACAATTCTTGTTGAAGCCAAATATGACAGTGACTAGAATTTTCCAGACCATGTACAGTGCTCGAAACACTTAATGCCATGCCGTACTGCATTCAAGTATGTACAGGCAACAGGGACAACATGCAAAGTCATAGTTATAGTCATAGTCATAGTCATAGTCATGCAGAAGTCACCATGCATGCACACACTCTTCATTCCATTACCCTCTGATCAGCCCAACCTATTGGCAATTTCCAAGATATTGCCTCCCACCCTACATTTTGTACCATTCTTCCTGATCGCCTGAAAACAAACATCTGTACAAGTGCTGCAACGCTCCACTCTTACTTTGGAGCTGCGCCCTTTTTGTTGCATGGCACAGCACATTCCCACTTCCCCCGTATCCGAACACCATTATTCTTCCCTCGCATGCTAGCAAGCTGGTGATGCTCTGCCCACTAAAAAGCTCTGCTGCTCTCAAAAAAAATGCAAAGCGACTCCAACAAAGAGAACACAGGCTTGCTGCTGTTGACCTCTCATTCAGCCAATGTCAACATTCGGGAGTGCTGCAGCATCAAGCATGCCCGGCAGCAGCGGCAGCCCGGATGCACCCAAAGTAAAGAAAGACATTTGTTCAACTTGCACAACAGCCAAACCTCTGACATGAGACCCACTACTGCCTTCTCAGGGACTTCTGCAGAAGGGTGGCCGCTCATCACAAACCACCTAAGCAACTCCCAAATTGCCTGACCAGTAAATCTTTTCTGTTCCCTAGAGATGCTCTGAAGGGTCTCTGGTCGCACTCGAATGCCCTCAGGGCAACCCCGAGATTAACCTCTGAATGCTCAGCTGTTTTGCTCCTTCCCTGGAGCATTCCTGGAGGTCCTTTCATGGATGGCCATTCCTCTTTGTACCTTGATCAGGGCGAGACAGCAGCAGAGAAAGCACACATCAGACCTCTACAGGGAAGCTTGGCAAGAAATGAATTGAGAGATTACTGCAACGCACCCTACCCTGAGGGCTGGAAATGAGTGTAGTAGTAAACCTCTACACAAGCGAATGCTGCTGAAACACACCTGGCCTTTAAAGTCCTGCTCTTTCACCAACTTCCCATCGATCAGGGCAAGCCAGCAACAAGGAAACCACACATCAAACCTCTACAACACGAGTGCTGCTGAAGTGAGTCTTCCGGGCCTCAACAGTCCTGCTTTTAAACCAAAATATCCACTGATCAGGCAAGCCAGCAGCAAGGAAACCACACATTTCTGCCATTAGCCCTTGCCTCAACAGTCCTGCTTTTAACCTACTCCCATTGATCAGGGCGAGCCAGGAGCGGTGCTCCCATTGGGGGGTCCCTGAGCACTGCTCCCACTGGGGGGACCAGGAGCACTGCTGCCACTGGCAGGGTGGCTGGCACTGCTGCCTGTCCGCCTCGGCTGGGAGCTGTCACCCGATGACCTGGCGTCCACTAGTAAGTGCCCCTTGATGACATCAGCGCAGTTGGCCGCGCTCGGCCGCTCCTCCGGCTGCCCCGTGCACCGGAACACAAGGTGCGCTATCTCCTGCGGCGCCTCTTCTGGCACCCTGCAAAGAATCAAAAACAAACCCAATTTTAGATTTCCAATTCAATTTCAAAATATATGGAGCGGGAATATGGGCTGATGCACGTGATTGATGGTCTGGCTCTCAGGGCCGATTGGATTTCTTGACTTTTTGCATGATATCAATACATAACCCCTCAAATGGCAAACTCAGATGGAAAGTCTTCTGCATGCTGCTCTCACTTCATGCCCATGTTGGTCATGATGGCTGACATGCAGCATTCGCACATCTTCTGGGCCTGGAGTCCAAAAGAGATGCATGCATGGGTGACACCCCCGTGACAACAAACCCACCTGATTTCTCTGAGGTTGCCCTGCCACACGGGCCGCTCCAGAGTGATGATCTCCCACAGCACAACTCCAAAGCTGAACATGTCCGCCTTGTTTGTCACCTTGCCTGCGAGCCCATCGACCCTCATCTTTCATATACAGTGGTGCTCCACCATGCACAACGATTGGTGCCCTCGCGAAAAACGATAATGCTTATCCGCCCATTTTAATTTCCACTGTCGAACTCAAAAGGTGACATCCTTGACAATAGTGCCAGTCATGGCAGTGCTGCATCAAGGGTACACACAATACAGAATTGATCCGTGCATTGTGCTTCTTATATGTTGTTCTCTGCGGCCAACAGAGGCAATGCTCGGAACGCCCAAGGCTGCCTAGGATGCTGTTCATTGGAGTTCTCTTCAGCAGATTTAAAAATTTAGAGATGTAAAATTATAAAAACTCCTACCTCCAAGGATGACCTCAGGCGCGAGCCACGCCCATGTGCCCGCCACTGGCATGGATGAAATGTGGGAATGGTCCATCTGCGCTGACAGACCTACATCGCTGATCTTGGCCGTGCCGTCAGCCGCCAGCAGCACGTTGCTGCTCTTCAAATCCAGGTGAACCACCCTGCAGACAAGCACACACCCATGCTTGACCTGGTCTCTTGCACAAGTGTTTTTTTTTCAGCAGATTATTTGCGCTGCGAAATTTCACACGCTGAGGGGTCACCCTTGGGACTGGGATATTTTAAAATACACCCATGGGACGGGGCTCTGATCCGCCTAGAACCTTTCCGTCATCGACTGCCAAGATCGCTAAGCAGGTCTGGATTTTATGCATCTCTAAGATCGCCCAGGGACGTTGGGGACTGCCGACTGGGCAACCCACAACTCCTAATCGAGGCCCTGTCGAACCTTTTGGGTTACAGTCGGCGAACTTAGGAGCCCCCAACTCTCAAATTTCTCTGAGCAGTGTGTACTGTGCTCTGCCATGGCTCAGATTCACTTTGAACCTTCCGGAATCCTCGGGTCTGCCTCTGTCTAATCCACTCGCGTACATGCAAAAGACATGAGCTGCACAGGTCTTGTCTCGTCACATGCTTGCATAATAGAACCGAACATCCACCCAGATTGCCCTTTAGATTGTTGTGTGACAAGAGCCAGCGCCTGATAATGTGCAGACTTCCAGGGCGTGCTTAGGTACTGAACATAGGATTGAGCAATGCAACATTCTTACCAAATGTCTACGGTGTGTAATAAGAGACTTGCCCCCTAGAACTTAGTGCATGGAGACCAGAGGAAAACCAGCAGCCATCTTCATGAAATGTTGTGTTTGGCGCGTTGTTCACCGCGGCCTGGTGAGAAGGGTGCAGAAAACTTACTTGAGCTCGTGCAGGAAATGCAGTCCAAGGGCGATCTCATGTGCAACCCGTTTGCCGCGGTTGTACCACTGGAAAATGGGCTGCCCGCTGCGCCCAATTCTGGGCAGCGCCTCCCACAGATTCCCATTCTCCATGAAGTCCATCGCCAGGATCGTGTTGCCCTGCGCAGGGTCAACATCCTTTTGCTTTCACCCTTTACTCACCCTCGCCCAATCCATTGTAGGGATATCTGTATTGTACTATATATCTGGGGGTAATATATAGAGGCCCCAGGGGGGCGGTATAAATACTGAGCACCGTGCCCACGGTTGATCGGGTCTTGCTTGGATCTGGCGAGTCCAACAAGGGGTAGGATTGTAGCAGCCTTTAAACTGCAGCTTGTCTGCAGAACGTACCTTGCCTTTTGGCAGGAAAAGCATGCAATAATAAAAATAATAATATATAGAGTGCCCTGTTCAAGGATCCACAGCCCTGACAAGACTTTCAGCACTGCTCAGCATCCAATTTGATGCCCTTTATTTTCCAAACTTTTCAAAGTACAGGGTTGCAGCCTGTGGGCGAGAATTGGACCGGCCTGGCCGTGAGCATGCTAGCTGCCTGGCAACTTGCTCGAAATGAAACTGCATTTGGGCAACACAGCTATATACAGCAACAAGAACTTCCGGCCATTTTGGTGCGTCAGCAACAGCAGGACAGCGAGACACTGTCCAATCTGCTAGATCCCATGGATCAGCACGAGGACAATTTACCGGCAGCAGGCTGGCGCCCACAAGAGGAATGATGTAGCGGCTGCCCCGGCATGCGCGCAGGATGCTCATCTCGTTGAGGAAGGCTTGTTGCTGCCCCAACGACTGGTCCTTGAGTCTCTTGATTGCCACCGGCGCCATTCTGTACGTCCCCTTCACCACCACCCCAAAGGCCCCCCTCCCAAGCTCCACCTCCCTGCCCTCCTCGTCTAGCTCCACCTGGCACCAAATCATTACTGATGGATCAGTAAACGTCTCTTAATTACTAATAGGTCAGTAACAAAACTCGTTGAGAATGGATACAATAATGTGCTGGGATTCTGAATGCACCAGTGCTGTATGTAACGATGCTTCTCAATTGCATTGTTTCCATTGTCAGGTCAGAGCCTCTGCGGTCACATGAAGCACTTAACACGCACAAGTGACTCCATGTAAAGACCTGACAAAACTTTGTGAGTCTGCTAATGTCTCTGGGGTTCCAGTCAGCATGCAAGACTAATTGACTGGTGGATCAACTGAGCAAACACCCCCACATCACCATGGTCCAGAGCAGAAGCGCGACCAAAGGCTCTAGATGTGCGCAAGTCACGATGAGTTCAGAGGACGGCAAAATCAGAACAGACTCTGGTGGCAGTAAGGTTGCATCTAAGCGGGAGCGGAAGGGACCCTGATTGTGGTTTTCAATGTATCCTTCCACACTCAGCAACCCTGATCAATAATGGCTGCATGCGAGTCTTCAAAGTATCCTTCCACACCCAGCAATCCTCATTAATATACGCTGCATGCGAGTCTTCAAAGTATCCTTCCACACCCAGCAATCCTCATTAATATACGCTGCATGCGAGTCTTCAAAGTATCCTTCCACACTCAGCAAGCCTGATCAGTAATGGCTGCATGCGTACCTTGAGCGCGTCCAGATCGAGCTCCCAGTCCTTCAGCCCGACCAGGGACTGCATGGCCAGATTGCCACCAGACGACCTCGTGCCAGGTGTTGACACGCCCTGGGCGCTGCTGAGTCGCCCGCTCGATTCACTTCCCCCTGAGCCGGTCAGGGGGACTGAGGCTATGCTGGAAGGGGCTTTCATGAAAGGGACGTAGCTGTGCCGTGGGTCGTCCGGAGGAGGTAACATGGAGTCTGAGTCGTGCAGCGCTGGCTCATGCACAGCCATCATCGCAGCTGCCTGCAAACCATTTCAATAGTTATTTTTTAGGGTTTAGGGTTTATTTTTATTTAGGGGTTTTAAGGGTAAATTCAGGTACACCCTACATAAAATACATAAAAATATAAAAATGAGCTTCCAGCACCATGCCAAATGGTGGGGGGACGGCCTGAAACGTCCTACAGCTTTTATGCATAGCACTGTCTCACTAGACACCTCTTGCTTTGATTGTGGCCACAAGTACCGTAAGGAAGGCTTTCATGTAGAGCTTTGAAAGCAAAAGTGACTCTGACTTCTGCACAATTCATCAGTAGACATCTCCTGCCTGACTACTGGACACATATCCTCTGAGACGCCCAATTTGAAGCCTCAGGGGCTAAATGACACCTGGCCAGATCTCAGGCAGCATTGTAATGTGTAGATCACTCACCTTGGCACCCAGGGAATAGTCCTTGTGCGAGCTTACGAGCGGTGTGCTGGAGGTCTTGCGCAGCCGCCGGCGCCGGTCAATGAGAAACCACGCCAGGGCCGCAGCGGTCACTGCAATTCCAGCGCAGACGCCAACCACGATTCCCACGATGACTCCGGTGCCAATGGAGGAGCCACCGGAAGCTGCTGAGGTGGCGACAGCTGGCGCGGGCGCATGGGCGGATGTGGCGTTGTCTCCCGGGCAAGAGGCTGGCCCGTAATTGTCCACCTGTACACAGAACCGCTTTTAAAGGTCGAAAGTTTCCTACTTGGCCCCAGCTGGCAATATAAATGCTGAGCACCGTGCACACGGTGGGTTGGGTCTCACTTGGATCTGGCGAGTCCGACAAGGAGTAGGATATGTGGCAATTTTTCCCTACAGCTTGTCTGCAGACGGGAACAGCATGTAACAACAACAATAATAGCAATGTTCTGGAATGTTGGGCGATCCAGTATGGGTCTGAAAAATACTAGGATGGAACAAATCTAGGCTGGAAAACCAAAAAAAGGTTATGTCCGTGACAGAGCCAGAATGGGGGATGAGTCACCTGGGTGATGTCATAGCCGCCATCATGGCCCATTTGTACAGGGACACCAGACGGTATGGGTCCGCACAGCCCAGGGTTGCCTGCTCGGACACAAACACCAATTCAGGTACAAACCTTTCTTTGAGATACCACAACTTCATACTAGGTGCATGCTGCTTGAACTGGTGTTTTACGCCTCTGTCCTTGGTACTCAAAAGGCGCGCAGCGTGCACAGCGCAAGCACCCTTCCAAAGATAAAGCAAGTTGTGCGATGGTTTTCCACTGCAGACAGCGCGGCGGCGCACCAGGTTGCAGCACGAGCGCTTGGAGGTTGGCAAAATGAGGTTTTCCATTTGCGTCAGCGGCCCATGCGGCGGGGATGCTGCCAGAGAGGTTGTTGTATGTCAGCGACATGTTGCGCAGCCCCTGTGCAGTGCTGTGAATTTGTTAGCAAGTGTTCTTTGTGGGCGTAGCTCACATTGGTCTTAATCTTCATCACATCAAGGCTGACGAGTGATGTTCCTCGCCAACTGAGGCGTAGATAATAAAAGTTACAAGCCAGTGCCCTGCCCTACTTAGGCTTTCCGGTTTGCCTCGAGGCTACTGCCATTGTCCCTTGCACTGCTGTGTGCTTATCCTTTGACTTGTGATGTTGCCATACAGCCATCTGAACAACTGATGTGTGAGGTGTTGTGGAAGGCAAAATGATAATTTCACCATACCTGCATGGAGCTGTTGGCGCCCCAGGAGGCAGGCAGCGAGCCCTGCAGGAAGTTGTGGTCGGCGTGCAGCTCCTGCAGGAAGGGCCACGCCCTCTCCCCGCCCTGTGGCGGCTGCCTGCGTATACAGAACAGATCCTTCATTTCTCAGTTTACTGCATAAGTGTGATATGGACGTCCCAGCAAAGCAGTGCATGCTGGGCGCTTACTGGGTGACAGGTCGCTGCAACATCTGAGTCCAACTGCAAAACAGGAGTCCTTTCAAACCTAAGTATATATTCGGGCTCAGGGAGCTTAGCAAGGCAGAGCATGCCCCTCTTCTTAGGTCGAGAGCATGCAGGGCTGACCAATGGAAAAGGAACGCACTGTTCTGGCAGCGTGCCATTCAGGTTGTTGCCCACAAGGATGAGTGAGCCCAGCGCTTCCATCCACAGCCACTCCCCCGGCAGCCCGCCTGCAGCGCATGAGGGAATTCCGATCACCCCACACGGACAGCCCAAGGTTTTGCTGAGGCAAAATCAATGCCTAGAGTTTAAAGCATGTTTCACATGTGCTGCTTGCCGGATCATCGACGAGCGGTTTCATGCAAGGTTCAGGTGACCAGAAAAGTCAATGACTCATTCGTCAGAGGAGAGCTATGCAGACCAAGAGACAGATGGGGCCCACCTGCGAGTTGGCTGTAACTCAGGTCCACAATGCTCAGGATGGGCAGATTGTCCTTCCAGGTCACCGGCAACATTCCTGTGAAGTTGCACTTTCTGCATGACACACAGCAACATCATTCCTATAGAGAACCCACTGCACCATACGTCCACTCTGAACTGGTTTCTGGCTTGGCTTGGACCTCTTTGCCTAAAAAGAGCATACAGACACCCAGCAAACTGAGCCCCTTGCAATGCCACTTGGCGTGTGCCATTCACCTTGTTACATCAGCGTGGTGTCAGGACCAGTGATTTTGAGGACAGTGTCATCGCCAGCTCTTGCCTCTGGCAGGCATTATAGTACCAATATGATGAAAGCCAGGGTGACTCACCCCAGAGTCAGCACCTCCAGCTTGCGCATGCTGCCGCTGGAGTTCCCCCAGTTTTCAGGCAGGGGTCCCCCCAGGCGCCAATTCAGGTCCAGCGCCAGCAGCCGCAGCGCAGGGAACGCCCCCTCATTCCCCCACGATTCCGGTAGAGACCCCTGCAATCACATCATTTACCTTTAATTAACTTCATCTTGATGAGCCGATGAGCACTTGCACATTAGGCATATTCTTTGGCAATCACAGGACAGGCAAGTACGAGCCCATGATGATATATATCCAAAGGTATAGTTTCACAAGGTGTCGGATTATGGCAGCCTTCAACTGCAGTTTGTCTGCAGGACGCACCTTGCCTCTTGGCAGGAAAAGCGTGTGATAATAATAATAATAATAGTTTGGTAGCAATAAGTGCGTGATGGCAGTAAGGTGAGCAAAAGAGAACAGCGTTTCCTGCTCCTCCCAATGCAAATGCTGAAGCGCTTGCAATGAGTTTAAGGCTGTATTGAGTGAGAACGGGGCAGTGTCTGTGATCACATCATGATGAAAGGAGATTGTGACTCACATGGATGTCATTGTTGATCAGGGTGAGTTCCTCCAGCCAGGGGAAGCTCATGTTGGCGGGGAGATACCCTGTCAGGAACTGGTTTGTAAAGTCCAGCTTTGTCAGTCTCGGGAGGTCTGAGGCAGCCAACAGCACAACTCCAATGTTTCCTGCAGCCAAAGATTCTAAATATAGGGTTTAACATAAAAATAAAAAGATAAAAAAACCCTTAAAAATATATATATAAAATAAGATTAACACCTCCAAGCAAGATACCCGGACATTTCCCTGATGGTCAAAGTAATGGCAGCAGAATGCGGATATCAAAACTCTATGCTTTGCTACATGCGGCGCCCTGTGATTGAAGACAAGCAGCAACTATCCTATACCTATCTCTGCGATTTTCCTCGGATGCCCTGCAGCAGAGGAACCTAGCAGGAACGAAGCAGGTGTTGACCAACATGAAACAAGGAATAGCAAAGTGGGTCAGAAAAGATAAGACAGCAGCTGATGGACCCATCAGAGCAACAGAAGATGCTGATCCAGATGAAGAAATAGAGACAGTGGACTCTGTGAGGTATGCCAGTGTACAAACAGGGGCATTGAAATTTTAAAGGGTCTTTCATGAAAGTCTTACCGGCTAGCTGGTGGTTCACAGAGCCATGCGCGCTCGAGGTATTGTCAGCAGCCGGAACTGGCAGGGGCGGGGTGAGCGCAGGAATACTGAGGGTGATACTGCGAACGTAGACGTCTGGCCAGCATGTCACCCCCCGCCAGCTGGCGCACATGGGCAGGCCAGGATCCCACATCCCATCTCCTGACCTCACCGCCTCGTCGAAGTTTGAGAAGGCCGCCTTGAGCTTCAGCATCAGCGCCATGTCACTGGCGCCTGTGTGGCAAAGTTTGTATGTTAGTGATCGGGAGCCTGCAGCTGAATTAACTCAACACGGGATGAGTCCAAACACAGTGAGAATTGACAGATTGAGAGCTCTTTCTTAAATTCTATGGCTTTTGATGCATGGGTTCTTAGTTGGTGAGTTCCTGCAAATAAAGATTAGGACAGAAAAAAATCTATAACAGGGCATGCTTGTCCAAAAAGCCATCGAGACAGATGCAACAAGTTTTGCAAAATTCAAGCTTGAAGTGTGGGTGCCGTAGCCTCAAGTTTGCATTTCTGGCATCACCGTCCTTGCAGTCGTCTCTGAGGAATTCTGGGCAAGCACGCCTTGTCAGACCATTCCAAAAGCTTTGAACTCCCTAGTTTCTTCCATGCTTGTAGCAGGAGTAACCCAAGAGTCAGGATGAGACACTTACTGGGCGCAGAAGTGTTTGCTGCATGTTGGATCACCGGTGCCGGCGCAGGGCAGGTTGGAGATACACCCTGGCCTCGGATGCAGCTGTCCTGCAGCAGCCCGCAGCTGAGCACCTCGTAGGGGGGCATCGGGCCGCAGAAGCGGTTGCCTGCGCCGAATGATACAATGAAATGTGTCATTAAACTTGAACGGTGGTGTTTTTTCTGAGTCTTTCCAGCCATCGTAAATGTTGTTGTGAAGTAATGGGGCAGCTGCAAGCATGCTCGAACAGTGAAGCCACTGAGCACCTAACCAGCCACAAGCCTCAGTTTTCTGCTACCACCTGAATTTGCAGATTGGGGACTGTGACATGAAAGGATCTGTGTAAATTCAATGCGCGACAGGTGCCCAATCCGGTCATAATAGACGGGAGCGCCCATGCATGTCAGATCAAGCCTTAGTAAGCCTCGCACCTTGTGTGATGAGCACGGATTGGGGCCCGCCCCAGCCAGTGGGCAGGGTGCCGCTTAGATTATTATTTGCAACGTCCATGACCTCCAGAGAGGGCATCGTGTACGGTGTATTCCATCTGTCATGCACCATATATTCTGGGTCATCCTCTATTTTTGCAGCTGTGGACTCCCAGACAAACTTACAAAAGACTCCCCCCCAGCAGTGTACATTTTTTCCCACTCTGGCTAGCAATCGGCACCCATGACTTTTACACGCGGCAGAGAGAAGCTTCAACGTGACAATACAAGGGAGAGCTGCATGGAGATATGAGAGTGGGAGGGTTAGGGCTGCTGCTGATCAGGAAGCCTTGAAATGGGTTACACGTGAAATAAAGCAGAGGAGAGGAGGGAACACACGCGGCTGGCAGGTTGCCAGAGAGGGAGTTGCTGTACAGGTGCAGACCTCTCAAGAAGTTGAACGAGGAACTCGAGCCCCACGCCGCAGGAATGGTGCCTGCAGATGTTCAACCAGAGATCATCAGGTTTGCTGTTGCTGGCCGGTTTAGGGGTGACTTTCAGATGCCAACACAGCTCGGCTTGAGTTGCATGTGTGCATGCTCTCAGGCTTTGTTCTTTGTGGGGATCTCGTACCCCCCAGCTGATTTTGATCAAGGTTGATGACAGTCATGTTCAGGCTGCTCCACTCAGGCGGCAGATTCCCTGCAATCGCAAATGTGATCAACGATGCTCGATGCTTTGCCACACCCTCTGCAATCTGGCCACGGCTTGCTGCTGGGCATGCACTGAATGAGTCAGCGGTGTGTGCAGCGCAGGACAAGTTCTTCACGCAGCTCAAAAACCGCACAGACGGCTTCAAAGTCATTGCAGAAGTTTTCGGGCGAGAAACCTTCAACAAAACCAACAGTTCTGCGGCAGGATAGTCCCTGCATTAGTGATCTGCTAGAGCTGTTGTCTAGATCAAGGGAGGGCCTGTTCTGTTGACGCTTCTTTTCAAAATGAAATATTTTGCATGCAGTAGGGAAGTAGTCACCTGTGAGCGTATTACTGGAGACATTTATGTTCTGCAGGGCGGGCAGGCTCTTTGCCCACTGACCAGGCAGGCTTCCCATGAGATAGCAATTGTTGATCTCCAACCTGCACCTCTCAACACTTTAGCGCATGAGGCACCTCTGCAAGAAGCATCCAATTTGAAAGATATAAAGGCATGCCATGAATGCCTTACATCCCCTGCCAGGGGCTAAAGCTGAGACACTCAGGGCCATATACAGTTTTGCAGCTTACGCCAAGGAAATTGAAAAACTGCTTGGGAAGGAAAAATTAACAATGTTTGTAGAAGTTCTTGCCTGCGTAGGAGCTGCATGCTGGTGCCATCGCTGCCCCAGTCTGCAGGCAGCGTTCCCTCCAGCCGAGGATTGAATGCCAGGTTCAGGATGCGCAGCTTGGGAAACGCCTCAGAGCTGCCCCAATATGCCGGCACTGAACCCTGCAGCCCCAAATTTTTTCAGCACCATGGCTTGTACTGCTGATAGACGCCCTCATGCGCACAAGAGCAGGCATGCACGAGAGCAGGCACTTTTTGAAACAATTTTGCAGCATAAAAAGTAAGGTGCCAAGGAGGCATCAAAATTCTTTTCTTCTGATAAAAAGCTCGTCTGCAGAAGAGCAGGCACCCTCAAAAACAACTTTGCGGCAGACAGAATCTGGTTGCAAAGCTGGCATGGAAGCTGACTTTGTTTTGTTCGGCAGCCCTTCTTCTGTAGGAGAGCAGGCGCTCCAAAGGCAAGTCAACGGCAAGTGAAAGGAAGCGTTGTCTTGCCTCAATGTGATTGTTGGACAGGTCCATCTCTTCCAGTGCAGCCATGGCCATGTTCGAGGCCGGCAGGGACCCAGAAAATGACTGATTGGCAAGGAATAGCTGCTGCAGGTTCGGAACCAGCGATGCCCCATACAGGACATCCGCAATGTTGCCTGCACAGAAAATTCCATCGCCCATCAGATAAGAATATGTCACTGCATGCCAGGACTTTCTGGATGCAGGGCAAAGCATGCACCAAACAACATGCAGTGCCAAGAGCAGCGCCATCCGGATGCATGGTGAAGCATGCACCAAAAAACAATGTAGTGCTTTGACTTTGCCTCTGAAGCCGACAGGATCACACAGCAATCGACAAAGAAAACGAGAACCTGCCAAGACCGCTGCAGCTGGCTCTACTATGGTCTCTTTTTGTGGCAGTCATGCATATGTGACGTGCACAAATCCTAGATTTCTATGCACTGGAAAAGTATGCGGCAAGAACAAGACCAGGTCTGGGTGCAGGATTTCATCATATCAAATCACAGGTATCCCCTGGGATTGGCTCATGCTTCTGGGTGAGGTTATGGTCCGCCCAGAATTTCTGCCACATTGACTGCCGACTTTCCTGAGGTAAATCAGAAATCCCTGGGATTGTCCAGAGTCATTGAAAAGTGCTGCCTGGGCAGCCCAGGATTTCTGGTGAGGCACTGTCAACCCCTGTCTGGGCAGCGAGAATCTTCCCACCTGTCAGCAGAGAGGCGTTGCTGGGAAAAACGATGCTGGTGACTTGCAGGGCTGCATTGCAGCCCACGCCATTCCACTGGCAGATGGCTGCCGGCTCCTCAGGATCTGTGCTCCAGCCAAAGCAGGGCACGCGCAGCTGAAACTGCCCAAAATTGGGCACCGCCCTCTTGATAAAGAGCAGCCCATTCTGATCCGCGCTGTACCCTGCCAGAGGACAATTGTTATTAGATAGTATTTCACAATAGAGACCTTCTGCTCCCACCTGAGGCTCATTGGTATTGTAGGCAGTCTGTCACTGCCCATCTATATATCACAAACTTCTCATGTGTCTGCATTCCCTCCAAAATATTTTCAATGTAGCCTTCACTGAATGCTGGCAGCACCTTTTGCACTTCACCGAGGCCAGCAACCTTTGAGACCTTGCTGCTCGCAGGCACTGTCTTCCTGTGTTCTGTAATGTATGGTCCTTAGCGCAAGGCAACAGCACTGTTTGCAGCATTAAGCACACTTCATTTAATTTGCAGAACTTGCCGCAGACAATAAGTGACAGGTGTGGGCACGTCTGTTGATGGCATAGGAGGTCTTTTAAGGTTCAGTCTTGTGGAAAATTCGATGAAGGTGAGCAGCAGCTAGGAGCAAAGTACTGAGAGGAGGGTGTGGGGTGTACCTTTGGCGTCTGTCAGGGGCTGGCAGCAGGAGAAGGGGCATTGGTAGCAAAGAATGGCAACGATCAAGGCTGCAAAGATCCCATTACGCCCAAAACGTCGTCTATTCGACACTGAGTGCCTCACGGGCCCTCCTTGCATCAGTAGGGCCGACACAGGATGCCAGGCACCTAATCCACCCCTGCGATTGGAGGAACAGTCCATAGGTGATGACATCAGGTATTTTTTCGAGCAAGAACATATCAAAAGCTTGACTCACTTCGTCCTTCTGCCGCGCACCAGGCAGAGGGCTCTTCTGGCAACAGAGACATGTGCGCATGGTGAAGAAAATTCTTGGCAAATTACACATGTGCTCTTTGTTCTTCTGCCAAGAAGGCGAGAGTCGGTGACACTCACCGGTGACGCCAGTTGCTATCCAAGGGCCAACCACACTCTTGGAGGCGACGAAGTGGTTGGTTTCAGGGTACCTGGCTAGCTGCTCAATCATCGGGAATGCCTGGCTTGACCTCCAAACTTTTCCCCCTTCTTCACGTAAAAGCTTTGCTTGTCGAGCCAAAGACGGCCGGCTTACGTGTCCTCGTAGGAATACCTTACTCAGGCCCGTGGAGCTGCGATGGGCCGGCAGAGTTGCTCATCAGCACGATGCAAAGAAGACCTAACTGTAGTGGGACTGTGTAGAGAAAGCTGCGAGGACGCAAAGAGCATCCCAAGCATCCTCGCTTCGGATTCGACAGCGCATGACGCATGCGTCTCGAAACGGTGGTCCAGTTTTGGCTTGGCAAGGAACGGCGTGAAACTGGCCCCAATAGGCCATGAAAGGTCTCTCAGCTCCCAAACTAACTTTGAGATGCTGCCCACCGTGTTAGGGCTCATCATGCCCAATACTGCCTTGCGCTTTCCTTTTTGGAAATTCTGCCAATGATTTATCATTGCATATTTCATCATTGGAGGCCATGCCAACACTGCCTCATTACGCATGCATTGCACAAGAAGCCTGGGGTTTGCCTGACTCCAGGCTCCTAGTGCAAATGCCCTGAGCTGTTCAGGCCCTCTGAGATCATAACATTGACTATATTCATCCACCACACCACACCACACCGCGCCACAACCTCAGGTACTACCCACCGGTAGCACGTGAGAAATGGGTCCTATGTACCGCCCCGGCATACATGTCCTAAGCGAGCTCTGTGGGCAACTTCACACCGCCACCGCGGCAAACCGCGACACATGCTGCTAAACTCTTGATCAAAGCCAACATGAGGCATGCCACATGTGTGTACACGCAGATGTCATATCGCTGGGGACCTGCATGCTTCCATGCATTTGATTTCCAATGCGCAGCCACCGATACTGGAGATGCCCTTTGGCCTTTCAGCCCACTCGAAAGCTTTCTACGAAGCATAAGAATGTGCTCATGATGGGCATGGAACGCCCCATTTGAGGTTTCAATTGACATCGGAGCACCTGCCGATCACCTGAGTCAGGGATGAGAATTCAATCGGCCTTGATCGAAATTGCAGATTATAGCCTCCAGAATTTGGCTTAAGAGTTCAATGTTGACAGAATTTGATGTCTCAGAACATAATTTGTCTGCCCCGGATCACCCTGCGAAGATCGGGATGCCGTACGTTCTGATGCGATCTGACTCCCTTCAAGAATCTAATGTTGTGAAATTGAATCTTTCTATTATTTATGATTATGATTTTTTTTGGAATGAACGAATCCTATTATATATTTTTTAGTACCGGTTCGAGCGAGCACCCCGTGTTGTCTGCAGGACATGAACCAAGATTCCTCTGACGATCTTTACGGAACGGAGATATGCAATCCACTAAATTAAATGTGGCTTTACTCGTCGTTTTTGGCCTTTGGTACCCAGCCTCATCAATTTTGCAGGTAAGCAAAGTGTGCATGGCACCAGCATTGGCAGGGACTGCAGCAATTCAGGGCCTTGCTGCTGTGAACTAACAATTCGCCTTCAGGTACTTCTTACAGTGCAAAGGCCGTTGCAGGAAGGAGGGAGCAGGCAACCCAGTTTGATCCAGCGCTGGTCAAAAGTCAACGCAACAGCATATCCTGGGGGCACCTACAAATACAGCAGCATAGAAAATTTCCCAGGTTCCCCAGGGATCTCAGCCGCTCTGATCACCCTTTACCCAGGAGGTGTCCGCGAACTGCACTGGCACAATGTCACCGAGTGGGCAATCATCCTGAATGGCACATGCAGGTGCGTAAGTTCATATCGGATCATCCGAGACAAAGAGTGAAGCATACACGAGACCATTCTGAGCTGCTGCATGTATCACAATCGTCCTCTTTAAGCCAGCCACCTATCTAGTACGGGCTGCAAGCATATCTAAGACACGTGCATCAGCAGAGCAACACCGAAATTGGTGTCGGCCTTGGTAGTGTGCCCTCACCTCTTCCTTAAGAGTCTGTCAGTGGAGTCACTTTCAATTTGATATTGGCTTCACAGGGCAACGGTGATGGAGAGCGGCAAAGAGCGGCCGGCGGAGACGTGGGATTTTGGGGCGGGTGATGTCTGGTACTTCAGGCCCAACGAAGGCCATATGGTCCAGGGCCTACAGCCGGGCTGCACCTATCTGGCAGGCGCGCACACAGCCCCAAAAGACAGCCAGATTGAATGCACTGCAGCTTGCTGGGGCAGCATGAACACACTGCTGGAGTAGGACCATGCTTCTGACTCAGAAGTACTAAGTCCATCTGGATTGGCCTTCTTTGATCTCGTTTGGCCAAGAGATATGCCACATTGGAAAAGCCCCTGCAGGAATTTGATCGCAGCAGGGTGTCAGCATGCAGAAGCAACTGACGGCCCTGTGCTCACTTCCTCGCAAGCATCGAGGATACAATGGTGGTATGGGATCTGAAGAGCCGGATTGGCAGCACCCTTTATGCGAGCTGATTGGGCGGGGCTCCTTGAGAGTTCTGTACCAAGCTGGTGGCAACGCGGAGGAGGTCCTTCGATCGATCTGATACTGCCGCTGCACAGATGGCCTCGGCACCATACTCACTGTGGATTTGGTCCTGCCTGGATCTGGCGGGTCGAACAAGGGGAAGATTTTGACAGCCTCTGCATGCAGCTTGTCTGCATATATGCACCTTGGCTTTGGCAGGATAAGCCCTTTTTGATAAGAAAAAATGTTGCATGCAGGCTACGATGACGGCTCGTTTGAGGACAGGGAGTCGCTCAGCCTGAGCGCGTGGCTGTCGACGGCGCCGGCCGCAGTAGTCGCGCAGGGCCTTGGGGTGACTAAGGGTGACATAACCCGGCACCTGGCGCGCGACACCTTCACGTTCCTGCCGCTCGGGCCGGCGCCGGATTTGTCGCTGGAGGAGTTCCGCGCGCAAGTCGGTCGGCCGCCGCAGCAGCCGGTGGCACTGACTCACCGCTTCCAGCTAGCGCAGGTCATCCCGGAGGTGAGGCCTGATTTGGCCCGGCCGCGCATGCAATTTAGGAGCCTGATCTGGCTCGGCTGTGCATGCATACTTGCAGCATGATCTGGCACTGCTGCGCATGAAATTTGAACCCTGCTCTGCTTAGCTGTGCCAAAACTCAAAAAGCCTCCTGTGGCTCAGCTGCACAGTCACAGTAGCGGCCTTATCAGGCATGTCTGTGCAAGCAAGCTAGCGGCCTGATCCGGCCGGGGCTGCGCACAAAATTCAGCGCCCTGCCCGGCCTCGCCTGCGCAAGCCAGTGCAGGAGACTAATCTCACTTTGTATCACATGTTAAGGAGGGAGATGGCCTCCAGATGCAACCTGATGAGGCTTGCTGCAGCTTGGTGTGTCCTGGGTTTGGCACAGTCAGTCAGGGGCGTGGGCTTTAAGGATTGCGATGCATGTGAAATGCGGTTGTCATAAATTCGCTTGTTGGCGGGCGAACAGAGCGGCGTTGACAGAGCATACTGCCCTGTGAGCCTTGCCACCGCGTCTGACATGCATAACCCTTGTGAGCTCTGCGGTGAATCCAGTCCAATTATCAAAATCACTGCAGCATGGTTGCCTGATGCATGCGCAGGTGAACACGGCTGGCGGCTTCATAAGCATTGCGCAGGTGACCAATTTTCCGGTGTCGACTGAGATGAGCGGGGCTCTGGTGAGGTTCGCCCCCGGAGCCCTGCGCCAGCTGCACTGGCACCCGGGCCACGCCGAGTGGCAGTACGTAATCAACGGCTCACTCACGGTGCGTTAGCAAATTTGAAAAATTTGCTGAAAAACCATTTACTGTGGTAATCAACTTAAACCCCGCAGGAAATAAAAAATGTGAAGTTGAGGGGTTGAATGTCTTTGAATCGGTTCAAACGAGGCAGCCCTTTCTCCTTCTTCTGGCCCTGGCTCTGCCTTGATGTCTGCATGCTTCCTTTCCCTAGTTGACCGAGGGCATGATAGTCCACACGGAGCATTGTGAGGGAATAATTGTCCTACTTGGGCCTCCCTGGAAACCAAGGAAGTATGGCCGTGGAGTCCATTTGCAGCGCTGCCTGCTGAATATGAATTAGGACGGGCGCAAGTGCCAGCAAGTGCAAGAGCCAAATCAGGGAGGAGAAGCTGCCTCGCTACGTCTACTGCAGTTCTGAACTACCGCTCCAGCAAGCGTGATGCATTTTGCGGTCTTGGAGGGTAGCAAAAAAGAGACGTGCATGCATGCGCGCAGGCGGGGGTGTTTATGAAGCCGGGGGAATACGAGGATGGTTTCCTGGGGCCAGGGGACGCGGGTTATGCGCCAAAAGGGTCTGCGCACTGGTTGCTCAATGCATCCAATGACACGGACGCTTACGTGGTCCTCATATTTGACGATGGCACCTTCACAAACATCGATCTGCCTTGGTTCATCGGCAACGTGGATCCAGAGGTAAGGGCTCTTCTCTGCAGTTATGAATGGACCCAGTGGTTAGTAACTAATGACTCACCTGCTATAGCGGACTCTATAACTACAGATTCCATGCAGCCCAATGCAAGCATGCACATTCTTTCTTGGATTCCTTTGGATCCTAAGTCCACAGAAGTCCTCTAGGTGGGGCAAGCTATCATATGACATTCAAGGCAGGGATGCCTGAAGACATTCCTGGCTTGGTCTGTCTTTTGTGATTTTAAAAGAACCTGAGTTTGAAATTTGGCCCAAAAGGGAAAGCGGTTGCTATTTTGCTCTTGTCAACGTTCTGTCTGTGCTAGCTAGTTGGCCGCTGTCCAACATAATCCTCTGTATCCAGAATATACCTCCTATCTTACACCGAGTAACGCTTGGAGTATATGTGCAGCCTTCTTCGTCCCCCGTGCCTATGTGAGATCAGTATGCGATGGTGTGAGGGGTGCAGGAAATCATGCCGATCTGCTTTTGAGGGGTTTTCTTCTGCTGTGCAGATTACCGCGGCCAGTCTGAACACGAGCGTGGCGTTTGCCAAGGCCATCAACTATGCAGTGCCCACCATGGTTCCAGCTGGGAGCTGCGACCCTGGAAATAACGGCGTCCGACCAAGGAACACAAACCGAGATTAATGGTTAAAGGTTTATCCCCTTGTCTTTTCAAGGGAGCAGCCTGGTGTGTGCCAGTTTTGAGAGGAGCCACGCCTAGTGATGGTGGGAAAACGGTTGTGTTAGGGGCTTGACAATAGACAGTGATAGAAACATTGACTATCTCGGTTGGAATATGCATTAAAAGTGGACACATTACGAGAAACGGATCCAGATGTTCACATACGGTACTTCCCACATCCAAGAAATGCATGTCTTCTGAAATACTCCATTCCATATGTGCCGCCCCAACGGACATGGCAAATTAGCTATAGCAAAAGCTTGGCAAAAACCACGGATCACTGATCTGGCAAAATTTACACACCTTTGGCTACATCATTATCAATTGTTGCTCAGTTGGCTCTGTTACAGAAGGCCAGCAAAGAATGTTGCATCCTTATGGCTCTGTTTCTTGGTGACGCCACCGCCCTTGTCACCCTTCCTCCGCTTCTTCTTCTGTGGTTTTTGCTTTGCAGAGTCTGAATCGCTGTCCTCTGCGTCTTGGTCGCCATCCTGCACAGCCTGCAAATAACACATGCGCTCTTACTAAGGGCAAAAGAGAGCAGTGGTGCATTTGTATATGGAAGCACAAGAAGCAATCTCACGGTCTTGAGAGGATGTGCCCTGACAAGGTCGCTCCTTTCTGTGGCGCCTTCCATGCACGTGTCACCTTGCAGAAAAGGTTCATGATATTCCAGTATATTGCTCACTTGACCACAAGGGACATGGAAAGCCATGTGTATGCTTTCCACTAACAGTGCCTCCGTTCCTTTTTCCAACAGAACGTTTGTGCAAGCCACAATTTCCTTGAAGCCTCTCAGGAAGCAAAGTGCACCGGCATGTGCTATGGAAGATTTGATGTTGAAATGCACAAGTCATGTCCAGAGCTACATGGCATGGTAACAGGATATCAGTGGACCCTTCAACCAAACCCGACATGTGAGGCTGAAATCAAGCGCCAATCAGGTGCCGGGCTTGCCGACACCGAAACTGCCGCTTCTTCTTGCCTCTGAATGACGCTCTATTCAGGGGGTTTGGAGTTCAAACTTTTATTCTATTCAGGGTTCAGGGTTTCAAGGCACGTACTCACTTTGCCACACAAAAAATAAACCATCAAGATCCACGTGCAGCAGCGCACCGTGTCTGCAGCCTCATCTTCCCCGTCATCTTCCTCGTGCAAAGCTGAGAGATCCCACAAGCGCAGCACGGCATCATGGCTGGTGCTGGCGAGGCGGCTGCGGCCGGGTGATAGCGCCAATGACTCAACGGGGTAGTCACCGTGCTCGCCAACAACGCCCAGCATGCGGTTGGGCAGAATGGAGATCAGACGGATCAGGCCGTCGTGCGAGCCAGTGATCACTGTGTCCTCGTCGAACGCTACAACTGCGTCTACGGAGTTTGGGTGACCTGCAGGCAAGGATGCAATTTCAGAACGAACGCAAGGAGAGTTCCATGCAAAATGCTTGCCAGATATCGAGCCGGAATGCACAAAACTGCGCACGCAAGCAAGAGTGCATGTATCTCCTATTTGGGAAGTCTTATGTGGTTTCTTTGCCTTGCTACACTCAAAGCACTGCACCATGATGGCTTGTATACCAGGTGAGGATATGTTGCCGCTGATGGTCAGAAAAAAGAAGTCTCACACCTGGGAAACGGTCGGAGCAGTCGTTGAAGTAGCCCCAGCTGAAGAGGCTGAGCACGCCCATCTGGCTCCCAGTCACCACCTTATTGCCGCTCTTAACCACCGCCACCGCCAGCAGCTCATCGTCCGCGTCGTCCTCAGATCGCGCGCGCAGCTGCGCCAAATCAGGCGCGTCAGTCTTGCGCCAAATCAGGTAATCGAGGTCGCGCCAGATCAGGCTGGTTTTTGCATGCCACGCTAGGGCATCTAGTCACGCTAAATAACAGGCATCAAGTTGTGCCAAGCAGGTGCATCAGACCGTGCCAAACCAGGATATTATGGTGAGCAGGGTTCAATATGTCAAGCCAATCTGGGCGTAAAGTGCAATGGCATCCAAGGCCCCAGAGGGTGGTATTAGATCAGGGATCTGGCAAAGTCGGCTGCTGGATTTAGTGCACTGCTGGCATATGCTGACCCAGCGTTAGACACTCAGGGCGTTGCGACTTGCACCTTTCGTGTCCGCAGGTCTGTGATGCTGATTGTGGCGTCCGCGCTCGTGGCAACCAGGCAGTTGTCTCGCTCCTGTTCACACAACGCCATTTAGAAATCTCTCTATTTCACAATTAGTGCCACCAACTGCTGTACAAACAAATGATGGCGTGCCCTGAGACCAGATGAAATATTCCAAAGGGGATCAGTAGGAAAACAAACCATCAGTGCCGGGTGAAGATTCCAGCTAGACGTGCAAGCAAGGATACCAAAGTGGCAGTAATTGATCCGGCTCGGTCCTATGACTGAACCCAACATTGCTGTCCCCCACTGGAAAACAGTTGCGCTCAGGCTCTGCAGGAAGCACATATTGATGCAGGTGTAGGGGATACTTATAAGGGCCAGAGACGCTGACCTGATACGCAAAATCGGATATAAAGTCAGTGTGCTCGGAGAACTCAGCCACGGCGGCGCTCTGGCGGCCGTCCCACAGCTTCACACAGCCGTCATCGTCCCCCGAAGCCACCAAGCCACTGGCGAGCGGGTGAATGCAGTTTATCGGCGCTTCGTGCGCGTCTGTCTGCCAGCGCGTTACCTTCCCTGACCCCAGGTCTATTGCCTTCATGTTCCTGTACGCAAAATTCTTGACTTTCCTAACTCTGGCAGAGGCAGATGTCTGCTACTGCTCCGCTGGCATCTCCACTGCTCCGGCATAGAGGCTGAGAGCCTGCTACTTTGCAGAGTGGCGAGCATGGCATTGCAGAGGACATTTTGCGGTGGCAGCTTGTGCAATGTTGTTTGCAGGTAAAGCACGGAAAAGGGTGATGCAGGGTCAGGGGGGGGCCTACTTGTCTGCAGAAGCAGTGAGGAGCCTGGCGCCATCTGCAGTGAAGCGCACAGCTCTGCAGGACTCTTTGTGTGCTTTCTTCGACACCACCTCCTCGGCAGTGGACGTGCTGGGCTCTCCAGCCGAGGTCATTCTGAAAGCTTGCACTCGGCCATCGATCAAGCCCACAGCTGCCAGCATCTCTGTAGGATGGAAGCAGCAGTCCTGCAGTACAAGGCGTCCAAATTATGGATCACGACTAATGACATGCACTTCGTGCTAATATCATTTCGTTGGAAACATTTTTCTGTAGCATATGATCTTCCACGTGCAACTACCCCCCGCATCAACTGAAAGTTGTTTGTCTCGGTCCATGGAAGTGCTCCTTACCATCGGCTGCTCAAGCAGCTCGACATCGATGGAGCTGTTCTGCATCGATACAGGGGATCGAATTGCCGTGCGCAATTCACTTAGTTCTTCAGCAGCCCGTGTTCTCTCTGCGTTGCCCTTTTGTGATCTGCAAAACAGATCTCTTATCAAAACGTGCACAGGTCCGCACCCAGATGGGATGATCTGCCGATTAATGATTGTGCAGAATGAGGGGCAGATCTCGAGGGCCCTCCGAGTCTCGAATCTTCAAGTAGTGCTTGGGCTCTTGCTACTTTGGACTTCCGACGGAACAGTCAGCATCAGTCAGCACCTCTTGCATGGCACCTTGCATCTGGCGAGCTTTAAAGTTCTAAAGACCTTCAGCTTACAACTTTCTCCACTCTCATATGCCATGCGCATTCAGAGTTTCACAGCTGCTCTGAAATTCCACGGCTGTCCCGGAGGTGGGCCTAAAACATTCAGGGGCTTTGAATTCGCCCCGGACAGTTAAGGGCCTCAATTCGAGGCCTGCCCGGCCTGAAATCCCGGGGCGGCCCCATGCTGCCTCTCAATTATCCCTGGGCTGGAAATAAATTCATTTCCTCCGATTCGAATGTGTGGTCGTCAGAGCTGCGGCCGCCCTTGAAGATATCAGGTAACACCATTATGATATCATTACTAATGACTCATTAGCCAAGGGCACGTGATCACGTGCCCATCATGATGGAGAATGTGAAGCATGCACACAACAAGGTCCAGTTCGCACAACTTGAAATTTGAGATTTAAGATATCGTGAGGCACTTTTAACGGAAGCTTCCGTCCCCACCTTAAGGCTTGTGAAAGTCAAAAAATCCCGGGGCTGCCCGGAATTCATGGGCTGCCGACCCCGGGGACAGTCCCAGACCTGGGCAAGCTCAATTCGAAAAATCTCGGGGGCGTCCCCAATATCTTGCCCGGTACCCGGGACTACATGGTCGATCCCCCCGGGGAACCGACTGGGTTGTCAAACCCTGTGCGCAATGCGCACATGCGCATCTGTGAGAGGGCTACTTTCAGATGCACCTTCACTGAAACTTCAGCACTTCATACAGATTCGCAGCATCAGAAACCCTAGTTTCAATTTCCTGGCCTCAGGCCAACAGTAGGCTTCTGTTAGCAGCCAATCCGGACACCACATAAAAACTCAGAGTCACTCTTGAAATCAGCAAATTGCAATGAACTGAAATAGGTACACCACATACCCAACCCTTACTGTACATGGACACACACCCACAGAGAAAACCCAACATGCGTGCTGTGTTCTTTGATAACAGATCAGAAGGGTCTTGCATGCTTCACCAATGTCTATAGTCCCATCTGTACTCAAGCTTTGGAGCCACTCAAGAGTAGAGCAAAGAGCAACTGGTCTTGAGCCGAGCTGGCTCAAAAGAATGATGTCATCAAAATGCTTTTCATGCAAATCTGCTGCAGCAACCAGGTTCCGGAGAGTGATGGCTGAGTGACAAACAAAAGCCCATCATTGATCAAAGACCGGGGAACCTAGTTTTATAAGGGCATAACACAATTCCTAGGTGGCACGGCCGTCATGCACACTGGAAAGCTTTGAAGAACCTAGAAGCCACACCAAGCATCATATCTTGATATAATAGCAGCCAATTCGGTAGGTTGTTCGGTCAATGCGTGCTTTTAATGCGGCAGAAAACACTGGGCAGCATGTTCCCCAGCAGCAGCTATTGTACATGTGCATTCATGGCTCGCTTTGGGGCCTGCCCTGATTTTCAGCTCTGTAAGGACTTTCCCTTCATACTCAGGAAGGAGTAACCACCAAAGCCGTGAAGGAGCAATAATGGTGCGCCATGAAGAGGCGTGCCCGTCCCTCTGGGCCCCAAAACTGTGCGTAAACACAGATGAGCATTTTTGTTCCACGCATGTGGAACTGTGGCAGAGGATAATACTTTGATAGGACGTCACACCAGCTAGCTGGCTTACTGCTAACTTGAAAGCTCTGCCCGACGGAGTTCCCTGACTGCGCTCAATTCAAATTTGAATGCGACAGTTGATGTTTGACCGCGGCAGAAGTATGGCGCATTCACAGGCGCTGGCGGCTTCTGGCAAATAGAGCGAGGCCGATGGAGGCCGCAGCAAGGGCTGTGCCTGCCAGAAGGATGTCCCTGTTCACACCACACCCAACAGCTCAGATCCAGGGTGGACACCCCGCCAAAAACTCTGAACTTCTCTCATTGACAGAGAAGCACAGACAAGCATCCCAAGTTCTCTCACCAAGGGCGTGTTATATGAGGTATTGCAAGCAACGAGCAACACATGATCCTGTACACACCAATATAGGTGGCCTACAGCTCGTTAAGATTGTGTGTTGGCAAACGGTTACAAGAAGGTACAAAGAGGAGACATCACTTGCCTGCGCGTGAGGCTGTTGTAATAAGCAGACAGCTGTGATTGCACCCCTCTGGACGCATCCTGGGGTGTATGCTCGGGCTCCTGAACCAAGAAAACGGCATCAACGGGCATCAATAGGGCACCAATAGGCATCAATGGCAATGGCAATAGGGCATCAATAGGCATCTATGTCCTATTGCACATCCCAGGCTCTCTCCACAGGCCATTCCACAACCTTTCCTAAAGCTTTCACTGTAGCTTTCAGGCTTAGTTACTCAACCCAGAACTTTGGAGAGGCACGCCATTGAATTGGTGCCTGTTAAGACAATCACATGCTGCATAAAGGAAATTGTGGCCTATGGCATGCCACGGCGTGGGGGCATATCATCCTAGCAAGGTGGACATCTTCCCTTTAAAAATTCAAGGGGGATTTGAGTTGGGAGGGCTCACGGATGAGGGCAGGGCGTTGGCCAGAAGGGGCCCAGCCACATACTCCTCCAGCTGATGCCTCAGAGCCTCCTGCTCCACCACAACACCTGCACCATGCACAAGAAGTCAATTCACTCCAAAGCACTTTCAGAGCCTCTAGGACCATAAAAATTACTTGTCAGCAAGTAAGGGTGTCACCGCCTGCCTCAAGTTCCAGCTGTTTGATAGGTCTTGCCTCTGACCCTCGTTGCAGATGCAATGATTCAGAGCACATGGAAAGATAGGCTTGAGCGGGGGCTGTTAGGGGGAGAAAAGGGTGCAAGGAATGGCTGCCCACACCTGCCCAGCTGCTGCCCTTTGCCTTGCCTGTATCGGGCACATATTTATCTACCAGCAGCCCCATGTAGCGCATGTTAGTTGGGCTGTCTGCCTCTCGCGCGTGCACAAACATCTTCCCCGAAGCAGGCTGCAGCGAGCAATGCAGTGCGAATGTGCTGGCATACCCCGGCCTGCAGGTGCATACGTAGACTTTTATGAGGGTTTTGCACGCATCAGCCTGACCATGCTGACCCTTAGCTCCTCTTTTGGTGATGCACCTGGCAACTCCCCGTGTGGGCATCGACTCCCTCGATCAAATTTCCTTGGTGATCTCTAACACGCGGTGTGGTGTTTAAACACTTGATGCAATAACAACGATCCGCTTTGCTTGAGGCCAGTTTTACCTTCTGTATTCGAAGACCCACTCATTGGTGAACTTGCCATGCCAGTCTGAAGCAGGGCTGTAGACTGATGTCCCCCCAGCAAAAGTCTTATCGGCCTCAACACGAAACCCATGCTCCACCATCAAGCCTGCAGCAATCCATGCTCAGATTGGCTCTGAATTCCTGGCTGTGGCCATTCTGCAGAGGCTGCCTGCTTCTGCAGCGACTCAATTGTTGAAAGAACATCTTACAATGTAATGCTAGGGCAAGTATGCTTCCTCCATCGTCCGTTTGCACGAAACGCGGTTCCCGAACAGCGCTCTGAAAGTGCTTTTCCATTGTAGGGCTTGTTTCCGAGCTTCCCACAGAGCTCATTCCGATGCATTTCACCTGATCATGCCTATTCTGAAATTACTTGTGTCGGAACACAGTGTCATCGTTCAGTGGTGCTGAGTCAAACATGTGCTCGAGCTTCATGGGGCCATCTGATGGACCGCTCGCTGAACCTGAAAGCTTGGCGCCCCCTGCTTTCTACAACCCTAGCTTCCAGCCTGCTTCCATTTCGAATTGAGAACAAGGCTGTTCTAATAATAAATGTTGCCAATACATTTCCGCACGCCCGAACATTTCTGCGGCTTATATAGTGTGCATGCCTGAGGTATGTACTGCTCTTTGATCAATCGGCCAACACCGCAGTCAAGTGTCCAACGTTCAACGTTCAAGCGTAGTTCTCACACTTCGAAGAAGTCTTTCTTCATGCCGTTGAATGATCCGTCTCTATACACTGTTACAGGTGCCCAAGATGCCTTAGGTAATTACTGATTTAGTTCTGCCCTGAGCACCCATGACTGAGTCTGCAAACCAATCTGCGCAAATCAGCGCAGATCATTACCCATGACGGCCAGTGCTTTTATACCCACTCTGGCACAAGATAAATCCAAAGCTGCATTCAACTGCAAAGTTCTGTCTGGGGCAATTTCAAAATGCTCGTCAAGCCTGACTTCAGATCAGATCAGTGCAAACACACCAGTCAAATTTTCCCAGCACTATCCGGGACAGAAAGTCACACCATGGGAACTGAAAGAAAGGTGCAAAGTAAATGCTTATCAATGCTAGGGCGAGCCCCTGAAAATCACGGGGCATCTTTCAGAAATGCGCAATTCTCAGATCTGCGCATCTCGTTCAATCCCTTCTCACGCAGGACGCCATTGTGTAAGATAATCGCCGCTTCAACTTGCGTGCAAAATTTTGATGCTTCCGTCATCTTTTGGGGTTCCTGGATGTGTCGGTGAAGCAGACCAGCTTTGCTTCTGCTGCTCAGTGCTGCAATGCTTCAGGTTTCAGAACGGATCCCCATCAAAATCGGCAAAGAGCAGTACGCCTGCTCAGCTCTCGAAAGGGGACTTTGGCGGAAACACCCGCTGGGATTCTCGCCTGCCCCCATCTGACACCACCCCGGGCTGCCAAGAACTCTCAGCCGGCTGCCCGGGCTTTGCAGCACTCTCGGACTGACTCCCCAGTATCTTCCTAGCACCGCTCTTCCCCTGCTGCGACTCATTCCCTGCCGGCTGCGCACGCCCTCCTTCCTGCTGGCCACTCGTCTCAGAAACCCCCACCGGCTGCCCAGGGTCCCCTCGTTGTTGCATGGGACCCCCAGACGGCTGCGTCGGGTCCCCCTTCTGCTGTTCGGGGTCCCCTAGCAATTCACCGGGATGCACCAGTGGTAGCTCGGAGTCCCCCGCTGGCTGGGGGGCAAACCCCAATGGCTGCGCGGGATCCCCCATCGGATGTCGGAGTTCCCCCACCGGCACTCCTGGGTCCCCCCGCTGCTGCTCCGCCTGCACAGCGGCGGCGGCGGCCGCTGGCCGCAGCCGGCCGGAGCCAGTGGACCGGCGCTTGACGCTGGCGTCGCCGTCCAGAGTGTAGTGTCCAATGATTTTCGCGCATTCCTGCGCCTCCGGCCGTGTCTCGGCGTCACCCGTGCACCGGAGCACCAGGTCCGCTATCTCCTGCGGTGCTTCTTCTGGCACACTGCGCAAAAGACGAGCAAAGAATCAAGGGGAGCATACAGTAAAAAGGAACCGTCCCTTCAAAGATTGGATATTCCGCACAATGAGAATCGGGCAGGAACAGGGTGTGCAGGAACTCCGAGAGGAAAGCTTTTGGACTCAGTGATGATGTAGACTTGGCCTTCCTTGGCTAGTTGAATTTCTTTCTGCTGAGTAAGGACACACGTGTTTGAAAGTCTCTCGGCTCAAGCAAAAACGTTTTGTTTCTGATTTTTTTTCCTGACAGGTGCATGGGACCATTTGAGGCAGCATCGACGATCACAGCGTGCAGGATGTGGCTGTCAGTATAGACAGAGCATGTCATCTGGTCACACCTGATGTCCCTGAGATTTCCCCTCCATGCCGGGCGCTCAGTAGTGATGATTTCCCACAGCACAATGCCAAAGCTGTATATGTCGGCCTTGTGTGTCACCCTGCCTGTGAAGCGCAGGGCAATCAGCTGTCAGTCGAAGTAAATTATGCATTCTAAATCATCAAGCGGACACAATCGCTGCTAGAAAATAGCAGCATAGCTACAGTTCAAGCAGTACCTTGTTATTTGTCTGAACTTGAGCAACCTTCCTCTGCAGAGCAGATTTGCAGAGACAACAAAATGAAGGACAACTACAACTTTGAAGAACAAAGAAGGATGCAGGAATGAAGTTCATTATCTTTGACTTCCAGCAAGTTTACAATTGAGTGCTTCTAGATTCTTCAAAATTACAAGACTGAACCCTCACCTCCCATCAGGACTTCTGGTGCCACCCACGCCCATGTGCCGGCAGGTGCCGTTCTGCTGAGGTATTGATTACTCATCAGCGCCGCCAAACCAACATCGCTGATCTTGGCTGTGCCGTCCGCGGCTATTAGCACGTTGCAGGACTTCAGGTCCAGATGCACCACCCTGCAATGATGCACCATCCTTCCTCACATCACTTGCATGGGGATGTGAACATCACACCTTCCAGGACACAGATTCTGCTTTTCAAGCTGGCATACCAAAGCATGGAGGCCAACAAAATACTTTTATTACAGTACTTTTGGCGGAAGCGCACGTTGTGCTTTCTCTTGGTCTTAGAAGTAAGCAGAGCAAAAGTGAGCTTCTCCACATGCATTTCTTGAAAGTGCGATTTTGCAGCAACCGAAGCTGCATCATCATCAAGTGGCTCCCACAGAACACAAGAGAAGTGTGATTCATGCAGACATTCGAGATGACAGTGAGCAGATTTCTCGCACACGAATAGGCTCACCTGAGGTCGTGCAAGAAGTGCAGTCCGAGGGCAATGTCATGCGCGACTCGCCGGCCGCGCGCGTTCCACTGGAACACCGGCCGCCCATTGCGCCCCAGTCGCGTCAGCGCCTCCCACAGGTTCCCATTCTCCATGAAGTCCATCGCCAGAATAGTGTCCCCCTGCGCAATTCCCGACGTCATGAAGTGTAGATGTCATATTCGTTTTGGTGCTTTGACTGCAGTATATGCATGCACAGCAGCACAATTCGGCCGAAGCTTCTTCAATTTCCAGACGTCGGACACCCAATTTGCAGCTTTGGGCCTGCAATACGCGGCGACTGCCTCGAACAGACGAAAACCACTTTGATGCATGTTCCGCGCTGAATTTCGAGCACGTTGTATGCTCGGCGGCATATGTCAAGGCATGAAGACACCACACTTCTGCTGCCGAGAGCCACACCTTCTGTGGCGCATGGCACTCATGCTATTGTCAGACAAAGAGGCCCCATGAAAGCATGCAGACTCCAGATGTCCGCAGCAGAGGCTGCAGGCCTGTTTTGTTTATAGATAATCGTGTTGTGAAGAAAATTAAGAACATTAAAGACTCACCGGCAGCAGGCTGGCGCCGACAAAGGGAACGATGTAGCGGCTGCCCCGGCACGCGCGCAGAATTGCCATCTCTTTAAGGAAGTCCTCCTGCTGCTCTGGGGATTGATCCTTCATCCTCTTGATGGCCACAGGCGCCATTCTGTAAGTCCCCTTTACCACCACCCCAAATGCCCCCCGCCCTAATACCACTTCCTCGCCATCCTCGTCAACCTCCACCTGTGCATGCATTCAATCTTGATTTCAATATGGGTCATTCTACAGTTTCATAGCCACACTAACCATACACGGAAATGCATCACCCCATCCTGTCGGACTTCTTGGATCCTGGAAATACAGAGAAAAAAGCAGGCATAGCCTGCACTACTATCCTCTTTTTGTGGGGCAGGAAAGAATTTCAACAAGTCAATTTCATGTGGCCTCCCAATCCAGGGGTTGCTCACATGAATCCCCATCCTGTACTCGACCCCATTTGTCTCTTGCAAGGTATTTTTACTGAATTGGACACCAAGCAATGCTTTATCATTCACCTCTGCCAAGATCATGACAGCAGGTATCTCTTAATGACTCGAGTCATCTTGCGCTACTCTGGTATCTCATAATCCCTTGTGCAGCCACGCACCTGGAGCGCGTCCAAGTTTAGCTCCCAGTCGCGCAGGGGCATTATGTGCGGCAGGGAAGTTCTGGCCAGCGCTTCTTGCGCAATGCCCTCGCTGCCCAAGCTGCCCGTTGTTGCGCCCAGGCTGCTCGGCTCTGCCAGCTGGCTGCCCGCCCGCGGGCTCCATCCAGTGGCGCTCCCTCCTCCTGTGTTCCCTGGATACAATCATAATTTCCGATTCCAGCCTTTCTAGAGAGCTTTGTTTGACCTAGAATGAATAGCGCACTTGATTCATATCAGGATCTGCAGATGTTGCACCTCAGGGTTGGCCTATACCCTTCTACACAAGAGCATCTGTCTTTGCATGCCAGTTTTGATGGCAACCCACAGGATATAAGGCTTATCTAGCTTCCAGGGTCCAAAGATGCTGGTACAAAAGTGTTTGACAATCAAAAAAATTGTGAAAATGTGTAAGCAGGTGTATTTCCAAATAGGTGTGGCATGCTACGGGATGAATCTACATGCAAAAGTGACTAACCTGAGTGCTTTCCCACGATGAGGCCGCTGCCGGAGTGAGATTTCTTTGGGAGCCTGATTAGGGCGGTATAGGGAATGTAGCTGGCCGGAGGCCCCCCGCTGCTCGGGGGAATAATGCTGTCGGAGTCATGCATCTCCCCGTGCATGCCCCCGTGCTCACAACACGACACCTGCGGTCACAATAGAAATTGCATCGGCAGCAGCCGCCAGGAGCTAAGTTGCGGTTTTTGGCCTGTTGTCAAGTTTACACTGTGCACTGCATGCTACCTGTCACCAATTGTGTAAGACGCTGTAAGGGCGCATCAATGCATGCATGCTTGCATGCCTCAACACAGACAATGCTCCTTTAGAGCATCCCTGCAGGAGGCTGCCGTGCTTGGAGACAACACAGGCAAGCATTTCTCCCTCTCAAGACCCGCAAGGAAAATATTACCTGCTGTCGTTGGTATTTCCAAAAAACTGCATGCGCACCTTTCCGCAGGAGTCCACTATCTTCGTCAGCTGCTGTTGGCGCAGCTTATTGCGGCGCCGCAGCAGCAGGAACGCCGCGAGAAGGACGACGGCCGCCAGCGCGCAGCCGCCGGTTACTACTCCGGCTATTAATCCGTTCCATCCCTTAAGGTTGCTGCTGTGTGCCGTGGATGCAGCACCGACTGATCCACGCAAATCGACTCTCAGTGGCAGACTCGGGAGATGCAAGCAAGCTAGGCATCAGTCTGCTTTCAGAGTGTCAGTCCACTTCCAGAGAGCCCGAAGGGAGCTGCCTTGCGTAAAGATCCTAGCACAAAGACATGTTGTACAGAAGCCTCTTCAACCTGTATTTGCTCTGTGCTCTGCTCAAGTTGATGAAATTATCTTGCCAGTGGAAGAAAGGCAGCTCTCAGGTGAGGAAGCAGCCATTATTTTCAAACAAGCACCTGACACGCAGTCTATCAAGGTTTGCACACTAATTTTGGATTGAGAAAATCAAGCATCGTAAAGAGGGAATTCACCACCGTCCGCGGGGGCCGGTGCGGCAGCGGCCGGCTCTAGAGCGGCCGGCGTCGGCGCGGGTGCCGAGAGCGGCGCTCCAGAGCAGCTGTAAGGCAGGCTGAATACCTGCTGCCCACCGCTGTCATTCGTGAACACTGGCAGGCCCTGAGGGATTGGGCCGCACAGGTTCGGGTTCCCTGGTTCAAGCATAACGCCCAAATTTAGAAACATACGAAGCTTTCAAATGCCACAGCAGGTTTCTGTTGCAGGTCAGACTTACAGCCGCGCACTATGCAGTACTGCGGTACCCCGCATCAAAGATCAACAAGATTTCCCCGTGTCAAACCAAAATCCAATTGACGCCAGCAGAGACAAAGCTTTGCACAGGCAACCTGCACCCAGACAAAGCTCTCTTGATAGCGCAACAGCCGGCAAACGCATCTAAAAAGCCTAGCTAGTGAGCTTGTCTGAGAAAGAATCACACCGCCTAGTACACTTTACTGCTTGACATGCTGTGCGAGGGCAGGGGATGACCTGGCAGAAGAGTGAGACGCTTCAGATTTGGAAAACGGGGGGTCCCGTCCCCTGACGCCCCCCAAGAGGGGGGGATGCTCCCTGTCAGATTGTTGCGATCCAGGATGATGTCAGAGACAGCTGGCATCGACCCGTCCGCGCCCCAGGAGGCTGGCAGCGTTCCCTGCAAGCAATGCATTGGATGATCAAAGCTTGGTACCATTACATAAACCCGGCAGGCTTTCCTCAGGACCGGCTATGGTTCGTGCTCGTTATACCCAGAACCGGCCTGACAGCTACTATCAGGCACACACAAAGCCGACAGTATTTGAGTTTTCAGAGTTTCCAGGGTTCAACATTTTAGCTGCCATAAACCCTCAGCCCTGAAAATTAATAATGGCAGTGCCAGCCAATTTTGGCTCTGCCAGTGCCTCAGACTGGCAAGTGTGAAAGGGGTTGTCAGGCCTGCCTGCAATAAATTTGCGTCGAGATTCATCTCTTGCAGGTACGGCCACGACTGCGCGCCGCCATTGCCCCACCTGCGCACAACACAACACCCTTGTCAAGCGAAACGGAATTCCCTTACTAATGTATGACTACGAGCCTCCATTACCCTATTTGAGCACATTGTGACCCCCTCTCCAAAGGAATACGTGCAGACCCTGACTCACATACCCATGTGCCCTTGCACAGGCAGCCTACCTAGGTATCATGTATGCTGACACTTCCTTAGCTTTTTGGCCAAAGCTACACAGCATGCTTTTCACCCCCTGCTGTTCTTCAGGCCCCATCATGTCTTGTGGGAACACTCTCCCAGAGATACAAGATAAGACCTGACAGGGAGATATCATGCGGCACAGGAAATGAGCGCACTGGTCTGGCAGGGTGCCGGTGATGTTATTCCCCTCCACATGGAAGTTTGTGATGGCGTTCATGGACTGCCACTCTACGGGCAGGCTGCCTGAGAGTGTGTTGAAGCCCAAGTATGCCACGCTGAGCAGCGGCAGCTGATTGGCCCAGGACGGCGGTACGGGGCCAGTCAGGTTTGCAAACCTGCAGCATTTAGATTTTAAAATTCAAATTCGAATTTTCTGAACGGCATTCCACCATCACTGTCATCATGCCCTGTTCCTGCCACAGGCACAACATGAAGACCGCATAAGCGGCCGATAGCAAATGTCTCCCCGTGCGCCAGTCGGCAACTTGGACTCACAACACATCGAGCACAGGTTGCCCCAAGCAAAATCATGACAGTCAGTCAGGGAGCCAAGGCAGAAACAGAATGCTTGTTCGCCACAGATGAACATGCATCCTTTAAATATGCATGTGCGTCAATGCATGTACAATACATCCATCAACAACCGCAGGTCAGGATTTGATCATGTACTGTTTTGCAGAGGGTGACTCACCCTAGCGTCAGCACTTCCAGCTTAGTCATGCTGCTGGAGTTTCTGCCCCAAGCAGCCGGCAGAGATCCCCCAAGGCGCCAGTTCTTGTCGAGTGCCAGCAGACGCAGCGCAGGGAACGCCCCATTGTCCGCCCACTCACTCGGCAGCGTCCCCTGCCAGCCAGAAGAACTTTATGAGTCACCTGCCGTGATGTCAGCGATGATTATTTTTTCCGTTTCATTTCATTTTTTTAATTGTTTATATTTAAGGTTTATGTCAAATTCTCAGATTCTTTCCATGCATGATATATGAGAGGCAGCCAAACCCAGCCATGAGAGCCTGTATGAGAGCACAGATGCAATCCAAAGGCACTAGTTGCTTTCGCAGCATGAGTCTGAAACGGGACTGTTTCTAACGGCTTCTTCCCTGGCACAGGCAAGGTGCGTCAGAGGCAAGGTGCATCTGCGGCCAATGGTTATATACACTGCTGAAAAGAGAAGGTGAAGGCAAGAAGAGAAATGGAGTCAAGAGGGGACAATCCCCACCTGAAGGTCATTATATGTGAGTCGCAGCTCTGTCAGTCGAGGGAAGCTGATGTTGGCGGGCAGAGTGCCAATCAGCCACTGGTTAGTCACGTCCAGAGACTGCAGCGCTGGCAGGCCTGACACCAGAGTCAGAAACTCTGCAATCAATCCTGCGGCAACCAAAAAATCATTAACAGAGGCATCATGCATAAACACACAGGACACAAGCGCAGACATAAGCATGACCATTGCTTGACAGGATTTGGCAGTCGTCCCTGAAATGGGCCTGAAGCAATGCTTGATTGAAATCTGGATGACATGCGCATGATTAGAAGGACAAGGTGAGAGTAATGCCCAGGTTGTATGCAACTTTTGTGTTACTATCTGTGTTGTGTGAGTTTCTTTGTTGTCTGCAGCGGTAATATCAATGCCAACAGTCTTGCTTTTACCAAAGCTAAGATGAGTCACACATGACAATGGAAAGACTCGGGGTGACTCACCCCTGATCTCGCCGTCCACACCGAGCGTCACACTGGCTGGAACGCCGGGCTGTGGCAGCTGCACCGGTGGCCCGTAAACGGGAATGCTCAGATTTAGCGCCCGTACCTGTCGCAAGGATATCAGCTGTCAGTAATCATGTGTGCGCCAAAGTGAAGGTCCTCAAGAAGATCACATTTCAATTTTCAGCCACACTGGCCATTAGGCTGGCATGCTCTGTCCAACTGCAATCTCAAGTCTCACAGAGGGTTTGAAACAGAATTCAACCTTCTCAGAATTGGCGGCAGTTGTTAAGCTTAACAAAGCTAAGTAACCAAATGCTGGAATTTGTGTTTTTTGTTTTTTTTTTTTAATTTCTCAATTTGAAACTCAAAATTTTGAACACATTACTGAAAAATTCTCCCGTACCTGGCCATCTCGGCCGCACTGAACTCCTAGCCAACTGCAGAAAGGCTGTCCATCGTCCCACAAAGAATCACTGCGGCCCCGTGGATTGCCCCTGAGTATGACTCCCTGCAGCCTTGTCAGAACTGCATAGTCGTTGGCACCTGTGCGTGCAAGAAAGAGAATCAGCACCCAGCTACATTGTGTCCACACGATTTGGTCCCATGCTGCCATACAAAGCTTTCATGGGAACCTTCTAAGCATCAGACAGTGTCAGGATGCGGGCAGCTTGCCAATGCTCGAACACCCCTCCAGCCTGAGGGACGTGCACAAATGCTGCCTTGCAGAGCACTCACTAGCATCGCAGGCTGCATAACAACATGACTGGCGCACGTCCAAGGAATTTGTAATAGGAGATGACCTTTGCCTGATGGCAAACTCATCCCCGCATTTGGGGGGGCGCTACAGATTCTGAACAATGTGCTCTCAAGGTTGATTGGGACTTGCTTGGAATTTGCAAGTCAAGCAGCCGGCAGACTTTAGATTTATCTTCAAAGAATTTTCCCGCCACATGCAGCATGTCTGCACACGCACTTTGCATCTGGCAGGAAGAGCGTGCAATAACAATATTGATAATAATGATAATAACCATGACCATAATAACGTGGGGGGTGACTCACTGCCGGTTTGAGGAGCTGGCAGCTGAGCTGGCGGGGCAGCTGGGCACTGCGGAGGGAACGCCCCTGTTGTGCTGCAGCCGAGTCTGAACTGCTGGCAAATGAAGACTTGGTACTTTGTGGGCGTTGGTCCACAGAACAGGTTGCCTGCAAACCCACGCAAACCAACTCTGAACTATTGCATCTATCTGCAAAGTAGACCGCGAGGCAGCCCTTTCTCCCTTACAGGTTTTCGCATTGCCTTATACTGTATGTCCTTGCCCAGTGTCTTGAGTTGACTTTGACAAGTGCCAGTATGCAAGCTTGAGGTCCCTGCAAAATTACCGGGCAATGCCAGCTTGCCAGAACACCTCACAGGTGCCAAGGGATTGCATGTGTCATGTCCTTAAGAGCAGAATTGAGGGCTCCAGAATACTTTAGCATGCAGGCTTGGACCTTCAAAGTTTCTTTTAACATTCATACCACTGACAAGCGCAAGGCTGAGAGTTTGAAAAGTAGTAATTGGTATCATGGTTGCGTTCACCTGAGGTGACAAAGAGGGACTGCCCTGGAATGCCCCATCCGGACGGCACAGTCCCTGAGAGGTTGTTCCTAGATACATCAATGACCTGAAGGGCAGGCATAGCACCTTCCACTGACCACCTGCACATCAACTATTGTTGTTTCTATCCGGAAAGTCTACCCCGCACACCGCCTTGAGACCACTGCAGAATTGAAGCTGGGTAAAAGCTTGCATGCGGCCCCGGCTGGCGGGGGGCGGTATAAATACTGAGCACCGTGCCCACGGTTGATTGGGTCTTGCTTGGATCTGGCGAGTCCATCAAGGGGTAGGATTTTGGCAGCCTTTTCTGCAGCTTGTCTGCACACGCACCTTGCTTCTGGCAGGAAAAGCGTGTAATACTAATAAAATAATGAATCTTGCATGCTGGATCATAAGTACATGATTGAACTGTGGCATGTTAATTGGGTGCAGATAAAGGTTCTTCCCTTGTCCTGTCTGTCAGTACCAATACAAGTATATAATGCCCATTTGCTCGAGCCAGGCAGACATCCCTGCCATGCATGCTTTTATAGGGTGCCCCAACAACGCGTCATCTTATCACAATTGACTGAAGGACTACGTATAAATGCTTCAAAGGGGCATACGCTGCAGGAAGGGTGCCCGACAGAAAGTTACTGTAGAGCGACAGTGCTGTGAGCGCGCCAAAGGACCCATTGGCACCCCATGTGCCGGGAATGCTACCTGCGCCACCCAATTTCAATTTAGATTTGGAGTGAAAATTGCTGGGTGATGACTTTCTAGAGAGCCCATTCGCTCCCATCGCGCGGGTGCCAACCCTGATCATGAGTCAGTGCATGTCCTATCCAATTCACCGGCAAGTTTTGGGCCCAAGCACAAAGACAGAACAGGGGAAACGGTCACAGTACATACATCCCAGCAAAGCAGGTCTCATTGAGGGATAATTACAGCCGGATTTTTCATCAGCCCAGCTCTGATTACAGCTTGGAATTTTTTTAATTAACCGATTTAAGTGGATGTAAGGGCAGACCTTGTATGAGGTTGCGGTCCAGTTTGAGATTTGTTAGGTTCATGGCGCTCCACTCCGGTGGCAGCGTGCCTGCCCCACACCACAGGGCCATGTTATTGTAATATTAAAAGGCTGACACCCCTTTGAAAGGTTGCACCAAACACTTTTGCACATTCCCCTCTCGCAATTCTGGCATGATAGCTTCATGACAACCTATTGGCATTTTCCATTACACCCTGTTGTGAAGTTCCAGTTTTTAAATTGAAATTCATGCCCAAAAGAAGGAAAGGCCATACAACAAAGCTGCCTCGTGAAGCAGCCAGCCCTAAATGGTGGACATCACATAATATTATAAGGAGCTGGGCAGGGGATGTCGATCCGTGAGCGAAATCCAAACAAGGAGACGATAGCAGACGGGGAAGCTTTGTCAGAGCTTCACGAGATGGTCATCCCTGCAGAGGCACATCTTGCTCCCGGAAATGATTACCAAATTCCCGTTTGAAATTTCCAGAACCCCACCCGAGATCAGGTTGTTGGAGATATTGAGGTTGGTGATGGCGGGCAGGTTCTGGGCCCATTGGGCAGGCAGGCTGCCCTTAACGCTGCCCGTGCTGACCTTGAAGAGCTGGAGAGCTGTCAGGCTGCTATTATCGCTGCCCCACGCAGCAGGCAGCGTCCCTCCAAGATCTTGATTCTGCCCCAATTCCAGCTCCTGCAGCTGAGGGAACGCCCCATCCATGCCCCAGGCCGCGGGCAACTCCCCCTGTGCAAGCCCAGACCACAAGTGTTAGTCATTTGCATGCACTTTTGGGCCAGTACAGTATTAGGATTGCCAATTTTTTGACGGAATGCAGACACATCAGAAAATGGGCAGTGAAGATGGGCAGTGACAGACTGCCTACAAGACCAATGAGACTCAGGTTGCTCCCAACAGGTCTCTCAAATGTATTTATATCAATTTCGGCGTGCAGGCTATACTTCTGACAACCTCAGCCTATACCCTCAGTAGAGAGCGCTACAAAGAGGGGAATGCTTAGTGCCAATGATGCCATGCATGCAATGCTTGATATGTCATGTAGAGGGGTTCATGTGTATTCCTAACTGCAGACTATGAAGACGCAATCGTCTGTAAAAGACTATGTGTTCAAGTTGTAAGCAGAGAGACGGGGTGTACCCACCTGGATGTAATTGTCGGTCAAGCTGAGGTACTGCAGGTTTGGCATGGTGAGGCCAGGGGGCAGAGTCCCTGTGAAGGCGTTGCCTGACAGGTCCAGTGACACCAGGTTCGGCACCAGCGATGCTCCATATAGCACATCGCTGATTTGGCCTGCATGCATGCAGATTCCACGTTGAGAGCAGCCACGCGTGCTATCTCTGCACCCAAGGCATACGCGCCCTGGCGCCCAAAAAATTCTCATCGTATGAAACCGGCATTCAATGTTTTTACATCTTCTGCTGTAACTTTAATTCTAATGTCCGCAGTTTGGGTGGGATGGGGCGGGTGCTGTAAATTGCAGTCCCTGCTAACAAATAAATATGCCAATGAATCTTTGCCAAAGTGTGCCAAGGACTGTGATATGCAAGAGACTAAGAGGCCACCATTGAAAACAGCAATTAGGCACGTGAAACTTTGAAGTGTCTTTGCCAGGGGCTGAGCATGCATGCGCACCTATGAGCACCGAGGTGGTCGATAAGAAATTGAGGCCGGTGACACTGCCGTTGCTGTTGCATGTGACACCTGACCAGGTGCAAATATTGGCCCCCGGGCGATCGGCCCATCCAGAAATGGATGAGCGCCGCTGGTAGATGTCGAAATTGGGGATGGAGCGCCGAATGTACAGTAGTCCTGACAAATCCGCTGAGTAACCTGCAGGCAGCAATGCATGCAATGGCCTCCGGGTGAAGGTGCAAGTGCATGCGTGCCGTGTACTGCTGCTCGTCACAACTCCTCTGTGTTGCTTGAGACTCACAAATAATAATTCGAGGCGAGCAGCTTGCTGTGCTTTGGCCATGCCAAGGGTGACCTGTCTTTCTAAAGATCCTGTATGGCAGGATTGGAAACCCATGAGGCACACCTGGAATGGTAGTGATGAGCTGGCCTCTAGACACACTAATTTGGGCGATGCAGATCCAGATATGCGTCAGCACCACCAGAGGCACCAGCCTCCCTTTCAGTAAGGGAAAGCATGGCCTCAACATCCTCCCCACGCCAGCCCTCTGCGAGACAAAGACACGGCCTTGACGTCGTCCTGACCCAATTATAGCCAGAATGGTTCATGTCAACTGTTTTTTGGAGCAGACACCTCGCTTCAAGACCAGGAATGCAGTTTCAAGGATGGTGCGTCTCAGATCACGCTCAACTTGCAAACTATCCCCATTGTCAACTGCCTCGACCTCACTCAAATTTACCTTATTATGAATATCTCTGGATATGCAACCTGTTTGATCCGCACATCGGTACCAAAGGACCCCAAATGAGCACTTGCCCTGGAAGCTGGAAGGCCAAACTCCGATATATGCAACCTTAATTTGCGATGCCACTTGATGGTATCTTCGAGATCTCCCTAGCACTTTATTTACCAAGGGTCCCCACAAAAGTCCAACCGCCCTTTGCGTGACAGCTTTCCAGAACAACGATGCATATGTCAAAGCTGCTCTCCGCCGAAATTCGAGACATACCCTCCGTTCAGAACACAATTTTCTCTGCTTTAGTAGTTTTAGCGGCAAAGAAGTCTGGCTCGGAGAGGACTCGCAAAATCAACAGGTTGTCCACCTTGGATCTGCCCGTGCGATCACTCACCGGTTACTTGCATGATGGTTCCAATTTAAGCCATTGCCTATATAGGGAGGGGCTTCGGGCAGCTGCCGCAGCAGTCCAAGGAGAGCCCGAGTTCGAAAGAGTCCAAAATTGTCGCCGACATATGTCACTTTTCTGTCCAGCAGAGACATATTGTTAAGTTCTGTCGAAATTAGGTCGTTGTTCTTGTTCCTGACAATTGCCCTTCAGCACAAGAACACTTGTATTTTCTCAGTGTCAGTCTTTCATTGTCAGTCACATCAGGTGGTCTGAACACAGCAGAACTTTCAGAGCTCCAGCACCTTGCAGGTTTTGATGCCTGCGAGATGCAGCAAATGCAGGCTTGAAAAGCACATTTTTATCGCAGGTTGTCCCAAAGCAGATGCGCACATCGGTCTACGCACTGGACAAGGCGATCAACGTGGCCCTGTATGCTGTGTCCGGTAAGCTGGCCGCTCTGCTGGCGACGCGCGGATTCGGGTTTACGGACCCGCCGCGGGATGCGCCGTTACGTGCGGACCCGGCAGGGAACGCCGCCGCAGCCAGGGCGCTGCAGGGCGCTCTGCTGTGCCTGCTGGTGTTTCCCCGCGATGCGATGACCCTTGGCCTGAACGCTCTGTATTTAACGCTGCCCCGGGACCGCGCGGCGGCCGCCGGGATTGAGGGGGGAGAGGAATGCCAGGGGTGCAAGGGTGATGCATCAGACGAGGAGTGCGGCTACGTGGAAATCGCCCGGAAGCTGGCGCCTTTGAATTTCGAAGCCAGCACGCCATTCGAAGGCCGGGATCACTTCGTTGTCACCCCTTACAGGACTTCCTGCAGAGCATCTGGCCTCTCACGGCTGTCACAAAATGACAGCAGTGTCCTACGGCAAGCTCTCAGCCGGCCCTCGCATGACGGGGGCTACATGGAAGCTGGGATTTTACCGCCGGAAGCTGCAGTGCAGCTGCCGGAGCAGATGACAGATGGCAGGCCTCTGTTCGAAGGAGGTCCTCACAGATTGAGCTCTTGTGGCATTAGCCAAATTTCAGCGGTTTCTGCCCTTCCATCGAGGCCCAGCAGCAACTCTCTCATGCAGAGAGCGCTCAGTAAGCCCTGTGAGGTTCTGGTGACGTCACTCAGCAATTAATTTGACAGTTAAACAAATCATAAACCAGGACAATCAGCAGCATCGGTGGCGTCTGTAGGCCTTTTAGAAATTTCAGAGGCACGTGGGAGATTCTTATCCAGGGATATATCATTCACTTGCACAAAGAATACATGTGGTAGTCAGATGCGGTGAGTAGGGTACCAGGGGCATTGACCTGTAATTTTTCTGTTGTTGTACTGGCATTCCTCCGCCTGTTTTCTTTTCAGTCACGTTCTCTTAGCTGGCGTCGCTGTCTTGTGTGGCAAGTTGTGATGCAAACATGACTTCTTCCACATGTGCATTTGAGACTGGAATATTCCCAGTCCATAGAAATCTTTCGCTGATCTAGAATTTGAAAGGAGGTGGAGTGCATGAAGCAGCTGTTATGCCCAGACACTTTTCACCCCTCAACTGCTTTCTGATACCTTGTTTGATTATCAGTGAATTCCGCCATCAATTCCGCCATAAGCATGCCTTCTACTGATGTGATGTTACCCGGTTTTGATTTACAGGAGTTTTTGCAGCATTAGGTACAGGTAAGTTGATCGAAAAAACTCAGGAGTTTACAAGCAAAGTTTAGTAGCATCTGCCAATCTGCAATGGCAGGGGCTGCTGCTCTTGATCACGTTGAAGTCATACTGTGATTTCACAATTCCTACACGCTCAATCTTTTGGAAGGCAAATTCCTGACAGGCAATATTTGCAGAAAGAAAGCAAATAATGCGTTGAATCAGGGCATGCATATGTAACGATCACATCCACCTCCTGGGGATTCCTTTCTGAAAGCAAATGATGTTCAGTCTGGGAGCTCATTTGGGAAGCCATCCTCATTCAAATATGCATACAGCATCAATACCAACGCACCAACCAGCTCAGATTTGTCTGCTAGGAATGCATGGTGGCAACATCCGCTAAGAATCAAGTAACTTCAATCTATTAGACCTATGGGCACAGAAACGGCGGCAAAATAACACAGGAACACAGCAGGCTCCTTGAAAGCTGGCTTCATCACATCTGGGATGTTACTCTGTCTCAACATACCATCAATCCTGCAGCCTTCCTCCCTTCAAATCATTCATTTGTTGCGCAATAGTACAGAAAAATCATGCCTTCTGAAAACCATGCAAGGGCCTCTTGCTAGCTTGTGCTCAGCTACCTGCCAATATCGCAAGATAAAAGTGTCTCCCGGGTCTTGCATGTGCCCTGACTATACTGCCCTGCCCTTGTGTCACAATCCAAGCATGCAACACCACGCATGCTGGCGTAATGCGCTTTTTTCCCTCCAATGAAAGCAAGGAAGCCTCGGGCAAATCTTGCAGGTGCCCTGTAATGATCTTGGAGAGGGTTTTTACCCAGCTGCTGCTGGGGCTTGGAAGTTGGCTGAGACGGCCAGCCTGGAGCCCTGTCCCCCAGATTGCCCGGGGACTCTGGGAAGCTGGATGGCTCCACTGAAATTGGCGCCAGTTCCTGCAAAGCCGTTGCCGGGCACTGGCGTCATAGGAGCCACTCTGCCAATCGGCCCGCCTGTGAATCAGCAGCAGTAGGAAATTCAGCTGGACTCCATAAAGGACAAAAGCAGAATCTGAGTTGGAGATGGCAATGGTACAGGCAACTGGGCTCAGGATATGGGCGGGCAAAGGCAGGGAAATGAAAGGTGACGATCAGCAAAAAAGAGATAGCTGGACTACAAAATTCCGGTGCAAGAATGGATTCTTGCACTGGAAGTTTCGTAGTCCCAGCTGCCTGTCTTCAATCTGGTGACCGCCTTTAGTAAGATCATCATCTCGTGCAACAGCTAAGACCGTGAATGTCTATGCCCCGCCCCCTACTTAAAATGTACCCAATGCAGGCTGGCAGATGCATGCTCGTTGCTGCCAATCTTCTGATGTCACTCGTGGTTATACAATCCGCGGGCAAGCCAATGCACAGGTGACGTCTCTCACAACTTGGCTCGTTACAAAGAGCCCTGGTAAGCACAGTCATCACCAGGGCAGTAGGATGCCCATGTCAGCAACCTTCTTAGTTATGCATGGATCCCGGATCGCAAGAGCCCCCACTTGCAGTGTACCGGGATATGACCCCTCCATGCAATCCCTGCTGTCAGAAGTGGTGACATCTGCTTTGAAATGTGCTGACCTGGCAGGAACCCGTCATGGACATTGAAGTTTGCAGGTCCGGTGTCGACGCCGATGAGGGACATCTCCTGGTAGAAGGTGGTCCAGTCCTTGAAGAATGCCTCCTTGTCATTCATGTACAGCTGCAGCAGACGCACACTACATTCAACTCGCGTAGATAATTCTGCAAGGTAGTTATGCTACATGCAAGCTTGCAGGCTGCAGTAAGACTGGCAACAGCCACCATGAGGGTGGCACGGGTCGCGCAGCATGCAAAGCATTTGCGCTGCAGATGATGCCGGTGTTTCTTTTTACGGCTCAAAAAGGGCAGAATGTGGCTTGTGCGGCTGTGATCCATTGAATCAAAGCCAATTTGTGGCTTTAAAAGGGACATCCAAAAGCCTATCATAGGCCACAAATTTGACTCCTTTGACTCTTTATAGCCACCTTGGCTTTCAGAAGCCACAAAAAGAAATACTAACAACTTGTTGCCAGTTTCATGACATAAGTCAGGAGACAGAGGGCCGCAGTATTTGTGCGTGCCTTGACCAAGTTTACTGAAGTTGCATTGGCGGGAGTGACGAGAGAACGATCGCTGAAGAGGTAGCCTGCCCGCCCTGTGAATGTGTACAGCTGCAGCACAGCAATCAAAGGATTCTCATCTCCAGAGAGAGTAGACCCGGCACACCGGCAGCAGCATTGGAGTATGACTAGCTTGCAACACGTACAGTCCTTGGGTGCGACCTTTCCCCGAAGCATGCAAATCTGTAGCCCTGCGCATACCTCGAGGCACCTGCTGCACATGTGCTACTATTATTACTATTATTATTACTATTATTATTACTATTATTATTATTACTATTATTATTATTATTATTGTTGACTTTTTTATTATTTTCAAAAAAAAAATCCAAAATTCCCTACCAAAGGCAAGGTGTGTCTGCGGACAAGCTGCATGTCAAGGCTGCATCATCCTACCCCTTGATGGACTCGCCAGATCAAAGCAAGACACAATCAATTGAGGGCACAGTGCTCAGTGTTTACACCGCCCCCCGTTAGCCGGGGCCTATATGTCATCCAAGTGGACTCAATCAGCAGGCACAGATCCTTGGGCAGACATGGCATGGCATTTCTTGGTGCAGGCTCAGGCTGTGGTATACTGAACACGGCGGAGGCTCACCTCTTTGTAGTAATGGCCGTCAAAGAGGTTGGGCTGTGCTGTCATTGGACCAGGAGCGCCGATGCACACCGGACCTCCACATGTGTGCCCATCACGGCTGTTAGTAATCCCAGATTTAATTGCGTGATTTGATTAGAATACCAAGTGTGCCATGTTTGCTTGTGGCATTACTGAAAATGGCTCAGTCCCGAGAAAAAGTTACTTCAGAGCAGCAGCTTAATTGCCTCATACAGACGGTCTGGTTGCTGCAGCTTGAAAAGACATGCACAGGGCTGCTGCCCAGGGGACTCTGAACTTACTGATAAATGTTCTGACTGCTAACTGTTAGTTTAAAATCCCCTGCTGCTGTCAGGTACAGGGGATTTCTTTCAGCATGGAAACTGTATTTTTTTAGACCCGCATGTAACAGCAGAGCAGGGAATCTCACCTGCTCCTCCAAAGCCGGTGCCAGAGGCTGTGTCATGAGGGACTGTGGACCGGACATTGCCCAAATCGTGGGCGCCATTCAGGACAACTGCCGCCTTCAGAGGATCAGACAACCCACGAGCACCTGCAGATTGTCACATTCAAAGTCATCTCATCGCTCCTGAAAACTTGCAGCTCGCAGGCAGCAGCGCGGCTGTCGACAAGCACCATGCCTTCACATGATGCCGGTTAGCTGGTGCATGAAGCAAAATGGCTTTCTTGAACTGTGCATGCATGACGCAAGCGCACGCTCACGACATCGTCACATGCACAACCTCCACAGGACACGCAATTCTACAGTGACAGGGCATATAGAAAGAGACTCTGCAGGCGACACGCAGATGGACTATAAAATTTGCACCCAACAATTTTCATGGGCATGTGCCTGGTGATACTCAGGATACCCTCACGTGAGCATACTTGGAATGAAGGCCTATCCTTGACCCTTTTTCTTTGAGAGCTCTTTTGGAAAGAGGGAGGAATGAAGGCTTCACCCCAGAAGTTTGCGAGCTCGTCCAAAGTGAAGCATTCGTCCGGGAGCACAGTGGAATTGTCAAAGCAGTTGTTGCAGTCACGCCTGCCCGGCAGCAGGGGGACTGCCGGGCCCCCAGCCATCTCCACTGCCACGCCCCCCACCCACTGCAAGCACTCACATTGCTTAATTGTCAGTTTGATTGCTGTGTGAGCACATCCCCGGTCATTACACATTCCCTGACAGGGGTTGAGGTTTGGGAGAATTCTGACAGGAGTGCATGTCAGCACCACACCGCAATCGGACAAATCCTTACAGCCTAAGTAAAGGCATGTCATCTCATACTCAAGGATGGCAGCTTGTGCTGTGTTAATTGGTGAGTGCTGTTTTACCTGGATAGCGTCTGCAAAGGTGAGGTTGGGGCAACCCTGGGCACGCATCTCTGGCACAAACACCTTCATGTAGGCGTGGCATATAGCTACGCCCAGGTTGTCTGGATAGCTGAAGGGATCATCCAGCTCCTGCATCAGTGATCCATTTGCCCTGCATGCATGCAGCAGCAAGACAAAAGTTCAGTCAGTATTATTGTGGAATGTCTTCCAGGCTCTTTTAAGGGCTATGTGCGTCGAGCAGCACCTGGGTTATTGCCTGGATTATTCAAGCCGTGCATGGTACTATTGTTGTCACACCCTGTTCCTGCCAGAGGCAAGGTGCGTCTGCGAGCAAGCTGCCTGTAACTGCTGCCAAAGTCCCACCGGGTACCCCTTGTTGGACTCTCCAGATCCAAGCAAGACCCAATCAATCATGGGCCCGGTGCTCAGTATTTACCCCGGCCCCGGCCAGTATGGTGCATGGCACAGGCAAACAATGTGTCTTCCCACAGCCAGCCTGAACTGCTAGCCTAAGCTACACACGTCATAAGGGTGCAGCTGCCAGCCACTTTCAACGGCAAAGGATGATTATTGATGCTACAGCTCGTAACACTCTGCCTCATCCAGTGTGCAAGGTTTGAAGCAGCCTTTAAGCAAGGTTTTCGAGCACTGGTGCACACGGACGGTGCTTCAGGTTGAAGAGACAGCAATTTTTTGGGCCCCACCCGCCAGCATCGTTTCCGACATCCCTCTCTGCTGCATCGTGAAAGGCAGCTCGCAGGCAATTCGGCAGTGTGTCCGCATAGTTCAGCGTCTGGGATGCAGCCCGGCGAACTAGCTGCATGCAGTCCTGAGCTTTCTGCATGCAGGCAAGAAACGAATAGTTTCCTGTCCTTTTGACTTCGTTTGACTGCGGTGCTATACAGATCATACGCCAGGAGTGATCTCGGAAAAAGGAATCTCGCAGAGTCATATTTGCAGAGAGCCGTAGATGCCAATGGGGTCAAGAGGTAGGAGTCCTGGTGGTGCCGGCTGGATAGCGACATGTGCAGGTTGCCCCCATGCAAGCTGAATACAAACTAATGCTACGAGAAGCTGCGCATGAAACGTTTCCGACCAGTAGGACGCCATTTCCTATCCTGACCCGTCGGACGCTACGTTTCTCGTTGCAAGCAACACAGATGGTGCACAGCACACTGCAATGCGTTTCCAGGCTTACCGATGGAATCTCTCCTGCAGATTTTTCTCGGTCCAAATCATGGCTCCAGCTCACCGAATCTGGAAGCTGAGGGAAGCCACATGGCATGCACGTACGACATTTGCACGGTTCACTCTTCATGATGGAATTCTTCCTTACCACAGCCATACTCAGCTCCCTTTCATACTCGCTCCATAACATTACAAAGGGCTCCAAGTCATCCGCACCATATGGCATGCCTCTATGCTGCTCCAACCTTTTAGAGGCATCCTAGGTGGCAATCTCCCAACCCAGAATGGCTTGCTGGAGCTTTGCACCCCTGTGACCTGGCACACACCAACACTGAAGCTGTATCTTTTTATTGCAAGTGCAAGTGTAGCAGGCAGCTTCTGGGCTTGACTAAACACTCCCTGCCAATATCATTTACCCACACATCCTGTCCCGCAAACTAAAATCTGCAACTGTGGCTAGCCAGCTGTGATGCCGGGGCATGGCCCTCTCCTGTCCTGAGTACGGCTCACTCTAAAATTTTCTTGTACAATATAGTACATTTGCTGCATGTGTGTGTCTGTTGTTTCAAGAGAGAGCCTTATGCAAGAAACTGTCCCTTCAATCTATAGGAAAAGTCTCTGCAGCTGCAGACCTAGCCACCAGACAGGGAAATTTGATAGGACACTAGCTCGAAGATGGCAGCTGCCGCCTAGCCCCCAATGGCACAACCCTTCCTTATCTCTCCACAGCTCTCCTGGCATCGAGTCGATGCCAGGAGAGCTGCCGCCTAGCCCTCAATTGTCCGCTCTGATTCGGTGACTCAAGCCTCCCCTCTTTTGACCTACAGCTCTCCTGACGTCGATTGACATGCATATTGCAAGATAGCACAATGACTCTTCCCGGCAACTGCAGTCCTAGCCAGAAATGGCCAGCCTGGATCCCTGTCCAGCAGGGAGGTACTGGGAAGCTGGATGGCTCCAGTGGAATTGGCGCCAGTTCCTGCAAAGCCATTGCCTGGCACTGGCATCATGGGAGGCACTCTGCTGATTGGCCCACCTGTCACAGCAGCAGCAGGGAACATGTAGGCACTGGGAGAGCAGGTGACAGACCTTTAAAATATATACCCACATGACCAGGACGGAAGCATACAAGGAAGTCAGTACTAAGCGCCAAAGTGGCCTTGCAGACAGGGGTATGCTTGCAGGGTTGGATGCTTGCCTTGACTACATTTGTTGAGGCGTTTGAGGGAGTGACCACGGTCTCGGTTGCTGAAGAGGTAGCCTGCGCGCCCTGTGCTCGTGTACAGCTGCAACACAGCCCATGGTATTCTCGCCATCTATGGCTACACAAGCCCGGCCCCTGAAAAGGGCTATGCAATTGGACATATTCCTGCAGTTTCTTCGGATCAAGATCGGCCGCACTGTGCATCTCTGTGCTGAGACTGCAGTGTGGGCTGCAGATTCATGCACATGACAACATGCTGGGATCGTGATGACTCACGTCCTTGTAGTAATGGCTGTCAAATAAGTTGGGCTCGGCAGTCATTGGCCCAGGAGCGCCAATACAGACAGGACCTGCAAATCTGACCTGACGAAGCAAAATTTGAAGATTAGTTTAGACCTGTGTGTCTAATGCCGAAAATTTGGCAATTCAGCCTCTGAATTCAGCTATAGATTCTTTGCTCCCATGCACATGCAGGTGTAGTGGTCCCTGTTGAAATGTTGACTACAGGTCACAGATCAGAACAGCACAGTTCATGGGCAACTCCCTTGAGCTGTAGGATTTGTACCTGCTCCGCCAAAGCCGGTGCCAGAGGCTGTGTCGTGAGGACCATAGTTGAGTGTCCGGGATGCCTCCCGGCGAACTAGCTGCATGCGATCTTGTGCATTCTGCACGCAACGTAAGCTAAACAAATTAGAAAGGCAAGGAATTCTTAGGTTGTTCATATCGCACCACAATTCCCTGGCGTCTTCTGCTTGATGGAATGACTATTTTCTCCTTCAGGTACCTGTAGATGCCGAAGGAAACCAGTGAAGCAAGTCCCGGAGGCGGCCTCTGTATGACGACCTTGGCAGGTAGGCCGCTCGCGCTTGCAATAAAGTCGATTGCCGCAATGACCAGCACATGGAAAATTGCCATCTCTGAACAGACAATCCTTTGACGGAAAGCTCGAAAACAGCTTTGGTGCGGAGCATCCACAGTCTTGTACTTTCCGCTTTTGGCCGTATCTCATCCTTTTCACCTGAGTTATCGTCAATACATATCGAGAAGCATGGGTACCGGTCAGTATTTGCTGTCGAATTTGGAAGTTGAGGAAGCCATATTCTAGTATTGAATTGCAAGAAATTTCAGCCATTAAGATTCAAAATAATCGCACAATGAAGTAGCTACTATAGGGATCTCTTCCATCATGCTGTAAAAGCCAACTTCTTGGTTGTGCATTGATACGTTGAGAGCCAATCGACCTATAATCTGAACACATTCGAATTTGTTTATTTTATAATATCCCTCAACATATCACGGGTTGGGGGTTGTGGAAAACCCTTCCGGTCTCAAGCCAATCAGAGCACGACTTGCACGACCGCGGGCACTTCACTTGCAGTTGCACTGACGAGCAGCGCATATCCCGATTCAACAACTCAGATAAGACCTGTGCAATCTCAGGAACAATAACGTATATTTTTAGGGAGATCACAGACGTACGGGCGTGAAGGGACCGACTTAGACGCCGCCAGCTGTCTGGACATTCGGGGCGTCTTATGATGAAGTGGGCTGTGCTTGGATTGTTGTGTCTAAGCTTAGTGATCGCGGGCACCCAAGCAGAGGAGGCTGAAGTTGTCCTCACTGTGAACGGCGAGGACGAGTTCAACAAGGCGGTGAAGGACAGCGAGTTCTTGCTCGCCGAGTTCTATGCGCCCTGGTGTGGCCACTGCAAGAGTCTGGCCCCCGAATATGAGAAGGCGGCTCAGTCTCTGAAGGAAAGCGGCAGCAAGATCGTGCTGGCGAAGGTATGGTATAGTGTCTCACACCGGTTTTGGTAGATGCATATCTTTTGGGCATCCAAAGGCGCCTTATGTAATTAAGCTGCAAAACATGGTTGCCGGGCGTTTTGCGATCCGTGTATATTATAATGTTGATTTCATGGTGCTGACTGCCGGCTTGGTGTCTAAGTCTGGTGTTTTATTGCTTCCCACCAAAACAGTGGTGATCACAAGAGACGAGGCAACAAAAATTGCCTTCTTGATGTGAGGCCTGCAAAAATCTAGACCATATTGTAAGACCCATTAGAAAAATTGCAGGGATCGATACTCTTGCAACGTTGTTCGGAGCTCTTCGATCACACCAACATCCTGAGGTTGTCCCACCTATTTCTGTGCAGATCGATGCCACATTGGATGAGAACAAGGTGATGAGCACCAAGTTTGGCGTCCAAGGCTTCCCTACCCTGAAGGTATGCCGTCTCCTTTGCACCCGTCTCTTCACTGCCTGTCTTCAGGATAGCCTGCCTGATTTGGGTCTACTTTGCAGCAAGCATCTTTCCTTTACAATAGTGCAGGACGTAATTTTACAATTAGCTAATCCGCATTTGAATGGTAAAAGGAGATGCGTCATTGCGCATGCATCTACTGCCAGGCAGTCGTTGACTGGTGTCTGCCGCTGATCTGCAGATCTTCAGGAATGGCAACCTGGACAAGCCAAGCGATTATGCTGGCCCGCGCGATGCGGCAGGCATTGTGTCATACCTGGAGAAGGTGTCTGGGCCCCCCAGCAAGGAGCTGAAGACAAAGGAGGAGGTGTGTCTTTGTGGACATGCCCCTCTTGTGACCAGCACAAACATTTGTCCCTTCACTTCACTGATCGCTGCGTTTGTCTGCGGATATATGCAGCCTAATTTGCATCCTCGCATGCTTGCTCTCCATTCTGCAAACTCATCACACGCCGAAACGGTGTTGCATGAGTGCTTACTGTGGATTTGGTCCATGGCATTCTCTGAAGGCAATGGAACTAGCTCTGACACCCTTACGGATGGGGCTCATGCAGCAGTATTCTCTGATCAGGCGCTAGTGTGCGTCAGCAGCCACGCGAACCCTTGCAAGTTATCAAGGGTATGACGTTGTCCCGTGTGGCATCCAGGTGGCGGAGTTCAAGGAGGCGCACGACCCGGCGGTGCTGGGCGTGTTCAGCGGCGCGGACGCAGCGGAGTTTAAGGCATTCGAGGGAGCGGCCGACGGCCTGCGCTCTGACTTTGACTTTGCGCACACCTTCGACGCCTCCCTTGTGGACGAGGTGTGCTTTCACCTCCTTGGCTCTGAGAGGCTCTGATCGCTCACCTAATTGCTGCCATACAAGCATGCTTTCTGTGATGGCATGTCAAAGCATGTCCCATGTTCTGGATCGACAGCCCAGGAGCCCTCAGCACTGAAGAAGCCTGACTAAGCTTACTTTGGATGTTGAAACAAGCAGCTCCATAATTCACGAGAACTGAGGCAGTGACGCAGGTGTCACGTGCATGCTTGTGGGACGGGTGAAGACACGTGCACCGCAGCATGCAGAGCGTCAGTGCATACGGCATGTCATCCATTGAATGTGGTGCTTGTTGTGTCCAGGCCAAGGAGGCGCCGGCGGTTGTGGTGGTGAAGTCGTACGACGAGCCAGTGGTGGTGTTTGAGGGCAAGTTTGGCGACGCTGAGATCTCTGGCTTTGTGGAGGCGGCCACCACCCCCAAGCTGGTGGAGATGGACCAGTGAGTTCCCAACTCCCTAGCGCCACCCAATACAGCATGTTGAACGGGCAGCACTGTATCTGAGGAGTGTTTCGCATTGTTAGGCGTCCTTGATGAAGTTTGCTTGCGACATCAAGATGCCGGCAGAGTGCATTTGCTACCAGGGGTTGACTTGATCACATCTGAGCGCCCCCAAATATACATTATGGCACACTCACATCTGCTCAGGCCACTTCCCTGTAACACTGTCACTTCAATTGGATATGTTGAATTGCACATCATCTGTACAGGATGGCAAGCTAATGCAGTGATCTTCACACTGTTCGATCTTCTGTGCACTTCTGCTGTGAATCTTCATTGCTGCGGTTGACGTGCAGGTCTCCCAAGAACAAGAAGGCGCTCAGCCGGATCTTTGCCGACCAGGCCAAGCCCAAGATCCTGGCGCTCGTGTCCAAGGTGCGTACCTTGAGACACTCTCCTGCTTCCAGCCACCCTCACCCAGCCAAAGATTTCCTTTGAGCCTCCTACATGAGCTGTGCTGGCGTCACACGTGCCATACATCTTCATACGGATGCACTTTTGTGCGTGTTATCACAGTGATATGTGGGTGCGTTTGGCACGCATGGGTGCTGCCTGCATGTGTCAGCATGCATGTCAGGACCATCGTGCGAGGATTGTACCCATCCATGAGATCTCTCGAGCACATCAAGCACGCTGCTGGCGCCTTCTGACTGCATGCATTTCAAAACTGTCATTCCATGCGGCTGCGGCTTCGACAGCAGTAGCAGTGATGGTGACGGGGTGCTTGTGCAATGCAGGATGCCAAGAACGAGAAGAAGTTCAGGGACATCCTGACGCACGTCAGCTCAAAGAGGGCTGACCGCTTCAACACCCTCTGGACCGACCCCTCCGCCAACCCCCAGGTGTGAAGCCCTGCAGGGTCAAAAATTTAAAAAAAGTTTGCCACCCTTTTCACTTTTTAGAAGGCACACCCTGGGCCTACAGTATCTCTCTTTTCTTGTCCGGGAGAGGCAAGGGGCAGCAAATGCAAAATGCAAAGCTCTGGGTTCAACAATGACACATGCACGTCACTGTTTTTGAGTGAAACACTCGAAATGATGAACAAACTAGGAGGATGGCGCATAGGAGGGGTCAGATTGAGCCATGCATATCACTGCATAAGCAAATCCCAACCAAAGGGGTTATAGTTTGGAATATATCATCAATCCTTTGGCTGAACTCGCCAGCATCTGATGGAATGGTGCGTGTCCAGGTGGCCAAGTACTTTGGGCTGGAGGACAGCGAGCTGCCGGCGATCGCGATCCACGACGCGCAGAACGACGGCAAGTTCTTCCTCAAGAACGCCAAGCCGGGCGCTGTCAACAAGTGGCTCGATGACTGGGAGGTGCGCCCCTCTTCAGCTCTCTCTCTCTGATGGTTGCACAGGTCTGAAAACCTCGCTACAGGCGTTGCCTCTTCATATTCGAATCTGGGCCCAAGGGATTTTGTTGTAATCTTCATTGTGGCAACTTCCCCAGGGCCAGGATTGGGATATGAAGGGACAGTAATTATCCTTGCGGCGGATGCAAAGGCAAAAGTGATTGGTACCCTATGATAGCAGCCGTGTAGTTTTGTCTGTACTTCACAAGAGCATACCAATGAAGGCGCACAGACAGACATCAGTAGCTCAGGCTGGTCAGCAAAAGCAGAACCCCAAGCTCTGGCTAGCCATCACCTTGAAGCATTTGAATGTACATTGTCCTCTCCTGCTCATGCATCCCTATGCATGTTCGTGATAAATTGCCTCACTCAGAGTCTTTAGAGTTTAGGGGGATGCACATGCGCTGACACATGCGCTGAAGTGTGCAAGGGTGCGTAACGTGCAGGCGGGCAAGATTGAGAAGTTCATCAAGAGCGAGGAGGCACCTAAGGACAACAGCGGTCCGGTCAAGGTCGTGACCGCCAACACATTCGATGAGATTGTGCTTGGAGGCAAGGATGTGCTGATTGAATTCTACGCTCCCTGGTGCGGTCACTGCAAGTCCCTGGCGCCCATCTACGAGGAGGTGAGATTTCTTGCCAGAACCTCTGTTTGCCACAACGGCTGGTGCCTCACTTTGCCTACAAACAGCTGGGCCCATGTACTGCACGTCCATTGCCTTTGCTTATTGCCTGCATGCTCTCTGGAGCCAAAGTTGTTTGGTTGGTGTTGCCTGTTGGTGTCATGATTACAGGAGTTGTTAGGAGCAGTGCATGTTAGTCAGGTGTTGGCAAGCTAGGGATGACTGGGATGGATTTTGGGGGCATCGGTAGAGGATGTTTTGTGGCTGTGTCTTCATGATGAAGGTGCTTATGAGCGGCTTACTTGTTTTTGACAGCAGTTTTTTGCGTGTATGCAGCTGGGAACCAAGTTTGCGGACAACGAGAGTGTGACCATTGCCAAGATGGACGCCACCGCTAACGACGTGCCCAGCAACAAGTTTGAGGTACGCGTAACACCTTCCTAATGTTCTTGTTCTTTAAAGCTGTTCAATCATGCATGTTTGGAATACTTTGGATCACTGCTGTGAGTCCGGCTGAGTGCTAGAGACGAAGAATTGGGTCTGGGTCACTGTGACATGTCAGTATGTTTGCATGCAATAGCAGCTATCACCTGGCTGTGCGAGGTACAGTTGCATGGCAGGACGTAGGTAATTAACGTTGTGTTCAGTATACTCCTTTGCATGGCAACTCATGCGTGTGAACAGCGGGTACTGAAGACAGATAATAGTCTCTAGGCACCCCCTGGTGTGAACAGGGGGTTCTATATCTAGTCAGGTTGGAAATAGTAACCCCCTGGTGTGAAGCTGAGAAGGGTGAATGAGACGCATGTTTTTGCATCTGCGCAGGTCAAGGGATTCCCCACAATCGCGTTTGTGGCCGGTCCGACCGGCGAGATCACGGTCTACGAGGGAGACCGTTCCCTCCCAGACCTCTCCACCTTTGTCACCATGAAGCTCAAGGACAGCAAGGCAGCCGGAGAGAAGCTGACGGAAGCCGGCACCGCCGGGGAGGAAGTCTCCAAGGATGAGCTCTGAGCCTCTATAGGCCGGAGCTTGTGCAAGAGTCTGTGCGCTGTGTCATGAGGGAGTCTTTCCTGGTTGGAGGGCGTTCCATGCATGAGACGAGTGGCGGTCCGGTCATCATTGCCGGCACGCAGAGGAGAGCGGTGTGTGAAGGAGGCTCTGGAAACAAGCAGGGATCCCAACAGCATGACGCAGCATATGTCTCTAGTCCGAAGGGTGCTTCCCTTGAATGCAAATTCAAATGTGGCGTCTGCGCATGTCTGAACATCTTCCTTGGGCGCTGCTAGGGGGACCGTAATTTGCTGCAACCTCCAGAAAGGCCTTGGGGACCTGAATCAGGCATCACTTCCTGGCTGGTTTGGTGGGCTGACATAGCTGGAATCAGTTCCTGCTCCATGGCTCAACAGATGACAACCTGCCACTCTCGGGTCGTTGCTTTTGAAATTGCCTGCTGGCTGTGGCATAGTCCGCGGCGTGATGAAACTTATAATAAGCTGTGGCAGAAAGTAACCGCTCGCACTGATTGTGGGCTGGCGAACACGCTTGGTTTTGTACTCTGTTGTCAGCCTGCTGTTGCTTAAGCTTGTGGTGCAGCAAAGCTGGCTTCTGCATGTCATACTGCGATGCCATCCCCATGCATCACTGAAGGTAACATGCATTTGTGACTTCTATGGTTCCAGACACGAATGTGCATGACTCTGGCAATACACATGCCATCATCCCAGAGTGCATGCATGCGCATTCTTTCTGATCCATTGGAGGTCACATGTGGCACGATGACGTGTCAACACGTCTCTCTGAGCGACTCGAGCTCGTTATATGAAGTATACACAAAGTCCAGCAAGTTTGTCTTCACACCACTGATCAATCATCAAATTTTGCCGTTCATGCATATGCCTGTGTCAGGACTCTGTGGGCTGCGCTGTGTGTCAGATGATCGTTGATGACCTGCTGGGAAATTGGCGTGGCATAAGAACATTTCAGAATTCCACGCTAGCTGTAGTGCTGCCACCGTATGGGTGTGCATGCCCCAAAACACCTTTCAGACAGGAAGGGGATTCATGCTGACGGCTGTGCTGACGAGGCTCCGCCACATCAGCTCGTTGTCATTTCAGCCCCCAAATATAGAACTCTTTACTGGATTGGCATCACAGGACCCAAGTTTCAGCTCATCTAGGAATGCCTATCCTGTCTATAATAAGCAGCAAAAGATGTTTTACCGGTGTAGACCCTGTTGCGGCACAGAAAACAGTGATGAGAACAGAGGTCTTCTTTGCCCGTCACGGTGAAGTGCATTTAAAGGGATCGATCTGATATACACGAAGTCCCAAAAAATATCCATGGACGCAGCGAATCTTTCCTGGGCATCCGCACCATTGACCAGAATCCAAGCGGCACAAGGAAGAAAGGACATTGAAGGGACGACGCAACTCCAGGTCAATAGCCTAAAAAAGTGCTATGCAGCTAGCGCATGACCCTTTTAAAGTATTTATATGTATTGTTTGCTTAGTGACGCTTATCGTCAACAGTTCTTAAGTATACAAGATATTTAAGACTGAAGTTTGACTCATACCTAGGGTAGCATATTCTACTCGTCCTCGTCTATTCACTACTGGAAATGCACTAAATCGCGAAATCACTATTTTTATCACAATACATTTGCTTTGCATCACCGACACTCTCCTGAAATGGGTGGGCTGGTGGGTAGGTCCCAGTAGTTGATCTAGCCGAGCCTGATGAGGTGGCTGCCAGCAAGATGCGTGCGGCCTGCGAAGACTACGGCTTCTTGTATGGTATGTGAGCATTCCAAACTGTCTCAGAGTCATAGCCTGTCACCATGCTGCATGAAAGGGGGTATCTATCATTAAGCCCCTAGTCCATCACCATCAAGATGTAGCGCTGTAGCTGACTTCATTTGGCATGAGCTTGTGCTCTACTTGAATCAGTCGTTTCACAGGAGCCTTGACACATGGTGATGTTGTGGCATACAGTGGCCAACCATGGGGTGAGCCAGGAACTGGTGGATGAGCAGTTCCAGGCCAGCAAGCAGTTCTTCGCGCAGACCCTGGAAGCCAAACTCAAACTCAAGGTGCATATCCTTTCCTGCCCACATTCCTTTTCACATGGTTCCCACAAGTCTTCCTTGTACTGGTGGGTGAACCATCTCTTAGCTGGTCATGGAAGAATTAGCAGCTGCACGCTGCGATCCTCATCTTGGGTCGGGGCCCGGTTTGCCGGGAATGCGAGGCATCTGAGCCAGTAATGATGTTTCCCGCATGCTGCATGTGTGCGCATGTGCGCGCAGGCGGACCGGGGCAACCGAGGCTACTTCCCCTTTGGCACGGGCAGCGCCAAGAATCCCTTCTCCCAGGAAGACCGCAAGGAAGCCTTCAACGCATACGGTGCGTGCTCTCAGGGCCTCAAGATACTAGTGGGTCACTGCGCATGCAATGGCTTCATAGCATGCATAGTAAGCGCAAGGCAATCTCTATTCTGTCGTTTGAATTCCTCCTGACAGGGCACATGCATTGTTGACTGCAAAACAGTCGTCGCCAGAGCAGGCATGCCATGATGCTCCAGAGATATGCGGGTATTTGGGAAAGAGGAAATTTTGATCTGGCAACTCTTCCCAGTCTGTCAACAAGTCAGCGCCAGACAGCTGCAAGCCTTTGAGCGGCTGCACTATCTTGGGCTGACGTGTTGGATGATTCAGGATAAGTCGAGAAAAGTCTCAAAGCCGTTGCCTTCCTCAGTCTATCAGCTAGCTAGTGATCAAGCCTAATGGCTTCAGCAGGACCTCATAAGGACGTCGCAAACGGCAGTGTTTGGGCTGAGACTGCTGGGCTGGGCTGGGCTGGGCTGGGCCAACAGCGTTTAGTCCACATGCAAGCTAACCATCAGGCCTCATGACTACCACAAGAAAGCTTATCAGCAAGGCAAAATGCAAATGACAGTGTGTGCGCTGGCGTTGCAGGCTTTGAGACCGAGGATGAGGATGAGCCTTTCCACGGGCGCAACAAGTGGCCAGACGAGGTCGACCTGCCGGGCTTCAGGTGCACCATGGATCGCTACTACGGCAACATGCACTCAGTTGCGCAGCGGTGAGTCATTGGCCCCACGAGCTGGATAAGCATTGATCTCAGATTTGCTACTGCCTCTAGCCGCCCAGAGGGAGGACTTATAGCAGTGTAGCCAACATCAGAGAAGCTCACTTGGGTCTGTGCAGTTGAAGGAAGACAAAGACCAGTCTAGCTATTTGCAGAGAACTTGGGCTTGGAGTGGGCTGCTCTGATGTGGACACTGTGCTGCTCCTGCACTGGAGGTCAACAGTTGTATCTTCATAAAAGCACTCCGTGTATTCGCGTAATAGCAAGCATCAGAGCATGCATGCTTCTGGCGCGAGCACATCGCCATTTTATGCGAGGAGCACAACTTCAAGATGTGCTCATGAAATTGTTATTCAAATTACGCAGGGTGCTACGGCTGCTGGCATTGGCGCTCAACCTGCCGGCCGGCTATTTTGACGAGCGCTTCAGCCGCCCGGTGGCCAACATCCGCGCAGTGCACTACATCGCAGGCCAGCCCTCCAATGCAGAGCAGGGCATCTTTGGCGTCGGTGCGATCCTTGCACTGCCCAATAAAGAATAGGTCGGGGAGATAAGGTAATTGACATAGCGCATGCATGCGTTCTGGGTGCACTCGTGAGAGGTGTTCTGTGGTCTGCATTGGCTATTCCCTGTTAAAGATATCGCAAGGGACTGCATATGAAGCAGGCAGGATGCATTCCTTTTTTTGTTATTGGCGGGAGACTATGTATGATATATTGCTTGAGAAGGAATTCTTTTACCATAAGTCAGTGCAGCGGCCGCTCCATCTTTTGCCTCCACACAGGATGGGTTTTACAAGGCACATCTGCCAGAGGTGATCTACTTTTTAAATGGCAGCGGAAGGGATCAAGAGTGTCAAATTGCCTGCCGTTCTACCAGCTAGTTCCCTGACAAAGAGGTTCGCACCGCCGCGCAGGGCCGCACACGGACTGGGGAGCGCTGACGATTCTGGCGACTGACAACGAGCGCGGCCTGCAGATCTGCCTCGGCAGCACCTGGATCGATGTCGACCCGCGGCCCGGCATGTTCGTGGTCAACCTGGGAGACATGGTGGACAGGTGCGTTCGAATTCGAATCTGCATTTTTGATTATTTTTTTAACCTTGAAAAGCTCGTTCTCATAGGATTCCTGGGCTCTTGGTACTTCCTTCCTCAAAGAGGATGCGTGCCACCTTCTTTTCAAGAAACGCTCTATACTGCTATATGCTATCTGACTAACTTCCTCTCTGCACCCATGCATGAAGGACGACCATGCATGCATCAGTGCTTGGCTGACCTAAAGTAGGGGTGTCCTGTGGGCCAGTACAGGTGAACACTCTGTATTAATCTTGGAAAAGACTGTGTGCTGGGATATTTTGGGGGGATAATTTTGATTTTGATTTTGATTTTGTGCGCCAGGTGGACAAATGGGCGTTTCAGGTCGACGCTGCACCGCGTTGTCAACACATCCGAGCGCTTCTCGACCCCCTTCTTCCTGGCTGCCAACTGGGATGCTGAGCTGGCAGTCCTGCCCAGCTGTCAGGTGGGGTTCCTACCGGCCATGCTCAAGAGTGTGCAGTATACAAGTCTGTACAGGAAGCATCGATGGCAGACACAAATGTGCACCATCAGCTCTGGCCTCAGCTTCTATGTGACTGAGGCCAGAGGCTCTGCTTCTATGTAGCTGAGGCCACAGGCTCAGCTTCTATGTAGCCGAGGCCAGAGCCTGTGCTTCTGGACACTCATTGGATGCAAGTGTGACATTTTCGATGGGGACTGTACCCCTTCGCCGTAAAGAACAAAGGTTTGCAGTGCCAATATTGCTGGTTGTTCTGGCGGAGCACACAGTCATCGATTGCATTAAAGAATTCGTCCGCTCTGATTTCTAACCTTGATATGTCCTCACAAATGGGCACCCCCCCCTGCTCTTAATTTGTCTTGACTTCAGTAATTGCATCCAGAACACAAGGTTCCTGAGATGGCTGTTGCTGTGGACTGCACCTACATTATCCTCTTGTTCTCCTCTCATCCGTTCTATCTTCAGGCTAGAGCTGACCTGGTCAGTTAATTAATCTCTAATTTTGGCCGATCGATGAGTGGGTTATTTTAGATGGCTGCTGACTCAGCGTGCACATGGCTGAAAGGTGGCAGGGCAGCCTGTTCAGGCGGCGCCGGCCATGACCTGCGGCGCATGGCTCACGATGCGGCGTACTGCCGAGTACGAGAAAAAACGGCGCCTGGTCGAGGACGAGTCAGCACTGACTCAGCAGCTGCCGGCTCTTACCAGCCCCCAGATTTGGGCCCAGTGAATCTATGCGCCCAGGGTGCCATGCCAAAGGGAGAGGCTGTCCATCATATTACCCATCTCCTGCCGGTGAACTGTTGCTGGGATCTGTGACGAAGGAAAGGAGCAAAGGGATGCCCACTGCTTTGTTGTCATCCTGCAACCTGATGCAGTTGTGGCCTGCCAACTGGTACCTTCTATGAGGCAGATAGATCGCCCGGCCAAGTGAGGGTCGTTAAAAACCCGCAGGCTTACCATTGTGGCACACACAGGATGCCAGAAATTGATGCGACTTGTGGTAGTGGAAACGAGTGTGTGGCGCTTTGAACAGCTGCACTGAAGACCAGCATGTGCTGTGAGAGTATCTGAGACAACAGCAGGCACTGAGCACAGCCCCCTTTGCTGCAAAGATTGTGGCCTTTTTTACACTGCCTCGTTACAGTGTTCTGTGGGATCTGAGAGAGACCCAAGGGTGTCCATGCTCATCAAGTGGCACACGGATGTTGATATTGATCCCATTGAAGGCGTGGCCAGTGCTATGCATACTAATTGAAGTGTGTGCTTTGCCCGCATTTAGTATAGAACGCAAGAATGCACTTTTTGTTTTTTCCATCTGGAAGTCTTGTCATTTATTGACATTTTCACCGTTGCTGCATTTGTTTGATTGTTGAGCTGAGTATTGTCAGCTCGCTGTGTGGGCACCTTATGTTGGTGCCTGTAGAATATGTGAGAATTCGGCGCGCTTGTACAGGCTTTATCATCAGTGCTGTGATACTTGATGGGCTTAAATCTGCTGTGCATTGGTTTCCGTGCTTGGTTTCCTGTCTGGTATGTAGCGAGACACGTGTGCAAAACGTGTGCATGTCCTTACGTAGAAAAGTTGCATGTGTTGCGCTGAACGTTGAAGAATTGTGTGTAGGCGTGCAAAAAAGTGCAGCTTTGGCATGTTACAGTGCGAGGACATGTCATGACTTCAATATATTAAATTCGCATATTTATAACCGCAATAAGCACATGGTCAGCATCCTGTCAGAGCATAGTTAGCTGTGCAGTCAAAGAAAGTTGGCATAACCTGTTAGGGCTCCATATGAGGACGCTGCATCACTCGTTCCTTCTCTCAGAGCCTGATCACCTCATCATCAATATTATTAATGGGGATCACCGGGAATACCTTAATGCACACTGCAATGGGAGATCAAGGGTGTGGAGCAAAGATGCTTATGCCTGTAGCCTCTCCCACATGCTAAAACCAGCAAGAAGGACATGGGGCCACTCAAAAATGGGCACAAGTCCCGCTACGTCCGCACATCAAACCCAGGGAAGGAGCTACGTCTATCAAACGCGGCCTTTGCATTGGCACCCTCAGCCGCCGCTTCCTGCGTCGTCACTGCGCCATTGACGGCTGCCGGCAGCGCGCCGGCGGCTGACGCCGCTCCAGCCGCGCCGGCTGCGCTGGGCGGCCCCGTGGCCGGCCCGGCAGCCGCAGCGGCCGGCGCCGAGGCGGCGGGGGGCGGCGGCGGCGCGGCGCGGAGCCAGCCGGCGGCTGCGAGGAGGTCGTAGACCCGGAGGGCGCGGCTGGGCTCAAGGCGAAACATGGTGCGCGCCTCTGAGCGCGGCAGGTGCTGGCCGTCGCGGCGCGCGGCCTCGCGCAGCATCGCGGCCTTGACTGACAAGTACTGCCCCGGCAGCATGCGCACGCTCGCACACAGCTCCCTCTCCTGCGCACACAGTGTCGCGCACCCTGTCAGCACCTGCGTGCTATCTCGTGTGTACCTACCTACACTGTCCCTGCCTGAAGGCACTGTTCATCTCTGAAATCTGGCTTCATCTAGCACCTTTTCTGTAGGCGCACTATCTGCAGCAGCCTTCCTCCAGGAAACTTGGTAGTGGAGTCAGTGATATAGTACCTTGGCTGAGAGGGCGTCCAGGCCAGGTAGGGCTGTGATGTCGAGGGCAACGCCGCGTCGCGCACGCCAGGCCGCAAGCTGACTCGCCACCGTCACGCCGGATGTGCCCGTCGTGTACCGCCCCCGGCCGCCGATTGAGCCGGCCGCCTGCTCGCTCGCCTGCAGCAGCATTAATATACGCGTTCAGCTCTCAAATACCACAGGGCAGGCTTGTCAGAACAACTACTACTGCCTGCTCAGATACTTGCAATCCCCCACTCCCACCAAACGATCCTTTTCAACCCTTCCAGCAAATTTTGGAATTTTTAAATTGCAGAAGAATGAAAAGGTTTTGTTTGGCAGGAGCCCTGTTTGGGTAACAAAAAGCCTTTCAGTTGTTCAGCAAGCGCCAGCCTGCAAAATTGGGACCTCAATGTAAGCACCGGAGCCCAGCAGCATCCGCAGCAAGTTTGTCCAAAAAGCCATCTGACTGCGTCGTGCAAGGACGCCCGGACCTGCACCAGCCTGCGACATGGAGGTACCTGACATGAAAGGCAGAGGCGACAAGACAGGCCTGACTCAGTGTAGACACATTGGCACCCATAGGTTCCTGCAGCAGGGCGACACGCGCCCTGAGAGGCAATGTAATGCGTACAGCAAGGCCTAAAAAGGGTCCGGCCTCTTACGTGGCGGCAGCCGTCAAGGAAAGCAGGGATGCATAGATAGGCCTGACAAGGCCTAGCATGCATTGGACCCTGCAGCAAGCAGGGGCGAACCCGGCAAGGCGCCAAATTGTTGCGCAGATTCAAGGCAGAGGGTGCCCTACTTACCGTTGGGCTCTGCAGCAACGAGACATGGGCCGTGCACGGCAGAATTTGACACTTCTTCAATTTCATCTTATTGTGACAGGCCTGGGGTTTAGGGTTAGGCCAAACCCTAAATCCTTATAAAGGGCATTAAAAAGGGGCCAACCTGCGCTAGGATGGCGGCGTCGTCGGCGTCGGACCGCAGCGGGTGGCGCGCGTGCAGGCGGTCCCCCCGCGCCCCCCTCTCCTCCAGAGCGCGGCGCTTCCGGTCGGCCTCGTACACTTCCGCCTCCGTGAACGTTCGGACGCCCGCTCGCCGCATCTCCTTCAGCTCCTGGGGGCACGACACCGGACCATCTCCATTTATGCAGTCAAACATCAATGGTAACCGCCTACAGCTAAAGACCCGAGCTTGGAGGCTTGCTCGAGAGACTTGCTGTGGGGGCCATGGAGATCTCTTCTCATGCCGTCCCCTTTGCAGGCAAAAGCCCTGGCATCCCACTGAGAATCATGGAGACGAGCTTGGAGGCTTGCTTGAAACAGAATGCGCATCAAAGCGGGAGTCCACAGAATCTCACATCCACTGCAAGCTCTCAGGCAGCCATGCAAGGTCAAGATATATGGAATCAATGAAGTGGTGGTCTGCGCACCAGCAGGCGTGCGCGCAGGCGGGCTTCGAGCAGCAGGCCTTCAACGAAGACCTCGTGGTCCGGCTGCGGCTGGTACCGCGCCAGAGGCCGCAGCCGCGCGTGGAACTCCCTCTCGTACGCCGTCCGCCGCCGCTCCGCTCCCTGATCACACACAGAGCATCTGTCACTTTCTTGACTCTTTGACATTGTCTGAAACCCGCCGATGCACATCATAGAATGTGCATTGATTCCATAAAATGTACGTTGATAGATTTGCTGACTGCAGTGCGCACTCAGCCAAGCCAACAATTTCGAGGAAGTGAACATGGCGGCGGTGCATTGAGTCTGCATCACAAGCTTGCAAGTTGCAATACGTCATCGCCTCCAAATGCACGTCCTCAGAATCGCCGGCTAGGCCAGCACTGTGCACTGCGAGGGCTGCTGTCGCATCCGCAACCCGCCACCAGAGATTCCAAACACAGCCAGACACAGAAAGTGCTTTTCCAAAGTTGTAAAGATGCCTACAAACTCTGTAGAGAGCTCCGCGCAGAGATGCATAATTTGGTTACAAAGGGCCCCCACCTGCATACGCTTGACGTTGAGGAGTCCCCGGTCGCGGATGAACGCGCGCCGTTCCTCGCGGCCGCTCAGCCGCGCGTTGTACACCTCCACCAGCCGAACCTTCTCAGCGCGCTCCTCCTGCGACACCGAGATATATGCTGTTAGTAACACTGCACCAATCAATCCGCGCTTGAGGATTCTATCTACTTCGCAGGCAAGTACTTCAACAGGAGTGCCTTGTTTGATAAGATGTAGAGCTTCCTTCTTTGTTATGGCCTCTGCTCTGATCTGCGGAGTGGTCTGTGCGTAAACAAAAGATGTGGTGCTTCCCTCAAATGTGCTGGACAGCAAATTTTGTGAGATACTACTATCTCTCTGAAGTGTGGGTCTGCGAGCTCAAAGAGGCCACCTTTGGCGTGCCACTGGAAGCTAGCACCCCCCACAAAGCATTGCTAAATAGAATCTTGATTCTGCATTCCCACAGTGATCTCACACTGGGCTATCTCTGACTTATATAATATCTTGCCAAGCTGGCCGACTAGATTCCCCTGGCGGACCTTGACTCAGCATGCGATGATAATCAAATGAGGAGATGACACGTTACAGCATCAAGGGCTAATAGCAGCAGGTGGCACCTAATCTGACAGGATGACAAGAAACCAAAGAAAGTGGAGAATAGCCCAGAGTAGGATCACTTGAACCAGGCAATTTTCCCCCGTATCAAATCAACTTCCAGACGTGCAATTCATGCTGGAGTGACAGGCTTGATGCATATAATAAATGCAACTTATGCATGAGTGACCAATTAGGGGCCGCACCGGACTGTCTTCTTCTTGGAACTCCAGCTCGGCTATGAGCAGTTCTGCGTCCTGGTCAAACTCGGGATCAAACTCGTGCCGCTTGGCGTTATAGCCCGTCAGCTCGCTCTGGTTGGGGCCCACCTGCGCAAACAGCATGAGAGGGAATTCATTGGGAGGGCCGTTGGCTCTTCCTCGTTGACTGGCACTGCGGTAAACATGTTGCATTGGACTCTGTGAGGGGCAGAGTCTGTTTGCTTGCCATGCCCATTCGGGGCTTGAGAAATGACACGAGTGTGAAGGTGGAGACATTGCATTTGTGCAGAGCAAGGATGTTTCCTGCACAGGCCAAGTCCACCCTTTGATCATCAAAATGTTTAAAAGCTGCCCAAAACTGCCGTCAAGCGGTAACACGGGTGTAGGGACTTGCTCATCGCCTTACAGCTTGCCTCACAAGTCCGGAGCAATTTTGAGTACCCGACGCCAGAAAGGAAAGACTTGACCTCTGCAGGGCACTATCAGCCTGGCTGTGCAAGAAGGCCACCACAAGCCAGCACTTCAGATGACCAATCGCAGTGCAGCGCTCATTTGATGCACTTCAATGACAATGCTCCCAAAATAGCGCTTTTTTGCATCGCCACGAAATTTGTCTCGCCACAAAAAAAACCCCAGGACAACAAATTGACTTGAGCATTGCAGGCTGGCTATGACTGTAAACTTCACAAGCCACCCACCTGGACCTTGGCTCGTTTAGAGGCAGGACCGGCTTGACAATTACAGGTACTTGTAAAAAATTTGAAACAGAGGCTACCCACCTGGACCTTGGCTCGCGTAGAGGAAGGGCCGGCTTGCTGCTGCGGCTCGGATGCTGCCAGCGCTGCGGCCGCCTCTCGCAGCGTGACACCTGGCATGCCACGCGTGCCCACCTGCTCCATACATTGCACTTTTCAAGACTGTATTTATTCTTGGATACGCAGAATTCAAAATGCAGAACTAAGCAACGGGAAGGTGTGATTAGAAGTTAATCTGTAGGGCCCTCTCCATCCTATAGCAGCTGCGAGGTCTACCCAGAATTTTCTAGGGTTCAGGCTCCGGTAAACTCGATATTTAAAGGCAAATTAGTGAACACGCCTGCTCCTCTGCAGGGCGGTCCCTTTCACCCTCTTCAGCGTGTTCCGCCCCTTGCTGCGCTGCGATTTCGCTCCCTTCCTGCGCCGCTTCCACGGCTGGCGACGGAGATCCCTCCTCCGCCGCTGCAGCTGTGGCACATTCGACACTCAGGAATCACTTTTCATGGAGGAATTTTCCGGTCGAGCTTTTGTGTCTGTCTTCTTCCGTGAGGGACAAGTACTGGTCGGAACAACGGCCAGCATAAGAGCTTGTCCTGGGGATGCAGCACAGCACGCAAGCACTCGCTTGAGATTTATTTGGCAGAGAAGCTGCAAGCTGCATGGCTTGTAAGCAAGGGTGGGCGTGTAATTAAACTGTGTGCCTGTCTAGTAATATGACTCTCTCGGGTATGTTGATGAGTAAGCAGACGCTCACCATGCCTGACCTTCTTGGCTGGCCTGCCGCCGCCTGTGGGATGGGCTTCCTCCATGTCCACATCTGCAGCGCCTACCAAACAGCCACAACCTTTTGTCATCTGATCTTTTCCTTAGAACTTGTAAGCTCCCCTGTCAAACTCAGCAATAGCCAAAAAGAGGAAGATTGGGGAGTCTTAGCTCTGGTGTTTGTTTTGGCCGCCTGCTGTCGAAGGAGTTTAATGGGTTGAATGGGTTGAGGAATGAGACATGGCAAGGGGGAGGGAGAGGAGTCACCTGCTGCATTGCTGTCCCCCAAGGCATGTGCAGACCCGTTAACATTTGGGGCTCTGGATGCACCCTCGCCCATGCCACCATGATCCTCTTCCTTCACCTGCATCACACACCATTCAGACCTCGAACATTCCCAGCACAGGGAAAAACCCAGGGACACAGCCCTTAATGCACGCCAGTATATTTGACAAAAAAAATCAACCTTCAACCTTTATGTGGTGAACAGCATGACTTTGTGAAGGAGGTCATCCTATACACATATCAGAAAACACCTGTTCTTGGCACCGGCACACCACCCCAATCCATTGCAAACTTCATCCAGCACTCCAGGCAAAGGGTCTGAACCAATTCTCTCATGGCATCCACAACTGGACCCAAGAGCGCACCTCGGTCTTGACGGCCGGCTGCGTGCCAGCGTCGTCTGCGTGCTCGTCCGCGGCCGCGGCGGTGGCGACCCCCGAAGCGACGCCGGACTCGAGCGCGGAGCCGACCGGAGCAGCGCCGGGCGCCTCGTCAGCATAGGCCATGTGCGCCAGCGCCAGCGCGTCCGTCTGCCGCGCCCGCTGCCGGTCCTTGCCCACCTGCGCGCGCATGATGCGGCTCCTGGATGTTGTGATATCTCCAATGGATATACTGGGCTCAAACTTAAATCCATGCCCTCGGCGGTGCATGAAACACTCCATGTAACTTTTAGGGGTCTTCCTATCTCCAAGGTCACCAGGGTCATCTTTCATCGGATTTAGCTTGCCGAGAGCTTTCCAAATCTGGTCTCAAAATCAAAAGGGTTATGTTTGGGAGATGAGGTCTTATTCATCCACGCTTTGCAGCCACAAATAATTAATTAGTGGGGTTTTACTTTGTGCACTCATAAATCAGGGTCACACATCATGATTCAAGAGCTGATAGCTGCTCAAGTCCATGCTGAGATTTTGCACGCATGGGTGAGAGGGCAGTGGCAGCACAATGAGCAGATGTGTCTGAGTTCTGCCTGGAGTTGACGACACCAAATCAATGTCCTATCGAGCCTGCAGAGTTTCTTTGAGGACGCTCCAAGGAGATCAAAGTAAATCATGACATCCACATACTAAGCCAGCTGCACATGTTTTGAGATGCAGGCAAAGCAGATACCTGGCAACTTTCCTATACTGAAACTCATCAGGGGCCTGGATATTCAAAAGTATCGCACCTGCAGCTGGTTGACGTTGGCCATGCTGGCCAGGGGAGTTGGCTCGGGGAAGGCGGGGGAGTTAATATATACAGAGGTGTAGTGCTGCTGGCAGTCCGCCGCCCCCTTGGTGCCCACATGCTCCGCCACTGCCGCCCAGTTGCCCAACCCAAACATGTCCACCCCCTCCAGTATCAGCAGCTCCTCATCCGCCTGCACAAATGCATTGTAGCATTTGAAAGGTGCGGGTGTGGGTGCAGCTGCAAGCAAGGGTGCACCGGCAGCATATGCAGCAATCCTGTGGGCTCATCTGTCTACATACTTTTCAGCCTCAGGACCCCCTGATGATGAACACTGATCATCACTGGGTTGAGAAGAAGCTGGAAGCATGTAGGCAGATAAATATTGGGGGACAAATGCTGCGACCCAAGTAGCCATGCCCGAGCGGAACTCAAGAGAAATTATTCACCAGCGCTTTCTTGCATGCTGATCAACAAGATTGTTCTGGAGCTTTTGTAAATAAATCTTCATGGCACACATGCTAACATCTGCAAGCATGGATGAAGGGAAGGTTAGGTGGCGCACCCCCCAGTCTGGGTGGAACAGGGGAAATGACAGGTTGTCGACGACTCGGTAGGCGTGGTCATTCCTGTGGGGGTGTATCTGGACACCCACGCTGAAGCACTCCAGACACAGGTCAAAGTCGGAGCACACAGCGCACTTTATGCGCACAGTGTTGCTGATGTCCTTCTGGCAGTTGTTGCAGTGGTACAACGCCCTGCATGCATGCACACACACACTTGCATGCTGGGGTTGACCCTTTACTCTGCTGTAACGGTGTGGGCCCCGGTTGGCGGGTGGCGGTACAACTACTGAGCATCATGCCCACGGTCGATTGGGTCTTGCTTGGATTTGGCGAGTCCAACAAGGGGTGGGAATTTGGAAGCCTTTACATGCAGCTTGACTGCAGACGCACCTTGCCTTTGGCAGGAAAAGCGTGTAATGATAAGAGCCTTGCACTTATGTAAGAGTCTGGCCTAAGGGCCAGTGGTGGCCTCCTCTGTTGCAGCGGTGTACAGAAACATATAGCAGGCACGATCACAAGATACATGCATGCGTGCACAGATGGCAGCTAAGTAAAATCTGTGAGCCTCTGCAGCAAAGACTGGGTCGGCGTGCAAGTCTTTGTGTGAATGCATGCATTTTGTGGTGCGCAGGGCGGACCTCTTGCTCTGGTCAGTGGCCTGCAGGGGCCCGCCCTGAAAGCTCTTCCTCCGCTTGCTTGTCCTGCAAAAAGTGTAAATGCTCGAATTTTCCCAAACATTTTGGTTTTGACCCTGTCAGAGACTCTGTACAATGCCGGGCAAGTCCACAAAGAAGTAGCTCAGCAACCGATGGTTCCACTCTTTCGAAGCATATATCTCATCCCAAAGCCTCGTCGACAAGAACATCATCATCGTGATAAGCACCTTGAAGATGTTTGGACGCTGCGGTCTCCATTGTTACCCATCCTTCACTGGTCGATGCTCCCCTCCTCAAGATGCAAACCTTTCTTTTGCTGCTTCCACCACATCCGCCAACCGAATGTGGTGATAGATAATTTTCGGTGCCGAGATATAAATTATCTCTGAAATTATAGAGGCTTTGGGAGTCCTGGGGTCACATCTCCTAATATTGATGATTTGGTGCACAAGGTCAAAGCACCAGGCCTGAACCTAGGATCTTGCATGTGTCTCTTCGCTTTCCATAGAATCATCGACACACTTCAACATCACAACAATGGGCTTGCCCTTTATGATTTGCTCTGCCTCAACCGAAGTGCCAGATCAGGCAACATCGACCATGCAGCTTCGCAACCTTGGGTCAAAGGCAATGAAGGTTTCTTTGCGCGAAACGCAACCCATCTGGGTCCCGGAATGCATAGAATCTCTAACCAAATTACATCTATCGTACTCTTGGTACAAGCACATTGCAGCTTTGCTGACATCAACAGATTCCTTGCAGAGTGTGACCGTGTCTGATCGATAATTGTTGAGAGATATGCTGCCCGTGAGCCCACCAGAAAAATTATAAAAAATTTATTTTGTGTCAAACGGCGCAAAGGATCCTGTAAACGCAGTTCAACACTAATGCAGCGACCGGCATGTTCACAGATGGTTGGAAGGAGACTGTGCCGATTGTTGCAAGCGATGGCGTTGATGTCGTTGATTAGTACAGCAAAATCGGTGAAGCTGGGCAAGTATAATCCCTGCAATGAACCCGGCCTCGCAACGAGGGCAAGTCTTTCTGCCTCCTTATTCAACAGTCTTCAAGCGCTAACATCTTACTGCTGCCACGAATATGGTATATTCGTCCAGCGAAAATTTTGGGACTCGCATTTTATGCAGCAAGAGAGTAAATGCGCAGGGAAGAGGATTCTACGTGGGGATAGCCATGTGGCCGGGTGGAAAAGTAGAAGACTGGGAGCCAGCGTACAACGCAGACACAGGAATTCACGGTCTGAACCCCTGCAACGCGACCAACAACTACAACAACACTGGCCTGAGCGATGCTGCATACCTGGTGATCCCTCTCTGACCCTCATTTTCCAGGAATCCACCGTCCAGGCATGCAGTGTTTGCCCAGCGCAAATACATTCTGCACATCGTTGCGCTTCAATAGCGGGTGATGCTTTGTTGCTTTATAAAGCACGCCCTTGGCGTTATAAGCCCGAGCACCGTGCCCACGCTTGATTGGTTCGTGCTTGGATCTGGCGAGTCCATCAAGGGGTAGGATAGGCGTCAACTTGTCTGCAGACGCTCCTTGCCTCCTGGCAGGATTAGCATCTAACAGTAACATGATGAAGCAGCTTTTATCAAAGCTGCAGTGTTTGCACAGGCTGAGAAGGGAGTGGTGGTGGCAGCCTTTGAGCTGAAGGTGGATCTGCTGATGGCCATGCGCATCAATGGGTCGGACATTGACCGCCTGTTCGCCACCATCAGTAATGCTTCCAGCTCCACTCAGCATGAGGTCATCAGCACCGTCATCTTCAGGTGCAGCGCTGACATCATACCCAGCCATCCTGCCCAGCAGATTCCATCTTTGTTCTTTGATAAGGTTTTGGTATGTTTTATGAATAAGGATGTGGCGCTAAATTGCGCCCGAGCACCAAGACAACATTAGGTATTAGCAAGGCTGGGATCACACAGAAACATCATTGGGGTCTTGAATTGAATCTAGCTCAGGACTGGGTAGTAACCCCACGGAGGGCTACTGGCATGCAAGTCTGTGGCCAGCGCTGCTCGATCTAGCAAAATTGCTTTGGATCTGCAGGGCAGGATTCAGGTCAGAGGCGGTGTACATCAGGAGCGAGGATGCCTACCTGTCGCGTGGCACCGGCCGGGTAAAGAGCCTGGCACTCTCGGCCTCTTTTGGTGACCTCCTTTCACTGCCTGCTCCTATGGTCCGCACAGCATTACAAGCGTTCTCATGGTAGTGGTACCAGGTTGATTTCACTTGCTGTAGCATTGATCCCGGGCTCTGGAAAGGCTCTTGCAGCTCGCCTGCACTGCGCTGAAGCAGAGCGACATACTTGCACCATCTGCTTGTGTCACACCAGAAACTCAAAGCAATAGGCTGCTAAAAGATTTTGTAATTTTGTGGTGCAGACAAGGGCCAGTTGACGTATCTGCTGTGGGATGACGTAACCTGCAACTCATGCGGTGGCCTCACCTCCAAGCAGTGCGTCACTACCGCCACATCCCAGCCTCAGCACTCCTGCGCCGGTTAGCACTTCTCCCAAGACCTGACGTTATTCTTCACCCACTTTTGCTTAGGGCTTAGGGAATATGGATTTAGGGTTTAGGGTTTAGGGAAGGGGCCTTTACAGCAATTATTTTTCACGGGGAATGCAATGGTGGATTTAGGGTTTAGGGTCAATGAAGGGTGGATCATTCAATAAGACACAAAGTGGGTGAACTTTGATGTAAGACCCAACCTCTGCCATGCATAATGGTTCCTTGTGCAAGCTCTCGACATTGCAGGCATCAAGAAACCTCAAGTATCAGCAAACCCCTAATAAGAAGCCCCTTGAATTCCTCATTGGAGAGGCAAGCAACAAAGCATCTGGGAGTTCCCAGCCTTGCTAAGTGTCTTACGATTGCTTGAAAGCGGAGTTCTCAAAAAGCAGTGCCTGGTAGCAAGAAATTTTTCTCTCTCTTCAAGTATCAAACAGGATGACTGAATATGAGCATTGTGTGGCAAATGCAGCCACAGACGAGGAGTGTGTGACGGACGACTGCTCTCTCTCCATCTATATGGGCTTCACGGGTGAAGACCGGCATGGAGTTGCCTTTCAGACCGGCTCCCAAATTCATCGCATCAACCAATACGCGGTCTCCTCGCTCTACAATAGCTTCCTGCAGCAGGTCTGCTGCCCCAAGCTTCTGGAATCACACGCTCTCTCTCTCTCTCTCTTGCCCTGGACAGATGGTCTGTAATTTCCCCAATTTGTACCAGACTGCCCCAAAATTTGCAGGTGTATCTCTTGCAAAATATTGATCTCCTCGAAGGTGCCGGCAGGCATTGAACAGCCCAATCTGAACCATGCCTGTCCTTAAGCAGCAGAGATACAATTCTAATGCATGGAGGAGAGCAGGCCGCACATTCCCCGTCAACAAGTCTGGATCACAGACCTAGTGCTGCATGAGACATCATGGGTGCATGCTTGCGCAGGTTTCGAATGTGCTGGACAATGCGCAGCGCGGGTTTGTGGGAGAAACTCCCATCGCCGACACCGGCAGCGGGGATGCTGCATGACAGGCACTGCCTAGTGGGCACTGGCAGTACATTGGTGTGTAATTGTATGCTGGACGTGCATGCAGTTTTAGTCCATGTGATGTGCTTGTCTGCTCCCAGATTGTTATTATTAAAACACATTTTCCAGTCCTGAAGGACTACGTATGTCAAGCAACACCTGAACATCTGCTGCCATACTGATGGAAAACCTTGCATTGGATGGTTCTGTTGAGATGATGACACTGTACAGTAGATACACTGGCAGTAGATCCATACCTGACCTTGCATCGGTGATTGCATGAAATTACATGCGCAGCTATGTGACCTGGCTATCTCACATGACATCACCGCATGCATATGCCGGTGGCAGTATGATTCATGATTAATTTATATGGCATGATGCCTCACCCTTTCTGTCACGAACAACCCCAGCACACATCTTCACGCACTAGGTTAGTGATGGAATTCACCTTCTGTACAAGCTGCCTTGCCTGCGATTGCAACATGCAAGTGCGCCCGACTGCATTCCCCTAAATCTGAGGCATGCATGTGGGTGATTGGAGCACCTCCAGTCGAGTCGACACGGTCTCCGCAGACGTTCCCTCCCAATTAAGGCTCCAAGAGAAATTTATGTTTTAGAATTATCTTGAACATTCTTGTGGATATTTACAGCCTGGTGTACTTCAAGTTGATCAGTTAGCATAACACAGTCGAAAAGGGGGTTCACCGACTCCTGCCAAAAGACCCCGTTCGGACCTCGGCAGCTGTCGCCTCTGCTTTTATGGAATTATAGGTACTGGTCCGCAGATCTTGAGCTGATATGGCCCTGAAACTATTGCTTACAGACTTTTTATCGTTCGAGTGCAAATTTGCTGAGATGATGCAAGTTATTGTACAGCTTCATGGCCCTTGCTAATGTACTACTGACTAAAGTGGGAGTTACTTAAATCGAGAGGTTTTACGGAAATCCGATGGAAAATGGCTTTCACTAAATGCCCGGGAGTCACCTTAATCTGTACCTTGTCACAACAATCTCTCTTGGACGTGCAGGTGGGCTTGGCATTGACTTTCTGGGGCGGCTCGTGGGGCAACAGATGAGACTCAAGCGCAGGAGGGGCCTCGAGCTCTAGTTTTGATGGGCGCGCCAGCATGCTGTCCAGCGTGACTGGGCAGGAATGCCAGCACCAACAGGTGCAGCCTCAGCAGAGCAGATGCCCAGCTCGCCTGTGCAGGCGCAGCCCACAGAGGCGAAGGATGCAGCTTCAGAGGAGCACCAGTCGAGCAGGCAAGCTCTGGAGCATGCACAGGAATCTCGGATAGAAGGAGCAGCCTCAGAGGATTACCCACAGAGCGGACAAGCTCCGGAGCATGCGCAGGGGACTCAGGCGGAAGGTGCAGCCTCAGAAGAACACCAGCAGAGCACCCATGATCAGGATGCGCAGGCGACAGAGGCAGAAGGTGCAGCCTCAGAGGAGCATCATTCGAGCAGGCCAGCTCTGGAGAAGGCGCAGGCGACAGCAGAAGGTGGAGCAGTGGAGCATCTCAAGCAGCGCAGCAGCGACATTCCCCTGCGCCAGCGCTACAAGAAAATCCAGATGGAGAGGGAACAGCGCGCAGCACGCATCCAGGCATCAAGTCAGAGCCTCACCTTCTCTGCTTTTGCATTTGTCTCCTTCATGCTGCCGCACTGCTGATGCCTGCGGCCTGCACTGTCAGATGCTATCTGGTCTGCAAAGTGTAACTTATCTCTTAAAGCACCAGTGCATCTTTCGCACACCCTCCCGTCACATCATGCCGCTGCAGTCATATCAGTGGGACTCATAGCAGGCAGCTTCTCCTCCAGATGCAGCCTCTGCCTTTGTCTGATCGCCAGGCAGCCTGTCCAGTATTTTGTTCTAATTTAGGTGTGTTCCTCATGCTGGTGCAGGCTCGTCCGTGGGCAGCGCAGAGCCGGGGGCGGCCAGCACGGTGGTGGCGCGCATGCACTACATGACAGCGGCCGAGATGAAGTGGACGATGTCATTTCTGCACACCGCTGAGGTGGCAGCCGCAGGTGAGGTTGCCTGCCCACATCGTTTTGAAACCATCCCATGCTTTCGTGCATTTTGCTCCACTCGTCCTCAAATTTTCCATCCGCAGTACCGGATCAGCCTTCTGTAAACTGTGGCATATTTGTAGCTGCTTGCAAAATGAAAAGCAAAACTACTGTTCTTGGATTTACTCATCGATTCAAGGGCAAGTGAAGCGTGGCCTGCGGTCTTGTGAAAGGCTGAGCATGCTTGACCCTTGAAGGGTACTGCTCTTTTGGTCTCATAGCATATATATTACATGGGTCTCCACGTGAAGTCCTTGCACACATGCATGCAGTGTTTCTTGCGCTGATTCTGGTGGCCAAGCTGCGCGGGAAGGACCAGTGGCTCGCGACGCAGCGCAACCTGAGCATTGCTGATGCAGCAGTCTTTTTGTTCCTCTTCCTGTTGCTCTTCGGGCTTTTCGCTGCCTTTGCTGCGCACGTCCAATGGGCCTCAAGGTGCTCACCGCAACCAGGACGTCCTATCACCTAGGAATATGCCTGCATGCAAGGAGGATGGCTCCTGCAGCGTAGCATGGTATTGAGCCAATCAGGGACTTTGCTGTACTGTTTGTGGAACCTTGTTACACTCATCCTCAGAGAGCAGCACTGCAGTGTCTCATCTCTGGGCAGGGAAACGTTATTCTGAAGCACCTCATGTTGTGAGTCAGCGGCGCATAATCACCTGCGTGGGAGCGCGATGAGCACGCAATTGCATGCTCAGGCCACACGTTGCGCAGGCACGGCCGAGCATGGCCGCAGCGGCAGCGCCGGTCTGCGGCGATCCTGACGGTGGAGGCGCTGACTCAGATCGCCAATCTAGGCTTTGTGGTGGCGGCTGATGTGTATCTGCTGGCGCGGCCGTGCAATGTGCGCTCTGAAGTCACCTTCGGCCTCGCCTTCGGCAACTGGACCTGCTGGAACACCCTCTTCCTAATTTTGACGGTGCGTGCTGTGCTGGTGCCCCAATTGAGAGTGTAGTACTTGCACTGGGGCCTTTATTAATACAAGTGGTCCTTTGCGCTGATCTCTTGACTACCCAAGCGTGTCCTTTTCACTGAAATCCCAAGACAAGCATGTCTTATGCATGCTGCAAATGACTGCAGACTTTGAAAGACCATATTGGAATCTTTCAAAGCCTGCGCCTCTTCAATCCTATCCTGAGAATGCGTGTGCTTTGTCAGTGCAGGTGCGGGCACACAACCTGAACATGTGGCAGGACAGCGATGGAGCACCCAGGTAAGTGATGCCTGAACAACATCAAGCATATCAGCGGGCCCCCTGGCAACCAGAGCATTTGAATGGTAGGAGGATTAAGCATATTGTGTCTAATTGATCAGCAAGGGTTGATGTTGTGATGTGCAGGGGTGACCGCGCCGATGCTGTTCTCCTCGACGCCCCCTGGAGCGTTCATGCGCCAAAGCTCATCCTGTGGGCTTCAGTGGAGGTCATGAAAGCTGTGCAACTTTTACGGTAAGCAGCCCCAACCATTGACTTCCTTGTATCGATTTCCTCCTATCTTCCTGTGCCAAGGAGCTTGCACCTTGCAGCCAAGTGCCCGAGTTCACGAAGGACAAAAATATGACTGGGGGCGTACATTTTGTAAGACAGCTTGTTGATCAGCCTCCTTTAGGGTGTCGTCCAATGTGTGTGCTTTTGCGTTGGAGCTTGACAAGTGCTCTGATTGTCGAATGGTTCTTCAGAGAGAGTCCCCTGGACACTCATAACACCCACAATGTCTCTGCGTATCTCAGCATTTGTGAGAGTGCAAGATGTGCAGCAAGAGGCTGCAAGTCCAGCATGCTCAAGAATATCCCATCTCAAGTCTTCTGGTAGACAACAGCTATACTTTGCAGCAAGTGTTCCTCCGTGCTGCAGCATGTTGCATGACGGTGGTATCATGAGCGCGCCGTCCTGTAACAAGGCGTTCAGCGGGTGCCGCCACAATGCCACCTATGTTGCGCTGGCTGGCGCCATCTTTGCAGTCTTCTTCGCGTACTTCGGACTGTTCTTCTTCTACCTCGGCCGCGCCTTCCGCCAGCTGCGCGCGCACAACTACAGGTGCCAGCAGCCATTTGAAGACTGAGAATTCATTGGAAGACAACTGTTTTCAAAAGGAATTGCCACCATTCTAAGTTTATAAGTCCCAAACGTGGGTTCATGACGAGCTCATGCTCCTGCGACGGGTGGACCTGCGTCAGGCTCTGTGCTCTGGACTTTCAAGGACCCCACCTTGATTTCAGAGCAGAGGGCCTGAGGATGCGGCGCTTGTTGTAGGAGCCTCGGCTCAAGCGAGATAGGCTCTTTCTGTCCGTTTCAGGGAATTTTTGCGCACGTGACAGGCTCAATGCAGGCGGAGAGCTGTCTCTTTCACAGGATGCAGGGTGTTAATAGGCCTGTCCGGTGTGCAGAAGTTACAGGTCTGGTATCTGTGTGCCATGCATGTGAAGGGTGGATAAATCACCTGCGCAGGGATTTCCGAGTGACCAACCAGACGGCGCGCCTAATGTTGCGCACTCGGGTGACAAGCATTTTCATTTTCGCGGCCGGCTTTGTCATTTATTATTTTGTGAGAATGGAATCCTGCACTGCGTGGACGGCCTCCGCTTCTGGCTATATGCCGCTGCACTTAGTAATGACCACCAAGATAGGCGTGCTGCTGTACATGCACACGCCCTCCAATGCGCGCGGCAAGGACCATGTGCTGCGGGTGAGGCCCAAAGTGTTTGGTGCACGTGCCCTGCTTGCTCTATGCGGTGAGAAAGCTTTCGTGAGTCGCCACGAAGGCCACCAGGGATACCCCATGCTCCAGGTCAATGTGCTGTGCATGATTGGTGCCTACACAGGTCTTTAGACGTGTGTTTGACTTCCCTGGTTGTGAACACCTATCAATCAACGCATCTGTTTGGCCGGAAGGTGTTCTGTAACTGGCTATCGTTGCCTGACAAGTGCTCGGTGGCCTGAGCGGACGCAGCCACCTGAATACCATTCTTTTCTTACTTAGTCCCACGGAGACAATTTACAACCTACATTTTCTGTCCAGGTCTGGCTGGAGCAGTTTTCGTGGACGGAAGCGGCCAAGCCAGGGAAGATGGAGCAGCGGCGGCAGCAGCTTCCGGCTGACAGCGCTGCAGGGAATGCCATGCATCGCGAGCCCATGTTCTGCTTCGAGACGGCCATCAAGCTCTACTATTTCTCCCACATCATCTATTACTACGAGAAGGTGTGTGCCTTCTTGAGTATGTTGCAAATAGATGATTAGTCCGCCCATTCTAGAGGAGCGCCAGATGAAATCCGTCCCACACTTGTCGAGGCCTGCCCTAATGTACATCGAGCTGCAGATGCAGGGACTGGGGAGTTCAAAACAGCAAATGCACACATAGATAAAGAATAGTGACTAGGAATTGTTCAGCCAAGCGCCTACGAGGGGACGACTTTAGTTCAGATCATCAACCAGAAAGTAGAAGCAGGCTGCATGTGGTGCAGGATCCCACCGTATGCATTACCAAACCCCCCAGAGAAGCAATGAATGACAAGACAGGCGCGAAATGCATTTTTTGCACTTCACTGTATGCACTTTGACGCCGGTCTTGTTGCATAATGCTTTTCTGGGCTGTTGCCACTGTGATATGCTTAAGAGTGGCAAATACGCACAATTTGCCCTGAGCCTGGCGAGCTTTCTTGACACATCTGGGGTCTACAGCATGAGACGACTCCATTGCTTCCATGGACCACTCCTGGTTGTACTGCGCTGCGTCCTTTCAGTATCATGGCAAACATCCCGAATCAAAAATAAATCTAAATCTAAATACGCTGCTTGCCATGCAGCTGGACGGCGTGCTGCCGGAGTGTGCGGCATGTGCCAACAACCCGGTGGAGCATGTAGGCATGAACAGGGAACGCCTTTCGCAGACGATCGACCACCTGCGGCCCCGCCTTAGTCATCTCAATGACATCAGCGGCCCGGTGCCACCGCCTGATCGTGCGCTGGAGCCCCCGCCCTTCGCCACCCACCTGTCCGGGGTTCGCGACCTTCATCCCTCATTGGGCACGCCTGAGACATTCGTGCTAGGACAGATCCATGATGGGCACTGGCCATATCTCTTTGGGCGTCTCAAGTGTCTTGCTTAATGGGCGTGGTCTGCTCTGTATCACATCTCATGCAAATCTGGCCTGGACCTTGTTCATCTGCCACATGCTGTTGCGCAGAAAACCGGCAGATAGACAAATTTAGACTGGATCTGTGTGCGATGTTCTCTTCTGCCATTTTCTCAATTTCTCTCTGGTGCTGACGCTTCATTTACATAGAGCAGTGCACCAAGTTGCACTTCTGCTCGTATCCCAATCTTGTAGCCCTTATATTGATAAAATGCATGATGTCGCAGGGGGTGAGTAATCGCACAGTGTGCCCAGAGTGCTGCACCGAGAAAGACCCGGCAACAACCCCTGGCGGGGCGGCGGCAGCTGCCGCGAAGCTGGACTCGCTGGATTTTGCGCTCGGATTGTACAAGCTCGAGGACCTGGAGATGATGTGGGAGAGAAGATGGGACACTGTGGCGCTGGTCGGCTGGGGGCCTGGTCGCATCGTTGTGGTCTTTCGCGGCACTACCACACTCAAGAATGTCTTTGCCGACCTGCAGGCATGTCAACCGTGCATACTGTGCCAGGGTCTACCTAGTAAAGAGCAGTTTCTCTTCATGCGCAGTGTTGATTCAACACTTGTGAAGCTCATTTTGGAGGTGGAAACATCAGCTGATTAAGGCAGCATTTGAAGCTTTCGATTATCTTCTCTAGCCCACTAGTGTACCACTAGAGCATGATCATGAGAGGGCTGCTTGTCATGGTTGTCACGGCAAATGTCAATCTCTCCCTGGCAAAGAGAGGGGCTAGGGATAAATGTAGAGTGCCGCAACAGCCATGTCCAGTCGTGTCTGGCAGAGTCTTGAAGGGTTTCCAAAGCTTTGGTCCAAGTATATTTGTCTGAAAGCGCAATGCGCTGGGCTGGCGTGGCACGACGATTGTCATTTCCTCCTGGCAGTTGCTGTAAGATCATAAGGAATGCCAGGAACCACGTGGGATATTCAAAAGTATAAGCATACATACTCACCGTCTGAGAATGTGCTGCGCTGTGCTGTGCAGGCGTGGCAGCGCGCGTACCCGCCCGGGCGCAGCGGCCGGCTGCTGGGCCGCCTGGCAGTGCACAACGGCTTTCTGAAGTCCTACATGGCCAACAGCTTCAGCGAGCGCATCGTCAGCAAAGTGGTGGACGTCGTGCGATCCCACAACTGGCCCAGCACTCAGGTTAGCAAGTAGCGCTGCAACCCTGCGGCATGTGGAACGCGTGGTCTCTGCCTTCTTCATTAGTATCGTTGTTGGCAGTCAGCGAGTCAGAGCAGCAAAATTGCATGCTCACCCGTCCTCGCTGCAACATAGAATGCTGAAAAGGTGATTGTCTGGCTCAACATCTCAGCCAAAAGCCTTGCGCATGAGCAGCATTACAGACAGAGCTCACAACAGGCAGATTGCCACAGCAACTGGCACAGTAATCAGTCACCACCTTGTGTTACATAGGGAAGGTTTGGCGATCACCTGAACAGGCATCACTCCAGGAGGTCACATCAAACCACTGCCATCTTCTATGCAGGTGTTTGTCACCGGGCACTCCCTGGGCGGCGCACTGGCGAATTTGGCGGCGTATGACATCGAGAAGGGTCTAAAATTGGTGGACAGAAAGACGACGGTGTCGTGCTACACATTTGGCGCCCCCCGCGTGGGCAACTATGCCTTCGCGCACGAGTACACCGCCAATGTACCAGATACCTGGAGCATCATCAATGACCAGGTGGGCTGAACTGACTTGATTTTTAAATAACAAAATTCTCAAATTCAAAAAAGAAACAAATAAAATTTTAAAGGAGTCATCCGATGCGTGGGCAACGTGCCCCGGCCTATTGCATTTAGGTCGCCCTTGTTGTTGCATAGAGTCTCAGGTAGCTAGCTCGGAAGACATCTTTGGGATTTGTCCAACCCCGCGCAACGCATGGTCTTTCGTTTCTAATATGCTATGCTGCAAGCTGCCAGCCTTTTCTAAGGTGCTTCGCATTACAACCTGCAGGTTACTTTATTGCAGGAAGCATCCACAGCTTGACTAAAACGAGTGAAGTATGAACCCTTCCGGGGTAGAGCCCTGGCAGTGTCTCAATCTGATGGATAAATAAGGCCGCGAGCATGTATCCCAATGATGGTGACATGTGCAAGGAGAGTGAAATTGCTGCATGCATGCATGCAGGATGCGGTGGCGCGCAACGCGAAATTCTGGCTGCTGTACAAGCGGCCGGGGCAGCGAGTGCTGATCAATGATCGAGGTGACATGCTCGTGCGGCCGTCCTTCGCAGAGCTGTCCATGCAGCAGTCGCCCTTCCTCACCTCCCTCTCCCAGGCACGCTACTCACCCTTTCTAACTTCAACAATCTCTGACTTGATGAAATGAACAAGGCGTCCGGCGTTGCATCAGTCTGTGCATGAGCATTGTCTATGCAGGATAGGTATGTGGATAGGTTGCATGGGTTGCATGTACCTTACGGGCAGATCTTCCCTGAAACTCTGTGCCGCTGAGCAATATGCTATAATAGAAGGGCAGTCCCTGTGCAGTTGGTCTCTCTTCCTAGCCTGCCTCACCCAGGAGCGCTGTCCCTTATCCACTTGCACCTTGCGCATGCGGCAGAAAATCTCAGCAGCACATGTTAGAGCCAGCTGCTCAAAATTATTCAATGTGGAGTAATAACCTGTCAGAGAGCATAGGATAGCCAAATGGCTGCTAATTTCTGAATTCTGTGCCTTGCAGCACTACTTGTTGTCCTACCGCGACTCGCTGGCTGCCGTCTGCTCTGCGCAGATGAACCGCAAGAAACGCGTTCAGGTCAGTCTCTCACCGCAAACTCCCCCCGTCTTGTCATCTTAAGCATCTCTTGACCGGCCAAAAATATATTCACATACCCAGACGGACTCACCATCAGTTCCTGCATGCTTACAGACTTATTGCCATGTCTAATTTGGGAAAGAATGCCTTGTAATAGACAAGTAGAGGGTTTTATCATTGTTCATGCGGATGCAGGGTGGCCTGGCGGGGGTGATGGTGTTATTGGAGGGAGATGAATTCGTGCGGGGAATATTGGAGCCTGCCGGGCTGACGCTGGCGGACGTGCGCAACCGCAACCTCATCTCTGGCAAGTCCCCTCTGCAGGAATGCCCCTGGACGGCCTCGCGCCAGCTGTCACGCCATTGCTCCTCAGCCGTCAGGTGCGCCTGTTTTGGCTGACAGACCTGTTTGTACGCCTCTTTTGTGCAAGGGCTTTCAGGCACAGTTTGAAGCAACACTCTGTCATTATGGGAGGGCAGATTCCTCCTTTGCATGGACCTCTCGCAGGTGAAGCGCGTGTCGGCCCAAAAGATCTTCAACGCCTCACCAAGAAGATATCATTCAAATCCTCGTTCATCTTGTAGCAGGCAATCAAGTACAGTTTGATTATTCCAGGCTATGATTCCTTCCAGCCGGGCATAATCAACAGCAGTGCTGAAGTGCTCTCTTTGCAGAGACTGATGTGGGTGGCTGACGCAACTTGCCTCCGATTCCTTCATGCAACGACAGAATCAGCTTTAAGTTCTAGTGATAGTGCGATGGTTAAGCCGCTCTTTTGGCTAGTGTTCCTTACTTGTAAGTTTCTGAGCGCTGTGTGCGCCGCAGGCCCATGAGCACTGTTGCAGAGCAGCCGGTGTCTCCCTTCCACGAGGTGGAGCTATCACCTGGGCTGAAGCTAGCGCGGTCGAGCGCCGCCCCGGCCGAGCCGGCCGAGGAAGAGCGCGCGGATCAGCCGCAGCCGTCGATGCGGCGGCAGCACACCAAGCACACCAGCAACGACTTCTGGTGGACCGCGCTGCCCAAGAGGGTCAGCAGGTGAGTTGCAGATCCCGACACATAAAGTCCTTGTTGATGGAGTGAACCTGATCAGAGTGTGCCAGATCATTATGTCTTGACCACCTCTACGTGGGCGTCTTGCTCCGCACCATGCAGAGCGCTTGCTTGCTTTGCTCTGTCCAAGTCATGCGAAGCCTCAAGGATATTGGCCGAGTCTGCGTGGTGCGTTGGCACTTTGCTCAGGCCTGGGTTTCAATATACTCAATGTAGTAATTTAAAAAATCAAGCAGAAGCCGTTGCAGATTTGCTTATTACTATTCTGCTCCCTGCAGCCGTCCGTTAGGCCCGCAGATGACGGCCTCTCTGGCCGGCCTGCCGCCGCGGCCGGCCCCGCCAAAGCAGAGCGCGGTGTCAAGACAAGTGCAGAGACTCTCGAGAGCCTTCTCTGGCTTTGCATTCCTGCACGGCGCGGACTCGAGCCATTCTGATAGGCACCATTCCCTCGGTGCAACAGCCAGCGTTCTCGCAGGTTTAGCAGAACTGCTGCGAGGCAAAACACCGACGCCGTTAATCGCCGCAGCCGCGGCCCCGGCACAGGAGGAGGAGGTACACGCCGCAGACGTGCAGTCAGCGGCGCCGCTCCGGGGGGTCCGGTTTGTCGGTGGCGAGCGGGGGTTCCCTGGGGGGTCTGAAGGTGGGTTTAAGCCGTTGTCGCATGAGGAGCTGGCTGCCAAATTGGGCAACATGGAAGCCGGCCTGCACGTGGCTGCTCCGCGCGCGAAAGAGCAGATAGCAGGGATTTGACTGGCCACACCTCATCTTGCTGGTCAGTTGTATAAGTAGCTGGAAACATATTTTTGAACCTGCAACAACTTAGGAACTGAGAACTCTTCCATTTGCAGATAAACATTATGTAACACAGTCGATATTGTGGTACTACCATCTATTAGAGATGTGCGGCACGGGTCCAGTGTGTAGCTCGCATGGTCATCGAACAATCACGCCCGCCGCAAGAAAGCGAGTTCACCGCTGATTAGATTGGTTCTAAATTCGCCATGAAGTTGATGCAGACTGTTTCAGCATGGAGTCCCAGCAGAGTATAATGACAGAGGTAGCCATTCAGGCTCTGCCGTTCAGCGATCATTCTATGAATATGTATCTATACATTAATGCAATATCGAAGAGTTCAGCAGTACTACTAGTGCCCTGTACCATTGTGACTTGCCTTTTGAGTGCCTGATCAGTCAGGTGGCTCAAATGCCCAAATCTAATTCGAACAAGCATTTGGTTATAATTTTGAGGCTTCCAATCATCAACTTCTGACGCTTTTGCTTGCTGCTTTCGTCCAGCACACTCTGTAGGAATCGGCTGTGCGTTGGTGCTGCATGCCACGTACTGTGTTGATCTGATAATATGACTCTTATGAATGTGAGGCCCCAGGGGGATTAAGGAAAGCCCAGTGGTGCGGCAGCCCAAAGGACGAGGCTGGTTTTGTAAACTCTCAGTTGAGTCAGCTTGCAAGTGTATTCATATAACGTATGGCCGGCTTTTACTGCCACTGTGGTTCAGTAGTAATGGTCTGACCACAGCCCAGTTGGCAAAGGCAGGTAATTACGTCACAAGGTGTAAATAATTGTTATCTGCCATTCTGATAGTGCTTCAATTAGAAATATGACTTTCCCAAACATAATTCGGGCTGTGAATGACCCATGCGCCTTGAAGCCCCGTTGGACGTTGACCGAGCAGTAGATGTAACGCATCCTTTGCAAATGAGCACAGCATTGCGTTTCCGATCAAACCGCCGGTTCCTGCACAGGTTTACGGCAGATGATTCAAGTACGTTACAATGTTTTCGGCATGCAGGCGTTGCAGTAAAGTTGCGTGTGCCCAAGGTGAGACCACATCTAAGGTTACGAGAGAGCTTGGAGCGCAGGCTTAAAGGAATGGGTACCGAGCTGCGCAAGTATTTTTCGAACGTCGACCTCGATTTGCCTTTCACGGGCAGGTTAGTCACCCCATCTCAATAATAACAGATCAGCAGCTGCCGCGGCATTCGACGCCAGCCTTCGTAAAATCTTGCTCCCGCCCTTCCTTGGCACTATAAAATCCTGATGAGCGACGAAAATGTCACACATATCTGAAAACCATCCCAAAGGCTGAGGAAACGAGCGCCGTCGTCTGCATACCGGAATCCTAAAACGCGGACCTAGGACCTGATACTCGCGGTAAGCAATCAGAAGGGTGTGTGCAACACGCCTGTTGTTGTCGCATTCTCAAACAGCCATCTTTGAGGACTGCAATGATTAGTTTGTATTGCTGGTACTGTGACAAGGTTTCACCGGTCACCTCAGGATGTGCAGTGGGGTGTTGGCAGGTAGAGGGTTGGTCGATCCCAATCAAAATGGCTTCACCGCAAATCAGATTCATCCTAATATGCGCACTGGTCATTGCGTCGAGCGCAGCAGCCCAGCAGGTACGCCAAACCGGACTGTGCGGATCTCCCCATAAGTTAATCCGAGACAGCACTTAACGCATTTATGGAAAAACTCAAGAATAAAATTTGAGAATGCACAATTGGAAAAAGGATTTTTTTCACTTGATCCAGGAAAAGTCAACCGCGACGAGGTACTTTTCCCAGAAGTTTTCCGCTGTCGCCGGCGAGACGTACCCTGGGGGCACCTACAAGTTCAGCAACGTCGCAAACTTCCCCGGGTCGTCAGCAATCTCGGCTTCCCTGATTACCCTCGTGCCAGGTGGACTGAGAGAGCTGCACTGGCACAACGCCAGCGAGTGGGCGTACGTCCTCAACGGCACCTGCAGGTGGGAAACTTTATTTGCACCCTCCTTCACAGTGGACCTCTGTAGGTTGTCTTTCCAGCATATTGGATGCACGAGTTACCCCCAAAATCAGTGCAAGTCAGGAGGCCGCTCCTGCAAAGCTCCATCCTGTAAAAGACATCATGCCGGCCATGCTGGATGTGAGTGTTCCAAAAGGACTAAGGATCTGCATGCATTATCTGGAAGTCTGCGGCGCACACAGATGTCAACAGCAGGAATGTGATGCAAGCAGCACACTTCAGTGAAGGGAATTCTCTACGGGGATTCTTGCAGTATTACTGCGTACTTGAATCTGAATGTGCGCTGACGGCGTTACTGCTGTGCTGTGCAGGGCCACTGTGATGGAGAGCACGATGCCCGGCGCCCAGCGGCCGACAGAGACATGGGACTATGGCGCCGGGGATATTTGGTATTTCCGCCCCAATGAGGCCCACATGGTGCAGGGCCTCGCTCCCACCGGCTGCACCTACCTGGCAGGTGAGTGATCTCCAGATCCCTTGCACTGCAGACACATCTCATGGGCAGATTTCTGCTGTTTGAATCGCTTGTGCTGGCATTGCTGACTCAAAAGTGGATGCTGCAGACACCAGACACAATGTACTGATGCATGCCAAACCGCAGATGTGTACAGTCCAGGGCCTTAACCAGAACCTTCTGATTTGAATGGAGCAGAAGACATCATGGAGGCTAAATCCCGGTAGCCTTTGTCAAAGAATAATAGGCTTCATCACTGGAGGCCTCAGTTTTGCCAGCTCCTGCATCTTGAGACTCAGCTGCAGAGAACAGAAGCAATGCAATGAGCCCGTGAACTGACATGCTGGTGGATTCGCGCGCAGGTTACAACGACGGCGCTTTCGACGACAAAAAAGCCCTGAGCATGAGTGCGTGGGCTTCAACGCTCCCACCCGAGATCTTGGCAGAGAGTCTCGGCGTGAACACATCAGACATCAATGACGGGATATCCGCGAACACATTCACCTTCCTGCCCCTGGGGCCCGTTCCGGATATCTCCCTCGATGACTTCCGGAACACCATCGCTCGGCCGCCGGCGCTGGCCGTCAAGCAGACTCACCGCTTCCAGGTGTCGGAATCCATACCCCTGGTGAGCCCCTTTTTCTCATTTTCACATTCCCTTTATGCCATAATAATTGCCCAAGTGGCAGTGTTTCTGCTGCTCAGACTCCCGAAATGCGAAAGACCAGTGCCACGCATGCATATACACTACTCCTGGAAGGTGTATGGGGTGTAGCGAAAGCACAGATGGTAGCGCCGAGCGCTGACCGTGCGCTGCCAGCTGGCAATGAGTCATTGACAGTCAACGTGACCAACTCCGGCCTGTTCTGGCAGATCGACGCCGCCGGCGGCTGGGTGCGAGAGGCGTCAACCGAGCTGTTTCCCATCGCCAGTGACATGAGCGGCGCCGTCATCAGATTTGCTCCGGGGGGACTGAGGCAGATCCACTGGCATCCCAGCCTCAGCGAGTGGCAATTTGTCATCAACGGCACTCTGCGGGTGAGGCATCCATGCATGTATCTGGTATGAAATAACCTGCAGCTTTGCAGCTGGGCATGCGATGCCCTGCGTTGTCCTTGCAGATATTGCCTGGATCAGTGTAGGCAAAATAACGCTGTCCACCAACCTTCGCAGCAGTGCAATGGTCCTTCCTTCTGTGTGTTTTGACATTCCGGGCAGCTGCAGAAAGAGAGCACTCGGGCCAGGAACGGTGATGCAGTGTGCTGTGTGCTATCACCTGCACCATCTCAAAAGCCAGAGATCTGAAACAGAAAAGGTCTAGCAACAATGACAGTTTATCAGGCGATCAAGCTGAGAGCAAGTGGCAGCTCTTGAGACCCAGAATTGCTGCGCGCAGGTGGGTGTATTCTTGGAGCCAGGGGTGTTTGAGGAGGCTGTACTGGGCGCGGGCGATGTTGGCTATGCGCCGAAGGGGTCCGGTCACTGGCTGCAGAATCCGTCGGAGACAGAGGATGCGTACTGCATTCTCATCTTTGACGACGGCCCCTTCACCAGCATCGAGCTGCCCTGGGTCCTTGGCAACGTCCCCTACCAGGTAACTATTTGTCTCTCCTGTTTCTTCAGGTTTGTTCTGTCTCAGAATGTGGCAGACTCAGTGGGAGGGAGATCAGCATCAGCGATGAGCTGCCAAAGCCCCTTTGGTCAGCAAAGTCTACAGGAAACATCATCAAGCTTGGCCAAATTGTGAGGCATGCCCAGTAGCAATTTTTTTCAAGGTATTCCGGCAAGCTTAGCAGTGCAAGGCATGTCTGTGGGCATGATCAGACAATTCTTGGGCTGCAGGCTGCTTGCACAGCATGCTTTTTGGTATGCCAGTGCAAGGTCGTCCGTGCTAAGAGATGCTATGTTGTCAAATACGCTAGCCATCTGATGAGTATTTTGACGTTACTGGTGTTTTCATGTGCAGGTGTCTGCCACCACGTTGAACAGCACACTGGCATTTGCACAGTCCATCAGCTACAGCCAGCCCTCCATGGCTGGACAGAACATCAACAGCTCCTAATTCTAGGATCCCAGTACATAGACAGTGTAAATTCCAGCTAAGGAGCACCAATGCAGCAGCAGCCACCTACTTACCAGTACTTACCAGTACTGACAGCAGCAGCCATTGTAAAAGCGCTGCATTTTTGGCACGCAGGACCCTTCATGATGGAGCACCCTGAGCTTTTTTTTAAGAAATGAATGTGTTGAAATAGTAGTTGAGACTGAGAACTTGAGAACTCTGAGGCTTGCGCAAAGTGCCTCGGCGTAGATCAGAAGTGCTGCACATGACATTCATGGGAACGGTTTTTATGCTGTAGTACTGTCCCAGAATCTCGAGTGTGGTCTTTTTAGGCCAGCTGCCTCTGCCGGCATGCCAGGCTGCCATGGCAAGCATTGCATCACTGTAGCGATGAATATTGATTTGAGATATTGGACTGCTGACATCAAGTTGCTCTACAGAGCAAGCGCCAAAAGTATGGGGGAAGGGCTGCCTCGCAGTGGAAGTAGTTATTGTCACTGCCTGCCTACATCCAAAATGTTGAGCTAGCAGTTGTGAAGGCTGCTTGAATGCGCCTGCGTGCGGCCAGACTATTGCATGCATCAATAATATTACATTAATGTAGACAGGCGTGACTACCTAGGTTCAAGCTATACAATGTAATCATTATGTGATACCGATTGGTATAAATATCCTCTACTTGCAGTTGCTCTTGAATTTCGCTTACGCAATTGGCATCCATGCGTATGCAATGCAGCGCGCAGAAGGGTGCCGCGATTGCTGTTCACTGTGGCACATGATCATGGTGAAAGGCTAAACCATGCGCGGTGCATGCGCATCGGCGGTGATGCGGCGAATGATGCATGTGCATGGAGTGAAGCCGTTCATGTGCTTAAGATTTTGATGCATACGCCAGACAGTTGACTGAATAACATTTCCAGCAGGTTACTAACTGTCCTGATGCAGTTCGTATGTCAATGCTGGTGCCTGCTTAGGCAGTTTCCTCCCAGTGCGTGAACCGGTTCGTCATGATGCCGAGATTATCTGTGCTTGGTGGTGCAATATATCAATGTGAAACAAACACAACAGTGAATCAATTGCTTTAGTTGTTTTACGTGGGGGATAATTCGACAGCATCATATCACTGGATTGTGCTTCAATTGTATGTTAGCTAAGAATATTCATTAACCAGATAAAGCCACTGTGATCCATTCAGAAACTGAAGAAAGCATTCTCCTAGATTCATAATCCTTTGTACGATCACAACAGTATGGACCACCCCAAAAGGCTCACTGTTGCAATTCCAGACGCACAGATCGCTGACCTGAAGTCCAGGTTGAGTCAGACTCGCTGGCCTGATCAACTTGAAGGTGTGGGATGGGAGTACGGATCCGAGCTCAGCTACGTGAAGGTGATCAAGTGCTACATACCATGTTGCTTGAGAGACTGCACCTCGGAGCGTCCCGCATGTGCATCCCCATCGTTTGCACACGCAGCATTATGTTGTGGCAAGCACCTTCCAGGTATCCCTCCGCTAATATAACAGTAGAAACGGGATGCAAATGTAGGAACTCGCGGAGTATTGGCAGAACACCTTTGACTGGAAGAAGGCTGAGGCATCCCTGAACTCCTTTGCCAACTACGAGATGCGGGTGAATGGGATCGAGCTGCACTTCATCCACGAGCGCTCGACAGACGCAGACGCAATTCCCATCCTGCTGTCGCATGGCTGGCCTGGGAGCGTCTTTGAATTCCACAAGATTATCAGGAAGCTCACCACGCCAGGTGAGCCTCCTAGCGCCCTCCATTGGAGATAAATACATTACCCCAATCCTCCTGTACCGCCCTTGAGAGTGCACTCGATTGGATTTCTAGAAAAGCAGTCCTGGACTTAATGGAGCGGTTTGGTGCCTCAGCAAGACAGACTATTGCCACATGACAGGGCAATCTTCACAATCTTACACGTGCTGCTGCTACCAGATTGATTACCTTGACAACTACTACTAGTACAGCGATTACTAGTTACAATGGTTGCTTTGTGCAGGTGCAAATGGGGGCAAGAAACAGGCCTTCCATGTGGTGGCTCCCTCGCTGCCGGGCTATGGCTTCTCATCGGCACCGACAAAGCCCGGCTTTGGAGTGAACCAGATCGCGGCCACCTTCGATGAGCTCATGGTCAAGCTTGGGTACAGCAGCTATGTCGCACAAGGTGCGCACATGCCACAAGATAATTGCCATTCTCAAGGCTGTCGTCAGTCACTGGGGCTGAAAATTTTGTGTTATACAAATACTTGTAGCTTGTGACCTTGCATGCATATACATGCAAGGTCTCAGGGGCTCAGATGGATAACAGGGAATCTCTGCTTTTGGCGCTATCACTGGTGAGGAGGAGTTGGGCGCATCAGGGGTGGATTACTCAGGGTTTGTGAGCGCGTGAGGAGGCTATTTTGAGGGTCAGTGAGTGCATGAAGGGGTTTACTGATGGTGAGTCAGCGCGCAGGTGGCGACTGGGGCAGCGCCATAACCACGGTGCTGGGCGCGCTGCACTCGGAACACTGCAAGGCCATCCACATCAACCTCTTAATTGCGTCCCCCAGCCTATTAAACCCCTGGCACCTGGCCCAGGTGCTGACAACTCTCTTGAAGGAGGGCTCCATTCCAGTATTCTTACTATTATTATTATTATTACACGCTTCTCCTGCCAGAAGCAGGGTGCGTGTGCAGAAGGCTGTAAAATTTTCTGCCTGTCGGACTTCCCTATTTCTATGTCAGGACAGTTGGAGCCTGAGATCCCTATGAACCATAAATATTGCCCGACGCTGGCAAAGACAAGCCGGGGTGTACCTCCTTGGGTTGACGCTCTGAGGTACTCTCATCATTGCTTCTTCTGGAGTTGGCAGCAGAGGAAGACAAATCTGGCAGAATTTGGTGAAGTCAATGGTGGAAGGGTGAAGTCCAATAGGGAAAGGGTAATTTTTATGAAAATTTTGGCTGAGTGGGCTTTTGGTGCACCCAGATTGCCAATGCGAGCCTGCCCATCGCCAACTGGTTCCCGCTCTTCATCAGCTTCCAGGAGATGGCCTGGCTCAGAGCCTCAAAAGACTTCAGGGACAAGGAGACGGGTGCGCATCCCTTTGACTCTGTCTGTCTGTGTTGACTGCTTGAGCTGGCATGCATAGCCCTGCTTGACCCCGTCTGGACTTGCTCCAATCGGACTGACTACAATTGGAGGGCCATTCTGTTGTGCTTCTGGAAATGAGGTTGTTCCCAGACGACATGGAGCTGGCTGTCAGGGTTTTCCTGACCTGGATGATAGCCGTGGCCTGTATTGTGGGCTATAGTTGCGCCTGGTACTACCTTTTATTCAATGTTTGCCAGACTTGGGAAGGGGATGTGCGCCAAAATTCCTTAAGCATGGGTGAGTTATGCACGTGCTTGCTGTGCAGGGTACTCCAAGATCCAGGGCACCAAGCCTCAGACGCTCGGCTACGCACTGAACGACTCCGCAGTCGGTGAGCATCCGACCTTCTTTGTACTTCAGTGGCTATTAGGGGTAGGCGTTTGGGTGTCTAGCCATTACTGACTCACATCTGAAAATGACAACGCGCAGCACACAAGGCCACAGACGGGCCTGCTCACTTCTTGCAACAAGCCCAAATGCATGAAACCACTTGCTTAGTGTAGAAAATCTTGGCTTGCAGCAGCAGTATGTGCCATGTACAGAGCCAGGCTTGCACACACTGTAGTAATCATTTCTAAAATCCGCAATAAACAATTGTCTTGGGCCAGAAAGGGTGGATAAATAAGATCCTATCTCCCAAAATGCAACCTTTGATAATTAATTTTGAGACCAGATTCGAAAAGCTTTTGAGAAGCCCAATCCAATGGAGCATGACCCTGGTATTTTTGAAGTCAGAAAGGTCGCTAAAAGTTGCTTTGATATATTCTACGCACCGCCGAGGGTGCGGGTTTTAGAATGACTACTACAGTACCTGTGAGCATGCTGTCATGGGTCACACCAGCTGGAGGTCATCTGGTTACTAAAAGACCAGAGAATTATATTTGTGGCGGCACTTGCTGCGCAGGGCTGATGGCGTGGATTGTGGAGAAGTTCCGCACATGGAGCGACTGCGGCGGCGACGTGGAAAGCCGGTTTACTAAGGATGAGCTGCTGACTAACGTGAGCCTGTACTGGTTCAACCAGAACATCACCTCCAGCACTCGCCTGTACTACGAGACCATGGGCCCCTTTGCGACAAAGACCTTCCACCGAGGTCCTGTCAAGGCGCGCACCCAGTTGATCTTACTTCTCACAGGGCTCTTTTTCCTAGCTCTTCGCATAAGCTGTCTGCCTTTCTCGTTGAGTAAGGATGATACTAGACGGCTTGACTTTTTTGTGTGTGTTTGTCTGTGTTTGTCCGGTGCACTTGTCACCGGGTCCCGAGATATTTGCCAGCCTTAGGTGCCTGTTTTGGAGCTTTGTATGGATTCGGCATTGCTTGTGTGGCGTTCTGCATGCATGCTTCTCAAGCAGTGACAAGGGGTGATTGATCCAAGAGCGTGCAAAAACCCCATAGCAGGCCTTTTCAAATGCAAGTGCAGCTATTGCAGCAGCAAGGCAGAGTGTGCAGTTGCTGGATGCAGCATGCACTTCGTCTAGCATATGGTACATCACATGACTGCAGTTCAAAGGCACATGACTTTATGTCTGGCAATGCCTGCAGGTACCCACGGCTGTGGCGAACTTCCCCAAGGAGCTCTTCTGCTCGCCCAAGGCCTGGGCAGCCTCACAGTACAACCTGAAGCAGTGGTCCAAGTTCCCCTCGGGCGGCCACTTTGCAGCGCTGGAAGAGCCTGATTTGCTGGCAGAGGACATCCAGAAATTCTTTGCCGAGTATCATTGATTTGTTTTGTGTGCTTTGAAGGCTCCTGAAGCAAGGGGCTGTGCTGTGCTGTACATGTGTCGGTGTCATGGTCTCCTCGGTTCCAGGATAATGTGATGCCGCTCTGCTCTGTCAAACGTTTGTAGCAAAGACATAGAGAAATTGGCTTCCAGATCACAGTTTGCTTCATTCCTACTGCATAGCATCAGCAGCATCAGTGTTAGAAATGAGCTTTGTGGATTACACTGGTTTCAGGCCAAAGCATGTGATCACGATTAGGGAAATAACAGATCATTCATGAGACTGATAATTGTTGCACACGGCATGTTTGTAATATATCTTTCTGTCAACTTTGAATTCCAATGTCACACTCTTTTCTAGAAGATCTGCATTTGCTTGAATGTTTTTAGTTTCTAAAATTTTGAGTCTTTCTAGCTATCAGCAAGCTTGGCCAAACTGTGAGGCATGCTCAGTGGCATAATAAATTTAGATTCTCTGATAGTATCGCAGTGTAATGCATGATTGTGTACTTCTCAGACTGCGAGCTGCGTGTGCTCCATGTACCTGTCTCCCTTGTGCCAGTCCAAGATTACCGGTGTGACATGCAAATTTAGAAAACGCGTTAATGATCGCAAAAAAAATCTGAATCCACTCAGTCCTTCCCTGTGCAGGTGTCCACCACCATGTTCAATAAAAGCGTGGCATTCACACAGTCCATCAGCTACAGCGAGCCATCCATGGCTGCACCCGTGGCCGGGGGGACCCGTCAGTGATCATGAAGGATGTTGAATGAGCCTGACTTTTGTGTGAATCAGCAGTGTAGGCGAGTATGACTGCTTAACTCAGTAATGATCAGATCATGTGATGTTGCAAAGTCATCAAAGAATATGTTCTATAGCGAGTAATGCCGGAATGCACTATAGCCTCGGAGGCTGTAGCTACAACAAGCGCATAATAACTAGATAGCTAAAAAGCATGGCGCTCATGGGGTCCGCATCCCTTAGCAGCATGCAGAAAGTGCTTCAATTGCTATGAGAATAGACCGTTTACTCAACATGTGTTGGTGCCAGCACGTCACCAACTGTCCTGACGAAGTTCAAATCCCAATGCTGGTGCCTGCTTACGGCAGGTGCCTCACAGGGCGCGTCCGTTATGAGACGTGCCGCGATGAATCCAAGAATATCTAGGGAGGTGCAACATTCTAATTTGAAATTTCAGACCAGTGAACTAATTGCTTTGAATCTTCTCAGAAGCGTAGGGTACAATTCAACAGCATAGCAGTCCTGCGTTGTGCTTCAGTTGCATGTTAGCCGGGAATCTTCAACAGCCAGATAAAGCCACTGTGATCCATTGAGAACTGTAGAAGGGCTTATTCTTGGGTCTCTAGATCTTTGCAAAGAACATACAAGCATGGCCCACCCCAAAAAACTCACTATTGCGATTCCAGATGCACAGATCGCTGACCTGAAGTCCAGGTTGAGTCAGACTCGCTGGCCTGATCAACTTGAAGGTGTGGGATGGGAGTACGGATCGGAGCTCAGTTACGTGAAGGTGATCAATTGCTACATATCATGTTGCTTGAGAGACTGCACCTCGGAGCGTCCCGCATGTGCATCCCCATCGTTTGCACACGCAGTATTATGTTGTGGCAAGCACCTTCCAAGTATCCCTCCGCTAATTTGAGAGTAAAAATGGGATGCAAATGCAGGAACTCGCAGATTACTGGCAGAACACCTTTGACTGGAAGAAGGCTGAGGCATCCTTGAACTCCTTTGCCAACTACGAGATGCGGGTGAATGGGATCGAGCTGCACTTCATCCACGAGCGCTCGTCAGATCCCGACGCCATCCCCATCCTGCTGTCGCATGGCTGGCCAGGCAGCGTTTTCGAGTTCTACAAGATCATCAGGAAGCTCACCACGCCAGGTATACCTCCCCATTCAAATTCCCGCAAAATGCCCTGCGTGCCTCACCCCAATCCTCTCAAGGCGCTTGTCAGATTGCACCTCATTGGCTCTCCAAGTAAAGCTGGACCCCAAGGACCTATCCATAGCAGCTGAGGGGTAGCATCAGTAGCTTCGGCAGTTTAGCATCACATGCAGGCTTGGAAATGAGGCACTTTGAGTGCCGTTGCATCCATTCCCTGCTATGCGCTGTCACATTTATCAAGGTGCACCGATTGCATGGCTTTGCAGGTGCAAACGGGGGCAAGAAGCAGGCCTTCCATGTGGTGGCGCCCTCGCTGCCGGGCTACGGCTTCTCATCGGCCCCGACAAAGCCCGGGTTTGGACTGAACCAGATCGCGGCCACCTTCGACGAGCTCATGGTCAAGCTGGGCTACACCAGCTACGTCGCTCAAGGTGCGCATGCCACAAAAACCGTCTGTTCTGTCGTCACAGACGGCGACCAGACTCTCTCTGCAGCCAATCTTCTGGCACATGAGGACATGCTTGCAAAGCCATGCAAGGTCTAAGAGGCACAGATGACACGGAACCTCAATGCTTTGCCATCAATATCAGTGATGGGGGTGGATGTGGGCATTAGGGGTGGATTACTCAGGGTTAGTGAGCGCCTGAGGGTGGATTGCTGAGGGTGAGTCAGCGCGCAGGTGGCGACTGGGGCAGCGCCATAACCACGGTGCTGGGCGCGCTGCACTCGGAACACTGCAAGGCCATCCACATCAACGGCTGCTTCGCGCCCCCAAGCCTATTAAACCCCTGGCACCTGGCCCAGATTGCCAATGCGAGCCTGCCGATCGCCAACCGGTTCCCCGTTTTCATCAGCTTCCAGGAGATGGCCTGGATCAAAACCTATCAAGAGTTCGTGGCCAAGGAGAGCGGTGTGTACACAGGCCCCCATCTTGCCCCATCCCGTGCTACGGAGTAGGGGTAGCGAGGTGGAGGCAACCACCTGCAAAATCACATTTTAACAACCGTAGCTGAGTCAGACAAGTCATTCTGACTCTTTCAAACCCAGAGGCACTGTTATTGAGGGTGGTGCAAGCCTTGTCTGCACCGACTACCGGCTTGATGAATGTGTAGAATGTCAACCTGCTTTTGGCGGATTGAGCTGCAGACAACCAAGACCTGCATTGCTTGGGTTCACCTGTGCTGGTACCCGCCAGAAATGCGAGGCAATTGCGATGGATGAGGTTACTGCGCAGGGTACTCCAGCATCCAGAGTACCAAGCCTCAGACGCTCGGCTACGCACTGAATGACTCTCCAGTCGGTGAGCATGTCACCTCTCTTGCGCTTCATTCGCTGTAAGCACGTGGCTGCACGTGTTCCACATTCCATGATCAAATTTGGACAAGCCACAGAAGGTCCAGAGGAACACTGTCGTCTGCTTGCAAGAGGCCAAAGGATAGGAACATCGATTGCAATACTGGGCAAGTGGGTTTGCTTAAGTCTGCAGTAGCAGGATTGGTGTCCTTTGTTACATAACTGCCATCCAAGCAGGGCTGATGGCGTGGATTGTGGAGAAGTTCCGCACATGGAGCGACTGCGGCGGCGACGTGGAAAGCCGCTTTACTAAGGATGAGCTGCTGACTAATGTGAGCCTGTACTGGTTCAACCAGAACATCACCTCCAGCACTCGCCTGTACTACGAGGCCATGGGACCCTTCGCGAAGATCTCCCCCCGAGGCCCTGTCAAGGCGCGTACTGATTTCGTCTCTTTTCCTTGTCATTGGGCTCTTGTGTGCCGGGCTTTGCTCTGTTATTCACCTGATGCTCCTGGTCACCGGGCGCTACATCCTGTATGTGAGCCTGCGGCACCTGTTGGGGACCTTAGTACAGGATAGACATGCTTGGGTCGATGTCTGCATGCTCTTTTGAGCAGCAGCGATCGGGGTGATTCAGCGATGAGTCTGTGCAAGGGCCCTTGATTAGGTAGGCATGCTGGCAGACTTGAGGGGAGCAGATGCTGCCCTGCAGTTTATACAGTGCAGCAGCTGGGAGCAGCGTGCACAGTTGTCCAGTATTCGAAGACATGCTGGGCTGTTCTTCATTTCTTGGCGAAGGGCTTAATCTCTTGCAATACCATGCATGCATCTTTGGGCCAGACCAGTATTAGGATTGCCAAAAACTTCGACGGAATGCAGACACTTAAGAAGTTTGTGATGTGTAGGTGGGCAGTGACAGACTGTCTACAAGACCAATGAGCCTCAGGTGGCTCCCACAAGGTCCTTAAAATGCAACAAATAATAATAATTATATAAAAATACCCTGCAGGTGCCCTCGGCTGTGGCAAACTTCCCCAAGGAGCTGTTCTCCTCGCCCAAGGCCTGGGCGGCCTCCAGTTACAACCTGAAGCAGTGGTCATACTTCCCCTCGGGCGGCCACTTCGCAGCGTTGGAGGAGCCTGATTTGCTGGCAGAGGACGTCCAGAAGTTCTTTGCCGAGTACCACTGACCTGTCTTATGTGATTGAGGGTACCGTACACACTTTTCCTGCCAAGAGGCAAGGTGCGTCCTGCGGACAAGCTGCAGTCTAAAGGCTGCACAAACCCTACCCCTTGAAGGACTCGCCAGACCCAAGCAAGACCCGATCAAGCTGTGGGCAAGAGACTGTGCTGTGCTGTAAATGGGGTTGGTCTCAGGTCTGTTTTGTTTCGAGGATATTTCAGATGCAATTCTGCTGTTCGAGACATTTGCAGAGATTTTGTAGAGACATTGGCTTCCATATCCTAATTTGCTCCTTTCCTGATGCAACCATTGCAACACATACGCAGCATCAGTGTCGACATGCAATTTACATATAGTGTGTCATGGGTGCATTACTTGGGGCACTACACGTGGCCCGCATGGTGTGGGCATTCCATGAATTGATGCAGTGAACAGCATAGTATGAAGAATCTAGGGCCTCTTCTTGCCTGCAACGCAGGGTTTGACAGCTCCCCAGGGCCCCCAAAGGGATTGGCCAACCTGCTCCAGGGCTAGGGGCAAGGTTTCAGGGCAGCCCCAGGATAAATTCAGATTTGGCCAGATGTAATCAGGGCAATGCTCTGAAACCACGTGGCTGTGACTCAGGGGCGACCCTGACTTTTCAGGCAATATGAACCACTTGAAGGCCAGATTCAAGGGAAAAACCTGCTTCTCACTGTTGGAAAATCTGGTGGACCTCTGCCCCGAAGTTTCAGCTTCTATTACGGCGGCAGGTAGTGGCGAAGCACCGCCCTTGTTCTACTTCAAGGACCCTGTCAAACCCTGCTGCAGCGTGCATCCCAAGACACATTCACAGGCTAACACGTTCGCAGCATGATGGCAACTGTAGCATTCGACCGTTTTGGCAGTGAGGCGGCCTCGCGAGCTCGTGAGAGCTCATATGACTCATTGACTGATCATTGGATGATCAGTGTGATGATGCTCAACGAGCATTCAAAACTGACGTGCAGCTGGAGCGAGTATCGACCAGGAAGGCAGTCCTACGCATGCCAGCACCGTGCTTGGGATATTCAATATTATGGATTTCAGCGTTCCAGGTTTGCCCACATTTGGTTCCCAATGCGACCCATTTATCTGTCCCATTACTTTCACACAGAGCCGAACAGCAGATGATCTCAGGCAGCACCCAAGACCCACACAGCACGCACGGCTGTTGAAGCACACAGCGGGCACAGCGGCAGCCGCTGGCTCAGCGCTTGACCCACTGGAAAGCCTTGCGGGCCTTGGCGCGGCCGGGCTTCTTGCGCTCCACGACGCGGCTGTCGCGCGTCAGGAACCCGGCGGCTTTCAGCGGCGGCCGCAGCTCCGGGTCCCACTTCTGCAGCGCGCAGCTGATGCCGTGGCGCAGTGCCTGGGCCTGGCCAGTCACGCCGCCGCCTTTCACGGTTGCCATCACGTTGAAGCCGCCCAGCAGGCCCGTCACCTGCGCGCACATGCCGCATGCGTAAACAAGTGATCGCAGGGGTGTGTCGGGTCCGCCCCGCGGATCCACCCCACCAGCACCAGCGCCAGCCGCCAGGCCGCCAGCGGTCCTGTAGAGTGACACGTAGGCTGACCTAGTGGAAGGGCGAGGTATCTGGGCGCTGGTGAACAACTGACAACACAAAAATCGCGGATTAAGCGAAAGCATAGCAGCACTTCAAGATGTAGCATCCGGTCGATACCAGGCACGTCAAGCAACTTTCATAGCTACGCTTGGAGACTAAGCTGAATCTGCATGAGATGAGAAATTTGCACCGAGCATAGACCATTTCCAGCTCACCCCTCCGCCACATCAGATCAGCCATAAAATTGCACACCTCTCCATCAATACAAGCCAGCCTATCCCAATCCGGTGCCACAGTGTGTTTGCAGTTCTCTGGACCCTCAGGCCACAGATGACCTCTAGAGTGGAGCAATCTATCACATAACATGCAAGGCAGGGATGCTCAATGACAGTCCTGGCTCAGTGTATGGCGCCAGTAGGACCCATTTGAGTTCTAACTGGAACAATACAGAAACTTATCCCTGTCTTAGGGTGAAAACACACTTGTCCCCACACTCTCACCTCGTAAACTGAGAGTATCGAGTACTCAAAACGCGCGCTCGATTGGACATGAGATGGCGAGGGATTTTCTGCGCACCTCGAATGGTGCGAGGACGTCGGCGCGGCGCTCGAGTTGGGGGAAGTGCATGTCCAGGGGGCGGCGGTTTATGGAGAGGCTGCCGGGGCCCGGCCAGATCCAGACGCGCGCCACGCTCGTCTTGCGCATCCCCGTCGCGTACGCGCGGCCCAAGTGATCCACGCTGCGCACACCATGCACAGAGTCCAGTCAGTCCGGTAATTTCATGCGTTGCCCCGCTGTCGCTTTTGGTGGTAGAAGCACAGTGCCCATGGTTGCTTGGGTCTTGCTTGGACCTGGCGAGTTCATCACGGGGTAGAATGCGTGGCAGCCTTTGCCTGCCGCTTGTCTGCAAACGTACCTCACCTCCTGACGTGCAATGCAATGGAAAAAACCCATTTCATGACTGGACAGTGTGCCTTTATCCTTTTATCAAACCCACGTGGACAGCGCTCATAGTCCTTCACGCCAGATACCGCAGAAGAGGTTGTCATTGCACTCCAATAGGCACAGCGAGGCAGCCCCTCCTCCCTCCTCTGCCTCTGGCAGTCAATCCCATGCATGCATGCTCTTCTGGCTGCATTTAAGAAAGGAATTTGACTTTCAACCGCACCTGCGCACGCGCCGCGACGCATATTCCTGCTGCAGGGCCTCCTCCATCCGTCGCCGCTCCTCACGCCGCTCCTCCCGTGAGTCCTGTGCGCGCAGAAAAAGATGTTTTCTCTTCCCACTCCCGGGACTAAATTCAAACGCCCCTGTCTTGATGCCGACATGCTTGCCAGTCACACTGTGTCTTCAATTTCTGCCAAATGTCTAGTGCATCCCCGCCTTCATGCCTTCCTGGTAGGTCAAGTGGCCCCTGCGGATCCAGTGAATTATGCATGCATTCTACTCTGGCCCCTTGAGGATTGCAATTATGAAGGGGCAGCACCATGACACGGAACCAGCAGGGAATCTATGGGCCCGCAAATAAACAGGAAAACCCCCACAAAGGCATGGTGAACTGTTTGACACGTGCACCTCGTCTGATATTGTGTCAACGCAGAGCAATAAGGGTTTTTCGGCGATGACATGGGCACCCTTTAGAGGTGAGTGGACTTGCCCGCTGGATGAGCTCGTCTAGGGGTGGCACTCCTGATATTTTGGGCAGGCGATGCTCCAGCATGGACAAAACTCCTGCAAAGTTACCCTCCTCCATCATGTCCCCCCAGTTGTCCAGCATCTCGTCGTAGTCGTCTATGGACTCGATCTTCCCGCCGAAGTCCTGCATGCAAACCATATGGCATCGTTCGCGCTTTCAAGGACCCAACATACACACCCTACAGCTGACTGGCATGCACTGCCTGCAAAATGGGTAACATGCATGCTATCTGCTATCAACTAGTATAAACGCATGCGCACAACAGGGCAGCAAAGGATTACAAATGCTTGCATGCAATTGTAGTAATGCTGCACAGGGCCGCACCTCCAATCCTTCTGAGGGATCAAGCTCTGCAAAGGGCTCCCAAGACCGAGATGCTCTCAGCTCAGGATTTAGCGGCTCTCCAGTGGGGTCGCCCCTCAGGATTTCCAGATCCAGCCCTGGGCTTTCTGGCGCTGACTGCTCTTCAGAGTCGGCCTCATTTGCCGTCCCCACTAGCCGAGCCTCTGGCTCTTCTGGCTGCTGCTGGTGCCCTGGCGTATCATCGTCTGAGCTATCAGAGCCACTGCCTGTGGTGGCCAGAGATCTGCATTGTCCTAGCAGGCTCCGGCTGTCCCTGACATGAAGGTGGCAGATGTGCTGAGGACTGCCCTCCTGGGAAGCCCTGCCTTTGCCAAGAAGCTGAACTAGGAAGGAACCTGTAAAGACAAAGGCGTTCTTCAGACCTCTGGGACGGGCTTGGGAATTGTAGATGGGCATCAAGAACTGTTCTAGATCCACCTTCCAAGAGCCAAATCCAAATCGTTCGCAGTATTCAATTGTCACCTGCTAGCGAAACAAAATTGTGCCTATCGGAAATATGATTTGACAAGTCTGCCGAGACGACGAGGCAGGGGAGACGTTGGGATGGCAGCAACTCTGTCAGCGCCGCCCTGGTATGAATATAGCACAATACACTTGCTGCTCGCCGCATCCAGTGGCCCGTTAATAATTATTCTATTTAAGCTGTCTTAAATCAGGGGGAAATATTTGCGCTGCAAACAGAGCAGTGGGTTGGAGAGTATGCAATGCCTCAAGGTCGGCCGATAGAAATCTAGGTCAGGAGACTTATATACGCTAATGGTGAAGTACGAAGCACTGACTCCGTCTGCTGGTAAGATAACACATCTACCTAAACTTGAGAATTGATCAGGTAGAGGTGGAGTTGCGTTCTAGGACGTAGTAAAGCTGACGTGGCAGCTGCATGCATGAATCTTGTTGCGCACAAGGATTTATGGCAAGCTCTTAGAAGGCAACGGATTTTAGCCTTTTACACATTTGTGACAACCAGAAGGACCTGGGCGTTTTAACGTCAGCACCGGTGCATCTGACCAGTAGCTGTGACGCTCCGCGTCAGACCTGCAGCTTGCAGCTGCGTGCGCATGTAGATGCTCAATTGCAATCTCGACATTGGCTAGAGACACGATTTGATTGTCCTGACTCAGAACATAAATGCTCAATGGCTGCATGTTGATGTTTTATGCAGATATGTGCTCTCCCGCAAGCTGATGGTCATGCCAGAAGCTATCATGATATATATATACGCTCTGCTTTGAATGTAGTGCATACGCTCAATGTAGCAATACGCTCGGCTGCCGCATCTGTGTCCTGCCACCAGCAACTCCCAATACTCACTGTTTTTTTCTGTAAATAGTATATCTTCCTTCACCTGGCATCCGCTGCGCTCCTGATCTGCTGTCTGGTCTCCAAATGAACCTGCTTGCCACCAACATTCTGCCAAGCAACCCTGCATGTCCTCCGCCAAACATGAGATGCCCCAAGAAGAGACACAGGTCAGTACTGTGGCAGCAGTGCACTGCGTTTCGGGTGCTCAGCAGGACAGCTTATGCAAAGGAGGTAAGAAAAAGGGGAAAAGAAAGGGGTTACGCGGAGAGGGACGGATCGAACGTCTGACCCGCAAGGGTCCGATTGGTTTGAAGCCAACCCCCAGCACCAGCTGAGCTCACCTCCGCCTCGGGGGTGGGCACAACAAGTGCACGCACCACGGCAACATGCTGAGATACATGCGCGCCACCCACCCCCCATGCATCATGCAGAAACAGGGAGTGCAAGCAGGAATATCCAACCGGTACATGAGGGACACACGGAGTCCCTATTCCAATTATGGGACCTAGGGCGGACCCGGGCCAGAGAAAGCCAAACAACTGTGAAACACAGGCAAAACTGGGGATGCTGGAAACATCTGCCAGAACAGTCAAGCAGCAGCTAAGAGACACTGCTGCCAGTGCTACAAGGCACTGCGGACATTGGAGACAGTGATGCCAGATTAGGCATTCATGACTGCCGCAACAGTTTCTGCAAGATTTTGTGAACATAGATCATGAAAGCATCTTGAAGAGCTCACCTGATTGAGCAGCACACCTCAAGTCTCACCTGGCATTGGCAGAGCAAGAGTCAGCAGCTGTGTTACCAGCAAGATCAATCTGAGGGTATGTGGCAGGAGAAGAGCAACAACTGCCCCCTGCAAAGCAGGACAAAACAATCATGGCGCATACCTTGTGATGTAGACAATGTCCCACTGCAAGATCCTTGAAGATCTCCAGAGCCACCTGCTGCAAATGAGATCTTCAACCGAGGCATCATCGTTCTCGGAGCTTTTCATTCCCTCACGCACTGTGCAGCCCTCTACAATCCTGCTCAGACCACACTCTCAAAAAAACAAAAGCCGGTCATAGACTTCACCTGATCACTGATGCTCTGTACTCCCCTTCTGACAGCCTGCCTGAACCCAGACCCTCCCCATAAGCCTGCTTACAGACCCCCCTTCCTTGCATAGGCATGCATGCCTGTGCTCCTGACCATAATGCAAATGCCTATGGAATGTGATCAAGACCAGGCTATTGTAGCTAAGCTTCTACCATCTTCGTGCTTTTTACATTGAAACACAAGCACACACAGCTGCAGGAAATCTGATGTACACACAAGGACAAGAGGACACAGTTGCACACATCCAAGTCTATTTGCATCCTGCCGTATCTTGCTCCCCCCAATACTGCAGCCTGTTACTCTGCCCAATCCACATATATATGCACAACAAAACAACTCTACATGTCACTATCACACGCACAAGGTGTCCATAACATATATGAGCGCTATGCATCTGTTGCGTTTGTCTTAAGCTCTATGATGCTGCTGATTTTACTTTCTTGCTGGGTTCTTCTGGGCAGAGTGGCCCGTCTTGACACAGCAGGGCCCTTGAAAGGCATCTCCAAACTGAGCCTACAGCTTGACGCCACGCTCTCTCTCTCCTTGGTCATAGCAGCCTAGCCGAAGCCTAGCCCCTTCTTGACAGCCCTCTCTCCTGCCTCAACTTCAGCCTAGCCCCATCCTCTGAGAGCTAACAGCACAGCACGCCAGCCCCCGCAACCACTGAAGAAGCACAGCGAGCAGGGGGCATGGCAGGCTTGCCAACTCTGCTAAAGAGACGAGAGACATAGCCTACCGCCTGCAAACCGATGCAAACCCCCAACACATCTCAGCCTACCTGCAACCTTAAGTTCCCGATCACACGCTCTTAGTCATCAACCTATCCAACGACTCTCCCTGACAGTTCCACTGCATGCATCACTTCCTCACAGCAAGGCAAACACTGAATTGGCCCACAGCCGGACCACGCAGAATAGAGCTGCCAAGGGAGAGGGAGGGAGGGCACACCTCAGTACGGCCGGTACCGGCCGGCTTCGTAGCCGCCACCCGCGCCGCCACTGCCACCGTAACCGCCCCCGTAGCCGCCGGCCGCGGCAGCTGCCGGGAAGCCCATGCCCATGCCCCCGTTGAAGCCACCCATCCCCCCCATGCCCCCCATTCCTCCGTAGCCCCCCATTGCCCCGTAGCCACCCGCCGGGAAGTTGCCGTAACCCCCCATGCCCATGCCACCCATGCCTGCATCTCACACAAGTCCATCAGCTCCACAGCTCCGCAACCCATCTCTCAACAGTAGAACTGACCCAAGCTTGCAGTCCGGATTGAAAATAAGGATTTAAAGGGTGGGATTGCACAGGGGAGTTCATGCTAAGAACAGTGCACAGGGGCTTACCCATGGCAGTGGGGCCGGCGCCATATGCACCCGGTCCCTCGAACTCGCCGCCAGTGCCGCCGCGGCCGCCGTAGCCGCCGCCCATGCCCATGTTCATGCCGCCAGTCTTGAGGTGCGCTGGCTTGGGGATCTGCGCCAACTCCAAAGTCGCGTCAGCAGCTGAATGAAACAGTGCGAGAGATATTCCGAATCATGCATCAGCAACGGAGACTATCAGGTCGATGTAATGCCGCGCAAGCATGCAGCCCCAGTGAGGCTGAGTGGCAGTCGTAAAACAACGGTTCATGTTTGGCGGGAGCTTCAGGTTGTGACAACTGCTCCAAGAATACTTGCACTCAAAATCTGCGAAGAGGAGACACATGCTGCGCACTTGACACCGGTTGCACGCCTGGCGCCAGCCGAAGTTCTTGTTGGCGCAGTTCTGGTCGGGGCAGATCCAGTCAGCCTCCTTGCCGCCCCTGACTGGGCCTCCGGCACCGCCAACATAGCCGCCGCCGCCGCCGCCGGCCCCGGCCCCCATGCCGCCGCCAGCACCGGGTCCCCCGCCCATCTCCTCCTTCTTCACTGCTCGCTTGATCTCCACCTAAAACATATGAAGCAACACTGTCAAGTGTTTTCAATCGCTGCTGCATGAGCATGAGAAGAGAAGAACCTGCAGCCATGAGCAAGGTAAGGGGGATTTGAGCTAGGCCAGCTCACAGCGCAACACGCAGGTCTCTTTGCCAGATGGTAACCACACTCAGCAGATCAACCCCCGCTGGGCCCAGCCAGAAGTCAGGTCAGGTGCAAGCAGGAGAAACAGCAGGTCTCACGCGAAACTCTTACAAGCTGTTTAGGACAGCAGGGTTGTGCACACCTGCTTGCCATTCAAGAAGTGCTGCATGACCAAGCACTTCTCCACGGACATCTCGTCCTTGAAGGTGACAAAGCCAAAGCCTCTTGAGCCGCCGTCTGGTTTCCGCAGCACCTGCACATCACATGTAACATATAATTCATATTTTGGGGCTTGACAACAATTGCTGTGCCTGTGACACTGCACTGTCAGACACTAGATGAAGTACAGCATCAAGGAAGACGAAGGAGATGCTTACCACTGAGTCTTCAATCTCTCCAAATCCAAGGAAGTAATCCCTGAACTCCTCGTCTGAAATCTCGCCCTGCGGCATGATTGAGTGTTCAGAGTGACTGAGTACAAGCATACAGTCTACATCAGGAAGGTTAACATCAAATGTGACCCCACGTACCGTGCCGCCCACAAACATTTTCCTTGTCAGCATGGGGCTGTTGCCAGAGTTTTTAGGCACAGCAGCCTTGGCCTCAACTTTCTTTCCGTCGATGACGTGTTCCCGTTGCTGCAAGCGACAAAACAGCAGATCAGGAACCAGCGCTTCCCTTTAAGCCGAAGACTTTCTCATATCCAAATTTAAGAACAGGTGGATCCCATAATAAACTCCAAAATATGGAGCTACCTCGAGGAATTGCTGCGCGTTTTGAGGATCTTTGAAAGTCACAAACCCAAACCCACGCCCCTCCATCAGCACGTAGTCAGACACTTCCCCCCTGTAACAGACATACGTGAAATGAACAATTATATGTAGCCGAATAGCGTTCCACCCTCAAACGGAGACAGCCTTCCCAGGGTTTATACCATCAAAAAGCACAACAGGCATCCATTGTACAATATTGAACCGGCTTCAACCGAAATTGCTCACGAAGTAAACTCACCACTGTCCACAATATTCCAGCAGGGCTTCCTTGCTCGTTGCATTGTCCAGGCCGCCCAGGAAAAGCTTGCCCTCCACAAATTCCTGATCCATCCTTGGTCTTGGGCCGCCCCCCATGCCGCCTCCCATGCCGTTGGCACCAGCTGGCCTGGGGGCAAAGCCTCCTCCTCCACGACCCCCCATCCTGCCTGAGTAGCCACCGCCACCGCCCTGGAAGCCATCGTTCATGCCACCATACCCCTGACCACCCTGGAACCCTCCATAGCCTCCTCCGTAGCCCTGCATGCCACCCTGCATGGCATTATAGCCGTATGAATTGCCGTACATCTTGATCTGGCTTGCGATTCTTTCGTTGCTCTGGAGTTTTGGAGAAGCTTGCTCAAAGATGCTTGGTTGCTGATGCAACTTCAGGGTTGCCAGATTTGGACATGTTCTTGGCTTTGGGCCCTTTAAACCCAAGCCAAGAAGTGATCGATGTTTCATATCAGGGTGACATCTGCCAGTGTGCTGTGTCATCAGCCATCAGGAAATGTGCTCTTGCCGCGGCCAAAATTGCCAAGGCTTAGATGGCCCAGCTGCGCCGCAATGACCGCCGGCCCGGCCCGGCCGCGGCGGCGCCGGCGGTCACAGAGCAGAGCACGTGCTGCAGCGGCGCAGCCAGTACTGATGGCCTTGGCTGCGGCATCTCAGAAGGTTATTCTTCAGACCAAAGTCTGTGATTTCCAAGTGGTCCTATCTATCGCCGGTGTTGTACGCCGTCTGCAGCTGGCCGGAGTGGCGCAGTGCGCGCGCATCATGATGATGCGCACAACGCGGAAAGCATGACTCATGCTTTATCACATCGGATGCACTATTATAAGACAGGATTCCAGCTGCCAATGGCAGCCTGCCATGGTCGTTTGTATTAGCCGCATTAATGCAATATTGCAATTCTTTTGCACACAGCAGTAGGAAGCCCAGGCCCGCTGTGATGGCTAGAGCATGCGCAGGGACGATGCATCGTCATGTTTAATTTTCATTGAACATTAATGCAGGAGCGCTGCTGATCTCGAGAACATGGCAAGGTACATGCACAGTGCATGCAACATGCAAGAGCCCGGCCATGCAGAACCCCAGCTCACAGTTGACATATATTTGGAGCACACGTCCATACAAGAATTCAGACTTATGCTGGATGCTCAACTGCTCCCATGTCTCTGATCACCTCAGCCAGCCACTCTGTAGCCCTTGCTGCCCTTCAATATTTGCAGCTCATTGGCATGCAGTCCAATAATATTATTGTGCTCACAGATGTTCTCAATCATTCTATGTGCAATTCTGCCCTGAAGGACATCTTCTCTCTGTGTACGACGCTCACAGTACAAGGTTGTCAAACAGGTCAGGGTCCCCCGCGTAGTCCTGCAAGAACCAAGCAAGCACATGGTCAACACACCACATCATCATGCCAGTCCCTTCAGTGTTTTAAGCTTGGCGGTTTTCACAACACATCTCGTCTGCCGCGCATTGCAGCAACGTCAACAGAGCAGCCCAACTTAGTTGAGCAACTCTGGGGCTGTGGTGTCCTCACCCTCTTGAACTTTCTCATGCCACCGTAGAGGACCTGCACCTTGGGTACATCTTGCGTAGCCAGTGCATCCAGGCGGGAGGCTAGCCTGCCAAAACACACAGCAATGGTGGCTTCAATGCTGGATTAACAGGGCTCAATCCTGACATGTTCTGGACATTCTCATGGCCACACCGTGAGCATTAGCTGCTCATGCTCTTAGCCCATGATCGGTCGGTGCTCACCCGATAAGAAGGCTCCCCCTTTGCCTTCTGCCGAGCTACATTCTTTGGAATCCCAAGGTGGTTGTTCCCACGACAGTGACAATTACAGAAGACGATTCACAAAGGTCCTGTGAAGTGCAGAGCGGAGGAGCCTTAAGTGGCGGTACCTTTTGGCGCAGAAGGGCCCTCGCTGCTGGGACATGAAGCAGGTGACCACCACCTGTCTGTATCGCAGGAGCCCATGCTTTTGGATCACCGCATCCACATTCTCATCATCGTAAAACTCCTCGGACCATATGTTCAGGCAGCCCCTGATGTGGCCCCCTTGAAAGTCCTCGTCTCGCACATCCAGCACGCAGGTCTCTGTGCTGTCCTCCCTATCACCAGTAAGATCAATACCTAAGGCCATATTATGAGGGGTGAACCTGCGTTTCATGGGTTCCAGCACACCTGGAATTCCTGTGCTGGAGGAGTACTATGAAAATAGCTGAACTTCAATGCAGGATGGTGGGCAATTACGGGATCTTGGGGTTTTACCCTCTCAAAAGCTGCACGAGCTGTTCACCTTCGATGTAAGTAGGGGCGGGCATGCCCTCACGCCTTGGGATCGTACTATTTGAAGGGTGATCAGAGACAGTAGCTAGTAAGATCACCAAATTACATCAGTCTATCTATGCAATGGCGGATCGGCAGACGCCTGTTCCTCCATATCGTGCTTCCGGAACCCCTCCCTTTAGCTGTCCAAGGAAGAAGGACAGATCGCAGATTAGAATCGCTAAATTTGCTGACCCTTGGGACAGCGCGGACCAAATAGCAGCAGACTTCGATACAAGCACTCCTCCGCGATCCGCGAAGAGGAAACTGTATCGGATTTCCCTCGCTGGAAAAGAATGAATCACGCGTTCACGCTTTTTGGGCTGGAACCTGTCAGGGTTCACCCTCTTCTTGCACATGCGTATCCCCTCTCAGAATTCAACGAGGCGTGACTTGCATGATACAACGCAGAGGTGCAGGGTACCATTGCCTGCAAGGCACCCTCTCCAGCCTGGTGACACCAACAGCATACACTTGCCAGAACCCAATAATTGCATGCCGCTTGCAGTGATCATAATTGACGGACCTAGGTCACTTCTGATTGATGCAGCTAGCTATAGCTTGGCCCCCAACTTGGAATCTCTTGCCGCAAGAGATTCCAAGACACGCATGATGCGGCATGCGTGTCTTGCCAAGAAGGCAAGGTACGTCCTGCAGACAGGCTGGCTGCAGTCAAAGGCTGCCAAAACTCTGCCCGATGTTGGGCTCGCTAGATCTAAGTAGGTCCCTAATCTACCGTGGGCATGGTGCTCAGTATTTCCACCGCCCCAGGCTCTGCCTGCCTGAGGCCAGCCTGCCAAAGAGTCTTGCTGGCCCATGAATTTTGAAATCTCATGATGCTGATCCTGGGGTCAGCACCAGCACAGACAGTGCATTCTGTGATGGTAGGACACTGGGGAGAACACTCACCCCAGTCTTAAGCCAGTCAAATACTCAGTCCCACTCCTGATTCACCTGGGCCTCTTCTGCTGGCCGCGCAAGAAAATTTGTACCGCCATCTCCCTTCCTGAAATATATTATTAAATTAACTCCCCTTGCAATCACAGACTTCGTCGAGCTCCTTTCCTCAGCGAAGTCACCAGTAAGAGGCGCATTTGCAGGCCCAGGAGCGATCAGACTGTCGGAGCGCCTTCGGTGGGAGCAGAACCGGACGCGACGGCACAGCCCGGACGGCCTGTGTTGGGGAGCTCGAAACACTAGGCTGAGCGCTGCCTGGCACGAAAGCGACGCAGACGTGAGTGAACTGCTCTCTGTGCAGCCTCTGGTGCAGAATTAAGTCTTTAGGCACTGGATTGGGGTCGAGTGGGGCGCATCGTGGCCGGTGCCGCACGTTCGTGGGGTTCAAACGGGCCTCCAGACGGTGTGATTGGGTGACCGATCCTCAGCCTGTCAGCCCGGTGCCCGTCGTGGCTCGCAGAGCAAGTTTTCGCAGCCTTGAATCTAGAGCGGGGCGCTCGCACGGCATCCCGTGGCTTGTGCCCCGCTGTGTTGGGTTCCCCCGGCCCTTGTGCGATTCTGGTGGGTGTTACTCGGCGGCAGCCTCGCATCGCCGTGAAGGGACGAGAGGGCCGGTTTTGGCAGGGATTACGCGCCTTTGTGAATTGGTAGGCTCGAAAGGCAAGGTCCGTGGGGATTGCGAGCGACAGCGACCGATAGTCAAGCGTGGTTGTGCCTTCCTCTCAGCCCTCAAGGTCCTGATCCTGGGTCTGACTGTTGCGCAGGGGCTGGCGTCCGTTATAGTCAGCCTTCCTATGGCTGCAACCGTTGAGACCAGGTGCGGAGACGCGCCTGCGCCGGGCTTCCTCCTGCTGTACCAAGATAAAACGTCGTGCTGACGTTGCAGCTCAAAAAGGGCATATGTGTATCATGCTTGTGACAGTACTTGCTGGGCGATCAGCTGGTCCCTTTGTTGATTTCCTGGCTTCTCGGACATCACCGTGATTTCGCTGGCAGGGTGGAGTCTGGGCCCCTGGCTGGAGTGAGGAGGGCATCCTTTGGTCAGTGCGGGATGGACTTTGCAACGGCCACAATGAGCAGCGCAGCCTTCCGCAGGCTGTCCAACGCCGCAGATAAGGAGACGCGCGCCAGGCTCTCAGCGCAGTTTGAGATCTGCCCCATCACGGCGCTGCCAGTGAAGCGGCTGTCCCAGGAGCTGGCAGCCGTGCTGAAAAAGAGGGATAGCTGGTCGGCCTCCGTTAGCCCCCTGCCCCCCACCATGCAGCGGCAGATCCTCCCGACGGTGGATCGCAGCCTGGGAGACTCTGCCTCCTGCTCCCCAAAGTGCGAGGCCGCGGCCAGCCCCGTCAGCACACCCACATCCGCCCTCAAGGTAACGTTCGCTCCCTGAAAGGAGACTGGTCCCAAGCTCTTTTTATTGCCCATGTTCTTAATGGTGTGAGCTCGGAACATGGTTTAGTGCCATAGGTGTGATGGAATCCGAGTTGGGCTCAGGCGCGTGTCGCTAGTAGCCAGCTTATACACCCGCAGCAGGGAAAGCATATGGGCGGTAGCTGACTGGGAATGGCCAGTGGATCCGCTGGTTGATAGTGTCAATGCAAGTGTACAGTGTCACGCATAGCTAGTACTAAAGCACTGACGCCGCTGTTGCACTGTGTCAGCAGGAGGCTGGCACGCTGGATGCATTCCAGCAGCAGAGCCGGCACCAGCCCTGGTACAGCCTGCTGAGCTGCCGGCTGCTGTCGTTCATCGGCGGCGGGGGGCCGAATGCGCACGGCGGAGAGGAGTACACAAGCGGCGGCGCCAGGGCAGTGGTGTCCAGCCACCGCCTCAGCTTTGACCACCGGCTGAGCCACGATCACCGCCTCAGCCAGGAGCGGCGCGCATCGGAATCCTCCATGCGCTGTAAGCCTCTCTGATCTGCCCCAGAACTCCCATGTCCCCAGACCCACTTAACTATTGCAGCTTCTGTACCATGATGTGCCCTTTAAAAAAGGGCCTGCCGGGCACAGTAGTCAACCTGAAGAAAATTTGAGTAGTGTATGCTGAGCTGCTCAGAATTACTGATATAACGTAGGACACTTGGCGTTGGCTTTGCGCTACTGCGGGGATCTCTGCAGTCATGTCAGGAGGGCAGGCTTGCACAATCATGTTGCTAGTGTCGTGGACTAACATGTCTTTTTTTGGTTGTGCAGCGCTGTCGATGGACAGTGGCGGCTCGGAATTCTGCTTTTCCCGGGAGAGCATCGGCGGCCCACGCATCGCGGCCGGCCGCCGGAGAGCGCACGAGTTCAGCCGCGAGGATGCGTATGCGCGCGACACCTCCTTCTACGCTCAGATGGCCTGCGAAGTTGCCCCCGCCACCCGCCTCTCGGGCATCTCCATCACACGCGGTGCCTCAGGTGCGTCTCCCCAGCTTCAAGGATTGGCAGCTGCTTACCAATACCTGATCAGAGCAGAGCCAAACATCAGACTTGGATCAGCCCTCTTTTATAATGGCACGCTGCTCTTTGCTCAAGAGTGGCGGTGCTGCTGTGACAAGGAAGCGCCGCCGTGACAAAGAACCAATTTCGGGGCTGCTGTTCTTCGAGGGGCATTAGGTGCTGTGTCATCTAAAGTTACTGGATTGCGTACCAGTGAGCACCTGTTCCAATGGTGTTGATGTGTGCCCTGCAATTCTGGAGTTTGATCACGTAGGTCATGTGGAGTTAAGACCTTAATATGCACTGCAATCCACTCTGGAACCTCAAGTGACGCGTTTCGCGCTGTGTTGCAGGGGACGTGGACGAGGCAGAGGAGGAGGCAATGGACAAGGCGGTTTTTAGGAGGAGGCGCGATGCGTACGCCGAGGCCTGGCGCCGCAGCGCCAGCAAGGACACCTCCATGGAGGGCCCCGCGCGTGCAGCCGCCGCCGCAGCCGTCGCGCTGCCGTTCCCGGCTGCAGCCGGCCGGCCGGCCATGCCGCGCATCGAGTCCACCGACTTTGCCAACGATGAGCTCATGCGCCGCAACGAGATCTTCTGCGGCCGCCTCTTGAGCTGAGCGATCACAGCCTGCCCGCACCTGGCTCCAGTGGATGCCTGCACGGCAGCCGCCGCGTTGTTCATGTTGCTGCTGCCGCTGCAGCACCTGGGAGCTGGGCTGTGTGCTCTAGTCTGCAACAAGATGTGGTCATGATCTAGATGGCAGGAGGAGGTCTTGAGTACGAAACGAGCGAGATGAGAAGAGGAAGTAGGCGCACTGCAATTTGGTTCTGACACTGGCAGCCACCAGGAGTACTGGCAGGGACAATTTGTTAATAGCCTCATAGAGGTCCATCACAGCTGGGGGAAATTCCCCAAGGGGCTGCTGCAGGGACGCAGCGGACAGCGCATTGCGATGTAGAGCAAAATCTTTCCGGGAGCGGAGGGCAGGCTCAGTCCTGCCCTCTCCGCGCCCTAAGCTTTGAAATTGTATATTAATTTGGTGCCTCAGGCCGCTGGCACAGAATTCCCAGACTGAGATGGGCGCGACAGACATGCAAACCAGAGGGTTGTCCTGGAAAGTACTGTCACATGATTTATTCACAGAGGGCAGATCCAGCTTGGCCCCTCAAACGGTGCCTATGGATGTCCGGGCGAATGGGGGATTCCCGATTTTTTGGCAATTTTGATGATAGAATGCCCTGTTCATTACGGAGAGAGATTTGTCATTTACACACGGACATGCAGGAGCAAGAGGTCAATGCATGTCAAAGGCGCATCTGAACCTGGGATAAGAAATAAGGGTTCCTTAAGTATGCTTCCCGGCAGTGTATCTTGAGATCATTAATCATGCTCATCATTCTTTGGGGACGACAATTGATGGCCCCGCCATGCGGCACCCAGAAAGAAGTGGCCTTGTCTGGAAAATCGCTGAACAACATTGTCTCCCGGTTTCATGCAAGGGTCGACCAGGGCCCCTGGCAGCAATTTTGGCTTGGCAGCAATGATTGATGGTTCAGGCAGTAGATGCATGCACAGCATGCTCTGCCGTCGTGAAGGCTTGTGCTACCTGTGCAAATCAAATGTGGCTGGTGATGTCGAATGTCGAGCAATTGGCTTAATATCACACCTCCCTTAGGGCTGCAAGTCCATGAGTCCTTAAAGTCTTCTAGCTGCAACAAGACAAGATCACCATGGAGTGATCTCCTGCATGGAAGACAGGATGAAATTTGTCCATTGTGATTTGTACCTCCCTCTGCACGAGGGGACAAGATTTGTTTGGCAGGGTAGGATATGACTGGGATGCTGGCCGAGGGCTCTTTGATCTTAAGGATCTGGAGTTTTCTTAGAGCTAATAGTATGCAGAGTGCGCTGTGCCACGCTCGTACCGAACTTGCTTAGCTGTTTCATTGTGGCTGATTTGTGACCACTCTGTCTAGCAGTGGCTCTATCGCCATGTTTCTAGTGGGCTGCCGGCTGGGCTTGAAACTCCTCAATTTTCTCATATGCAGGCTTCAAGTTTGAGAGCCTCGTTCCTTGTAAACAATTTCTTTACCCGATATCTGCGCCCCTGCGCAGGCATGCCCCGGGCCATGCTGGGCCCTTGCATTCGCTAAGCAAGGCTTGCCATTCTATAAGAATGCTTGTGCATTCTGATAATTGCTCTCGAAAAATTTTTCTGCTCTGAGCGGAGAGGCCCAAAAATTTGGCTCTGCAGCGGTCACGTGGAGTTTTCCTCTCATAACCCCATAACCACGTGATTCAGCACGACAAGAACAGCTAGGGGCAGGACTTCGACAGATTTCGTAGTCGTGGATTGAGATTGAAAAGGGACAAAGAATTTTAAGATGTTGGTTCTCTCTCTTCCTTGTGGACATCAGCTGGGGTTGCGGTCGGAAGCAGCTGATCTTCGGGGTAGCACACATCCGCTGAACGCCGGCAGGCTAACGCAGGTGCAGATCATTGGTCGGCTGGGGCCTGTGAAGGGATAATAATATATGATTCACAGATGTGGCAATTGTACACACGTTCTGGTACTTATCTTGAGTGTGTGATGTGCTGCAGCTCCCCCCTGCTGGGCCCACATTCGCTAGGTGCCCACCCTGTATGGTAAGCTACTCGATCTCTACTTGAATGCGCGTCCTCAGAAACCCCTCCCTGCGTCGACTGTATTTCGCGAGTTGCTTTGCAGCCCTCTTCTTGTGCTTGCTGGTTTAGGTCATCAGCTGAGTGAGCTCCTGTGTGAGGACGCTACGAAGCTCTGAAGTCGTGGAAGCTTTCGTAGTACTGCACTGTGTACTGCAAGGTTGACATTGCTTCGGAGCATGCAGTGACAGGCAAGCCGGTGACTTGTGCAGGCATCAGCACAGGCAGTGCAGGAGGCAGCCATCACTGGGGAGAAGAAGAAGCTGTGGGGTGGGCGCTTCACTGGCGCCACAGACCCCCTGATGGAGAAGTTCAACGAGTCTTTGCCCTTTGACAAGCGCATGTGGAGGGAGGACATCAGGGTGAGTCTCTTCCAATGATGGCTATTTCAGACATGGATTTCACAAGGGTAACAAACGGTGAGGCAGGCATGCATGCACGTATCACGAGGCGCTACGATGCATGCGGAGGCATTGATGCATTGGCCAGGGTGGGAGATTTCTGAAAGGTGTGATGTGAATAGGTCTGTGCATGGGCTGCAGGGGAGTCAGGCATATGCCAAGGCGCTGGCCAGGGCAGGAGTGCTGACAGCAGAGGAGGCTGAGCAGATCGTGGAGGGGCTTGGGAAGGTGCGCATATCTGCACATGCAGCAATTTGATGCTCGTATCATTGACTGCCTCACGTGGATTGGCAGAGTGCTGGCCGGGTTGTTCATTGCATGCAATGTACTATCCTGCAGATGGCCTTGTGGTGGAAAGCCTTTGAAGCCTTCATATGAGGAACCTATTCACCCCCCGTTCAGCCGAAACCAGTACTGTCATCAAAAATGGGTGTTGTCAAAATTACCAATCGCAGGCAGTGTCCTAATGCGCATCTATTGCAGGTGGAGCTCGAGTGGGAGGCTGGCACGTTCAAGATTGTGTCAGGGGACGAGGACATCCACACGGCCAACGAGCGCCGCCTGACGGAGCTCATCGGCTCGGTCGGCGGCAAGCTGCACACCGGCCGCTCGCGCAATGACCAGGTCCGCCGCTGATCTCCCTGCATGCCCCCTGCACGCTCACCTCAGTGTGGGGTTGGGCAGAGTCTCAACATGTTGCTGCATTGCCGAAGGCTTTGCATGAAGAGTCAATGCTCCTCTCTTGCGAATTGGGCAAGGGACAGAGCATTATTGGCATGATTGGCTCTGTGTTACTTGTGCCGCAAGGCATACATTGAGGGCTAAAGTTAGCGGCTGCCCTTGATTCCACTGCCATGGTCGACTGGGGAGCGGATCCGTGAAAGTAGTGACTAATGCATGACTCGTCTGACAGGTGGCGACGGACACGCGGCTGTGGCTGTACGGGGCGCTGCAGGACACGCGCGGGTACCTGGCCGACCTCATAAAGACCGCCATCGACCGCGCTGAGCTGGACGTCGACGTCATCATGCCGGGCTTCACGCACCTGCAGGTGCGCTCCAGGCACATGCGCGCACCTGTCACTCTGCCCCACCCCCTGCCCTGCTTGCACAAGTACTACTTTTGCAGACCCCATGGAATGTAGGGACACATGAAGCATCATCTGTGCAACAACACCACAAGCTCGCTCTTTCGTGAGGCAACTGCAGGAAGTTTTGGGAGACTCACTGATTCAGTGGTGTCTTGCTCTGACGGCTGCTGCCGCAGCTATTCGTGTGGTTTGCTCAACCGTTTGGCAGAGATCTCGGCTTTAACTTCAAAACGTTCATTTTGTGAATGCTGCTGAGACTTTGTCCCCTGGTGTCTGCTGCAGCCGGCGCAGGCGGTGAGGTGGAGCCACTGGCTGCTGGGCCACGCAGCTGCCTGGCAGCGCGATGACATGCGCCTGCGAGACCTTATGCCCCGCGTCGCCACCCTCCCCCTCGGCTCCGGTGCGGGACTCCTCCTGTACTGTCATACCTCCCTTGGCTTTGACTCGCATTGTCTGTCCTCATGGGCTGGTGGGCGTACCTCCTTGCACCTGAAAGAAGGCATTTTGCAGCCTTTTGGCCATTGCTAGGGGTCTGGCACATGCGGGTTGACGGTAAGCATCGCTGCTCGGCATGGGAGACTGCACAAGCATTGTTCTGCGCTCCACCAGAAGCTTTATATTGGTATTTCTGGTCTGCTGAAAGGCTGCCTTGTGCTTTTCTTTCTGCTCGGCGTATTCTCCCGGTCTGCTGAAAGGTGGCCTTGTGACCTCTGTGCTTGTCTCCTGCTTTTCCTCTGTTCCAAGGGTAGCCTCTTCCTGCTGCGATGAGGTCATTGCTGATGTGGCATTTCAACATGCTGACATGGCACCCGGCGATTGATCAGGCGCGCTGGCGGGGAACCCATTCGGCGTGGACCGGCAGTTCATCGCGCGCGAGCTGGGCTTCATTGGCGGAGTCTGCCCCAACTCCATGGACGCCGTCTCAGACCGTGACTACGTGCTGGATACGCTCTACTTTGTCGCCGTGCACATGGCGCACCTGTCGCGCTGGGCCGAAGATCTCATCATCTACTCCTCGGGCCTCTTCAAATTCGTGCAGTGCTCCGACGCCTATGCCACCGGTGAGAGACCACGCGGCTGTGTATCACTTTTTTCTGCTCGCGGAGTGCTTAAGTGCCTGCTTGCAGTTGTCCTGTTTCCTTCATGCATGTTTCATGGGCAGACATGCTTGTTTGGGGGCACATTAGCAGTACTATATCGAATCCTGACAACTGTCCCTCAGCAACAATTCGCTGGATTCTGCACGGCGCTTCCCGGGTACTATGTGGGTCACGCATGGTCGGTGGGGTGGGTGAGAGCAAATTGGTGTGTCACCACAGTCAGTGCGAGTGCTGCTGTGTTTGACAGCGCCTCATGGATCAGGAATAGTGGCTGCCTTTCTTTCAGACAAGCACTGGGCTTACAAGTGCTTTGTGACAGTTCAGTAGATGGGACACGTCAACCCGCCATGTATCAAAAAAGGAAGTGGGCTGAGCATTGGCATGCGCACGCATGTGCAGGCAGCAGCCTGATGCCTCAGAAGAAGAACCCGGACGCGCTGGAGCTGATCCGCGGCAAGGCCGGCCGCTGCCAGGGCAACCTGGCGGGCCTGCTGGCAGTCATGAAGGGCGCGCCCACCACCTACAACAAAGATTTCCAGGAGGTGGGGCCTGCCTCCTTATAATCGAAGAGTTCTCTCTCGGATGATCCCTGCATGCATATTTAGGGTTTAAAGTTTATATATATTTAGGGTCTAAACCCTAAAAACATGTCTTGCCTGTCTGGGTGTAAGATTTGTGTCCGGGGGTAAACTAATGAAATGGTCTATGCTGAGTGCGGAGCCTTTGGGCTGGAGTGGTCTCGCATGTCAGGCCTTAGGGCATGTTGCTTTGCTGTCATTCTTTAGTCACCCATGTGGGCGGAGCAGTGCAAATTTGCATGCAGCATGCTGCTGCAATGCTGTAGTTCACCTGTGAGGCCACAAGGCGATGCATGGATTGTAGACAGCACAACACAAGAGTTGGTGATGTGGCAGTCATCACACACTGACATGGCACATGGCATGACGTGGCGCAGGCCTGGCAGCTGATGTTTGACAGCGTGGACACGGCGAACGACTGCATACGGATCGCTACGGGAGTGTTGTCGACAATCCGCATCAACCCCGACCGCATGCTGGCCGGCCTCTCCCCAGACATGCTCGCCACCGATCTTGCTGAATACCTCGTGCGCAAGGGTGCGCGCTATTATCTCCCCTATATATCCCCTCAATCACAACAAAACAAGGGCAATACTGAGATCATCAATTGTCTCTTGTTTTGTCAGTGTCTCGCTGCTGTGTCAGAACAGTCAGCAGGTGCCAGCAGGTGCCAGCGCTCTATCTACTGAGCTACACTTCACACAGAGTTGCTTATGTCTCTTATTACTCTTCAGAGACACATATTCTCTTCCAAGACACTTACTCTATCTGCTGCAGCCGGCCCTGTGCTCCCTGCCTCCCGAGCTGTTCCAAACCTCTACATACCCCAGGAGCCTCTTTGCTGGCTTTGTTCGTAGTAGGCATGGATGTGTGCCATCTCTGGAGTCTCTTCTTGACTCTTGATCGCTCTGAGCTGCCACAGGCTGATAGCAGGAGGAGAGTCCACTCCAGGAGGGGAAGAGACAAATGGCTTCAGGGACTGATTGGACTTTTGCTGTCTGCACAGGTGTTCCCTTCCGGGAGACCCACCACATCAGCGGCGCTGCAGTGAAGATGGCCGAGGACAGGGGCACCACACTCTTTGATCTCACCGTGGCCGACCTCAAAACCATCCACCCGCTCTTTGAGGACGACGTTCTTGAGGTGCGCTTGGGCCACACATTATATTGAGAAGGCTAGTGAGTGGCTAGGGAGGTACTAGATGTGACAGCAGAGCAGGCAGGATGCAAATTCGAGGCGAGGCCCCTTTGCGCCCCATCGAGCTCGATCAGATGTGGGCACCTGCATCGAGTGCTTTGAATTGAGTGTTTGCAGCTTGTGTCTATTTGTGCTCAACCCCTGTGCTGCTTCTGATGTGTGCAGACCCTCATATTTGGCCATCTATCACTCCTCTGTCAAGAAATCTTATGCAGTACCACTGTACCTCCTGCAGCGCTCTTGAGGCTGGCAAAACCTGGAAGTCTTCACAACCCTGCAATTTGTGCGAATCAAATTCTTGGGGGTACCAGCAATCTTGTGGCAGAACCAGACTTCAGGGAATGGCATGAGACATCTGAGGAATCCGTGGTGCATGCACAGGTGTGGGATTACAACAGATCGGCCGAGATGCGCGACACGGAGGGAGGCGCATCAAAGCGCAGCGTTCTGGAGCAGGCCCAGAAACTGAAGCGCTACCTGGGAGCCGAGGGGCTCTGAGAAGGATCTGCAGCAAATCATAGTATCGGCGGACTTGACCTAGACTTAAGTGGGCAAGTAGGGGCGCCTGGTTTGCACGGTTGGATCCTAGGTATAAAATCTGCATCGATGCTGCGGCATGCGGAGCAGCAGAACAGGGGGGCATCCAGGGCTTGAAGGCATGTGCCGACAGGCTCCCGCGATCACGGCTCGTGAGGCAAGACATAAGGGATGAGGACATGCACACCTCGTAGCAAGCGCAGGCTGACTCATTGAGTGTAAGCTGGCCATGAAAACGAAAGCAATGTGGTGGTGTTAACACTGAGGTCAGGATTCATTCATTGCCACACCGTCAGCAGGATAGTGATACGTCAGACACTCGGCCGACTGCGGTGCCGTTGTACTGCCGGTAACCAGATTGTAGTATTGTGCTCTGGAGGTAGATAACATTGTGGCTTGCAGAGTAAGCATGCGACTTGTCGATATCTGCTTGCTGGAAGGCACACAGGGAGATAAAAAAAACTCTGCGCTCTTTGGCTTGCCCTAAATCCCAGGGCAAGCACAATATGGCAAAGCCAGCTGTAGCGCAAAATTTCCCATCGTGTACCAGGGGGTGATTACATCTCTCATGTACAACTGCATAGTGATACAGTAAACCAAGCCCGCATGCGGCCATTACTGGGCAGTCCATTATAACCCATCACTCAGTGTAGTAATAATTAGCCTGAAAATTTTGCGCGCCTGTGAGTGCATCCATTATCATGATGTCAGCCCCACAGCGCAGTAGCTACTTTAGCAAACACAGCAAAATTTCTCAGAATATATAAATATTTGCCTAATATTAAGTATCAAGTACCAGATAAAGTACCAGAGCGGCAAAGCATGCTTGCTTTGCCGCTCTCATTTGAATTATGCATATGCACAATTTAAATGATTATTTGAAAACAAGAACCCAGGGTCACACAAGATCCAATGACAATCCTTAAGCCGCCTCATGTTGAGCCATCTTCTTATTCCCATGCACCTTTAAGCTTCAAATATGTACACCCAAAATCTTACCAATCATATGCTGAAAGGGCTGAACTGCAGTATCGGTAAATGAAATTGCACCATTTAGGCCTTCGATAATTCAAGTAATTAGTCCCTACTAGCCTAGGCCTCTCGAGCACTCCTGAAATAAAATGTGCAGGGTTGACACTGTGGGTGCAGACCAATGATCCGGTTGCGAGCGCACCTGCCACAAAAGTCTGCTGAATTCTGTGCAACCATTGCATGCAAGTTTGGTCAAGGCAGCCATGCAAAGACTTCCATCCATGCACCCCGTTCAGGCACAGTGGCTCAGGTTCTGATCTCACCGAAACAAAACAATTACCAGTGACCCCCGACTCCTCCTGAACCATTCCATGAATCTTTCTTTGAAAGGCAGCCACCAAAAAGGTATTATTCAGGGCCGCCCCGCGCTGTTGATTTATGCACTCTGCGCATTGAGGGCACGGAAGGAACCGGTGGCACAGCGCAGCAGTTGGGCAGCGCATGTGCTTATCAGCACTACTGGCCCAGATGACCTGAAGTCGCCCGTGCTACTCTGCCGCCATTTAGATGGTTGCGGTGCCACCACAAGAAGTGCGCGTGCAGGTGTAAGCATTAATGCCAATATTGGTGCCGACGCCGGTGCACAGCACGGTTGAAGCAGAACTTGGACAGTTTAGCACACTGGCGGTGATGAAACCGGGCTCTCCGTTGATATCGCAAGTAATGCCTTGGGGGCAAAATATGAGCAGATCATTTGAGGGGTCAGTTGGGGGGGCGATTATGATGAGAAAGGTCTGCCCAATGTTTGTATTTGTCTGTGGCGCGGGTGCCGGCAGATTGACGGTCCCTGCCCCGCTCCCAGCAAAGAAGGCATAAAAAATGGCAGTCCCTGCAACACAACAAGAGCGTATGCTCAAGCAGGGGGCGTTCCAGGGACCTTAAACATGCATATTCAGGCATATTGGCAAGAGAGCATGAATGCAGCCAGCCAGATGTTGTCTTCTCCGGTGACAGAATTATGGGCCTTCAAGCACATAGTCAGGGACAAAAGTACTGTTTTCTGCAGTATGACAAGAGAAAGTGCATGCCCGCATATCGAGAACTTCAGGGCTTGCATGCGAGCCTCCGATCTTGAAGACAGACACTTTTTGCACGGCGGCAAGAGAACAAAAGGTGCTTAGCATACGTTGTTCAACACAGTGTGTCTCTGAGCTCCTCCCATGCTGGAAGAGACACCCACCTGGGGGAGGGCTTATCTGGCCCCCATTAACAGGGAATTGATAGATGAGCGGCACAGTCGAGAGGCCGACAGTCGCTTGGATGATCCCGGCTGTGAGCGTGCCGGCAACTGTGAGCGCGCAGCCGGCCACGGGGGAGGCTGTCCCGACGGCGACTTGGCTGTTGGCGAGCAGGCCGAGATAGGTCGAGCCGGCAACTAGCAGCGCCGGGCTGTTGACATTCTGGCTCGCGATAATCACGGAGCCGTCGGGGTTGACAGTCATGGGCGATGTGTTGCTGCCAAGCGTGACCTGTACAATTTTCTGGACTTCAGCCAATAGATGACCTCCGAGGCAGGGGTACTTGTTACTGCATGTCTGCACAGAACATTACCCGACACAGAGAGAGCTAATACCGTAAATTATACGGCACAGAGAAGGTGCAGTGGGGTAAAAACCACAATTTGCGGCATGCATCACCTGGCGCATAGACAGCTGACGATTTAAATGCACAGAGGATGTGCAAAGGTTGGGACTCGCAATTTACTGCATGCATCACCTGACACAGAGCAAGCTGATGTTCTATACTGCAGAGAGAACATACTCTGCCGATTGCATTCAGCGCGTAGGCGCCGCCACCGCCGCCCACAACCGTCAGAAAGGCGCCGTTCACGTCCAAGTTGGAGGTGCCAAAAGCGATGCGGCTTGAGGGGTTGGAGCTGATGATGTTGCCAAAGTTTGCTGTCCCTTGGAACTGCGATGTCCCTTGGAAGTTTGCTGTCCCTTGGAACTGCGAGGTTGTTGCAACGGTCAAGGTGTTCTCCAAGATGGTGTTGCCTTTCACGTCGAGGTTATTCAAGACGGTGAAGTCCCCGGGAGCAGTCATGCCCCCGGTGCCTGGGGTGCCTGGGGTGCCTGCGCCCCGCAGCGAATTTTCGTGTATCGTCTCCCGTCACTCTTCCTCTTCACTCTTATTTTCAATCATCTTCGACACTTCATTGCCCCCCAGCCCTAAATTATAATAAATCTTAATGCAGGCTCTCCCCAGTATGGTTATTCCATTCCCTTTAAAATACTCTTTACTTTAACGACCCCTTCCCTGCACTATTCAGGGGGTACTACAGACTCTAAGGGGAGTCTTTAGTACCCCTTGCACTATAGAACCATGTTCAAAAACCCCCAGGTTAAAGGGGGGGAAACATAAGCCCATGTGTGTGTCTCAGTGCATCTATGCTCCTGTGCATGTCATCCGCAATTGGCAGCTGCCAGAGGCTTACAAATTTATCCAGCCGCAAAACTTTCTGGATTAATCTCGTCTCAAGGAAACTAGGCAGGGTGTTAAATGTGAGAGCTACCCATGGCGCCGGTGTTGCCTGTGTTGCCGTCTTTCCCAGTAGCGCCGGCGTTGCCATCTTTGCCGGTTGCGCCTGTGTTGCCGTCTCTGCCGGTTGCACCAGTCACACCGTCGCCGGTAGCGCCAGTGTTGCCATCTTTACCGGTTGCGCCTGTGTTGCCGTCCCTGCCAATTGCACCAGTCACACCATCCTTGCCGGTAGCGCCGGTGTTGCCGTCATTCCCGGTAGCGCCGTTTGCGCCGGTGCCGCCTGCATGCCATGCAACGCATAGTTTCAGCCAGGCACTAAAGAGCTCATGCCTGCATGGCGTCCATGATCAAACGTTGTTTTTCTCGGACGCTTGTCCTGCCAGGGGCAAGATGCGTGTGCAGACAAGCTTGCACGAAAGGCTGCCCAAAACCCTGCCCCTTGCTAGACACGTCAAAAACCAAGCAAGACAAACGTCACCGTGGGCACGGTGCTCAGAATTTGCAGCGCCCCCCGCGAGCCGGGGCCATGATTAAAACTGCTTAAGTAACGGCTCAAGCCATCAATGCGTGCAATGTCAAGCACTTCAAGCGCTGGGTTTGATGAGCCCTTTTAGTGTGGGGGGCGGCCCTTGATCAATGATGTGCGAAGCCAGCACACCTGAAAAATCTGCATTTAGGAAAGAGTTCATCACCTGCGGGGCCTGTGGCTCCATCTGAGCCAGTGTCACCATTGTCACCCTTATCACCCTTGGCACCAGTTGCGCCGGTGAAGCCCTGGCCGTCAGCACCTGCAGTTGAGTCAGCCACTCAGTCAAGTTACATCGCTTCCAGCCAAGTTAGGGCTGATCCGATGCTGGACTCTGAGTCAGCGCCCAGCATGACATCCAAACCCTCTAAGATAGCTTATTGAAAGTAAAATATGTGCGTCAAAATTGTAAGAGTTGGAGAAAATTTGAGATTTGGCGACACAACAAGATCATCCTGCCAAATAGCTTGCCGCATGCTAGAAAAGGGAAGCATATGTATGTTCCTGATGAATTGCAGATGGCGGCACTTGAATACCCGATGGTCAAGTGGACAACCTGTGAGAGGCAAGTGCCAGAGTGGGGTTTCCGGCTGTCATTAGCGCATTTGAAGAAGGGTTAAAAACGAACAGCAGGAACCAAAATGATTGTCCCCCGAAAGCTATGATAATTGGGGACTTGGTGGGCCCTGTCAAGGAGCGTGCTCAACTAAGGGGCCTGAATTTCATGATTGTGCCCATTACCTTGTGATGCCGACGAATTGCGTCCTTGCAATATGGCCTGCCCAAATCAAAAATAAAGAAGAAACCAGGTACCAGGGAGCACAAGGAAAAGAGCACATTCACATGCACTGCGGCAGAAAACAGAGACTCAGGCATGTCGTCAAATGCGATATAGTCTCCATTTGCAGCCATTTCCAGTCGTCTGCAGCACAGCTGTGGGGAAACAAAGGCTGACATACCTGTTGAGCCCGGCTGTCCGGGTCCACCACTGGCGCCTGACCAACACAGCACCACAGATCAGCAGACCACGCCAAGGGGAAGTGCATGTCTTGTGCAACCCTGTGGAAACCCCTCATCACAGGAGTCAACAGCACCTGGAAGATAGGTCGTATTTCACATGGCTGTAACTATTCCATTGCTTAATCACAGCCCCCCAAAGCAGGGACGGCAGGTTCTCAAGTAAAATGTTGAGGCTTCTTATAGTTTTCGGAAGTTATAGGAGATTGGAGGAGCAGTGCTGGACAGTCAGGATCATTGCAGACCTGCATCTCCCATGCCGGTAGGTCCTTGAGGGCCGGTGGCACCAGTAGGGCCCTGTAGCATGGCACATGGTGTGGGTGCGAGTTTTGAACCTGAGTTCCAACTGTGACAGGCAGGTGCACAACATTGTTGCAAGTCAAGGGCTCGTAGAAATTACGCGAGAAGTATTTTATGATTTGCTGAAGTATTCCTGGCCGTCGTAAAGCTCACCGGCTGATTTGCAGACAGCTGCAACTTGAGGGCATCTATCTGGGCTTGCTGTACTGCGCTGGCCTTCTTCAGCTCCTGCTTTGAAGCAGGTAGCACAGTGTCCGATATCAGAACGGTTTCATTCTGCAGCTGATTGATGGCGAGCCCTGCAAGTCTGGTGAAGTCCGGGCCCCTTGCTTGGAAGCCTGTCAAGCACGGTTACGTGTGTCACAACGGCCCAACACCACTGCGCCATTGGCATCCATAAACTAAGCATTAACGAAAAATTTTATTATTCCTGAAGCTACACAGGGTGGCCCACCTTTATCCTGCGCGATGACCTTTTCCGCAAGACCCGGAAAGAGAATCCACCACTGCGTCAGTGCAAAGAGCACTGAGCGCACAGACACCGGCCTGCGGGACGAAACTCTGCGCAAAAGTATATCGCATATGTATTATTTGTTGTATCTCGTAAGAATGCAGAAGAGAAGTGTCTGTGTGCTGAATAGGACGCAACAGCCTACCTGTGAAACATAGGAAGGGTGTCTTCAGGGACACCAAAGACGCCCCCTTTCTTCGCGCAGAAAGCCACAGTGAGCAAGAGAGAGTTATCGTCTCTCGCCAGATTCTAGGGATGTCCCCAACCGGCGGTTGGCAACCGCTATGACACCGACGCTGTCACTTGACGATTTGTGCTTGAAATAAGCGCCGTCGAACTTCGCGCATACCCAAATCTTGCATTTGATTTCTGTAGTCATAATGTGTCCGAGGTGGACTCTTGACGAGCCATAATTATTATTATTATTACAGGTCGGCAAATCCAAAGCCAGAGGCCATAGGGCATACACGCAGGGCGTCTGCAGCCACATCTGCGGGGCCTTCATTAGTCTGCAGCCTATCACTCACTCACCATATACACTGTATGGCATGCATGCACTCACCGCCCCGGATGAGTACTTCTTGTGCAGGCCGTGCTTCACACTGACGCCGGCGTTTCGTATACAGACAGCGACGCCATTCTTTTGATGCAAAATTGTAAAATGACCCCAGGGCCGCAGCAGCAAACCTGCAGGGGACTGTATATTCTTCACAAGCATGGTGGTGATTCACAGTTTCATGTTATTTTTGATGTCCTCGGAAATCCTCAAGTTGGGATCCAGCGAGTTTTAAATGGTGACATCAGCAGAATATCATAATCTAATTTGAGCGACAGGTCGGTATCAGGGTAAATAAATCAATTGTTTTAGAGTCCCCTAGGGGGCCTGTCGGTACTCCTTCAGGAGGATACAACGAGGCTACATATTGCAGGGGTTTTGCCATAGGCATTCCTTCCGCCAGCTGGCAAGCTCTTGAAGCTGCAGTGAAGGTTGACGAGGACAGGGGCACCACGCTAGTCGCCCCGTCAGCGTCGCCACATCACCGGCGGCCCGAACTGCAAGTCCACAGGTGGACCCACTGTTCGCTTATACCCCTTCCCGGTCCGGACCAGAGTGCATGCTCAGTCAAGGTGCGCTCACCCTCCACATGCACTATATGCTTGGAATTGAGGCTTTGAGAATCTACTTGCACGAGAAGCGTTGGGAGTCTCATATGCATGCAGGATCCCAGGCTCTGCAGAGCTGGGCTCTGCACAGCTGTCAGTTTGAATTCTGCTGTGAGATGTGCCCGCACAACGTTGCCGGCATATGCCTAGACCAGCTGGCTGTAGGGGTAGCCTGTGGTCTGGGCAGAACACCACTAGCATCATTGATGAGTCATCAATGCTGACGTATATGCAGATCGAGTGAATGCACAGTGAGCGGGTCCCCGGTACACCGGTGGTCCATGAGGAATACAGCAGAGCAGCTGCAGGGCATGGAGCCGAGCAAGACGCTTGCATGGGCGGGTTGTCAAGCATGTCGCATGCGCAGTGCAGCCACAGATTGGGAATACAAAACCGCTCGGGCTGCATTTGAAATCAAGTTTGGTACCGACATTGGGCCTCCCTCTGTGTCGCGCATAAATGGTGCTGGAGGAGCTTAGAGTGGGAGGGCGCGGAAGGGATTGTTCAACTGATCATTGGATTGTGCTTGTTCAGGCACCAGCAAGCTTGAGGATGCAACAATACCACATGTGTGCACTAGCTGCATGCAGGAGAGAGTGTGATCCAGATTTCATGGAATGCGTGCTGATGCTGACAGTCAAGCGGTGGCCTCCACAGAAGAAACAACCGTACATTTTTGCCTGCCAGCAAGAGATGAGAATGAAATGCACATTTTTGGAGGAATGCAATATTTGGCATTGCCACCTTTAATGTCATGTCACCCCTTGTGGTCCAGTCATCCCTTGGCTCAAGCTACCTTCCAAGGAGGTCTGGCATAATACAAAAGAACTTTCTTCTACTTGAAGCCATTCTATTGTTGGGAAGCATTCACGCGGTATCTGTTGCTTTTAAGGTTCACATCCTTTTGTCCCAAAATATAAACATCTACTAGGCTCAAGATGGCCACACTTGCAGAGTCGTTTCTTGCAGATCTTGACGATCTCTCAGATGCTAGTGCGGACGAAAGGGAAGATGCAGAGCCGGAAAACAACGAGAATGTGGAGGTAAGCAACAGAACACTTGAAACAATCAACAGCAGCTGCAGGATCTCTCTGACCGAGAAGCTCGCCCATGCCCCTTCACGCCTTGCTCACGGTTGCATGAAACTGTGTTGCATGATGGCATGCCGAAAAATGCCACTTTGCGGAGACGCCCTCAATGAGATAGGTTGCGATGGCTGAAGCAGAACAATTCACTTTGCCTACGCAGATGGACGAGGAAAATGACGACATCGAGGCGTTAAATTATGACGATCTCGAAGCTGTGGCCCGCCTGCAATCTGGCGATCGGTACAACACGATCATGCAGGTACGCTTTTGCATTGAGAAATAGTACTCACCTAATGCTTCACTTGTAGCCCTTGTGCCTAGCACTACGCAAAGATAACACATCTTAGCAGGATGAATTATTTTGCAACCATTCCCTGAAAAGTGAGAGCTGCTGCAGGCAGGTGTGCTGGCCTCCAGCAACGTTACTGTATGTAAGCTTGTGGCTGCTGACTAAGACTTAACTTGCTGCTGGTGCAGCAAGTGAGGAGTGCGTTGGAAAAAGGAGGAGAGATGGATGAGTCGGACGCAGTATGGACAGGGCCTTCAGAAGAGGGGCCAACCTACAGACTTTTGGTGGACTGCAACCAGCTTGCAGTGGACATTGACAACGAAATAGCCGTTGTGCACAACTTCATGCGAGATAAGTACAGGTCTGCTGCCTCCTGAGATGCGAAGCTTGATTTTGAACAGATCTCCCAGTTCTGGGTTCTTTTGGGTGTCCTTCAGAGCTGCTGTGCAGGGATGTATGAAGTGGCATCAGTCCATGCATAATTAGGAGTTACTCTGAATGTGCGCAGGTCAAAGTTCCCAGAGCTGGAAAGCCTGGTGCATCACCCGATGGACTATGCGCGCGTTGTGAAGAAGATTGGCAATGAGATGGACATGACCCTCATCGACCTGGAAGACATCCTGCCGCAGGTGAGCAGTCCTCCCTGCACATTTTCACATGACCTTCGCTGCAGCACTGACACTGATGCTGGCTCCATAAAACTGATGCAACAAGTAACACTCTTTTTTAGGGGCAGAACATCCTGTTAAAGGACAATCCGCCGTCTCCCCAGAGCAATTGGGAAAAGCGCATGTTTGCCTGTTGTTAAACATGTGAACTCCCAACTCGATGTTGGTGACATCAGCGGGGGTTCATGTGCACGCACATGCTTGCAGGCGACGGTCATGGTGGTGTCCGTAACGGCGTCCACGACGTCCGGGAAGCAGCTGTCGGAGGAAAATTTGAACCGCATGCTGGGCGCGGCTGACATGGCGCTCCAGCTGGACGCTGACAAGGCGGACATCCTGCGCCTGGTGCAGCTCAAGATGCACCACATTGCGCCCAACCTGTCGGCCGCCGTCGGTACGGAGATCGCTGCCAAGCTCATGGGCGTGGCCGGCGGTCTCACCTCCCTCTCCAAGATGCCCGCCTGTAACGTGCAGGTGCGCCCTAACACGGCCTCATCTTGCTTATGCCACATCTTTGCACCATGACAAGACCACTGCGCCTTGGGGAAAAAGGCTCCGCAGAGTTGCCTGCTGCGGCTCAACAAGCTGCCAGCGAGGAGATTTGCTTCCTCGAGTTCAAGGCAGTTGAATGCCTGATGCAGAATAGGGGACTTGAAGCACCCTGCTGGTTGCAAGCTCAATCTAAACAGCTGTGATCCTGTCGTCGGGCGCAGATGACTGCCACCGCACAGGAGTTCTCCAATCGTCATCCTCCCGCTGAGTTTGTGTGCTGTGCATTGATAAGAAAGGCCCATGCTGTTGGGGTAGACCGCCATCGTGCACATCCTCACGTCGATGCCCGGCCCCTGGCCGTTTATGGGTTTGTGGACTTTGGTATGGCACATCTTAAGAGGTGTTCCCGCACATACAGGTGCTGGGCGCGAAGAGGAAGCACCTGTCGGGCTTCAGCTCGGCCACGCAGGCGCTGCATCAGGGATTTGTGTACGGCTGCGAGGTGATCCAGAACACACCCCCCGCGCTGCGAGGCAAGGCTGCGCGCATGGTCGGTGCGAAATGCACGCTGCTCGCGCGCATCGACGCCTACGGCCAGGACCCCACCGGCTCCGCTGGCGCCGCCATGAAGGTGCGAATCTTTAGCTTTGTGTTTCGTGGGTTTATCAGCGCCCACACACTCATGCAGACGCAAACTTCAGGCGTCACTTGATTGCATGCTGTCTGATTGTGGAGGAAAACTCCAGACAACTGGCCCACAGGAAGCTGGTGTCAGCCGCTGGAATGCCAAGTGACTCTGCTATGTGTCAGCGACTTCTTTAGGGTTGCATTTTGTTCAATTGCCCTGCATCGGCTGTGTTGAGGTTGGCCCAGCAGGAGGGAGTAATGGCGGGTTGTCTGAACAAAAGTGAGCATAGAGGATAGAAGTCTGCATGTGCAAGCGGGGTGAGGATAACAAGCGGGGATTGTCGATTCATCTTCGCTACACTCCAAGAAAGCAAGGCCTGCTTCCCTTCTTAGCTCTATTTCCTTCAATCCAGAATCAGAAGGGCTTCGAAAGCTCCGATGTGAGGTGATGGGATTTTCACATCATGGCTGGTTGGCGCGCAGGAGGAGATGCAGAAGAAGGTGGCTAAATGGCAGGAGCCGCCACAGGCAAAGCAGACGCGTGTGCTGCCCGTGCCCGACATGGAACCCAAGAAGCGCCGCGGCGGCCGTCGCGCGCGCAAGTACAAGGAGCGCTACGGCCTCACCGATGTCAGAAAGGTCCGTAAGATTGCTTTCCACCCCTCCCTGAGAATAAAACGGGCCTCTGCACAGCACATGCTGCCCTGAATTTTGAACTTGGGTGCCAAGACTTTTATTGCCGCGCTGGCATGTGGTATGCTTGTGTTCAGCAGAGCCAGTTCAGCCCGGTGCAAAGCGCATTTCAGCAATGCTTTCTGTTCCTTTCTCCTCTCTTGAGGCGTGTGATGACACTTGTGGAAGGTCATTTAGCTGGCTTGCTACTTACAAATGCACACAAGCACCCTCTTACTTCACCAGAGACTGCATAAGTGATAATTGGTAAGTTGATGACATATGCGCAGGCAGCCAACCGGGTGAACTTCAACCAGCCTGAGGAGGAGTTTCTGGATGGAGATGATGTGGTGGGCCTGGGAGTGCTGGGCAAGGAGGGCTCCGGCCAGCTCAGGGCGCAGGTAACACTCAAAAGTGCCCTTATGCTGTCAGCCAACCATCTGCAGCTCGCCTGCGCGAGAACTTTCCTCCTCGTGTCCTGTCAAAGTTGTAATGGCCTTCCATGGGCTATGGCGCTCAAAGCAGCCCATACTGCAATGCTGGGCTTCTGGAAGAACAACAAAAAGAACAGCTGAGAGTGCAGCGCATTCTACACTCTCAGGCAGCTCCTGGTTTTTCGAGTGCTATGCGCTGCTTGTCACAAGTTCTGGATTTGTGAAGAACTCTAAGCAGTAGCTGCTACCTTCTCAGCACACCCATCAGAATTGTAACTGTCAGCCCATTTCGAACTTGACACTCAGCCATGCACCATTTGCCTGTCGCATCCCATGCATGCGGCTCACGGTTTGGTGTGTTGGCCGCAGGCGCGGACGCAGAAGCAGAAGCTGTCGGCCAAGGTGGCCAAGAAGTACGCCAAGAAGCTCGGCGGCAGCGGCGGGGCCACCAACGGCCTCTCATCCACTGTCGCTTTCACGCCCCTCCAGGTCACCACCCCACCTCATATTCCCCTTTTTCACATCTTGACAATGCGGTCAGCCACAAGCTGGTCTATGTTTCTGTTGTGCACAGCGATCAGCCCAGCAATAGGCTATGGTGCAACCACATGGGTATTGGTATCAGGCTTGATGAATTCCGCTGCTTGAGAAAGCTGTCCAGCCGGTTGTTGCAGAAGTTGCATGGTTCCAGCAGAAGCACAAAAAGGTTACAGTACTAAAGATTTTTGTCTCTGGTGCAGGGAATGGAGTTGGTGAACCCAGTGCAAGCCAAGGACGATGATCTGAGGAGCGGCACAGAGTCCTACTTCTCAGAATACTCGGGATTCAGGTCAATCAAGAAGGTTCCCGGCTTGTGACCAGTGTCGCTGCCATGTGTTTTCCTCTGTAAATTGTTTCTGTGATCAACCACCCCTTGCTGACGTGGTGCGAGTCTTATGCAAGTGAATCTAGAGCTGTGAGACATCCTTCGAATGCATGTGAGGAATGTTGGTTGAGATTTGTGCCCGAATGTCAGATATGTCCTTTCCTGTGTAGTGCGCTGAAGGAGATGTTGGTGCAATATCATAGAGTGCTGAGCTAAGGTTGTTAAGGGCCTTCTTATGTGCCCCAATAAGGAGTGCTAATGCGTTGCTGCATTTTATGTGTAACCATTTATTGCCCTCCGTTCTGTAAAGAATATGGAAAACACCACAATGCTGACTGTTACACTGAACAGCACACATGTGGACGCATATGCAATACTGGTACTGCTGCCCAAATCACGCTAGAAGGAGGCCTCATCTGTCCATGCTGGGAAAGGGCGTAAATTCCCCAGCTGGCCATTTACTGAAACATGGTGCGTCAACTTTGGGCAGCCCTGGAAATTATCCTGCTTACATGATTTACGTCGCAGTTGCAAAGTGCAGCACCCAGCATTTTTGCAGCTCCACCTTTTTTCACTTGACGCTCTCAAAGAACTCCCTCTCCAGCTGCACCAAAGCAAAACACACCCTTTGAGCTGGGTCAGACAGGTGGGCCAAGCAATAAAATAATCTTTTGATTGTGTTAGCTCAGTCGTCTGCCCTGACTGCAGAGTGGTCGTGCAAGTCCATGTGGAGCTTGCATGCATGATTACGGATGTAGCGCACAAGCCGTGCTGATGTCACAGCCGCAGAACTGACTGTCAGCGATTGTAAAGCAAGACAGCAATATTGGGACGCCCCATCATTACCTGCAGGATATCCTCATCGTCGCCGGCCGCGGCTGCGTCGTTGGCATCGGCATCGGCCGGGGCCGCAGCGGCGGCGGCGGCGGCAGCCGGCTCTTGCGCGACGGCATCTTTGCGCGCGCGGATCTTGGCCTCCTTCTGGGCCTTCTCCAGGTTCTTCTCGCGCGCCGTCTCGCGCTCCAGCATCTGCGCACAGCCACATTAATGTCACGTGTTTTCAAGTTCTTGCAGAAATAGGATCCGCAAGCGTCCAGCACATGTGATTTGTGTTTATGCCAATTTGCACGGTCTTCTGCACTTCCTCCACCAGTGCGACAACATTTGAAGTGAGTCAAGATCCTCGGCACAACAACATTGCTGGTGCTGAGTATGTTATCGTCTGGCAATTTAAGGAGATCTGCAAACTCCCTTCCCCAAATTTGGTCCCTGTGCCGGGTTCTGGTGTAAGCGCCATTCTCCATTACGCACCCTCGGCGTGCTGCCTTTTTCAGTACTATACGTTCACAAGGGGTAGGCCTATCAAGTCCTGGAATGAATATGTTAGGAAAGACTTGGATAGTCTTGGGCTGGCCCTGACATGGTGGAAAAGGTGCCAAGATAGGCCGAGCTGGAAGGCTGTCATAGAATCGCTGCTGCGACGCACCTAAGCCAACTGTGGCTTGGATAGGCGTGTAATAATAAATAATAATAATAATAATACGTTCACGCTGCGCAATGCGTGAGGAGGATGCAACAAAGCATGTGATGTGGGTGACAGGTCACTGTCTCCAGAATATCAGTCACCGCGAGGGTGGCAGTCTTCTCGCTGGGCTGAAGATCAATGAGAGAGGCGCTAAGCTGCAGCACAGCAGTTGTGCCGTCCGCGCAGCCGACCGCCACAAGGCCGCCTCCCTCATGCACGCGTAGTGACGTCAGCGCGCAGTCCGCCACCTGTCACGATGACATCAGCGCCCCGTCAGCCGCCACCTCAGCTTTGTTGCATTTTTTCTCATCCTGCCATGCACTGACTCCCACCGTGGCGCACAATTTCAGAGGTGAGCTTTCAGGAACTTCTTTAGGCTAGTCATGCACCCGCTGACATCCTGCTGCTATTGGGAGAAAACTTAATCATGGTGATAGAAGGTTCTATTGACCTGGGTAGAGAGGGCTGGAGCAGTCTGGCTGTTGAGGTAGTAGTCCCATGCGTCCAGAACGCCATCCTCCCTCGCACTGAAGAACACACTCGGCCTGCAAACACACAGCTAGTCAGCAGTCTACCTCTGCACCGTATCCAAGACAGTGGCACCAAGCCTACACTGTCAGGGAAGGAGCGGAAATGACATCCGCATGCAAATGAAACCAACTGCATCTGGCTGAATGAGCAACATGGTGCTACTACTGCATGCATGCTCATGCGCCATCATTGCACCAACACAGTCAAAACAATAGATGTCCACTGGTCCTGAAGATATGGCTGCAGACGCCTGCCTGGTTACCCTATGGCTTTCTGAGTTCGGTTCGCTGTCCTATAATCATGGTTATAATTGTTATTACAGGCTTGTTAACCTTCCAAGGCTAGGTGCGTTCCAGCAGCACTTCTTTGGTTTCCTTCAAAGCTCCATGTCCTTGCATGTTCTCCACCAGTCGTAACTGAGACTGGTATCATCTAAAGCTCTATAATAGTGTCATGCAGGGGACAGCACCGGGTGGGGGACCAGCGGACGGCGGTGAGGTGAGCGGTGTGGTAAGCGGTAGTAATCAGTGGCGTGCGCAGATCCTCATTCCACACGCGCGCGGTCCAGTCACCGCAGCTGGCAAACATCTTGGGGTAGAACGGGCTGCGTGCCAGACCGTATACGGGCCCATGGTGGCCTGCATTTACGGGGTCGCTGGGGTCAAAATCAAGCATTAGAGAACAAATTAAATACGTTGTAGTACAGAGATCTATTTTGCACAGGGCGGAGTGCATGCTAGCATCTTGGCGCAGGTATATGTGAGCCATCCTGTGCGTTTCGTCATTGCAGGATGCGCGGGGGAATGCTTGTCTGGCAATACACATAGGACCCCTGATCAGCGTTAGTTTAGAGGAAGACATATGCACGCATTTCAATTGCAGCAAAGAAGTATCCTCAAGAGTGGTCAGCCATGGTGGTTTTTATGCTAGGTCTCCAAGGCCTTGTGGTGCATGACTGACTAACGGTGGTGCACCTGAGTATGATGCGCCGACGCGGTCTGCCGGGGTCTTGGCCTTGCGGTTGCACAGCAGCACGTTGCCCGGCTCCGTGCCCACCAGGAATCTGCCCACAGAAAACGTCATTCTCGAACTGTAAAACCCGGTGTAAGAACCCCAAAATGTGTCTCCGCCATCCCCAAGGAAAGTGGGAGGGCCTCGGGGGAAGAAACAAGAGTCTCCAGAGACAAATGCGTTGCAGTACTGGCAGGAGCAGGGAAGCTTGTCTCACAGTGGTCAATCATGGTGGATGTGCTAGGTTGCCTGTCCATAAGAAGCACGAGCAGAATCCTTCTGTGGTGTGCAAGCTCCCCAAGCTGTCTGCATTAGGCCTTGCCATGCAATTTCTTGCTATTAGTCCAGTCCCAGGCCAACCTCGTCTTCACCTAGCGAAGGCGGAGGGAACGCGGCGCACTTGGTGGGTCCGGCGGCTGGGCTGTAGTCGAGGCAGACGGCGCCGGAGAGGGCTCCGGAGGCAACGCCGCGTTCTGCCAGGGGCAGCTCTTCGCGCGGCTCCCCCAGCCGGCGGCTGTCCCACCAGAGCACGCGGCCGTCGCTGGAACAGCTCATCGCCTCCGTCCCCGTCTTGCTCTGCAGCCACGCGAAATCGTACACCGGGTCCCTGCGCGCACAATTTCCTGCCGGTCTTTACAATTTAAGATACCAAAGAATGGTTGCACAGTTGTCATCCGGTGTACAGAGACTTAAGTGAGCTAAGGAGCACTTGAGATCAACTCTGCAGGCAGGCATGCGGCCTTCAGCCATGCAAAATGACATATCGGGCCCCTGCGCGTTGCAAAAGGTCATCTTCTCAATCTACACCTGAATTTTATTTTTGGACCCTGGTTCTGCAAGGAGCCAGTGCCAAGGATCTCTGGTGTTCAGCAGTTTTAGGCGACCAGGTGAAGCGAGGTGCATATAAGGGTCAGCGCTGCACTGACGGATGGAGACATGCTGGCTGCATGGATGGCTGAGAACCTGCATTCGGTGATTGCACTGCAGCAGCTCTCTCTGGTGGCAAGGATACGTTACGATATTCTGCTGGTCTGGAGATGCACTTGCATGGAGAAAGGGCAATCAGAGGGGAAGGAGCCATGCCTGTGGCTCTTCTCGATGGGTGTTGCATCGACGGGCGTGCTGCCCTGGCGAGTATCAAAGACAACAAACTGCCCGTTGTATTGCCCTGCTCCCAGCACCTGCACGCGCATGCGAGTATCATCACCCATGTGCTGCAGTGAATCAAGTAAAATGCCCTGAAGACACCAGCACCATGTGATCAGGGCATAACATGATCCGGTTTCGACAAGTAGTATACAGCACCCAAGGCCTAATGATAGGAGTGAAGGGCCGCAAAGGAATCAGCACCGGCAAAGGGCTGCCAGAAAACCCAAAAAGTAATGGTTTGCATGCCAGCTCAGATATAAAGGGGCGGCATGTACATAATATCGTGTCTTTAAAAAATTAAGTGACTGAGTGCCCCTTAGACCGAACCAGGCCTGTCTTCGCACACCTGATGTAATGCATGTAATACGATGCACAACACAGAGGTCAGACTGGCCTTAGGGTACAGTGGATCACGTGCTGGTTTCTTGAAGGCTAGCTTCTCAGGGGAAGTAAATAGAATCTTGCCCCACCTTGGAGTCCTTGAGGTTGAAGTTGAGGCAGACGAGCGGGCTGGCAGGAGACAGTACTGCCTCTGGCTGCGCCGGATTGCCCAGATCCCACACATAGCTGTCCGACGGCGCTCCCTCCGCCTGAAACTGCAGCACCGAGTATGCCACCGCCACCTGTCACAGTAGTAACTCAGTAAGTAAGCACGATGAGTCTCTGGGTTGAGACGAGACATGCTGCCTCAACCTGCAGCGCTCTGCCCTGTAGACTATCTGTTCTGTGCTATCTCTATGCTCGTGTAGGAGATCTTCGATTCACAGCAGACGCGACTCCTGGCAAATTGCCTGCAGCAAAGCATGCATGCAGCGTGCCAGGAGTGCTGCACATTTTTCATTGTCAGACAACTAAGTTGCACTATCAGACACCGATTAAAAGGAGCAGTTTTCCTGAGCCTGCCTGTCTGCAAATTCGCAATTGAAGCAAGGCATCATCAACAGGCGACCACGTCCACTGATGCAGGTGATCCTAAATCAATTGGTGTTCATAAGAGTCCCAGGAGACTTCCATGAGAACTATACTTAGAGGGCAGGAAAGGGGTGTGACCTTTCTGGAGCCGTCAGGGTGCCAGGACAGGTACTGGGCCCCCTGGCGGGAGGAGGAGGGGTCCAGAAGCTGAGTCAGCGTGTGCGCGGCAGCTGCCTCGGTGCTGTACTTGGCATCCCCCTCCCAGTACTGCTCGTAGATGTCTATCGCATTGTTCTCCTTCACCACTTCCTCCGCTCCCGCGCACAGCGCCACCACTGCCCGGATGTAGTGCTCATCTTTCTCCACCTGCCAAGAAACACATAATTCTCAATCCGTTGCTTTCATGTGTGACCCGTCCCTCGGGGGTAGGTACATTAAGCAACATCTGGGCATCTAATTTCCATTAACTCCTTGCAGGTCCTCTGCGCAATGCTGATAATTATGTACCTTTTGTTGGCCATTTGAGTCTTCCTGGAAGTGTGCTGGAGAGAGCAGAGTGTCGATGGGCCATAGCTTGTGTTGCTCACAGCATTTGTTGTTTTGGACAAAGTTAGGGTTAGTCTCCCTGTCATTTGGATGCTGTGACTTTCAGAAGCAAGATTGCAGCACACCTTTTTCCGATACCTGATGACCTGCTCGATCTCTGTGCAGTCTATCTCCTTGGGCCAGCCCCCCTCTGTGTGCAAGATCCCTCTGTTTACAAGAACCACAGGATCCGTATTCACCTGCAGGCATACCATTCGTCAATAGATATTTCAGTTTCAGTTGATTTGTGTAAGCTACAGCAGAGAATCAGGCACTCAGGCTCAAAGTTTTGGCTAGAATGTGTGCTGTGTACCTCGTGCTCTGACATCTGTTGTCCCACTTGTATCGAGGTAGATATTGTCTTCCTGACCACGAAATTCTTTGCATGCTCTTCGTTGGGTCTGATATCCGCCAGCATCTGATCACATTCGTTGGGTAACAGTCAGAACAAGGCACTTAAACTGCACTGGAACCTTGGAGAAGCGGAACAAATCTTCATGGTCACGATCTCTGATCGGGAGGTTAAGAATGTAGAGTAGAATGAATTGAACCTCTGCTCCCTCATCGTTGAAGCGAGGATGCCGCCCAAAGTCCTTCCTCTGCTTGACATACTGATGGCTGATCTGCAGCAAAGACGACGCATATTTTACCAATACGCGTGTTGCACAAGATTGCAGGGAAAAATTGTTGTAAGATAGCTTTGAGAAAAGACATCAGGTACAGAACATACCTCCATGATTTCACCACCTAGCCGTTGCAGGGATCTACGATGGCGAGGCGACGGATCGTGCACCTCATGCTATATGTTCCCGACAATACGAATCTGTAATGACCATGACATGTTAAACCAGTACGTGCACTCTTTGTATGCCTTTGCCACACTCAAGCGCTCGCAGCATCCGTAACGTTCCCAAATCGCGGGATTATCGCCCCAAATCCCTTGCATGACAAGGGTCGGTGAAGTAGCCTCTAAAAATTGCCCGCACAATTTCTCCTCCTTCGAGGCAATTCGTGCATGTTGAGACCTTGACAAAGCAGCTCTTTAGCATGATGAACCACACACCCATTCTTTTCGAACATCTCAGGTCGCTGCAGCGCCTCTGAAGCCTCTATGCCATCGAAATTGCCATCATACACTGGCCCTGTTGAAGAGCAGCAGGTGAGGCCCCCTTGCCACGCCTGCCACCCTCCCTGCATTTCTTAACACGACAAACTCCGCCCGAGTTGATCAAAGATCCCTCGCTGCTCGTGCCATTGTGTGTCCTATTGGGCGTTGTGAGCCTGCAAAGCAGCTGCCAGACCCCTGCCAGCGCTTGGGGCCGCAAATTCCTTTTTAAAGGCGGTACATCTTGTCATACGCCCTTCCTTCCCGAGCCTCCACCGCAGCTGCAAGTCTGATGGCGCTGCTCTGCTTTCTGCGCAGGCCGCAACCGGCCGCGCCGCGCTCCAAAGCCTGCGCGAATACCTAGCTGATAGAGGTGAACTCACATTCCACATGCACTTGCAATACCTCTCCCAATGTCTCTGCTGCAACCAATTCAACAAGTGTCCGCGCATATTCTCCCGGGCACCGCCCCTATGGCACCAGCGGCGGCAGCGGCGGCGGCGGCCGAATTGCACAACTTGGCTTTCTGCCTTTCTGCACTCCTTTCTGCACTGATTCTACTCTTTTAGGTTGTTATGACCTTGCTGATGCAATGCATATACCGCTGATGGACATCCAGCATAAGTTGTCAAGCAGCAGATGGTGCTAGATGGTCTGCACCATATAAGCACCTGCAGGGACCACCTCCTTCCTGTGTCCTGCCTTGTCACCTTAAAGGCATTCTGCACAAACGCGAATGGAAATTGGAAGGAATCTGGCGCATGCAGGCGCAGCACTGCCGGAGGGATTCGAGGCATCTGTGCACCTGCGCAAGGAGGGCTCACCGGGGGCGGTCGACATCTACTACTTTGACCACCTGCACACCCGCTACCGCTCCAAGCTACAGGTGCAGCCCTCAGCTCTCCCCTTGTCATACTGCGGAAGGTTCCAGAAGCAACATATAAGCCTGGCAACACCCAAACCTTGCCCGAGTGCAGGATGTCTCCATGGGACATTTTAATCTTGCTGTTCTTTGCCAGTATTGATATCTTCATTATCATGGTCTGTGCAGCACATCTTCCTGCCAACATTTGAATGAATTAGAAGTCTGCAGTCACAGCCAAGAGATTAAGGGATGCATTGGTTGATCAGGTTGCGCGGGCGCTCGGCGTGGCAGATTCGAGAGACAGGGACGAGGGAGCGAGTCTCCCGAGCAGCCCACGAGTCATGGGAGTGAGCCCCTCGAGCCCGGCAGCGGCCGACGCGGCAGGCCAGCAGCTGGCCGCACACCACCTGCAGCTGCCGGCACATGCTGATCAGGTGCCTGTCAATGACCGCCGAACGCTGTCAGCCTCCATGGATTGACAGTACCTAAGCTCTGCCGACGGTTTTTGAGCCGGCAGCTTTGCATGCACGAATCAGATGCCGCGGGTGTGTCCATGTGCCTTTGATACAGCGCGGTATAAACAAGACGGCCTGATTTTTGGCAAGAGAGTGAAAACACTTGGGTCGCAGGGAGGAGATTTTGTGGGCAGTGAGGAGGAGGTAAAGGTGATGGAAGCGCTGAGTAAGTACCTCGCCAAACTAGGCGGCCAGCTGGAGCCCGGCTGGCGCTGCCAGGTCAGGAAGCGCGCCGGGCCGGGGAACCGAGTCGACACCTACTTCAACTCCCCCAACGGCGAAAAGTTCAGGTCAGCGGTCTTGCCTGCTCAGACATGCAAGCCCTTTGCCGCCTGTTGCGCGCTGTTGTTCTGCTGAATCTGCCGCCTCTTGGGTAACTTCTGTGCCCTCAAACTGTTGCAGGCCCATGATTTAAAGGGCATGCATGGTTCTCATGCTTTCCTATAGGCAATGAGTACGTAGCACAGACCACAACTGCTGCTAATGGGACACGATTGCAGCAATCAAATTTATGTGTAATGCTCTGAACCAGCGGATAACGAAGACTGCCCCCCATCCCAGCCAGTACAAGGTTTTTGAGAAGTGAAATTTAACAGCATTCCGGTGCGGGAGCAGGTCGAAGACTGACGTGGCGCGTCACTTGGGCTTGGCCGTCCCGGCGGCGCGTCGGCCGGCCGGGGGCGCGGCGTCGCCCGGAGTTGATGTAAACATGGCGGAGGAGGACGTGGCCGCCATGCTCATGGCCCTGCCCCATGGCAAACCCATCACCGCCCGGTGCGCTCCCCTTCCACACCCCTTGTGATTCTGTGGATGTGAGGTTCCAGATGAGCTCAGGTTGAGCAAATCTGTTCAAAAACAATGCAGACCAGGTCTTTACTGTGGTGTCTGAAGTGCCATCCCTGTTCCAATCACCGTCTGTGGCCATCAAACCGGCAGGCACGAGCATGTGGTACGATTACTTGTTCCACCGCCGTGTGGGATGATATGTTTATTTTGCAAGGCGCTGGTGATTGTGCCGCAGCTGCAGTCTTGCCCCAGTGCAATTCAGATTGTGACCTCCCCAAATCTCTTACAGGGCAGGGCTAGGTAACCCGCCTAGTGCTGAGGGTGTGCGATCATATACTGGCTCTTTACCTGCATAACGGCAATATATAATTAGCGCCATGCGCATAAGCAAAGCTGCAGAAGACACATGTATGAAACTTATCTCTAAGTAGTATATTTTACTTGTATAAAAATAATGTGCGTGTGCAGGGAGGCGGCGCGCGCGCGGAAGGTCTCGGGCGCGGTTGCCGGGGAGTGGGCCGGCCGCGCAAAAGGGCCGGGGACGCCAGACAACGCCGCTGGCCGCAGCGGCAACGGGCTGCACTCCATCGCGGCGGCGCTCGAGGAGGCATCGCCCTTCCAGGTCAAGCAGGAGGGGGCTGCATACGCGGATGACGAGCAGATGTTTGACAGCGATGATGAGGTGACTGCCCTAAGCACGCTGGAAGCAATGTCACCTGCAAGAAAACAGGACTGTGCGCACTCTGTATATTCTTGTTGTCTCTTGCAGAAGCTGGAGCAATGACCAAGAGAAGATTGAGTCATTGACTTTCTACCTTCAACGTGTTCACCCCAGCAGATGCTGCACAGCACAGCACTGAATGTGTCATGTACCACACGAGACTTTGCCAATACATACTTTTGCCTGTGTGGCAACTTCTAACAATTCCTGTCTTATGCGCAGGACACAGACACGCGTGCAGATGAGAAGGCGGAGCTGGCGGCGCGGCAGATGCGGCGGCTGCGGGCGGCCGCACATGCGCAGGGCCTCACGCTTGCGCCTGGCTGGCGCGTGGACGTCAGCATCCGCAAGAATGGCACCAGCAGAGGTGCGATTGCCCCCTTCGAGACTCGTTGTAAATCTAATCTTAATTTTATTTGTAAGCACGCAGGATTAAGAGTCGTCCGTGTTGCGCTGCAGTTGAAGCTACTCTCCACTCGCTCATTTCGTTTGAAATGCATATCTTGTGCTTTGATCTGAACGGTAAGCGCATGCTGCGCAGGCTCCACGGATTACTACTACCGGCTCCAGGGCGGCGGCACCTTCCGATCGATAACTGCCGCCATGAAGCACCTGCTAGCCGCAGAGCATGGTGCAGCGCCCGCGGTCGCCACCGATGCGCCGATGCTGAGTCCGGCATCGGAGCCGGCCGCCGACCCGGCTTCGCCGCAGCTGCCGCAGCAGGAACGTCCCCCCAGCCCGGCCAGCGCTGCCCGGGCAGCTCCGGGCAGCCCGGCCGACAACGGCGGCCCGGCCGGGCCGAGCGCAAAGCCGAAGCCAAAGAAGTTTGGCAGCCTCACGGCGCTGTCTCATCCCGGCCGCAGCGGCGCCGCCGTTGCGCGGCCAACGTCCCCCAGCGATAGCGTGGCCAAGGGCAAAAACCCCGCTCCTGAGGAACCCTCTTCTGCGGCGCGGCCGACCACCAAGGCCGCGCTGGCTGCGCTCGGGCGGGACGCGACAGCCTCAGGGCACGCGCCCGAAAAGCAAGAAGCTGCGGAGGCCGATCGAGCAGGCTTGGAAGCGGGGGCTGCTGACGCTGCTGCTGAGAGCAACATGCCGGGCCCCAGTGGAATGGGATCGGTTGACGAGGCTGGTGCGGCTGTGGAAGGGAACGCCAGCGAACCTGATCAAGCCGGCCACAATGAGTCTAATGCGCGCATGAGGCAGCGAAGTGAGTGCCGCAGCAAGATGCTCCCTTGCGCTGCCTCAGCAACACTTGGGGTGGTCTCACCTCATCACAGTCACTAAAACAAGAGAATGAACACAAAGGGCTTGCTGAAGGCTTACTTTCATTATGCACAGAGCCGAACAGGAATGCGATGGCGCCGAAAGACGAGCCTGCTGAGAAAACCGGCCCGGCGCCGGCCGCGCGCAAACGGCGCACCGTCAACCGCGGCCGCGTGGATTACGCAACTGTGGCGGCCATGGCCGATCTGCAGTATGCCATCAGCAATGGTGCTCTCTGCCTCTCACTCTTCTTTGTCCACAGTACCTTTTTGAAAGGTACCCCTTGGATTACATGTTGACACAACACCTCTGCATGTCAACTACTCGGCCGTCGGGGCATCGATTCGCGCAAGCATTGGCTGACTATGTCCCACAAGGGCTGAGGTGGCATCAGGCTGAAGTAGGGGTAGTAAGGGGCTGATGATTGAGCATGCATGCGTGCAGAGGATCGAAGGGCCACTCTGAGGAAGCGCAACGCGGCCAAGTCAGGCACACCTGAGGCAACCGCCACAAACCCACCGAGCACAGGTGTGTACTCTTCTTTCTGGGAGTATACCGGTGCTATCTTACAATTAAGGAATAATACAGGATGTTGTGTGCCCTTGGACGCAGTATTGTGCTAATGAGGCTGCAGCTTATGCCCGAATATGAAATGCTCCTGCAGATCTTTGATGGTGCCATCAATCCAAATCCTGTCATGCGGGTCAGGTGTGGACAAGGACGCGGCACAGAGCACAGCAGAGGGGAGCGAGCCGGCAAAGGGCCGCAGCCAGGGGGCGTCGGGGGCGGCGGGCAAGGGTGAGGAAGGCGAGCAGAAGCCCAAGAAGGCAGAGAGGAAGCGTGAGCGAGTGGTCACGCCCTACACCAAACTGGTCAATCGAGTCCGCGGCCTCATCTCACGCATAAGGTGATTCAATTTAGCTCTTAGATTTCCCGCTCATTCGCCATGCATTCATGCCGTCTGCGACATGCTGGGCACATAGCATTGTATCCTGTGGTGCGTCTGCAGCATCTCCTTACAGCAGTAAACACAGACTGCAGATGCTGAAGACAAGCTTGAGGATTTGGTGCTGGATCGGCAACTTCACTGTCTGCTGCACATTCTTGTCTGCGCACAGGTCTGCCCTGCAGTTTCATCTCGCGAGCTGTAAGGAATTGGCCATGCTTGTCAGACAGGACAGTCAGATCACGGTGCATATCTTGGATCTGGGGCTCAGATCTACTGGTGTGCTGCAGGGTGGAGGAGGCATATCTGGATGCGTATGAGGGGGAGGGATGGCGTGGCGCCAATCGGGAGAAGCTGCGGCCCACGGCCGAACTGGAGCAGGCGAGGCTGCAGGTTTGTGCAATTATCCATTGCCACGCTGAACTGTGCAGACATCACACAACCAACGAGGTCTGCGTGGCTCCAGTGATCCGCGTCCTGTGCTGCGACATAATGCTAGAATGTTGCCGTACTGGGCATGGCACGAGGGCCGCCACGCAGAGCTTCTGGCTTGGCTCGATACTTGCGCATCACTCCAAGTTACTTTCCTGACAGGGAGCACCATGTGTTCAGTGCCTGTCCTTGACGATCAGCAGCACTGTCGTTTTCTGGTTTCTGCCATTCACACTCAGCAAGGTAGCATACGCACTTGACGCATGCCAGTCAACCCTCTGAAGCCCAAACCATGCAACATGTCCTAAGCTTCAGGAGGTTGGACTGGTATGCGTCAGGAGTGTATCTGCTGCCGTAGCCATACCGCTTTATGGCTTCAGCACCGGCTCCTTACGGCGGTCCAGAAAGAGAGGGCGTACAGGCTCCCTGTTTCTCCTTGGAAGATGGAGTGTCTCCTAGAGTCTCATGCTCCCGTGTCTGGCAGTATCTGTCCCGAGGTCTGCATGAGCCCAGCTCATTTGCATCCCAGCTCCTTAGGGGCGGTGTTTCCACAGGGGAAGCAAGGGGCGTCTGATACTGAAGTGAGGCTTCACGGAGTTGGATCCCGTTCGTGTTGCACACAATGGAACTGCACCACTTGCAGAGCATCGCTTTGCATGCGGTGCAAGGCATTGCTTGCATCACCAACTGGATTGGCCCCGTTCGACTCGCATGTGTCAGGCCTACCGCCAGCGTTCATTCTGAGCCAGGATCAAATTCATCATGCTTTGCTTGATCTTTGCGCGCGCGCAGATTGAGAAGTGCAAGCTGGGGATGCGGGAGGCGGTGAAGGAGTGCGAGGAGAGCGGCGGAGACCGCGCCATCCCGCCCGAGCACATCGACGAGGACGGCGAAATCGACGAGGCCCACATCTTCTGCGGCCACTGCCACGACCCTGAATCCTATGAGGTGCGTTCTGCATTCTTTTTGTAGAGAATTTTTGCCCGCGGGATGATCTAACCCCCATAGTTCTTGGTTCTTTGCTTCCAGAAGGAACCAAGGTCAATGGTGGGAGGTCTGGCCCAGTGCAGCGCTTCACCGTACTTTGCCTCTCGTGCCTCTCGTGAAGCAGCCTTGACGAGACCCTTGTAGGTGATCACACCGTAACAGGGCAGGGTAGCGGCGCAGATCAAGGTCTGTACCATGGCAAACGTGTGCTATGCGTAATCTCAATCGCCTGAAATCTTGCTGAGCATGTGACGCCTTTGCTGTGCTGCAGGACAACGACATAATCCTGTGCGATGGCAACTGCCACCGCGCGTACCATGAGAAGTGCCTGGTCCCCCCGCTCGACTCCTCCACGCTGCCAGAGGACGAGGGCTGGCTCTGCCCCGCCTGCGACGCCAAGGTGGGCTCCTTTGATCAACACCCCCGGATCAAGATGAACGGTACAAGTATTGTATTATGGCATGCAGGGCAGTGCATTCACAGCAGGTCTTGTGGGCACCATTCTACAATTCTGCGACACCAAATTGTGCTCCGCGATTGCTTTAGCTTGCATCAGGAAGCGCCTTTTTCAGGAGACCCGTCCAGCGGCTTGCTTGGGAACGACAGTGCAGGGGCATCAGTTGTCAAGACTCTCCCTTAGCCCAATGGCTCAGTTGTGTCCTGTTTGTGGACATCCTCACTGCTCCACAGTTGCTGCTTGGCCTTCAGAAAGTGGTGGATCAGTTTCTTTCCAAAGCAATGTGCCCCACCTCCACATAGCAATTTGCTCTGGCTTCATCGATGCAAACACACAGCAAAGCAGTAGCAAATGTTGACTCTGCTGCGCGCAGGCGGACATCCTGACAATGATCAACGAGGAGTACGGGTTCGAGTACGAGCAGGAGACCCCCTGGCACGCCGTCTTTGCCGAGGCCCCGATGTCGCCGCGCGCCGCGGCTGACGGCGCAGCCGCCGCCCCCGTCACATTCAAGACGCTCGCGGATTTCCTCGCGCACGCCGACCTGCCGGACTCCGACGCGGACGACTCCAGCTTCAAGTGCGCGAGAGTGACTCGTCCCTTTGGCTTGCTCCTTTGATTGAAATAATGGCCTGGCAACAGGCCCGTCAGCCCGGAGGGTGTCCTGCTGGCGCAATCTCGACCTCCTCAAGTATTGCCTGCAGAGCCGTCTGATACTGCACAGGGGCTTTTGTCATTTCAGCAGCAGGTCGGCTTCGCAGGCTGTGCTTGAGGAAGGTCTGATCAATGCTGCCTACAATGTTGAATGCAGCTCAAGAAGTTGGGAAAGATTGCTGGACTCTCTCGGTGCCATTCAGCTGTCGAGTGGTGCTGTGCACACACTTGGCTGACAAGCAATACTGCCTTATGGCTATTTTTCCACCTATACTGCAGTAAATCAGTTGCGCTCACGAAATCCAATGCGCTGAAGTGACCAGCTGCGGTGTGCAGGGACGAGAGCGGATCTGATGGCGAGGAAGGAGAAGAGGCACATGGCGGCGGCAGCGGCAGCGATGGGGAATCTGAGTCGGGCAGCGAGGCAGACAGCGTTGACAGCGAGGCGTCTGAGGGCAGCTCCGTCGAAAGCATGGCCTCTGAAGAGCGCAAGTGCGTCCTCCTCCCATCTCCTTCCTTCACAAGCCATCTCCGAGACCTTCTATACAAAAGTACTCAAACGTTGGATACTGTCACATTTCTGTCCTTCTCGTGGTCTTATCAGTCTGTGAGGAGTGCTGTCAAGACACGCGCAGGGTCCCATCAGTGCACTGCCAATAAAAATTCTGATTCGAGTCAAAATGGCACTACAAGGAAAATGGCTGCGATCAAGGCAGCGACGTGGCTAGGCTGAGATGGCTGACGCATGCTGTGTTTCACTCCACGCGCAGGGGGCTCCAGGCAGAGGAGGCAGCAGCAGGGGAGGGCAGGCCACAACGCAAGCTGCGGTCGGCCGGCAAACGTGCGCGGGGGAACGCTGACGAGGTTGCTGATGTGGACGCTGACATGGGCGCTGATGTGGACGATGATGACGAGGAGGAAAGTCTGGTGCTGTCTGGCAAGCGCGCGCGCACCACTGTCGACTACAGGTGACCTGGCGATATATTTAAGACAAATAAGGATTTATAGCACCCGTCATGTCTGTAGGCTGTTTTGTCGGCCACCTGTGCAAGTTCTGGTATGGGACTGCAGTCCAAAATGGGTGGTACTGCATCTTTGATCTGAAGCACTCGGTTGGAAAGGCATGCAGCGATCCCATGATAGACAACATGCTGTCCTGCAGAAGTGAGGGGTGGAATGTCTGTGGTGTGCAGGAAGCTGAACATGGAGATGTTTGGCGACTTTGAGAGCTACGAGGGAGAGACACTCAGCGACGAGGACTTCACTCCTCGCGAGGCCGAAGCAGAAGCAGCTGCAGCCTCTCCTGCCTCTCCCTAGCATTCCACTCAGCCTTCTACTCCAGCCCCTTTGCTATGGTGGCGCTTTGAAATACATTGCAGTGCCTTGTAGCAAGAGTACACAGTCAGTGTGCGTACCTTTAGAAGTGTCTTATTTGTATTTTATGGAAAGACCCAGTGACGGTCCATCATCTGCGCTGCATTGGCAACAGCAGGCCGAGAGTATGCCTGATGTTTAGAGGGTGTAGGCATATCTTGTATGGTGCAAGGAAGTGTGGTGAAGGTTTGAGAGATCTGGAATGTAGGAGGATTGTGAATTGCTTGTCAGGACTAGGCTTGTGACTGCTGTAAACTTTGGATGTGTGCACAGACGTCGCTGACATGCACAGTGAAGAGTGAGCAAGTGTAAATACATCTCTGTGGACTTCTGTGTGCCTTGTAAACATCACATTTGGGGGATTGAGTGCTTAGCACTGTCCATGGCATTGCAACATCATTCCATTTTCTCTAATATCTTCATTTGGTGCTGCTGAGCATGCGCATGCTCAGATATACAGTGCATGTGCATTGCCTGTTTTTTTTACCATCACCAGTGATTCACCACTCAGCTCTGAAGGGTGCAGGTCAGCACGTGCAAACGTCTTGGTGCTTAAGATACTCAAAATTGTGGCATAGGATTTCAAGATGCGCTTTCAAGGATCAATTGATTTTTTGCACAGGGAAGGCATGCTTTCTAATGTCTGGAGCAAGCTTGGGAACTGAAGCATGATGATGACTGAAATGTGATTACAGAATGGTGAGGCACCTTGTGTGGTACAGGCATGCACGTTGGCAACACTGCACTCGCCTAAGACAATCCTGAGGTCCTACTCTCCAGTGATCTAGTGCGTTTGGAAGGCGGCTTCTCCAGCGGGTGCCGGCTGAAGCATGAATGAATTCTAGTCAATGACAACCAGAACTACCTGAAGGCAAGCCCCCATGCATGCATGCAGGGCTGCTCTCACATCTAACAAATTGCAGCACGCTGCTAGCCAGCGTGCACAAAGAATTGGAGCACTTTGTGCAATAAGATTAATCAATGGTAGCTCTACCTGGCAACCTAGATGCAGCCAACTCTGCAAAGCGTTTGGGAGCCTACTCGAGGCACGGGGCCAGGAGCAAAACAGACTCTTTATGCTATATTGCTTAGCAAGACGTTATGCAAGGGATGAAATGACAGACTGAACACAACTTTTGTCTTGCACCCCCGGTGAGTCAAGGGGTTGGGGTGAACCGAGCGGCAGCGCATAAACACGTGCGCGCACAGCATACGACCGTCGGGAAATCTAAAAGTCATCCGACGATCGCCAACCCTTGCGTCGGAAAATCCTCGGAGCAAGGGCATCTTGGTGGATTGGCGGCAGACGTCAGGAAAGCTAAAAGACATCTGACGGCTGCCTGCCTCCCGCACAGGTCTTGCAAACGGGGCCGAAGCCTATCACAGCAACAGCACCCAGAGTCCTGGCAGGAGCAATTGCAACCCCTTACTCTTGTCTTGTCTTTAATTCTCCGAACAAATCCCAACCCAGCAAAGAAATCAACCAGTGCTGCGGTGCCAGCGAGTTCATGGCATACATTGACACGAGCAAACGGTCCTGATCAGGCGAGCTGACGTGGCATGGATGCCAGGTCAGCGCCAGCTCACTCCTCGTCCTCGGAGTCGGAAACCTCCTCTCCGCGCGCGCGGCGGGCGTCACGCAGCTTCTTGGCCTTCTTCTTCTCCTTGTTGTTCAGCGTCTTCTTCTGCTGCTTGATCTTGACAATGTTGCCAAAGGCGTCAACGGTCTCCTCCTCAGGCTTCCACTCCAGCTTGACATTGGCTGCCGCCGGGTTCTGGCCCGTCACGTGCAGTCGGCCGGCCTCCATCGTCCACTTCTCCGGGCACAGCGCGCTTGTGAACTCTGCGGGGCAGGCATGTATGGCAGATCAGTACGCTGACTCACAGCTGGATAGATTGCACACCGTCTAGCATTCAAAGGCAAGCAGAGGCAATGCCAGTGCAGCTGTAAATTACAGGGGCACAGAGCCAGGGAGCCAAATAAGTGCATTACGCACGATTGTAAAAGGTTGCAAAAATGGCGGGAAAATATTGAGGGCAGGCGCTCACCAGAGTGGTGGGAAATCATAACGACACCGCCGCCGTATGTCTTGATGGCGGCGGCGAGGGCGCCGAGGGACTCGCGGTCCAGGTAGTTGGTGGGCTCATCCAGCACCAGCATGTGGGGGGAGTTCCACATGGCAGCAGCCAGCACCACCTTGACCTTCTGACCACCTGTGACAGCACCAGAGGAAAACCCATCAGCACAATCCTTTTGCGTTCAGCAACAGCATGATTCAATCTGTTGAACAAGATTGAAGAAGGAATGGAGAACACTTCTGGGCTGACTTGGTCTGCTGCGAGGGCCAGCAGTGCAGAGCGTTGTGAAGGCACCATCGATGCATATCAGCAGAGCCTGTCTGAAAAGGATCAAGGCTGCCTGACAAGGACCAGGTAGGGATGCACTCAAAGGAGAGGAGGCGGGGCCGCACCGGAGAGGCCGCGGATGTGGGAGTGGGTGCCGAACTCGGGGTCGATGCCCAGGTCCTGCAGGTGCTGCTGCACCTGGGCGGTTGTCAGCGGGCGAGTGTGCATGCCCAGGCGGGCAGCCTCCTTCACGTCCAGCTCGTTCACCAACTTCTCAAAGCCCATGTCCACCAGCCTGCACGCAGCCATGCATTACATCAGGACACTCCGTCGTCTCGCTTCACAAGCAGATTGACAGGCCTGCAACAGGACAGGACTGAAGCACCAGCATTCACATCACAATCAACCCCACCACTGCTGAACAATCAGAGCTACATAAGCATCAGCAAGAGCAGCAACATCATTGCTGTTGAGCAGCCCAAGCTTCTGCCGCCTGCGCCTGAATTGCCAGCAACGGCGCAGTGGATCATGGATGCTCTTGAAAATTTGCATATTGAGTCAAGATGCAGAGAAACTTTGAAGACAGCAGAGATATTGGGAGGAAGGCGGGCGCGCACTTGTCGCGGACGATGTAGGTGTTCTGGTCGGGGGTGCAGTTCTTCCACTGGACCTCGTACTCGTAGCTCTTCTTCATCTTGCGACGTGAGACCAGCTTGTCCAGCACGCGCTTGGTGCCGTCCTCCATCTTGTGCTGGGCGGCCATCTTCTCGGCCTCCTCCGCGCTGATCTGGCGGGTCACCTTGGTCAGGTTCTCGCGATCCTCGCCGATCGCGTAACGCCAGCGGATGTACTCGTTGGGAGTCTTCTCCAGGTGCTGGAGGCAATAATATTACCAGTCAGCCCACCATAACACGAAAAGCACAGCACTTCAACCTTTTCATTCTATCTGGGCTCAGCACCCATATGTAGCTGGGTAGGGCTTTCAACCAAAAAAGAAAGCACATCATCATTGCAACTTCCTCGGAAAGCAAGATGGCTACCAATGCTGAAGGGTTCGCGGAGACAAAGGAGCAACGGTCCGGCTATTCAAGCATGCATGAAGACAGGAACATGTCGTGAATGGGATTGAGGGGCAGAAGTGGACGCGAATAAACACCTGCTCAATGTGGTGGAAGGCGTGCTGCGCGACGTAGGCGATGCGCATGTTGGGGTGCTTCCAGACGGACCCGCCAGTGGGCTCCAGCTCGCCGGTCAGCACCTTGATCATGGTGGATTTGCCGGCACCGTTGGGGCCCAGCACTGCCACGCGGCTGTTGAGCGTGCAGAACAGGCTGATGTCCTCCAGAGTGTTCTTCTCGGCGGTGGGGTACCTGCAGCAGCGTCAGCGGAATGTTCAGCACGATGCGCCGCTCAGCATGCTTCAAAAATGTAATACATCAGCCCTCTGCCATGATTGGAAAACACACCACAAGCAAGATGTGGCTGCAGGCTCAGGCTACTGGTCAAGAGGAATGCGAAGCAACAAGGTTCCAGTCATTCGATTCGCTACTGGTCCAGATCACAGACAAGCAACAAAGGCTGCACAAAAAGAGAGGAATACGAGAGGGAGGCTCACTTGTAGGCGACGTTGTGCATCTTGAGGATAGGTCGGTCCTTGGTCTTGACGCCCTCCAGGAAGCCAGGCTCGGGCAGCACGAAGGAGAGGCCCTGGGTGGAGGCCAGCTCGTAGTAGGAGCGCGCCTCGGGCTTCTTCTTCACAAACTCGCTCAGGTTGCCCTGCACAGCACGCCACAGTTCCCACGTCAGCACCAATGCATCTTGCTCAGATCAAGCACACAACATGCTGGCAGACACTTTGAAGCGCTTGCAAGGATCTTGACATGCACAAAACACATCATTTGCGCATGCAAAAATACGATTGAAGGCAGATAAAAGCAGATAGAAAGAAAGGCTAAGAGCACCTTGTAGATCTTGAGCTTGCGGTTCTCGTAGTGGATGATGGACTGGCAGACGTTGTCCAGGAAGCCGGAGTCGTGAGACACGATGACGGAGGTCACGTCGGTGAGGGTGGTCAGGTAGTTGACCAGCCACGCCACGTTCTTGACATCCAAGTGATTGGTCGGCTCATCCAGGAGCATGATCTCGGCACGCTGCAGCATGGCGCGGGCTGCGACAGGCAGAAAAGAATCTCAGCTTCATTGCTCTCTGGCTCATTTGGTTGACTACAATCAGACAGAGAAGACAAGCAAGACATCAGCAAGGCACCCCAGACAATGAAAACACACACCCAATCACCCACAAATATATCAGAGCTGGACACTGCTGAGGCATCAGCAGCGACAATGCACTTGTATGGATGGCCTGAGTAGCATACAAGGAATGCTGCTGCAAGAACAGGGCTGCTGCAAGGACGACTCACCCAGAGCGAGCTTCATCTTCCAGCCACCGGAGAGGGAGGCGACGGGGGAGTTCTGCATGTTCTCGGTGAAGCCCACGGAGCCGAGGGTCTCCGTCACCTGGGGCAGAGTGACCTCGCCCTTGAGCACGGGGTCGGCAAACACATAGTCCACGACGGAGATGTCGGACAGCTCAGCGTCGATGTCGTGCTCCACGTAGACCGTGCGCAGCTCCTCCTTGGGCGGGAAGCCGTCCACCTGGCCGTTGGCGATCGCGCGCATCAGCGTCGACTGCGTAGCAGCACACACAGCCATGTCAGCACACCGTCAGCAACATATGTACCAGAAGTGAAGGCAGGAAGCAAAGCAGAAGTAAGGACAGGGCTGCAGAGCCAGAAGAAAAGCCACAGCATTATCAATGGTAGTCTTTTAAAAGGGGCAAGATGAGCTGCAAAGAAGGGAAAGGAGGAGATGCACACCTTGCCGGCACCGTTGGGGCCGCAAAGACCGTAGCGGCGGCCCTTCTTGAGGCGGAGGCGGGTGTTGTTGAGCAGGATCTTGGCACCATATGCGAGCGAGAACTCGCAGTCGCACAGGTCAACTCCTTCTTCCTCCTCAACCTCGTCGTGGGCCTTGTCCTGGGTGACCATGTAGGACTTGTCCAGGAACTCGGCGCACACCTTCTCGACGGCGGCTGCTTCCATGAACTCGGACAGGTAAGGCACCACACACTGCGACACAGATCATCATTTGTCAGCCTCTATTATTCAATTTCGGAACTTCACATTCAAAGTTCGATTAGCCCCACATGCCAGGCCTGCAATCTACTTCCATAGACCCATGAACAGCTTTGGTCACAGAACTGACATGCTGGATATGCAGCCACCTGAGATCAGCTGTTCAAGCAAGAGTGGCACAGCAAGGTTAAGTTTGTGGAAAGTAGGATGATTGGCACACCTTCTGCCAGTCCTCGATCTCGAAGTTCTTGACCCAGATGAGGGTGGAGCAGAGCGCTGCCACGTACTCGAGGGTGGTCGATGCGATGGCAGAGGGCACCTCGGCCATGGCAGCATTGCTGTGCTTCGCCTCCAGGTCCTTCAGCACCGGCAGCACCACCTGCGCGCAGAATTCCATGCAACTTAGTCACTAAAACTATCATTTATTGATTTCTGTTTTCTGCAATGCTTAGAAAAAGCTAAGTGACCTCTGTCAAAACATGCGCTACAATACCTCTCAATGTGCAACAGCACACCTATGGCAACCCACCAAATTTGCTTGCGCTCCAAGGCAGTACATGAAGAGAGGGCCACTAGTCAGCATGCAGAAAGGGCAAGGCGTGAGAGTGCACCTTGAAATCGTGGGCCTCGGCGGGAGCGGTGGCGGCGGGGTCCTGCACGAGGCTGAGCAGGGTGTCGCGGGCCTTGGAGGCCACGGTGCGGCACTCCGGGTCGGGTACCTCCTGGCTCACCTTCTCCAGGCCGGGCAGCAGACGCGGCAGAAACACAGCAGCATCGTTCGGGTTGTCCACCAGCTGCAGTGCAACAAAAAAACAAGTCAGCTTCCAGCAATTTTTTGGTTGCATACACTCCATCAAACTCAATGCATGCTGTCTGCGCAGTCTCACGAAAGAACAGTGCATCTGCTTCGTGAATAGGGCGACGAGTCAGCATGGCTGACTATCACTGGTGAGGCAAATTTAAACAGCCAGAACCAGTATGTTGTGGGATGCAAACTCACAGGAGGGTGGCAGAAAGGAGCACCTTGGCCATGTTGTCGATGATGAGCGCGGCCTTGCGCTTGACGGCGGTGGCACGCTCCTTGAGGCCGCGGATGAGCAGCGGGGTCATGATGGACAGCGCAGGGGCCTCCACAGCCTGCACGAAGGTGGTCGCGCCCAGCTTGTGGACGCAGTCGGGCACCTCGGTCGGCCGCGCGATGCAGGAAACCATGACGGGGATGAAGGGCTCGATGTCGCGGTTGCCCACCACCGCGCACACCTCCTTCATCGCCTTGGTCGCGGCGGTCTGCAAGACAACAATCTCATTTGTCAGCCACTTCCTTGCATGCAACATTTGTGCGGACAGGTCGAGACAAATATGCACCAGGCTCAGGCAACACCCAGCTTGCTTGCATAGACCAATCCAGACACACAAGGACTCAATCATAGGTTTGGTCTGCACACGCTCAGGGAGTACAGTGTAAGCTCAAAGGGTAAGAAACCACCAGCATGCCCACACAGAAGGGCACAACAAGAGCTGACGACACAGCCAAACCCGCGCACCTTGACTTGGGGCTTGGCGTCTCCCATGACGGCAGAGACGGCGGGGATAATGTCAGGCAGGCACTTGGAGACCTGGCTGGGGCAGCGCTTGGTCAGCTCGCCCAGGCAGGCCAGGGCAGCGTTCTTGGTCTGCCAGTTCTTCTTGGTGTCGAGCGCGGCCAGCAGCTCTGGCAGCACCACCTTGATCGCCTGCTCATTCAGCAGGGATGTGAAGGCCTTGCGCGTCGCGCTGGCGGCCTCACGCACCGGCGTCACCTGCATGCCAAAACTTCCTTGTCAGCACTCAGCACTCCCTTGATCAACCTCTTCTGTGCCCACCCACTGCACGGGTCAAATTCAACACCAACCAAGAGGCAGTAAGCAAAGACTACATGCTGCTGATCGACAAAATTGCACGCTGCAGCAGTGACTACAAGTCAGCTGATGGATGTGGGACTGTCAAGCGAGGGGGGTGAATGACCACACCTTGTCGGAGCACTTCTCAAGGATGGTGGCCAGGACAAGGGCCACGAAGGGCTCGACTGGGGTGCCGATCTCCTTGATGAGGGCGGTGTAGGTCTCGAAGGCTCCCTGGCGGGCCAGAGGGTCTGTGGTGCTGTTGGCTGCCTCTGCCAGGCGGTCCACAAGTCCACCAGCCTGTGATGTGTAACAACCACATGTCAAAAAAGGCGCACAGAAGCTCAGGAACACCTTGCAATACACTTGAGATAATTGACAGACACTCAGGAGCAGTGGACACCAAAGTTCAAGGGATTGGCAGCGCTTAGAAGTGCAGATGCAGCACACCTTCAGGCCAGCTACACCCCCTTTTTTGACAAGGGCGACCACTTCTGAGATGGCGGCTGTGCGCTCAGCATCCTCTGCTGAGATGGACAGCCTCTTCATGAGAGCCAGGACGGTCTTGGTCTCCTCGGTACTGACAACTGCAAGGACAACAAGGAGGGAATATTCAGTTGTCACGTTTTTGCTGCGCTTCGACGTCCAGTCTGTGTATAATCAGGTGCACCATGGTACAAAGAATTTATTCAAAGTACCACAAAGATGCTGGGACGCTAAAACACCCCAAGCAGGCCGCCAAGCAGTCACGGTGTCAGGCAGCTTACAGCCTCACGAATCTGCCCAAAGGAAAACCGATACCCTCAAGTACAAAGCCGGCATGCACCGTGGGTATCAACAAACAAACACTGGGCAGGGGCTGAAAGCACAGGCAGGGTCCACGAAGCACTCGGTCCTTACGCCGTGCAATGTCGGCCGAAGTGTGACATAAAGCTCGCCGCCATAAGTGCCAAACAATGATCACAAAGAGCAGTAACAGGATGCTTCCGCGATCGGCAATTGATGGCCGGGGCTGAGAGGAGCCTTCCCACCGCCAACGCCACTCACTGATATACGGCCCAGCTACCGCAACAACTCCTTCTCAACTTGAACACAGGAAACGGGCACACACCTGAAGCCGGGACAGCGACCTCTGTAGTTGCGACCATGATGCGATTTGTGCCGTTTGAACACTCGAAGTAGCTGGACGTCCCTGAGCCGCCTTCGAAAATTGTTTCAGTAAGCGCGTGGAAGTGACCGCGTTAACTGTCTCTGGGTGCACAAAGTCTTCCCCGGGCTCGGATGCTTGCACTGAAATAGCAGTGCCAACAACCGTCCTACAAATTTCTGCCCGAAGGTGCTTGGTGCGTTGGAAAATTGTCTGAGCCGGGCGCCCAATTGTCAGGTTCAGCGCTTCTTCTAGTTTTATTAATTACCCCCGCGCCGTCGCCGGCGGCGTTGTCTTAAAGTTTGCCTGGCTCTCCAGGGAAGTTCCCAATTCCAGCTCATCATGTGCACTTTCTGCATCAACAGGATATACCTCGTCAGCAACTGCACCCCCTTTTGCATGCAATTCTAATGCTCTTCCCTGAAATGTGAAGATAAAACAGGGCGATGGTGAACCGATCTGTGGTGATCAGTTTCTCTGAAGTTCGCAATGTACACCCATTTTATGAACATTGATACCTGCGTATGACAGTCGATTATTTGAGATATGTCGGGGCTTGTTCCTATAGTCCTGCTCGTTGCAGAGAAGCCATCATTGGCTCTCTCGATTGCAACTTTCCTATCCCAAAGCCAGGTGATCAATGTCAGCTCCCAGCACCATTAGTAGAAATTTACCTAGAGATCAATTTGACAGAAAGTCAAATTGCCTGACAAATACGCCAACTCTCTACCCCAGGCACGATACAGGAAGAGCTATCTGGACGTGCACGAATGGGACGGCAAGTTCCAGGGCCGTGCAGCCCACTTCAGGATGACATCAGTCATCGGCCATGTCCTATCCATTGACTTCCCGCCCAAGTACCAGAACTGGGAGACCACAGACCCCGCCTCCCTCTTCGATGCCCCCACTGTCAAGACTGAGGCCACGCCCAAGGTGCTCACCTTTTTTCTCCCCCTTCCACACCATGCGCGACACCATGCGCGGAAGCATGCATGTCATTGGCACAGTCCTGCATGCCTTGCATGCACTGTGCAGACTATTTTATCCTCAAGCCTGCATAACATTAGGTGCTGCGTGGGAGCAGGCGCATGTGTGCAAGCACCTGCAGCAGGAAGCGCGGGGGTGCTCCTACCTCGTGCTGTGGTTGGACTGCGACAGGGAGGGCGAAAACATCTGCTTCGAGGTGGGCTTCTCACAGTTATCAGGGCCATCACCCTTGCATCTTGTTCGCTAAGGCTCTCTGCAATCCTGATCAATTCGCCTGGTCTGTCAGCCCGTGGAAGCACCAAAACTTGTCTTTCCCTACCAGACCACATCAGCCGGTTTAATTGACCAAGCACTATTAGCAGCGTGCTTTCCAAGGTTACTGCCAGCTCTCATGTGGTTTCGCTTGTCCGGTATAATTTAAGGCTGGGGCCTAGAGGCGGGAGAGAAGACACCTGCAGCCGTCAGACGATCCCAGCACGTCCAAGTCAGTTACCCCCCAGCCAGGGGTCACTATAGATACATTTAGATGTGTTACCTCCTGGAGCTGCCAGGTGGTTGTGCGGGGGATTATAGGTGATGAGGTAATTCCTTTGTCTGGGGGGATGCAGGTGATGGACAACACTCTGAAGTGGATGGTGAGGGTGCCGGGACAGCAGGTGTTCCGCGCGCGCTTCTCTGCCATCAGCGCCCCTGAGATACTGGCCGCCATGGTGCGCAGCCGGCCTGCCTTATGCAAATTAGTCATTGTTTCAGGAGAGTGTTAAAAGAGCCACACAGCTGCAAGACAACTCTTGGAGACGGTGTCTGTCAAAGGAAGCTTGGCGGTTGCTCGGAAGCAGTGAACAAGTCGCGCGACCTGCCCGGCTCATGCACGAGTAGCGGGCTCATGAGAGTGTTTCAGTAGGCACAACCTTGCAGGACAGCTCACAGAATTTAAATCAGTTAGAGGAGGCTTGACGGCTGCTTGAAAGCAATATAAAATTTGCGCCAGCTGCCCGGCTTATGCATGCTCTGCCGTCTCACGAGAGTGTCGTTGGAGGCACACATGCGCAAAGACGCAGCTCACGGAGCTGAGGCTTGTCAGGGGCTGCCCCGGAAGCTTGGCGATTTGCATGAAAGCACTGAATAGGTCAGAACGGGATCAGAAAGAGACAAAGATGGGTGTGCCAATTGGCCTGTGCCGCGCATGCAGGAGAGGCTGGGGGAGCCCAACAGGGCGGAGGCAGAGGCGGTGGATGCGCGGCAGGAGCTGGACCTGAAAGTCGGCGTTGCCTTCACCCGCTTCCAGACCCGCTACTTCCAGGTGAGCGCCTGACTGCCACCAGCTTCCCCTGGCTTGGCATTTCAATAAAGTGTTTCTCAACATTGCCAGCTTTGCAACAGCGCCCCATGTGGGCAGATCAACTGCTCATCATCAGGCAGGGATGGCATTGAAGCTGTTCCCAGATTTTTGTGTGTGCTCTGTTTCAAGTTTGTGTCAGCCTTGTAGCATCCTTGCATGCACCCGCCTGGTGTCATTGCCCAAGAAATGCAGAGACTGCCCTTTTACGTAAGGTGGAGACACACCACACAGTCCTTGAAGTTCTACGCAGTCCCAGGTTCACCGGATGATGCTTTTGCACATCATATTTGTGGACCTTGCATGTGTGGATGATTCCGCTGGAACCTTGGGCAGCCGCATGCCTAACCTTACACCCATGATTACTCCATAATGCTCATGCACCCATATAATGGGTGGACCTGACACTCTGTGAAGTCAGGGGAGTGCCTGGTTATCTCCTTTTATGAAAGGCCAAACATCTGTGTGCAGGGCAAGTATGGAAACCTGGACGCATCGGTGATCAGCTACGGGCCGTGCCAGACGCCGACGCTGTTCTTCTGCGTGCAGCGCCACCAGCTCATAACTGCCTTTCAGCCGGAGGACTACTGGACCATCCGGCCCAACGTGTCCAAGGCCGGCCAGAGGCAAGCACCCCATCCTCTTTCAGCCCTTAAAAGCGCACTACTCTCCTCCTGCAACTGCCCTTCAAGGCACAGCGTCCGGAGGGTGTTGGGCTGTGATACCCCATATGGGCAGGGGCTGTACATGCCAGGGCAATGCAGCCCCAAGGCTGCTCTGCCGAGCGAGCCGCACGCATCTCTTAGCCCAGCTCATTTCATCGTTATTCAGGATATTGACTGAGTGCGGAGAATCTGGAAGTGAGGCTTTGTCACGATGAGTAAAACTTGCTGTTGCACTGTCTGCCTGGCTGCATGCACCAGACATTGTCAAAGGTTTTCTAAATATTCCTGTTGAGGCAGTGTGGCGTCTGTGTGTTCAGAATAGATGTGGAGTGGTCCCGCGGTCGCCTATTTGACCGGGACGTGGCGCTGCTGTTTCAGCGTATTGTTACAGAGGCGCGTGCTCTGCGCTGCGTGGAAGTCTCTGCCAAAGAGGAGCGGCGGCAGCGGCCCAACGGTAGAGCCTTGCCACCTGCTGACCCTGTTTCAACTTACACAACGTTTCTGGGGAGCTTTCAAGGTGTCTATGGGTTGCGCTGTAGTGCTACCTCTGCTTATGATGACAGCTGGGTTAGAGTGGTCATGTCTTTGGCATATTGTGCCTTTTGGGAGTGTCTTTGGTCGGAAATTGGTACACGAAGAGACTGGGTGCAGCGCTTTTGACCGCACCTTTGGATATCCCCTACCAGCCGAGCATGAAGACCCATGGCAGCACATTACTGTGAGGAGCTGGGGAGAGAACAGATGGCAACTTCCTATCGTTCTTGTATCAGTGGCCACTCACCTGCACCCAGAGATGAAGAGTCTCTTTCACTCGCAAGCCGGCCTTAACGCATTGGAGCTGCACGTCTCAGCATCTTCACCAACAATCATGCATCCAAATCTTTCGAGGCAGAAAGGAGCATGGCAGACGCAGTGCGCTGGATTCACACCCCTTTTGGTGCGGCCGCAGGGCTGAACACGGTTGAGCTGATGAAGACAGCCTCCAGCGCGATGGGCATGTCCCCGCAGCAGGCCATGCGCTGTGCAGAGGGCCTGTACACCAGCGGCTACATCTCCTACCCGCGCACAGAGAGCACCGCGTACCCGCCCGGCTTTGATTTCCACGAGGTGCTGGTAGAGATGCGGCGGCACCCCATCTGGGGGGAGTACGCCGCCGGCCTCATGGGCCACGGCGCCTTCGCTCCTCCCAAGGTGCGCCAATCGCATGAAGATCACCCTGGCAATGGTGCTCGTGGGGACCTTTTGAGTCCAAAATGTGAAGGGAGTTTGATATTTGAAACCGCTGCACAGCAGAAGGACCTTCCCCTCACGCCGATCAGGTGATGCTCAACTTGAGGAGTTGCCCAGCCTTTTGAGCAGAAGTAAATTTGCAGCACTGCAGTGCTCTGCCGCCTGAAGGGCAAGACATGCCGTACCAGGCTCGTTGAACACGCTTAAACATGCTTGACACAGGCGCAAGTGTATCCTGCATAGCCCAGCCCTGCATCAATGCCTGGGGATGAGCGACTTGTCCAACCAGCCACACAAGCTGTTCACTGCCTACGATGAACGATAGCATGATCCACAATCCGGATCTGGCACACAGGGGGGCCACGACGCGGGGGACCACCCCCCGATAACGCCGATAGCCTCGGCTACGGAGGCGGAGCTGGGCGGCGGCGACGACTGGCGCCTCTACGACTACATTGCACGCCACTTCCTCGGCTCGCTCTCCCCGGACTGCGTTCTCCGGCGCACCACCGCCGCCTTCGCCGCCGGCAACGAGCGGTTCAGCGCCACCGGTGTCGCCCCCGTGCGTGCTGGCTTCACTGCTGTAATGCCCTGGAAGGTGTGAGCTCTCTTGCAGAGCCTTGGCGCGGCCTTACTGGAGGTTGAATCTACAGAGTCTGCCTTTTATAATGATGTTCATCAGTCCTCAAAAGGGGGGTGGGCTGATGCCATGGCAGAGCTGCTGTACTTGGCCGTTGCAGTGGGGTCCGGCAAGCTTAGCCCTTCTGGAGTCGCCCCTTGTCAGCTGCTCACCATTATTTAACGTTTTCAGCTGAATGTGGAGCATGTGAATCTACACTGAATTGTAAATTGCGACCAAAATTTGCTAAGTGCTACAGCGCTGTGCATGCAGCAAGCAAATTTATATGATCTTACTATCTGTGCAGGCTGTGCAAGGGGAGCCTCTGCCGCCGCTGCATGAGGGCGAAATCCTGCCAATCACTGAAGTGGAGCTGAAGCAGGTAAGACCCCAATCACTAATCAATTCACTGCCAAAATCACAACTGTGAGAGCTTGGTTGCATTCATGTCATGCATTCGTGCAGCTGAAGCACGTGCATGCATGCTGCAGGGCAAGACATCGCCCCCAGACTACCTGACCGAGAGCGAGCTAATCGGGCTCATGGAGAAACATGGCATCGGCACCGACGCCTCCATATCCGTCCACATTGCCAAAGTATGCTTCACACGCATTGGCCCTTCTCCATTCCTCTGTTGCTCGCCAGCAAAACTCCTGCTTGCATCAAATCTACTCTGTGGTCCCCTCCTCTCTGGGAGGAATGAGGCGCACATGCACTTGCCTGGCATCCGTATTGCTTTCTGGTTCCTAACTCCTCAATTTCTGGTTGGAATATTGAAAGTAATTGAATTTTGGAATCCAAAAAAATGTCGCTGATGCAGGTGTGCGAACGCTACGTCAGCATCCAGTCAGGGCGGCGACTCATGCCCACAGAGCTGGGGGTGACCCTTGTGCGCGGCTACCAACTCATCGACCCAGACCTCTGCCTTCCCCTGGTGCGAGGGCAAACCCTGAAATTCTTATCCAGATTCAAATTCGACATGATGAAGCACGGCATGTATCAAATTTGGTGACCACGGCTCATGATCTAAGTGTAGCCTGGGCAAGTTGTTTTCTGCCGTTATGTGACCAGAGGCACCTTCTCTACATTAGTCATTCACCAGAGGCATGGGATGTCTGTTGTCAAATGCGAAGACAGATATGCACAGCCTTGGTGAATTCTATCAGTGCTGACTCTTTCTTGGACGATATGCAGGTGAGGTGTTGTGTTGTACTGTAATGTAAGTTCTCTTTGATGATATGCAGGTACAGTATCTTGAAAGTCATTTGGATCATCTGCAGGTGAGGTCCCATGTGGAGAAGCAGATCGATCTGATAGCGCAGGGCCTCGCAGGGAGGGAGGCAGTGGTGGCGCACACGTTGGACCAATTTTCGCGCAAGTTCCGCTACTTTGTCGGGAAGATTGAGCGCATGGACGCCCTCTTCGAGGCCTCCTTCTCGCCGCTGGCCTCCTCTGGTGAGGCACCTCTGCCGCATGTTTATCCACCTCCCTCGGGAAAGGAAGAAGATATTGACTGCCCATGAGGTGGATTATGTGCACCCATTGATGTGCTGGTTTGTGACGCAATGTACTCAATTCTGCTGCAGCGCACCCAATGTCATTACCACCTTCTTGCAGATGAAAATATCACGGAGACTATCTGACACATGTTGGGCATGGAGCTGAAGGACTCTTTCCTGGAAATTCTGGCGAACCCCTCTGTAGCAGCAGCAGACGCTAAAAAGGAAGCGTGCAATTTTGACTGCAGGCAAGCCGCTGAGCAAGTGCGGCAAGTGCGCGCGCTACATGAAGCTCATCTCCGTGCGGCCCTCCAGGATGTACTGCCCCACCTGCGAGGAAGTCCTCAACCTACCCCAGGTCAGCCCTTTGATCCGCCTCACTTCTTTAATCCCAGGCGCATGCTACCTCCTCCATGCATCTCTCCGTGGTCTCCTCTCGTTTTCTCCTCTTGTAGTCCTTGGGAGCCTTTCCCACCCACCCCTTCTACCAGTAGAATGCATTGTGCCTTGGCTTTGTGTAGTGATGAGAAAGTTGCAGAGTCGTGCCCTTTTTTCTTCCTCTTCTGTACGTGACAGTGCTCTCAAAAACGGTCGGAGGGAGGGTTTGTGATGACAGGGTGAATGTCTGGGGTTGGCAGGGGGGATCGGTGAAGCTGTACAAGGGGTTGGCGTGCCCGCTGGACAACTATGAGATTGTGCTCTTCTCGCTGACTGGACCGGACGCCAAGACCTACCCGCTGTGCCCGTTCTGCTACAACAATCCGCCCGCCGGAGCCATGCAGGTAAAAACGCTCCTCTGCATAGTCTGGGACCCTGCATTTGCCGAGCCTGCCCATCTTCCTCTCTTGTATCTCTCAGATTACTTGTCCAACAGTTGACTCTAAATCAACTAACATGCCTTCAACGGTTTTGAGTCCTTTGCGTCCTTGGTCTTTGCATGCTGCAGGAGGCTGCATGTGCCAGGCTTGGGATGTTGCCATGGTGTCACATTTTCGCGGGCAATGCGTTTTATGTAAGATAGGCATGCGTGTGTCAGGGAGGAGTGTAGAGCTGTGCTTCAAAGTGATGAGCAGGTCTAGAGCCCCAATGTTCTAAAATGAGGGCGAGAATGACGGCTCAAGCATGCGTCGCCAGGTCGCGGGCCCGGGCGCGGGCGCGAAGCCGGGCATGCCTTGCACACTGTGCCCCCACATGGGCTGCCAGCACAGCTTCCTGCGCAAGGGCGTTACCCCCTGCCCAGAGTGTGACACTGGCACAGGTTTCTCTCCCTACCCTTTCTTTGCCTTGCTTGCTTTCATGCACATTCAGACCGAGCCAATTTGGTTCTATATCGCTTGTCTTGCATGTACGTGTGATCAGATGTCTCTCCAGCTCCACCAGCAACCAGATGCCTAGCTGTGGTTGCTAAGTCAGCCTGCTCGTCACTCTTCAGCGCCACTCTTCCAGGTCACATGATTGCTCACTGTGGTTTGTACAGTGGTGCTGGACCCTGTCTCCGGCCCCAAGTGGCGCCTGGACTGCAACCTCTGCAGCTTCATGATCTACCTGCCCGAGACGCTGCACGCCGTCAAGCTGTCCAAGGAGCGCTGTCAGGTGCGCTCTCTGCACATTAGTTTAGCTGCCCATTTTCAAGGCAGAGCAGGTAGCTGAAACTGGTGCCAAAGTTGGCACGTGGTTGGGGTGTGTCACTTGGTCTAAGACCTTGGGCCCTGCGGCTAAAGTCCTGCCTTGCAAGATTCAAAGCTATCTTTGAAGATTACTTTCCAGAGGTGTCAAGGAGCTAGCCTGTGCTGGTGCCAAAGGCAATAACTAGAGATCTGGAGGAATGAGATCTGGGTTGAAACGTCATGGTCCACTGGCACTATTTTCAAGCTTCTGTTCAATGCTATTGTCGCGCCAAAGCATGAGGTTGCAGGGGATCTGGGTGTTGTGCAGGAATGCGAGTCGGTGCTGCTGAAGCTTGACTTCAAGAAGGGGGCGTCCCCTCTTCCCAATGGGGAGACAGAGACGACAGCATGCGTGGTGTGCAACGAGAAGATAGCGGCGCTGTGCACAGCCAAGCATGGGCGCAGCTACGCTAAACGGCGTGGCGGCGGCCGGCGCGGCCGGGGCCGGGGGCGCGGCCGCGGCCGCCGCACCGGCGACCCGCTCATGAGCTTCCGGGACTTCTAGATCTGATCGATCAGATCAGTTCTGAATATTCCGGGTCTTTGCATGGTGTCTGAATTTCGCAGGCTGCTTGTGTTCCAGCTTTGCCTAAGTGAGAATGGGCGTGACTGTCACTGCGAATGTCACGGCATGAATGATGATTGAACTTACATATGAATGGGTTGCAAGCCTCAAGAAACATCAAATAAGGAATCGCGCTTTCCATTTGTTCGTACGCGTAGTGTTTTGTGTATTGAATGTGGAGTGTTAAGGGCTGAAATTGAAAGGATTTACAGTGCATGCATGCAGACTGACTGAGTCAGGCAGTCTGCACATGCGCGTGGACCACAACAAAGGCCTGATCCAATGTATGACTCTGAAAAACATTATGGGCAACATGAAGCCTGCACGCTGTGCATGATGCAGCGATTGCAATGTAGTACACTATTGTACACGTATACGTATCCATTAGCTAACGAAGGTGCGGCCATGTGACTGCTCTTGTTTACATCGATAGCCTTATCTACCCACATGAAATTTCGCCATGCTGCAAAGATGCATGCATTCCTCAATCCAAACGGAGCCTTCACTCAATTTACTACCCCGTCCAGCTGATTTGACACATCAGGTGTCATGTATGTTCTGTTAGGGGCATGACAAACACGAATCTCATTGGCATCTCAAGAGAAGATTGATGCATCATGGGCTATAAAGGCATGTCTCCAGTTGGAACAGGCACGGCCTTCCTCACGTATGGCTGCATTCGTCTGTGTTTCATATTGGACCATGGGCTTTTTCTCAGCTGCCCTTTTGAGGGCATCAATTATTGTTCCCATGCACTTCTTCTTCATGCGGTTGTAATAACAGCCCAGCCTAACCATCTGCATGAGAAAAGTGTCGGGCTCTGCCAATTCAATCTCCACTGTTTTGGCCTCGATATGAATCTGCTCCAGCAATGTGTATCGCGGGACGAACAAATTGACGCTGCCCTGGCCATGAGAGTATATCGTCAGGTGCTTCACAGCCTGAAAATTGGGGACTTGCGGCCCAGGCCCAGACAGGCGGCCGACACTGAGGTTCCCCTTGCCCTTATCGATCCACAGGTCCAGCCTCTGAAGCGGACTCCCATGCGAGGCCAAGTACCAGAGCAAGGCTTGGAATTTGTCCGATACCTCATGACGGCATTTGGCACTCAGAAATTCCAGTTGCACCTCATGAGTTAACCATGGCAACTGCTCCAAAGCTTCGGCAGGAGCACTGATGCTTAATCTAACCTCAGGGGCCATTAACAGCACGTGCGGAACAATTGACTCCAAGTGAAGCTCCTTAAGGCACAACAGGCTACTCAGATCCAAGATATCTGGTTGGCTCAGCGAAATGCCGCCATTGCTAGATGATCCCAGGGTGATAATCTCCAGCTGCACTGAGCTGCAAATTGATTGCAGCAATGTGTCTGGGAAAGGGTTGGCACTCAAGCACAGCCTCTTCAGATTCTGCAGTGGTGGCAACGACTGTAAGGTACATCCATACGGTGACAAGCTTTGGGTACCACTCCAGGCTTCCCTCAAGCAGTGCTGCACGTACTCTTCAATTTGCTGCTTAGCTGCTTTGTCGGAATTCCCACGATGCTCACTTGACAGGAGGATGCTGAATGACAAGTTTTTGAGAGCACGGGCTCTGACGGCGCTCTCTGCCCTGGTGGTCAGAGCATCGTGCAACCAATTTTCCTGCATCGCCTGTGCCAACAATCGCGATCCTAAGTTTCAAGGCACAAAGCAGAGCAGCTCCTTTATAGTCAATAACTTTGGTAGACGTAGATTAAAGAGGTCTTACAGTGCTCCTGAACCCCAGATTAATATATCGTGCTTCTCCCCAGTGTTTGGCAGCCCACGTCAAGGTAGCGTCCCCAATTCTGTCAAGCCTGATAGGCAAATAAATGTGTTCTGGCTCTATTTCGTTCAGAACACGACAGACACTACCACAGGTCTTCACCCACTGTCTTGCAGTGAAGTGCGTCGCGATTTTTTGCCACAACTCGACTGGAAGTGAAACACCGCGGGTAATTGGTTCTCTGTCCATGCCTGCAAACATGAACAGCAACAAGGTCTGCCCTCTGTGTCTGTCAGGTAAGTTCAAGGCCTACACGGAGGGAGAATGCCAATTGCACGGTGCTGGTGCCACTGGACCGTGCCAGCCTTCGTTAAGGTATTCAAATGGAGCGTTGCCACGTCCACACCAGTAACCTTACTCAACCCACATGGCCTCAAGCCTTAAGTCCAATGTTTGCTGGAAATTTCGCAGAAATCGTGCAAACTACATCAGGCATGTCCCTCAAAAAGGTGTTGACAGGGCGTGTCTGCCATACATTGCTCTCCTCGACTGTTCGCACTCCTTTCGCTGCTTTTTGTACCGCCAGCCAGGCCCCAATTACACCTCGATATTCATTGGCCACTAAATTAGCAGTCGCGATCCCGACAGCGTTACTCGGATCTTGGATCCTCTTTTCCGAGGACCCCGGCACCAGAGTTGTAATCGCTCTTCAGCTGCCCTTTAGACTCGCTCGCGACATCGCATGTGCAGCAACTATTGCAGCTGGTGGGACACACTAAGCCAACTTTGATAAATCTTAAACAATCTATCATTAAGTTTATCAAAAGTTTGATTGCAATCGCAGGAATGTGCTAAAGATCTGAATGATTATTCCAACGTCTCTTTTTGCTTCGGCTGCAGATTATAAGTGGTCTTTGAGAGGGCTGGTCGGGGACAAGTACGAGGAAGCTCAACACAAAGTTCATGAGCGCTCTGCAGAAAGGCTGCAGCGCCTCTGCTTTGCTAATGGGGGTATCTACATCAAGCTTGGCCAGCACATCGCCCAGCTGGTGGGCACTCGCTGCAACCTGCGGGTTTGCAGAGGATTTTATGCTGATTAACCCACTGGTCTCCAATTGAGCTCGTCAGCACTAGGCAGCTTTACAATACACCACGGATTGGTGGTCAGAAAACCAGCCGGGGTCATCTTGGTATTCCAGATCAGAGCCCAAGCTTGCAACAAACCTGTCACTTCTGCCAGTGTCGACTTCACTGCAAAGCAGAATGTCCCCCAAATTTGATCCAATGATCCAGGATGTGGCCATTGGAGGGAGGCACAATGCCCTGACATGCACAGTATAAAATTTGCTGTGGCTGCCACCCAGGACCACTTATTGCCAGAGGAGTATGTGCTCACCATGCGGAGAACGATGCTGGACCAGTGCCCTGTGTCAACCTACAAGGAGGTGGCCAGGATTGTGAAGGAGGACTTGGGAAGCACCCCAGAGGAGCTCTTCGCCAGCTTTGAGCACACACCCATCGCCTCAGCCTCACTCGCGCAGGTGACAGCACCCTCCCCTTGTGAGGACACCTGCCCTTGAATTCCTATGTTGATTCTTCAGCCTAGCATTGCCTCATGGCAATAGGGCAGCCCTTGACAAACATCAGCGAATGAACCTAAGGGGCAAGATTGCAGCCCTTGTATTAGAGCAGCGAAGGAACTCAAGGGCAAGGTTGCAGCCCTTGGAGGTAGATCAGGGAAGGACTTGAGGGTGATTTTTGCGGGGCTTGAAATGTTCCATACAAAAGGAATTCAAGGGCATAATTGCAAAGGGATATCGAAAGTGAATGTGTGATGTGCAGGTGCATAGGGCCACAGCTCATGACGGGCGCCAGCTGGCTGTGAAGGTGGGCATGCTCTCCCTCCCATGTCACATCAGTGTATAGAATCGCAGACAGGATAAAAGCTGTGCCTGGTGAAGCATGGTGCATGTGAAGTGCTGGAGCACACTCTCTGATGCCCTACACCTTGTAGGCTACAAGGTCCCTGCGGCTTATCAGCCCCGCTTATTTGACTTGCATTGGAGTCTGGACATTATTATGGATGCTGCCCAGGTGCCTGCTACTTTATCACACAGTGATAAGGTGGCAAACTTGGGTGGCATCCGGAGATCTTCACGCTTCAAAGCAGGTTCTCTGGTGGGCAAGATGGAAATTATGGACGACCCGATGCGACCCATGACTGGTTTGTTATCCTCCAAAAACCTCAGCGAATGTGGTGTGGGATTGATTGCGCAGGTGCAGCATGCGGGCTTGAGGGACAGTTGCACAGCAGACACGCTGACTGTGGAGTTTCTAGTAAACTCGGTGCATTTCCTGTTCCCCAAGTTTGACTACAGCTGGCTGGTGGAGGAGATCAAAGACAGCCTGCCCAAGGTGCGCTATTCTAGCATTAAGCCTCTTCTCAGCCTGAATCTGTGCTTGTACACCCTTTGCAACGCCCGTAGAGTGGAGGCTCTCTCCAAATGTGCTTCCCTTTACCCAGCACTGAAGCTGTCGGATGCATGCAGAGTTGATTCAGAGTACATGCAAGGTTCGCTGCAATCCTGAGGTCAGGTAGGATTAGATAGGGCAGTGTTTATAATTACCGTAATCCGATAGATTTGATCTAATAAGAATTATCACGGTGCGCATGCAGGAGCTGGATTTCAGCATCGAGGCGGCCAATGCAGAACGGTGTAGGAAGAACTTCAGCTCCCGGCAGACACATGTCAGGGGCCGAGTTGCGGTGCGCATGCTACCTTCTTTTGCTGCTCTGTTCTGTTTGTTTTTTTGATGTAGCTGCTCAGCAAGAACCTTTTCAAGGAGCCTGCATACTTGTCAGCTCAGCACCACACAGTTGGGCATCCTATAAATTAGGAGGCTCAAATCAATTTACAGCATTGGAATCTGTTGCAATCCCTTCTGTGTCACGGATCAGCAAGGATACATATCAGATCAGGCACAGATTGGTACCGGATGACTTTTTTGGGTCTGACATCCATTCATGTGGGTTGATCTGTGATATTCTGGGCGGAAGCTTCTTCAGCACCCAGCGCACCTCTCACCCCACAAAAACTCTTCCTCCCTCCAAAGTATAAGAGAGGTGAAGGAGAATCCCACTGGTGTACAGGTGCCGGAGATATCGCACCCGCTGTCCACAAAGCGGGTGCTAACGATGGAATTCGTGACGGGCGCCAATGTGTGCGACAAGCAAGCGCTGGCGCGAATGGGGTTGAAACCCAAGGATGTTGCCCGGCTCGTGTCTGAGACCTTCAACGAGATGATCTTCATCTTCGGCGATGTGAGCCTCCCGCCCTTTAATCCTTAGATTTACAAGAGATTGTCCTGCAAATTGTCAACCAACCAAGCAAAGTTCAGAAGCCCAGACAGGCACGCAGAAGAGCTCACTGCTCACAAAAGAGTCCTCTAGAGTCACCGATCAGAAGCACAGTATTCTTTCTGAGGGGCCGCACTGACAGCAGAGCTCGCACAGCATCTTCCAATATACAAATCTCTAGCCTTTTGTAGCTACAGAACAAGACTGCCTTCTGCCAACTTTGAGGATTCTGGGGCGTGCAGGCTTGACAATCTAGTGCCAGCGGCAGCTAGACGCCCTGCAACCTATTGGCTATGTGGGAGTGGATTTGTGTAATCAAGGGATAGCGGAATTTTGAATATATGTGATGGTGATGCGCAGGTGCACTGCGATCCGCATGCTGCCAACATGCTGGTGATATACTTGCCGTCAGCCCTATGACCTTCATCGGAAATTGTTCTGCACATACCACGTTGGAGTGCTACTTGCATTGAGGTAGTTGGGTTGCAAAGACACGATACAATCTGTCTTGTCTTGAGCACAGATCAGCTCAAGACAAGAGCTGTTGATTCTTGATTTCAGTCTGAACACATGTTGGAGCACATTACCTGGCTGTCAATGCTTGGTACAAGCAAATGGACTGTGCCATGGCTGATGCAGTAACAATGAGTTCCTCTGCAGATCCGGGAGAAGAATGGGAAGCCCGAGCTGGTGTTGCTAGACCACGGCCTCTACAAGCGCATCACCGATGAATTCAGGCGCGTTCCCTCCAGCTTTCTCATATCACCTTGTGCACAGCCCTATGCTCACTTGGGAACTTCGCGATAAGTGCACGTTCACATTGCACAAAGTTCCTCGGCCTCTGCTCAAGTGGAGGAGGAATTGAGGGGCCTCCATGCTCAGCATCAGTCTTGGTTTTCTCTTCTTGTGCAGATGAGCTGACGCCATTTGTCAGTGTCTTTGAGGCTTCTTCTGCACAGGGTGCTGCTGCACTCACTGGCAGGGAGGCTGTCAAGAGTCTGAACCAAGTATGATTACCTCAATAGAGTACCCCTTTCACAGCAATACTATCCTACACCTTTTTTAAGAGCCATGTGTGTTGGACATCTGTTTCATGTACATGTACTGCAAGACATCTAATATTGCTGTGTGTCCAGGCGGGAGTATGCTGGGCTGTGGCGGGCGCTGGTGTTTGGGGACGAGGCGGGGATCAAGCAGCATGCAGCCGCCATGAATGCTGCCGACTCGTATGCATTCTTCGCCTGCATGCTCACCATGCGCCCCTGGGAAGAAGTCACCAGGTGAGACGGGATTCTGAAAGATTTAAAGAATTCATAGGGACTGCCAATTCCGGCCACAATCAGGCAATCATGTTGCAGGTGAGGACAATTGCAAACATAGTTAAAACTTGGCAAGAGCGGACATTTTGTAGATGTTTTGCTTGTTTGTCCCTTCCCTTTGTTCGCTTCAGCTCCAACAGCTGCATGGCCTGTCGTGACATAGTGCACGAGCTTACATTTCTGCTCTCTACCTGGTATATAATGCTGTGTGTTTTGGTGACCTGCTGTTGATGGATATTCTCCAGATGTGACATCACCTGTGGAGTAATGATGTCATCGCTATGATGTGGCAGGGCGTCGGCGGACCACCTGTACCTGCCCACGTCGGCGGAGGGCCGGAAGAAGATCCAGGGGTACGCGTCGCAGTTTGCCAGGGAGATAAGCGACATGCTGCGGCGCATCCCCCGCCCGCTGCTGCTGCTGCTCAAGACGAACGACTGCCTGCGCACGGTGGACACCTGCCTCGGCCAGGTGCTCAAAATTCTCTGACTTCTCTCTGATTGGCTGCGCCTATGCTGTTTGTTTCACCGCGCAATGTTGTACTCTACCTCGAGGTGTGCTGCATGGTGTGCTAAAAGATTACATGCTCAGATCAATCGTGCAACAGAACACCCTTCAAACAGAAGGTGATGCAAGCTTCTGCCCTCAACTTCGCTGCACAAACGAAAACACTTGCATGGCAGGGTTGCTCTGAATCCAGGTTTTGCGAGATATGCTCAAAATGTACGTGCTTTCTGTCCGCAAGGGTAAGGTGTACAACTGAAACCCCTGGACAATGTAGGTACTGTTTGGTTTCAATTTTGGCATGCCTCAGGCACTCAGGGCAATCAACGGAGCATTGTGTTGCGTGTGTCCTTGTGTTTTTGTTATTAGAGAGTTCTGAAGGGAGTTCTGAAGGGAGTTCTGAAGGGAGTTCTGAAAGTGGCATGCTTTGCGTTACACCCAATGATACTGTTCACAAGATGAGGGTATGCTGCTCGATTGCCTTCGTTTGTTCCTGTGTGGGAATGTTTAGTTAGATGTGTCTTGTCTGCGTCGCAGCCGGTGAACACGTTCACGATGACGGCGCGCGAGTGCACGAGGGCGCTGAACGAGGCGCGCATGCGCGAGCGGCCGGGGCTGCGAACGCGCGTGGCCTGCCTCGCTGACACGCTCGGCGTTGAGGCGCGCATCGCCGCGCTGGCGCTGATGTCATGGTGGGCCACCGCGCGCCCAAATTGGCTCCGGCTGCGGCTTTGGCAGCGCACCGCGCAGCCGCCGGTGATCGTGGCGGCGGTGTGATGTCAGCGGACGGGCAATCAGAACGGCACACAATGTGACAATTGGGGTCCATAAGCCTGCCATTTAGATAGATTGTCATCGTCACGAAAGGAGATTCGCAGTAAATGTCTTCTGACAGCAGGGTGACGTCAGCAGGGCGGTGTCAGCAGGCAGCAGGGAAAGCCATTCCTGGGGTGGAAAGCCGGGTAATCGGCCAATTGCAGCTCTCTGGACCTGAGTTATCAGATGACCTCTAGGTAGTGCACCCTTTTACAGTATGCATACTATGGAATGTGCAAAGGATAAGCCTGCCTCTGGCGAAGCCTCATTGCCGATGTGATTCTTGAGTTGTTGGGGTTCTTGTCTATGAAAGAAGGGCGTAAAAGGAATTTTTGGGTGCTGTCACTCAGCTGTGCATCTGATGCTGGAGCACGTTTAGATCTTTGATGTTTTTGTTGCGGTAATAGTGTGCACATGCACATTAGGACGGCAGCTGCGTGACAATTGATTTGCCCCAGCAAAATGACTCTTACATCAGACACTTCAGCAGGTACAAGGCAAAGCTGCGGCAGACAATTGTCTGCTCAACTATCTAGAATGAATGTTCCAAAACTTCAAAGCGATATTTCATAATAATAAAAACCACTTCCAATGATCTTCTGCAGAACTACAGCTGTAACTTATCTCTACTTCTTGCTGCTAAGCTCAACACTGAATGAAATGGGTACCGCACACTAAAGAATGAAATCTGACTTAGTAGTGCCCCTCATATGAACAGAGTGAAGAGAAACTCACTGTCATATCAAATCTACCAAAAAATGTAAAAAATCTGCTTGCCGTCTCATCAACAACCCCTGATTGAAAAGGATCCCACTTCAAGCATCGAGAATTTGCATGCATGCCCACTCCTGTTCACTTCCTGTCCACTTTCGGAGGTATGTACTTTGTTTGTGTACTTGGCTGGCTTTGCCAGGGTCTGACTTCCCAATCCCCACTCATGCTGATCCATCAGGGGCTAAAATTTCAGAGAACAGATGATGACTAATGTGTTCACTTTTAGCCCACAGTCTGGATTGTGTCGATGTTCTCAGACACGTTGTCGGTGACTGCTTGGACCTCGTCCACGACGGCGTTGACAACCTCCGCCTTGAAGGGAGCGCGAATAGGGGCCTTTCTGGTCGAGGCCTTGAGGGGTCCAAGGTAGCCCACGTACCCGGCCCTCCCTGCGGCAAAACATCATCTGCTGGCTCAGACCAAAAGCGCCACCAGCAGAAAACGCATAAAGAGGCAGGACATGGCTGTCATGATGACTGCTTTCATAAGGGAATGCCTACAAAGCATCTGCTGCCACAGACAAAGAAGGGCCTCTCTTGTCATTGGCCTTGCTATCGGCTGATCAGAGACGCATCAAAGGCAGAGGTGGCATGCCATGATGACTAAATCTTGCAAGGGGGTGCCTTGTAAGCATGGGAAGGCTTGACTCGGGTGTGACTTGAGGGATGAGCTGCAATAACAAGAATTTTAATTCCTCTGCGGTGCTTGCAGTCTTCAGAACAGTGCCACCTCATGCTCTTCTTGCCAAGAGGCAGGGTGCGTCTGTATAAGGCTACACTTCAAGGTTGCCAAAGCCCCGCCCCTTAATGAAATCTCCAGATCATAAAGCTGCCCAGTTATGAATATGTAATGCCTCAGATATGTTTACTAAGGCAGTGACTCACCGGTGCTGGCGTTGTCGGTGATGCGAGCGCTGTCTGACTCCTCGTACGGGTGCTGCACTACGGACACAAAGTACGCGCAGCCGTTGATGTTCTCGTACCAGTACGGAGAGGTGGTCTCAGACCCGTAGGGAGTCGTCTGCAGCCGCTTCAGACTCTTGTCCTGCGCACAGCAGCAGCCAAAAGTCAAACCTGCTGTTTGGCGTCACCTATATTACTGGAGAACATGCAAGCTCCTTGCATGCATGCATCGGCAGTGCAAATCACTCGTGAAAAGCTTTGGAAGTGCATCCCAATTGTGGGGAGCAGAAAAATATGTGCATGGCATCAAGCATATATTTTGACAAAGGGGCAACTGGATCATCTAGGATTGGATATAGGTTGCTGCAGCGCAACTAGCCATGAGGGCTGGAACAAGCGTTTTATGGTATCACCCCAACATGAAGCATTTGCGTCATTATTTTTCCTCCCTCAAGGCGAATTCAAGTGGCACAGTTTCGTTGTGGACATGCAGTTATAAAATCGCATGCGCAGCAGGGAACTTACGGCAAAGTCATAGAGCCAGATGACGTCGTTCTGGTGGGTGCCGGTGTCCTCGCCAATGATGAGCTTGTTGTATCCGCGCATCATGGACAGGTTGTCGGGGGATGAAATAGACTTCTTGTCGCAGGCATTCAGGTTGTCCTGCACCAGCGAAACTTTCGAAACTCAATCAACTCTGTAGACTGAGGAGGCCTCCACTACTTGACACCTGTGCCTGTTGTTAAACAGTCCAATACAACAGACGGAAAGGCGATAACAACCCAAATAGTCCTTACACTGTGACATACGTCAGTGACCTTGTCAGGCAAGTTTTCAGATTCAGGGTCGGCAGCAACAGTAGACTTGCTAAACTCCGCTAATGCACTCAAAACTCCATATATGGTGCAATGACTGCTAGTATAGTATAAAGTTCTGACACAGGACCAGGGCTACTCACAGTGTTAGTGGCGGTGTTTCCACAGATGAGCGCAGACATCTTCTGTGCCACGTACGTCTGGTTGACGTCCAGAGTGTACACACAGCCACACCGGTTGTAAGGCAGCCTGCATAACTCACCCCAATTTCTATGCAAGGACCCTCTTCTATTATAACTTTAGGCTTCTGTAGCACTTTTGAACAATCCATGCTGTCTTGCATGCATGCACTGCAACTAGAGACATGCTTGGCAGTTGCCATGCGTCCTTGAAGCAGGTGACTTGTGGCTTGGACACTGCGAGTGGTCACAGGCAGATAAGAAGCCAATCAGACACATCAGGTAGTGCGCATGAGTAAGGCCTACTTGATGGAGTTCTTGCCGCCGCGGTCAAAGGTGGGGTTGGCATTTCCACCAACGCGATTGTCTTCCATTCCATTCTCGACACGAGAGATTGCGATGTAGATCTGCCCAAACTCGCCTGCACCACAGCAAATGCTAAGCATCTTTGTTGCTTTCAGAACTGCAATGAATCTCCACATGCGCACCTCCAAACAGTCATGCCTCACAGTCGGAGCAGGCCCATGGCAACCGACAGGAATCATGAAACTGCCATGAGTTGCGCCTTCACTCATGAAGTATGCTGTCATCACGGCCCTTTACAACTCTGCACGTGAAGCCTTGCATATCATTTGCTCACCGTTGTTGGGGGAGAAAGTGATGCCCTCGTACTTGGAGAACCTGCATGCAGTCAATCCTTTCAAGTCCAAGCTGCTTGCCCATATTTTGCACTGGAGTCTACAAGCAGATATTGGGGGTATAGGCATTTGCAAAATTATTATCCATAAAATAGACCCCTACTGCACAGCAGCGCCATACACAGCATTAAGATGCCCGGTGTAGTCAAATGCTCATATAATGAGGACAAAAACTGCTGTACTGTTTGTCCACAATCCACATTTTGATTTGGCGCTCGCTCTGCCTTGATGACTGCATGCCTCCTACTTCTAACGCCAGAATATGTTTGTCGGGGGCCATAAGACATGAGTGCGCACTCGGTGGTTGCTCCCTTGATTGCAGCGTAGCGCCGGGTCTCAAAGCGTGAGGCGTTGATCTCCTGCCCAGGCTTCACCTTGAGGCACTCCGGGGTGATGGCATTGTTGAGGAAGATTGCTGCGCACCACAGCACACAAGCATAAGCCTCTTGTCTTTATTATTATTATTGTTACACGCTTTTCCTGCCAGAAGCAAGGTGCGTCTGCAGACAAGCTGCAGTAAAGGCTGCCAAAATCCTACCCCTTGATGGACCCGACAGATCCAAGCAAGACCCAATCAACCGTGGGCACGGTGCTCAGTATATATATATACCGCCCGTATACCGGCCCCCGCCAGCCGGGGCTAAAAACATATGGCATGCTCCTAAAAAAAAGCAGCATATGTACAGCTGTGTGCTCTGCGTGGCTGCGTGCTGAGACTGTCACTAGGCAAGCTCAGGCGACTGTGCGAAATATAGTTAGCCAAATGAGATGGCAAACATGACCCTCCTGAGGACAGAGCAAGTGCAAATGAAGGGAAAAAGGCTGTAAACCACAGGCGACTCCTAAAGATATAGAATGTTACCAACGACTGAGCAATTGGGCTTGGCATGCATCAATCAAACACCGAGGAGCTTGGTGGGAAGGTCTTCAGGAGAGAAAACATATGCTGGTTCAAGGAGGAGGGAGCATGCCTGTGTTGATACGTGTGAAGCCAGCAGGGCACGAATTAGTCGTGGCATCGTAGACCGCTGTCTCGAACATGTCGGTGAACAGAATGGTGTTGGCCAGAGGAATGAGGTCCTTTTCGCATGCAAAGCCCAGGTCGATCCAGCTCAGGTCAAAGGTGCCGCCGTTCTCAGAGGTCAGCTGTGTTACGGCTGCTGCGTAGAGGGTTCCACAGCTCAGGTCACCGGGCTTGGCAGCCTACACAGACAGCGCATGAAGCAAAAGTCAGTTTGTCACTTGTGATTGCAAGTGAAGACACTGTAGCACAGATGAGGCTGCAAGATGCTTGCGAGACACATGTACACCTGAGGCATACAGCTTCATCAGATCTACACTAATTTCTGACATGCTGCAAATACAGACACTTTATATCTGCGTTGCAAACCCTGCTGCTGCTCTGGGTTTTTCAAACTGTAAAGACCAATTAACGAGCTTTGAGATGCTCAACGTGTAAGCGCCCAGAGCAAAAGAAAGCAAGGGGACTTGCACAGAATTGAAACATGGTAACACAACGGCCAGCGAGACCGTGAAGCAACACTGCACAAGGTTTCATACCCCTAGAGAAGGGTCACAAAAGGGTGGGCGGACCTTGAACATGGTCATCATGGTGTTGTCGCCGTCATCGCCGCCGTAGACCGTGACGTTGTCGGGCAGGACATAGGGCAGCTCCCACGCCATCCGACCCAAGGCGTAATGCTTCTTCACACTGTTGGTACCGTTCGCGTACGCAGTCATCTGCGCAGCATCACGGCAGAGCTCAGTTGGAACAACAGCCCTGGCGGCTCGATGCATGTGAGACTCCTCCTGTGCTAGGCAGCGGAATTGCTGCAGGCTAGACGCGTGGCTTTCGAAGGGGTGTGTTTGAGAGGCTTGGTGCAATTGACGTGTGCAGTAATTTGCACTGCTTTGTGGCAGTGCTTAGCATAGAGAACACTCCAGCCTTTCCTGTGGCACGGGATCGGCATCCTGGCTGGGCAGGTCCTGGTGCTAGTATGCGAAGATGATGGGACTTGAGACTGCGACGCTGCATCTACTTCCGCACAAGCTGTGAAAGCAAATGCTGCAGGCTGAGGCGTCCATTAGATATGGCTGTTGTCTGCTGCTGAAAGCAAAGAGTATGCCTGTGCAATTGCATGCAGGGATGGATGGGAAATATGTTTCTGCATTTGGGAAATACTGCAGCTGTTGAGTTGGGCTGAGGATGGGAGGAATCACCTCTGTGGCGTAGCCGTACTTGTAAGGCTTGAAGAGAGTCTTGATGTCTGCCAGGGTGGTAGTGTTGGGGTACTTGCCAAAGTACCTGCATGCATGCACGCCTCTTAGTCGTGCTGACGCAGCGACTGAGTACCAAATCCCTCCAAAGCACACATTATCGATATGTCGTGCTTCCAGGACTGATTTCCCTCCGACTCTGTAGACCCAGCTCATTGCACAGACATGTCCGGTAGCAGGGGAAGCACGGGTCAAATGTGTGTAAATAAAATAAATATGTGTGCATTCGAATAACTGAGACTGCAGAGGCGAATAAGGGCTCACTTCATCTGGGAGGTGAGCAGCAGGTTCTGGTAACTGTCCAGCCCGCCCCTCAGCTCAGCGATGGTGTTTCGGGTGAATGCCAGACCTGCACCACAGCCACCACATCTTTGATTTTGAAAGATCATTTGTTCCACCATAAAGACACTAAACCCCGGCTGGCGGGGGGCGGTACAAATACTGAGCACCGTGCCCACGGTTGATTAGATCTTGCTTGAATCTGGCGAGTCCAACAAGGGGTAGGATGTTGGCAGCCTTTACATGCAGCTTGTCTGCAGACGCACCTTGCCTTCGGCAGGAGAAGCATGTAACTACAATAATAAAAATAATAAAGACGGTAAATCATTTGCCCAGGACATGGTTGCTTGCATAATATCAGGCTCTTACAGCAGTCACTGTGCCACATCTCCATGCTCGGGTGACAGACAACGCAACAAAAGCAGGCTATGGACTAGCCTCCTTTCTGCAGCACCTCATTCTACCATTTGGCTATGTGCACCAAAACTGCCAAATACTTTGTTTCTAAAGCCTTCAGGGACCTTATCAACAAGGCCGGGATGAATGATTTAAGTGCAGCAGCGGGGCTCACCGTTTGGCTCGTACTCTTCAGAGCCTAAGTGGGTGTTCCAGGGGGAGACAGACCCAGCACAGGGCGTCCACAGGCCACCCCAGTCGGAGAAATTGGTGGGGACAGAACTGATCACGCTCAGCTTGCACGTCTCCTTGTCCTGCTTCAGCTCCAGGAAGTACGCCTGCATAGCGCTGGCATTCTTGTTTAGTCATTGCATGTGAGATTTGCAATGGAGAAAGTGCCAGAACAGGACAGGAAAGGCTGGAGGGGAGTCATTGAGAGGTTGCTGCAACGCACCTAGCCCTTTGGGCTGAAACAAGTTTGTATAATAATAATAATTTTTTATTAAAGAGTTGCATGGATGCATGGACTCATCTTGAAGCTTCTGATGGATTCTGCTGGTGTTAGTATTTTTTCTGTGACTCTCTTTCGAGCAAACAATGTAGCTCAGGATCTCAACATTGATGGCAGGTACTGAGTAGAAGTATGGTGTGACTAATCTCTTTGTCAGGGCTGCATTGCAGTAATCATGGTTGAAATATCCGCACTGATCAATTTGCCGCCGAGAATTTTCAGAAAAGCGTGGAAGAGAACCACTGCACACCTGAAAGGGGCCGAAAGACTCGAAGTGAACGAAGGAGAAGAGCCTGTCGCCAACCTATACTCCACAGAAAGGCTCTCAATTGGTAGGTCATGATACAATTTGTGGCAACCTCAGTTCTGACATGTTGTGGCCTTGCAGCGAACACGCCGTCTGACCCATAAAATAGACTTGGGTGGGGATTGTTTATTATTATTATTAGACGCTATTCCTGCCAAAAGGGCAAGGTGCGTCCTGCAGACAAGCTGCAGTTAAAGGCTGCCACAACCCTACCCCTTGTTGGACTCGCCAGATCCAATAGACCCAATCAACCGTGGGCACGGTGCTCAGTATTTGTACCGGCCTCCGCCAGCCGGGTGGGGATTGGGCAGAGGTTAAAGCCGTTTATCTGCAGCATGACAAGCTGACCACCAGAAAGAAATGACATAACCCCCAATAGGACACACAGCGTGCGAACTCCGTTCCTTTTCAGAAATTGGGGCTTACCGGCAGAAGAGATGTGAAGTCTGGGCTCTGGCTGAAGGAGTAGGCGCCGACAATTGAGCCATCGTTCAACCTCTGAATGGCAGGTCTGCCGTCCGCAGCAGTCTGCCCAGGAATATAGACATTAACTCACAAAATCTTATTGGAGTCAAGATTTGCATGGCAATGAAGTCTGAGGGAATTCTGAAAGTTCAAAGATCATCGGTGCATAGGACATCTGCATGGAGATGCACAGGAGATGCAGAGGAATGACGCATGCAGCAGAATCCGTAAGAGAAGTGGATGCAAAGTCTGAATTCCTCTTCTTGTTTTGATATGAGATTCAGAATTTGTGGCAGATCTGTCACCTCATAGACGAGGTCGCCGTTTTGGGCGACGTGCTGGCCAAAAGCATACTTCTCATCCGGGTTGGCCTTATCGCCCGTCCTGAGCAGTGTGTTGTAGTTCAGGGGCCACTCCTTGCCTGCAAGGCCAGGGTGCCGCCTTTTCTTTGTGTGAGCAGCCCAGGAGTTTATTTTTGAGGCGAGGAGGCTGTCAGAAGGCAAATGCATCTATGAATAGAGTCAGTCAAAGCATCTTGCAAGAGTGAGCAGCTTTGACATTTGCGTGCTCATCGACAGCCAAGCTGCCAGCAGTGGGCACGCACATGTGATCCTCCTTCTCCCAAAAGCACAGTGTAGCTTGGGCAATTTCTCTGCAGATTCTTTAGATGTCCGATCACAAAATCGGGCCAGAATGACTCACCGTCAAGGATGGCGGTTGGGGCCGTCAGAATTTTGTGCTTCTGATAGTCGAGGCTGGGGAAGCCAACCTCAACAGGCACCTGCATTCCCAGTAGAAGAAGATACTGATTTACTAGTACAGACCAAGCTGCACATCAGGCAGCAGGATGTTGACACATATATGAGGATGTATCCGTCAGTATTGCACCGCCAAAGGCAACACAGCTTCCATTGATCTAACGGGTCTACTGTCATGTGGGAAACAAGCCTGAAGAGCACAGGTAGGAAATATGCGGCAGACCTCAAACGTGGGTGCTGGCTCTGAGCTGGAGTCTCCTGGGATGATCACATCCTGCATGAGCAAACACAACGTTCAAATCAAGTAAGCCATTCCACCTGATGATGTGCTGCATTCCAGTCAGTGGCACCGCACCCATGCTGGAACGAAACGTAAGAGTGCATGTGTTGTGCATAACCGTGCTGATGAGTGAGTAGGACATCCTGTACTGGCAGTATCAGCCAGAAGATATGGTTTAGTGATGCAAATCGCATTTAGAGAAGCCACGACTGCTCACCCTCACTGTGTCAACTGCCCGGCGGGCGGCTCCCGCTGCACCCTCCCTCAGAGCATTGATGGCGTCAAGGGTACCTGTGAAGCAACTTGCAGCCCTCAGCAAATTGAGGCTGCAAAAGATTAAAGTAGACGCTCAAGGTTTCTTGCAAGTGCCAAGCGCTGAATCAGCATCTCCAAATGCATACGTTCGCTCAACTGTTGGTGGGACAAGGGAATATCTGCCAGAAGGAGTCCAGCAGGGTCGAATCTTTTGTAGCGAGGATGAAAGAGCAGAAATATTGTCATTGCATTAAATTATTGAGGAATAGGGGAACCTGAGGCGGCGTGGAGCGCTGCGATGAAGACCAAAACAGTGGCGACAAGACGCACCATCTTGTTATGTAAACCTGGTAGACAGGGTTGGGTCGCTTCTCCTGCTCATGGCAAAAGCCCAAAAGTTAACCAGAACTGTAACGAATATCATGATGTTATGGATAGCGCTGTAACGAAAGGCTGCTACTGCGTGCAAGCTGAGACTGCCGTAGAGAGGGATGGCTGTGCTGAACCCTTTCTCGGACCTCGACAAATTTTCAGACTTATCACAAATAGCACCCGAAATCACATTAAATTGAATTCACTGCTTGGTGGGATGACATGAGCAACATTCCTTCGCCGATACAGATACCCAGGGTAGCTAACATGTCGGAACGTGGCTGGCAGCTTGAATAAGTTAGAGCGACGCATAATGTGAGCATAAAAAGCGACAGGGAACAGTAAATTGTCGTATCAAATGCTACAGGAAATTTGAGCAGCGTCATACACCCTACTTAATACACCTGGGATAAGGGATGGCACCCACCTGGCCACCAAGGTCACCTCAACGCCTCGCCAAAGAGGAATTCTCGAGAAGCACCGTATTTAAAGCTTTTGTAGTCCCGATTCTACATTCTCACAGCGTTTTTCCGATGCTAAGCGTTCTGTTTGTCATCCCTTCGAAGTACCCGCCGTCGAAGTATATTCCTTGGGAATCTGCAGCAGCACCTCGCACACAACCAACAACCAGTGGGTCGTCCCCAAGGGGAGGAAAGGAGGCAACTACCTCCCGAAGTAATTCTAAAAGAAGATCGTAAGTATGCGCCTCGGTGCTTGCCACAGTATCTGTACAGTGCCTGGATGCAGCGTTCGGGTCTCATGAATTCAATCTTAGTGCAATGGATGCAAGAGCTCTGATTGCGTATATTGGGCACAAAAGAGCCAAAGCATTGAGGAGTCTGGGCCACTTTGTCACGATCAGCTCATCATGTCTCGTGCATTGCATGGCACGTATATGTGCATGCACCCAGCCAACACCTACTTGATGCACACCCAACCTCAGGTTGGCAACTTGATGTCCTATGTTGCAAATGTGCACACACGGGCTTGCAGATCCATTCGAGGACCTAATCTCCTAGCAGTGCTGCATCTGACCTATCAAAGAATGCAATTGCGCAAGCGTGCAAAAAGTGCAGTGCACAGAGCTGCACACAACTTGCTCAGGGCCAGCTTTGTGGACATGGATCGCGTACATGGATACTGGCATCTTGATTGACACCGTGAGTGGACATCAGGGCAATTTCGGAGGTGCAGGATATAGGATGTGACTCGATATAGGGTGATACAAGAGGCAGACTGCACAAACAGAGCATGCTGCCGGTCTTAGTGCTGGACTCATCACATATCTGTTATAGCCTTTCAGAAGACTATTGTTATAAACATCTCATCGGGTCTGATTGACGCATGCAATGGCGGTGCTGCGGGACGCGAGTGCGCCGCTGGTCCGCTGGCTGGCTTTTGGCGGCCGGGGCCCGACGGTGCGGCGGCGATCAATGTCCCGCGTGCGCGCGGTTGCGGCGTCGGCCGGGCGGGCATCGCTCTGCGCGGCGTGGCCGACACTGTGGAGAGCGTTTGGAAGCGCATCATTGAGCTTTCTCACAACCATTGATGGCAAAGTGCACTCTATTTCTTCAAACTGGATTCAGTGTACAGTCTAAGGCTTTTAATAAGCGCATGTACGGTTTTTGGAAGAAAGGGCTTAATAAATCTTTGAAGGCTGCGCAGCTCTATGAAAAGAAGTGATGACGAAAGAGCTCAAGCAGTATATGATGTTGTGAAAGACTCATGTCATCACAAGTGGAAGGTTTCAGCTGAGCTGAAAAGCTAGGCTGCCGCGGTTCGAGCTCTGTGCTGAAAAGCTTGGCTCCCGACGCTTGCTTTACAGAGATGCAAGTTCAATTTCTTAACCCAGGCCTGGAGCCCACTCTCTTTGGGTTTTCTACTCGTTGGGTTCTCCGCGCTGCTCGAACACTGCAAGACCGCTGCAGAAGGACTGGAAATACTTGCTCAATGAAAATGTTACAAGTTCAACTCCGACAGCTTCTTCAGATAGTTCAGAACGATGCTAACAGAGGCCTTCATTGAAGGCAGCTGTGCAGCTGACAATAATGGTCTCCACTTTCTTGTAGTGTACTAGCCTAAAAACAATGGCAACTCCAGTTATGCCTGAGACAGAAAACCCCATCAACACTTGAACATCAACCTGCGACTCTTGGCTAGGACTGTTGTGAATTTTGTATCAAACACTTGGAGCTGCTTTCTTTCGCTGCGCTGCCCTCAAGATCTCCTGTACCTCGCCTGTGGGACACCACAGCCACAGCATTGTCAGCCACACCGCAATGACAGCAGGAAAACTTGAGCAACATTCACACCAAATCAGTACTCTGCAACAAGCTGCAGGCAAGCCCATTGCAGCCTGCACGCAATGTGAGCCAAGCCCAGGACAGTGCGCATGCAGGGCGCGTCATGACTGGACAGACAAAATGGCAGGCCATGGCATATCCCATCTGATAGCACGGCCATACAAGGCAGTGCGAGCGCCAAGAAAGGAGGACGGGCTGCCTTGCAGTTACAATTTAATGCTTGCAAACATAAGAACACCTCCGGCCCTGGCTATTGCCATTTATGAAGCTGGCAGTTCTGACAATTTAGGTGGTGGTTGCCTTGAGATCAGGGCAGTCGTTCTGTCTGCATGTGCACGCACCCGGCCGCAGCTCGCCGTGCTGCATCTTCTCGACCAGGCCGGTGGCTTCCGGACGGCGCAAGAGCCCGCGCACGTTGCGCAGACCAGTGCCGAAGCAGACGCCGCAGACGCGCACGCCGCGGCCAAAGCAGTTGGGGCATTCCACAAACTCGTAAGTGTCCTTCACGCGCTTGCGCGACAGCGCCCGCCACTTGCCGGTGCCGCCACACATGTCGCACGGCGTCACCCCGGCCCCCAAACACTCCTTGCACAGCGGGATGTCATCGGGACCTCCGCCGCCCTCCCCTGCATTGATGCATGCAGCGTATGTTTGCTTTCAATCTCAATTTTGGATTTGATACCATTTATTCCTGTAAAGACCCAGCCCTGAGGGATAGTCTGCGCATCCTGCAGCACTGCTTCAAAGAAGCACTCTTTGGATTGCGCACTGGAACAGATGACGAGGCTTGTAAGCTTTGCTATAGTGTATGCTTCAGGGAAGACTGCTTCAGACTGAGCAAGAGCAGCACCTTCGCTGGCGTCAGCACCAGATATTTGCAGCGCAAGGAGGGCAGCAGGAACCAGGGCTAATGTTTGGCGGCGATTTGCGATTAGCCGGTGATTGCAACGCTGCTCATGCTGCTGCTGCGGCTGAGAGCTGGTTGAGCAAGCCTCCTCACCAGCTTCCGCTGCAAGGACAGCTGCAGGCGTGAGTGATGAGTAAAAGCAGCCTGGTATTGTTCTCCCATACGCAAGTTTCAGAGCAGGATAACAGAGGTGTGCCGATCGCATCCAAAGTCTCACCTTTCTCGGCTCTGGGTGTTCTCCATCGACTGCTGGTACATGTTCTATGCTGAACGCGGCACTGCGTGCAAAGGACGGTGATTTCAGCTGAATTCAAATATTAAAAGTGACGAGCAAAGCACTCAAGCCATAAGAACAGAAATCACATCTGGTAAAGTATCAAGTAAACACCTGGCAGATTTGAGTACATCCCAAGCTTCCAGTAGTTCCAGTGAGTGAGACCATTATTTCCTATCACAACAATATGATGAAAGCAATAAATTTTCAACAACAAGGATGTCAACACAAGAGCTTTTTCTTCATCGTGGCATCCATCGAGGAAGATATGGTGCGTATCGTGGCCCACCCCCTCTGCCTCGCCTCGGGGAATATCACTCCGTAATGTTCTTGGTTTCGATCTTGTGATCACTTCATCTTTCCTGCAATCGTGCGTGAGGATCGTAGAGCGTAAGAAGATTGTCTACAGAAGCTTCACAAGTTGGAGGCATTGGAGGGAGTGGTAACGCGGTTGCCGCAGGAAAGCCTGAGGGCGCGCCTTCGCAGCCCCATCGGAACCGAACCGGTGCGTGAGGCTCGTCATGTGGACATCGACAGGACGTTCAGCACGTTCTGCAGAGAGTTGATAATTGCAATTGGTTCTGGTAAACAGAAGAGTTGGGTCCCAGGACACCAAAGACTCGAGCAAGTTCCCCGCAGTAGCGGCGCCGATATTTTGCCCCAGTGGGATGGTGATCCCGCGAAGAAAGCCTTTATATATGACTGTATTATACATACGTTGATCCGACTGATATAATTCCTGCGGAAATCTGGGAGTGCGGTTGACAGTCCGCACTAGGTCTTTGATGCACGCGCCCACCTTCGTCAGCGGGGCAGGCATTTGAACGACGTTCTTGATCTAATAATCAACGCTCAATGCACCTCAATAGCTGGTTGCAAGATGGTCATTGTATCCAAGATTGTCTCGGATCAACCTGACCACATATTCCTTCAGATGCAAACCTGGGCTTTACTCAAACAAGGAACCAGGTCCGATCATCTGTCAGCAGCTGCCTTAGTCCAAATCAATTTCCTGGAACAACCCGTAGGAACGTTTCCAATGGCAGGAAAGCATCCCCTAGTGGATCTTGTCTGCCTGCCTTTTCGGTTGACGTGGTTGATTGGTGCACATCTAGTCTGTGTCCACGTTTCTGATGACCTTAGCTCGTATCAAACGTGCTCAACGGTGTACGATTTCTTTGAGAAAGCTGATATGACCCTGATCCTTCTTCTTGCGACAGTACAAGCAAGCTGTGGGGCTCTTTGAGGCCAGGAGAGGAGCAGCAGCAGGAAGGGCAGCAGCCACATGATACCATCATCGTGCTTTGTCCCAGGCGATGCAGGCTCTCCAAGCACTGAGGCATCTGAGGCCCATGCGCACTCTGTGCTGGCCCGCTCCCCACCTCCTCACCACTTCTTAGAGGTGCAGCTGCCTGCTCAGCTTCCTCCTGTGACTATGCGATCTTGTCAGGCCTGCGCACTGTTTAACTTAGTGCTCCTGGGCTGAGAAATGGCTGCTTTGTCAATGCACTATGTTTACACCGCCAGGCAGCCCTTTCTCCCTTCTTGGCGCTCGCACTGCCTCGTAGGTCTTGCAAATTGTCTCGGGCCCTGATGCAACCTATTTGTCACCCTTTGCAGAGTGTGGCAAGAAGGGGGAACACTTTTTGGCTGAAGGGAATTTTGCACATAAGTCCCAAGTTGCTGTGTAGCAGTCAGCTGATCCCCCATAATGTCCCTGAAGGGTCCTCAACCGAGGAGTCCAAGATGTATTATCTGCGCAGGTGAACCAGTACCTGAGCGATGACTTCCTCGGCAGCATGGAGACTCTGCCAGACCTTGGGCTACAGGTTACACTCCCGCCACCTGTGGCTACTCAGGTGCAGTCTCATTGTCACCCTGCTTCAGCAACTTGATTCCAATATTACATTGCTACTGTATTAGATGTTCTTCCTGCCAGAGGCAGGGTACATATGCAGACATGCTGCGTGTAAAAAGGTTCCTATTGATGGCATCTGCGCAAGAGAAGGGATATCCTCCTTGGTGCTATAATTAAACATCAGCTCCCAATCTTATCAAGCGTTTGAGTATGTTTGTGCCTTTCAGGAGCCCGGGCGGTGCTCGGCAGGGAAGCTGCTTGACACGCAACAGACAAGCAGCACTGCCAGCTGGCAGGATGAGACTGACCGGCCGCGGCTGCCCTCTCCTCTCAACCTGGACTTCCCAGACTTCTCAGACATTCTCGGCTTGGTGCGCACACCCCTAGGCAACACCCCTGCTCAGATCCCATTTTCCCCCTCATTCTTTCTCTGCACCACTTGTGTGGCCCAATGCCCTCAACCCAGACCTTCACCCAACTGAGCGCTGCAATGTGCTCACCTCCGTTGGTATGTTGAATTGACATCGTCAAGGTTTAGTTCTTCCAGCAATGGGTGATCGGAGTTGGGTGCGATTGATTTAGGAGCTGCATGGGCCCGAGCCAGCAAGGCCATCGTTCAGCTATGCTGCGCCAAAAGAGGACGCTGTGTCAACCAGCCCCCCGCCCATGTCACAGCGCGAAGCACATGGGTCCAGAAACACCCTGGTGCGCATTTCAATGATATCGTGCAATGGTCTGCTTCACGCCGGAATCAGAGTAAGTAAATCTGAGTGCAGACCAGTGCATATATCTGCAGCCTGGGAGGTGCCGGCTCGCTCTAAAGACAGCCTTGAGGCTTTGGCAGGCTTGTAACCACGATATGGGCATTTGAACTTCAAATCGCAGAGGGCAGTTCGTAATTGAATTCGAATTGCGATGCAGGAGAGCGCGGGCGACAGCGCAGCCACGCGCTACAATGCGCGAGATCACTCGCCACAGGGAACTCGCTATTATGAGTCACGCGAGGCCGCGCATTACTCACCCCTGCTCGCTCACCCCGTCACACCTGTCGTGGCGGCGCGGAGTCCGGAAATGACTCACTCGCCGATGGTTGCCGAGCGGCCGGCGTACGATGCGCGGCACAGCCAGACGGACTTTGCCACCATCTACGCCTTCCTAGGGAGCCTCTTTGACCCGGTGCGCAATTTTTCCAAGGGAACGACTGTTCAGAGGGGGACATTATACATGGGAATCAGCCGCTTTCATTGCCCTCTCAAGCACCACTGGGACTGATCGTGAACCTGCGTGTATGCACTTGGCTCCTGCAAGCTCCACATTTGGCTCATGGCTCAAGGGAATGCAGCATGCGCTCCTTTCTGCCAGATAGAGTTCCTGGCTCTGCATGCAAGGCTGAAGCAGGAGTCACTGCATGTGCTCTGCAGCTTGTACATGTGATTACCACCTGTGCACTGAGGCCATCACTATCAGCACAATAGCAGCAGCTGTATTTGTCTGCAGCTTGTCTGCGGACTCATCTGGCCTCTTGGGGATCATGTTATAATAGGCACATGTTACAGCTTACATGTTACACAACACTACTTTCACATGTAACATTGAAAGTGTGTCTGGCACGTGCAGGTGTGCGCGCAGATCAACCACTGGGACGTGCTGGCTCAGATGGCGCCGGTCGACCGTGAGACTGCGTGCCTGCTCATGCACAACTTGGCCGCCAATCTTGGCGACTCGGCCGCGGTGGCCGCCCACCCGCATTCTGCCGGGGAGGTGAATCCCCCGGCGCCCCCGCTGCGGGGGGCGGACCACCCGGTCTATGGGTTCCCCCCTGCCACACATGTGCCACCTGGCAGCCGACATGTGCGCGCTGCTTACGGGCACATGTGAGCAGTTGGCAAGGCCGGCTGAAGGCTCCTGGAATTGAAGTCTTATGCAAGGCATCTGGGTTTCAATAAGGCACCTGCTTGCTGCCCAAGTGAGTTGAATCAGCAGCAGTGAGAGAGGACCTATAATGCAGAAAGGGTCTTAGTTGTGGTTGCAGATTTAGGGAATTTTTGCTGTTTTCTCTGGCAGATACTCACAGGCATGAGTGTCTAAGTGTACAAGATCAACAAGTCATTAAGTACTGTGAAGTACGGTCATGATGATGCTGCTGTACATAGCAGGATGGGATGTCCCGCCCTTTGGCCTTCCAAAGCATTCTGGTTGAAGCCAGAAGAAGGCATGGTGAAGCTCAATAGCCTCTCCCATTGTTGTGCCCGCCTGTGTAGTGGTCACCAGCAGAGTTTTGTGTTCCAGGTGCTGTAGGGAAAGAGAAGATAAGGTACCTGCAAAGCAGGTGCAGTATTAGTCGTGCAAGGCAGCAAAATGGCGCCATGTTGTTTGTCAGGCATTTGATATTATGGGATTTAGATTCATTTGCAGGTATGTACTATTGTGGCTCTTGACCTTGAGAACGTGTAGGATACCAGGAGGTGTTGTGTTTGGTATCGTCTATGGGCCTTAGTAAACAGGCGCCCTTCAATTCTTTTGCGGTGCGGTGAGGAGTGTTCACGCGGAGTACATCATGGAGAGCAAGGCATACTGTTTAGTAAGGACTTTGCTGAAAAGGCACCCTGAATTCTTTAATGTGCTGAGATCTCAGTGTCACTGTCATTCGGAGTAAAGATTGGGGAATAATGTATCATGAAAGGCATGTGTATGTGGTCTCTGCCCCTTCCTTGATTAGATGGTCTGGCCTTTCTGGCTCTAGATGCCTAATTGAGGAAATGTGTCTGCCAGCAATGGGTACATGAGAAATATGCATGGCGGCGGCAATAAGGATTAGAATGCATGATCTCAGATGGAGTTTCGCTTGCTTTGTGGCAGCAGCAGTCTTTCTTCCATCAGCAGCCTTTATTGCAGGATCGTTGACGTTGTGACTGTCGAGTGAATTTCTCCGTTGCGCAAACTTGACGATGCAACACAGTACAAGCAAACTCAGTTTGAGTCCTGCTCCGTTCGTGTGAGAACTTAAGCCGTTTGCTTTTGAATTAGGCTGATCGGTTAATCTCACAATGTTGTGCATGCAGCAACTTTGCTGATAACTTTGATGGTCTTGTCAAGACAGCGTGGTCTTGTCAAGACAGCTTAGTCTTGACGGTATAGTCTTGACGAATGTTCCTATAAGCAAGCAGGCACGTGAACATTCAACTCAAAGCACTATAGATAGCAACGCAAGACAACACTGTTTCGAGCTTGATGAGTGCATGATGGCAGGTAGAATTGCCCTTGAACAAAGGGGTGGATGTTGGCCCAATGGCCTTGTAATGTCTTAAGAACTGTCATTCAATTGAAACAAGGTGGCACATCCTGTTGAGTATAACAAATGTTGATGATTGGACCTGAGAAATGAGAGGGGTGTGCGCTTACTCACTTGTGATTGAAGTCTATGTGCAAGCCTAGGTTGGTCTTGTCTACAATGTTTTGAGGTGGCGCTGATCAGGCCCTGACATCAGCTCATGACTTGTCAAGGGTTTCGACTGTAAAAGAATATCTTGTCCGATCTCATGCAATCTAAGATTGCATGTTGTGCTAAGGATACACGGCTTTGCTAGCCTGGGGCATCTCATGGGTATGATGGTGATGCATGTACTGTACATGATCATTATTTCATCCGGATTGCAAATTGCTGCAGCGAAGTTGATGCTTGCTGATCTTCTTTTCAGTGGGTCTCAGGTTTCAAGAGAAAGTGAAAGGGCATGAAACAATTGTGTGCATGCAGATCAGGTGTTCAGATGTTGTGATGATATAAATGTCTTGAGGGTGCGTGCCGGCTCGATGCCTAGGCCCATTGTTGAGCACGCTAGCATCCGTCCAGCAGATGTAGAAAGCTGGATTTCTCTTGATTCATAATTGTTTTTATAATCAAACTATACTGGTGACCAGATTCAATACGAAGCCTTCAACAGCAGCATGCGCGCACCCCTAAGGTATGCTCATTTAATATTTATATGCACGCTGCAGGCCTGTTCAATACTTCCTACACAGCTTTGACACAAGACACCATTCTAATCTCCATACATGCCCACAGCACATGCAGTCAACCTCACAACACGCTGCAGATGCCTCCACCTCATCTGAGGAAGGAAGGGAATTTGAAGGAAGGAGACTAAACATCAACTCCAGCCGCCCATGGCTGATTGGATGAACTGAAATGGTAAAACAATCCAAGTCTAAGTCATCCCTGCGGGGCACCCTGCGGCAGACGCACGGCCCAGCCGCGCTCGCAGCACAGCCGCCAGAGCGCGGCCAGCACCGGCACGCTCGCCACCGTTGCCGGGCTGCCGATCACCGCCAGTTTCACCTTCGGCCGCGTCAGCGCAACGTTGATCCTGCGCCAGTCGGCCAGCAGCTTCCCGGCGCTGCGCTCTGCGTTGCTGCGCACCAGAGACACGATCACTGCGTCCTTGTCACGGCCCTGGCACTTGTCCACCGTCAGCGTCTCCAGGCCGGCCCAGCCGCGCGCCGCCGCCTGCCGCTGCATCAGCGCCACCTGCGCGCAAATGTCAGCCCGGCGTTAGTCATCACTGCAGCGCTGCCGTGCGCCAGAATCTCGGTAGCTGACGCATTCTTAACGCCTGTAATTGATATTCTGCTGTCAGCAGGCTGACGCTGGCAAAGCTTGCAGCTCCCAAGGCAGTCACAAGAATGCTTTAATCCGATGATGGCATGTCAATGCTGCAGCATCAATTAGCAGATTCCAGAAATGCTCACACGAGACAGACAAGAGAAGGTTGCAAGAAGTTTCGAGTGCTGCGATATCCCTTAGGGCAGGCCACAGCAGACTCCTGAAAAGAAGCAGCGGTGCCGCGCCTGCGAGCGGTAGGGGGAGATGACGCCGATGGAGTCAAGGGGAATGCCGGAGTCGGCCAGGGCTTCCACGATGCGCTCCACGACGGCGGCCTCGGTGGCGTTGCATGTGTTGTCGGCCGCGCGCGTCTCGGGCCCAGGAACGCCGTCGGTGTCCAGCCACAACACCCGCCGCGCAGGGTCCAGCACCTGTTTGACAGATAACATTGCCCTTAAACTAGGGAGATTTGCTGAAACTGCCTGTAGGACAGGGAGGAGGTGCCAGTCACGGCCATGCCCCTTATCAGGGAGGATGCTGCAACATTTGTTGTGCAAAAAAATTAGGCACCGTGCAGGGGGAGGATCAAGGCAGCATCTGCCCCAGTGTAAAGGCGCCTGGGCAACATGCGAAGCTGGATAAATGTGAAGCATTTGTGGTCGACACTTTAGCCCTGAGAGTATGGTTAGTTGCTGGAAGATTGCTTGTATGGAAAGGAGGAAGGAACCCAGCAGGGGCATCAATGCAGGCAGCAATTGCTCTAGCGCAACGCGCAATCATAATGAACTCCGACAGGTGTATTTGCTTTTATTGGGTCATCCAGGCAGTGCCTGGAAAATAATGCAGGGAGCTTTGGCTGACCTGCTGGAGCCATTGGGGGAGCTGGGTGGGAGGCAGCTGATGGGGCAGCTGCAGGGAAGCTTCCGCGACGGCAGAGGATCCGCAGCGCAGCTCGCCGTTGTAGACGAGCGCGTTGGCCACCGACATGATGTCAGCGGCCATGCGGTACTGCGACCGCAGCGTTATCAGCGCCTGTGATCAATTACATACTTCAGTCACAGGAATTGTCTCGTTGATATTATGGCGTAGGGACGCTGCAGGGATGCACTGTGGCTGCACAGCTCCTGCGCATGTCTCAATAAGGCGCCTAGGGGCGTAATGCATCTGCAGCTGAGCGTGTGCAGCAAGCTTAATCCTGCCCCTCTGCCTCTAAGCATAGAGTAACTGATAGTCTCTTCTGCTTTCCCTTTGCCCAGTTGCGGCATGTCTTTCACCAGGCAGCATGCGAAGAGGAAAATACTGTGTGGCAATAGCATGTGGCATGTGACAGCTTCCACACTGTAGCTGTGCTCCTGTTGCCAGACGCAAATGCATGGTAGCCTAGGGGCAGTATGCAGCTTGATGAACATAAACTGGGCAGAGCTGCTGCAGAAGCTGGTCAGGCAGCTCATCCGATTAATTCTAGATCAGAGAGAGCGAGTTCACACCTGCGGGTGGGCCTCGCACAGGTGGCGGAAGAGGCTCTGCGCTAAACCGCCGGCGGCCGCGTCGCGGTTCTGCACGAGGGGCGGCAGCTGGTAGTGGTCCCCTACAAGGCAGAAGCTTCGCGCCAGACCCAACGCTCCCAGCACAGCCGGCAGCGTCACCTGCGCGCAACAATTTTGACGGGTCACTTTCGAGAATATACACAAAACGTTGAGGGTTGATTAGTCTTTGAAACATGATGATTGTGTCTTGAGGACGACTTGTCTCAAAGACAAAAGCTGGCAGTGTCTACTGCGCGGATGACTTCTGCCGTTGATTATCATAGTTAAATTTCAGCGAGTTTGACAGCAACATAAGTGCTGAAGGATTGAGCAGAGTCAGAAATCAGCATGCTTCTTTGGCACGAGTTCGTGACAGTCTGCCTGCCCCGAGGGCTTGGCCACGTGTTTATGTCTCAGGAGCAGATTTGTTGATTGAGAGTGTCTGGGCAGCAAGAGTGTTGTGTAATTATGCAATGGCGATGTTCCATTCGTAATTTTTGTTGTATCGAATGAGCAGAAAATGTGGCACAAGGCGACAGGGCGGGGCGCTGACCTGCCCAGCCTCGTCCATGATGCACACGTCGAAGGTCTTGCCGACCAGGAGCGGGTGGCCCACGCTCAGGCAGGTGCAGCCCACCTGCGAGCAAGGGGACAAAGCTTCTAACAGGAACTGATGGCATCGCGTTTGCATGGGCACGATTGCCTGTTTACATGTCTTGAGAGCAATAGCTCCAGGTCTATGCGAACGAGCTCTTGGTCAGCTGAGTCAGCACATGCGTTCTGATCAAGCCATTCAGTGCACAAACCTGAAGTACCAATAAGGTGTTTCTGTAGCAGGGCAAAATCTGGTATCCGGAAGCAGGCAGACGCAGCTGGCAGCTATGAACCACTCGCCTAATTATGAAACAGCAGCGCCTCCAAAAAATAAAATACACCAGCAGAAAGCGCACCACTTAGGCACGGGTCGGGGGCCACCTTCCATGCATACAGGTCTTCCAGCAGTGGCGCAATCAGGACACCACAAGTCCTCAAGAACTCAAATTGTAGGAGCCAAGATGTAGGAGCCGGGATGTAGACTTCAAGTGGCAAGTAAGACTGTAGGAATACTCACCACTCGGGCGCCGGCTGCGGCGGCTGCGAGGCCGGCGACGCTGGTGTCGGGGAAGTGAACGCCGCCCGGCAGATGCCCCTGCAGCGCCGGGTGCACCGTGGCCGGCCGGCCCAGCCGCAACAGAGGCACGCCCGCCTCCGCCAGCTTGGCAAGAACATTGTCCACCGCGCTGCAATAAGTCAAATGCATTTCACCCGGGATTTGTGAACACCATCAACATGCAGATGCAACCCAACAGACTGCGATGCAGCCATTCAAAGCTTCACTATTTTGGTTAAACATTTCCAAAAGGCGTCACGATATATGCTAAGTATTGCAAGCCACTGTCTGCTGCAATCATAGAGGCAGTCAGTACTTGGCCAAGTGCAATCACGTATGCCAACACTAAAAACTTGATCAGATAGGCAGGTCAGAAGAGAGTCTCCACTCTCCTTTCAAAGAGCAGAAGAACGTGACAATTTGAGAGCGGCATCAGCGGCGTTTAGAAATGTGGAGAATGGTGTTTGCTCACCTGTTGGTGTACGCGGTGATAAGGACTGAGGATCCGCGTGCGACCAGGCGCTTGACTGCCGCCACAATGGTGCTGGTTTTGCCAGTGCCGGGCATGCCCAGGATCAGCGTGTAGTCCTGCGCTGCAACCACCCTGCGCACAGGCAACACATGCACTTCATAGACTTCTTTGCAGGGCTGCTCTGCACTGAACGCCGGCGCAGAAGACCACACTCTGTTGGCCGGTGCCTTTTGGGGCATTTTGGTGTGTAATATACTGTGAAAACAGCATCGCCAACAGGATCACATGGCGCATGTATCTTGAGTTTAGAAGATCTTGCATGGGTGGGCTGATAAGAAGTCGGGTCACCAGTACAAAACGGCAATCTTTTAAATGCCCAATGGAAACAGCAAATCCAAGGGCACACAGCAGGAAGCAGCTGCCCTGCTACACACAAGCTGGCCCATAGAACTGCATGCACGATCTCTGATCAAACAAAGAAATCATTACACAGGCCAGAACAAGACAGGACGCTGACCTGTCCACGGCCCTGCGCTGATCGTCATTCAGGTTGTCGCCCAAATCCCCGTCGGCCGGGGCCGGCAGCGCGGCGGCGGCGCCGTCGGCCGCGCGCCCGGTGACCGGCGGCTCGAGGTCCACTATGAGCTGGCGCAGCCGCCGTATGCGCGCGGTCTTGCCGCTGAACAGACCTGCGCATATTGCCACAGGCTGTATGTGAAACGCAAGAATTCAGTCTAGAAGCGCGCCTTGAAGTGACTGCACGCAGTCCTTCCGAACTGAATCCTGAAGGTGTGGAAATGTAATAACCGCACATCAAACTCGTAAGGTGCTAATCACTGATTCATACGTACAAAAAATAGCAGCATGTCAAAATTCGAAAGGAAACCACACTTCAGAGCTAAGCTGTTTACTATTGTGACGTGTCCTGTGTCGATCCTGGAGCTTCTGCCTGGAAGATTGCTCTTGGAAGATCTGGCCATGCTTTCGAATTCATGCCAGCACCATTCTTGACATATGTCCATCATGAGCAAAACGCCAAGCAGCAGGTACAGAATGCAAATAGAACACATCACGATGAATAATCACTTGTAAGACATGCCCTGGTCTTTGCTTTGAATGACACGTCATCTCCAGCGAGGATGACAGCGATGCCCGCACCCATGAGGTTCCGCCGCAGCCGCACAAAGACAGACGCCACCTCATCCTTATCCAGCCGCCAGCTGGGATGCGCAGGCGTTCCCTCCAGCCCATCCCATTGCCTGTTTTGTCCCGGTGCCCCATCTGCGCCGGCGTCCCTTCGCAGGTGATCGGCAAATGCAACCGGCAGCGGCTTGTCGGTGGACAGCGTCGCTGAGTCACCGCTGAGCTGGACGATGACGCCGCGCGCAACCGCCACATGCTGACCTGTTCACCCAAAATATGGTGCAGCTCTACTGTCACTGTTTTTGTTTGAGTTTTTCTATGCTATAGACGCCCTGTTGAGCACCTTTCAACAACCACAGAGGAACAACATTGCAGCAAGACAAGCCGAAAAATTCATGGTGCTTCTGCCGGCCTCTGTCTGTACCTCGAACAGAGTTCAACTCTATTTGGGGATGCTTCATTTCTCTTATATCGACTGCATAATCTTTTGCAGCATGCACAAATTGGCAGTGCTCAAGGAAGAGATGGCCAAACCTTCAACGCCGATGATGACCATGTCTCCCTCGTTGAAACAGGAGTCCTCCAGTCTGGCGGCCGATGTGGCGGCTGACGTGGCGGCGCCGACCGCTGATGTGGCGCGGCGAAAGTCCAGCAGCCAGGCCCCCCGGTCGCGGGGGTCCTCCGGCAGCCGCTGCCGCTGCGCCGTCAGCTGCAGCCCCGCCACGCACCGCCCCAGTACCTCCCTCTCCTCCCCTGCCACCAAGGGCTGAAGCATTAATATGAGGGTCACTATTGAGGGTTTAGGAGTTATACCAAATGCAGAACCAACCAATGGGAGGGCGTACACCATCACTCTCCGGCCTTCTCCGATATGAACAGTGGAACTTCTGCGGCACTTTCAATATAAATGGACATCAGTCTGGAGCAGCATTCAAATAGCCAGTGGGCCGCCAGAGGCAGGGATCGATGAGGTGACAAAGAGGATGGGAAACACTCTTTCCAGTATGTGGGACCAAGCTGACCAGCCCGAAATCTGCATGCTGTAATGGCGCGCTAGTGGACATCATTGCAGACTCACCACCCCACAAAGGTCCACACGTGGGCAACATGAGCACCCACAATATCTCTCCCATTATATCATGAGGATATTAATAGAATCAGCAACGGCATGATAGGGTGCGCACCGGGCATTGCCCAGATCTCGGAGCGCTTGGCGCTGACGTCACCTTCCTCCAGGTCCACTAGTCTGAGCCACTGCGCCAGGAACGCCGCGTGAGACGCTGACATGTGCCCCGTCAGCTCCACGAAAGTCGGCCCCATGCCCGCTGACTCAGCGTTGCCGCCCTCAACCGCCTGCAACAGTGCGTGATGGATCACAATTTACATTCAAGCTTGGGACCTTGCAATACAGTCAGACCTTCAATTAATCAAACTCTGAATTAGCAGCATCTTGGCATTTTCTTGGGACCACCCTCGGGATTATAGAAAGAATTGACTGTGCGAGGACAGTCCGTGATGGAGAGAGGAGGGATCAGCAGGAGTAGGGGCCAAGGCCATATAATTGTGCAAATTACATCCCCCATGGTTAACTACATGCTAGGTGTTGTCACTCCCTGGCAATGCAAGTCCTAGCAAACCCTCATACCCCGGAAGCTTGGAGAGGGCATTCTACCGAGCTACCTACGGCCATGTTTCGCCTGCAAGCAGAAGCTAAGCTTACGTGGAAGCAGAGGCAAAGAAAGGAGGAAGCGTTCAACTTGCCTTGTGCAGGAGCGCGCAGTTCTGGCGTTGGAAGCAGCCAGAACAGGCGCGCTCGTCCCTTATCACCGGCGGCAGCGACCGCGCGCGGCCCAGCCGAGCCGCCAGCACGTTGCGCTGCTGCATCAACCCCGCTATCTGCAAAATCATCCGCCTATATTGAGCCATTTCTCTTTCAGGCTTGACGCCTCTTCAATGACAGGGAAAGCTGGAGGGGATTTTTCGAGAGGCTGCTGCAACGCACTCTGCCCTGTGGGCTGGAACAAGCATGTAAACTAATCATAAAAACCTCTTCAAGCACCCTCCAACCTTGATCAAGTCTTAACATCCTCCAAACATCAAACCTAAGTCTAGTTCAAAGAAATCTCGTGCCAGACCTACGCATGCCAGCGCCTATTATCACGCTGCATTTGGTGCAAGCGTAACAGCTATCCAAGCGACAGGCCACCTAAAGAAGCCCATCTCTGGGGAATTACTGCACCTCAGCGTGGCAATGCTTCCGGCTCAAGACACTACTGTGGACCAAGCCACCTCATACTAATGCTGAAAACTGCGCGCAGGATGAAAAATGGGGGTAGCATCGCCCGGGGGTGCAAGAAATGGGCGGACCTCGTAGGGGGAGCGCATGACAAGCTCTGGGCTGGCCTGGTTGAGATACCAGAGCAGGCCGGCCTCTATGGGCTCCCCATAGCGCTCCTCCATCAGCAGCTGGTACAGCGTCACCTGCACGCATGCACACCCAGAACGCCCAGCCAGTCAAAAGAACGCACGGAACTTGTTCAGCGCATGAAATAAATCAACGGGAAAAAAAATCGTTTCACCGTGTCTTATCCTTCATTGCTACTTTATGTGCTCTCAGCACAGGACAGAGCGACCTTTTACCGAAGACCACTGGGCACGATGCATACCAGTGACGAGCACCGACCCTACACTGATAAGGATATCCAGAACTTCAGAAGGAATCCGTGAGGAGCTAGGTGCTGTGAAGGGTTCTGGCTGTCCCACAGCCACAGCATGCATGCATGCATCTATCAAGAGCGCTTGTAGCACATCACTTGCACAGAAGAGTTGCTTGACCGATGTATCCGTGAGCATGCACTTCTAGAAGGAGAAGCACCAACACACCCTGCAGATGCCCAGACTGCCTCACGAATATATGGCACATAGG